CCCCAACCCCAACCCCCAACCCCAACCCCAACCCCAACCCCAACCCCAACCCCAACCCCAACCCCAACCCCAACCCCAACCCCACATTTGAAAAAATAAATAACTTTTTTATTGACACAAAATTAAAATTTTGTATAATTGAATATTGAATTAAATAAAAATTTTAGATCTATTGAAAAATAAATTTTTAAGCTTAAAAATTAAATATAAATCGATAATAAATAATTTTTTTGAGAAAAAAATTAAGTTTTAATTAAAGGTGTCTTTTTAAGATTATTAAATTAACCATTCGGTTTAAAAAAACAATTACTTAAAAACAGCATATAAAAATAACTACAATAATAATATAACAACCAATTTTTGCAATTAGCTTATTAAGTATAAATTTATATTAATTATAATATATTACTATAATCTTTAAACTTAATTATATCTATCTATCAATTATCCTCTTAATCTTGTTCATACTCCTCTTCCTCATTATTATTATCTTCTTATCCATGATTTTTTTCTTATTACTTTTAATTTTATTCATCTATTTACTCTTAATTATTTGTTTTATCATTTTCTACTTTTTCTTTGTGATTAGATTAATTAAAATCACTTTGTCCTTATTAGTGAGGAGAAGAAGAATGATCATTTACTTTTGATTTTATAATAGACTATTCCTCCTCTTCTTCTTTTTCTTCAGTAACTTTTAAATTATTGTGCTTTTAATTTTATTAACTCATTGGAGAACTCACTAAATTGCTTTGATTGTTATGATGTTCATTAATGCTATCCCCTTATTGGTTATGGTTTATCCCAGATTCTTTATCTTGGAAATCAGCATTTCTTGTAAAAAAGAAAGATTTAGTTTTTTCATCTATTCTTATTCTTTCCAATAAAAGTTCTGGATCATTATTACATTCATTAATTAGAATATTCATCCCTATTATTCAAAAAATTAATTATTTTTGAAATACTAGTTGAGTTTATTACCTTCTTCTTCACTCAGCTCAATTTTATACTAGTTAGGCTGCTTTTAGAGATTTTCAAGATGGATTGTAAAATATCTAATAATTATATATTATAAAAGTTAATATATTAAGTAGCAGTAGATATTTGTACTTAGATATCAATAAAACAAATAATTTTATCAACAATAGAAAGAATGAAGATTTAAAATGCTATTAATTTTTTACCCTTATTATACTTTGATTTCTACAAGATAAATAAATGAGCCAATCTTTTTTCCATTTTTATAAATAATTCTTGATTGATTCTTATTTTTAAAAAGAGGCTAGAGCTTTCCTATTGGTTTTTTGCCTATATAATAGTTTAATTTTAATTTACAATCCACCTTGATAAACAAACAAACATAGATAAAAATCTATATTAATTTAAATAGTTTTGAATTTATAAATAAAATAGAATTCTATCAAATAATAATTTTACTGAGTACTGGCTGGCTGCTCTATCTATCTTTCCATATTCCCATTTTAACATGAGTTTTATTTGGCTTAAAGTCTTTGTATTGATACTCTGATATTTAAGATATGTATTTTTCATTTTTTAAGCGTTCTTTTTCCCAAGCTCTAACATCATATTCAGATTTTTGGCTTTAAATGCGTTTAAGCAAGGCTTAATTTTCTATGACTATTTTAACAAATTCCTTTTTACGCAAGGCTTAGTTGAGACTATTTTTAGTTGTATTGAATGGATTCATGCTACTATAAAGAGATGAGCTAAATGCAGACCCATGTTAATTTTGTTGTGTCTGTGCATTAGGATTCTTATTTCTATGTAATATTTGAGTGAGCTTATGAATTAAAATTTTATTTTCTCTTTGAATTTCGTTTCCTCTTGATTGCTGCAAGGCTTCTTTTTTCTTTCTACTTACTAAAAAATCATACTGAGGAGGTGCTTCATTATCAATCATTTTTTTCATGTTTTTAATTTTGTTTTCATGAAGCATAATTTTTCTTTCGTGCTCCCTCTAAAAGCATATTTTACTTTAAACTGGTATTTAACGAAACATTTCGAAAAGCTATTATATTCTAATATACTTATTTTTATAATTAAATTGCTTTGAACTAAATGATTTTTATAATTTTTTATTATATTTTTTTCTTATTTGTTTGTTTGCTTGTAAATGTATGTATGAATGTAAAAATATACGTATGCTGGCCTTTTTGTTATTTAATATTATAATAACAACTTTTACAGTTTTTTTTGCAATTTTATTTATTTATTTTTGAAAGATAGAACAACAAAAAACAATTTAAGACTCTTATTATAAAAATCTAATGACACTCATAGCTAGCTTGCTTGCTTGATATTAACATTTGAAATTAATTATTATTTTAAGAAACTTATAAAACACATTCTTTTTTATAAAATTGTTTAAAACATTAGCAAATCGTAAAGAGAAATCTAATTAAACAAAAATTTAACTTGGCCAAACTAAAAAATAAGGAAAACAAACTAACAAATATGCAAAATTTTATTCATATAATAAATTATTTTGAGCTTTCTTTATTTTTATTTTTAAAAATTGAATATTCAACAATATATACGAAAATATAATAAATTATTTGTTTGTTTATTTATTTATGAGTTTATTTATGAATTATGTGTTTAAGTTTAAAATGTAAATTTGTTAAAATAAATATCCTAATAAATATGGAAATCCCTCATTCATTTTTAAAAGTATTTGTAGTAAGAAGATTCTATTATTTCTACCTTGGCTTTTTTCAACAAGAAGAAACTTGAAAACAAGCATGAAAATGTAAAAAGAAGGAAAATATATTTTTGGCCAAACAAAGGAATAATTATTTAGACAAATGCTGCAACAAAAGAACCAAATCCTTCAATAATACCAGCTAGAAGAGCTGTAATATTTTTATAGTGCTTAACCTCTGGTTGCTAAGCAAGGTCAATTGCAATAGCTCCACCAAGCATAGTATAAGGACCACCAAGGCATATACCAATAAGTAAAACGAATATGTAGTAAGGAGCAGCAACTCCATTAGGGAGGAAGTGGATTATAAACATAATAAAACTGCTGATGATAAGAAAGATACTAATAGTAGTAGCCTTCATTTTAAATTTATCAATAAGCATACCTAAAAGCAAACCTCCTGCTAAAGTACCAATTTCATTCATAGAGCAAATAAAAGCAGCTTAATTTTTTAAACCATGTTCTTACAAGTAAATAGGAAGCCAAAACATTAAACCATAGATAGTTCCTTTAGCTCCTCCTTAAGTTAGTGCAAATATTGTCAATCCCGGTACTTTTAACCATGCATTGAATACATTCAGCTAATCTTCTTATTTAGACTAGCCTTCAATAATATTTGACTATGTGTCACTTTATTTTTATCCTTGGTTTTCAATTTCATGTTGATTTGGCATGTCACTTTAGTAAGCTAAATTATCTCCTCCTTAGTAAATTTTAATACGATCATTATTATTTTCTGATAAGTCATCATTGTCATTGTTATTCTCATTATTATTGTTATTTTTATTGTTATTTGAAGAGGGTATTTCCTCTTCTTCATTTTATTACTTTTCGTTTTTTAAATAATGATTTACTTTGCTATTCAAAACTGGTGATTCATTTCTATGTACAATTTAATCTTTAGAATTAGATTCTGTTACATTTATTTATTATTGTTAATTCTATTAAGGATTTTCTGCATCTTTTTATTAAGAGTCATCATCATCTTCTTACATTCTTATTTCATCTTACTTTTTTTTATTTTAAACATGAATCTACTTATGTTCACCACTATTTTCTTCTTTATCTTTATCTTCTTGATTTTGTTAAGAATCATCTTAAAATGCATAATAATTATTAGGCATTTCTAAAACAACAGTTTAATTACGCTTATCATCCTCATCGTTATTTTCTTGACCATTCTTAGATTAGTTATTTCCATATTTTTTATTTTGATTCTGTTAAAATATATCTAAATCTTCATTGGTTATACCTAATTTATTAGGATATGGCTCCAGGTTAAAGATTACTATAGATCCAATAATTAGGAGGAATATACCTATTATAAAAAGTACGAATTTCCAATTCAAATCCAAAACGTTGACAGCAAGATCTTAAATAAAATAGCCTATCATATTTCCAACATTACCATTTGTACCCCATATGCCCATTAGCAGACCTTTTTTACCATTTCCGAACCAATTTCCCATACAAGCAACAACAGATGGCCACCCAGTTGATTAACTTACACCATTTAGCATCATCATTAAAAGAATAAATCCTTTATTTATACTTACTTGGCAGATAAAGTAAATAAATAGTAAGCAGACAGAAGCACTTACCATTCCGAAGCCAAGAAAATACTAAATCTAAAAACGACTTGAATAACCTCCTAAAAATTTCATTGATAGAGCATAGCACAGTAAGAAGCAGGTGTCTACTAAACCTAAATAATGATCGTCTTTTTCATCCAAATCCTCTTTTAAACTTTGTTTGGAAGCTGACCAAGCAGTTCTGGTTGAGTGAATTGCTGCATAAGCCAGAAAAGTCAAAATAAAAACAAAAATTTAATTCCTAATTATAATTTATCTTTTTTCTTCACTTAGTTACGGCACTTGCTTATTAATAGGTATGGATTAGTTAGCTTCATATTCTTAATCAATTTATTGCTTTTATTCCTCTTAAAGTCTAAGATGAGGAAGATTATCTTCTTCTACCTGCATTTTTATATTTTGCTTTTAATTAATTTCTTTTGTAATATTAAATATGTTATAAATGGGTCTAATTTTTAAAATAGCAAATATGAAAAATCTACTCTATTTTTAGGATTGTAGTTTAAATATTTATTGCTATTTTTGAATTAATAAGCCTAGCTTATGGTTCTATTTAAAATTAAATGAATCTTGAATAAATAGCTATTTGTTTATGTTAGTACTGTTGATATATCTTTTTTACTAAGTGCTAGTTTTTATTTACAATGAATTTTTATCCTAAATAATTATTTCTATTTATTACTCCATCAATATTATAATGATTAATTGGATCTCATGATATTATAGGAAAATTGGATAAAATCAGAAATTAAAAAATAGATTTAAAAGTGGTGTATTAGTTGATTAAGTGTTTTTTATTTCAGATTTTAGGATTTTCATCTAACTTTAGTTACAAGCAAATTTAAAATATAAATTATTGACAAAATTTTTTTTCTATTTTATTGAATCTATCTATTCATTTATGAATTTTCAAGATTCAAAGCAATTAATTCATTAATTTATTTTATGTAAGTAATAAATTCTAAGTAAATAAATACTAAAATATAAAAAAAAATAACAATTTAAAAAATCATTAATATTTAGATATACCAAATTAAATTTTATTATTTATTTTACCAAAAATAAAATAAAATTATTTGACTATTTAAGTTCTAAAAATTATCAAAAAATAAAAATGTTTTTCAATCAATTCAAATAAATGGAAAAGTCTTTTGAATAAGATTAAAATTAATCTTATATATAATAAAAATTTATTATTTTTAGCTCTTATTTTTTTTGATATAGTTCTTTTAATTCTAAAGATACCTTTAAACAATTAAGCTTAATTAATGTAAAATATATTGATTCATGATTGTATTTTGGCAGTTTCTTGTTTAAAAAATATTCATTTCTATTATTTCAAGGAAATACTATAATATAGTTAATTAATAAACATTATTAAAATATTGTATTCAAAGAAGATCTTAAAAGTTTTGCTAATTACTGTAAACAATTAATTATCAGCTAAGATTTAATTTTAAACTATTTATGAAATACTTAAAATGATGGTAAAACTTTGCTAAAAATAAAATATAAAAGTCAGGATTTTTTAACAAAATTTTTTAATTTCTTGTATCTCTCTGTTCCTATATTATATTACTGATTAAATTTTTTTTTTCTACATTTTAATTATTTTCTTTATATTTATTTTTAAAATACTTATGAAAATCATTCAAAATACAGAAATCTTTTTTAATATTGTCAGTAAAAAAATTTTTTTTAAAGTAAATAAATTTGTAAAATCTTTTTCAAAAACAAAAATTAATTCTTAGCTAAAAAAGAAGGTTTTCTTGTTCATTTAGATTTAAATAAACATATGAACTTAAACCTTCTTTTACTCAAAAATCTCTATAGAAGAAGGATATATTAATTAATTAAGCAGAAACTTATAAAGCTATTCCATTATCAACCTAAATGATTTAAGTGCGTCTCAAAAAGCGAAAATACAATTACTAATGAAGCTATAAATTGTAAATGTACATTTGAAAACAACGTTTTAAGATGAAAATTTTATGAATAAAGATTACTGATGGTGGGTATTTAGAATCCATACTATGTTAAAATAAATTAATAATCAGAACTAATTAGAATGTAATTCAGTATAGACATTTTGGTTTAGAGCTATATTTGTTGGCTTTATTCTAAATATTTCTATATACACTATACTTAAATCCCACAAATTTTTTGTAAGCAGAGCCATTTTATATTTAAAGTGTAATATGTGTATATATAAAATAAATAAATAATGGATTAAAAAATATTATGGAAGGAATTATTTATTCTATTAATCAAAAATGAAATTAAGAGATTAAATATAAAGGAAGGAATTTATTTATTTATTTTCAAATTTTGCAAAAAATTAAAATTCCTTAATATTACATTCAGTTGAAGCTAGAAAGTTGAATGAATTTGAATTTTTTATGAAAATTGAAAGAGGAAATCCCCCTTTCAAATTAATCTTTTAATTTTTATTTTTTATCAAAAAAAAATCAAGCTCCATTTTTATTTTTTCTGATTAATAGAATAAATAATTCCATAATATTTTTTTTTTATTATTTATAATCATATTACACTTTAAAAATAAAATAACTGGGCTTACAAAATATCTGTGGGATTTAAGTAAAAAGCAAATTAAATAAATAAAGATAGACATAAGTATGGAAAAGTTTATCGTTTCTGCTCTTCAATTATTTGCTAATAACTAGGAATGGAAAAAAATATCAATCTATCTATATTGGTACCTTTATATCATGTGAAGTTATAGAAGATAAATTAACTAATAAATAAACTCCAATGATGCTATAGTAGAGAGTGATGAAAGTCCATTCACTTACTCATTAGGTGATGATTACTCTTATACCTAAAGCTTTTAATTGTAGGAATAATTGAGTAAGTTTACTAAAATTTTATAAGCAGTGTAGGAAAAATAAGAAATAATACCATCATATTATCTATATTCTTGAATTTTTATATAATAAATTAGAAACAAAACATGAGTTTATTCCTATGGATCTGAATAGTTTCTTATAATAAACCATACAAGTACACTAATAAATCTGACCCTCACGCTAATAGGAAATTTGCAAAGGAAATTTTACTTCCAACAGAATTGAAGGTCTATTAGGAACTTTTAAAGAATATAGTTGCTTTAATCGAGAGAAAATACTTTTCTTAATTTATAAAGAAATCAATCATCCATCAGATAGGATTTACAAAAAATTACAGAACAAGCTGAAAACCTTGATCAGATAAATTCCAGATAAGACTAATCTATATATCCAGATTCAATTAATATACATTTAAATTTCTATTTGCGATACAGGTGATAGAGTGCTACATCCCTACAAACTAGAGAAATTGTAAAAGCTAAAGCTATCTAAGCTCAGATTTCAATACAATACATTATAATAAATTATTGAATTATATGATAATCATTTAATAAAATGAGCCACTTACTTGATAAGAAATTACTTAATAATAATAATAGTACAAATAGTGACGTATATAAAAATTAAGTCATTCTGTGCTATTATATCAACAATTATTTGGAAATTTTTATTAAAAAAGTAATTTGTGTTTGTTTTAACCAAACTTGAAAGAAGAAACAATCAAATAATTAATTTTTTTTTTCAAAAATGAAATTAGATATTTTAAACAGATAATAAATTATTATCTTTTGAATCTTTGCTATTAAAATTAAAGAAAAGCATGATTTTGATCTTTCGATATGAAATTATTGTTATTTATCTTTTTAATAAAATTTTAATTGGTAATAAATTAATTAAATAAAAAAAATTTAATTAAAAAGCATTTTCTTGGTTGTAAAATATATTTTTTAATTGTTTATTTGATTTTAAACATTTAAAATTTCTACCATATAAAAGAAAAATATTTGAAAATATTATTTAGCTACTTATATATAGCCATGCTTAATAATTAATGAGGAGTTATAGTTGATCCTTTGATTTATAAATTTATAAAACAAATACTTTATTATAGCAAACATTACATAATTTTTTAGGTAATGTTAATTAAATGAAAGAAAAATTTATTCATTGAAAGTATAAAATAGTTATAAATCTGACTTAAAATTGTGACATTTCTGGATTATAATTATTATCTCTAACAAATTTATAATAACTTGTTTAATTATTTAGGTAAATGAGTGGTATTTATTCGTTTATATTAAATAATTTGAATATTTAGATACATTTTTGATATTTATCTATTCATTATTTTTAGTATATTAAGTTCAAAGATAGTTAGCTAGTTAGTTATATTATTAAAAAGAAACTATCTTTAATTAATTAATTAATTTCAAAATTTTATATTAAATAAGATTAATTTATTTATTTACCATTAACAAATAAACCTATCAATGAAAAAGGTTTTCAAATCGAAGGCCTATAAAGATAAGTTAAAAGGACATAAGGATGGAGTAATTAAGATCTACTCTCCTTATGGTCCTGACTCTGGTCTATTGCTATCTGCCTCTAAAGATGGATGCATTAGAGGTAAATTTGCAAGAATTATATTTCAAGATTAGAACTGCTAATCTCAAAAAAATAATTTTCAGAATTTCATGATAACTTATTAGCATATATTAATAATTTACCTATTTAAAATTAGCTTGGGATTTAATAGAGCGTAAGATTACAGTTAAGCTATTATTAAGTAGAGATGGAAATGATACTTCATAGATGGCTTATTAGAAAGATGATGATTAATAATCAGGAGATGATGATGATGTAAATAGAGATGAAGAAAATGTATAGCAATAGAAAAACAAAGTAAAAAAAATAAACTATCAATTTAAGATGTTTTAATGGTTAAAAAAAATAATATAAAGGACTCAAAGAAAACAATTGATTAATTTACAGCAGCATGCTTTAGCGAGAATTCAGTTTATGGAGGTTATGAAGATGGTTTAATTTGTTCATGGAATATAAAAGAAGGTAGTTTGAATTCCCTCTATAAGGGACACTCTGAAGCAATTACAGAATTAGAATTTTTAAATACCCGTTTATTAATTTCTGCATCACTTGACTAAACTATTAGAGTTTGGGATACAATGGTAAATCTTGAAGCTTATAATAAAACTGTTTTTATAAATAATTTTAAAGACCTTTTTGTATTTATTAATATAAAACTAACTTTTTTTAATTAGAATGGAATGAATGAAACAATATATCATTTGAATGGTCCTGTAAACTTAATGAGGATTAATAAAAAATACATTTAAGCAATTACAAATAAAAATACATTTGTGGAGATAAACAGTGATGTAAATATTCAAATAAAATATTTATGATTATTTTAAAATATGTATTTTAATTAAAAATATAAGAATTCTAAGGTTACTAAGAGCGTTCATTTCACAAGTACTTCAGTTACTAGCTTTATTACCTATGAAAATTAACTTATTATAGCTACAATTAACAATATTATGGAGGTTTATGATTTAGATTCACTAGATTAAGAAAATGTTTAGCCAAATTATATAATAGAAAATAATAAAGATTGGATTTTATGCATGAAGATTTTAGATAATTATCTTTACACAGGTGGAGATGATCGTAGAATTAAAGTTTGGGATCTTTCTACAAAATGTAAGTATTTAATAAAAGTTGCAAAATTATCTTAATAAGCAATAATAAAATAAAGTAACGTTAGTTGAGGATTTTATAGGACACGAAGACGGAGTAGTTTGCATAGACTTTGCTGATAATATGCTTTATAGTGGTTCATTTGATCATTCTATTAGATCTTGGAATTTAAAAGAAATGGAAAATCGTATAAGAGAAAGGGCACAGATGTTTAAAGAAGATATTTGGAGTAGAAAGTATGATGCTTGGTATAAAGTTTTTTACAAGAAAAAAAAGAAAGGAAAAAAAGGAAGTAAAAGTAAAAAATGAATTTAAATTTATATGTTTAATTTAATAGCATAAATAATATTAATCTTATGTATAAATTTTATAATTACTAAAAAAAACTAAATTATGTTTGTTGTTTTATAATCTTTAGTTTCTTATATTATTAATAAATAATCTGTATAAAAAATTGTTGTATTTAATCACAATGATTTTATTTTTTAAGCTTTTTATCAATAAGTTAATAAATTTATTTAAATATTGTGTATTAATTAGTAAATAAACTCAGAATAAATTTTAAAAACCAAAATTTAATTTTTAACTTAAAAAACCTATCACTTGAAAGATATTTTGAATTTTAATTTAAAACATTATATTAATTAAGGTATGTCAAAGAATCAATTTGAAAAAACAACTTTATTTTATAAATTTAAATTATGCAAATTTAATTAGATTATTGAAAAAGTAAATTTATTTGATTTATTTTATGCTTTAGAATTATTTTAAAAATAAATATTTATTTATTTTTAAATTAAAAGCTATTTTTAAGTAGAATTAAATAGAAAAAAAGTTTAAATAAAAAATTAAATTTTTTATTTTACATTTCTTTTTTTGCAATGATAGTAAGTTCTAAAAGATCTTTATATTATTAATTTATTAATTAGCAATTAGTGTACCAAGTCGCTTGCTTAACATAATAATTTTAAAAGCTTAAATTATATTAATAATTTGAGTAAATTTGTATATAAATTTTATTAATGTGAAACATTTTATTTTTGTAAATGATTTTAAATAGCTAATGAAATGTAGATAAGTTTTTTATTATAATAGACATTTCAATATATTTTATATTATAAAGAAAAGCTAAATAAGGAGGCAAATTTAGGGAGAAATAGCCATAATTTTATTAATTATATTAAGTTAAATTCAATAGGAAAAAAGATTCTTTCAAAATTGCATAGAGACAATTATCTAATAAAACAAATTAATTAAAAGAAGATACACACATACATTAAAATTAATTAAATAAAAACAATAATAATTAGGAAAAGAGTTAAAAAACAGGCACAAAATATATAAAAATGGTCGATTTATACAAAGAAATAGATTTTTCTTAAGAATTAAAGGATACCCCAGAATTAGAACCTTTCTTAAAAGCAAAAGCAAAAGAAGAATAGGAAGAATTGAGCTCAGATTATATTCAAAAGCCATTCTTAGATAGATCATATCATGAGTTTATTATTGGTAATTTGCCTTTATATTTTGCATAATATCCAAATGTCTAGATTCATCACAATCATTCATTAATTTGTTTGTTTGCAAGAAAATTTCATTGATTTCTTATCTATTAAGGCTTTTTTTTATAAAATATTTTTTAATTATTATAGTTACTGGTTTACCCAATACTGAAGCAGCAAAAACTGAACAATTTAAAACTTTCTTCTAAAATAAAATTCTTTAACCAACTGCTCTTCTTGAAAAGATTAAAGTTATCGAATTCTAACTTGACAACGATGGAAACTTTTAAGGGTAAATTATTTATTAAGTTAAAGTGTATTAGAATTAATGACTGAAAATTTAACTTTAGTTAGTTAAATAAGATTAAGATAAAGAAAAATAATATATTAATATAATATAAATTTTCAATTTTAAATCAATCATTAAGTTGTTTAATGTTTAATAGAAAATTAGTAATGTAAAAATTAGATGATGTTTAAATTTATTTTTAAAATTAAATCAAACAGTATCTGCATTCTCGCTTTCGATAACGCTACTAATGCTTAAGAAGGTTTAAATAAATTGAACGGTCTTAAATTCATGAAATATTAATTGAGCGCTTATTCTTTGTATAGTTTCTAACAAGCTCTTGACTGTCCTGATGAATTCACAGCTCCTGTTAATTTGACCAAAAGAGAACTTTTAGAGTGGAACTTTGAAAACAGAAAAAGTTTAATGTCATTATAAATCGGTAACAAGGTCTATAATTACTGGGTTTCCCATCTAGAAAACGAACTTTAAAACATTTTAATGAAGCCTGTTGAAGAAGGTAATACTTTGTTTATTTCAATAAAAGATATTTTTATTTTCTTCTTTTTAAAAAAACAAAAAAAATTAATAAATCAAAAGTTTTTTTAATTTTAGCTTAGTTAGCAAAGTGCTACTTGATAATTATTTTAAAAATGGATAGAAAATCAATCGCAATCAATTAAAAAAAACAAATCAACAATTAACAACCCTTTTAACAATATATTTTGATAGAAATAAAACCTAATTTAGCAATTATAATATTTTTTTACTCAATAAAAATTAATTATGCAAATCAGCCACATTAAATTGATAATCAGAAATAATCATCGAAATTAACATGCATTAATTTTTATAAAATACAAACGCTTTTTATATTGAGATTGTAATATTCTTTTTTATGCCAACAATTAGGTTAAGCTCCAGTCAATCCTGAAAATTTGTACACACCCCTTGAAAGCTCTACTAATGAAATCGTTTGGAGCAAGAATGGTACTTACATGGTTGAAATTTTACCTACTGGTTTCAGATTATATGGTGGAAAAGATTTGAAAAAGCTTTCTTTCTTCCCTCACCCTGAAGTTAAAAATATCGAATTCTCTCCTTGCGAAAACTATATTCTTTCTTATAACGGAACTATTGTCGATGCTCCTAATGAAGATAATTTCATCGTATGGTAACTTAACGAAGTTAAGGTACTCAGAGTTTTCAAAGCTAAACAACAAGATGTTTGGACTACTATGAAATGGAGTTACGATGGTAAATATATTGGTAAAATCGATGATCACAAGGTCTCCGTTTACGAACTCCCTGAAATGAAAATGCTTGAAGATAGTTCAAAAAATCCTACATCAATAAATATTAGAAATGTACAGAAATTTTTCTGGTCTAGCAAGTAAAATATTCTTATTGGCTGTTCTTACTATGGTCCTCATCGTGAACACGATAAGCAAGTCTCAACTAGAATTTCAATGTTTGAAGTAAGCATTTAAATATTAAAATCAAATTGTTTTTATTTACATATACTGACATTAATTTGTAATAAAAAGATTCCTAGTAGAAGAGAATTCAAGTGGAGAACAATTAGCAACGAAAGTTCTGATATTGATATTTTCCCAAGTGTCAATGGTCAATACGTTATTGCCATCATTAAAAAGATTAAGAATAAAAAATCTAATTAATAGTCCTCTTCCCATACTATATAAGTTGCCAATATTCGTAACAAAGGTTAAATGGATATCTGTGAACAAGAAATTAATGAAAAGGTTCACACTTACTCTGTCGATCCTTACTAAGGTCGTATTGGTTTAATTTACAAGGCTGGCGAATTAAGTAAGATCAATAATTTATTTTGGATAGCTTATAAATTTTAAATTAAATTTGCAAATTATTAGGAGGAGAATAAAAGTCTATGATTTATCACACTTAAATTTACCATATTGAAGAAGAAAGCAAGAGTTATACCATTAAAGATGCTGGTAGATTTAGCAATAAAAATACAAACGAAATCTAGTTCTCTAACAGCAGTGGATTCTTTGTTTTGATTAATAAGGATATTAATTCTTCCTATTGTGGTTATATGGAAACTGGTTTCACTCGTAAGGATAAGGGCAAATTAATTAGTGAAATTACCAGATCTTACAATAACTTATCATATATTGATAGTGCTGCTTACGATCAATCAGGACGTTACATATTTACTAGCTCTCAAAAAACAAAATCATTCCAAATTTGGACTGCTTTTGGTGATTAAATTTTCAAGGATACTATAACTGACCCTGCTGGTATTAAAAATATAATTTGGAGACCTAGACTTACTCATTTACTTGACGAAAAGTAGGAATCATTAATCCAAACCACTTACAAGGATTACAAAAAAACGTAAATTTTAAATTATTAATGAAACACCATAATAGTAAAATGTTAAAAAAATAGCTACGAAGAAGAAGACGATAAGATTATCAATAAGAAAGAACATGAAAGAAGAGAAAAAAGAGACAAATTAAAATAAGAAGTAATAATATTAATTGATATGTTATAATTAATAATAATAATAATTTATTATAAAATATAAGTTCTTAGAATATTTAAATGCCAAGAGAAAAGAATGGAAAGATACTAAACAAGAAAGAGTTGCTCTTTTAGGTAATTAATTAATTAATTAATTTTATTAAGTATATTAATAATTTTATTCACTTATTTATATAGGTTTTGATGAAGAAGATGAGACTGATATTGTTTATGATGAATTCATTGAAAACGAAAGAGTTGTACAAACTGAAATCATTGATGAAGAAGAAATCGAAGATCCTAACAACTGATATGCATGAAAGAAGCTTAAAACATAATCTTATTTAAATTCTTAAGTTTAAAAGAATATAATACTATATCAAACACAAACATTCATTAACTTTTAAAAATTTAATGAGTTACTTTAATTACAACATCAACAAATAACCAATAATGCTCTAATTTTTGAAAGGAGAATCTAAATCTTACCATATCAACTAATAATATTCATATTACGTATATATTTTTAATAATGCTGTTCTCACTGTTATTTGGGACTCTTTATTTAAAATTATTTTCATTCATGTATAATTATTCTAAATACTAACAAATGTAATCAGTTTAAATTATATATTTAATTTAATTTTTCTAATTCAAAATTTTATACTTTACAATTAATTATAGTCTAAATTTTTACTTAGAATTTTTAAAATTTATTTAAGCATTTTTGCATTAAAGTGAAGAAATTTAATATTTAAACAAAATTAAAAGCTTAAATTACAAAAAAAATATTTATTTTAATCTATTAATTGAAATTCATAGCAATTAACATTTCTTTTTGTTTTTCAATTTTGACAAAAGAAATTGAACTAGTTCATATGCTTGAATAAAATACTTTTTTTTTTCTTGATTATTAAATTAAAAAAAATATCTTTTTTTAAATTTTGTGTCATATCAAATATGTAGAGAAATATGCAATTTAATTTTTCAGAAATATTTTATCGATTATGGTGCTTATTGATTATTTATCAACTCTAAAAAAAAAGAGTAGATTTTCTTAACATTTGATTAAAAAAATCTGTGTGAAGAAATTCTTATAAGATATTACAAACTTGTTTAAGTCTTTCTTTTTCATAAATATAAAATGGAAGAAAGATTTTAAAAATACAAATATTTTTAGATATTATTTCAAAATGTTAAAATTGAAAATTATCTTTTGCAATTTTTGTTTTAATCAGGGCCATAATATTAATAAAAGAATATTTATTTATTTAAATTCAATCCTATAAAACTTATGCCAGAAAATAAGCTTTTAATTACATGAAAACTTTCTACAATCTTTTAATAAATAAACTAAAAATTAAGATAATAAAATACAATTATACAATTTGCTTCTTTTATGAAAATATAAGCTTAATTTATAATTAATCACAGTTAAAAACAGTATATTTAGTTATTTGCTATTGGATTCCTATTAGTAATAGTGCAAAGCTAAGCCGTAGGATAATAATTCATTCTTATCATTGAAGTAAATTATTTTTTATGTTATTTATTTATATATATTATTTTGTTTAAAAAGGAATTGAATTGTGTATTATACGATCCAATAGATGGAAAATTTGGAGATCTTAATGTTAAATTTTTTGTTGAAAATGGTGATTATGATGGAAATGATAAATAAACGGTGAGGGATAATTTAAAAGACATGGAACAACTATAATATTATATAGATGTAATATTTTAATTTTTGGTAAAATAATTTAAATAAATAATTCATAAAGAATAACTAAGTTTATATCCAAAATTCTAGATACGGATATGTTTTCTTAATTTCTTTTGACTTAAGAGTTGATTTTAATCAAATTAGAGATGAATCTTAAAATCCATATTTATCATTAGATGGTTTTGTGAAAAAATAGGTAATATAGCTAAATAAATATATAAATCTTTATTTTTTTATTTAAATTAAATTAAAATAATTTAAAATCTAGGGACAATATTACTATTACTTAATTCCTTAGAATGGTATGTATACAGTGATCCAAGATACGGATTATAAAAATCTTAAATACAATACGAAGATTTTTGAAATTAGCAATTGTTATGAATCATTTTAAGATCATATCATAACTTCAAATCATTTGATATATAAATCTTATATTATTAATGTCAGTTCTGAAAGCAATAAATATTTTTTTTATTTAATTGATGTAATTTATTATTATCATTTTAAATATTATTTGCTTTTTATTTTTAAATATTATTAGAAAAAAATTAAAAAAGAATTTAAACAATTCTATTATTAAAAATAGAAATAGTTTGATCTCTTTATTTACAAGAATAATAGCAATATACAAATAATTTGCTAATTAGATGTTAAATCAAGTAATTTGTAATGTTTAAAATAAATAACAACAAATTATGATGGGTTTTTATTTACTTCAAAAGTAGTATAATCTAATGGAGTAATTATTTTTAATAAAAAGTTTTTAAAATTTAAAAATTAATTAATATTAGGCTAATTTATTTGTATATATGCTACATAAGAAGACTAAACTTACACCTTCTACGATTTCAGCACTTTTACTGTTTTGTAAACTTCTGGTTAAATAAAACAAACAAATAATATAATTTAGAATTCTCTTGTAATATAAGTAATGATTTTAATTTTATTTGATTAACTTAAAAGATATTTAATATTAATTATTTAACTGATTTAAGAAAGTAATCACATATTAAAAAATTTAATGGATCCTCTTAAATTTGAATCAAAAATTCTAAACTGTTTTTCTTTTAATATCAAATTAAAAAAAAATTAGAAAATAAAAATTAATATATTTTTTATCCTTTCTCTCAAAAAATTCAAAAACACAAATTAATAAAACAAAAATACATAAACAATCAGCTATTTAAATAATTATATCTTGAATTTTATTTTATTTAAATTTCTTTAATAGATAATTAATTAAACGTTTTTTTATTAATTAGAATATAATCATGGTCTATCATGATAGTGGTGATTAAAAAATAATTTTCAGATATAATATTCAAACATAAAAAGTAGATATTATTTAATCAGATTGGAAGAACTCATAATATAGGTTTTCAAATTTAAATTATCCTTATTAAGGAAAATTAGTTAATTATGATCTTGGATTTAGTAGAATAAAGAAGATTAGTGATGCAGTAATTTATTTATTTATTAATATTTAAAAAAAAAAAATTAATTTAATGAATTTATTTAGGAAATAATGTCTTTGTAAATTAAAGAAGCTGGAGTTATAATCATTTGGCATAGAAAATTTTTTTTAGCCACTTGCAGGGATTATTGTGATGATTGTTAGTAAGCAATAAATAGTCAGTAGTGTTTATAATGTTTATTAAGCTATTTTCTTTAGCCAGATAATATTACATGTGAAAAATCATGCCCTAGCTTATCAATATAAAATCATGCTGATTTGACTTGTGATTGCGTTTAAAATGCAGTCTTAATAAATAATTAATGTTAGTGCAAAAGTGAGTTTTAAATGGTTGGAAATGCATGTACTTAATGCTCTATTCCTAATTGTGATTAGTGTAAAGATTCTATAGCATGTATGAAGTGTAAATAAGGATACTATTTATTTGAAGACTTCTCTTGCAACACTTGCAATATCTCAAACGGTTATTACATAAAGTAAATTGATTAAAGTTCTTTTATTTTTAGGCTATAATATTATTTTATTTAAAGAAATTTAAATTTTTATAAAAATAATTCTTTTTTTTTTTATTAAATTTAAATAAAATTTTATAATTTAATAGTGGATAAAATTGTTTGAGTTGCTTCCATTCCTGTTAAACATGTGAAGGCCCTAATCAATATTAATGTCTAAGTTGTAAACTTCCAGATTTTTATATGTTTTAAGATAAGTAATGCAAAGTATGTGATGTTAATAATGGCTATTTTATCAGGTAATGATGATTTTTTATATTGATAATAAAACAAAAATATTTTATAAATTTAATTTTTCTTGAAAGATTTAAAAATTTTTAATTTTGCTTTTCAAGCAATCTTTATTTATTATTTTAATTTATAAAATTTCATTAATAAGAAATAAAATTTAATTTTAATTTAAAGTTAATCTCTAAAACATAACAAAATATTTATCAAAAAATAAGATTTTTATATACTTATTAACAAATAAATAAATTTTATTTTTATATAATTTTAAATGATAAGTAATTAAAATTGTATTTCTTGTTTTGAACATTGCAAGACATGTTTAGATGCTAATCAAAATCAATGTACAAGTTGTTATGAAGGTTATGACAATATCAATAATTTTTGCTAATAGACATTCTTAAATTATAATTCTCAGGTTTTTACTGAATAAAAGATATAATAGATTTAACAGTTATCATCATCAACATCATCTGTATTGGTTGTTAGCACTTCCGTTATGAGCTTAATTGAAAACATTGGATCTAACTCTAGCTATCGAATCTTAATTTCTAGCTTAACAATATAAAAATTAGCTTATTTATATCTTTTGAATGTAAACTTACCAAAGTAAATTTACTCTGTTTTAGAAATTTTGTCAGGTAAATTATATTACTAAACAATTTATAAATATTTTTTTTATTTATTTTCAATTCAATAAATATAAAAAATATTGTAGGAAAATTACCTTCTTAGTAGTTTAAATTCTTAAACCTATTTAGCTAACTATTAGATAACTATTTGATATAATACTAAAACATTAAATATTTAAAAATGGAACTTCCTTATCACATTTTAGTCAACTGTGGTTAAGCTATCATTTTATTTGCTATATGTTCTTTTCTCTTTGCACTATTTTACATCCTATCAGAGAAAATTTATCAAGATAAAGTCAAACAAATTTCAATTAAAGTCTACTAATCTTTATTCTCATCATTGCTGATTTAGTATTTTCAGTTAATAATATCAATCTTCGTAGTTAGTATCAACTAACAGGTAAAAGAATTCTTTTTATCATCAAGTATTGAATAGTTAGGAATTAAATAATTTATTACACTCATTTTATTTATATTAACAGTGTATATATATAAATAACAATACACATATTTAAATGATGAAAATAATATGTAACCAGAGATGAGCTTTTAAGAAATTACTAAAAAGAAAATATAAAATGAAACTATTTACGAATCAAAGTTGAGAAGAAATTTTATAATTATTTACTAATTTTATGAGTCTTTTCTCCTACCTACCTGCTTTATTTAACTGAGTAATAACTGGAAAGCAGCAAATATTGTATCTATAATCCTTTATTTAAACCTTTTGATAATCGTTATCTACTTGAGGCCTTTTTTCTCTAAATTAACTAATATATATTTTATAATTAATTATCTATTTTGGTTGTTGCTATAAATTTAATTCTTGGTGCTCAATTATTACTGTGATTAAAATAATATCTCTGAATATACTTAAGATATTGATGCTATTAGTTATTCTTTTTTAATAAATGTCTAAATTGTTTAACTAATTTAGCCACTTTTTATGCTATTAACTCTGAGCATATAGATTTATGACCTGGTTAAATAAAAAATAATTGAAAAAAAATTATAATAACAAGAAGATGAATAATTTAGTGATTTGAATTTATCAAACACATAAGTTTAGCTAGCAAATAATTAAATAAATTCTTTTAAAATTATCAAAATTTTTAAGAAAAATAATTGCTCTTAAAATTAAAGAGATCAATAGAATACACTAGATAAGTAAAATCAATCTGAAACAATTTAAAAATAAGAATGAATGAATGTTTTTGTTTTGAAATTTTATATTTATTTTATATCATAAAATACATTGCATAAATAATTTATTATTTTTTTCTTTATCTAATAATAATAAATGAGAAAAATCTATCATATAAATAATCAAAATTATTAAGGGAAGACTGGTATCTTAATCAATAGATAAAAAAAAGAGTTAGTTAATTTACTTCAAAGAATTTATTTTTCAAAAAACAAATTTACTAAGTTTTTATTTTAATAAGTTAATTATAATTCAAATTCTCATATTTTAAAAACTTCAAAAAATTTTATAAATTAGTTAGATTTTTTAAAATTGTGCTGATTCAAAAATGTAGTTCTTGTGGGTTCTTGTTCTCATTATCCTTTATATCTTATTTATTAAATTTTTAAAAATATATTTTTTTAATTTTGTTTCAAGAATATAAGTTTTTTTTAATTACATGAAAATCTGCTTCAGCCTTTTAATAAAATATTCTGAAAATTAAGATTAAAAAATATAATTAAACAATTTACTTCTTTTACTAAAACATAAGCTCAATTTATAATGGATCGTAGTTAAAAATAATATATTTATTTATTTGTTATAGGATTCCTTTTAGTAATAGTTAAAAGCTAAATCGTAGGATCTCTACAATTTATGATAATAGAAGTAAATTATTTTTTGTATTATTTATTTATATTATTTTTTATAAGGAATTGAATTGTGTATTTTACCACAATTACTTAGAGAGTTAGCAACAATGGCGTTTTAAATTTTTTACTCCAAATGATAATTATGATGGAAAAAAGCGGCTAGATATGTCAGTGACGAATACTCCATAATATTATATTGATGTAAGATTTTAATTTTAATAAAATAATTTTAATAAATAAATAATTCATAAAGAATAACTAAGTTTATATCACTCCCTAAGACGGATAACAAAATGGTCAAATATAATTTTTTTATTTTGAATTAACAGTTGATTTTAATCAAATTAGAGATGGATTTTTAAGTAGCAGATAATGCGATGGTACTATTTTAGTGAACAAATATGTAAAATAACTCAATTAATAAAATGTTTACTTTTTATTTAAATTAAAATAATTTAAAATTTAGGATGAGTATTATTATTTTGTTTGTTATGGAAGATACATTATCTAAGATAGGGATTTTGCAAATCTTTAATACAAAACATAGATTTTTAAATAATTATTAAATGGATAAATGTTAACTAATTATTAAAATTATATGATTACTGATGATATTTTGATATATAAATCTTATATTATTAATATCAGTTCTTTAAAATAGTACAATATTTCATTACTATTAGTTGATGTAATTTATTATTACCATATATTATTTTCCACTTATTTTTAAATATTATAAGAAAAAATAAAAAAAGAATTTAAACAATTCTAAAATTAAAAATAGAAATAGTTTGATCTCTTTATTTACGAAGATAACAATACGATAACTATTTGCTAATTAGATGTTAATTCAAATAATCTTAACTGCTTAAAATAATTAATAATAAGCAAACCCTATTTTGACATGGGTTTTTCTAATGTATTTATTTCATAAGTAGTAAAATCTAATGGAGTAATTATTTGTAATAAAAAGCTTTTAAAAATAAATTATTAATTTTTATTAGGTTAATTTAATTGCAATGGCTTTTTATACTTAAAAAGCTTACACTTTCTACGATATCAGCACTTTTACTGTTTTGCAAACTTCAGGTTAAATTAAAGAAATTGATAACATAACTAAATCTATTTAAATAAAAGTAATGATTATAAAATCTTTGATTAACTTAAAAGATAATTAATATTAATTATTTTACTGGTATAAGGAAGTAATAAAATGAGAATAATTTAATGGAACCTTTTAAATTTTAATCAAATTTTCTTAAGTATTTTTTCTTTCAAAATTTTATTAGAGTCAAATTATAAAACAGGATTAGAAAATAAAAATGAATTTATTTTTTAACAAATTTCACAAGTTATGTTGTTGTGAAAATAAAACTTCATAATTTTTGTTTAATTTCATTACACTTAAAAATAAAAATTAATAAATACTTAAGTTTTTAAATAAAAAATAATATATGTATCAAAAAAATTATAATATTCAAAATTATTAAATTTTAGTTTTTTGTGTCAAAGAAATAGGTTATTTTCTACTCTTAGCAGCTTAAAATAAAAGTAAGATATTTATTTAAGCATTTTTGCATTAAAGTGAAGAAATATAACATTATTTAAGCAAAATTAAAGTCTTCAATTAGAAAAAAAAAATAGATTTTAATCTATTAATTGAAATTCATCGCAATTGATATTTCTTTTAGTTTTTCAATTTTAACAAAATAAATTGAACTAGTGTATATGTTTGAATAAAATTTTTTTTTTCCTTGTTTATTAAATTAAAAAAAATATCTTTTTTTTAAATATTGCGTAATATCAAATTTGTGGAGAAATATGCAATTTAATTTTTCAGAAATCTTTTATCAATTATGGTGCTTATTGATATAGAAATATTGTTTATTTATATTTTATTTATCAACTCTTAAAAAAATAGTAGATTTTCTTAATATTTGATTAAAAAATATATGTGAAGAAGTTCTTATCTTAAAAATTACAAACTTGTTTAAGTCTTTCTTTTTCATAAATATAAAATGGAAGAAAGATTTTGAAAAATACATATTTTTTAGATATTATTCCTCAAAATGTTAAAATTAAAAATTATATTTTGCAATTTTAGTTTAAACCAGAACCATAATATTAATAAAAGAATATTTATTTATTTAAATTCAATCCTATAAAATTTATGGGAGAAAATAAGCTTTTAATTACATGAAAACCTGCTATAATCTTTAAATAAATAATCTGAAAATTAAGATAATAAAATACAATTAAACAAATTTGCTTCTTTTATAAAAATATAAGCTTAATTTATAATGAATCACATTTAAAAACAGTATATTTATTTATTTGCTATTGGATTCCTAATAGTAATAGTGGAAAGCTAAATCATATAAGAAATAGGAGAATTTGTTATTATTGAAGTAAATTATTTTTATGTTATTTATTTATACATATTATTTTGTTTAAAAAGGAATTGAATTGTGTATTTTACAGACTCAGACAACAATAGAATTAATTTGTTTTTAAATTTTTTGTTACAAATGATAATTATGATGGAAATGATGGATAAAAGTGGATAGACTAGAATTAAGATTTACCAGTAGAAGAACCAAAATATTATATAGATGTAATATTTTAATTTTTGATAAAATAATTTAAAATAATAATTCAAATAGAATAACTAGGTTTATATCAGTTTTTACAGATATAATGGATCATAATAAATTTCTTTTGACTTAAGAGTTGATTTTAATCAAATTAGAGATGATTTTGTAGGTGCAAATTGCCCAGATATTGGTTGTATGAAAAAATTTGTAAAATAGCTAAATAAATATATAAATCTTTATTTTTTTATTTAAATTAAAAATTAAAATAATTTAAAATCTAGGGCTAATATTGTTATTACTTTTGTGGTAATAGTTACATGATATAAGATACGGATTGTTCAAATCTTAAATACTAAACTAAGACTGAATAAATGAATTGTTTTATGGGGAATTAAGATTATATCAACATTTAAAATCATTTGGCATATAAATCTTATTTTATTAATCTCACTTCTGAAAGCAATCGTTGTTTATTTTATTTAATTGATGTAATTTATTATAATCTTTTTAAATATTATTTGCCATTTATTTTTAAAAATTAATAGAAAAAAAATTAAAAAAGAATTTAAACAATTCTATAATAAAAATAGAAATAGTTTGATCTCTTTGCTTACCTTGATAATAGCAATACATATATAATTTGCTAATTAGATGTTAACTCAAGTAATTTTTAATGTTTAAAATAAATAAGAACAAACGTAAATAGTTCTGATGGAATATTTGTTTCAAAAGTAGTATAATCTAACGGAGTAATTATTTTTAATAAAAAATTTTTAAAAATAAATAATTAATTTATATTAGGCTAATATATTTGTATACGCTAAATTTGATGACAAAACTTACACCTTCTACGACTTCAGCACTTTTACTGTTTTGTAAACTTCTGGTTAAATAAAACAAATTGATAATATAACTAAATCTATTTAAATAAAAGTAATGATTTTAATTTTATTTGATTAACTTAAAAGATAATTAATATAAATTATTTAACTGGTTTAAGAAATTAATCATATTTTTAAAAATTTAATGGATCCTCTTAAATTTGAATCAAAAATTCTAAAGTGTTTTTCTTTTAAGATAAAATATAAAAAAAATTAGAAAATAAAAATGAATATTAATTATCAATTTGAATAATTTTCAATAAATTATTGATAAAATTCCCACATCTCAGATTGCCAAATTATCCTTTCTCTCTAAAAATTCAAAAACACAAATCAATAAAACAAAAATACATAAACAAGCAGCTATTTAAATAATTATATCTTGAATTTTATTTTATTTAAATTTCTTTAATAGATAGTTAAACGTTTTTTTATTAATTAGAATATAATCATGGTTTATCAATAAAGTGGTGATTAAAAAATCATTTTCAAATATAATATTTAAACATAAAAAGTAGATATTATTTAATCAGATTGGAAGAACTCATAATATAGGTTTTCAAATTAAGGAAATCGAGGGACATTATAGAATTTTTGGTATGCAGGTGGTTCTTTTTATTATAATTATTAAGGAGTAATTTATTTATTTATTTATTTATTTATTTATTAATATTTAAAATTAATTTAATGAATTTATTTAGGAAATAACTGCTTTGTATTTATAAATTGATGCTAGAAGCTACATTTTAATTTGGAATATAAATTTTATTTTGGCCACTTGCAGAGATTATTGTGATGATTGTTAGCAAGCAATAGATAGTCAGAAGTGTTTATAATGTTTATTAAGCTATTTTCTTTAGCCAGATAATATTACATGTGAAAAATCATGCCCTATTTTATCAATATAAAATCATGCTGATTTGACTTGTGATTGCGTTTAAAATGCAATCTTAATAAATAATTAATGTTAGTGCAAAAGTTAGTCTTATATGGATGGAAACGCATGTATTTAATGCTCTATTCCTAATTGTGATTAGTGTAAAGATTCGGTAGCATGTATCAAGTGTAAATAAGGATACTATTTATTTGAAGATTTCTCTTGCAACACTTGCAATATCTCAAACGGTTATTACATAAAGTAAATTGATTAAAGTTCTTTTATTTTTAGGCTATAATATTATTTTATTAAAAGAAATCTAAATTTTTATAAAAATAATTCTTTTTATATTAAATTTAAATAAAATTTTTTAATTTAATAGTGGATAAAATTGTTTGAGTTGCTTCCATTCCTGTTAAACATGTGAAGGCCCTAATCAATATTAATGTCTAAGTTGCAAACTTCCAGATTTTTATATGTTTTAAGATAAGTAATGCAAAGTATGTGATGTTAATAATGGCTATTTTATCAGGTAATAATGGTTTTTATATTCATAATAAAACAAAAATATTTTATAAATTTAATTTTTATTGAAAGATTTAAAAAATTTTTAATTTTGCTTTTCAAGCAATCTTTATTTATTATTTTAATTTATAAAACTTCATTAATAAGAAATAAAATTTAATTTTAATTTAAAGTCAATCTCTAAAACATAACAAAATATTTATCAAAACTATTTATCAAAAAACCAGATTTTTATATACTTATTAACAAATAAATAAATTTTATTTTTATATAATTTTAAATAATAAGTAATTAAAATTGTATTTCTTGTTTTGAGCATTGCAAGACATGTTTAGGTGCTAATCAAAATAAATGTACAAGTTGTTATGAAGGTTATGACAATATCAATAATTTTTGCTAATAGATATTCTTAAATTATAATTCTCAGGTTTTTACTGAATAAAAGATATAATCAATCTAACAGTTATCATCATCAACATCATCTGCATTGGTTGTTAGCACTACCGTTATGAACTTAATTCAAAACATTGGATCTAACTCTAGCTTTGGAATCTTAATTTCTAGCCTAACAGTATAAAAATTAGCTTATCTATATCTTTTGAATGTAAACTTACCAAAGTAAATTTACTCTGCATTAGAAATTTTATCCGGTAAACTATTACTTAACAATTTATAAATATTTGATTTAATAATTTTAAATTCAATATATATCTAAAATATTGTAGGAAAGTTACCTTCTCAGCAGTTTAAAGTCTTAAATCCATTTAGCTAACTATTAGATAACTATTTAATATAATACTAAAACATTAAATATTTAAAAATGGAACTTCCTTATCACATTTTAATCAACTGTGGTTAAGCTATCATTTTATTTGCTATATGCTCTTTTCTCTTTGCACTATTTTACATCCTAACAGAGAAAATTTTTATAGATAAAGTCAAACAAATTTCAATTAAGGTCTACTAATCTTTATTCTCTTCATTACTGATTTAATATTTTCAGTTAATAATATCAATTTTCATAATTAGTATCAACTAACAGATAAAAGAATTCTTTTTATCATCAAGTATTGAATAGTTAGGAATTAAATAATTTATTACACTCATTTTATTTATATTAACAGTATATATATATAAATAACAATACACATATTTAAATGCTGAAAATAATATGTAACCAGAGATGAGCTTTTAAGAAATTACTAAAAACAAAATATAAAATGAAACCATTTACGAATCAAAATTGAGAAGAAACTTTATAATTATTTACTAATTTTATGAGTCTTTTCTTCTACCTACCTGCTTTATTTAACTGAGCAATAACTGGAAAGCAGCAAATATTGTATCTATAATCCTTTATTTAAACCTTTTGATAATGGTTATCTACTTGAGGCCTTTTTTCTCTAGATTAACTAATATATATTTTATAATTAATTATCTATTTTGGTTGTTGCTATAAATTTAATTCTTGGTGCTTAATTATTACTGTGATTAAAATAATATCTCTGAATATACTTAAGATATTGATGCTATTAGTTATTCATTTTTAATAAATATCTAAATTGTTTAACTAATTTAGCCACTTTTTATGATAGTAACTCTGAGCATATAGATCTATGACCTCGTTAAATAAAAAATAATTGAAAAAAAATTATAATAACAAGAAGATTAATAATTTACTGATTTGAGTTTATCAAACACATAAGTTGAGCTAGCAAATAATAAAATAAAATCTTTTAATATTATAAAAATTTTTAATAAAAATAGGTACTCTTAAAATTAAAAATATGAATAGAATACACTAGATAAGTAAAATCAATCTGAAACAATTTAAAAATAAGAATGAATGAATGAATGTTTTTGTTTTGAATTTTTATATTTATTTTATATCATAAAATACATTGCATAAATAATTTATTATTTTTTTCTTTATCTAATAATAATAAATGAGAAAAATCTATCATATAAATAATCAAAATTATTTAGGGAAGACTGGTATCTTAATCAATAGATAAAAAAAAGAATTAGTTAATTGACTTCAAAGAATTTATTTTTCAAAAAATAAATTTACTAAGATTTTATTTTAATAAGTTAATTATAATTCAAATTCTCATTTTAAAAATTTCTAAAAAATTTTATAAATTTGTTAGATAGTAAATAAATTTAGTGCAAAATATTCATTTTTTGAAAAAAAATTATTATAAAATTGTTTATATTTGTTTCAATACTCTTAATATAAATATTACTTATTTGAATTTTTATTTTTTTTTAAATTTATGAATTATACCATTAAAACTGTCCTTGAACAGATTTTTTCTTTTTTTATCAATATAATTATAAGCTAAACATACCTAAAATGGTGTTTTATTATTTTCAGTAAAAAATTTAAATTATTCAAAAAATATAAAATTTACAGGAGTTTATATTTCATTCAAAAATTCATTGAATATCAAATTTAATTTAAATTATTCTTCTTATTTTCTTTGATTAGCTAAAGAATTTCTATTTTTTTAATTATTTAAATTTTATAAATTATGAATGTAAAAAATTTAAACTCAAGATATAATCTCTTTAATTTGAAATTTTGTTTAATTTCTAATATAAGGGTAATACTTTTTGAACTTTATACCGAAACTCAAAAAAAAATTTTCTAACTGATTAATACTGCATTAGAGTAAAATGGAGTACATTCATAAGCTTCAAATTATTATTTTTAAAAAAGCTTATATTTTATTAAAATGTATGTATTGAAGAGATATATTACTAAAATAGAAACAGTTTTTACTTTTTATTACATTTTTATAATAAAATTATTTATCTTGTTTTAACCACTTTTGAATAGTTTGTTCTAATTCATTTAGAAGTTAATCTTAATCTTTTACCCATGTTTATATTTTATAAACTTAATCCCTATAAATATAGCTTTAATGTGTGTATACTGAATTTAATAATTCTCGATTAATATGAAATCATATTTATTAGCATAATTTGACCCTTTTTTGATTATATTCTTCTGAAATAAAAATATACTCAATTTATATTTTAAAGATATATTAACTCTTCTAAATAATTTTTTATGGTTTGTGTTGCCAAGTTTTTAAAATATGGTTATTTTTTCTGCTATATGTTATTCATATTGATCAAAGAGTCATTCTCAATCTACTCAATAAGATCTTTAAATTCATTTTAGCTTAACTTTTTCTTTCTTCTACATTCACAATAGTAAGTTATACATTCTTTAGCTATTTCCCAATATTAACATAGAGAATAGAAAGTAGAAAGTTTTCCAACATTTCCTTTTGTTTACTTATAAAGCCTACTCAATTTATGGGTCAGTCTATCCTGAATTAGGAGTTTTTGATATATCAGTTAAAAATTTTTTTAAACAAATAAAGATAAAAAGAAACTTATTAAAAAGTAAAAAATTTAGAAAATATCACAAAAAAGTTTACAAAAATTCCTTTTTTTTATTCATTTTAATTTTTAACATATAAAAAATGTACATAATTGAAACTGCTTTCCATATGTTTATATAAGTCTTTTATAATTTTAACATTAATTCAATACAATAAATGAAAGATATTTTTTTTTAATTTAGTTTTTCCAACTAATAAATATTTTTTATAATACTATATTAAATAATTGATAAAATTCAATTTAAGTTCAAAAAAATTTTTTTAATAAAATTTTCAATTTAATGTAGAGTCAATTTTTTTATTCTTCAACAAAATGGTCCTAGAAGGTTTATTAAATACTTTATGCCAATCTTATTTAATATTAGAAGAAAATAATACATCACACTATTAATTACATATAAAATATAATATTGTAAAATTATGCTTGTTTTATTTGTAAAGTTAATTAAATTTAACAATAATTGACAAATACTACTACAAGCTAAAATTAGTTATATTTTATTTATTTACTTAAAAATTTATTATTGTTTTGTTTTAATACTTTAGTGAATATATATTCAACGATAAATTGCTCAAATAAGCATATAAATACATTTTTAATAGAGCTTTTTGAATCTAGTATCCCATTTAAAGTCATTTGACATAGAGATTTGAGAGAAAATGATAGCTTTAAATATTTTTTAGCAGTAAAGCATATTTGTGTGAAGAAAAGGATGGATGCATGTACTTAACACTGATACATAAATGCACACTCATTTACTAATAAAAGAAGTTATTTGTTAATTAATTAAATTTTTCAACCCTTGCAGCAATTATTACAAATTCTTAAATTGTCAATCCCTAATAACCACGTCTATATGTTTAGCAGCACCACAAATATTCTAACAACTAAAACTAGATTAGTTTGCTTCTGTTCTGCCACTCAAGCTATTTAATAAGTAATAATCAATAAAAATTAAATTAAACAAGGTAAAAAATATAATTTAAGCTTTGAAGAAAACGATAAGCCAAAGAATAAAATAAAGGAAGAATGGAAGAAAGAAATCTGATTAACTAAGAAATTGAGAATTACATAAAAATTTATGATAGCATAGACTCTTTGAACCCTATTAATTAATCCAAACTTTAAGAAATTAAAAATGTGCTTGAATTGAAGGTGCAAGTTTTGGAAGATGAAGGAGACTTGGTCATTTATGGCTACTACAAGTACCAAATTGCGAAGAGATTTTTATTACATGCCGAAGATAGACTAAAGAAAAAATATGAAAACTAATGCAAGATCTACGCTGAATAATATAATTAATATATAAATCTAATGAATCGCCATTACCAAGAGGAGGAAGAGGGTAAAGCCAACAGTGATGAGAACAAACTCAATTAAATAAAAGTAGAGGTTTAGAAAATTATTTAAAACTGTCAAAAGATAGATCAAACAGGTAAGGAATAATTGCAATCTTTTTTAAATACTTGCTGTATTCAATTTCCTTGTACATCTATTAACTCATTTAGAAACAATAACAGCAGCTTTAAATAGCTTTACGAATATTTAGACGAATTAATCACATTCATATAGAGTCGCTATAACATTTCAGACAACTGTCATAATATCGAAATAGACAATGACAATGACAATGACAATGACAATGTCAATTATAATAATAATGAACGAAGGCTAGCTATGGTTGATTGTAAATTAATTTCTGATTCAAAAGAACAAATAGGAGAATCATTTAATTACATTAATATGTAATTTTATGAATCAATCTATCAAAACCCTGATTTTATAAAAAATTACTACGGGGAGCCTGTATTAGATGAAATTGATTTTAAGCGAAAACGCAAGATAATCTTACTGTTTATATCTCCGGACAAATATCGTTATTATTTTTATAACCATAAGTGTTAAGAATAGGCTCTAAATATAATGCGAAGATTAAGACAGCAACACGACGATTATAGAGATAAAATAAAGAAATAGATAAATTAAAGTTACTAGAATGTACTTTTGCTCAAATAAATGGAAGAAAATGAAGAAGAAGCTCAAAGACATTTCAAAAAAGCAAATAATCTAAGAAAGATGAAATTATAATTAGATGATAGACATTTATAAAGTAGTATCGAGAAAGAAATAGCTTTAGAAATTAATATTGCTATCAAGTATTTCAGAATCTGCATGAAGCATGCTGACAAAATGAAGATTTTACAAAAATCTATTATTTATAGAAACAACATAGCATTGTGTTATTACATCAAAGATGCTAGTGTTTTGGCTTAAATATATGCACTGGGGGCATTACATGCTATTCTTAGGTTTCCCAATTCATAATATCTGCCATTACTAGAAGAAACAAAGAAAGTTTTAAGTAAAGTAAAAGGGAATTCAAAAAAGTAGGGATAAAGCGGTGAATAGTAACAACAAAACTAAGATAATGAAAATTAAATTTAAACATCAGCATTAATTCCTTTAAACACTTAACAATGTGCTTTATATATAGAAGAGTAGCTAGGTTAACTTAAAATGGAACCTTTTAATCAAATCATGAAAGCACATTACAGCAATTGTGGAGATTATAATATTCAAAGATATTAAAATTTTGAGTAGACTGCAATAACAAACACTAAAAAAAGAATAATTTAAGCAGAGGTATTAGGGGCTGCAGGATGTTCTATTGGTGCGATTTTGTCTGAGGGTATTTTAATTGGTTTAGGTATTTCTACTTTTGGTCTTGTATCATTTTTAATAACTCCATTATTCATATATCCTGCTTATGTTGCATGTCAAAATGCAAAGAAATCATACCAAAATTATACTTAGCTCTAACAGACAAGATCTAATATTAATTCTATTGTCTAAGAATCTATTAAGCTTCATTAAAAATCGCAGTATTTAGACTTTTTAAACAAACTGGCAACCCCTTATCTTATTGAAGGTGACAATTAGTAAAGTCTCATTGAAATAACTTAAAGCGATAGTGGATTAATTATAAAATATGATAATTTAATTCCTATACTATTGGGCAATGGATTTAGACCAGATGCTGTTGGCTATTTAATGATTTTGCTAGGTGAATCTATTCTTGGATGCAAAGAATATACTGAAAAGGGTGCAGTTTACCAGCGATAATAAAAAGTAATTGCTGAGCAAATATTTTAAAGAGTTGCAGACAACAGAGACATTTTAAATTAGGCAATGTAGATTGATTCAAAAATTGCTAAGATAATTTCAAATTATAAGGAGCATCGTATATGTTCTTGTGGTAACCGTCCCTGCCAAAGTATATTTTGTCATGCTCGTAGTAGAGCGGCTTGTGCTTTCGAAAGAACAAAAGATAATTTTCTTGATTGCATCAGTTCAGATTTAGTTGTCGATAGCAAGAATTCAATAGCATATTCTGATGTGGAGAGGTAGTGTTATTCATCATATGAGGAAAAAGTAAAAGAAATATAAGATTTTGCTTCGATGAATATTTGCTTAATTAGAATTATAAATAATGACATTGACTCTGCTAAGATATATTTGAAAACGAAATTACAAAAAAGATAAAATTTTAATTATTACTTTACTTAAACAGAAGAAAGTTGGTATGTCTTACAGGATTTAATTCATATTTTTGAGCCTGAATTTTAAATTTAGCAAAGTTTGTCATATCAAATCTTAAGTAGTGTAGATTGTGATATTGTAAATAAATTGTAAACTCTAGTAGAAAATAAACAATTTATTTAAGCGAGTGAGCATATTAGAAGTTATGTTACTGATGAAAAGTTTAACAAATAAGAAAATGAACAAATAGTAAAGTAGTTCTATTACTGGTGTACAATATGCTTTGACGGACTAAATGACCGAAATGCTGTGATGTTTTATTCTTCAAAATATGGAATTAAAGAGGGTAGAAACAAAGAACAAGAGAAAAAAATTTAAGAAATAAGAACGAAATATCTCAATTAATAAAATAGTTATTATTGAGTTAGTAATTAATAAATTCAATGTCATAAATAGTCAATTTTTATCCTACTAAATATTCCGTAATTGTATTATAAATAAAAATTACAATAAAACTTAAAACCTTAAATTTATATATTTATTCCACAACACAAATATACTTCGCATTTATATGAAGAATTCCATTCCCAAATTACAGTTCTATAAACACTGCATATCCCATTTAAAACAAGTAATCCCTGTATGATTTAGCATACTTTTCTTTGATCATTTATTGAATTTCTTTCTTAGTTCTTTTTATTTTTTAGTATTATCTATAATAATGTTTTAAGAGTAAGGCAAACACCCCAACAAGAGTAAAGGACGAACTCTATAAACAATCTTATGCTTACATACACTCAATCTTTTTCTTAATAACTTTTCGTTGTGTGAATGCACTATAATATTATATATTTTATTTTTGGATATGGGGGGGGGGGGGGGTTATCTCATTCAATCAGCCTGTTTACTATATATGCCTTTCTGAATTAATTAAGTTTATTACTAGGCTCATTAAATTTTGTATACCGGTTAAATCTATGTATCAATAATCTATGAAATTTCTAAATTATTTGCATCGCTGTAAGCATAGCAAATTTTGTATTTTACTTAAATTTATCTATCTAATATATTGATAATAGGTTGTCTTCTTAAGTTCTTTGAGACTCATTGAATTGAATTTGTAGGGTATTCCGTATGTACATATTTATTTAGTTTGCAGCAATATATTTCATGTATTTTCGATATTTTTGCGTCAGAGATCTACTCATATTCAACTCAAATTTGGTTTAATCTAACTATCAACAATTAATTAAAGGCTAATAAAGTAAATTTATATTCATTCATTCAAACAAATAAAAATATAAAATTTTATTCCTAAGAATATTACAATAATCAATATAGTATTTAATACTATTTATTTTAGACTAAGAATTCAAATAAATTGGATTGAGTTGAATCTCATCACTTTCTTATATATTTAATTAATTAACTATTAATAAAATTTCATAAATTTTAGTGTGTTTTATTTTTAGAATTTAATTAAGCAGATATTATTAACAACACAGTGAATCATCCATATTTCCTACTAAATAAAGAAATAAACAAAGTCTACCTGCTCCCTGAAATAAATTAGAAATTCTAATAGAAAGAAAATCATCAATTTACACTAATACATATTAAACAAGATATTTAATTTTGTATATGTTAGTAAAATATAGAAATTTAAATAAATAAATAAATACTGTATAGCATTAGTTTTTGTTTGTGTTTGTATGCCAATTTTAATTTTAAGCAACTAATTCAAGTAGATTTAAACACAGTTTTGAAATATTTAAATTGGTCTTTTAACAATCAATTTTCCATTTATTATGATTTATGATTATTTATTTATTTTTGAAAAATAATTTTTATTCATATTCACTTATAGGAATTTAATTAGGATATATTTACATATTTAAGATTAGTTCTATAAAATAAAAACAAAAAACAAAAATTAAAAATTATGTTTTATCCAAATTAAATAATATTTTACTATTATTTAGGTTACTATTTTCATAAAATAATTTTAATTTATATATTGGTTTGTATGAAGTAATTTACCTAGAATCGAATTATTTCAAAATTAAAATTAAAAACTGGTATCATCCAAATTACTTTATTTTTCATCATGATTTATCATACTCTCTTAATAAAATTATTTTTTATACAGTTTTATCAGAACAGATGTGAATTTGGTTAGTGAGTTTTCAGTAAAGGAACAGTAGTGGGAATTTGAATGGGATATTTTTTATATAAGTTTCTCCAGATCAGGCTATGGGCAAATGAACAATTTTAGCCAGACTTTAGCGAATATAGATGAGTGCAATCAGCTAAAGATAAGGTTTTGATTCTGGAGACAGCCTTTTATAAATTTTTATTATTTTTTCTTTGATAATTCTTAAAATTTATTTTATTAGTATATTTTTTAATATTATTACAATTCACTCATTTTTTTCATATGTAAATCTTTTTCTTATGTTATTTCTTTAAATTTATCTTCTAAATTAATATTTTCATAAGATTATTTTTTATGTTTTTATTATAAATCTCTATTTTATTATAGAGTAAGTTGTCATACAAATTTACAAAAAGCGAGTTTTATATACCGTGTTTTTACATTTAGTAAAATTAAAATTTTAAATATTTTTTGTCAATTTTTCTTCATCCCATTAAAAAATTAATTTTAAAAATTGGGTGTAAAAAAATTGTTCGCCAGACCTCACTTTTCCTCTTATATCAAATATTTTTAACACACACTAATGATATTAAATATTTTAATCCAAAAGATAATTCTTAATTATAAAGAATTTAATTTAAATTTATGATTTATAATACTAATTAATTTAAATTTATTCTTTAAATTATAAAGTAAATACAGTTTTTGTCATTTGATATTAATTTTTGTAATATTTTAAAAATGAAAAATAAATAAATAAATAAAAATTTATAAAAAATATTTTAGGAAACTTCTTATTTATTGATTTTGAATAATTTTCTTTTTTAAATGTTTTTGTATACTTATGAATATTAGTAATTCAAATTTGTGATTTGTGGAAAAATAAGCAATTTAATTTTTGAGAAATTTTTAATAAAATTATGGTGCTGTTTGATAGAAAATTTGTTTGCTTATTTTTTATTTATCAATTATAAAAGAATTAATTGAACTTCTTAGCATTCAAAAACAAAAAATCAGTATATAGAGATTATTGACTGATAAGTCAAACCTCATTTAATTTTTTTTTTTCATAAATGTAAAAGAAAGAAAGATTTTAAAAAATAGATATGTTTAATTATTTTTAAAAATGTCAAAAACAATATTAGAAATTATACTTTGCAATTTATTTTTGTTTAAATAAGAGCCATATTATTAACAAGAATATTTATTTATTTAAATTAAATCCTACAAAATTTATACGAGTATATAAGCATTTTATCACATTAAAACCTGCTGCAGTGTTTTAATAAAATATAATGAAAAATTAAAACAATAAAATACAATTAAACAATTTGCTTTTTTTAAAAAAATAACCTTAATTTATAATGAATCACAGTTAAAAATAGATTATTTATTTATTTGCTATTGGATTCCTTTTAGCAATAGTAGAAAGCTAACTTACAATTAAATCTTATAATTAATTTGATTTTAGCATCATCGAAGTAATTTATTTTTTGAGTTATTTTTTTAAATTATTGTATTTATAAGGAATTGAATTGTGTATTTTACCGCTCAGGTGAAAAAAGTTTCTCTACTTGGACTTTTAAATTTTTTGTTCAAAACGATAATTATGATTCATAATTGAAGCCAGAAATGGTTTAAATGTATATACCATATTATTATATAGATGTAATATTTTAATTTTTAAGAAAATATTAATTTACATATAAAATTCTAACAGAATAATTAAGTTAATATGAATTCCAATTATGGAGGTGAATTTATTTCTTTTGACTTAAGAGTTGATTTTAAAGATTTTAGAATTGATTTTTAAAACTCAATTGGAATGGACTTTTACTGTTCGGCTCAAGCTTAAGTGAAAAAATATGTAAAATAAATAATTAAATTAATACTTACTTCTTTACTTTTTTATTTAAATTAAAAATTAAAATAATTTAAAATTTAGGGTTAGTATTATTATTTTGTCTGTTTAAATGGATACATTTTCTAACATATGGATTATTCAGATCTTGGAGATAAATCTTAAATTTTTAAAGAAACAAAAATATGTTTTCACAATTATTAAGATTATATGATTTTAGATGATATTTTAATATACAAATCTTATATTATCAATTTCAATTCTCTCAGTATCTATTAATGTTATTTAACTTTGGTTGATGTAATTTATTAGCAACTTTTTTAAAATTATTTTCCTCTTATTTTTAATTATTATAAGAAAATAATTATAAAAGAATTTAAATAATTCTAAAATAATAAATAGAAATAGTTTGACCTATTTGTATACATAGATGCTAGCAACATAATAAATATTTGCTAATTAGATGTTAATTCAAATAATTTTTAGTGCCTAAAGTATTTAAGGATAGGTCCAGGCAACTCTTAAGACTTTAATAATTTATTTATTTCAAAAGTTATATAATCTAACGGAGTAATTTTTTTAAATAAAAAGCTTCTAAATATAAATTATTAATTTATATTAGATAAATTTATTTTTATATGCTCTATAAGGTGACAAAACATACACTTTATATGATTTCAGCGCTTTTACTGTTTTACAAACTTCTGGTTAAATAAAAGATATTGATAACATCAATAATTCTATTTAAATACAAGTAATTATTAAAATAATTTCTTTGATTAACTTAAAAAAATAATATTAATTATTTTAATGATTTAAGAAAGCAATAATTAGAGGAAAAATTTAGTGGAAGCTACTAAATTTGAATAAAATTTCTAATTTTTTTTTTCATTATTTTATTAGTGTCAAATTAAAAAAAAAAAATTAGAAAGTAAAAATGAATTTATTTTTGAACAAATTCAACAAAACAATTCAATCAAATACATAAAAATGCAACTATTTAAATAATTATTAGTTTATTTAAAATTGATTAATAGATAATTAAAAGTTTTTTAATTAATTAGAATGTAATTATGGTCTACCAATAATAAAATATTGCTTAAAAAATAATTTTCAGATATAATATCCATACATAAAAAGTAGATATTACTTAATTAGATTGGAAGAACTCATAATATACGTTTTCAAATAAAATAATTGATACTATTTAACCTGCTCCTGCTTCTGCTTCTGGAATATTGCTAAATTTTAAGAATGATATGAATTTACAATATAATTATTAGAGTGTAATTTATTTATTAATTAATATTTAAAAAAATGAATTAATTTAATGAATTTATATAGGAAATAACAGCTTTATAATTAAAAGCAAGTAATACTGGGTAATTATTTATTATAATTTGGAATAGAAATTTTATTCTGGCCATTTGCAGAGATTATTGTATTGATTGTTAGTAAGCAATAGACAATCAGTAGTGTTAATAATGTTTATTAAGCTATTTTCTTTAGCCTGATAACATTACATGTGAAAAATCATGCCCTAGCTTATCAATATAAAATAATGCTAATTTGACTTGTGATTGCGTTTAAAATGCAATCTTAATAAATAATTAATGTTAGTGCGATAGTTAGTCTTATATGGATGGAAATGCATGTATTTAATGCTCTATTCCTAATTGTATTTAGTGTAAAGATTCTATAACATGTATGAAATGTTAATAAGGATACTATTTTTTTGAAGATTTCTCTTGCAACACTTGCAATATCTCAAACGGTTATTACATAAAGTAAATAGATTAAACCTCTTTTATTTTTAGTTTTTAATATTATTTTATCAAAAGAAATCTAATTTTTTATAAAAATTTTTCTTTTTTTATTAAATTTAAATAAAATTTTTAATTGAATAGAGCATAAAATTGTTTTCGTTGCTTTCATTCATGTTTGACATGTGAAGGTCCTAATCAAAATTAATGTCTAAGTTGTAAACTTCCAGATTTTTATATGTTTTAAGATAAGCTATGTAAACCATGTGATGTTAAAAACGGCTATTTTATCAAGTAATAATGATTATTTTTATTCGATGATAAAACAAAAATAATTTATAAATTTAATTTTTATTAATAGAAATAAAATTTTAATTTCTATTTTCAAACAATCTTTATTTATTATTTTAATTTATAAAATTTCATTAATAAGAGATTAAATTTAATCAAAAAATGATATTTTCATATTCTTATTAACAAATAAATAAATTTTATTCTAATATAATTTTAAATAATAAGTAATTAAAATTGTCTTTCTTGTTTTGAAAATTGCAAGACATGTTTAGGTGCTAATCAAAATCAATGTACAAGTTGTTATGAGGGTTATGACAGCATCAATAATTTTTGTTAATAAATATTTTTAACTTATAAATCTCAGATTTTTACTGAATAAAAGATAGAATAAATTTAACATTTATCTTCATCAACATCATCTGCGTTGGTTGTTAGCACTACAGTTATGAACTTAATTCAAAATATAGGATCTAACTCTAGCTTTGGTATCTTAATTTCTAGCCTAACAATATAAAAACTAGCTTATCTATATCTTTTGAATGTAAACTTACCAAAGTAAATTTACTCCGCATTAGAAATTTTATCTGGTAAATTAAATTACTAAGCAATTAAAAAATATTTTCTATATTAATTTTAAATTCAATAAATATCAAAAATATTGTAGGAAAGTTACCTTCTCAGCAGTTTAAAGTCTTAAATCCATTTAGCTAACTATTAGATAACTATTTGATATAATACTAAAACATTAAATATTAAAAAATGGAACTTCCTTACCACATTTTAGTTAACTGTGGCTAAGCTATCATTTTATTTGCAATATGCTCTTTTTTCTTTGCAATATTTTACATCCTAACAGAGAAAATTTAAATAGATAAAGTCAAACAAATTTCAATTAAAGTCTACTAATCTTTATTCTCATCATTGCTGATTTAGTATTTTCAGTTAATAATATCAATTTTCGTAATTAGTATCAACTAACAGATAAAAGAATTCTTTTTATAATCGAGTATTGAACAATTAGGAATTAAATAATTTATTACACTTATTTTGTTAATTACCGTAACTATTCATGGCGAATGGAGGATGGCGAATGGTGAATATTGGCGAATCATTCAATAATATTTCAAATTATCATAAATTACTTGAATAACGCCGGCGAAAGTGGCGAATTAATGAATAGTTCTAAAATTACTTATTTTATGGGTTCCTTCTAAATATTTATTAATTTCTTTCCCACCCCTTATAATAAATTATCATAAAACCCATAATAATTAAATTCGCCATTCGCCATTAAAATGGCGAATGGCGAGGAGAAAAATATTGAATAGTTACGGTATAACAGCATATATATATAAATAACAATACAAATATTTAAATGCTGAAAATAATATGTAATCAGAGATGAGCTTTTAAGAAATTACTAAAAATAAAATATTAAATGAAACTATTTTCGAATCAAAATTGAGAAGAAACTTTATAATTATTTACCAATTTTATGAGTCTTTTCTCCTACCTACTTGCTTTATTTAACTGAGTAATAACTGGATAGCAGCAAATATTGTATCAATAATCCTTTATTTAAACCTTCTGATAATAGTTATCTACTTGAGGCCTTTTTTCTCTAGATTAAACAATATATATTTTATTATTAACTATCTATTTTGGTTGTTGCTATAAATTTAATTTTTGGTGCTCAATTATTACTGCAATTAAGATAATATCTCTGAATATACTTAAGATATTGACGCTATTAGTTATTCTTTTTTAATAAATGTCTAAATAGTTTAACTAATTTAGCCATTTTATATGTTAGTAACTCTCAGCATTTAGATTTATGACCTTGTTAAATAAAAAATGGTTGAAAAAAAATTATAATAACAAGAAGATTAATTAGATCAATAGTAATTGAGTGATTTGAATTTATCAAACACATAAATTGAGCTATCAAATAACTAAATAAAATCTTTTAAAATTATCAAAATTTTTAAGAAAAATAATTGTTCTTAAAATTAAAAAGATGAATATAATATACTAAATCATTAAATTCAATCTGAAACAATTTAAAAATAAGATTGAATATTTTTGTTTTGAATTTCTATATTTATTTTGTCTTAAAATACATTTTGTAAATAATTTATTATTTTTTTCTTTACTTAATAGTTATAAATGAGAAAAATCAATCATAAAAGTGCTTAAAAATAGAAATCATCAAAACTACTTTAGAGAATGCTGGTATATTAATAAATAAATAAAAAAAAAGAGTTAGCTAATTTACTCAAAAGAATTTATTTTTCAAAAAGTAAATAAATAAATAATTAAGTTTTTATTTTAATAAGTTAATTGTTTTTAAAAAATTATTTTATCTTTTTTTTATGAATCTAAAATTCATTTTTTTTTCTTCTTTCGTTTTATGTAATTCAAATTAATAGTATTTTTAATTTCAAAATAAAATTTTACAAAGAAACAAAAAAATTTTTATTAAATTATGAATTTTCAAAAATACATATACAGTAGTGGCAATTACGAAAATAAAAATTCATTAAATACCCTATCAAAATAATATTTTTTCTCCTTTATTAAAATTTTTAAATTGCGCCTATTCAAAATTGTAGTTCTAGTGGCTTCGCGTTCTTATTATCCTTTATATCTTGTTTATTATATTTTTAATTTTATTTCAAGAATATAAGCTTTTAATTACATGAAAACTTGCTACAGTCTTTTAATAAAATATTCTGAAAATTAATATTAAAAAAATACAATTAAACAATTTTTTTCTTTTATTAAAATATAAGCTCAATTTAAAATGAATCACAGTTAAAAATAGTATTTTTATTTATTTGCTATTATAGGATTGCTAAAAGTAATAGTTAAAAGCTAAATCATAGGACAAATGAATTTTATGATAATAGAAGTAAATTATTTTTTGTATTATTTATTTATATTATTTTTTTTTAGGAATTGAATTGTGTATTTTACCACATTCCTTAAGAGAGTAAGCAACAATGGCGTTTTAAATTTTTTATTCCAAATGATAATTATGATGGATAAAAGCGGCTAGATTTGCCTTCAGTGATTAATCCTCCATAATATTATATAGATGTAATATTTTATTTTTAAAAAAATAATTTTAATAAATAAATAATTCATAAAGAATAACTAAGTTTATATTTCTACTATGGAAGGACTTTTAGAAAATAATCAAAGATAATTTTTTTATTTTGACTTAAGAGTTGATTTTAATCAAATTAGAGATGGATTTTTAAGAAATAGGTAATGCGCTGGTACTTTTTATGTTAAAAAATATGTAAAATAACTCAATTAATACTAAAATGTTTACTTTTTATTTAAATTAAAATAATTTAAAATCTAGGGTGAGTATTATTATTTCATTTGTGCAGCAAGATACATTATCTAAGATAAGGATTTTTCAAATCTTTAATACAAAACATAGATTTTTTAATAAATATCACAAATGTCATGTTAATCTAATTATTAAAATTATATGATTTCTTAAGATCTTTTGATATATAAATCTTATATTATTAATATCAGTTCTTTAAATTAATACTGCTATTCTTTACTTTTAGTTGATGTAATTTATTATTACCATATATTATTTTCCTCTTATTTTTAAATATTATATCAAAAAATTAAAAAAGAATTTAAATAATTCTAAAATTAAAAATAGAAATAGTTTGATCTCTTTGTTTACGAAGATGACAATACAATAACTATTTGCTAATTAGATGTTAATTCAAGTAATCTTAACTGTTTAAAATAATTAATAATAAATAAACCCTACATAGGCATAAGTATTTTCTAAATATTTATTTCATAAGTAGTAGAATCTAATGGAGTAATTCATTATTTGTAATAAAGAGCATTTAAATATAAATTATTAATTTTTATTAGGTTAATTTAATTGCATTCGCTCTATCTGCTTAAAAAGTTCACACTTTCTACGATATCAGCACTTTTACTGTTTTGTAAACTTCGGGTTATATAAAACAAATTGATAACATAACTTAATCTATTTAAATAAAAGTAATGATTATAAAATCTTAGATTAATTTAAAAGATAATTAATATTAATTATTTTAATGATATAAGAGAGTAATAATATGAGAAAAATTTAATGTAAACTCTTAAACTTGAATCAAATTTTCTAAAGTATTTTTTCTTTCAAGATTTTATTAGTCTTGGGAATATACCAAAAAGTTTTTTTCCTAAAAATTCCCACATTCCCAAATTATCCGTGCTATATGGAAATTCAAAAACATATATCAATAAAATAAAAATACAAAAAAATGAAACTATTGAAATAATTATAACTTGAATTTTATTTTATTTAAATTTGTTTAATAGATAATTAAAAGTTTTTTTATTAATTAGAATATAATTATGGTCTATCAATAGTAAAAGGTTGATTAAAAAATAATTTTCAGATATAATATTCAAACATAAAAAGTAGATATTACATAATTAGATTGGAAGAACTCATAATATACATTTACAAATGCATTAACAAATTAATTTTAACCTTATAAAGGAACATTATAAAGATTTTCTAATTTATAAAATTTTGATAAGAATCCTCCTAATAGTGTAATTTATTTATTAATTAATATTTTTAAAAAAATTAATTTAATGAATTTATTTAGGAAGTAATTGCTATAACATTATTAATTGACAAGTAAGATTTTAGCACAATAATTTGGAATAAAAATTTTATCCTGGCCACTTGCAGAGATTATTGTGATGATTGTTAGCAAGCAATAGATAGTCAGAAGTGTTTATAATGTTTAATAAGCTATTTTCTTTAGCCAGATAATATTACATGTGAAAAATCATGCCCTAGCTTATCAATATAGAATAATGATAATTTGACTTGTGATTGCGTTTAAAATGCGAGCTTAATAAATAATTAATGTTAGTGCAATAGTTAGTTTCATATGGAAGGAAATGCATGTATTTAATGCTCTATTCCTAATTGTGGTTAGTGTAAAGATTCGATAGCATGTATGAAGTGTTAATAAGGATACTACTTATTTGAAGATTTCTCTTGCAACATTTGCAATATCTAGGATGGTTATTATAAAAAGTAAATTGGTTAAAATCTCTTTTATTTTTTAGGCTATAATATTATTTTATTTTGAGGAATTTAAATTTTTTTATAAAGTTTAAATAAACAATTATTATTCCTGCTCAAATTGAAGAATTATTATTAATGAAAATTTAACACTCTTTAAAATAATATTATTTAGAAAAAAATATAAAATTAAATTAATTATAATAAACTTTATTTTTAAAATTTAATAGTGGATAAAACTGTTTGCGTTGCTTCCATTCATGTTAAACTTGTGAAGGTCCTAATTAAAATTAATGTCTAAGTTGTAAACTTCCAGATTTTTATATGTTTTAGGATAAACAATGCAAACCATGTGACATTAACAATGGTAATTTTATCAGGTAATCATAGTTTTTTATTAGATAATAAAACGAAAATAATTAATAAATAAATTTAATTTTTATTTATAGATAAAAAATTTTTAATTTTTGCTTTCTTAATTTATATTTTAATTTATTAAATTTAAATAAAAGATAGAAATATTAATTTTAAATGAAACTCTAAAATTTATAATTTATTTATCAAAAGATTAAATTTTCATATTCTTTTTAACAAATAAATAAATTTTATTTTAATATAATTTTAAATAATAAGTAATTAAAATTGTATTTCTTGTTCTGAAAATTGCAAGACATGCTTAGGTGCTAATCAAAATCAATGTACAAGTTGTTATGAAGGTTATGATATCATCAATAATTTTTGCTAATAGACATCCTTAAATTATAATTCTCAGGTTTTTACTGAATAAAAGATATAATAAATTTAATAGATATCTTCTTCAACATCATCTGCATTGATTGTTAGCACTACCATTATGAACTTAATTCAAAATATAGGATCTAACTCTAGCTTTGGCATCTTAATTTCTAGCCTAACAGTATAAAAGCTAGCTTATCTATATCTTTTGAATGCAAACTTACCAAAGTAAATTTCCTCTGCATTAGAAATTCTATCTGGTAAATTAAATTACTAAACAATTAAAAAATATTTTTTTTATTAATTTTCAATTCAATAAATAAATATAAATAATATTGTAGGAAAGTTACCTTCTCAGTAGTTTAAAGTCTTAAATCCATTTAGTTAACTATTAGATAACTATTTAATATAATACTAAAATATTAAATATTAAAAAATGGAACTTCCTTACCATATTTTAGTCAACTGTGGTTAAGCTATTATTTTATTTGCTATATGCTCTTTTCTCTTTGCACTATTTTACATCTTAACAGAGAAAATTTAAATAGATAAAGTCAAACAAAATTCAATTAAAGTCTACTAATCTTTATTCTCATCATTGATAATTTAGTATTTTCAGTTAATAATATCCATTTTCGTAATTAGTATTAACTAACAGATTAAAGAATTCTTTTTATAATTAAGTATTGAGTAATTAGGAATTAAATTATTTATTACATACATTTTGTTAATTTTAACAAAATTTATATGTAAATAACAATACAAATATTTAAATACTGAAAATAATATGTAACCAGAGATGAGCTTTTAAGAAATTACTAAAAATAAAATATAAAATGAAACCATTTATGATTCAAAATTGAGAAGAAATTTTATAATTATTTACCAATTTTATGAGTCTTTTCTCCTACCTACTTGCTTTATTTAACTTTGCAATAACTGGATAGCAGCAAATATTGTATCAATAATCCTTTATTTAAACCTTTTTGTAATGGTTATCTACTTGAGGCCTTTTTTCTCTAAATTAACTAATATGTATTTTATAATTAATTATCTAATTTGGTTGTTGCTGTAAATTTAATTCTTGGTGCTCAATTATTACTGTAATTAAAATAATATCTCTGAATATACTTAGGATATAGATGCTATTAGTTTATCTTTTTTAATAAATATCCTAATAGTTTAACTAATTTAGCCATTTTATATGCTAGTAACTCTCAGCATAAAGATTTATGATCTTGTTAAATAAAAAATAGTTGAAAAAAAATTATAATAACAAGAAGATTAATTAAATCAATAATAATTTACTGATTTGAATTAATCAAACACATAAATTGAGCTAGTAAATAACAAAATCAAACCTTTTAACATTATTAAAATTTTTAAGTAAAATAAGTGCTCTTAAAATTAAAAAGATGAATTAAATATACTAGATAAGTAAAATCAATCTGAAATAATTTAAAAATATGATTGAGTGTTTTTGTTTTGTATTTTTATGTTTATTTTATTTTAAAATACTTTATGTTAATAATAATTTTTTTTTCTTTCTTTATCTAATAATTACAAATGAAAAAAAAATCAATCTAAAAATGCTTAAAATTAGAAATCATCAAAATTAATTTAGAATGTTGGCATCTTTAATCAACAGATAAAAAAAGAGTTATTCAATTAGCTAATATGAATTTATTTTTTCAGAAATCCAATCTACTAAGTTTATTTTTATTAGCTAATTAAATTTCAAATTTTTTATATTTTAGAAATATTTTGGGTAGAATGGTTGTAGACTACCAGACTAGTATACTGTAGTAAATATTAGGATTTATGGTATATAAAAATTGGTTTTAAAATAATTATTTATAATTTAGAATATCTGATTAGATGACTCTAATTATGCAGATATTTGAGATGTGTATGATGTAAATTAATAAAAATTAGATCTATGAAAATGAGTCTAATATGCTGATTTTGTGCTCGTGACAAGATTTGACAAAAGTATTAATCTCTGATAAGTATTTCATTTTGTTTTTCAATTTTGGCTAAATACATCGAATTAGTATATATGATTGAATAATATGTATATATTTTAGAAATCTACTTATTTATTTATTTAGAATAACTTTATTCTTTTTAATGCTGTGGTTTACTTACAAGCTAATTGATAGAAAAATTGTTTGTTTATTTTTTTATTGATCAAATCTAAATTTTAATAAAATTTCTTAACATTAGAAAAAAAAATGATTGTATAGAGATTCTTGTCTGATAAATCAAACCACTCTTAATTTTTCTTTTTTATAAATGTAAAAGGAAAGAAATATTGTGAAAAATAGATATGCGCTTAGATATTATTTCCCAAAATGTCAAAAATGAAATTAAAAATTATATTTTGCAATTTATCTTTGTTTAAATCAGAGTCCTTTTATTAATAAAAGAATATTTATTTATTTAAATTAAATCTTACAAAACTTATACGAGTATATAAGCACTTAATCACAAGAAAACCTGCTTCAGCGTTTTAAAAATATATAGAGAAAATTAAAAGTATAAAATAAAATTATACAATTTTTTCTTTTGTTAAAATATTAGCTTAATTTATAATGAATCACAGTTAAAAATAGTGTGTTTATTTATTTGCTATTGGATTCTTTTTAGTAATAGTAGAGAGCTAAATCATATATAATAAATTAGCTTATTTTAGTATTATTGAAGTAAATTATTTATTATGTTATTTATTTAAATTATTTTATTAAAAAGGAATTGAATAGTGTGTTTTGCGTTAATATATTGAACCGCCGTCTTTCTTATTTTATAATTTTTGTTCCAAATGACTATAAAAAAAGTGATACTTTCTAATTAATGTTTGATAAAATGAATAGTCCATATTATTATTTTGATGTAATATTTTAATTTTTTATAAAATAATTTAAATAAAAAATAAATTCATATAGAATAACTTTGTTAATATCAATTCTATTCCTGGAGGATATTTTGCTTCTTTTGTTTATATTGACTTAAATTTTGTTTTTTATGGTGATTTTTAATAATAAGCACTTATGGATACTTATAATTGCTCTGAAGGCTAAGTGAAAAAATATGTAAAACAACTAAATTAATAATAAAATCTTTACTTTTTTATTTAAATTAAATTTTAATAATTTAAAATCTAGGGTTAGTATTATTATTTTATTTGCCCAGGAAAATACATTATCTAAGATGATGCTTATGGTAATCTTGCTTATTAGTAGAAGATTTTTAAATAAATATAAATATGTTTTCACAACTATTAAGATTATATGATTTTAGATGATATTTTGATATATAAATCTTATATTATTAATTTCAGTTCATTAAGCATCTATTAATGCTTTATAGCTTTGGTTGATGTAATTTATTATTAGCATTTTTAATATTATTTTCCTATTATTTTTAAATATCGTGGTGCATTGATGTATCTTAACATACATTATTTTTTTAAATTTAAAATTAAATTCCATTTTTGGATCAAAAATTTTAGAACCATTATTTTTAATATAATCCTTATTCAAGAGCGCCCATGGTATTTAAGAAAAAAACTAAAAATAAATTTAAACAATTCTAAAATTAAAAATAGAAATAATTTGATCTATTTGTTTTCATTGATGCTAGAAATAGAATAAATATTTGCTAATTAGATGTTAATTCAACTAATTTTTCGTGTTTAAAATAATTAACAATAGGCCCAAGCTCCTCTTAAGGTTTCGATAATTTATTTATTTCAAAAGTGGTATAATCTAACGGAGTAATTTTTTAAAATAAAAAACTTCTAAAGTAAATAATTAATTTATATTAGGTTAATTTATTTGTATTTGCTCTAAAAGGAGACAAAGCTTACACTTTCTACGATTTTAGCACTTTTATTTTTTTGTAAACTTCTGGTTAAATAAAACAGATTGATAGCATAAATAATTCCATTTAAATAAAAGTAATTAATAATATAATTTCTTTGATTAAATTAAAAGATAGCGTTAATTATTTGACTGGTTTCAGAGAGTAATAGCAAGAGGAAAGATTTAATCGAAGTTATTCAATTTTAACAATGTTTTCTTAAGTATTTTTTCTTTCAAGATTTTATTAGAGCCAAATTATAAAACAAAGTTGGAAAACAAAAACCAATAAAATAAAAACACACAAAAAAAAAAACATGCTCCAATTTAATTAATTGAAATTTATTTTATTTAAACTTCTTTTATAGATAATTAAAAGTTTTATATTAATTAGAATGTTATTATGGTCTATCAATAATAGAATGTTGCTTAAAAAATAATTTTCACATTTAATATCCAAACATAAAAAGTAGATGTTGTTTAATTAGATTGGAAGAACTCATAATATAGTTTTTAAAATACAATTGGTTTTCCTTAACCAACTTTTCCTGGAACATTACAAAATTTGATAAATGATATGAACTTTCAATATAATTATTAGGGTGTAATTTATTTATTTAATAATATTATAAAAAAATTAATTTAATAAATTGATCTAGGAAATAACTGCTTTATAATTTATATAAAACGATGGGTCTATATTCTTTCTTGTTTGGAATAGAAATTTTATTCTAGCCACTTGCAGAGATTATTGCGATGATTGTTAGTAAACAATAAATAGTCAGTAGTGTTTATAATGTTAATTAAGCTAAATTATTTAGCCTGATAATTTTACCTGTGAAAAAGCATGCCCTAACTTATCAATATAAAATAAAGTTAATTTGACTTGTGATTGTGTTTAAAATGCAAGCATAATAAATAATTAATGCTAGTGCAATAGCTAATTTTATATGGATGGAAATGCATGCATTTAATGCACTATTCCTTATTGTGATTAGTGTAAAGATTAGATAACATGTATCAAGTGTTAAAAAGGATACTATTTATTTGAAGATTTATCTTGTAAAACATGTGATATCTAGAATGGTTATTATATACAGTAAATTGATTAAAAGTTCTTTTATTTTTAGCCTATAATATTATTTTACAAAATTTTTATAAACAATAATAATTTTTTTTTATTAACTTTAAATAACAAATTATAATTAATTTTAATTATACTTTTTTTAATTAAAGAGGAAACTATTGTATTCCTTGTTTTTAATCTTGTAAAACATGTGAGGGTAGCTAGTAAAATTAGTGTACTAGTTGTAATGGGTCTGGGTTATTTTTATATGAAGATAAAACATGTAACAAATGCATCACAGATTAAGGATATACAATAAGGTAATCAACCAAATATTATAAAATTAACTATTGAATTTAATAAAAAAATTAAATAAATAATACCAACTTTTTGTAAACTTGATTTTTTATTAATTCTCAAAAATCATACTAAAATTGAAGAGTTATTATTAATAAAAATTTAACACTCTTTAAAAAAAAATTATTTTAGCAAATAAAAATATAAAATAAAAAATTAAATCAATCATTATAAAGTTTATCTTTAAAATTTAATAGTGGATAAAACTGTTTGCTTTGCTTCCATTCCTGTTAGACATGTGAAGGTCCTAATCAAAATTAATGTCTAAGTTGCAAATTTCCTGATTTTTATTTGTTTTAAGATAAACAATGCAAAGCATGTGATGTTAACAAAGGTTATTTTATTAGGTAATGATGGTTTTTATATTAGATAATAATAAAAATGATTTATGAATTTAATTTTTATTGATTAAAATAAAATGTTTAATTTTTGATTTCAATCAATCCTTATTTATTATTTTAATATATGAAATTTCATAAATAAGAGATGAAATTTAATTTAAATTTAAAGTGAATCTCAACACATAACAATTTTATTTATCAATAAATGAGACTTCCATATTCTTTTTAACAAATAAGTAATTTTTATTTTATATAATTTTAAATAATAAGTAATTAAAATTGTATTACTTGTTTTGAACGTTGCAAGACATGTTTAGGTGCTAATCAAAATTAGTGTACAAGTTGTTATGAAGGTTATGATATCATCAATAATTTTTGCTAATAGATATTTTTAACTTATAAGTCTCAGGTTTTTACTGAATAAAAAATAGAATAAATTTAACAGTTATCATCATCAACATCATCAGCATTAGTTGTTAGCACTACCGTTATGAACTTAATTCAAAATATAGGATCTAACTCTAGTTTTGGTATCTTAATTTCTAGCCTAACAGTATAAAAACTAGCTTATCTATATCTTTTGAATGTAAACTTACCAAAGTAAATTTACTCTGCATTAGAAATTTTATCTGGTATAAACAATTTATAAATATTTGATTTATTAATTTTTAATTCAATAAATAAATATTAAAAATATTCTAGGAAAATTGCCTTCTCAGTAGTTTAAAGTTTTAAATCCATTTAACTAACTATTAGATAACTATTTGATATAATACTAAAACATTAAATATTAAAAAATGGAACTTCCTTATCACATTTTAGTCAACTGTGGTTAAGCAATAATTTTATTTGCTATATGCTCTTTTCTCTTTGCACTATTTTACATCCTAACAGAGAAAATTTAGATAGATAAAGTCAAACAAATTTCAATTAAAATCTACTAATCTTTATTCTCATCGTTGCTGATTTAGTATTTTCAGTTAATAATATCAATTTTCATAATTAGTATCAACTAACAGATCAAAGAATTCTTTTTATAATCAAGTATTGAACAATTAGGAATTAAATAATTTATTACACTCATTTTATTTATATTAACAGCATATATATATAAATAACAATACAAATATTTAAATAATGAAAATAATATGTAACCAGAGATGAGCTTTTAAGAAATTACTAAAAATAAAATACGAAATGAAACCATTTACGAATCAAAATTGAGAAGAAATTTTATAATTATTTACCAATTTTATGAGTCTTTTCTCCTACCTACCTGCTTTATTTAACTAAGCAATAACTGGATGACAGCAAATATTATATCAATAATCCTTTATTTAAACCTTTTGATAATGGTTATCTACCTGAGGCCTTTTTTCTCTAGATTAACTAATATTTATTTTATAATTAATTATCTATTTTGGTTGTTGCTATAAATTTAATTCTTGGTGCTCAATTATTACTGTGATTAAAATAATATCTCTGAATATATATAAGATATTGATGCTATTAGTTATTCTTTTTTAATAAATATTCAAATAGTTTAATTAATTTAGCCACTTTATATGCTAGTAACTCTCAGCATATAGATTTATGACCTTGTTAAATAAAAAATAGTTGAAAAAAAATTATAATAGCAAGAAGATTAATTGGATCAATAATAATTTACTGATTTGAATTTATCAAACACATAAATTGAGCTATCAAATAACTAAATAAAACCTTTTAATATTATCAATATTTTTAAGAAAAATAAGTGTTCTTAAAATTAAAAAGATGAATAGAATATACTAGATAAGTAAAATCAATCTGAAACAATTTAAAAATAAGATTGAATGTTTTTATTTTGTGTTTTTATGTTTATTTTGTTTTAAAATACTATTTGTAAATAATTTATTTTTTTTTCCTTTAATCAATAAAAATGAAAAAAATCTATCTCTAAATGCTTAAAATTAGAAATCATCAAAATTAATTTAGAAAATGCTAGCATCTTAATCAAAAGATAAAAAAAAGAGTTAGTTAATTGACTAATATTTACTTATTTTTTCAGAAATCCAATATACTAAGTTTAAATGTATAAGTTAATTATATTTCAAATTTTTTATATTTTAAAATTTTAAACCCTAAGTTTTAATTTTTATTAATTTCATTTTCATAAAATTTTAAATTATACTTGAAAGCGGGAGGCTTAAGTAAATGCAATTAGAAAAAAAAGTGATCTATCTTATATCACTAAACTTTTCAAAGTAATTTGTCTAAAATTTAAGTAACATTTTTTAATTTTTATACTGTTTTTATATAAAAATCCAATGTATCAAAACAATAAATATTATTTAATTTTTTATTTTTAAAAATTTCCATAATTAAATGAAAATGATTATATCAATATATTATTAGTTCATTCATTCATACTTTAGTATTATTTATCCTTGAGCCAAGTGACTCTTTTCCTTTTTTTTGTGGACAATATTTGTAAATTCTTATTTATTTACTAAAAATTAAATTTCAGGTTCATTTTTATTATTATCTATCTTATCTGGTGATTTATTTAATCTTTCTTTACTTTTACTATTATTTCTGTATTAATCTTAAGAGATATCAAGTTTTTACTCTTAATCATAAAATTTTACCTATTTATTTATTTTTATTTACAATAACCATTAAATAATAAATAAAATTTACTATTTGGATAATGTTAATATGGCAAATCGGACATACTTGATCACTGAATTAATCTAAATATTCTTGGCAACAGCAATTATGACCACATGGCATTAAAATCTAGAAAAAATAATAAAAATAGATCATACATATTTGATGAGACAAATTGTTTTAATTAAAAATAAAAATTTACAATATTGATTTATTCTCCAGTGCAAAAAGAACAATTAATTCCTTATATTACAGGTTTTTACTTTTTATAATTTTTAATGGCAGAAGAATTTTGTTTTGCAGATTAAACTATTGCATCTTTCCACTTATTTAAAAAATTATTTTACCTAATTTACTTTTTTTAACTGTTTTCTTAATATAATGATGAGTTTTACACTTCTATTAAAAGTTTTAATTTAAAAATAAATAATTAAATAAGTAAATGAACAAATAAATATTACTAGAAGGACTATAATTAAAATTATTTTCTATTTCGTCGTTTTTTTATCCATTGTAAACAGAATCATAGTCTTGTTGATTTTAATTGTTTTCTTGTTCTTAATTGAGATTGTTTGCAGAATTGATTTTCGAATATTTATATGATTCTGGATAATCTGGCAGAGATCTGTATTCTAATTTATCAAAAAATATTTACTTACAAATAATATTGATTAGATAATTATTTATTTACTATTATTCTATTAATTATTTTAATTTTCTTGCTTATCAGTATTTTTTTAATCAGCTTTGTAAAAAAAACTGAAGGGAGACAAGTTATCATGATTTTATTTTTTAATCTCTAATGTTTTATTTTCTTACTTTTTGGTATGCGCATTATACTTCTCTTTTAATCGATGAAATTATTTAACCTAAATTGTAAAATAAATATTTAATTTAATAATTAAAGTTTGAAATACCTTTTTAAGTAAATTTTATGGAACTGATTCATCATATTGTTTAATTGTACTATAGAATTTAGATGTAGTTTAAGAATTAGCAGGCTTTGAATAAAAACCAATTCTGTCAAGGACTAAACCAAGATCTTCTTCTTCCAGTCCATTCAAGAAAATATCTTAATAATATTAATTAATAAATATGCATAATTTGATAAATTTTATTTAATTTTATTAAAATAATTCTACCTTTGATTATTTCTGTTTTGTAGCCTAGTTCTTATATTAAATAATCAAAAAAGGGGCGTTCATTAATACATTAAAAGTTTTTTTTCTCTCCAGAAAATAGACTCTTTTAGTAGAATTCTCTTGCAACAAGTAAGCTATATTTTCAGATAATTAATTAGTATTTTTAAAAACTTCTTTAGTTTTTAATTTACCTATCAAATGATGTTATTGGTGGGATTCTTTATTTCCTTGCTTTTTCTAGTAAGCATAGTGGTATATTTTTAAGGATTTCTTAGCAAAATCCAAATTGATCATTTTTAAATTCCTCATAAGGAACAAAGCTAAACTTCTTGCTTGATTCATAGTTTTCCAAACTTAAAAAAGTGTTAACATACTCAAAATTTTAAGTACCAATTCCAATGTTAACTACTTGGAATGGTATTTCAACAAATTATTTTAATTAGGTCATAGTTTCTTCAATGTCTGATTATAGTAGTTCGTTATGGGAGAAAATGAGGAGGACACATAGAGTTTAACTAATTATTCAAAAAAATTTAAAATATAAATTTGCTGATATGAATTTTAATAAAGAATACTTTTCAGATGTGAATTCTTCTCCTTCACAATACCCGTTTATAAATTTTAAAATATCAGAAAATATCAGTGTTGAAGAGGGTTTAATTATTTTATAAGTTCTTTTAAATGCTATTTATTAAAATAAAAATATTTGCTTTAGCAAATTCAAAATGATAAATATTCATACTATTAACAGCTTCTTCTTTGTATCTTAAATCGATTTCTGGATCATACCAATCTCCAGACAAGGCAAAACAGTTGCTATGATGAGTATAAGATGGTGGCAATCTAGCTCCCATGCCATACATAGGAACCATTTAGTTTTTTGAGAAAAATTTAACAAGATCAATACAATTTCTTATAGCCTGCTCATATTAATTAATCAAATTCTAATGACCTTTATATTTGTATAATATATATTTAACAAAGAGCATTTAATTGATTTTAACAATATTATTTTACTTGCTATATTCTCTTACTCAGAGGAATAAATGTTAGAAGACATTTATGAGTAATCAAAAGCCATAAAAAATTGAACATTTAATCCACCATAGATATACTAAAGTAATGAATAAGGATGCATCATTTTTGTGACTTTTTGAAACTTTAAAATTCCTTAAACCTTTTTTTTATTTAGCATACAAATTGGCTATTCAGTCCCGTGTAGCGTCTTGATATTTTCTTTTAAAACTTTAAATTCTCCAATTAAATCTTTTTTAACTCTACTCTCATAGAATTAGTACAGCTCAAATTTTAAATATTTTGATATTTTTTTTTCTTGTATTTCAAACCTTCCCCAATTTATGGTTTTAGATATTTTTATAAGGTCAGTTTAATACAAAGGTAATTCTTTAGGTTCCTCTTAAAATTTAATATCAACCTTTTCAGTTTCATTATTTGCCCCATAATTTTTATTATGTGTAACAACTCTCAAATAAATTGATTCTTTAGATTTAATATTTAGTCCTTCTAATTAAAAGATATAATAATCTGAATATTAATCGCAATTATATGTCCGAACTTTGAATTCTCCTCTTTACTAACCTTAAGTCGATTTAGATGTTCTTTTTTAACTTTATAGATCTCTTTTAGTCTCTCCACTCTATTTTTCGTCATATCTTATGGCACTTTAAAATTATTCGTCCATTAACATAGATGAAATACTTGTCTAAATGGTTCCAATATACTGTCTTTCGTGATCTCCAAAATGATTATATTTATCAATATCATAGATATTAAAAATTACCTATAATTTATAACATTTTAATTAATATTTGAGAAATTTATGCTATTATTATTAATCCTTAAATATTTTTTTTTAGTTGAAAATATAAAATAAAGTTTTTTACTTCCTTATTAAATTGAGTAAGATCTACACTTAGTACTAAAGGTTTAGCAAATTATGGATCCTAGTCATCAGCAATTACTTCAGTTTTATGAATGAACTCAGGTTCGCTATTTGATAAAAATATATATACTAAATGATTAACTAAAAATAATGAATATATCTTTCATATTTATAATATGAATAATAATCAATAATATATTTTAATATAAAATAAAATTTATATTATTGCTCTTTACTTATCCTTAATTATGTAGCAATACACTGCTGGATCTGTTTTTGAAATGTAATCCATTTTAGGTAATCTTACACAAGATATGTAGAACTCATATTTTTACTTAATCATTAATCTAATTTATCCATCATCAATCAGCGCGTGTTCAACACATTCTTTAGCGTTTTCATTAATAAAATCTGGCTATAAAATATCAACATTATTGTTATCTAAGAAACTCTACTATTAATTTGTCTTTGATCTAGCTTTTTGAGCAGGTGTAAATAATCCTCCACCCATTAAAAATTATTAAATTTATTATTTTCAGTTTGCTACTTGCTATACTATATAAAATTTTCAAAAAAAGGAATATTTCTGATAAAAATGATAAAGAAATAGAATTTGATAGTTAGTTAAATGATAGAAATTAAAAGAATTTAACATCATAGAAAAAATCTAGAAATTTATACAATTTTATCAACAATTCAAACAAACAAATAAATAATTTTAATATAAAATTAAAAAATATTTTTGAAATTTAAATATTTTTTAACAAACATGAAATAGCACAATTATTATATTTATGATAGAAAATCTTCAAAAAAAATTAAATTAAACGTTTTTATTTTATTTATTAATATTAAAAATGTAAGAATGCAAAATAATCAATACAATAGCATTTCTATAAATTTAGTATTTGTTCATCCAATCAATATAAAGCCTGTAGTTTAAAAATATCAAAAAGCAATTCTACTTAGAAAAACACATAGATTTAATTACCAATTTTTTTATTTTGACAAGTGTTTGTTTTTTTATTTTATTATTGATCGATCAACTATAGTCTATTTTTTCAATTTAAATCAACCCTCATTTTATAACTTAAAAGAAGATATCTTATTTCAGATAAATATTAAACTTAAATAATTAAGATATACTCAATTTATTTTAGGAATAAAAGGTTAAACAAAAAGGATTTTTAATGTCTAGTTTTAAAGATAATTTTACAAGAAATTAAGGAGATTAAAACCTCTAGTATGATGATTCAGCATTTTACTTTTTTGCTTTTTCAGTACTATCGTTTGTGTCAGTTATCACTGGTTTATTCGTATTAAGAAACCTATTTAAGAAAGATTCTTAAATCAAAAGAGTTCATCCAAAAGATAAATCAGCTGATTAGAAAAAACTAAATTAAGCAGTATAATTCAAGGCTCAAAAATATAGCTTAAAATTCTATTTTCTGGTAAGTAAATTAATTTTAAACTATAATCCTTTTTTTAAATCCATCAATTTTCAAAAAATAGATACTTTTATTTTTAGCATGTATCTACTTTGCATATCAAACATCGAAATTCACTGCCAAAACAGATGATTTGAAGAGATTCGATCCTTATGAGATTTTAGAAATCCAAAGAGGAGCTTCTTAGGGAGAAATTAAAAAAGCATACAGGTATATTTTATAAAAATATTTAGTTTATAGATTTAAAAGATTTGGATGCGAATTTCTAATTTAAAATTAACTACCTTAATTCACAAATATTAAAATGTTAAAAATTTATTTCAATAAATAGAAAAATGGTGTTATTATATCACCCTGATAAGAATCCTAGTCCCGAAGCCGCTGCTAAATTCTTATTAGTTACTAAAGCTAATGAGTGTTTAACTGATGAAACAAAGATGAAAGTTTGCGAATAATTTGGTAGTCCTGATGGTCCTGGTTCATTGCAAGTAGCTATTGCAATGCCTTCATTCTTTTAAAAGAAAGAAAATCACGTTTTTGTTTTAGCCTTATTTTCCGTTCTTTTTGTCATATTAGTACCTATTGTTGTTTTAATATGGTTAAACAGATCTCAATCCAAAAACAACCATGGTAAATTATGATTCTTAATACATTATTTTTATTGATTTTTGATTAATTTATTAATAAAGGAATGTTAGTTGAAAACTATATGGTAGCTTTCTAAAAAATGACCCAAAATATGGCAGCATCGAAGCTAATTGAAATAATTGGTTATTGTGCCGAATTTAGATTCCCAATAACAAGATAAGAACAAGAATACTTTACCAAAGTAATTTTAAAAATATGAAATTAAGATAATAAAATTGTATTAAATTATAAAGAAAACTTAATTTTTAGAAGAGTATCAAACTTCAAAGAATACCATTTCCACTAAGGGTTAAAAATTGCTTATTTTATATTTTGAAGGAATTGAAATTCCTAAGGAATCTTAGAAGCACTTTGCTTAATTGATGAGTTAAACTCCTTGCATTTTAGAGAGTGCTGTTGAACATTGCCTTTAATTAAATGCAATGCTTCCTAAAGGAAATCCAAGATATTTAAGTGTTTAAACTCTTCTTAATACCATTCACTTCTAATAGCATTTCTTTTAGGTATGTTAATTAGTTAAAGTATATTTTTAATTTACTTACATTTTTATTAAAGGGAGTTTGGTCTACTAAGTATGATATGGATCTTATGCAAATTTCATCTGTCCAAAGCGATAAAGTTAGTTTTAAAAAACTCTATTAAAAATATAGAAACTTAAAAACTTTGTAAAATACACCTGTTGAGTAAAGAAAATATGATATCTAAGTTAATTTAGATGAGGCTAAAAAATAAAAATTCATAGATGAAGTCAACTAAGAGGTAGATTCTTTCCCTAATATGAAAATGCAATTCGATGTTTTGCTAGATGAACAAGAAAGCAGTGGAACCTATAGAGCAACTTCATAAGAAAATAAAACTGTTTCTCTTACTATTGAAGAAGGTTAAATTTTTAATCTTAAAGTAGGCATCACTCGTGAAAATATTCCTGAAAAAGAAGAGGGAATGTTTGCAATCTGTCACAAATATCCTTACGTTAAAGACATGTATTTACATGTATTTGTCACTGACAAAGAAAGAATTTTCTAATACCAGCAAGTAAAAATAAATAATAAATAAAAAAAGTAGATTAAAATGGAAAATATTTATAAAAAAGTTAACTGGACAAGCTAGATATATTGAATTCAATGAGAAAATGGCATTACCTCAAGGAGAATTTAGTTTAGAATTACATGTTAAACCAGATTGCTATATTGGAATGGATGAAGTTTTTAAATTTAACTTGAAAGTAACTCCTCGTACTGAAAAAGTAAATTAAACATTTTTTGATAGTAAAATTTGTAATATTTATTAAAATTTAAATTAATATCAGCACCAAAACGAAGATGATATTCATCCTGAAGATATTGAAAAATTCAAAGAACCTACATTTGTTTAAAAACTAATGGGTCAATTACAAGAGTAAGAACAAGAAGAAGAAGAGGATGAAATCCCTGATATCACAAAAGACCTTGGAAAAGCAAATACTAATGATGATTAAGAAGAAGAAAAAGAAGAATCAGAAAATGAATAGTAAAAGAGTGATGATAAAAAGAAAAACTGAAACAATTGAATTTTAAATTAAAATTGAAATATTTCAATTTCTTTGTGAATATTTTTATATTTGTAAATATGATAATTTTGAAATATCAACAAAGTTAAATAAAATTTCATTTCTGAATTAGTTTTCAAAATTTATTATCTATAAAATATCATAATACAGGAAATTAATATATCTACTTACCTTCCATTCTCATTTTTATAATATATATAGAATTAATTTATATATGGAGAATATTTGAAGATTAAGAAATTATAATTTAAAAAATTAATTAAAAAATAAAGATTGAGCTATTGAGGTTGGTAGGTATATTTTGAGTTTTATAATTAATTTTATATTTTTTCTAAATTAAAATGATAACATTTGTAAGTTAAAATTAGAAATTTTTGATTTTATTTTAAAAACTAAAATATATTAAAATAAATAAGAATTTAATAAATAAGCCATAAAAATAATTTCGTAAGAAATTAATTTCATTATTATAAATGATTCAAATTCATCTGATTTTTCCAAAATGGTCCATTAATTTTAAATAATAAATCCTTTTAAGATACTCTAAATACTTAAGATATTTCATCTTTGTAATAGTCCTTTTTAGTAAAGAAATTTTACCTAGAATCTTATGATTATTACCTATTTTCATTTTAATTTTCATCATTTTACTAAGTTGTTGTTTTGTTTTTATTTTATGTATAATTATTTTAAGAGTTCTCTGTTGGCTATTACACTTGCTAATCAATTTAAAATGGAGGAGACATTTTCACTTACCCTGAATATTTTTAATTAGAGATGGAGAAACCAGGATCGAATTAATCTTTTAATTTTTCGTTCAAATTTAATTGCTTTTTACTAAAATCTTGATTTGTATGTGACATAAACTTCTTTTAGTTGTTAGGAGAGTCTTTGCTATAAGATCTAGCATTTTTTTAAGACATCGGAGCTATTCTATTTTAGTAATTACGAGCATTGAATTTATTTAAATAAAGAGGATTATCTTTTCTAGTTTATTTTGAAATCAATTTCATTTCCTCTTCATAAGTTAGTTTCTAACCTCTAAACTTAGGTATTATAAATTGGCTCTATGAATCTTTATCCATTTATGGGTATTTTATTAGCATATCATTCTGAATTTTACTAGCAGGTGGTAAAGATCCTGATGAATAAAAGGTGCTTTAATAAAAAGTTTTTTAAAATTCGTCACCATTCTTATTTGTATAAGGAGTTTTATTTACAATTGATAATTTTTTATTTTATGATTCTTTCCTATTAATAAAATAAATAAAAATATGATTTTGTATAAAATTAAATATTTATTTATTTACTCAACTGTGGACATAGAGGAAACCATATTTATTGGTTGATTTTCTGATACTCTTGTAAATTTAATTTTATCTGGGTCATATTTGCCCGTCAATATTGGTTTCAAGTTAGGATTTGATGGATGGACATTATAGTTTACGTTTCTATGAATGTAGTCATGATATAATTTCATTTGTTATTTTTTTATGTCCCTGTTGCTTTTTAGCTCATCTTCTTTATCAAATTAATTGAACTTTTAGCTAGTTTTATTAATCAATAGTTAGTTCTCACTTTATGAGCTCTATAAGTTATCTTATCTAAAAGTTTTAGAATTTTACTATTTCTTGTTAAAAAAGCCACCACTGTGGGTATTAAGTTAATTTCCAGCACTTCTTTTTTCAAAAACTGAAGTCCAAAATTATTAATTCTACTCAACATTCATTTAATCAAGAATTTTAACTTTGTTGGCATGCTCCTCTTCAATCAAATTTTTCCTTATTTCTTCATTGATTTTTATAATTCTTTATAAGGCTTCAATATTTCTATCATCAATTTAAAAATTATTTGGGTCTAAATCTTTATACAAATTCTGATATTCATCATCATCAAGAAAGTCTCCTTCGTTTGATTAATTTGGTTATCTTGCTCTCTTTTCATTTTCATCAATAAATTTATTCAGTTAGTGATCTCCCAAATACATGCCTATGAGTTCGTTTCTTTCTATAATATTTTTAAATAAATAATTACAATAAAAAACAGATAAAGAAGTTAAATATCTGCAATTTATAAAAATGCTTTCAAATTTAAAATATATTGTTTTCATTAAAAGCATTATTGATTAAAATTAATTCTTACTTGAAAAATATTCTTTAAAATTGAGGTATTTTTCGTTAAAATTAAAGTCTTTTTCATCAACTTTTTCAACAAATTTTTAAATCATTTATTGAAGATCTTGTTTCTTTTTGTTAAATTCTTTAATAGCTTAATCTATATTTACATTTTAATTTTCATCTAAATATTTTTTATCTATTTCTTATTCTAGAGAATAAGGATCATAGTCATCTTCACTTTCTTAATCATTATTTTCAGGAATTTCTTGTTTTGAGTTATAATTTTTTTAGCTTTTATTTAAATTATTTTTGCTTTTTTCAATCTATTAAACTTTAGTGGGCGATTATTGTTTGTTGCTTATTATTGAAGAGCCTGGTACTTCAACTGATACAATAATTTACTTAGATATTAATTAAGATTAAGGTTTATCTGCTATAGAATCATCTTTTTTTTAGTGGCTTGAAATCATGGCTGCAATTTAAGGATCCTCAAGCTCATCAGAAATAACTTAACCTAATCTATTTCCAGCTTTTAGTCTCTAAACTCTCCTATAACTTCTTTTAATTTCCTAAATTAGAGGTTCAGAACATTTATTTTCATATTTCTTTTAAAATTTAATTTTATCTAATTATTTATTATCCATTTATAATTTGAGTAAAGTTGAAAGCAGTTTATACATTTCCATTATATTGCTTTTATAATAATGAGTAACAGGCAAATTATCATATAAATTAATAAAATCATCATTTTTATCACTTAAACTTTCTGCAATCTTTTTTATTTCTTTCATTTGATTCCTCAAGTGTTTGCGGAATTTTAATTTTTCTTCTTTTGTTATATTGTTTGTTTAGTTTTCCTTCATAATCCTTAACGTATTTACAAAATTTTCATATATTTTGTTAAAGACTTCCTACAAATCTCTGATCCATAAGTCTCTCTTCATTCTGAAGTTGGCAAATAATTGTCTTTATTCTAGAGATAGCTTATAAATTTTTGAAGATCTGCCTTAGTTTATTTTTTACATTTTATTATTTTAGTCTTAATTTTTATTTGTGTTGTTGATACTCATTTTTCTATCATAAAAATGATCTTAAGTATAACTATTTATTTCTTTTTATGAATTTTGTCTTTTATCCTTAGATTCAAAATCATCTTACTATTTCTTTCCTTTTATTAAAAGCTCCAAATCTTATCCACCATTATGATTTGAACTATTATTAGAAGGTTTTAGAGAGTTCAATACACTATTCTATTAAGAATTATTTGGCTTTTCATCAATTAAATAGTCATGTTTCTAAAATTCGCTAATTTAAGGCTTTTTAGAATTCAAGTTGTTTTGTTGTTTGCTATTTTATAAGCTCTTATTAGACGAGTAAGTGGATTGATTGGCAGATTTTTTCATTTAAATTTTATATAAAAAACTATATAATTCAGTAAATTTTATTATAAGATATCAATTAATCAATATAAAATGATGATTTTATTAAATGTAATAATTATTTAAGTTATTCAGTTGTTTTTTTTTAAATAATGTAGAATAATTCTTAGTAGATGTTTATGTATTTAAGGTTTTAATGTATTTCAAAATTTATAATTACAAATTCTTATGTCGAATTTCATCAAAAGTTTTATAATGTTTAATAAAATTATTAAAATGATTCTTTTCAATATTTTTAATTAAAAATTTTAACTGGATATTTTGATAAAATTTAATACTATCTTCATAAATTATTTTTTATATTTCGCATAATTACTTCTTATATTCAATTTTTTTTGATTATCTTGATAGATAGATATTCAGATTGTATTTTAAAAAATCAAAGTATAAATAATCTTAATAATAATCACTATATCTAAATTTTTAATTTTTGTTTAATTGCAAATTAGAATAATTATTAATACAAATTTTTCTATAAAAAGCTTCTTGCTCAAATTCTAAATACTCATAAATTTAAGGGATTGTAAATATTTCTGACTTTATAGGATGGAAAAGCAGATAGATTAAGAAGAGGAAATCATTTTAGATAAGCAAGAGCTTTTGCTTTAGTAGCAATAAAATTAAGCAAGAAAGAATCAAAAGAATAATTAGATTGAAATAATAGATATGAAATAAAATATTGAAGCTTCTTTAAATAAATTTAATTTTTACGAAGAAATAAACTGGCCTAATGTCAGGATAATTGAAGAACATAAATATTACAATATTGAAGAAGGTCATGTAAATAATTAGCCATAAAAAAAGCTATCTATTATTAGAATAAAATTTAATGATCATCCTTATAGATAATAATTATTTAATGAAGTACATAGTAATTTTAATTTAATAATGGAGAATTATTAGAAGTTCAAGATTTTACCTATCATTTTTCAAGTAAAATAAATTGAAGAAAAGGAAATAGTTATAATTACTTAACAGTTTCTTAATCAATATGATTTTAAACTTAAATTTACAAGTAAAGATTACATAAATTGGCTATATGAGGCTACATTAGATTTGTTGCAGTTAATCAATCATGGTATTACATTTTACGTAGGATCTCTTTAGCAATTTTCTATTGTTTAAACGAGGATGAAATACTTTTTAATCAATCCTGTGATATTTGTACCTAAAGATTTGCAAATGGGTCTAAATTATAAAGTAGACTCAGAGGAAATAAATAACTAGGAACAATAAGCAAAGTTAAATAAATAAACTAAAGCTAATATTTCAAACTCAATGAATGGAAATGAAGAAATATATAGTGAGACAATTTAAAATATAATCACTTAAAGTTTGTTTTTTTCATTATCTCTCGTTTTACAAAGAAATTTGTTTGCAAATGAGATTATTAATAAAAAAAATAAGAATATTGAAAAATTAATGTTGAAGCTTATTGAGGAGTCTATTTCGATAGAGAGAAGTAAATATGTCAATTAGGTTATGGATGATTTTTAAAAAAATTAAAGATGGCATTTATTAGAACTAAGAAGGAAAAAAAAAGGAAGAAGAAAGTCATTAAGTAAAAGTAAAAACTCTAAAACAAAATAGAATATTTACAATGAATTTTCAGATTAGTGGGAAGAACTAAAATAGAATGAAGAAAAAAGAGTAAAAGAAAGTTTCAAAAGTGAATATTAGTCACTTTATGATTAAATAATTAGTATAAATGAATTGAATTATGATCTGATTTAAATTAATAAGCAACTTAAGCAATAGTTTTAAATTGAAAAAAATATTAAAAAAAAATAAATGATTTCTCTTTCTGATGAAAGAAATGTTAAAAAACTCGTTTAGTTACTGAATCAGAATCAAAATAAATCAGATATCAGAGACTAAAATAGTTAAAATGATGACAATAAACATAATAAGGATGAAGAAGAATTAGAAATAGAAGAAGAGAAAAAGTTAACAAATAAAAAAAATTTATAAAAAAAGACTTCAAATGGCAAGGTAAAAAAACAAATATCAAAATTAAACAAAAAAGGCATCAAAAAGTAAGAAAAGTAAGAAAATGAAGAAAATAAAAGAATTAAATTAAATGATGTTAAAAGAAAAATAAAAATACCTAGAAAGACAGGGAGACTTTTTAAAGGCAGTGGAATAATTTTAAATAATGAGCCAGATAATTAAGATGAAAAAGTCGAAATTCAGGATAATAATTCTGTTGAAGAAAAACACTAGATTAACTCAATCAAATTTTCATTTAGTATTTATAGTGATAGCTAATAAGTAAATTTGCTTTATAAAGCATTAAAACCTTACAAGAATAATCTGACTTCGCTGACTCTTTTATTCACTTCAATAAAATTAAATTCAAAAATATTGATAAAAAGTATTATTCCTATTTTTTCTTTTCCCAATCTTTGCAATCTTAGAATTAATTTAAATGGCTGCTTTTAATCCAACCCAATATTCTGGGAAGAAGGAGATTTGGATGATGAAACTGCATAACAAGATGATATTTCAAAAGATAGTCTAAAAAAATAGAAAATGAATTAAATGCATGATGAATCAAAATAAAATCAATAAAAAACTAAAAATGAAAAAATACAAGAAATTATCCAAAAACTTATTGAAAGAGGATCTAATCCATAACTTGAGTTCTTTGAAATACACTTAGAAAGAAATTATGCAAGAGAAGAAGATATTGATATTTTATTTGGATTTTTAAAAAGCGCTTTTAAAAATTTGGCAGAATTGGAAATAGGTTGGTAAGATTCGTATTTAAATGAAAAGTAAGTAACTTAAATATGCAATCATCTCTTACATTTTAAAGATTAGCTCACCTAGGTTGGATTGACCTTATGGAAAAACTCAAGAATAGGTGATGAATAAGTTTAAGAAATATGCGACTGTTTAGCGTAATTTACAAATATAGCATCTGTTACAATTGGTTTACTTGACTGCAAAGTCACTAACTAAATTGGAGTTATTTTAAAAAATTTATTAGATAAGCTGCCATTTTTAGTCATGCTTGAGATTGGTTTAGATGATAATAACCTAAACTCTGCTCTTGGTATTATTGGTTAGGGATTAAAATATTAAAAGTAATTAAGATATTTAGGAATTAGTTTTTAAGATTCTTATATAAATGATGAGTCTTTAAATATTTTTTGCGATGGTCTATCCCATATGTATAATTTGTAGGATTTTCATTTCTTTGTTGGTAAAAATCAATTGACTTATGATTCTATAACTAACTTTTTCGATCTTCTTAGCCCATATAGCAAATAGCTGTTGACTTTAGATTTAGGTTTTTAAAAATCAAACTTGTCAAGTGCTTAATTTACAGAATCTTTCTGCTAATTCCTAAAAAATTAGTTTAATTTGGTAAAAATTGAGTTATCCTTTGACAATACCAAATTAAAAGGAGATAGTATTGCAAAGATTTTAGATAGTATAAATAGAGAGTAAGAATTTGAAGTTATTCGTCTAAACTTGTAGCGCTGCAGTTTAAGCTCAGAAGGCTTTTTGGCCATGACGAGATTGCTAGAGGAAATTCAGCATCCATAAGCCTTAACACATTTAAGAATATATGCACCTAAAAATTTGATGACACTAAATGAAGAAGAGTAAAAAGCACTAGGATCTTCAATAGGAAAATTCATAAACTTAATAGAATTAGATTTAGATTTTTCCGGCTGCCATTTTTTTAATGATTTTTTTTTAGAACTTTGTGAATCATTGTCAAAATTAAATGTTTTAGAATCTTATACACTTATTCTACACAATTGCTTCCTTTCACAGTTAAGGATGAAGTGCATTGTAAAAAATGTTTAAATTGATTTTATTAATTTAAAGATAATTAAATTTTAATTCAAGAAAAAATTAACTTAAATTTATTAAAAATAAAATTATTGTAATAAAATAGATAGCTGGATTGTAGAATAAGCCTAAATTAACAGAATTGTGCTTAGAATTTGAGGATAGTGACATACCTACAGTAGATTAATATTATGATCCAAATGAGTTGATTACTTCTTTTGATATTCATATGCCTGAACTAAAATAATTAAGTCTTAATTTCTTGAGATGCAGTTGGTCTTTTAAGCTTGCTATAATTATCTTGCATTAAATAGGATCTTAGAAGCGCTAATTAAAACCTTTACCAAATTTTAATAGCCTAAATGTATACATTTGCAATTAATAGCTAGAAGAACTTATGCTCTACAACTTTAGCTAAATAGTTAACAAGTTTTATTCCAATGCTGCTGAGCTGACATTAACTTTTGATGATTGTGACCTTGATTTCGAAAAATGTAGTTCATTGTTTTTATTAAATTTATAATAGCTTAGAAATATTGATATAAGCTTAAGTGAAAATATAGATATTAATATGAAATCTCTGTCATAATTTATAGCAAATAATTAAAATATACAATATCTAGGTCTCAAGCTGAGACACCTCTAACAACCTGTGTTAGATTTTGGATTGTTAGGAAATGCTATAAAAAGATTAACACTAAAGTCATTTAATTTATATTTCGAGTAATCTTAAATCTAATAGCCAAGATAATTAGAATTCTTCTACAATGGCTTAGCTGTTCAAAATTAAATAGAATATTTAACTATTCATCTCCATGTAAATTTAATTACTTTCATTCATTTAAAAAATTTAACCTTCTTTTTTAATAGAATATAGATCATTCAACTGCCTAAATTAAGTATTTTGCTAAATAGTTGCAGTAAATGAATGAATTGGTATAGCTTAATTTACATCTGCCTAATTCTATGCTCAGAAAGGATGAAATTAGCTTTATATCTATCAGTCTTGAAAACAAAAAATATTTAAAAGAATTAATCTTAGAGTTTTATAAAAATGAAATTATTTATAAGAATGGCATTTATTTTGCTAGGTCAATTGCAAGTCTATTAAATTTACAAAAACTTGATTTCAGCTTAATGAAATGTGAAATACTTCCTGCAACTGCTGAAAAGTTGTGCTTAAGTTTAGGTGAACTCAAGTAACTTCGATAGTTGCATTTATACTTGGGTGAAAATCAAATAAATCAGTTTACTTTGATATTCTTAACATATAGCTTGTATAACCTTAAAAATATTGTTAATTTTAAGATAAATCTCTAAGACACTAGTATTGGTGATGAAGGAATAGCTTCACTTGCCTAAGGTTTATTAAATTTGGATAAAATAACATGCTTAGATTTGAACTTAGAGAATACAGAAATTGAATCTGAATCGCTTGTGGTTTTTGGAAGATTCTTTAGAGAAAAATGCTAGAATCTTTAATCCCTTGAACTAAATCTGAGAAATAATAGTACTATTACAGAAATAGGATTTAGATCGTTAATGGAAGGTATAGGATAAGTGAAAAGCTTAACTCATATAATTATTATGTTTAACCATTGTCTTTTGAATTAACTTACATCTTCTCATTTACCACTGTTTCTTGAAAATAAAAAATGTTTAAAATATCTATCAATTTATTTTGATGAAAATACTCTTCAAAATGCAACTGCAAAGAGCCTTGGAGTGGCCTTAAAATAAAATTGTCTAAAATTGAAAAGATTTACTCTGTGTGCATAGCTTAATTAGATGGGAAATGAAGGAATTATTAATCTCTTTGAAGGAATATTTTAAGTACCTGAGTTATAAAAAGTCACTCTTGATATTAGATAAAACGAAATAAGTTAAAAAAACACATTAGTTAAAATGGGAGCTGCAATGAGTAAAAGCAAAAAGTTAAAAGAATTAGAGTTATTTGTCTTCGAGAATTAGGAATTCAATGATAGACAAATAGCTAAAGGGTTATATTCTATAGCATAATCAGAAATAGATTTATTTGATTAGCTTTTATCATTTGAAGTAAGAAATTTATATTGGAGAGAAAATATAAAAGATGTATTCAATCCAATAATCACAAGGCTAATATGCTGTATGCAAATAATGGCATTCTAAAATTATTTATCTCAAACTCTACATTACAACAGTAAATTTACTATCTGGGACCTTTATCTACCATGATTTATAATTTAATTTAACATATATCACTCTTATAATTCCTATTTTAAATGTCTTTTTATATTATATTAATAATATTTTGCTTTTATATTCTACTTAAAGTATTTAAATTTTCTTATTTTTTTCTACTATTTTTTATTTATTTTAAATTATAAATCAAAATAACCTCAAATAATTAAGGAAAAAATTTACTGAGTTTACTTTTTTCTTTTTTGATATTCTATATATTTATCAATATTTAAAATGAACTTTTTACTAATTAAAAAAATAAAATATTATTGTTTTTTAAATTTTTAAATGCTTGGTTGTTTAAATAAACTTAAAATAATACGAAATTCTCAAGAAAAAAAAGTTTAAAGATGATAGTAAAATTTTAGAAAAAATAATTGGCAATTTGTTTGCGCATAAATAATGGATACATACATACATAGATTATATATGTTTATTCATATCTTATAATTGATTTAGAATAATTAAAAATAATAATGCTAAATTGATTGGATATATTTACTAATTATCTTAATCTTTTTATCAATTTTTTTAGTTTAGATTTTATCAAAAACTTTGTAAAACATTAAAAGAAGAATTTGATTATTAATACTGTTTTTAAGCTTTAAAAAATTTGATATATTTTAGATAGAAGTTAAATATAGAAATATTCATAAAAAAGGTTTTTTCATTTATTTTAGAAAATAAATAATTAAGTAGGATGATAAAAGATTCATAATTAGAAGGTGAGTATTTAAATTTTCAAAATTTAGATAAGCTAAACAAGCAAGATCCATTAAATAATTTTAAAATTACAAATTTCCATCTAAATTACCAAATTTATAAATGTGTAATATTAAATAGTATTTAAATCTTAAAATTAAAAGAAAGCGACACTAGTCAAGGATTAACTGCATAATAAAAATAGAAAAAGATAAAAAAGCCGAAAGATAAAGTGTGTTCAAGTACAAATTTGTCAGTTCCTGTTTCTGAAAAGCAAACTGGATCAAAAAAATAATAAAAAGCTGGTACATATAAAGAAAAGATCAAAGATATAGTTTCTGAGTAAATAATTTTAAGTAAAAAGTGAAATTTAAATTAGTTTTATTACGTTTATTTCAAAATAGAGATGATGAACTAAATTAAGAGGAAGAGGATATGATTGAAGGTTTGGAAAACATAGATGATGACGATGGTACTTTTATTTAAAAGTTTTTTATAATTGATATTTTATATGAATTAATAAGAAAGAAAAAAAAAGAAGAGCTAGCTTTCTGCTTAACTTACTAGAAAAAGAAGAAAACTATATATTTAATTACTTGAGAAGAAGGTAGTTTGAGTTTATTTAAGTAGTGTAATTAAAGTTAATTGATCTTTTATTCTATAATGGATAGGTAAAGTAACTTGGAGATGAATTGGATCAAGCAAAATTAAAAATATCAAGTATTGAATAGAATCAAAAGCAAAGATAAAATTCTGAAATAGTAAATTATTTTTAAAATGATTACCGACGGATTTTCTCTTTAAATTAATGATTGAAATTTTATTTTTATTAAAAGATGACGTAATTGCTGTAGGAAAGGTAAAAATTGTTTGATAAGCTAGAAGAAAAGATAAAAGAAAAAGATGATATAGAAATACAATATATTATGGATTCTTTGAGGGTAAATAAATTTTGAATAATAATTAAAAAGTAATTATAATAAAGTTAAGATTAGGGTTATCAGGAAAAACTAGAAACTAAGCACTATATTCTTTTTATGATGAAATTGTTAAGCTTATAATGCCTTTTCATATGAAATATTTGATTTGGATAGCAACAGAAAGTAAAATTATTAGCTATTTTAACTAATAAAGAATAAAAATCATTTGAAAAAAATAGATTTAGACATATTTTAGACTGACAAAGAAACTGATTCCACTGATAGTGGAGTATGGTTTTAGAATAATGGAATGACCGAATAGTAAATTTTAGAGATAAGATAAAAAATTTTAGAATCAAAAAAAGATTATGATGACATTCTTCATCAATTAGATTTTTTAAAGCAAAAAATGTAGTAAAAAAACGAATTTGCATAAAATTTTATTGATGATCTTAGGAATTTCTTCCCTCCAATTAACATAGCAAAATTTTTAGTCGACTTAGATAAAGTAAAAAATTAATAAGTATTGAATTGAAAGATTTAAATATTTTTTTATTAGAAAAGAAATCTTTATGAGAGAAATAATCTCTATCCCGATAGTTACTGGCAATAGCTATAACATAAAGTAAATGAACAATTTAGTAGATTTAAAAGTAATAATATTTTAAATATCAAATTTAATTAGAACTGTACCCTTAACCCATTGAAGAATACTCAAGCTCAGGGCTTTGAAAGACCATTTTAGAATAATCCCAATATTCTTTCTACAAATACATAAGTTAAAGAAGAATTGGTTCCAGATTTTAAAATGAAGTAAACATAAGATAACAAAAGGAATAATATACAAAGCTTAGACTCTAGTTAGTGTAGCTTCTCCATAGATTAACTGGGCTAAAGTGGATTCTTAAACTAATAGCAACAATAATTTTTGAATAAATAAAAAAGTGATCTTAAAAGTGAAGATGGTAGGCCAAAAAGTTTCTAAGATCAATAAAGAATGTATTCAGATAAATAGATAAATAAAAATAGCATTCATTAGGCAGATTAAATGATATAAAATTAATTCTTGTTACCAAATTAATAATAATTTGATGCTATTTAAAATGTTCAACATCATGTATCCTATTAAACATCATTATAAAATATTTAAAGTAATCAGTCATTTGAATACGATAAGTATTAATATAGCAATAATTCAAAAGATAATTAGTAGTATATCGGATAATACAGTAATGATTCATTATAATAACTTAATTAATTTGAAAGACCTTAAAATGTTAATCAGCATTCATAAAATTAATCTAAATACTCTAATTTGTAATACCAAAATAACAGCAATCTATAAAATTAAGCAGAATAATCATTTTAAAGCTAAAATAATTAATAAAACAATAGAGTTTAATATTAGTAGCAATTTGCTGGCATTAATAATAGTAATAATAACAATAATATGACTTTTGATTTTATTCCTAACACAGGCTCATTTTAATTTTAAGATCCAAATTAAAATTTCGAATTTTTACTATAAAGAGACTTAAGTTGAAAGCAATTATTGAAAATAAACTTAATTTTATGTCCAAAAATGTATATTTTCTATAAATATTTTAATTTATTACCTTCAAAATTAAAACTAAATTAGACTTAGTTATATCCTAGATATTAAAATTAAATTATTAATAATTCTTTAATTAAATATTTTAATTTATTACCTTCAAAATTAATTCTAAATTAGACTAAGTTATATCCTAGATATTAAAATTTATAATTTATAATTATTTAATTCAGCAGATTTGATTTTATTATGCTACTTAATTTCTAAAAAATTTATTAAACTGGAATATAAATTTTATATACATTTAATTATTTATTTAATCTGATATATTTAATAAATTAACAATTTTTTAACTCCTTACTTTAATTAAAATTAAGTCTTCTGAAATTTCTTAGCAGATATTTATTACATGATTTTTAATTCTATAAAAATAAAGATTTTGTTGAAAATTATTTTTCTAAATTAAAAGAAATTTATAAATTTTTAAAACAATATTAAACGTAAAATTGTTAGACAGTAATTCTTTAATTTAAAAAAATAATTAAATTTTAATTTAAGGTCTAAGAATTAATATAGCTGATACATACTTAAATATTAATAATTTAAGATTGTAAACAAAATTGTTGATAGAAATTAAATTATCTAGATATTTACTAATTATTTATTAATATTAGCATAAAGTTTTATAGAAATATATATAAATGAGAAGAGGAGGTGGAGACGCTGGAGAAAATCCTAGAGGAAAATAAAATTTATAATTTAATATGCCTGTCCCTAAATTTTTATAGTAGCTAAAAGATTCGGTGTTAACTTCTGAGTAGAAAAAAACTAAAGAGCTTGAAGATAGATTGAATAGAGAAGAAGATTTTGATATTTAAAATGCGGTAGTTATAAGAGAGTAATAGGAATAGTAAGAGAAAAAAGAAATAGAAAAAGTAGATATGGATAATTTTAAACCTCAATACGTTAGTAAATAAGATAGAAATGGATTAGGAGCACTAAAAGAAGAAATAGAAAAAAAAAAGAAAGAAGAACTTAAAAAAAAATAATTGTAATTGAAAAAAATGGATGAAGAAAAGTAAAAAAAAGACAAAACAGAAAGTAAAGGTAGCAAAGAGGGCACAGATAAAAGCAGTAAAAGTGAATAAAAGACTTCATCAGCATCTTAAAGCAGCGTGCTAAATTAAAAAAGAAGGTCTATTGAAGAAGCAATAAAAAACCTTGAAAAAGAAACTACAATAAAAAAGAAGTAAGTAGTTTAGTAAAACTTTCTATCTTTTAATGAAGATGAAGAGGATGAGTGAATAAATAATCAAAATTAAGCAAAAATCTGAAATGAAAATGAATAAGAAGTATTTATTATTTGAGCTAAAAGAAATAATTAATAATTTACAATAAGTATTAAATTTTATATAAATATTTATATATTTTTTATTTATTTTATTTTATTTTGAGATCTATTAAAAATTTATTTTATTATTTAGATTTATTCATTTTTAATATCACATCATTTGCATTTATTTTTAGTTTTATTCTTTAATTGAAATTATTTTTTGCTAGATTTTTTGATAATCTAAATAGTCTTTGTGCACATAAAACAGAGAGATATCTTGAATAAACTTTTACATGTTTTAATTTAGAACCCCTTCTTATTTGAGTTTAAATGTGGTATATTAAATTTCTCTGCATTTACGCTTCAAATTATAGAGATCTTGTGGAGTTTAAGTAATAGGAACATTTTTTAAAGGGAATCTAATTATTCTAAGTCCTATTAAATGGAGGCACTAGCAGAAATCCTAAAAATCTAAACCTTGATCAAGAGATAAAGTGTAATAATATAAATATCTTATTGTTGTTTTAGAAATTTTATTTGGAAAAAAGTCTAATTTTTGAAGAATTTCATACATCTCATTAAATCCTAAATATATTTATGAAAAATCGTATGTCGTTTAACTTCTCATAGATCCTGCAAAAACAAATAAATCTTTTAAATTGTCTTCAAATAACTTTAAAAGGCTATCTATTTGTTTGTGGCTCCTCATATTAAGCAATTCTTACTCTTCTGGATCTCTAAAACTCATGTGCATAGGTCTTATAAATTCTTTGAAAAATGTTTCAAATAATTCTTAAGGTTAAGGTATTTGGTCTTAAGATATCTTCTTAAGATAGTATTGAATACTAGTTTTTCTTATAGCTTCCAAAAACTCATAGTAATTTAAAATAGGCTTTTCTTTTTTACTTGTAATTTTTTCAAAAATTGTTTTAAGTGTTTGTATTTCTATAAAATTATCTCCCAGAGTTATTATTTTAACTGAGTTACTTTACTTATTTTTATTAGTTTAATCACCTTTAAGGTTAAGTAGGACGTTCTGTTTTTTAATGTGGCTAAAAAATTAAATCTAATTACTTACTGGCTCCTAGGTATTATTGAGGGTTGAGTTGAAAAGTTATGCTGATTCTTGTTCAGCAGATTCATCGTATTGCTAGCCACTAAGATTGTAAAAAAGTGCTAAAAACTTTTATAATGTAACTTTTTGGAATCTATCTTGAGTATTAGCATCGTTTTTGTTAGAATAAAAGAAAAAGCACCTTCTCATAATAGAATCATCAAATCTCTTTTTATACTTTTCTTAATTATCTGGTGAGTCTTATTCTTTACCTTCCATATCCTCTTCCTCCTTAGCTTTCAAAGGATCATATTAAACTAGGAAATCAATAGCTTCAATATTTTATTACTTTTTATATCTTGGATCTTGCTTCATAAATTATAAAACCATTTCTGCAGGAGAACATATTTTGGCAGAGTTTATTATCTTATACTGCCTCTTTTTCCATTAATTATCTTCTTTATAAATATCAAAATCTACATTTTCTTGATCAAAATAATCTTATTATTATTCTTATTCTGAATTATCCTTTTTGTCAGCTAACACAAACTTTCTAGATCCTGGATTTGCTGTTAGGGATCGCTATTTTCCCTATGGTATTTGCATACTAGAGCTAAATCCTCCATTACCACCTTTTGTTAAATCTTTCATTTGTAGTCTCATATGCTTTGGATCAAATTTAGACAGGAGAGATCCAAGCTCTTTTGTTTTATATGTTTTTGTCCTTCCAACAGACCTTGAACTCTTTTTTTCTCTATATGCTTTTTTGAGAAGATTTTCTTATTCATTAAGCAAATCTTACTGATGAAAATAATTCATTAAAACCCTGTCTAAAACTTATTCTTTATTGTTAGTGTTAGAGAGATCAAAATTTAAATTTTTTTCTCTCAATTTGTACTTTGCTTAAAAATATATTTTATTTTCATTTTAAGTATTTTAGATATTTTCAATAAGCAGCTTCTTTTGAAATTCTAACGACTGAAGAGCAGACGATACGTTACCAGATTAAGATATAGGTGTATTAATGCTTTGATTGAGAGGGTTTATATTACTATTATTTATTTATTTTTATTGATAAAATTGAAATACTTAACCAGAATTTTAAACTGCTCCATTATTATTTTTTAAGTTATCCATAATCTTTTTGCCAATACGCTACAAATTCTACTTACCACCTCCAATTCCATTTTATTCTTTTATTTAAAAACCTTAAGTTGTTGTGTTCCCAGTAAAGTTAAATTAGTTTGGCGAATTAGCATCTGTGATACTTCTCATCCTTTAAAATAATTCTTTTCTTTTCAAATGTTCAGTCACTTCTTAGTAGGCATAATCAATATCTTTTATGACCTATTTATGCTTACTTATTATTTTTTCTATTTTATTCTTTAATGCCTTTTTATTTTTTAAAATTGTTTTTTTTTCATCAATATCTTCAGCCTGTTAAGCGTCTTTTAATGTTGGCTACTTTAAGAATGGTACAGATTTATTTTCTTCTACTATAGGAGCTCGGTAGCTCCTAATATTATCTAGCAAAATCTCAGGCTCAGGAGTTACCTCTAACTTTTTTAAAGCAGTTCTTGTAGGTGATGATTGGCTGTCTTTGCTGGGTTGCAATCTTAATGTTTAAAGTTTACTTGGAGAATATCTAGGAGAGGTTTAAGAACTATTCTTATGGCTTGGAGGAAATCTTGGAGAATTTTAGGAGCTGTTTTTCTGGCTGGGAGGATTAACTTATAATTTTATTATGTTTTTATCTGCTTGTTAATTTGCAAAATTATTTGTGTCCTTTTATAATACAATTAACTTAGTAGGATTATCATTATCTTAGTCAGATATGTGAATTTTATTATCTTTCTAGGGACTTTTTTTATGCTATGATGTATGATTATCCTAACTGCTTTTAACATTAATTTTTGTATGATTAGAAATATCAGCTTCGTCTTCAATTTTACAAGGAATAAAGCTATTTTTCATTAATTCTTCTTTCATGAGCTAATTTATATGATCTCTTTCCTTTACATAATTAATATGCTCATGCAGCTTATTTAAGATACTTTATTCGTTATTTTCGTATTTCAAATATCTCTAGTGAGCAGCTGCATCAACAGAGTTCATATTAGATTCAATGAATTCTTTCTAAATCTGATTTGTGTCGCTTATATATTACTGCATCAAATTTATAATATTTTCATTTTATTAGCTGCTGCTGCTCCTATATTTATCACCTTTTCCTTTTACAAACTTTTACAGATCTTGTATTTAGCTTTCACAATTTAAAACACCTTCTTGTTAACCACTTCCATAAATTGTCTCAGCTTTTATAAACCCAAACTTTTGTGAAGCTCTTAAATCCTGAGAATTTGAAGTCATAAACGAACCACTATTTTATATTTGATTTATCTTTCTGATTTTAATGTCATTTCTTCCTAAACTATTATAATTTCCTTAAATCTTGCTTCTATTAGAGTTTGTATCAATTCTAATATTATTCTATTAACGTCTCTGGTAATCTGTTCCTTTTTTATCTTAATCTTGCAATAAATTATCAATATACCATTATTAGCTAATTATTTATTTTGAAGATCCTTGTTAAGTATTTTAAGTCTTATTCCCATATTGATTTTATTAGAATGCAGATTAACTAGTATCCATTCTTTAATTCATACTAAAATTAATATCTTCATTCTGTTAAAAAGTTTCTGTTTATTGACGATCGCTTTATTCATCTTAAAGTTGGCTTTGCAAATCAAAATTTTAATTAAAACCTGACTTTTATCCTATTTAGCCTTATATTGAATTAATGGTAATCACTCCATTTTTACTATTCCCATACTAGCCAAAATTTTTTTGCATTTATTTGTCTTTGATAAGTTATTAAATCTTTTTTAAGATATTAATTTTGTGGTATATTTATTTATTAAGACGAACAAATAATTCTTACTATATTTTTAATTAACAGTGTACATATATTATCATAATATATGACTCAGATGGTTGTTAAGTGTTTAAAATTTTGAATACTAAACTTTAAAATTTAAGATTAATGGTTAAAATTGTTTATATCTAAACAGAATAAGTATTTAACTGATAATTAAATAATCTTTTAACTAGATTTTCTATATAAATTTTTAAGTTATTTTTAATAAAATAATTTTTATCAAAAATATAGATTGCTCCTAATTAATTAATTAATTATTTTAATATTTCACATATGAAAATATGATTTAAATTTAAGAATAACTTGTATCTATGTAGAATTAATTATTGCTTTAAAAAAAAGATATTTAATTTACTATTTTCAAATTAAAAAAAATAGCATTAATAATTTTTTTGATAATAAAAAGAAGAAGAAAATTAATAGGAACATTAAATAAATGTAGACACATAGATGAACAAAATCAAATATTACTACAATAACTAATTTGAAGAATTAGTAAAGCTTGTTTACATCAGTTAAATAGTTAAAGTTATCATTCTGGTTGTTTATTTTTGCCAAATCAACAGCTTAAAATTTTACATAAAAGATTATAAATAATAATATAACAAAAGTTAATAAAATAACATCACTACTAATTTAACTTATTAGGTTAATTTTTTAGAATAAATAAATTCCTAAGCTTTTTTTTATACTTTTGAATAATATAGCTTATTTTATCAAGCCTTAGCTGTTTCTATTAATATGATATAAAATAAAAAGAAATTAATGTAGAAGTTTTTATAATTGATATAAAGTTTATACAATAACTTACTTTATTTACACACATAGCATAAATGTTTCTTTTGATTTTATATTCAACATAATTATTTAAGCTATTTAGATCTTTCAAGCATAATTTTTTTTTTTGAATTTGGGTTACTCATTTTTTAAATAATTTAAGTTATTGTAGTGGCTATCATTTTTATAGCTTATAAGCTCTTTAAGCAAAACTTTGATCAGAAATCAAATTTTATCAATAATAATGATTCCTTAAGTAAAATATTTGGCGATTATCTATATTTGATTAATTTATTTATATCATAGCACTAACTAGCTAGATAATGAATGGATTAGCTTTTATTCATCCTTTTTTCTAAAAAATATACCAGTAATAAGTGATATTTAAGATAGTATTCTCTATTAATAGTGTTAAATTTTTTTTCAAAAATTTTTTATAGATTTGATTTCGGATATGTACTTTTTATTAATACTATCTTTTTATAAATATAGGGAAATTAACTTTGATAATATTCATAAAACATCACTTCTTTGAAAAAAAAAATTAAGAGTAAAAGATCTATATATTCAAAAGATTTTAATTTTTTTCTGATATCCTTTCATATAAATTAAGATACCTATTTTTCATATTTTAAAAAGATAAGTAGAATTATAATCTTTAATATATTAATTTATTTAAGAGTAGTACATATAATACTCAATTATCTTTAATTTAGTTGTTAATCGTGTTATTATGAGAATAAATGCTCGTTTTAAAATAAACTAATTAAAATATGAATACTAAAACTTTAGATAATAGCAATTAACAAATCACCAGTTTATGATTAAAAAAATAAAAATGGCTTTTAATTGAAAAAAGGGGAGAGTTATATAGAATTTGAAATAGCAGCTTTTAAACACTAAAAACATATCACCTAATTAGATTTTACTCAAAATAAGTATTTCACATCTTATCACCTTAGGAGCTGTCAAATCTTTTTCATGATGATTTATAATAAAATTAATTAAAAACGGAAAAATTAAATTCTTTTTTATGTGATTATAAGAATATTGTAAAAATTCCTTTTTGTTGTAGATTTTTCTATTTAAAATAATTTCAGAATCAAACAATTTAATTATATGAAAAAAATTTATCTAATTAAAGGTTTAAATCAATTTAAAACAAATATTTTAAATTTAAAAAAAATTTTTATAAAATATTGTTTGTTATATTTACTAAAAAGTTCATTAAATAATTTAATTGAGTTCTACCTCAATTTTTTCTCTCTCTAATTTGTCTACTAAACTCTAATAATCTATTTTGGATCAATATGAATTCTGTATAAAATTTCTTTTAATTAATAAGATTTATTTATTATTATTTAATCATTTTTAAATCTTGATAGAAAAAAAATATCTTCAAAAAAATAAATTAATTAATTTTTAAAAATTTGTAATTTTTTAAGGTAATAAAGGAAATAGATTAAAATGTTAGCATTCCTAGCTACTTTAGCCTTAATAGGTGTATCAGTTTACTATTTTACTGTGTTGAGGAAAAAATGGTAAGATGAAAAAGCTAGATCATTAAAGGAGTTAGCCAAAAAATAAGCTGCTTAACAGAATGCGAAAAAAGAAAAACATTCTAAAAATTCAACAACTTAATCAGCTACTCATACAGAATAAACTCAACCTTCTACTTAACCTGAGTAGAAAGTTAAAAATTTAAAGAAAAAGGACCATGTTAATACCAAAATTAACCATAAAAATATTGAGCATGAGTTATATTAGGGAGCTGTTAAGGGTTTTGCAGGAGAAATAACTGACTATGACTTTAATCATGAATTTTTAATTGTTTCATCTAAAGATAAACATATTAGAGTGTTCAAATTGAATGACCTTTGTGCTAATTAAGTTTATTATTTCTCTGTAGAATTCGGTTACCCTACAGCTGTAGCAATTTCTCCTGACTCCAAGTATATTGCTTATGCTATTAACATAGATAAGAGTATTGAATTGAGAGGATTTGATCTTAGTAACCCAGATGTTAAAAAAAGAACAACACAACCAAAGATTTTTGCAAAGGACTGTCATAAAGAAGAAATTCAAAAGCTTTCTTTCGACATTAACAATAAGTTTATTATCTCAAGTGCTTGCAATTCCGATACTTTTGTAAAGATTTGGTCTCTTTAAGGAAAGGAATTGAGCGCTTATAACACTGGACATAACACTCATTATATGGCAAGATATTCATAATAACGCAAATTCTACTTCTTTGCATCATGGACTTCTAACTTCAAGACACTAACATTTGTCACTGATAAAACTACACATGATTTCAAGTAAATCACAAAAGCTTACGGCTTAAGTCATGGCGCATCTATCAATTATGTCAACAGTGATAATCTCGATGAAAAAGCTATAACTATTTCAAAGAATGAAAAATGTGTAAAGTTTTGGGATATCAACGTGAAGTAATAAATTAAAATTATAAATTTTTATTTTACATAGAATTTATTTATGTATTTTTAATAAAAAAATTTTATTTCATAAAGCTACTAGGCATTGGCAGATCCAAAAGTTATAAAGCAATTTAAAGGAGAAGCAGAATAAAAAGCTTTATTTGATGGTAAGGATTAAATTATCATTTCTGGTGCTATTCATAACTACGAAGGAAAAGTATTTTATTCTTTGTCAAACGGTGAAGATGTTGTCTTACTAGATCAAGAATTCAACAAAATTTAGTTATTCAAGGATGTCTTTACTCCAGATTTCTATATCAACAGAGTAGAATTTATTTAACCTAATGATTCTACTCTTTTTTTGGTATTTGGTTCTCTCGATGAAGGAAGATTAAATGTTTTTAATATTTCTAAATACATTAATTGAGCTGATTACCTCAAAATTTTATAAAAATAAAATCTATTTAAATTTATAAAACATCTATAAAGTACTCTTTGTAAAAATTTAATATAATTACTCATAACTTTATTATAAATTTGATTGGATACATTTATGAAATATAAAAAATAATACAAAAAAGAAACTTTATTTAAAAAAGAGCTTGCATAATCTAAATTAATTAAAAAACTTTTAAATAAAAAACTCTATTTTGATATTTTTAAGATTTTGAAGGATTTTTAACTTTGTAAAAATAATTGGATAGATTTTATTATATAAAATGAATTAATATTTTATTTGCATAAGTTTACAAAATAATTAATTAATTAATCAATTATTTATTTATATAAATCAAAATTGTTTTTTTTTATAAGTTTTTGTCACTGTTTGACTGCATAGTTATCAATTACATTTGATTATTAGAGTTGATTTTAATTTTATTATTTCTAATTGGCAGCATATTGATACCCATTTTATTAGATTGTATTAGCTTAATTACTTGAAAGAATCTTTTATATATGCAATAATAATTAAGGATTTTTCAGTTTCACTAACTCATTTACGTCCTTTATCCTACCATCTACTAGGTGCAGATAAGAACGCTTTTAGCCATATTTAAAAGAAACATGTTATCTAACTATATCGTCATCTCCAGCAAGCATTTCATATCTTAGTATTTCTAAATCTTTATAATTCAATGTTTAAATAACTTAAAGATATGCAGTAGTATCTGGCCTTATGTTTAATATGCATGCATACCTGTTTATTTGATAATAATAAATTAAATGATTCTAATGCTATTATTTTTATACTTTAATGGATCTGTTTTGCATTTCTCTAAGAACTATTAAGTGGAGCTATAATACTATTAAAATGTTCCATCTAATTATTAGGTTTCTTTAAGAACTTCATAGCTTTCAGCATCTATACTTTTGATTAGCAAATGATAATTAAATGATTAATTTATTTAAATATAATTTAATGTAATGAAATTATTTTTATTTAAATTAATTACGTGTGGAAAAAATAAAAAAATAAATCATTGTCTGTTGTAACCTCAATAGTGAATTTTTCCAGCTTCTGGCCTTGTTTCTATTGATTTATAAAATGAATCCTTTATTTTATAAAATAATTTATTTTTTTAATTACTTTTGTTAAAAGCCTTATATTAATTAATTCTATAGTTGAAGGACTTTATTCCTCCCCTTGTCTCTCTAAAAACTTCAAAAGAAATTATAGACGCACAGAGAATGTTTCTTTATATCCATTTTCTGTTATTTTTTATAGATTATTATTAATTGTTTTTCAAAAAATTTATATTATTTTTAAATTACAAAAAATAGGATCTATTTATTTAATAGGATTCAAATCAAATTAATTTAATATGCTAGGAGCTTTGTTAGGCGTCTTTGATTTTTCAGAGTTGGAGATCGAAGATGATGTTTGACTTTACTAATTCATATTATTTTTTTAACTAAATTGCTTTTAATTTTTTATAAATTTGATTTTATAATTCGAATTATGTTTTTTTTTTTCAATAATTTAGAATTGTGTTAAATTTTAAGTTTGAAGAAAGAATACGTACGCTATCAATTAGCAAAATTTGAAAAAACATTATTTATCTGTTAATCAGAAAAGCTATTTTCTATTATAATTAATGAAAACAAAATAATAGATAAATTTTACATTAATTTTATCATAGTTAAATCATTAAATATTAAAAAAATTAACATCTAAAATAAACACTCAATAAAAAACATTTTTTTATCAATTTTAAATATTGAAAAAATAAAATCTAAAATTTAGGATTTTTACAATTTCAATAAAATTGAATTTTTTATTCCAATAATTTATTTCTTTTTATATAAATTTAATAATTTTAATGTATTTTTACATATTAAAATATTTTATTCTCAGATTAATAAGTTCAGATGAACAGCTTTTCTTTAATTGCCTCTAGATATTACAAGTTTTGTGAAAAAAAGATTCGTATTTGAGACTCATCTAATAAATCATTTATACAATTAGGATATTTTAGGATGATTTATTTTGTAATATGCAATGCAAAATCTTAATTTTATAAGTTACTCTCTTAATTTTCAATATGGTTTTAAGATTAATTGCTTTAATAATCTAAAATTTAATTTAAAAATTCATATAATTAAGTAGTAGAAATTTTATTATTTCCTTTCATAACAAGTTTTGTATAAAATTTGATTATATCTTAAATAAATTCATTATTTTGATTGTAATTAAACTCAAAAATCTTTTTTATATCTATCCTTTCTCTTATTATAATTTTAAGCACCTCATCTTTGATACCATTATCATTCCTAATTTTTAAAAGAGTATTCTTGTCTATGCTTTTCCTTTTTAATGGAGGTTACACTTAAAGTTAATTTTATTCTTGATTTAATTTTTCTTATTCCTATTCATTTTTTACATCAAATTATTCATTTATAGGTGGAATTTTATTTTAATTTAAGTATTTTGGAATATTTTATTAATTTTGCATTTCTTTTGTTTGTGCTGACTGTTGATCTAGGTATTTTGGCTTTGTTAAATTATTTTATTATTGCATTTTTTATCTAAGATTTTTATTTTAAAACAGAGTGTAGGCTTTTAAAGTTGATTCTTTTAAATTGTTACTATTTATTTTTTATTCCTTTTCATTCTTATTAAGAAGCATTTCGTTATTAGGTATCAATGTGTTAAATTAAAAGCTTTACGAAAGATTAATATTTTTTAGGGTTTACAAAAAGCTAGTATTTTTATTTTTTAACTTATCTTATTACTGGCTTGTTATTTTTTATATGCCATTAAAATTCTACATTTACTAAAAGGTATTAACATCTTTAGATTATAAATATTAGGTATTTTATAAGGGATTTTTACTTTCATTTGTAGACTCTTCAGTTTGCATTTTTTAATTTAATGTATTTGATTTTAATAAAAATTTTAATTTGGCTTATTTATTTATTTACTGTAAAAAATGTTTATCATGATTTTTTTCCTTTGAATTAAGGAGCGATTTTGATGATATTGATCTTTTTTTAGGGGAAAACTTTTCTTAGCCATCAATACCGTTATTTGAGACAATTGATTAAGATCCATATTATTTTTATAATATTTGTTAAGGATCCTAATTATTATCATTATATCCTGATTGATTTATATTTAAATTAGTATAATCACTGTTTACTCTGTTTAGCCTTTACTATTAGATGCTTTCAAAAGATTTCTATCTTCTCTTTATGTTAAAGTCACTTAATTTTTTTTATATTTATTATTTACGGTGAACTGGATCTATTGGTTTATAATTAATAATAAAATCTAAAAGTGATGAGTGATTTTTGTTTTTATCGATAGCATTTGAGTCGATTTTTTCCAAGATATTCTGATTTTCTTATTGTTTCTTTAGATTTGTTTTTTCTTTAATTTTTTTGGATACTTTTTCAGTCATTTCTTTATCAATATTACAGAATTTTTTTGAAAGTTTGTAAATATATTTGTAGCTAGTGCTCATTTCATCAATCATCATAGTGCTTTTATCTAAATAGTCACCCATTTAAACATTTTGCTTCTTAACCTTCACAAAAGAATAATTTGAAAAGTTTAACTTTTTCAAAGTGTAAAAATCACTCTCACTTAATACTCTACTCAAATGATTATTTCTCTTTTATTAATTTTCACATATGATTTAATCGATTTTATCTTACAAGCGATAAACTTCTCCTAACTCTAATCTTTCCTTTTCTTAATTAAGACTCCTACTTCTAAGTTTATACCTATTTTAATTTTAATTGTTTATCCATTTTTCTAATGGTTAATTTGTACCATTTAAAGTCTTATTCATAGAATTTGTAGTCTTAGATCTTTTCGTATTTATTTATTAGCTTTTTAGGTTAAGTTCATCAAAGTATTTGTTAAAATAATCATCCATTAAAAATTCTTATTCTTTAAAAGCCACTGAATTTGCTCTTGATATAAATGGCTTTTCCGATTGTTCGCTTATAGGTCTAGACATGAGGTCTTTTAGAAACTCAAGATCTTTTTGTATTTTTCTTTGTATCTCTTCAGCTTAATTCCTTTAACGGATATGCTAAAGTTTTATCAAGTTACTACTATACAAATTCATGAGGAAGTAAGCAAAACCAAAATATATAATTAAATTAACAAAAGTTATAGTAATTAATTAATGAATAAATATATTGAAAGCTATCTAACAATATTTTAGTATAACTAAATTATAAGATTTTGGATATCTCTTAATTAAATAATATCCACATAATTTTCAATATATTTCAATTTATTTATTATATAGCTTTAATATAACAATAGGTATAAATTAATTAGCACATCTTTCTTACATAGATTTATTTAAGAATATTTATTTTTTAAGTGATTTAATTTAAAACTTTAAGAAATAAATTATTTTTATAGAAATATTATTTTTATAAAAATTTATTAATTGATTTATTTAGAAAATAGTCATTTAAAACTTTCCTAATTTTATTCTTCAAATTGACCTTCGCTTTCCTCACTAACTCTCATTTCTATTTTTTTAAAATCATAAATAAAATATTTAAAAATAATAATAAAAAATACATTGATTCATAAATTAGGATAGCATTTAAGTATTTTATTATTATCTAGTTTTTAAAATTAAATTAATAAATAACTATCATAAATCGAAATAAATTATACTGAAATTATTAATCTCCTAATGAATGATCTCTCATCTAATCCAAGTTTGGATCATTCTCATCTTGTTAGCTATACTCATTCCTTAGAATTAAAATCTCTTAATATAACTTTAAATAAAATAATATTTTATAAAATATGACTTTTTAAATGAGTAATTAATTACTTGTTAATTTTATTATTATAATTCATCTACCATCAAATACTTTTCGTTTTCTTTTTCACTTAAAAATGCTAATTCTTAGCCAAGTTAATCTCTATTAACAATTAGTTCTTTATATTACTATATTATTTATTCAAAAGTATGGAAAAGTTATTATAGATTTTTTTATCTCTCAGTTTCTTGTGATTCATTTTCATCATTAGTTTTTTCAGTTTGATCTGTTTAAGTTTATTCTAACTCTTCTATATTTTCTTTAAGTCTTTTTTAACCTTTTTATAGAATTAATTTTGATAAATAATGATTATTTTTAAATTATTTACAATGCTCGTTTGTGATAAGTTCTTGTATTGTTTCACAATATTTATTAACTAACTCTTAGACATCTTAATTAGGCACGAATTCTTTTATTTGAGAGATGTAAGTTTCAAGTATGAATTTTTACTCATAAACTTCTGCTAATCTTTGTTGTAATTCTTGCACTTAAAGAGTAATTTCTTCAATTTGTTTTTCATACTTTTATTCAAATTATTCCATAACTTTTTAATCAATTTATATTTAATCATTTTATTGATAACTTTATTCTCTATTCCTAAGACTGAATGAATTTTCAAGGCTTTAAATCTACGAAATTTTCACTTGCTTAGGAGATATTTATGAATCCTTTTCGTCTTATTCATTATTATTTTGCTACTCCTTCAATAGCTGATTCTCTTTTAATAATTCTTCGATTTTTTACTTTATCTATAAGACAATAGGCTCATACTAGTCTTATTCTATACATTCATCCTCTTGATCTATGATCTATAATAGTTTACTCATTATAACTACTTGAGTTGAAAAGAAATTTGCTTTCATCTACATATATTAAAGCTATTGTATTTTCTCATCATTTTCCATTCCCTTAAAATAATTAATACAAAAAATTATTTAAAATTAAACTATTTTTTCTATTTACATTTTTAAGTAAAGCAATTTCTTCTTACAGCTTTTCTTTTTCTTCTTCAGATTGCTAATATTTTTAATGAAATTCTATAACTCTATTGTTTAATTCTTCAAAGTTTTGCTCATACTATTGCAAAATTTCAGGATCTACTTATTAAGATTAATTTTAGCGAGATAATTCTAAGTTAGCCTTTTTCAGTAATTGTTGATTTTCTTCAACTAATTCTTGGAGTTTATTATTAGCTGTAATATGTATAATGTTCTGTTGTTTTAATTGTTCAAATTAAATCTAAATTTCAGATAAATTTGCCTTTAAGCCAATATTTTCTTATACAATTTTAGCAAATTCCTCTTATTTATTCTATGTGTTATTAGTTTGCTTTGTTTCGAGAAGTTAATTTTGCAGAATATCTAGTTATTTCTAAAAGGTGTCTGCTTTATGTTACTTATCCTAAAATTACATTTATAATTCTTTAATTTATTCATCTTTTTTATTAAGCAATTTATCTTTCTCAATTATTTAGCTATCCTTTTAAATAATCGAAGTTTAGTTTTTCTCTAATTACTGAGTGAGATGATTGTTTTTTTGTTCTAAGATATCTACTTATCTTTCTAAGTTATTGATATTTGCTTGTATTGCTTCGAATTGATTTTGCTTATCTTCCTCTTCTTCTTGACTTTATTACTAAGCACTAAGTTCTCTCAGATCTTCCAACTCTCTTTGTTTAATTGCATTCTTCTTTTCTTGACTATTTTATAAATTATTATCTAATTAGTATTCGCTAATCTATTAAATTTTTTCTTCATATTCTTTTAATAGGCATTCTAAATCTTCATTTTGATTTTTGATTTCCTTTAGCTCTTCATTCAGTTCATAAATGTCTTAGATTTACTTCTAAATTACTTGATCTTTTTCTTCTAAGATTGCTTCTTACTTTTAATTTTTAATAAATAATAATTAAAATCTAATAATTTATGAAAGCAGTAAAATATATATAAAAAATCATCTAAATTACCTCAGATTTATTTTCATTTTAATCCTTAAGGAGAGTTTCAAGTTGAGAAATGACATTATTCTTTTCATCAATTTATTTAATGTAGTGTTGATTTTCTTCTATCAAAATAGAATTTTATTAGATTGCATTTTCAATATCATTGACTAACTTGTTATTAGACTCTATTAAATAAAATTTTTCTTAGTCATGCTTTTTTTTGCCATCTAAACTTTGTGTTAAGTCCTCTTTTATTTTTTAATTTATTGTAAAAAGCTCTTATATCTAAATTTACTATTATTAATTTTATTCTATCAAACTTTTTAAGCTGTTATCTTAATCAATAATTATTGCCTAACTGGATGATATATCTTGCTCTATTTTCTATTATATTTCCTTTAATTAAACAAGAATATCAATCTATTTATCTACTGAAACTATGTAAGCTTCTTCGAATAAGTTTATTAATCCAGAATCGCTGACACTTTTGAGCATTTACTATTTTAAAATACTAATCTATGAACGAAATTACTCACAATTTAATGTTTCCTATTTTAACAAATCTTCTAATTAAGCTATTCTTAACTCTTGAATTTTGATTTATTCCAAATATAAATTTGAATCATATTACTAATCCCCCTATTGCATTTGTTGTAGATCTATGTTAATATTATCTATGTTATTTTCCATAAAATTTTCTTCTTTTTACTAGATAAAATTGTTTGTATAAGGCTACTTATATTAGTTATGGTTTACTTAACCATAAGGGTGTTAACTAAAAAGGTTATAAGATTTAGCTTATGAATGAGGAGAAAAGAAGTTTTTAGACTAGCTTTGCGATGAATAGGGATGTAGGCCTAAGCTTTTTTTCTTGTCAGCAAATGCATTTATTTACTGGTAGTGGTTTGTTCTTAGCTATTTAGAAGCATTGCTAACACTTAAATTTATAGAATTTCCTCCATTAAAACTTTCACTTTCTAATTTAATAATAAAAAATATTTAGGCCTTAATGAAACTCCTCATTTTAACAAATTTTAAATATTTGATAATTTGAATAAATACATTCATGTGAGTTGTATGATTTTTCTCTCTTTACTGAAATTTGTGAAGAGCTGGAACCTATTCTTGTTTATGCAGCTTTGATTCTACTTATTTTATTAGACATTTTAGATTCAGAATTCTGCTAAGTACTATAATAAATTTAGCTTTAACCATTCCAAATCTAATTTATAAATTATTATTTTAACATGTTTGTTTCATAAAAAATATACTCACATTTGATTTGCTTGCAGATTTTTAACCACTATTTTCTTTTAATCCATATGAACTATAATTTTGATTGCTTTTATTTTGAGAATTTTGAGACTCTCTGAACTTGATTTAAACTATCTGATTGATGCGTTCACTCATTCCTTACCTTTGCTAATCAGTCAATCTTTTGTCGTTCATTTTTTTTAATTTTTAATTTCCTTTTGAGCTTAATTCCTAAAATATTTTTAATATTCTTGAGCCTTGTAGATAGTAAAATATACTTTTATATATTTATTATTGAAAATAAAACTAAGAATGTTTTATATATTAAAGTAGTGATAGTTGTTAAGACTTATTTTAAATAATTAATTAATTAACTAATTTAAATTATTTAAATTATCACAAAATGTATAGAAAATATATTTTTTGATAGAAATGAATAAATAAAAAAATTAAAATATCTTTTGCTTTATAGCCATATTTTTTTTGTCAAATAATTAAATTAGATCGAGAAGAAATTTAATAATTTAATTATTTATATAAAAGCTAGTAAAGAATCCTCTTTAATTTAATTTTTTTTCAAAATCAATTACCAAAGTATTTTTGAGTATTTCAAAAAATATTGAAGTCTTATAACTGTTAAAATTAGTAAAAATAGCTAACTTATAATTTAGTAAACAGTTAATTTTTTAAAACGAAAATATTAAAAACAACAAATTACTGACCAAGTGATATTTAGAAATTAAAAGAGAATACTTGCTTAAAATAGAGACAAAATATGTAATAAAGTTCAAGCATGCAAGAATGATATATAAATTAATATAATAACAGAAATCTTTTTTTTTAATATAGTATAAATTAATATTTTAATTAATTAACGATCTTAATCCTTAATTATATAATCAATAAGGTACTTTTAGTCTTAAACTTGTATCTCATTGATTTTTAATAGTAATTATAACGTAGAAATATTGTAAATAAAGATAATAAAGAGAATTGTATTATGTTTAACTATGATTTGATTGCTATAAAATTAATTGGTGGTGTTAGTGTTTAAGTTAAATGAAAAACACTCTTATATGTCTTTACCTTCAAATTTAAATTATTTGCTATTTTTGATAGAGCATATCTTCGTTTCTTAATTAATAGACCTGGTCTTCAGGAATTGTACTCAAAATGTAATTATTTTTTTCTCTAGGACTTTAATTGTTTGCCTTAGGACTATTGTAAAACTTTTATTCTTAATAAATAAAGGGCTAGACTGTTGCTAATTGCTGTTGATATGATCTGTAAAAAGATTATTCTTTTACTCCAGTATCTGGACCTTCACTGAACTAGTCATTAATTCTATTGCTCTTCGCTGATTTTGTTTAACTTCCATCATAATGAAGTGATGATTCCATATGAGGATCCTATTCCCTTATTTCTGATAGCTACTTTTTGCTATACCTAAAGTTTATTGCTACTCTTTCTTAATAAACTTAATCTTAACTCTATATGCTACCTCCATTCTATTTTAATTAAAATAAAAATAATCTACTTCGCCAGATTGATCAATAACTAAATCAGTTTAGAAGTATATGGATATTTTCCACAATGTTTAATATTAAATCATCTGTTACCATATTTTAAAGCTGGATTTTAGCTAAATTTTAATTAATTACTTGCTAATTTTGAAAAAAATAATTTTAAGATCACTAAATGTATAAATGTAGAGTAATTTAATTTAATGAAAAATAAAAGAATACTGGCTATTTAGAATACATGTACATCTTTTTATCAATCATATCAGGCTTGATATATCCTAAATCTTCTAACCTATTCTCACTTTGGCAACAACCCATTATATAACAAAACTATATATTGTCAGTGCAAGACTAATATTTTAAGTGAATGTGCTAGCTAGCTTTGATTTCTAAAATTTTGTTATCAAATTTTTTATTTTTTAATTACAAATTTAGTGGAATTATTAAATATTTGTTAATTATTCAATTAATTTGAGGCTGTCATCTATCAAATTTCCTAAATATTGAATGATTGAATCAAATGATCAAATCTTTATTTCTAAAAAAATTCACTGATATTTCAAACCAATTAATAAAATATTTAAATTCAAACTGAAATAAATAATACACTTAAAACATGTTTTATTATTATAGCAAAGCCAATTTATTTTTGCTATAAAAATTTATTCTTAAAACAAACAAATAGTTAAAAATTTTTTAAAAAGTAAAAAATATTTTATCAATAAATTTTATTTTTATATTTTTTCTAATAAAAAAATTTTTTTTTTTCAAAGTAAAATTAATTGTTTTAAATTTCTTTAACTTTGTGTCTTATAATTTGTTTATAATTTCCTTTAGTTTTATAAATAATAAAGAAATACATTTATTTTTATATTATTTTACAATTTATTTTTATAAATAAATAATTTTAAAAAATTTTTTTAATAAAATTTATAAACAAAATCTTATTTTTATTTACACCTTTAAATATTTAAAAACCGTAAAGCATATAAAATAAATAAGAAGATATTTCTTATGGTCTTTCTATTTTTTGATGCTTTTTGATCAATATTTTCATTAGGTATTATGATGATGCATTAATGAATTTTATAAATTACTATTGATAGTGATTAAAAATTGTTCAGATCATCAGGAGATTGACTTGGGTTTGTAATATTTTTAGGTTATAATTGGATTAGTATCCTAATTATTTATTAATATAAATAGGAAATATCTAATGTAAATAAATAATCAATTGATTGGTATTCTTACTTTAATTCAGATTTCTATCATACAAATATTAATTGTTACTTACTAATTTAATCGATATCTTCAAAGAGATATTTTATTTCAACACTAATCACTGAAAGAAGTCAAAAGAAGATTTAGAAGTTAATAAAATATGGATTTATTTATTGATTTTTACTTACAGAATATAAATAGCTTTATATATATGCAAACTGTAATTAAATTAGCTTAAATTTGTATTCTTTTACAATTTAAGTGTGTTACAAATTAGTATAAAAAGATAATTACTAAGTTATAAAAGCAGTAGTTCTAGTTCTAATATACTTGCTATAAATAGCAAAATTTATTAAATATTATTTAGATTAATGCATTAATTATTAAAAGTAATAAATTTGACAATAGTCTTAATTATTCTTACAATAATTAAAGTCTTTTGATATACTATTAAAAAAGTAAATAATAAAGCTTTGTATTTACGAGTATAATGATATAATATCAAAATACTAATGAATATATGAACCAAACACTAAATATGAAGAAATCATAAATTAAATTTAATGGATTTTTCTAAAATGTATTTTTTAACATACCACTATGCTTTATTCAAAAAAGCTTTGATTCATTCTAGTTTAAGAATCAAATTAAAATATTTTTCAGAATTAATATGAATTTTTGTTGTAACTTCTAGTTAATATGCTTATCTTTTATTCATTTATTTATTTATTAATATAATTTTAAAACAATAAATAAATATGTTTGTAAAATAATTATAATTTTTTTGTTCATGAATAGAGAGTAAGATAACAGAGAGCTCTAGTATTATTTTATAATACAATTTCAAAATTATTTATTTATTTGCTCCAATGGCTTGTTTTGACACAAATTAGAGGCAACTTTTTTTAAAAAATATCACTATAATGTTAGGCAAATAGTGCATCTAAATTATCTATTTATCTCTTAATATTAGTTTCGTAGAAATTTCACTTTACAAAATTAATAATTTTTATAGATCTAAAAACATGCATGAGTTCTATTAAGAAAGTTTTTGAAATTTGATAATAATAGAAAAGATTAATTACTATTAGCTCCATCTAAATGAATTTCTTATCTTTATTTATTTTACTTTTTATTTAAACAAAAAGTGATCAAATTACAAGAGAATCAATCACATTGAATTTGCTTTTTTATTATTTGTATTGGAGACGTCACTCTTAAATAAAAACTAAGTACAATATACGAAAGCAAAAAACAAAAAAAATTAAAAAAAAATTATTAAAACCAAAAATTAAAAGTAATAATACTTTTTGTGAGCAAGAAGATATATACATACAACAATAGTAATAAGATAGAAAAATAAAATTCATTTATCACTTTGCATAGTAAAATCTGAGCCAACAAGATGATTAACAACTAATAAAAGAAAGTAACATTTGAGCCAACATTGCTAATTTACGACGGTAATGAAGTCTCTGCCTAAGAAAGGAGAAATCAGCTCAATTAATAGCAACAGTAATAGTAACAACCTTTATTCAATTTGCTTCAAATATTATTATTATCATCATCATCTAAAAAAGTCTTAAAAAAAACAATAAATGGAAAAAATTTTTAGCAGTTTATTAATACTAATGTCCAAGTTGCTAAATATATTTTCAAACTTTTAAATAGGTCCCATCTCACAAACGATTTATATTAAGGTGTTTAAGATATTATTTTCATGGGTAACCAGTAAGATCCTTTAGATGGGTAAATGTTAGGTCTTGACAAAGACAATGGTTCAAACTATAGTAATGGAAATAACTAATATTTTGTTCAATAAAATATTAACTATGCAGCTGCATCATAAAATTATGGGTAAATTGAATTTTTATATTTAAATAGCTAAATATAGGCTTTAGTTATGGTGCCCATATAATGAATTATTTCTCTTTAATAAATAGGAAAAAGAACTCATAAAATAATAATGGCGAAAGATTCAACTGTAATATTTTTAATGATTTCTTAAATAATGCAGTAATTAATTTAAAATAACAAATTATTTTATTTCAAATATAGCTTAATCTTCAAAGGCCAAAGCAAACTAAATAAAGCAATCTAAATCCCTAAATGATATGAATGCACTGATTAGCAACAATCCTTTACTCTAGCAATCAAATAGCTTTTAATAGTAATTATTATTAAAAAAACTCTAATTATAATTTTTAGACAATTTACAAAACATTAATGTCTAAACCTGCATTTTTTAAAAAATTCCAAATATTCATTAATTGTTAATATTCTAATCTTAAACAAAAGTTAGCAGAATATTCCTCAATAACCTTAGTAGCAAGCTCCTTCTAACCCAACTATTTCTAGAAATAATTCAGCAGAAGGTTTAGCAAAGTTGGCTTCTAATCCTAATATACAAATTTCTAACATTAAAAGCAATGTTAAAAATACTTACATCAAGAAGATTTCATCTTTAATGAATGTGGTTCAATCAAATGGTGATTTATAGAATATGGGAAATGAAAAAAGGTAATTTTTTATTTGTCTAATATTATAATAAAATGTAAGACTAAAATACTTATTAATATATTCTATAGTGGAAATATAAAGCAAGAAATAAGAGAAAGTGACGATGATGGCGATGGTGATTCTAATTCAAAGTCTTTTGACCAGAAAGGAGATGATTCTTAGGAAAATAAAAGATTAAAAAAGAATAGAGAGTCCGCAAGAAATTCAAGACAAAGAAAGAAAATTTATATTGATTTACTAGAAAAAAAAGTAACAGAATTAATTACAAATCAGAATTTAAAAAAAATACTAAGCGGAATATTAGATGTTTATTAAAATTTTTGTAACAACTAGGTTACTGAGTTAACAAAAGAAATAGAAGAAGTGTGTGTATATATAGAAAAGAGCCAATCTGGTATTTCTAGCATACTCTCGCACAATCCATATGTAAAAATAAATTTTGCTTTTGCTTTTTTAGTCAAAAAAAATATATTCAAGAATTTTAAATATAAATAAAGTTAAGGGGATTAGTTTTGGAAAGATTAAATTTCATAGAAAAAATTTAAAAAAATATTGGTGAACCTAAGCCAAATGAAGACGAATTGAATTTAGTTGTTGATTCTTTTAGAGTAAAATTTTTAAGTTAAATTATTAATATTTTATTAGTTAATTAATTTTAGCTAAGACTTGGAGCAACTGGAAGAATCAGATAGCATGCAATAAATCTTTTCTTTAAGCACATGTATAAATCGTTCCTAGAGAATAATTATGAATATTTCTTATATGGATACGAGCAAAATTAAGATGACGGTAATTTTAAATAATATTTTCTATAAAGTAAATTAAGTGCTTAATCTCTTATTTTATTATAGATGAGGAATTTAATAGATGTGTGGAAATTTTCAAAGACACCATTGGTTTACCTGAAAATGATAATCAAATTTATAGTGCCCTTCCCATTTTAAAAAAGTTTTTAGAGCATAGAAAATCTTTTAAAAAGTAAACAATTTAATTATTATTCATTAAATCTTAAATATAATCAAAAATAATAAAATAGAGCATTTAGAGAAATGAAGAACATCTAGAAAGAATGGATTACTAAAACAACCTCAGTTGAGAATTTAGTAGATAAAATCTCTCCTTTATTAACAGCAACATAAGTAGGAAAATTAATTGACTTTATTGATAAGGTAAAATATCATAAAATTAAAATAAATATTTTAATTATTCCACCTTAGGCTTGCAAAATGATTTCAATTAAATGATTTAAAATAAATTATATTTTGAAATTAAAATATTCTCATATTCATTTACTGATAATTTAATTAAATTTAATAATCACATACATAAATATTAATCTTTAAAATATTTAAAATCTTTTAAATTAATTTATAGAAAAGACAATAGCCTGAACTTAATTCTATGAAAAGAAAGTACAACTAAATTACTAGCTAATAAATGGCAAGCAGTTTTGCTGGATAGTTTAACACAGGAAACAGTAGCCACTCTTTAACTGTTAATAATTACTAGAGTTTCAACTAATAATTAATGACTCCCTCTTAAATTTTATCTGCAAATAATGCTTTAGGAAATACTTAATCTTATCAAAATAATGGTAACAATATAGGAGGTATTCCATAATATTTGAAGAACAATTTTCCTAATCAAGAATTTGGAGGAAACGATAATGGACTAGGCAATTTAACTGATGATCCTGCCCAGAATTTTTATAACCAAATCCAATTCTAAAATTACAGAATGTATTAACCTGTATTCTAAATTTCCTAGCCTTCATATTTCCCTAATTAAATGTAAAACCCAAATTAAGCAGCTCAGCCTAATAATCCTATTAACAATTTAAATTAAAATGATATTTAAAATAATCCTATGCATCATCACCCACATCATATGAATTAACCAGGAAATTAACATTTATAAAATCATCAAATCTAGCAGCCAATAGCCCGCGATAATACATTTTTGAATTAAAATAATTAAAATTAAACAGGCCTAACATTTTTTGATATGATTCCTTAACAGACTAACGATGACAGAGATACAATTAAGTAACCTATTGGTAGTCTGATTTAAAATAATGAACATTATTTTGTACAAGATAATATCTAAAAAAAGAGAAAACAATATTGAATTAAATTGCTTTATTAATTGAATTATTTTGGAATTAAAATTAAAATAACAATTAAACTAAAAGAACTTACTTATTTAGTATTTTAATAAATGTAGAATAAATAAATAAATAAATAACTAATGACTATTAAAATTATTTTCAAAAATAAAAATAAATAAATAAAAAAATAAATAAAAACTTTATAAAAAATAATATAAAACCAGTTTGATTTATTGATAATAAAAGTTTGTTTGATTATAAATATCCCAAATATATTACATATGTAGCATATTCACTATTTTAAGATTCTTAATTATTAAATTTAATTGAAAAATAAAAACTAACTTTTTTATTGTACTTAATTTTCATTTATTTAGTTAAAATTTTTATTGTAATAAATCAATTATTGCCTTAAAAATTTATAAATATTTTACATTTTTAAAAAATTATTAATCTATCACTTATTTCTAATTGGAATAAAAGTATTTTTTGAAATTATAAAAATATTCATAAAAAATAAATCAATTAATCTGTCAAGTTTAAATTTATTTTTTAAGTAGAATAGATATCATAGAAGGAAATTAATTTTCTACCTAAAATGTTAAAACAATGATAATGTCTATATTTTAAACCAATTAATCTGTCAAATTTATATTAATTTTTTTAGGAGAACAGATATCATAAAATGAAATTTTCAACTTAAATTGTTAAAACAAAGATGATAAGTAATTATTCAAATACTTATTTTTATGAGTTTATTTTCTGTAAAAGAATTAGACTTTATTATTAATTAGATTCTTTTTTGTAATGTAAAATACTTAATATCTTTTAATTTAACATAATATTTTCTTTAAAAAATGATTTTATTTAAATTTTTAAATTAATTAAAAATGGTTTGATACAAAAATGTAATTTTATTTAATTTAAATTTTATTTTTTTGGTATATACTTAATTTTTACACAAAAATGCAAATAATCTTTTCAATAAGTAGCTTTTGCATTAATTTAAGGTAACTCACCTTCTTCAAATTACTATCCTGGCAAGTTTTTAAACCTCTATTAAAAGTGGTGAGTACTTTAAGCGAGTTTCTGTTTTTCGAATTATTTTTCTCTCATTAGTTATTTCTCTTACATAAATCTAAATTATTTGCCAAACTATATTTTAAATTATTTAAAACTTAAATATTTTTTAATTTTATTTTAATTTATTCACCTTTCCAAGTCTCTCTGGAGTTGTTTCTTTAGGAGGAAATTGTCCCTAAATTTAATTATAATTACATAAACATTATTTTAAATTATTTTTATTTTACCCAATATTTATGATCTCCTAATCTTCCATTGTATTCATCAAGAGCTTTATCGCAAGAAACACAGCTCCATAATTGTTTTCTAGCCAAAAGAGCATCTTCTTCTCTGGGTTTATCTTTACCATTTCCGTTGCCTTTTAATTCTTGCAGAAGGAAAAACAGCTAATTAATCTAGTTTTATTAAATTTAACTTATAAAAACGGAATACTCATTTATTTTATTTACTTTTTTCTCTAAATATATTAGAGCTTTTTTAGTTTCAGATTTATCAGCACATTTTTTGAGAATGGCTTCTGCTACTTAGTCAAGCTTACTCATTATTAGAGCTTCAGATTTATAGAGATCTGAAAAGCTGACTTTATCATTTAATTAATCTCTTAAGTCTTTTATAAGTCTTAAAAGCTCATCTCTTAACTAATTTAATCTTGATTCTAAATACTCTTCAGAAATACCACCACCTTAATTTAGTGTAACTTCAGGTTTATTTTCTCTGAAAAGCTAATATAATTGATCAAGCAATTTCTAAAGTTCTTTAATCTTTTACTAATTGGTAAGTGCCTAATTTTATTAAAATTTAATTAAAAAAATATTCTATTTAATTAGCTAAAATTTTTTACAATGTTATTTGTTTCCTAGTGTGCTGAAGTAAGTTTATCTAATTAATCCTTAAGTTATTTCATTAGAGCAACTAATTTTTTATACACACGAATTAAATGTATGATTTTGAGTTTAATAAAAATTACTTTATTTTTAAAGTTATGAAAGTAAATCTTCGATTTTATCAAGTCTACCATTCGTTTTTTAAGTATAATCAGCATAATCATTTTTGTGCTCTTTTAGATCTCTTCTGAGCTCTCTGATAGCATCTTCCAAATCTGAAACTCTCTTATCAAGTTCTTTTAACAAGGCAGCTTCTTTGGCTGAAAGTCCTGGTTGAATTATTTGTTATGTTATTTCTTTTCCACTAATTTTATAAAGTAAATAAATATATTTTAAAGTAAAAATGAATTAATTTTCATACCCTAAACTAGAAATTAACTGTTTGAGATAATTTATTTGTTGTTCAAATATTTCATAATCAACTTTATCTTTAAGAGAGGCTTCTATCACTTTTAATCTGTTAAGTATAGAAGAAATTTAGTCTTTTAAGTTACTTAAATCTTTAACTCCCTAGAGTTCAGCCATTTCGTTTTTTAATTACTCTAGTTGCTTTCTAAGTTTTTCCAATTCTTCTTTAATCCATTCAATATCTTCTTAAAATATTGTGACTTATTATCTATATTCTATTTTAGTTACCTTTAAATTACGTAAGATCATTGATTAATTAATTAAGAAAAAACAACAAATAAATAAATAAATAATCTAGTTTCAATTCTATATTTTTTGTAATAATGCAATTTACGTATTCATCTTTGATCTTTTAAATTTCTTTCAGAAGCTTAGATAATGCATCCTCTATTTAATTTTATATAAAATCAATCATTAACTTAGATTTTTTTTGTATTATTTATTTATTTACGGTCTATTCCATTACCACTTAGCAAGCTCATTTGAAGCTTGATAGAATCAATTTCGCTTTTAAGCTTTTTTAATTCATCCATCAAATATGCAATATCTTCTTTATTCTTTTAATTATCTTTAGAGAGTTCATCAATTGTCTTCTGTTATTATTCTATTTTCTCTTGATTTGCTTTATTTTCATCCTAAAGTTTTAGAAAAAATCAATTTAAAAAATATTTAATGTTTTTTTTTTATAAGTAATCTAAATTGATCACCTTTAGCTGATTTATTTCCTATTACTATAGCTCATCTTTTTCTTTTAATTTTTGTATTTCATCTAATAAATTTTAATTTTAGTCTTTTAATCCATCAACATCTTTTTTTAATTGTTAATTATCTTTTTGAAGTTCTTTAATTTCTTTCTCATTTTAGGCAGATCTTTAATTTGATTTAGCAACTCCAATTTTTAAGTCTTTTAAGATTTTTATGAGTACTTCAAAGTTCTTTTTTAATGTTTCCTCATTGAACTGCAATTTTACTATGCTTTCGAGCTCTATTTCTTCAAATAGATGCTCTTCAAAAACCTGATATTCCTTGAAATCTATGCTACTTTAGCTCATATAAATTAAGAGCTCTTTTTCTGTATTTACTTGCTGATTCCTTTTAAAATAATTTGTTATAGATAAATATCAAAAATAACTACTACTTGTAAATCTTGATAATAATAATAATATTAGTAATTATTGTGATTAAGTCCAGCAAAAGTTATTTTTTTTCATTATATATTTGAATAATTAATTAAAGAAAATATATTGTGTAATTCATTCTTTTTAATAGTAAAAATAATAGAAAATCCAAAAATAATTTAAAATATTATTTTTATTTATTAAAATTAATTTAAAAATAGAAAGGAATCATTTAAATAATTAAATTAAAGAAAATGTATTGTGTAATTCATTCTTATTAATAGTAAAAATTATAGAAAATCAAAAAGTAATTTAAAATATTATTTTTATTTATTAAAATTAATTTAAAAATAGAAAGGATTCATTTAAATAATTAAATTTATTGTGAAATTCATTCTTATTAATAGTAAAAATAATAGAAAATCCAAAAAGTAATTTAAAATATTATTTTTATTTATTAAAATTAATTTAAAAATAAAAAGGAATCATTTGATTAATTAAAATTAAAATATTTGTAAGAAAAAAAAAGAATTTATTTTTACTTTTTAGTTTCATGCTTAATTTTTTGTAATAATTTACATAAATATATACTTACAAAAGTAGTAAATAATTAATTATTGTTTATATTAACATTTTTATATTCTTTAAGTAAGGATTTTTACAATATGATATTTATTTATTTATCTTTTTATTTTTCATTTTTTTAAAAATGTAGATTTTGTTGGGATTCTAGTATTTACTTGAGTCGATGATGATCCTAAATCTAAATTCATTAGTATTTAAAAAAAATTTATTTTTGGGAGCTTTTTATTGAATAATTAATTACTTTTTGCAGCAAAGTGATTGTTTGAATTAGATCTAAAGGATGATGCAGGTTTAGGATTGGGGAGTACATTTATTTTATTTTAGTAAACTGTTTTGGAATTTAATGAGCCACTTTATCTATTAGCTGATTTTTATGCTGCAGTTTATTTGAGCATCTAAGGTATCTCGTTTTGCTTTTTATTATTGGATACTTCTTCTTCATTTAAGGAGCTTTCTTTGTGTTCTTCAAACTACTCATAGAGTTTTTTTTCAGATAACCAAGGATGGTTCACCAAATCAACAGTAGAAATACGAGTTTCTGGATTAGTGTCTAGCATAGATTTAAGACAATTTTTACATTCAGGAGAAAGTGTTTTTGATATCTAAGGTGGAATTGTGTAATTTCCTTCACAAATCAGATCTCTACTTACAGAATTTGATTCTGCATAAAATGGGAGCTCTCCAACCAGCATGCAATACAAGATGATTCCCATAGCCCAAACATCAATTGCACTTGTTAATTTTGTTATTTTTTATGAAAGAACTTCTGGAGCCATATATCTCAAAGAACCAGCATCCAAGTTATCAATATTTACATTAGCAATACTTCCTGCTATACCAAAATCAATTATCTAAATTAAAAAAAAAGATACTGGCTGGAAAATTAAAAAGGTTAAATTTTAAAAGTATTAATTATGAATAAAGATAGCAAGCAAATCTTCTTAAGTAAAATTTTTACCTTGACTTCATTAGATTAGCTACTTGTTAACAAAATGTTTTCTAATTTCAAATCTCTATGAATTAGCTTATTTCTATGGCAGTATGACATCGCATCAGCTATTTAACGAAAATAACCTTTTGCTTCTTATTCAGTGAACCTCTTCTGCTCCTCTAACCTTGCTAGTAATTCACCTCCTTCTAAATATTCCATAATAAATACAACCTGCATATTTTATAGAGTAAAGCAATTTTTTATCTTAACTATATTTTTATGGTTTAAGGATTTCATGATTTCTGCTTCACGAAATACCATGTCTATATCCTATGCATTTCCTATTTTTTAATATGACCAGATTATTTTTTAAAAATATTTATATCATAAGAAAAATAAGATCAAATAACAATCATAGTCATACCTATCAAATTTGTTTTGACTACTTTTATTGCCACCTTATCTTTTGTTGCCCTATGAACACCAAGAAGTACTTTACCAAAGCCACCTTATCCTAATTCCTTAACCATATCATACTCTGAAAAAGTAGAATTTGAATCAAAATCTTCTCCTAAATTTTGTATAGATATATAAATTAAAAATATATAAGCATGAATCTTCTCAACATCAGTCTATTTAATATTACCTGCAGATGCAAATAGCTGTGCACCATTTTTGATATACTAAAGATCATCAGAATTTAATTCTACACCTTCTTAATTGAATAATTTAAGCTCCTTAAAATAACCAGGATACTTCTCATCAAGCTGTCTATGAATATCTTTAAATCTCACTGAATTTGTTATTTTTAATTGCATAGGATTAGAAAGAGGGTTTCCATTAATGAATATTTTGATCTTATTTTTATAAAAACATAGTATTTTTTTAATTTTGGTATAAATTGTGGTTCATTATGATTTTTGTTTTAAAATTTCTTAAATATGTATGTAAAGCTTAGCTCTCTCGAAGAGTACAACAGCTGAAAATGCTTACTATAAAATCCTTTTCAACAAAAATCAAAGAATAAAATTTTACTTTCTTTTCTTTTTGAAAGGTAGAGTCAAGCTCATCGTAGTCTCCAAACATCTATCTATTGATTAAAATACTTATGAATTGTTTACTTTAGAAGTTCTTAACTAATTTATTTTTTTTTTATTTAACTGGATTACTATAACTAAAATTTATAATCTACAATCTATAATTTATTATCTATGATTATTAATTATAATCTAAAAATAAGAGATTTTATCAGGTTAGTCTGATGTTAATAAACAAATAAATATATAACTCAATTTTTAGATAAAGTATTATCCATCTGTTAGCAGATAGAACAATAACTAAAAACCAATTTTAGTAAAATGTTTTTATTAATTTTTATATTAATAACTAAATAAATTAAAAAATATTTTTGAATCTAAGATATTAATTTAACATATAGGCCACTAATATTTTATATTATATTGATATTAATTTATTATTTTTAATATTTATAATAACTAACTTCAATACTAATCCTAAGTAATTTTTTTTTTTCAATAATCAAAGAAATTCTTTAAAAATATATTTACAGTTTAAAATAATTTTAAGAAATTGAATTAATCGTTTTAATTTTGAGAAATAAAAAAATTTTGTTTTATTTGTTTTAAAAAAGTCTAACATCAATTTAATAAAAATATTCTAATAACATAAGCAATTGGATATTTTCAAAAATTAATAAAATTAACAAACAACATTCTATTTATCATAAAGATTTCAATAAATATAAGTAAATAAATAAATTTCAGCAATAAAAACAGGAAAGTGAAGAACATTTTTAATTTACAAATTTGTAAAATAGAGCGTTTCAAATTTTAATATCTCATTTTTAATATATTTATTTTTGAAGAGAATTAAGGTTCACATAGTGTCAATTGAATGAGCGATATTGGTTAAACTCATTAATTATAAACTAATACTGACTTGACTGATTAGACAATTTAAGATAAAGCTGAAGAAGCTAGCTAAAATTAAATTCTGAAACCCGAAGAGACCCAAGCTATCTCAAGCGATAACTAAAATAAAATAAATAACAACATAACTATAAAATTAAGCAAGGTAGAGTTAAATTCAAAAATTGCACTAGAAATATTCAATGAATAAATTTCTCCTATTTTAGATTTTATAGAACATACTAACAAAGATTTAGATTAACATAAACTAGAAATTAATATGAAACATTTTGATTTTAAGCATAGCTCCTTACAATCATTTGGAAAACTTAGCTAATACGCTGACTCAAACATCAACAATTAATAACTTAAGGACGCATATCATAAATCTGATGAAAACTTCCCTTATCATATATAAATTAGAGGTGATGGAAATTGTTTTTATAGGTCATTCATGATAAACATCATGTTTATGGTTATTATTTAGCAAAATATTGAAGATGCACTCAAAATTTTTTAAAAAGTTTTCAAATTAAAATAAGTATAATATAAACTAGAAAAATTTAATGAAAACTAGATTGATTTAACTCCTGAATTTAAATTGCACTTTTTGCATTTCTGGATGAGCAAATTCATTGATTGTCATAGAGTTTTAAGACTTTAATAGAAGTATGATCTAAAAAAACTTTTTGAAGAATATAATTAACATCCTTTTGTAGATGTATCTACAGTGGTTATATGTAGGAACATCATATTAAATAAATTTAATTTTCTTTTAAAAGATCCAAGTTATTAATATTTCATTACTGAAGAATCTAAAGCAAATTCACCTAAATATCTTTTATAGTACGGGTAAGAAGCTGAAGATGTTATAATATCAATAGCAGCTAAAGCTTTCTAAGTAGATTTGAAAGTTAAAAATATTTATAGAAATCATGAAGGCATTTTTACAGATTAATTCGAATATAAATTTGATGAAAACAAAGTATCTAATGTTGTTTCGGTGTTATTTACAAAAGGCCATTACAATTGTTTATTTGAAAAATAATTACTTGAATAGAGTATAGAAAAATTCAACTGGCCTATAGAAGAAGTAGTTCAAGTAGAATAATAAATACAATAATATTAATAATAAGATGATAATTTAGAACTAGAATAGTTTTAATAATACCAAAATGAAGTACAAGAAGATAAAGATAAAAAATTGTTAAAAACAGATCAATAATTAGATAAAATATTTGGAATTAATAGAAATCCTAAAATAAATCCTGTTGGTCAATAAAAAAAAGAAGGTACTAAACATCATCAAAAAACAAATGACATAAGCTAATCTAAAAAGCAAACAAAATAAGAAGAAGATAATAATAAAGATTTTTCATTTTTCAAAGGCCCATTTAGCATATTCAAATTTTTATTTCATATTAATTTTGCAATAGGAATTGGGTTATTGGTTATTTTTGTTTATAGACCCTTTAAATTTATAAAAAGTAAACTATGATATTTGCCAAAAAATTTATATCAATTATTTCAAACCTGATTTATAATTTTAAATAAGCAAAAACGAAAAATGTGAAAATATATTTTTTTTTATTTTAAAATATTTTTTGTTTGAAATTGAAAATTTATTTTTTTATTTTAATTTTTATTAAAATGTTTAGATTTTAAATAAATTTGTAAATATTTAAAAAAATTCATTATTTAATTTTAGAAACTTACTAAATAAGAATGATATCTATCTTAATCGTATTTGTTTGTTTATTTGTTTAGATCATCAAATATTAAAAAACATTGAAATTTTGATTTATAAATTTTTATTATCGAATAATTAAAAACAGTTTTGAAATTAAAAGTAAAATAGCACATACTTAAAAGACATGAGTGACTCAGATTCGGATGAAGGGAGAGTTGTTGAAGAGCCTTTACCTCCTCATATTATTAGATTCAACGATATGGCTTAGCATTTATTAAAAAAAGTTATTAGATGTAAGAATACATTTTCAGTTTAGCCAAATTTAACTTATTTTGATTTGGTGCATTGTCCATTTTATGTAACAATTGTTTTAATGATTACTTTTTTTAAAAAATAAAGAGGCAGATGTATTAATTAAAGAAAATCCTTAAGGGCTAGAAAAGGATATTGCTTTGAATTTAGTTAAATTTGTAAAGAGTTAGCCAGAATTTAAAATTGGTAATCATATGTTTTTTTATTAACTCCAATTTCATTTTTGCTAATTTAATTTCTTGTTGTAATATTTTGGCTAAATTTTTTATTAAATTAGGCGATGGAGAATGGTAATGTATAATTGGTAAAAATTTTGGATGCTCATTAACTTTCGATGCAAATGTGTTAGCCTTTTTTGATTTACTACCTTCTAGAAAATCCATTTTACTATTTAAGTCTGGTTGACTCTAACTAATATCTAATTCAAAAATTTACACGAATGTATATATCACGATGAGCAGGTTTAATAATATTAGATAAAGCAAAATGATTGAAATAGGAAATAGGAAGAAATGATTAGGAGAGATGATAGAGAATTTAGATTATTAAACTGAATAACTTTATATTTTTTAACTGCATATTATATCTATATATTAATTATCTCAACCTAATTGGTCTTATCAGTTATAATTTCTTTTTTCCTATAAAGAAAACTTTCTTTGCTATATTAAAATAATACGATTCAAATCTTTTAAAAATAAACTTAAAAATAAATGATAAATTATAACAAACAAAATATTTTAATTAATAATTAAAAGTTTTAACAAAAATTTAATTTAAATATAAAAATCAATTATTTTTTTTTCATTTTAAATAAAAAAAATTAAAAAATAACTTAATTTTTTTAATTAAATCGAATAATCATTATAAAAACAAAACAAATTTCAATTTTCTACTTTATAATGAAGTATTTTTTATGCTAAAATGTAAATTAACATTAATAATAATTTGATAATTTGCTTTAATTAAAACAATTTAAAGTTAAACATAGAATAATTTTTTCTCGTGATTTTTAAATATACTTAAATTATTTAGGATACAGATAAAATAATAATTTACTATATTATTAAGTAATTTTAAAAGTTGATTTCTAATTTATAAACATGTATAAAAATTTATTTTTATAGTTTGGTTTTTTTTTTTTGGTTAAATTAAAATTATCAAAATGAGTAAAATTTATTTAGGAAAAAATATTTTAAGATTTCTACTCAAATTTATTTTTTATTTATTTATTTGCTTAATAGTTTGCTTGCTCAGTCAGTTTTCAGGAGAGTTATCATAGTAAACTGAAGTGTTTTAATTAAATCTTATTAAAAAGCCATCAATATCTTTATTTGTTTATTTGATATGGACATGCTCTTTAAAATCAAATAGGAATTCATTAGGAAAATTATCTTCAAGTAGCTTTTTTGTTGTTTCACTAACCATAACGTGGCCACTTTCACCATTTGACTCCATTTTATTTGCTATTATTACATCTTAGCCATATATATCATATCTCACAATCTCAGTTCCAACTATTCCTCCATATAATTTTCCCTATTTATTTAGTAAATAATTTTAATTTAAAATAATAATTAAAAAAAGTAGATAGATTACTGTGTGGACTCCTATTCTCATTTGTAAATTACAATCTGTATATTAACGAACATTTTCTATTATTCTTATCATGTCAAAAGCAAATCTAACTACATTATGTGCTTCTTAAGCAGGATTTCTTTCATTTTTGTTTGTTAATCCAAAGCAAACATAACAATCACCGATTGTATAAAGCTTATAGACATTTTAATTTAAGCAATGATCATCAAAATCTGTAAAAAGCCTACGTAGCATATTCACAACAACAATTGGATCTGTTGTACTTGAATATTTTGTAAATCCTGCTATATCTGCAAACAGCAAAGTAACATCATGAAGCTCTTCACAAATTAAAGGAATTTCTTTTTTCATAGAATTTAAAAATGTGTCTAAAATATGAGCTGGCAGCAGATTTTTGAGAAGCGAATCTAATTCATCTTTTTTAGATTCAAGAGTTTTTAGGTTATTGAAATTGCGTACCTCGTTTTACATATGATTGTACTAAATTCTTAGGTGTATAATACCAACCAAAACAACGAAAAAGATGATTAGAACATCAAATCTATTTTTAAAAGTAATATAAAGAAAGCAAGTAACCACTTATGCAATCATAGCTCCAACTTTTTCCATAAAGTATAATGATTTAAATGTTGTGAAAAAGATAAAGATAAACTATAGCTCCATAGCATATATTAATGTGCTTGGTAAGATAACAGCCGTTACTGAATTGACAGTAGCTCTATACGAATTGCTTATCATATCAAGATTGTATTTTGTTACTTCATTTAGATAGTCATCAAGAAACAGATTATGAATTAGCTAAAAAGCTAAAGATAAAAAGTAAAATGTGTAGATGAAAATACGCATATTCTTCCAAGATAGATAATTATGAAGCTTTCTAAAAGCACAGGCAAGAGGTAAATACAAAAGGAGCATTAATACTAAATATATAGTGAGATTAAGCTAAATCTCTTGAGATAATTGTAGTTGTCCTTTGTTATTGATAAAATAAATTACACTACCTGCCTTAATTAAATAGTATAGAGATATAATACACATCCATGCTATTATGGTTGGTATTTACTATTTCATTATTTGTTTGAGGAATTCTGTATGAAGTTACTTTTATTCAGCTGTGGACTTACTGTTTGTGGAGCATATTCCTAACCTTAAGTGTGAAGAATGTGAACTTCCTACTTCATCTCTTGAGCTGGCTAGACTTTTATCTCCACCATGATCTTAGTGATTAATATGCATTTTTATTTTTTCTAAGGGCAAGGTTAACTCCTTCATCTATATTTACACTGGCTCTAATTCAATTCTTTACAGTAGGTCTTTTTCAATTTGCCTTATGAATTCGTTTCTACTTGGAGCAAGGGGTGAAGACTACTCATCTATATTTTCCTCTCTGCTTCCAACAATTTTATTTTAATTACTTTATTGTGAGTCATTTTTGAAGCGAGGCTTTAGATTTACTACGGTCATTGAGCTAGATTTTTTAAGCATTCTTCTTCTTTAACCTATTTCTTAATTTGAGCCACCAGCTTTTTGCTTTTAATTTAAATCTTCCAAAGCACCTCCAAAAGAAGTATTTTTGATTCTTAAATTTATATTTGAAGGTGTTGATTTTTATATTAACTAATCTGAAAGAGGCTATACTAAGATTTATTTTATAGAGCAATTAGTATCCTCGCCATTAACCAAACTCATTTTTTAATCTTTAATTTATATTTAAGATGCATTCGAATAATTATTTGGGCTTTCTGGAATTGACTTCAATGGAATGAATTTATTGCTATTATTTTTTTTAATTTAATTGCTTTGCTCTTATGTATTTTTTTCACTACTGTTTTCTAGGGTTAGCTAGTGGATCTAGTTATGGCTAGATAGGAAATTATGAATACCTGATCCTATTTAAAATACAGATGATAAGTTTGAAGTTAGTGTAGGATTTGTATTTTAATTATTTATTATGGCCGTATCATCCAAGAAATCTATTAAAATTAAAAATAATGTTTAGCTTTGTAAGTATAAGAAAAACAAAAATATACTTAAGGTTTGCTTTTTCGCCGCATTGTTCCTTATGTGTCTTTTGTCAAATACTTAAAATGTGACCATAATTCCTTTACCTTTTGCTTCAACATCTCTTTGTTGAAATTTATACTAGCTTAATTAATAGACTTTATCATAAACTTCTTTAGAAATAATGATATGATCTGAAAGACCTGTAGAGCAAACTCTACTTGTCGTGTTAACTGTATCACCTATTAAAGAAAACTATGGCTTATGATATCCTATAACACCTGAGATGGCAGGACCTAGATGAATTCCAACTTTAATTATTATCTTTTTATTAGAAGCTAGGTACAATTACTTACTCTTCACAATCCTTTACAGATCAAAAGCAAATTATAAAGCTCTTTTTGCTGGTGATACATCTTGAAGTCTACCTTCAGCCTTTAATAATTTTTCTACATCGCTTATCCCTGCAGCTGCTAAATACGTTTTTCCCACCTATTTTATACATAAAATTAAATGAACTGAATATTTATTAATATTTTTTTTACTGTTTCTATCTTTTAAAGACCATTTTATTAGCAAGCCAAATCGAATTAACGATAAAGCTTATCAAGGATTTTAACTGTATTTATTTTTTCGTTAAAAATTATATCATCGAAATTGCATATGTCGCAGAATACTATTATAACTTCATCCTATTTTTCAGCAACTCTATATTGTCCTTGCTTCATGGTTTCTATTTTTTCACGAATAAATTTAGGAAGAAGTATAGAAAGTATATCCTTAACTTTAAGCGTTGCCTTAAATAAGTTATGCTCTGATAAATAGTTTGTTCTTATTGTAAAAATCATCTAAAAATTAAATATTAAAAATAAAAATTAAGACACAAAGAGAAAAAATCAAATTAAATAATAAATACATTATATTTTGTAGCTACAAATTAAGCAAGTATTATAAAAAAGGAAATATAGAAGCATATTCTAACTATGTATATAGAGTCTTATTATCCCTAACTTCCTTCATATACATATCCTATTTCATCTAAAAATCTTTAAAGATTCCACTTCTTGATATTAGTCTCAGTCCTAATTAATTAAAAATTATATCATGGTTATCATATAATTAAATTTAATTATAAATTTTACAAAACAATGAATGAAAAAAATAGAATTAGTCCTTAAATTAGAACATTGTGGTGTGAAAATCTTAAGCAAGAAGATGCAACTGCAGTATGCATGATTAATTCAGTAGGGTATATAATAATTTGCTTAAAGATACCTAATAAAATAAACTTTATTGATCTGACTATGACTAACTAATATATTATTTTCAAAAAATAAATATTTAACCAATTAAACTCTAATTCAATTTGTTTATTGATTGATTGAGAATTATCCAAAGATTATTTTATTAAATGATTAGGATGAAGAAAATAAATAAAAATTTACTGTTGATGAGAAGATGAGAATATTTTTTTTCTGATAATATTTAGTCAAAGAGAGAGCTGTAAAGATAAAAATAGTAGAAGCTGTAATCGCATATGTAATAATGTAACCTCCATCTGCAGAAGAGAATTCATTTGTGACTTTGCTGAGAACTAGAACATCATAAGCAATATCAAAAGCAACGAAATTAATTACATAAAATATACGATTAGAGTTAGGTATTAACAGTTCCCAACCTTTTATGAATAGCCTTTCTATTTCTCTGAATTAGAATCTTAGTGTAAATTTTTGCATTTGGGTAGATGTAATGTTTATTTCTTCTTACATAAGCATCTAAGATAGAATTATATCCATCTCTTTATCCTTGAATATGCTTCTTATAACTTGTGCTGGGTTAATTTTTATGTTTAAGCTTTTTAAATTGCTTAATGAAAAAGCAGGAGGTGTAGAAAGAGAATTCATACTTGTAAACTCACTTTTTTGAATATTAATGATATTAGTATTTCCTATATATAGAGTCTTGTTATCTTTTTATTCTGGACTAATTTGTCCTTATTTGTTGATCGTTTATTCTTGATTTTTATTATCTTAATCTGCGTTATCTGATAGTTGCTTTTTGCTAGTTTTATTTGAAGTTATCACGGATTTTAATTCAATTAAACTATTCCTTTTCTTCTATTTCTTTTATTGTTTTTGCTAATTTAAAAAGTATTTACTGAAACCTACGATAGCACGAGGAGCTGTCCTAATAAAATTGCTTTCAATTACATTTTTTATGATACAAAAGAATAAAAACAAGAGAAAATTGAGAATATATCCGCTTTTAAATGTATGCATAAAAAGAGCTGCTCCAACATCTCCTCCTTTGTGTATTAATGTTTGAATTTCTAAGATAGCTGAAAAAAGAAGAACATAAACTAATGAAAATTTATCAAATCTTATGAAATGGAGATCAAAAACTCTACAAAAAGCTGCTATACTTATTCCCCATTAAATCACACATCTTAGTGTTTCAATATCTATTTCCATACCATTCTAAAAATTATATAAAATGGTAAAATACATGAAAATGAAAACAGCATCAATTATTGAGGATATTATAACCTTTAAGTTTAGTATAGGTAATTACTATCTACTGTATTGACTTTTCAAATTTATGAAATGATTATAGAGAGATCCACCTGCTTGGTTTGCGTTTTAGTTATCTTTATTAAATTTTCTTTTTTTTCGAATTAGATAAAAGAAAAAACTGATAAAATATTAGACTCCATGAAAAATTATAGTCTAGTATGGAGTAAAAAGAGGGTAGTTGCATGCACAAGTGTATATATTCCATATAATAATAGCTAGAGACATTAAATAACTTCTGTGTATAGCTAAATAGATAGTTTCTTCGACTATCTCAGATTATAATCTACTCTCCTTTGTCAAAATATTTAGAAATGATAAAGCATCTTTGGTATTTAAATCAGCATGCTGACTAATAATTTAGTTTTAATTTTCAGGATTTGTGTCGCTTTAACTTCTTAAGTAAACACTAATTTGTTCATAATTTAAACTCTCAATATCATTTAAGCTTGATATAATATTAACAACATTAGATTAGGATTTATGGAAACGTTTCGTAATAATTTGACCTAAAATACACTTTTGTTCGTCAGTAATTTCATACCCAACTACGCCACTAGCAAAGAAGGCTATTAAACAAAAGTGATCCCATAAATAAGCATTATTTCTAATTGTATTTAAACTCTCACCACTAATCAAAACATAATAATTTATTTCTTTATTATCATTATGAGTGTTGATAAACTAAGCATTATTTGAAGCAGATATGTTAAAAGGAGTGCTTTCTTCGATTGCTTGTGGTGTTTAAGGTGTTTTCTTAGGGATATTCTTTTCACTTTGCATTCTTACAAGGCCTCCTTTTTTAGAAGAATTTGTAAAATCTGCAAATGTACTTTTTCTTTCAATAACTAATTTTTGGTTATTTTAACTATTTAGAGCTATTGGAGTTTAAATTTCATTTTTTACATTTGATAAAGTTGGAATATTTTCTTTTTAGTTATTATCAAATACGCTTTATGAAATAGCCATGTTATTATTGTTATTATTTTGAGATTTCATTTCTTTTTGTAGATATTTTTTCAAATTTTAAAGATGATTTCTTGTTTTGTAAAATAATTCATCAAAGTTAGAAGAAGAGAAATCAACTACATCCATTCCTTTATCTTATAGAACTGAATAGTTATAACAGCTTTCTAAGGTACTTTACTAAGTATCTGATGTTAAAACCCATATTTTTTATCCAAATCCTCTCAAGTCTTTGATCATTTAATGAATAAGTAAGTCACTTTCTTCCTAAAGACCTACACAATAATAAAAAAAATTATCTTTCTTTAAAATTAAGTTAAAATATTTTTTAAAATTTAATTTGAAGCTATTTAAAATTTAATTAAGTTGAAGTGATTGATTGATTAAAAATTTGCTTACCTATAAATCCAAGCATTTAAATCTCACTAGGTTCCTCAGCTTTTTAATAGATAAGTTATCTATAAATTAGCTATATTTTTTCTTATGAAGTTTCCAATCTGATAGCATTAGTTAAATCTAGCACTTGCTATTCAGTTAATATTATTTTGCTGTAAAAAATAATTTTTTCTCCCTGCTTGACAATTTTCGAAATAAGATTTTCTAGTTTTTATTTTTTTTCATTAGAAACAGAATTTGTTAAATAGTCTGGAAATAAATTTTCATAGTCTTTAATATAAAGAATATAGTCTTATTGATTTTATACAATTGTAATTAATTTCTTATTAGACAAAGACTAAAACCTTTATAAAACTTAAAATTTCTCTTAACCTTCCTCTGTTTTAATTATATAGTAATTTTAATCTTAAATAAAGCAAGAACATTCAAAACTGAAGCTATGACTTTTTGCAAATTCTAAAATAAATTAAGTATCATCATCGAAATGAACATGGCTTACGCTCTAGCCTTGCTTAAATCTATCTCCTTTAGTTTTTGTATCATGACAAACAGTCATTGCTAGAAGTAATTCTTTAGCATTTTTGTTTTTATCCACCAAACTTTTTGCAAATCCTTATTGATTTTCAAACTGTGGGTTATTTGATTTTTTCATTCCATTTAAGTTACGAAAAGATTCTGGTTATTTTTAAAGTATTGTGTTTGAAGAAGGAAGCATACTTGACACAGAAAGTCTTTTTTGGAGGGATTCTGCACTATTAATATCATCTATTGCTGTATGATTTGTTTGTTTAAATCTTTGAATTAATGGATTAACAGTAACTCCCCTCATTTATGCTATCTTCGATTAATTTGTTTAATCCCCTGAATGAAATATTAAATTTTTAGGGTTTGATTCATCTTATATTTCTTAAAAATTAGATATTTCATTTTAATTATCTTCGTTCATTGTTGCAGCGTCTTTGTTTGTAAAACTCTTTTATTTTTTTAATCTAATAAATTTTTATTCTGATAAAAAGAATCCATTTTTATTTTTAATATTATCTTCCTAGTATTAGCTTGATTAAATATTATGGGTAGGAATTTGGTTTGAATTCTATAATTCATCAAGTATTTTATCTACTTTTGTATGAATATTAGTAGATTAAATTTCACTTGAAAGTAAATTCAAATTTTCAATATTTCCATTTAAAATTTTTTATTTGCTGGCCTAAGATTCCTTATCATCATGAGATACACCATTTATTCTTTTAAGATTAAATAAAAAAAATGAAACATCAAAATGATAATTTTTAATTATAAAATATATTTAAATTTTATTTTTTTATGATTTTAAATCTGTTTTTTGCTTAAAATATTTTGGATAAATAAAAATATACCTTTGCTTTAAACTTGTCCTGTGTTCACTATTTCTTCTTTAATTTGGAGAGTTAATTCTATAAATTTCTTAATTTTCTTCAGTTTTTCTAAAACTTTTTTCTGTTGGTTCAATAGCTGATGAGTTAAACTGTTTGGATATTAAATTGTTGTAGGAGGGCTCATTATATGGATAGTTTTTACTGTTGTCTTCATGTGTAAATTGCTAATAAATGATATCTTCATTATCACTATCATTATTGCTACCATAGCTACTTTCTGATTTAATCTCTATTTCTTAAAAATTATCAATGATAGATTTTTATTAAGGCTTGCCAGTTTGATTTGTTTTGAATTTGTTAGGCGAAATATCTTTATGATTATTTTTGAGATGAAGATGGCTGTATAAGTTTTCATTTGAAAAGCTCTTCAACTCATGATTTCTTCCTTCAACTTAAATTGTTTGTTAACTTTGAGATAATTCAATATTTACTTACTAGCTCTGTTCAGTGTTGCTTTAAAAAATATCATTTTAAAATTCTTTTATATTAACATTCTTATTATTTTAATTCCCACTTATCCCATTTTACATAATTATAGATGGATTCTTCCATCTAGGAGAGTATCCAAAAAAAGACATATTTGTAGGAGCATTTGATAGCAAAGGATGAGGATAAAATGTTTTTGTAGGAGACTTTTAATCTTATTTCTTAAGAATTTCTTTGTCTTAGAAGCTCACAATGTCAAAGCTAAAAAGCATAGGGTTTTTTTATGTATTCTCTTTAATTGATGAATTTTTTTAAACTAGAGAGGAATCGCACTAACTACCACTTTTTGCTTTAACAAATGAATTGTAGTTCTACATAATTCCAATAGGTGCAAAACTTCCTTTCATAAAAGCCATTGCATCATTTTCATTAAAATCATGAAGATTTTTAGAATTAGAAAATGGTGTGTTTGAGTTTTACAAAGATTGCTATTGCACATATTTTTTATTTTTAGGACTATTATTTTGAGATACTGAATGTAGTATTTTATTCTGTTATAAATCTGCATCATTCAGCAAACCTCTCTGAGATATATTGTTGAATGTTGCATCTTAATCAATTGTTTTTGTATTAGAGTTAGCAGTAATCGCATGGTCATAACTTGTATTATTTTCTGTTACATTCAATTAAGTAATAGAAACATTTCTTTTTGTTGCATGAGATTCCAATTTTGTTTTAACTGGTACATCATAGCTATCAAAATTTTCTGCGAACGTTTAAAAGTTACTTTAATCATCGAATTCTATCAATGAATCAACTTTATTAATAGACTTTTTCTTTTAACTTTTTTATGATTTTATTTCATTTTTTGATCCATATTTACTAATTATGTCATTTTGAATTTCATCTTTATCTTTTTGGCTTTCATTATCCAAAGGGATTACAGATTTACTATCTAACTCAACTATTTTTGAAAGAGGAGATTTATCCTTATTAAAATGCTTTTTAAATGTAGAGAGAGGAGCATTATGCCCATTAGAAGGCTAAGTACCATTCATACTATTCTAGGGAGAGTCGTCTACTTGAGATGAAGCTGTTTGATTGAAATTTGTATAACTTTTATTTCTCTTGCTTTGATTTTAAAGTAAACATTCAGGATTACTGTAGTTTGATCCTAAATTAATCTTGTTTGAATTAGATTTTTACTATACACTTGATATAGGAGACTGAAGTAAAGAAAATTCATCAGAGAAATCGTTTTTGGTATTTGATTATTTAGCTCTAAATACTGTATTATTGCTTTTAATAATTTAATTGCTATAATTTTCTTCATTCATTTTAAAATAACGATCTTTTAGACATATTGTTGAAATGTTTTTTAACTTAGAATTTTATATTTTAAAAGAATTAAAAATCACGTGGCTTGTTAATGTCATCTCACTATAAGAATTTAAGAAATTCAGGTCAAAACTTTTGTTCTAGTTAAGAGTTGTGTTTGATACTTTATATAAATAACTACTTAATATTGTATAAAATATAAAACAAAGTGTATTGATAACACTATAGTAAAGAGGAAAAGTGAAGACAAAATCAATTGCTATTGGGATCATTTATCCCTTGAACTGTAAGCTTTTAAAGCAAACCATACTTATTCTTAAAATTATTACTATTATGCTAAAAAAACATATCATTAATATTTAAATTGCAGTCTAAAGATCCCACTTTCTTTTAAAAAAAGAGCTATTTCTTCTTATTTTTTCTTTTTAATCAAATGCAGATTTTCTAAAAGAATAGCTATCATTACCACACAAAACAACTATTCCTACTAACCAATCTGTAAATTTTATCTAAGAATATTTTTGTATAAGGTTGCTGCTTCCAAACTTTTCGCTTATAGGATCCTTTTTTAAGCTTAAATAACCCCTAAAATTATAGATGTCATTAGTTTTTTTTATATCAATTCTACCACTTAGGATACGTCTATATTCTAACAAATTTCCTTTAATCGATGAGCCCTTTGATACTATTATTTTTAAAAATTTCTAAATATTGATATTTATTATTATACTTCAAAATAAATTGAAATAAACTCATCCACTCTCGTTATATAAAAATAATCTTAATAGCTTTTTTTCTCATCAGAAAAATTAATACAATCAAAAAGAAATTTTAATGATAAAAATTCTTCTAAAAGATATAGTGTGTAATCAAGACAAAGTAATAAATTTATTTATGTTTTCCATAATTAAATTGATTTTTTTTGATAATGTATGAAGTTTATTTCATTAAAATGACAAAAAAAAAACACAGTTGTAAGGTATTTTAAGAAACTTTGAAAATTTTTGTGCTTTTAATTTTTACAAATTTTGTTAAAAATAAATAGTTACTTTAATTTAATATTTGCATCAATTAATTTCAAAATATTTATTAAAAAGTAAGAATCTATTTAATTTTTCTTTTATTGGTAAGAACGAAAAAATTTATTAAATTTGTCTAAATAAATTTAAAGTATTTTTAGACAATTCATAAATATTTATTTGAAACGTTTTTTTATAGATTCAATTTCCAATAAAGTAAGTTAATAAGTTAAGTTTGTTTAATAAAAATAGTTTTTTAGATATAAAATAATCTTATCTATTTTACTTGTTGTCAATAAAGGTGCATATTTAATTGAATCTTTTGATTGGTCATCAAGAAAAGATGTCTTTATGGTGCATTTTTAATCCCACATATCTAAAATAAGTATATCAGCAGGACAGTAATCGTCTCTTTTTAAAAAAATAATATCTCCAACTTACAGGTTACCCCATTTAACATTTTATAAAATTTCAATGTTTTCTTAATTTTAAAATTTCGCATTTTTAAACCTAACTAGCTTTTGACATTCATTAGAGTCGTTTATTTACGAATCGTATTTTCTTTATTTACTATAGTAGTTAGCTTCTTTAAAAAGAATAACAAAAATATCTAATAGAAGAGGTATAGAAAGACAGACTACGATTTCACTCCTAAATAAAAATATTATAAGTTAATTTTTACTAAAAAAAAAAAGGACATCCATGCATCATCTTGTGAAAATACAAAATGATGCATCCATCTAATAGCTAAGATTTAAAGTAGAAATAGTACTAATTGTATGCTGTTGGAAGATTTTCTTAGTCAAGTGAAATACAAATCAATATAGTAATGCATAAAAATATGTTCTAAACTCTTGTGAAAAACCCATAGATGCTGAAAAATAATTATTTCCACTTTTAAATTATTGAGATTAAATTACCATTTGAGTATTTTAGAAATTGTAGGCAAAATGTGCTAAAAAAAATTTTGATTTTTTAGCAAAGATATTAAAATATGACTGCCTATTTAAAACAAATAAATTTACTTAAAAGCTTTGAATATTATTTTTAAGACATCTATTTCCTTAATTATACCCAACGATATTTACGCAATCGCCGTTTTCTAATTCTATCTATAATTTATAAAATTATTAATTATTTCATTTCTTTTATTTTTTAAAGAGCCATTAAGCTCTATTATTTTGAAAATAAGTGAACAATTTCTATTTTTAAGTTAATTTTCCTCTGCATAAATATCAAAATTTCGTATACATATCTATCTGTATCCTGGCTATTGTCGCTTTCGATGATTTTAAATCCATACTTTTTTTGCTTTCCGTATACTTCATTTAAATATTTCAAGACACTTTGAATCATCTACTTCTCCAGTCTCTAAATTTCTTTTTTAAATTTTCTTCTTTGTAATATTAAATTACAAATTATAGTAAAATCAATGATAATACTTAATATTTTAAGAGATTAAAATATACAAATAAATGATAAAAAACCTTTGTTTTTAATTAACATGAGTATTGGTTGCTTATTCCATAAACTGCTTTTTTTTTAGATAGCATGCTTGTTTTGAGGTTATTTCTAATTCTAAACAAAATATATGTTTACTAATTCCTTTCGCATACTGTAAACATAAAATCCCCTCATTTATTTTATGAAGTATTTTCAATATTTAATAATTACAATTAAGCTTTAAAATTCATAAAAATTATTTTTGTTTGATAAAAAATCTAGTTTATTTAAATTTTATAATTTAAAGCCTTTATATAAATTGAAATTATTTTATTAATAAAATTGTTTGTTAATGTAAGAACAATTTTAGATTGTCATAAACAACAGTGAAATCGAAGATATTATTAATTTTCGAAAGTAATAAATAAATTAATATTGGTTTAGCTTTTATTAAACTTAACAGACTAAAATTTATTATTTTTTTGATTTTATGATTTATTTATATCTAAAAATTCAATCAATTATTTTTATGGTAATTGCTAAATACATTACTAAGTTATAAATATTTATTTAGTATTTCAGTTTTGAGAACACTTTAAAAATAATCTAATATATAATCTGCGCAATAAAAAATTTTATAAAAATTAAAAGTTAAATTTTATAATATTAAATTCACCATTAATAAGTTAGAAAAAACGTACGTACATTAATGACTTTTTTATTTACTTCATAAATAGTCAGAATAATATAACTAAGTTTTTTTTCATATTTTTATCAAGTATTTTTATTTATTTCAAAATGTATTTTTTAAATTTAATTTTTTGTAACCATAAATTCGTTTAAAAATCTATAATCTAAGCTAAATTTATTTCGTGATATCAGCCATATGAAATATTGTAGTATAATATTTATAATCATTCATTTATGCTTCAACTACTGTTTTTAATCAATTTATTAAAAATAAATGAATCTCATTAGTTTTACTTAAGATAATCAAACAGTATCTCCTTACATTACAAAAAATACAAAATAAATAAATCAATAAATCAGAAATTGGAAAGATAAAATTTTTTTTTATTTTTAATTTACAAAATTTAATTTGTGAATTTTTTTGTTATGAAATAAATGACTGAATCTTGCTTTTAATAAATTAACAATTTTAATTATTTAGTTAATCAATCAATAAATAATATTATTTAATAATATAATATAAAATAATAATTAATTAATTAATTAATTGTTATTTTAAATTGATGAGAATTAATGAAATTCAGAAAATTTAATTTGAAAAAATAATTTTAACATGTAAAATATTAAACAAAAAGCTAACAAGATGATTGATTGACTACATGTAAAATATCAATTTATTTCTTTCATATAGATATTTTTGTTTAGTATGACTCAATTTGCTAAAGTGTTAGAAAATTCTTCAAATGTGATTTCATTATCTCCATCTGAATTGAATAAATCAAAAATAGTCTTAATTTCTGCGCTTGGGAGATTCTTATCAATAACAAGAACAAGTTTTGTAAATTCTTCTAAGTTGAGTTTTCCATCTTTACTCTTATCGAAATTATTGAAAATTTACTTTAAGTTTAAGTTGTGGTTTTTGATAATACGCTTGAGCTCACCAATAAGCTTTTTACCTTTTTCATAGGAAGGGTTGAACTTAGAATCTTGTTCTTCCATTCCGTAGGCCAAGACTCTATAAAATTCTTCAAAGGATACCTAATTATCTCCATTTGTGTCGAATTTCTTGAAAACTGGAACGATTTCATAATCTTTCAAACGAGGAGCAACAACACGAATGAGCTTTTAGAATTCTTGTAAGTCTAAGGTTCCTTATTTATCCTTATCGAAGTTTTGGAAAATTTGCTTAAGAGAGAGTTTATTGTGTTTTATAATTTCCTTAAGATCAACAATAACTTGGGCACCAACATCATTAATGTCACTGAAGTCCCATTCGTTGAAAATAGCTTTGAATTCCTAAAGAGAAATTCTACCATCTTTTGAGGAATCTACTATTTAAAAGAGATGCTCAGATTCATAGTAGGTAATACGAGGGTCTATATTCTATAAGAGTAAATGGAACTCTTAAGGGTTAAGGCCACCTTAATGGTCAGAATCAAACTTGTAAAAGATTTATTCAGTGTTCAAGTTTCTTGTTTATACTATTTGTTGCATACTTCTAATAATTTGTTTTGCTTTATCATCAAAATTAAAAGCGGGACCTTCTTGCTTGCCACTTATTGACTTCAATATGGGATGCTAGAAAACTTCTTCCCAACTAATACGTGACTTTTCATTAATGGTAAGGCATCTGGTGATAAAATCTTTAGTATTTTTACCAATAGGTTTATCATATGGGAATCTCAAAGGACTATTCTTCATGTTACGTAAGTAACTGTTGATATCTCTAGCAGGCCAGGGTCTAATTATTAATAAATTATTTTGTTAATCTTAAAAAAATATCTTTAATTCTTTATTATTTTTTTTTTTGGCGTTTCTTATTCTAATACATACTAATTAATCTAATTATTTTTTTAAAATATCTATCTACAATTAAATATTTAACTATTTAACTAGCTTATTTTTTAAAAAATATAAAGAATCTCATAAAATATAATCTATCTAAAAGATATTTTCAATCGCTTTAATAAATTTTAAATTCTTACGTTTTACCAAAGAGCATTTCATAGAACATCATACCAATACTCCATAAATCAGACTTAGAAGTATAGGGAGTGTTTTCAAGGAGCTAAGGAGCCATATATAAAGGAGTACCAACACATTCTTTGATCAATTTCTTTCCAGAAATGTCAGCTTTGCAAGCAAAACCAAAATCAGCAACCTTATAAACCTTATTTTTAATGAGAGTATTTTCAGGCTTAATGTCTCTGTGGATAAATCCATGATCAACTAATTCCTTAAATCCGAACATCAACTAATTCAAAATCTCCAATGAGAGAGTTTCATTAAGGTGTCCTCCATTTGAGTGAATGAATTTACGTAAATCTCCATCTGGACATAGTTCTAAAATGATATAGGTAGTTTTCTAAGAATTTATAATTTTAAAGAGTTAGTAAATTAATATTCTATTATAACTGAAAGGTTTAGTTTTCATAGTTTTTCAATTATTTTAGATTTTTTGATGTACATTTAAAATGGTAATCAAAGATCAAAAGAAAGAATATACCAAAAAAGGAGGGAGAGTAAGAGTAATTAAGGAATGATATGTTGAGTTAATTATTTAATTGTTTGTAAAAATATAAGTATTGAAATTACTTTGTCTTATTCACAGTGAAGCATTCTAACTACATTATTAGAATGTAAAATTTTCATAACTCCAATTTCGTTTTCAAGTGACTCCTTCATAAACTAATCAGTGAATTGTGACATATCCATGCACTTTACAGCCACAAGCTCACCTGTTTTCACATCTTTGCCCTTGTATACTTTACCATAAGAGCCTTCTCCTAGGAAACCTGAGTTGTCCCAGACGTAATTGCCAATTTATCTTGACATGACCTAAGTGTATTACTTTGCTTTTCTTTTTTAATTATTTAAACTAAATAAATATTATAAATAAATTGTCTGAAAATATATTTTTAAAACATCAAAAATTAATCTTGAGTTTTTTCGTTTTTATTTATTTATTTATAAATTAAATTTTGCAATCGTTTATCTATCTTATCTAATCAAATTGCAAAGAACGAATAAATATAGATACTGTTCATCTGTATTTTACTATCTTGAAGTGGTTACCTATGACCTAATTAGTTTTATGAATTTTTTTTTTGATTTAACTTCCACCTATTCTTTAAATATATTATTTAGTACTTTATTTCACTCTTTCTCTGTTACTAGTGGCTCAACAACCAATTGCTATAAAAATAAGGGTTTCTTTTATAAAGGAGTAAATATTAGCATCATAAATAGAAGTATCTTCAATTTATTTTCTATTACACCTTAAAATTTTTTAGAATTCATGCTAAGAAATAGTGCAAATAAATTATAATTAAAGCTTTATTTATGTAAGATTTACTTTAAACAAAGGAAAATAAATTCATCTCCTTCTTATTCAATAAATTAATTAAATTAAAATTAAATTTCAGATGAATTTTTTAGAATTAACTTATAGTTTTGTGATAAAATACTCAACTAAATGACTTATTATGAAGTTTTTTTTTGATAAAAATATGAAATACGATACTACTTTTTGTAAAAATACAAGGAAAACTGCTCATGTGTTAAATTTTGGTTAAAAATTTTTAAAAATATGGAAAATAATTTCTCATTTAAAAAATACAAAATGATTTGTAGATTTTAATGTTAATAAGATTCAATTTTAAATTTCTCTCACCTTAATACATCATTTTATTTTGAAATCTTAACTCTTTACTTAGGTTATTTTTAGAAATATCTTTAAAGGATGCGTTAAAATATCTTTATTTGAGATAGACAAAAAATAGATTAGAAAGGAGGGAGGTTTATAAAAAATATTCGGTTCAAATTCTTTAGTTATATTTTTATTTTTAGAAATCAAAAAATTTATTTTCAAACAAAATTTATTTACTTGTAAATTTATTAAAAGGAATTAATTCGAAGTAAATCAAAACAGGGAAAAATATAAACAAAATTTTTGATGGAAAAAATTATGTCTGATAAATAAAAATATCAGGTCTAAAATATTTTTTTTTCCTATTTAGCATCTTTCAATTAAAAGAACCATACTAAAAATCTAAAATTTTATATACATATATAACTTTTCTTCCAATTAATAGAAATAGAATTGAATAAAATTGCTATAAGGTTTGTAATCTGTCTTTCTGATAGAATAAATAAATATTGCTGATTGCTATTTTGATTTACTTTTTTTATTATTAATTTAATTACTTTCTTTTTTTAGAGACTTGCTATTATTAATTGTAAAACTTTATGCAACATTCATAAATTAAAAAAATAAATAATTAATTAAAATTTAGTTATTTATTTAATAAAAGAATAAATTTTAAAGCAGTAAAGACTTTATACTATCACATAATAATTAATTGTTTTTTTTCATAAATTTTAATGTCTGAATATTAAGTAATTAATTTAAAGTATCTTACAAAATTTTATAATTCATCAATTAAATGTACAAAATTTGGGAAAAAATAATATAAAATTTTATTTTAAATTTTCTAAAATAATTAATTTTTTTTTTGTATTAATTTCATTCATACTAATTATTTTCTTCATAGTTATTTTCGTTCTAAAAATATTCATCATCATTCTAATCAATTTAGTTTTAAATATCATTTTCATTATCATCAGAGTGATTTGAATACTCTTCTTCTTCATCTACATATTCTTGATCAAGATTTTCATCCTAGATTTAATATTTATCATTTTTTTCAGATTCATCAAACGATGAGCTTTTCTTTAATGGATATTAGTTTTATGATTGCATCGATTAATTAGGACTTTAGTTTTCTTTACTTATAAAGCTGCTATCACTTGATCCTTAAACAAAAAGACTCCTCTAACCTTTTAGTTTTTGGAATTTGCTATTTTAAAACATTCTTATTGGAGTCAAGCTCTTAGAAGAGAAAAACCTTACTTCATTTTCACTTTATATTTAGCGGTTACTTTAATTCTATGATAATGTATCATTAAACTCGTATTAACTTACTGGAAAATCTTCTGTCATTTCATCATCTTATTAATCCCCTTATTAGCTATCACTATCTTCAGAATCTACATATATATTTTAATCAGTACTTATAATTTCTTCTGAGCTAGTTTATTCCTATAACTAGTATATATTATTTACTAAAAACACAGAGAATTTTTTTCTTTACTTATCATTATTATGTAATTTTTTGATATATCTTTCATCCTAATGGAGATTGTGTTAAATTATAAAATATAAGATCATCTTATCTACCATGTAATCGCAAACTCTAGAAAGGGCAGTATCAAATAGATCAAGTTATTTCATGTACTGCTAAATAAAAGGGATTTTTTTGTTAAAATATTTTAATGATTTATTTCTTATTATGCTCATAGATGTACCAGACTTATATACAACAATTTAGAACTAATGACTTCTTGTAAAATATGATACCTTCATTATTAATTTTAACTACACATTAATTACTTTTTCATAAAAGTACATCAGATTATCATCTTTCAAGATAATAAAGTTTCTTTTTTATTTCTTCTTTTTTTGCTAACGAGCTTATTGTTAAATGTTTATAGTTGCGTAGCTTATAATCTAATTTTCAGATGGTATTTGATTGATAGAATTCAAAGTATTTAATTTTGCAAAGCTTGTTGATAAATTGTTTCCTTGATTTTACTGAGGGTTATTTTTGCTCTTTGCTTTATCAATTGAGATATTTTTTTCTTAATTTTGCATTAATTCTAAGAAGTTTGAGTTTTTAATCTTATGGATCAGGAAGTAAGCAAGATTTTTAAGCTCTGAATAACTGACTTTAGAACTCATGTAGTTAGTTTAAAACCTGTAAAAACCTTCTGCGATAAATAAGTTAAGTAGCTCACGTACGTTTACATTAAATTTTTTAATGCTCCTTTTGTTTATTATAACATTTTGAACTGTGAAAGAAAAATTAGATGTCATAGTGTATGGGATACTCTTAAAAGAATTAAAAAAATATTGTAAAAGTTAAACACGAGTTGGAAGCTTTGCATCTTTGTTTAAAAAGAGTATTGATTCTTAAAGATCAACACCTACTTCAATTACACTCTCGTTTTGTTGATCTACCTTTATGTAGTCATGGAAAAGCTATTCTTAAATACTAAGCTTATTGCTACCAAAGAAAAGGACTACTTTAAAATGCTTATCATCAGTTCTAAATTCACACTAGCTCAAGAAGTTAGACCAAATTTTTATTTCGATAAATCTAACAAGATTATCTATTCTTTCATTTGGGCAACCTGTCATAAATGCAATATCCATTTCTTCTGTTATTGATAACATTTTTTATTATAAAGTAACTTTTTCAAACTACTTTGGTTTCATAAAATCAACCAATGCTATCAAGTTTCTCTCACCAATTATTTTTTATTAATTTTATGAAATCAACTACTTTAAGTTTTTCTTTTAGGTGCCTTTATTACTGCTATCAGAATTATTTTCAAGATTACCTTGATTAATCTGCTGAGCTTGTTTATTTGCAGTCTTTGTTTAAAAAAATTTTAAAGTTCTCTGCACAACCGAACTTTATTATTGTTAAGAACTACCTAATTAACCTGTTTAGCTTCTTAATCGTCCACCACCTTCTTAGCTTTCTTCAACTAAAGAATTCGAGTGGACTAGATTTAATTAATTTAATTTTTAAATCTAATTATTTGTTTTCATTTTTCTTGTGCTTCCTCCAACTTTTTTTAATTAATTGACTGATGAAGAAAATATATTTTTTGAATAGCTGCGCATATTATGCATAGAAAGAAGAAGGGATTGTTATTAGCTAATTAAATTTTAAGCTCCTTTATCTTTATTAAACTAGCTGGAAGATATATTTTAATTATTTGGCTGCTTGTTTTCTTAAAGTCTCGGAGCCTGATCAATATTTTGATTGTCATTATCTATCCCAACGTTTTGTGTTTATTGTTCTTAACTAGATTTTTTGGTAGATAAATTTAAACTTTCAGTATTTTATTACATTTCTGAAATACCTTATTGATCTTTTTTATCAAAAGGAGACTAAATGCTTCTATTAAGTGGGCTATTTAATTTTTCTTGATATGATTTTTTAGAATAACTTGAATTTTAAGCTTATTCATCACAAGAACTACTAGATATTACATTTTTTAAGTGTTACTACTATTATTCATCTAGTTTAAATGTCAATTTTCTTTATCCTTTTCTTCTGGATGACTCTAGCATTCTAGATATAATTGAGGGAGATTCAGGATTCTTTTGTGATTAAATATTTTTTTAAAAACTTATTTTTGAACTATTGGAGGATGTTGGAGTATTTTCATCATTACTCCTTTAATTAATCATATGCAAAGACTTTTAACTTCCAGATTTATTTGTTCTTTTTGAACTCTCACCATCTTTAGATTCTTCATCTTCTATACTGATTAATTTTATAAAACTCACTTTTTTTAAACTTGATCTTTAGTAAGGACTTTCTAAATAATTTTATTATGTTTAATTCTCTGAAGTGCCTTATTTTATTTTATAATCCTCTTTAGGTAGATCTATTTAATTCTACTAAATAAATAATTACTGCTATTTTTAAAGATCTAAATTATTTTATATGCTATTCTGTAGTTTTTCATTTTAATCTCTTTCTTTAATTGTTTAAGCCAATTTCTTATTTGAGGTCTGTCTTTTCAACAAATTATTTTCAATACTATTTACAAGTAGTATACTTTTTTTTTTATGAGTATTTCGAGGAGAATGATATTCAGGGAGAGGAGATGCATTCAGACTTTCAGGAGATGTTTAAGATTCATCTGAATTTTTTAACTTAGTTATTATAGAGCTAAGAAAGTTATTTTTTGATTACTTCTAAAATGAATTTATTTTTCCTTAATCATTATTATTATTTTTTTGTATTTTTGTTATGTCTGGAGTTGACATCCTATTTGAGTACTAATTGACACGATTAAGAAAGGAGAGGTAACTCTCAAACGGAGCTGTTGTCTTATTTTCATAGAAAAATCTAAGTTTTGTTGCAATATTACGGTTTAAAAAATCATAGTTGCAATCTATTAGCTCACTATGGGAAAGTTAACTAAGTAGTACCCTCTATGTTTTTGGAATATAAATTTGAATATCCCAGCATTTTAATATAAAATCTTTTTTGACTGTAATCAATACATATTCATTATTAGCCATCTTTCTTACGTACTAACCAATAATTCTAGATTTCTACAAGTAAGACTCAAGAAACCCTTTATTTGTATTTGTAAGGTTTTGCTTTCCATCTGAAAAATCGTGTCTTGAAATTATATTTTTAAACACTCTAAGATCTTAAAAAATATTATTTGTCCCCTCATAATCACTTCTTTTTTCTGAATTTTACTGCAATTTATTCGATTCATTGGTATTCAATTTTTCCTTTTTCAAATCATTTAATTCATCTATTTCATTTTTGTTAATACTTTGTAGCTAAGATGAGTTTGAGTGACCACTATTACTTTGGGATGAAATATTTTTTTCATTAGATTTACTTTTCGATGAGTCTATTTATAAGGATTCTTCTATTGACTACTCTTAAATTTTAAATGAAACCCTTGGAGATGTGTAAGAAGATTATTGATCGTTGGCTTCAAATTATCTTGCCTTTTTAAGTATACCATGTTAACTTTATGTATTTAATTGATTAAAATGTTCGTTTTAGTCTTTTGCTTTATCTACAAAACTAACCTTTCTAGGTTAGATAGATTTTACATTTGAATTTTCATTTTTAGATATTCTATTACTCTCTTGAGATTCCTAAGAGTCTATTGATTCAGTTCTTTTGAATACATGTTCCATCTTATTTTTTTCTTACTTATTTCCTTCTTTTCCATTATATGAAGATCTCATTGAGCTATATTATTTTTTATTAAGATCATTATTCATATTTAAGCTGTTAAAGAGGGATTTATTGCTATTTATTTCTGCCTTAACTTCTTTTTTTGTTTTCAAAAAGCTCATCAAAGGTGTAATTGTAGAAGATGAAATTTATTTTTAAATGATATATTTATTATTAGAGTTTGTTTATTCATCCTAATTTTACAATTCTTTACTTACAAACTTATCTTAAAATTATTTATTTTCATTAGCAGTTATTTTATTTTGAAGTATACCCATATCTTATAATTTAGAAGAAAATGTCAGTAGTTATTCTTTACCTAAATTTAAATTAGGTGGTCTATTCATAATTCTTTTTGCATTAGCTGGAGAGCTTTATTTATTATTTTTCTCACTAAAGTTAATTTTTTAAATGGCATTTGAACTTTTGGCAGAAGGAGATATCTTGTCATTAATTTTTTCTGTAATAGAAGATTAAGAAGAATCGGAATTTGAACTTGTAAGACTTTCTTATTAAGAAGAAATTACAGGTTGCAGTGCTAATTAATTTTTGTTTGGTATTTACTTAATTGATTACTCAAAAAACTAAGATTTTCTTCTAGTATTAGATTGATCTAACCCTTAATTTAAATTCTTTGTGTCTAAAAATGAATCTTTTTAAAACAAAGAATTGATCTTAGAAAATAAAGAAGGTCTTGCACTTCTTACTATTTATGCTTAAGCTGAAATTTAATTAACAGGAGAAATAGCATTTATAATTTAAAGCTATTATGATTATTATCTCAATGCTCTTTGTTTGATTGCATTTTATTTTTACAACTACTCTTTTATTTTTGATTGTTAATTTTACTTTTTAAACTCTTCATATGTTTTGGCTTGCTATTCAGTCATCAAAATAGGAAAAGCTCCAAAAAGACCTCTTATTAGTCTAATCCTTGTAGATACTAATTTGATAACCTTAGTCGCATCTGCTCTTGTAAACCTCTTTTTTAGATTTTCTGTTATGTTTTGATTATTATCAAGCATAATTAGATCTTAGAATGAGAAAACAAATTTAATTTATTTTGTCTTTGAGTTGAGAGGCTGAATGATTAGTAAAAATGCATACATATGTTCATAGTTGAGCTACGGTCTTTTCATAATGTAAAATTTGAGATTAGAGATGCACTTACCATATAAATTCATATTCATACAAAACTGATACTCCTTCAGATGATAATATCTTTTAAATAAACAAAAAAAAATAAATATCTAAAAAAAAAAAATTTAATTTACTTTAGTAAGTCAGAGCTATTTGAAATGAGATGCTCTTTGATTGATTTTTATGAAGTAATGATAATAGTTTTAATGCTTAATTCTTTATTTATCTTAATAACAGGTTTGATTCCAGTAAAGCCTTAAGCCTCGAAGAAGAATACATTTTAAATCTATGCTAACTAAAAATTCTTAGAGGCCTTATGATCTAAATAAGCATACTTTTCTTGTTCCCATTTAATTAATCTGATGAGTATATTTTATATTTTTAATGGAACCTATTTTATACAGAATTTTTTTTATCTTTCTAAATCAAAAAAGTATATTTTGAATTCTTCTATTGAGCTTTTTATTTTCCAATCAAAATGAAAGTTAACTCTCATTCTATTTGATTTTCCTAATGTTAAGTACCATTCTCTTTTTCTTTTTAGAAATTACTATACTTTTTAAGGATAGTATTTTTGCATTTGCTGAAAATTTCTATCCTCAAGGAATTGATCTTTTGTTCGTTAAAAAAAAAATAAATATATATAAAAATTTCAAAAAAATAAATATATTATTATTAAAATAAATAAAAAAATTTATACAATTTGAATTGGTTTTTTTCCTATTTAATTGCAAATTAGGCACTTCTTATGTTTATTCCTGATTGATATTTATTTAGAGTTAGCTATCATTATTTAACATAGGCAAACCATGAGTGTCTAAATTTTATTAATTCTGTTTTTTATTTGCTTAATTATATTGTTTATCTTCTTCAGCATCACTTTCATAATTATGGTAAACTGAAAGTGCTACTCTTTTACTCTTTCCATGCTCTTAGTAGACTTCATTGAAATTGTTTACAAATAAATTATAATATCCTTTACTAAGCTCCTCTGAAACAGCTGTTCCATCAAACAGAGATTATTACTTAATTTTTCTAAAAATAATTCTGTAAAGCTCAAGATTGTAAGCTAATGTAGAATCCCAATCTGCTACCTATATCTTCTAACCTAGTGCTATAGTATCTTTAAAAAGAATTTTTTGCTTATTCAGTTTAGTTGCATCTGATTTGTCCTACGGAGTAATTCCAATTTAATGGTTTAAAAAATAAAGTAATTGTAACTTTTGTTTTTTATTCATGTCACCAAAAATGATAAATTTATTTATTTAACAGCAAAATAATCTATACTCTCCCTAATTATAGTAGGGCTTCAACTACTCTTAAGTTATTTCTATAGGAGGCAATAAATTTCTTTGTTTTAAATTGGAGTTTAGTTGCCTTGCAGAAATATAAAAATAATAATTATCTTTAATGTCGAACTCTCCATTTTCATTAAACAGATTGTTAAAAATAACCTCTTACTTGATAACAAGTTTAGCAATAATTAGGAAGTATTAATCCTTTTTATTTAAAATTAAAATTACTATTATGATTGCTATTAAAAATTATAATTACTTGATTTCTTTTCAGGAAAGATAGAATTAAAGCTGGTGATGATTTTGTGTAAATATTTAGTGCATTTTGTATAGAGGTCTGTGTTTCTTTGAGATGCCTAAAATAATTACTTTATACCTGCTTTTACATATTCTATTGCATAAAAATTGTTTTTCTAATATTAGAGTTAGCAACCGAAATGTTTCTAAATGATTGATTTGAGTTTTACATAATAGTAAAGTTTTACTAATCTTGAGGCAAAATATTTTCAGATCGAGGAATATTAGTTAATAAATTATAAGGACTTTTTTTGTCAAGAGTACTTCCAAATTATTGTTTATCGTTTCCATAAATATTTAGTGATGGCTTTGATGTTAAAGGAGACTTCATCTTTTTAGTCTCACTATTCAATGTGAGCTAATTTAAATTGAATTAAATTTATTATTAAGGAGTTTTGCAGGCTGAACCAGGATAATCTATTGGAGTTTTTGATATTAGTAGCGGTTATGCTGATTGCTCATCAGGAAATTCTATTACACCTGCTTTAAACCTTAAATACTACTTTTTAAGATACATTAAGTGTTTTAATAAGTAACGGTAATATGATTCATTATTAAAATCTTAACAAAAACCTCTTCCAATTTCTTTTTAAAGATAGATAAAAGAAAACCTCAAGAAAGAATTAACCTTATCCTTCAAACCTTAAATTTCATGTAAATCAATTAAAGATAAAATTTTCTTTTTTCTTTTTTAAACAATAATTTAGGCATCTGGACTTTTTTATTTAGCAAAATATTATTCCAAACCTCCAAAAAACTAGAAAGTCATTTTCAAATCTTCAAACTATTCTCTTAAAATGTTAAGCTTTCTGTTTACAGAGGAATCACTAGTTGTAGGATAGTATGATACTAGATCATCTTCAAGACTCTTTTAATTCGGGATTAGATTCATAGTTAAAGATTTTTTAATTGTATCAAAGCTCTACTTCATATCACTATTTGATGATTTACTAATTTCTTAGATATGATCAAGCTGTATATTTTAGATAGTCTACACTTTCTGTTTTACTAAAGGTGATTTGTTATATCCCTATTCTATTTTATTATCAGAATTTATACTTTGGCTTTCATTTAAGCTCACTACTTCATCACGAAAGGCCATGCTCTTTGAATTTTATTTATTATTTTCATAGATTATTAATTTAACTTCCTCTTGATCATAGTCTTCCAAGCCAAGCATATCTTTATTTGTCACATCAATTAAATGATTTTCATCTAAATACCTCTCCATTTCTTTAAACACTAATGGCCATACAGTAACTAAAAGCTTCCTCTCTGCTACTGGATGTTCTAGCAGGCCTCTAGTGAGATTTATTGGGATATATATTTTTTAAAATTTACCATATTAAATAACTAGCTCAACTTCTATATCTTAGCTTTCTTCTCTCTCAAGAATAAAATCTTATTCGTTACAATTTTTTGATTAATCGGATTCAGAATTAATCCTTGATCGAGTGTTAATATTAAATTTCTCATTATAAAGTTCATCAGCATCGTAACTTTTTTTTTAAAGATTTATTGACAGTCTTATTCTCTCTGAAATGCTATTGTATTGGATATAATAAATAATAGGAGGATAAGCAAGTTAAGTATCTAAAACTTTAATTCCTTTTATTAATCCACTAATACTGTTTATAAGTTTATCTCTCACTTCATAAGATTTGTTAGTTTCTTCAAGCAACTTAAAAAGTGTAACAACTTTCTTTTTCTCTTCTCCTTAATCATTACTATCATAAAAGCTGACATTAGATTTAATTAATGTTTAAGATTTAAACTTTAAGCTTTGATTGAAATATGTTATGCTTCTAATCTGTTCTTTACTGAGCTTCTTCAAAGATTATTTATTAGAAGAATCTATAATTTATATTTATTTAGAGCGACCGTTTTATCTACTTAAAGTTGAAGCAATTTCTAGATTGCTAAAAGATGGAAAGCTAAGTTTGGTTCTTTTAAGTTCAAGATTTTTTGGCACTTTTAACTATAAATTAATTCTCCTTGAAAAGTAATTTGAAGCAGAGGAAGAGCTTTATTAGGTAAATAATGGTGAATTAAGTTGTTAATAAACAGTGTTTGATTCTGATAACTATCTTGCAAATCCATTTAAATCACTCAATTAAATATTGTTGTTTTTTTAAAAGTTAGGTTGAAAATCAATAAATTTAGAACTCTTATTAATTTATAATTTATGTTATTATGAATGCCATTGTTTTTGATTTTGTATCAAGCTATTACTACCAATTTAATTTTATATGAAATCCAAAGAATTTTCAGGCAAATCTTAATTTTAGCTAGCTTAAAAAATACTCTCCTTTGGCTATTGAGGTTGTTTAGTTTTTTGTCGATTAAACTTACTTTATTATAAATCAGAATAGTTTTATACTATGTAATCTTCCATCTTTATAGTGTCAGAATCTTAGTTTTCAGTCAACGTATCCTATTAAACTGTTAGTAGTACATTATTATTCAAATGACCATCTAGAGAATCCTAGTAATTCAATTATTTATCATCAAATTCATCTTTCATTTAAAACTTTTTTGTTAAAATAAATAAATAAATACTAATTAATTAAATTGATGATAAATTGCTTACTAAAAAGTTATTGTTAATTTATTAATTTCCTTTAAATTATGAACTTTTCGGACTTCCTGCTTAAGAATAAAAAGCTGATGTCTATACTATGCTGTGCCTTTTTTAGAATGGTGATTCTTCCTTTTTCCTATATTTTTGAAAACATAGTTTTAAAAATGATAAAGAAGTTTATATATTTATTTACTTGTCTGGCTTTGCAAACTTCGATTTCTTGGATCTGTTGAGTAGATCTGTTTAACTCTATTTCTTTTATTATTATTCTCCTCTTTATTCTTATTCAGGGAAATAATTTTATTAAATTTATTCATTTACACGTTGAATCTCACTTTTAAGTTTATTTATCTAAGATTTCTTTGAAGAACTCATATTTACTTCATCCTACTCAAAGTCTTGTTAATTGGAAACATAAGAAATATCTTCATTCTGATTTTGAGATTCATCAAATTATTTTTCAATTGATGGTTATTTTTATAATTATTGTTACTACTCTTAGTTATTAAATTAGTTCAAACTTGGTATTTCATGAATTCTTTTTAAGCTTTTTATTGCATAAAAGGAACCATCTTATAAAAACCTCTTTTAATACTATTAGTCTAACAGCATGGAAGCATTTTCCATGCATTTTAATAGAGTTTCTTCTTCTTCCTTAAATTTCCCTATTATACTTTTGATAGATATTTTATTTTTTTAATTATTTTATTTTCTCTCACTTTCTATAACCTCATTTAGTTTTTTTTAAAACTATATTTCATTCAAAACCATCTATAACGCAGATGGTTATTGTTGTTACACTTAGTTTGATAATAAAGCATTCTCTAAATAATAATCGGATCTACTTTTTGTACTAGTTGTAGTTACTCCCTTCTCTGATAAATCATTTATTGGGTAAGTATTTTTTTTATTTTAACTACTTTAAGAATTTATAACATTTTTTGTCATTTTTTATTACAAGTTATTACAGCTCATAGTATTATATGGCTATTCCTACCTACTTTAATTTTTGATCGTAGAGCTTTGTGGTCTTTTTTACTATTCATAATTTAATTTTTATCTAACTTAAATCTGATTATTTGTTGGTGTTTCATAATTTTTTTATATTACTTTTTCAGTAGGCGTTTAATTTATATTTTTGAAATAATTCAATATATTAGTATTGCTATTTTGCATGTAAGTAACAGATCTTTGCTGATCAACATTAGAATGTTAAGATAAGCTTCTTTGACTATTTTTAGTAACAGAAGCTGTCTTAGGTCGTACTCTTGCATGATTTGAAATGGATCTGTATACTTTTATTTTACTATCTATTTTTTATGATTACGCATTTTCAGTTAAATTATTATTATCACTTCTTTATAAAATTAAGTTTTAATCATAAAATTCAATCTAATTTTTAGCATCATATTGATCAGTCTTTACTTTTAAATTAAGAGTGGTGTTAAGTAAGTTAACACTTTTTCCATTTTATACTACGTTTTAGCTATTAAAGCTAGCTTGCAATTTTTCTGCAAAGGAATTCGGTTATCTTGGAGTTGTTTATCCAGATATAAATTTTTCATGGCTTTTTCTATGGGACGATAAGAATCTATTCCTCATTGCTGAATTTTATCTTATTTATCTACTAATATTAGTGCTTCTACTATATCGCTTTCTTGTTATAGGCTTATCTTATTCTTCAAGCATATAAAATTTTTCACTTAAATTACTTTTATCTCTAGAAATTTGCAGTGGTAATTGCGAAATTATATTTTAAGAGATTGAGAATTTTTTAGCAAATGAAGGAGAGTGAGTTTATTAAGATTGCTAGCCATATTATAATTAACTCGAAAGATAAGCAGATCCTGAGGTAAAATTTGTAGTGTTGGGTGATAATATCTTATTATTTTAATTAAATTTTTCATTTTATATTTATTCAAAATATTATAAAGATTCTTAATTGAGTAATTCGAAATTTATCTTAGGGACAAGGTTAATTTAATTAGATTGTGTTTCTACGTTTGATTATTTAGCTAATTAAAATTCTTATAAAGAACCAATTGGCGTGTAGCTTTACTATTTGGAAAGGTTTATACTTGGATGTTATTCAATCTAACTAATAAGATTACTTTAATTTGGACTTAATGAAGATTTTCTCAGCTTATTAGCACGATTATAGTGCATTTATCTTGTCTAAGTTTAATTGCTACGATTATTATTAACACACTAGGCCTAAGATTGCTCTTGTTAATTTTATTATTACTTTTATAATACTTCTAAATTATCATCTTACTAAATCAAATTATACTCTGAATTTACTCTTAACTTTGGCTAGGAGTAATTACTAATCTGTTTGATTAATTAGTCCCTATTTACTACATTAGCGAAATTTCTTGAAGGAGAAACTTATTGTTAATAATTTTACTAATTTTAAGCAGATTAAGCATTTGAGTTTTTTCTTTAATTCTATTGAACCAGTTAAATATTATTGTTTCGATCAGTTAATTGTTAATAAACTGAATACTGCCTGCTATTTTTAGGAGAGTTTTAAGTTGACTACGAAGCTTGTGTACTTTTCATTTGTGTCAAAGCTTTATTAAAATAATCAGGCCTCTAATTAAACTGTAAAAAAGAAGAGGGAGATAACTATTAAGATAATAAATCTGATTATAAATGACTTCTTTCTGTTTAAGAACCATCTATTAGCTAATTTACTTCAAATTACTAAAACTAATCTAATTTAATCTTATTATATATTTTTCTCTATTTTATATTACTGCTTTCAGTTTTCAAAGCATTCTATAATGGTATATCTTATTCTGTGTTTATTGTTCTTTATTAAGTTTGAAGTGTATTAAATTAGAAATATTATTCTTAATTGCTCTGAGTATTCTAAGTTGAGAGAGTTTTCTTTTTTTAAGTATCAAGGGTTATTATATTGGGTTCACTTGGTCTGGTTTCTGTGAATAAATAACCTTATTGACTTCTCTCACTTTCCATTTATTGTAATTAAAGTGCCTATAAATTTATTCTTTCATTGATATTATAGTATATATCGTCTTACTCATTATTATTAGATTCAATTTTGATATTAAAAATCTATCCTTAATTTTAAAAATAGTTTTGCCTTACTGGCTCATCATTTTATCCAATATTATTTAGGTTAGACTTTTAATATTTTTCTTAAAGCAAATTTTGGGATTCTTTATCTAATAGTTTCTGAATGAATTTCTTCTTACCCAAGTTATTTGTGAAGTCTAAATTTTTTTATTGCTAAGGTAATTACTCTTAAGGTTTGAAAAAGTAAGAAATATTAGTAACATTAACCCTTGAAGGAGAGAGCTTCAATTTTTTTTGTCTCAATTTATTTACATTTTGATCTTTTTAATCTTTTTAGTCTCTCAGTTGATTATTTGATTCTAAATTAATTTCCGTTTTTATTTTCTCACTTTATTACTTTTGTAAATTTGATAAATTAATTGCTCTTTGAGATGGAACGGTTAATTTATTTTCATCTTTTTATGAATTATTTCCAGAAGTTTATTTAGATGTTTATTTTATCATCTAAAGTTCACTCAGTTACTATTCATTTAAAAACCTTTAATTCTATAAAATTTCTTCTTTGTTAACATTCGCCATTGATAAAGTATTCTATGAGTTTTATCTTTGAGTTTTAAAAGAAAAATTTATCTATTTAAAAGATTATTAATTTTTTTAATTTAAACTGTCCTACTAGCCTTTAGCCATTTAAGAAGCATCAAGATCTGTATAAGATTCATTTATGGCCTTTTAAATATCATTCATTATACTTTTAGAATTTTAATTACTCTGTGTTGAATTTAATTTTTTAAAAATTAATTGCTCATGAATAGCTTTTTTCATTTGTTATTTTTATTGGTCGTCTTTTAAAAGAAGGGTTTTCAAAGAAAAAATATCTGCATCTTTTAAAATAGCATTTGTATTTTTAGTTGCTTATGAAATATTACCTTTTTATGTATCATCAATTCTGGTTAATATTTTCATTTGAGAGTCTAATGGGATATTTTCTAAAGTTGCAATTTTACTATTGAAGAATTTATATTAAAAATCAAAAGCTTTATTTTTAAAATCAGATTCCATATTTGCATTTGTTGGAGAATTTACTTCTATGATTTGTCCTTCATTATTCTAATTATACTCTTATGTATCCAAAGAGCTTTCTTCTTTGACCAAAGTATGTTGATTACCTCTCATCTCATATAAAATATCTTGTATATCACTTCCAAGGAGCATATTTTTAGCATTTTCGTTACTCAATGACAACACCTAAGAAATTTTGTTGCTCAAATTTTCAAATTGTAAAATAATTTCTTTATTTTATTTAAGATCTTTATTTTCAGAAGAAATACTGCTAACTAACTTAGCTATTTGCTTCTTAAGAAATTATCCAAAAGAGCAGCATTCAGCATATCTCTACATTTTCAAAAGACAGCTGCACTTTTTAGATTTCATATAATAAATAACCAACTAGTATTCTAAAATTTTTTACTTAGTATTTAGATATCTCTCTAAAATACTTTTTTCTTATAAATTTTCATTTCTTATTTTCACAGAAATATCTAAATTTTCTAATGAATCTTTCAATTACCTTAATTCATACTGAATAATTCCCAAAGTACCAACGAACTAAGACACATAAAATTTTAAAAGACATGGGTTAGTACTTTTTTTTTACTATTTTTAAATTGTTGTAAAATTAAAATTAGAAAAGAATACAATGATATTGCTTCTATATTTTTTTTGTATATTTTCAATACAAAAGAAATCATTTATTTCTATGCACTAAAACAGTTCTATCATTAAATAAAATACAATCAAAGCTCTCCCTCGTATATCAGACTCTAATAAGCTAATATATTTATCAATGAATTATCTACAGAAATTAATACAATTATTTGCTTGATTTAAGCTTGTTGTTTAACCACTTGAAGATTATTTATTACTTGCTAAGTAAAATTTTTTAATCTTAAATACTTCTAAATATAGGGCATATAGACATGAATTTAAATCTTTGTCATCCTTTAAATTTAAATTAGTATGAATATTAATAAATTGATAAAGTTTTACTATAAATCTAAGAATATCATTACATTTTCCAACTTAGAAAGATAGATTCTTTTTTAATCATCAATATAATCAATACTTTTTTGGTTATCCCTAGGAAGCATTTGAAGCTCTATTTCAAGATAAACAATTTCTAATATTTCTTATGGATTAAAGTTCAAAGTTAGCTGCAACTTCTTTGATATTTTTGAAGAAGTTTTATCTCTGTTTTACTCATTCATTTTTACTTTTAACCATAAATTTATCAATATTGTAATGATTAAAAATTGAAAGATTAATTATTTATTTATTTTTAATAATAGAACTTTTAAAAAATCAAATTAGTATTACTACAGCTCTAAGACCTTATCAAAAAATTAATACTAACTTTAAATCAATTTAGTAATTGTTTTGATTCTCACAGATTTCAAATATATTTTCCCAAATCTAGATTAATATCATCATACAAATATTTTTTAAATGATAAATTATTAAAAATACTTTAATTTTAAATGCATACATTAAATTATTTTATCCGACTTACAAAAAATCAAAGATTTACGAATAATTAAGAGATTAATATCACTTAAATAAATAAGGTTAATTTGAAGTAGCTAATACAAAGCTTTGTTTTTTTGCCAAAATTATTACAAAATCAAAAATTGATTTTAAAATTTAAAATACTTTTTAAATTCAAATAAAAATATGTTTTAAACTATCAAAATTTCATTAAAAAATTTTAAAAATATTATTTTTTTAAAAATGAAATTAAATATGAAAATAAGAAACATAAAATTTGAAAGATTATTAAGATTTCTAATTCCATTTTTTATCAAATCTTCTGCTTAAAAGTAAAGTGATATTTAATATTTCAACTTATTAAATTAAATGGTTTTATTGTTTTAATTATTTTTAATTTCTATTATTTTATATTTATTATTAAAAAAATAATCTAACAAATATTTTGGATTAAAATTTTTTGAAATAAAAATTATTTTAAAAGACTTTTAAAATTTATTTAAAAGATTTAACATTTTATTGAAATTTAATTTGGTCATTTTTATCGTTTTAATTAGTTTTTTATAAATTTAATTAAAATTATGAAAATAATTTATGTTTTTAAGATTCTATAATTAATTTTATAAATTAAACAAGTACTTGATTTAAAATAATTTTCTAAATGAAAATAATTCATTTTAACTTTTTATTATATCTAGATAGAAATATATTTGACTTAAAAATTGTAAAATGAATTAAAATTAAATTAAATTATAATTCTATATATATTAATTGATCTGCTTATTTAAATTTCTTTAGTTTAACTAAAAAATGTTAAAATGATTTTAAATTTAATTTAATTTAGTTAAATTAGGAATAAAAAAAATAATTATTTATTTATTGATTTATTAAAAATTATATACAAAATTATTTATTAAATAAAATGATTGTAATTTTTTAATTCGATTATTCATAGTTCCCTAAAAGCAAATTGATTGCAGCAAGGGCATTTATTTTATTAGACTAACCAAGTTTTAATACAACTTAAATGATAAATATGCTTGCAATCTAACTATAAAGAAATTTATCCCACTAAGTATTCATCTAAACAAACAGAGCAACAGTCATCGTGTTTTTTACAAAAATCTTCAGTTACTGGAGATTACCTTTTATTTATAAGATTTTATAGCTATTATTCAGATAATCCTTTAGATTGTAGGGTAATTTTAGCTATAAAAAGTATTAATCTAGCCACCATTATATATAAGACGAAGTGACATAAGGAAACTATTTATTAAGCTGACTCATCATAACCAAAAACCATATTAAAAACATAATAAATACCTCCTATTCCATAATTTATCCAAATATATTTAGAGATATAGCAATTGTAATAATAAACTTTTGTTTTCATGAATTCCTCTACATTAACTACAAGTTCATCGATATTTCTAGTACTATTTAGTACTATCTAAAGCATAATCATCATGACTATTTTAGGAATTAAAATGATTATATTTTGAGCGCAAATACTCACAAACCATGCAGTTCCTATATAACTTTAATTAAAAAAGAAATCTTCTAAGTTATTTCTCTCAGCTATTAGCAAATAGCTCAAATAAAAATTCATAATTAATGCTATTTTTAGCTAAAACTACAACATTTTCATATTAAATACAGGAGTGTCTTAAGTCTTAAAGCAATCTATCTATTTTTAAACAAACTATTATTGCTCTTCACTACATTTTTAATAGAGCATATCCCAAATTTAAGTTTTTAGTTTCTCCATTTCTTATTAAATTCTTTATAATTTTGAAAAATCAAATATTTATTTTTAATTTGCAAATTATTAAATTTTTAATATCTGAACACTGTCTCGTGTACATTAAAAGAAAGAAAAAAAGAGTTAGTATTTTCATCTCTCTTTCTATTTCTATTATTCTAATACAATTTAATTTAAAAATATATTAAATAAACTTTATTAGGAATGAAATTCATTTTAAAGATTAATTTAACTTTTAAAATATAGTAAGAAGTTGCTAAATAAAATTTAAAAAATATCAAGCATAATTTTATTCAATAAAGACATAAAAATTAAATATATTTATTTATTTATTTTTACACAAAATATGTTTGATAATTCTTTTATAAAATTAATATTTAACTAAGCATATATATATTATTATAAATATTTATTCATATTTATTCAATTTAATTCTGAAATAACATGATTCATAAATTCTAGCACGGGTTTAGGATACCAACACTTCATATTAAAAGGATTGTTACCTTCTAACCATACAACATGAGAACCCTTATCAGTTTCCATTAAAATGATGTTTGGGTTGACAAGGGCTTCATCTCTTGGTAAAGCTTTCTAATGAGCGATATCATCATCACTTGCACTTAAGCAAAAAAGAGGAACACTGACATTAAGTATTTCATTGATACAGCCAAATTTTCTATAATATGTATCTACAGTTGGGTATCCATAGAATTTTATTGTGATATTATTATCAAATTCATACAAAGTTGTTGCATTTAATGCTTTTTCCATGTTAATTCCCCATTCTTTTGGGGCAAGATCAAATGTATTTTATACAGATTTTAACTTGTTAGCTAGCAATCTGGCTAAAAACCAGTCATAAATAGTGCCTACTATAAATTTTGAAGAAATACTCATACAATAGGGATTTGCAACAGAGGCGGCTGCTTTAATTATTGGATCGCTGTTATATTTTCCTAGATAGTTAACTATTTAATTAGCACCATATGAGTGACCAATTGCTACTATATGCTATATAAAAATAACAAGATTTAGATAATTTAATCATCGTTTAAAAATAATTTAAAACCAATAATGTAACTATTCTTAACTAAATACCATATATAAATAGGTTTATTTTTGTAAAATTTGAACAATTCAGTTGAATTTTTAAAATTCAAATATTATATATATACTTGTTTTATTTTTTGAAAAATTTGAACTAAAAAATTAACTGAGTAACTTATTGAAATACCCAATTTTATATTTAACAATTGTAATGTTTTTGTTAATGAATTGTTAGGAGAACTAAAGTTTTTTTATTAAGTAAATAAATAAATTACTTTAAATTAAGGATATTGCTTTTTGATATACTCAATAGTCAGTCTTAAATCAGTAATTAAGTTAATGTGATCTTTAGTTTTTTCGAAACTAAGTTCGTGGCTTAATAATCTGTAGTTATAAACCACAGATCTATATCCTTAGGAAAATATATGATCTACCAATTGATGAATATAGCTATCTGTGTCTCCTCCTGTAAGTCCTGGCAAGACAAAAAATAAAACATCTGGTCTCTTTATTTATCTCTTATTTAAATCTTCTGGCCATGATACACTTATTCCCTCAATATTACCCTGAGGATCAACTACTTTTTCTTTGCTGAATTTCAAATTTTTCTTAAGTCCAACAAATATTTAAAATGCTAGTAACTAGATGAAACTTTATTAAAATAAGAAAGGAGGCTAGTATCTCTAAGATTTGATTGTTGGACAGTTTTCTATTATCTTTTAATTCTTAGAATTATGCTAATAGTAAAGCTTTGCCTTATTTTTTGTAAAGAATGTAAAAGTAACATATGTTATGGAGAAAAACAGTGAAGTGGTAATGACTTCTAAAATAGTAATTTATCTCCATTTCAATCCAAAATAGGCCATCGCTAAAATAAGTATGAATTTGATATTATTTCCTCTCATACACACCTTTCTTTATCAAAAATAATAAATTTTTATGATCTTTTATTTATTAATTTTCTAAACTTTTAATATCCAGCTTTTAAATAACTCTAAGTAACTATAAAGCTATTTTTGGGGAACTCCTACATTATTTTTCTTCTTATTTCTTAATTTCTGAATATTCAATTTATACGTATTGAGCTGAGTATATCAGCTTGCTAATGACATTATTTTTTTTTAAGAAATTTTTAATTAAATTAGATTAAAATATTTACATTATTCTCTTACTTTAAGAATCTCTTTCGGATTAAAAATTAAAAACTGCAAAAAAATTTGTTAAATAAACTAATTAATTTAGTTCTAAACAAAATTGATATTTTTATGGTTTAAATAATGAATTTTTTGATAAGAATCTATTTGAAATGATAGTTATTATAATATACTAATGATTTACATTTTGCATTAATTCTATTAAAATATTTTATAAAACTAAAATCACCTAAAAAATATCAATTTTAACACAAAATTTATTTGATGCTTATACCATTATGATTTCAAATTCACCAATAAAATTATATATTTTTTAAGTTCAAAAAGCTTCATTGTATTCTACATTATTCTCTCCACTTCTTGCTTCTAGTTATATTTACATAATTTTGATTCGTATGATATGTATATGATCTTAAAGTAAACTTCTCTAGCTATTAGTAAATGCTTGTTGAAATATTTTAGCTTAAATTTAAAATATTGAAATATATTTATAACAATTACAACCAAAAATTAAAAATATAAATTGAATTCTACTTTAAAGTAAAAAACAAAATAAATTAAACCTAATTCTAATAACTAATAAATAATAAGTCTCATACAAATTCTTAAAAATAAATTCGCAAATCTTAATATTTAATTCATTCATTTAATAACCTAAAAACCTTACAACTATAGGGTTTTTTGAATAGCCTATAAAAATTCTTAGAGCTTAGCGTTAGAGGAAAAATAATATTCCTTTGTTATAGGAGCAATTTTAGGATTTCTCTCTTTATTAAGGAAACATAAAATCAATTTTTAGTTAAATTATTTATCTTCATAAATTTTAAATAGTGTCCCTAGTTCTCTTACAGACTGGACTATGAAATTATCATCTTTTATTTTCCTTAATGTGTAAAATATTCCTTTTTCAATAAAGATGTATCTTTGAGCATTTGAAGTAAGGTATTCAAAAAATTTTCTTTTATGCTTTGGAATTTTTTTTACTTTATAAAATGATTATTCGCTCATTTACAATTCCTATCCCTTATTATAGTTGGCAATCGTTTTTTCGAATGAAGAATAGTTAACATCTTTTTTAATTGTTGTAAACTAAAAATCCTTTATAACTGGATAAAAGACATTTTTATTTTCATCCTTCTAATTTAATACAGCTGATCTATGTTAAGGATTTACTTCTGTAGTTGAATCTTTCCTTTCAATCTAGGATGAAGAACTCGCTGGTTTTTTTGCTTTTAGTCTAGCAGATCCTTTCTTTTTTTTACTGCTAGGTGTTGAAATGCTAGAGTTATGCTTTTCTTGAAATATTTCCTAACCCTATTCATTTTAACCTGGCTACTGCATCTCTATTTCCTATTTTTAATTTTCATCCTAATCATCTATTTAATATTAGTACTGCTTAGATTTTTTATCACTCATTTTAGAAAACTATCTTTTTTTTAAATGATTTTTTAAAAATTTGTGCTATAGTTACTCTATATTAAAGATATAAATTTTATTGTTTTTCGATTGAATAGTCTTTATAATAAATAAATAAATTAGCATACAATTCTTTTATATACAAAAATCTAAAAGAAATTTATTAGAATAAAATTTGAACGCTTTATTCTGAAAGAGCTTCATATTAACTAAACTAATTCTAAAATATCTGCTTTTAATAATAAATGCTAAACAAACAAATAAATTTAATTATTTAAACATCTTGTATTGTCTTTAAATTTAAATTTACTATTAATCGAAATTATAAGCCTTTATTTACAAAAAATAACTAAACGCAAACTATTTACATAAAGAAACAAATATGTTTAGTCATTTATTTTTAAAAATTTAAACATAAAAAATCAATAATAATCAATCAATTGTTTTTTTGATCATCTTTAGAATTCTGTTTGATAGGTGAGTTTTCATCAATTATTATTTTAACAGAAGTAGAAATAGAAGACAACTCAACTTCGTTTCCCTTCATTTTTTACTCTGACTTCTCTTTTAATAAATATTATTCACAGTCTAATTTTAATAAATTCCACAGTGACCTTCTTGAAATCTCAAAGCAATACACATAGTAATCAACTTCATAATGGTTAAAATTAAAGATATATTTTATAGCCCAATTTAATCTAACTAAGCCATTAAATATAAGAGAAAAAATATACATTTTTTTATTAAAAAGTGGCTTCCTGGTTTTTATAAATTCATCAGAGCTAAAATATGAAATACCATTAATATTTAACTGCCAATCTTCATAAACATCCCAATAGTAAGTATATATACTATAACATACATGAGAAATGAGTAAGCCACAGTCTACACTTATCCTATAAACTAAAAACTAATCCAATATAGTGCACATTAAAGAAACTAAATATTTGATACAGTTTTAAATTTCTACATTTGATAATAAATCTTTGTTCTTATAGGGATCAGCCTGATAAAGCTTGATACATTAATAAATTCTGATCAACTTGGATATAACTAACCCATATACTTAAACTATTTAATAAATAATATTTAAAAAAAAACTAAATGATATTTTTTACATTTGTAAGCAGGAATATCAACTCTTAGTAGGAAATTTATCAAATAAACGTGCTTCATAATAAAAGGAGCAAGAGTAAGTAACTAATCACTTATAAATACCATTATAAAACTAATATCTTTTTAATATTTTATTTAACTTAAAAAAAATACTCCATCTTCCTTCATTTTATTGTAAAAGATTTTGCATATGATTGTAATCAGTATTAAATTAATATATTTGATTGCAAAACAAAAATTAGATATATTTTATAATTCCAATAGAGATGATAAATATTAGAGGATTATATATCCACAATAGAAAATCATCAACCACATTACATTTTACACCATTTAAGAGTGGGCTCTAAATCCAAATATCTAGTTAAAATTGACTTTCTTTGACTTTAATGCCATTAAAACAAAAATATTTGTTATGCAAAATATGATTGCATAAACACATAGCTCTTGCAAATTTTCAGAATATTCAACTAATCTTTCATCTTAATTTTCCAAATTACTTTCAATAAATTAAATTGTATCCTCTTCTAGCTAATTTTTATAATCTATATCATCGTCTTCACCATCTTTTTCTAATTTATATTATAAAAGATTAATGATTTCTTCTTCCATTCTTTTGAAAATGTGTTAATTTTATCTAAAATTTGAATAATTATCAAAAAAATCTGTACTACTTCCTATAATATTTTTTTAGAGAGATTTTTCTTAATAGAAAACGTATTTTTGTGCTTAATAAATCCTAAATAATATCAAATTTTTTATGAATTAATTCTAAAAACTCTATTAAGAAATAGCTAGACTTACAGTTTAAATTATTTCATTATTTTCAGTTATTTAATATAATTCTGAATTTATTCATAATAAATCTAGTGATAAAAATTATTTAGCTAAAAAAAGGTTTTAAATTGCATAATAAAGTATTTGAATATGAAATTTTGCCTTTTTAAAAAATAATAAAGCATATTAAGTTGATTTGAATAGAAATATTTTACTGAATTTTTTTCATAAAAAATAATTTGCTTCTTTGAATTTATAAAATAAATATATTTTTAAAATGAAAAATAAATTAAAATTTAAAAAATTTGATATTTGTGGTAAATTGTATTTCAATTTTAAATATTTTATATTTAAAAAGAATATTTATTAAATTTCCAAAATAAACTAAATCATAAATAAAAAAAGCAATTCTTAGGTTTTGATAATTAAAATCAATAAAAATTTTATAAAATAAATTGAAATACTTACTTAAAGTTTATTTTATATTTTTTTTAGCTAGATTACAAATTATTTTATTGTTTTTTTAATTTAATGATTTTAACAATAAATTTATTTTTTAAATATTTTTTAATCTATATTTTAATTATTAAAATTAGAACAAACTAATTTAAAAATGTTTGGTTCTTAAAAATAAAATAGATTAAAAATTATTATCATGTTATTAGTTGCAAAAATTACAATTTTGTTACTAAATATGTTTCTATTTGGTGCTAGTGAAATATTTAAATTTAATGTAATAATTTTTTTATTGGATTGCTTATGAAATACATTTATTAAGTTAATAGTGTTACAGATATTAAAAAATAAATACATTATTATAAGCGTTCAAGCAATAAATAGCTTTTCAGATCCGTCTACTATTTAATTTGTGTAGAACTTGAAAGTTGTATATTTTTATTTGAATCTTTAAGTTATACAAAATACATTATATTAGGGGTTTTTTTTACTTTTTATTCCAACATGTTTCCTATTTTTTATTATCAAAATATTTTTTAAAAATAGATAAAATTTTCAAATTATTTTAAAAATGTGATGATTAAAATAGAAATTTCTTTTTTAGTTTCTTTTAAAATTTCCACAAATTGGTTGGCTAATTTATCTATTTTATATTTTGCCTTGATTTGTAATTGTTTATGAATAAAATAGAAAGCTTTGTGTTTTTAACATATTTACGTTGTAACATGCTGTGGAGGAGCTAAAGATCTGTCGTTATCAAAAATGTGTATAAATATTTCATTTTTTTCAATCCTTTTTTATTTTTCGACTTCTTCTGGAGGCATATTTTCATTAATTGTGCGAGTTTTCCATGCATTCAAATGCTTCCTTTCTTTTTATCTTAAAAAATATACATCCTTAAGATGAGGAGGACATATAGGTGCTTTATCTTTAAAACTATATTCAGGTAATGTTGTTGGACGAGATGTCACATTAGTAAAATATTTTTCTCCTTGCAATTCCATAGTATTTTTCTAAGTCATCGGGTTATTGTAAGCAGGAGTTTTGTAATGACCTTATCCTCCTACACTTAGCTTGTCAAAATCTTATTCATCAAAAGATGTGTCCTTTCTTTCTCTATCTCTATGTTCAATAGGAGGAACAGGTCTTCCATGAGATTCTGGCAAATATAAATTATCAGTGTTTTTATAATTGGTTGTATCTATTATATTATTTATATTTCCATTTTCATCAGTTGTTTAGTTATCTTCAGGAGAAAAACGCCACTCTCCATCTACTATAAATTTATACTAATGTAATCCAGGAGGTAAGCGCTACATTTTTTATTTTAATGATAATAATTTGTAAAAAAGCAGAATCATTTATACTAAAAATGTTAATTAGTTAATTACAACACAAATACTGAACTCTTATCCCTATTTTTAAAGCTAAATGTGGTTAACCCAGTTAGAGAATGTTCCTGTAACATAAACTGTATTTCCGCCAAAGTTCCACTTAAAAAGAGTATTGACCACTTTATTATTTTAATAAAATTTAAATATTTTACAAGACTACATAATCATGTGTTTATATAATATTCTTCTCAAAATCTACAGTAAAATTAAAGTTATTTTTTTAGGTAGCTTGCAAGTGTAATGATTGAATTTCATTCTCGCTCATAATATATTTTAGATTATTAAATTCTTAAAAGAACTGTAAACCACCTTAAAGTAGCATTAAATTATAATCAAATAAAAAATAGTTAAACATATTACATTTCTGCTGCTCTTTCCTCATATAGTTTAAGCTGTTATTAGCCTATCCACTAATATTTATAAAAATAGTGAGAATTGTTAAAATTTATTATTAATGATTGTGATAGATAATGTTTCTTCTAAATCAATTATTCAAAATTACGATGACTATCCAGAAAGCTACACAATATGCTCCTTTTTTTATTAGGATTCACTAACTAGTTTCGAACTTTAAGAACCCATTTATTTATTTGACTTGTTTATAATAAATTAACTAAATCTCTATCTAGCCTTATTTATTTTATTCCCTTTCCTTTTTTGTTTTATTGTATTTCTCTTATCTATATATATTTTGAATAACTATATATATATATATATAATTCTAATCAAAAAAAATTATATTGGTTTAAGCTTCAGATATTAATCAGTATTATTAATTTTATTTGATTTTAAATAATTTTCATTTCATTGCTAAATCATGTTCAAAGATTTTTTATTTTCAAATGCAATGTAAATAAATGAATAATTTACTAAAAAATAATGAGTAAAAGACGGAATTAACGTTATTAGCAAGCGATATTATCAGATTTATGATGAGATAATTAAAATTATAATAATTATTATAAATGCAATAGTTTTTTAAAGTTAAAGTGAGCCTTACATTTTTTTGTAATTATTTTAACATTAAATATATTTTTTATATAAAATATAAACAAAAATACTATTAGATTGAATGACATCATTTCTTTTTTTTTAATTCAGTATGCATTAAATGAATTTTATAAAAATAGTGAGCAAAGTTCTCATTAGTTAAAAAATAAATGTATGAAATATTATTTATTAATTTATTAGTTTTCTGATATGTCTAGGCAACCAACCTTTACTTTATTACAATATTTTTCAGATTAAAAAATCTATATTTTGATTAAAGGAATGATTGATGCAAATTTTAATAATTTAATTATTTTCAAGCATTTTATGCTGAATTTATTAAATTTTTGAAACAATTATATTATTTTGTTAAATTTAATAATAATCTAAAGATTGAAAAATAAATAAACTGATAAGATAAATTAAAATTATTTTAAAATCACCTTGCTGACTAGATTGCAGAGAATATTATTTTAGTAGGTATTAAGGAAATGTATTAAAATGGAGGCGGAGGTATGGCATAATTTGGCTAAATGGGCTTAAATCAATTTAGTTAAATGCAAACTCCTCAAGCAGGAGGACCAGTAATGATGCCAATGATGATGATGCCACCACAAATGTATGGATAAAATATGATGCCAAATTAACCAATGATGATGATGCCTGTAGGAGGAAATATGGCACAATCTTAAATAATGTAAAATAATAATTAAAGTAACCAAAATAACTAGCAAAATGATGATATATAGTAAAAATTTGGGTAGAATTAAGGAATGTAAAATGAAAATATGATGAGAAGGAACTAAAGCTAAGGAAACATTTATTAAAATATGCCTGTGAGTAAACCAAGCGAGGGCTTTTAAGTCTAAGATCGATATGGGAAAAACGATAAATAAAAAGAGTATGCTTAGATGCTAGAATTCCAATTAAATTTGAAAAAATAAAAATAACATGAACTAAAACAATTAGAATAAGCTTCCATAGAAAATTTAAAAAACGAAAGAGTAAAAAGTTAAGTCTATGCCGCTCAAGGCTAGCTTGTTAGAGATTAATTTGGAAATATTATTAATTCAAAGTTAAATCCATCTAATCCTAATTACTAGCCTATTGACTGGTTCTCTCATGTAGCTCATAAAGATTAGTTTCAAAATTAATTGGCTCAATCTATAAGTGTGCCTTCTCTATAAAATGTAAACTTTATATTATTTTGCCAATAATTATATCACATCCTAATAATTTCAATGAATACCAAAAGTATAATTAGGTTGAATAAAACAATTTAAATATTACAAAATCTTCTAATGATTGATTAACTGGATTAATATTTTATGAAAAAAAATCAAAAAATTTTCAGAAAAAAAAAGAATGAGTTTAGTGATATATTTGATTGCTTAAAAAATAAATAATGTTTGTTCATTCATTCATTTAAAATTTAAATAAATTTTTAGGTTCCAGATTTAGCAATGTATGACCCAGAGTTAAAAAGATAGAGAGAAATAGGAAATAGGCTTTAAACTGCAAAGAGCTAGGTTATGAATATGAATTAAGATAAAATAGCAAGAGCATAAGAGGCATTTGAGAATTCTATTCCTCAATAGAATTTTTAGAGACCACCTCCAATGAACTTAGCTGGAGATGTAGATCTTGTAAAAATGAGGAAGAGATAGCAAGCATTAGAACTCTAAAGAGAACAAATGTAATAAATAGAAGAAAAGAAAAGGTAGAAGTAACTCAGATCTATTTAAGAGTAAAGAGAAAGAGATTTGGAAGACTTAAAAGTATAAAGAGAAGTTGATGAATTAAATAAAAGGTTATTAAACGATTTTCACGACTCTAAGTTGGGAAATAAAAATTTGCACGAAACTAATTTTGATATAAATGGTCTTTAAGTCTCTGCTCCTAATAGAAGGTCTTAGTAAGATGTAGAAATAAGTATTTCATAGAGTTAGATTTAAGAAGCCCCATAACCTCCTCCTGCTCCTGTAAGAAGTTCATTAAAGAAATAAGTTGTAATAAATGACTTTGACAATGACTAGTAAAATGTTAGAGTTGAATAAAGAATTGTTAGAGAGCTTCCAATAGAAATCACAACAACTGTTAAAGAAACTCTAAATAACGAGCTTTTCAGACTGAGAAATGAAATGCAAATGCACTCTAACAGTCTAGGTGAGTAAATACTAGGCATGAAATCTCAACTAATGAAAGCTAATGAAAGGAGATCCTAAGCTGAAGATGATGTCAAAAAGTTGAGAGAAGAGCTAAAGAAAACATAATATATAGATGAAATACGTTAGAGAGAGCTATATAATGCTTTTGTACTTACTGATAAGCCTAAAATTCATACAAATTCAAATACTTAAAGAATTTATGATGCAGATTTAAAATTTGAGCTACCGACAAGGCCAAGACCTTATTATAACATGTAAGATCCTTACCTTGATAACTATAAGCAGGAATTTGAAAAAGATAATCATGAAATACTACAAAATCAAACAAAGCATATTCCTGTGGGTGAATATGACTATTCAGCCAATGCAGTTTCAGATAAAAGAAAAATGGATGATTAATATTTTATAGATAAATAAGAATTCGATGATCTAGAAAAGAAAGCATACAATTTAGATAAAGCTGATATTGCTGATTTGCCAGATGATTTCTTAAATAAATAGAATTTGTATTATAGTAAATTGCCTTTAGAAGAAAATAATGATGAAATAGGTGATTATAAAGACTATTTAATGAAAAACTAAACAAGATTAGATAAATTAAACGAATTGGATACTTTGGAAAGAAGAGGTGAGTTAGATAAATTGGATGAAGCTTTGTTTGATTTGGCTTCTCACTCTAACTAAGAATCTCGTTTCAAAAAAAGGTACGAGTAAGAAGAAAATTTGAAAGACATTGAAGACTTTATAGACTTTTAAACTAAATTAAGTCGATATAGTTGAAATAAAAATGTTTGAATGTAATTCTTTTTGATTATCCAAAAAAAATTGCAACACTATTAAAGTAAAAATGTGTAATTATTCTATTTTAGTAATTAAATTTGAGTTCTAACTAAGTATCTGATTCTCACATAATAAAAATTAATTAAAATAAGTGCATTTACATAGTAATTAAGTAAGCAAGGTTTGATAACGTTTTTTATAAAACACTTAATAACAATATTCAAAAAATAAAGATATTTTAGGTATATTTATTTATTTATTTGCTTATTTGTGTTTTTATGAATTTAATCAATTTCTAAAATATTTAAATTTTTGACATGATTTTTCAAAGCTTCTAACTTATTCAAATATAAAAATCATATGACTTTCAAGAGGAAAGAATAATTAATTATTCGATCTATCTGTATACCATATATCTGTTGATATAAAAGATATTTAACTCGAATAAAGAGAAAATTATACATGAATTGCAATTTTACTAGGATTCAAGTATTTGTTATTTGTTACAGCGTCTTTTAGTAAAATAGATGAATTTTTCATTCTAATTAAATCATTATAAAATAAATAATCCTACTTAAATTTTTTTGTTTTAGCAATTAGAAAATATTTTTTTAAAAAACCATTAATTAGCAATAAAGAAACATCATGTACATTTAATAATCTAAATTTATAAAAGATTTTTCTTTGAATTTTAAGTAATTATCATCATATTTTTAAATAAAGATTGAGATAATTTTAGATTTTATTATTTTAGATTTAATCTAACAAAAAGTATTTTTGAGTCTAAATAATGCAATAAGCTAAATTTACATTTATTGTTTGTTGTTTATTACAAAAAATTTAAAAATTAATGCTATTAATCTATTCAATAAAAATTATATTTTTAGTTTAGAACTTAAAAAATGTTTGTAAAAAATTATAAATTTTTATAAACTGCTAATTACAAACTTTTAATATAATTTGGATAGTTTGTTTTAAAAAGCTTTTTTTATCCCGCATTGTTCTTTCCAATTATTGCGTATGTATTTTTTGATAGTATTTTTATAAATTTCAAATTATGTTTTTTTTAATTTACAATATGTTACTTCTTTTTAGTATTGTAACAGATCAAAAATTGGCCAGAGAATTTTGTATTATTTTATTTTACGATCAACCATCCTTAATGGAAGATAGTAAGTTCTCAAATTTAAATAAAGAATAGATAAATTTAATTTTTTTAGTCGAAACTTCATAATTTCTAATTTATTAGCTTTCTTTCTAGTTCTCTACTTGCTAAATCAATAAAAAATTAAATTACAAAAAGTATTTCGAACCAACTATTTCATATTTATACTTTTAATTTAATAAATTGCAATCAAGGAATCAATAAAAATTTGAATTTTATTAAAGGCTGTGCATTAATAATTAGTTTTCAAAGATAAATTAATTATGTTGATATTAAATCTAACTTTTTCTGAATTTATATTAAAATTGATAAAAAGAAAAACAAACAATCCTAATTTGAAAATAAATTTTAAAAGAACATGTTGTTTTTATATAAAAAACATATATATAAATAAATATACACCAAATTTTTTAGATTATAATTTTTTTATTTAGTCTCTCATTAAAAAAGCTGATTAAAGTAAGTAAAATAAATAAATATTTATCTTATTTCAGCTAGAAACGAAAATTTATGTAACTATATAAGGATATTTAGAAAGATTATTTGTTAATATTTCTGTGGTTACAGATATTTTTAAAAATATAATTTTAGGAAAGATTATTTGTTTGTTTGTTTGCTTGTTTATTTATTAATTTTTGGGATTGGTTAGTGAGTATAGTTTTGATATAAAATATCCAGCCAGCTTATTTTTTATTTAAGTATTATGTTGTGAAGAAACACATAAGATTTGCCGAATATTAGTTATATCGCTTGTTTACATTAATTAGTATTTTTTTCTATTTTAATAATTTTTAGTATTTGATTATATATAATTTAATTTTAAGTATCCATTTTTATTGTAAGTCTTTGGTTAATTTATTTTAGATATTGTAAATGTATGTTATTTAATTCTTATTTTTAGTGTAAATTTTTATGAGTTAAATTTCAATTTAAGTTCTAACTTTAGTAGGAATATTTTCATTTTTTTCAAATTAAATCAAATTTCAAGGTTAGTGAAAGAAGTGCGAGTTTTTTAGAAAATTTCTATTTCTTGTTGTACTAGCTACAAGAATTCTTACTATGAAATTTTACCATCACCATCAACATCTACTTCCTCAATCATTTATCTGATTGATTATTCTGGCAATTTACGACCTTCTTAAGCGAAGGTATCCTCTAAGTCTTGGGGAGATATAAAATTATCACCGTCTTTGTCGAAGTGACTAAAGAGCTGGTTTATTTTCTCTTAATCTAATTCTTTAGAAAGATTGATCGAAGCATATATAAAGTCGGAATAGTGAATGTAGTTTTATTATTTATTTTCATCTTAATTAACATCTATTTCTTAGCTGATTTTGAATGCGTTATTTATTTTATGACAGTTTATTTCTTGAAACAAAGCATATATTTACTTTTGAGTGATAGGAATATTTAATTATTACGTAGCTTTAAAGAGTTCTTCTGCTGAAATATAGCCATTATCATCGGTATCGATGGTTTCAAAAGCTATCTTTAGTTTTTGAATTTCATCAGTTTATGTTTAGGTGTTGAACATGAGACGTATTATTTCTTATTTGAACTTAAAGGAGTTCTAGAAAGAAATAAAATTTTATATTTTCGATAAGCATTTTTTCATATTGCGAGATTTGTAATTTATTTAATTTTTTAAATAAACTGAAAACCAATCACTTTATAAAGCTTCTTCACAAGAAATACGACTTTTTGGGTCTAAATTTAAAAATTGGGTGATTAATACCTTTGCACTTTTAGATATTCCACTCCAAGCGCTGCTTCTAAAGTTGAAGTTAGCCGAACAAATGTTCTTGAATAGCTCTTTAATGTTAGAAGCTTCGAAAGGGTGAGAACCAGAAATCAAATAATACATGAGCACTCCCATACTCCAAGAATCGCTTTTTTAATCATATGGTTACTCGTTAATAACTTCAGGTGCAACATAAAGGGGAGTGCCAACGATTGATTAAAGTATAGATGCTTAGCTTTAACTGAAATCACGACTCAACCCAAAATCTAATATTTTAACATCAAGGTTTGATTCATTAATCATAATATTTTCCAGTTTTATATCGCGGTGAATGATTCCTAAATTATGCATGTGACTCAGTGCGCTAAGTAATTTGCGTACAATAAAAGCTACTTCAGATTCAGTGAATTTTCTATTTACTTCGAATCTCTCCTAACAATATTGTGAGAGTTCTTTTCCTTGTACAAACTCCATTACAATATGGAGATATTTGTCATCGTGGTATGTCTCATAAAATTTTACGAGGTTTGGATGATCGACTTTCTTCATTATATCTAATTCACGGCGTAGTAAATAATAACGCTCTCCAGCATCAGCCTTTAAAATGGACTTAACAGCAAATTCTTTTCCATTAACATTAGTAGCTAATCTTACCTTTCCAAAAGAACCCTTGCCTATAAGCTTTATCATTTTATAGTTATCATAAATATTTTAACGAGAAGAAGTAGTCTTCTCCATTTAATTTTCAGAACTCTTAGTTATATTTGAAGGTAAAGGCTCTTCCAGGTTTTATTTTACTGGTTTGAGCTTGAATTAGGATTTCTTTGGAATTATAGTTAAATTTTGAGGTTTTCTATCAGGAGTAACATCCTCAAATATGTCACTATCAGATTTTATTTTGTTATTAACCTAATACTTGGTTTATAATTTCAAATTCTTTTTATTAATATTAGGTTTGTGAGTGCAGTTTCCCATATTTTTTAATAAATTAATAAGTATTTTTTTGTCTGATATTTATTTAAATTTTTTATGAGAATTATGATTTTTTAATTTATTAATGTTTTATGTGTTTAAGTTATTTAATTAATCGCAAACTCTACATGTTCATTTGCTCTTTTGTGGGATAGATTAATAGATAGATTAATAGATTTCACTAAAAAATCAAATCTGAAGGCAAATTAGTTAATTAATTAATTAATGAATAATCAATAAATTGTTAAATCTATATTTTTTTTCGTTCCAATTTATTAATTGATATTTAGAAAAATTCAAAATCACTATATTTTATTAGATTTTTTTTCAAGTACCACTTTTTTATTTCATTATCTATTCTTTTATCAAATTTGTAATTCAACTCATTAATTTTGCTTATCGAAAATCTAAGATGTATATATATATATCCATTAAATTAACTAATTGCAAAACTTTCTAAATAAATCTGCTAGTTTCAAAAAAATGCATTAATTATCTTAAGAAAGCAAGCAAGATTTTATCAAAAAATTTGAATTTATTTTCTGTTTCTCCAACGTGTAAGCAAAGTGAAGTCAACCACTTATCAATCTTAATTAGATTTTTATAGGTGAAAATTTTTATTGATTAAGGATTATTACATTAATAAAATGTCTCTCTTACATTCACCGTACAATGCAAACAAAGCACATTTTTATATTAAAATCTCGCTATTCTCCTTATCTATTTTAATTCATTTTTCAAGGAGATTATCTTACATCAAAACCTTCCAATAAATGAGAAGAAAAAAGCAAAAACAATTAGAAATCAGTTTTTGTTTTTAAATAAACTAAAATTTAAAAAAGCAATCATCTAGTTAATCTATATTGAATAAATTTGACTTGCTTGGTGATCTTATTATATACTATTTATCACTAGTAAATAGAGCTTATACACAAAAAACATAATAATAAAAAAATTTGAATTAATATCGGAAAGTTATTAATACCTTGAGTGACTTTCAAAATCTAAAAAACAGACGTAATTAATTTTGGGTTACATGAAAAACATAAATTTTGATTATACAGAATCTTCTGAATATCAAGTAACTTTTTCTTTTTAATACAAATGATACTATGGTCATCAATAAATTTATGCGTTAGTATTTTTTTTTCTTCAAAAAAGTATCAGTATTAGATTTTCTCTACTCATGATAAAATACTTGAGCAGCCTATGTTTTTTGAATCTAAGCTATATAACTGAACAAAATTATAAATATGAAAAAAAGCAGCCAGCGGTTTACTTTCATAAAATTGAGTCAGTTTCGAGAAATAAAAATCTTATTAAAAAAAAAAAAGCATTAAAAAGTATTTTTTATCATTTTAAGTTTTTTCAGTTATTTCACTTCTTAAAATTTCAAAGATGTTATATATAAAAATTAGTCAATTTTAGGAGGTAATCAATCTTTTATTAAACCTCACACAAATTTTTCTATTTATTTTTATGAAATAAAATATGTTTTTAAATTCAGAAATGAGTTCTAAGTGATTGACATTTATCAAATTCTCCAAAAAGAGTGTAAGGAATATATTATTTCTTATTATTACTTCCCCGGTTTTTTGAAAATTATGATAAACAAATAATATTCACTCAATCTTCGAGAGTACTGGTAAAAAATAAATATATATTACATTTTCTTCAAAAAAAATTAATATATTAATACATACACATAAGTACAAATACATATTTACAAACACACTCTGCTTGCTTACGTTTATTATCTTACCCGCTAATTAATATCATAAGAAAAAAATTTTAATTATTATTTTTCAATAGTTATAGACCTATTTAAAAAAACAATAAATACTAATTTACAGCTTAATATCTCATTTCAATTATTTTACCCTTTAACAAACACACAATAAATAGATTGACTTTATAAATTCTATATGAATAATAAGTATAAAAACTTTTAGAAAGGTTAACAAACGAAAACTAACGAATTTATGCTGACAATCTTATTAAGTTTATAATAGAAGATAAAATTTTTCTATAAATTTCAATATTTGTCAGAAAAAATTAAGTTATTTAAAAATAAAAATAGATAATGTATTAAAAGTTTACGATATTCATTCATTCATTCATTTTTTATGGGAATCAAGTTTCTAAATTTTTTTATTTTTCAAATTTTGAGTAGCAGGAAGGCAATAGATAAGATTAATGAAGTTTTTTCGATGTTCTGTATAGATAATCCAAGTAAATTTATTTTAAAAAAGAAAATATTTGAATCACATATGATTAGCATTTCTATAAAAAGATCAATCAAATAATAATAACAACTTTTAATTGCTAACAGCTGGAAAAAGTAAATCTATATCATTTACTTTAATTTAATTTATTGATCTTTATTTCCTTTAATTAATAAATCAAGAAATATGAATTTTCTTCTTGAAACAAAACCATTAAGATATTATTTAAAATAAAATTTTTCTAGATACATTACATGCTTTTTAATATATTAAAATACTATTAAAAATATACATAATAGATATTTTTTGTTAATTTATTTAATAAATATTATCATTTTTATCCAATAAACGTATTTAAAATTTTAGAATTGCTTTTGTTTTACCTGATTAAAGAATTTAAAGAATTGCATAGTTGTTACTGTAATCACTATCAATATTATTTTAAATTTTTAAAAGCTTTTTATAAAATACAAAATTTATTAATCAATTTTAATTTATGTTAAAAATAGATTTGTGGAATAAGCTTACTCTGTTTAGTAGAAAGTGATTCTTCTTTTTTTTTTTTTGCATTATTCTTTTTAGATTAAAGTTTATTCTAACAAAGAGTTACTGATTAATAAATGTAAGTTGTAAGATTGAAAAATATATTTGAAATTTTTAGTTAATTAGTTTTTTTTTTACTTAAAGAAATTATTTAAAATAACCACAAAAACAAGATAGATGATTTTGTTTTAAAGTTTTATATATTGCGTTAGTTTATCTTTAAGAATTAGATTCTATTAAAATTTTAAACAAGTTAAATTCATTAAACAAAAATATCTCATTTAGAATAATAGATTGATTTAAAATTTCGATTATATTAGCTACCTATAAAGAATATTTAAACATTTTTATTGAATATTAATCCTAAATTTTCTAAAATTAAAATAAACAAAAACCACTTTCTTATAAATTAAGTAAAAATAGTTTCTACTGAACTTTTAAATTTTTCTTTTATTAGAGTAAAAATTAGATTTAATAATTATTTTCGATAATTTTTTGAGTGAATTAAATGCATGTTTTAGATTATTATTAATTTTATATACTAATGACTCAATTTAAATCATTACAAACATATTTTAAACATTTTGATTAAAAATTATTGAAAAAAATTCATATTTATTTATACAAACTTGTAGATATAATAAAATAAAATTACACTCTAATATTCCTTATATATAAATCTAATGAACAAATAAAATATTCTATTTATTAAAATACACAACATTTGTCATACTTTTATATTTTAATTTTAATTTTCTAATTATAAATTTATAGTAATTTTTAATAATAAAACTAAAAATAGAAAATTGTTCCTATTTTTGATATTTTTGAAATTTATTCTTTATACTAAAAGAAAATTTAAGTAACAAAAACAAAAAATGCATTTTTTACTAATAGAACAGTAAAACAATTTTTTTATCATAAGCAACTTTATTAATTAATTATTATTTTAGTGTAAATAAAATAAATTATTAATTTACAAATAATAGATTAATACAGTTTTAGTACTAAAAAATTATCAAAAACTAAATCTTGATATAAAAAATGTATTTTTCAATTTTCATACTAAGTATACTTTCATATTTAGTTTTATAAAATAATTCATAAACTTTCTAATGACTTAATAGATTTCTATAAAAAGGTACTATTTTGATTGATTTTATAATTCAAAGTAGGTTCGTATTTTTATTTAAAATTTAATAATTCAAACGAAATTTAAATTATATTAATTGACTAGATTTTTGTTTCAAAAAAATGATATTCCTTAAATATTTAGGTTTTTACTATAATAGCTATTTAATTACATAAAAAAATAATTTTTTCATTCATTTTTCATTGTTATTAAAAAATAATAAAATTCACTAATATTTATATTGAAATTACAAATTTTTCTCATTCATTTTTGAATGTATTTTTTTTCTACAAGGAATTACTAGAAGTTAAAGATCCTAATTAATTTAGATCCATATTAAATTATTTTAAAAACTATTTAAAATCAAAATATTTTTTATTAATTTTTAAATTTAATTTTTAGTATTCTTTAATAATTGTTGATTATTTTTAAAAGATTATGTAAAAAAATAAATAGTTAAATATTTAAAACTTTAACTTTATTAATTTTAAATCTAAAGTAAATTATTAACTGAATTAGAATTTTTATTGGTTGATCAAATTTATTTTTTTATTTAATAAATTGCTTTTTTACATAAAATTTAAGATATTTAATCATGTAAATAATCCTAATATTCATCTTATATTGAATTTTGAAAGAAATTCAAATTTGATTAAATTGATAAAAAAATAATATCAACCAATTAAGATTTTTCAAAAAAAAAAAATAGAGTATAATTATTGATAATTTAAATGAATTCTAAAAACAATATAAAGGCCTTTAGCATCGAAGAATATGAAAGAAAAACTAGAATGCCAAGAGAGGAATTGATAGAAATAAAGTAGGCTTTTGATATATTTGATTAGAGTGGTGATGGCACTATAGATCCTTAAGAATTAAGATAGGCATTTGAAGAATTAGGTTGGAAGGGTAATAGCAAATTTATTTATAAAATATTAGAAGAAATTGATAATGACTACAGTGGCGGTATTGGATTCGATGAATTTTTATAAATTGCTACCTCTAAAGTGACTGATAAAAATTCTAAAAAGGAAACAGATAAAGTTTTTAGAATGTTTGACTGCAATGAGTCTAACAGAAATGGCAAAGGTTTTATCACTATCGATGACTTAAGAAGAATTGCAGAAGATCTTGGAGAAGAAATGACCGAAGAAGAATTATAAGATATGTTTAACCGTGCTGATGCTGATTAAGACGGAAAGGTGATTGATATCGATATTTATAATATCATGACAGGCAAATTTTATTGGGATAAGTGATTAATCATTAACTAACTAATTAACTATGCCAAAAAACTTCAATCAATTAAAAATTTGTTAACAATATAAAAAATTTAAATTAAAGCAATCAAATTTACCAAATAACTAATCCATTCATTATATTTTAAAATTAATTAAATTTGTTTGTTATGTTCATAATTTATCTGATTTCAAATTTTATTATTTCTTGAATAATATTTGTATGACTATCATTAATCCATTAATTAACAATTTCAATTATTTATTTTGATTTTAAGATACAAAAATTTTTAAATCTATTCAAAAATTTGCAGAATTATTGTTTGTTTGTTAATTTCTTAATTAGTTCGTTCATAATATTTATTTATTAAGCCAAATAATAATATTAATATATATATTCGCTTTAATAATTTCAAAATTTCCACTGAAAGATGTATAAAAACTACAAGACTAATTTATCAAAACCAAGCAAACCAAATTTACCCAAGGGTTAACAAAAAAGCCAAGGCACAATTAGTTAGAAAGTAGTTAAACCTAAACCTGAGTGGAATGATTCTGTCAAAGATGAATCCAATTATAAGCTTTCTGCTTCAGAGTTAGTAAATTTTCAAAATCTTCAAAAATTTCAAAAATTTTCAAAATTGTTTTAAAAACTTCTGTTTTAATTTGTGTATGTATTCTCATTTAGTGGTTTTTTTAAATAGGTGCAAAGGAAGATTAATTTGATGAGTAAGCATAGATTGGAAGCTAAGGAGGAATGGCTTGAGAGATAAGAAAAATTAAGGAGGGGAGTGTTAGATGAAGAAACAAAAAAAATATATGATACTGCAAGGCAGAGTAAAAATCTAAGCACTAGAGAAGACGAAATAAAAAGAAAAAATTTAAGCTAGATGATAAACTTTATTGAAAAACCTTAAAAAGATAGCAAAGCGGTTGTTGAATAGGTCAAACAAAATCTTGAATAAACAAGAAAATTTATTCATAAAATTGAATAATATCAAAATGATGAAGATCCAAATAGATTGCTAAGAGTTATTGATAGATTAAACAAAAATTCAGATCAACAAAATAGCAATTATGATACTGTAAATTAGAATAATAAAGGTTAAGGTAGTCTAAGGAAATCAGCAAGATCTATGAGCAGCTAAAATATGAACTCATAGAGATAAAATTCTTTAAATGAAAATAAATTAAGCGACAAAAAATATAACCAATCCACTTAAATGTAAAGTGATTTCTTTTCATCTTCATCAAAGGAAAATTAAAAAGACATGGCTAACTACTTCCATTCTCTTGATAAAATCGAAGAAACTATAAAATTTATGGAAGATAAAATTTTATGTGAACGTAAATCTCCTTCCAAGTAAAATAATGCTGCTTCAAAAATTGTTGAAAAAAAACTTTTCAATGAAATACAAGAAAATTCAGATAGCATAAAATCAAATACTTTAGATAAAAAAGAGAAAAACATTTACAATTAATAGTTGGAAAAAGTTGACTTTGAGTTTGAAACTAATTATCATTATAATATGATTGCTAATAAAAATAAATTAGATATTAAAAACTTTGAATTTTCAAAAGAGTCTTAAAACGGTGCAAAGTAAATTAATACATCTAGAGGATCAAAAAATATAGATAATGATGCTTTATCATTTAATCTCACTGATGGTGAAGACGAGTCCCAAACTCATGGATTTAAAAATAGATTTGAACAATCCTTACCTAAAAATTATAACAGAAGTAGAAGTTAGTCATAAGACAAGTAAATTTAATATGATAGCCAAGGCAAGAAATTTTAACAAGAAAATGATATTGTTGTTAACGATTTTAAATGTAACATAGATATGATAGATCCAAATATGTTTTTTAACAGCAATCAACAAGAAAATGAATAAATGAATAAATTTTAATACTAATACGACAACAAAAAAACATTTTAAGAGAATAATAGAAATACTAATGATGATAATATGAAATCAGACTTTCAAAGAAACTATGAGGATACTTTATCATCAGCTGATAACTATAATAAGCAATAAAAATCTAATTTTGTTTAGTAATATGATAATATTGCATCAAAGAAAAGATAAGAATTGAGTAGCTAACAAGCAACAGTAAAGTTCTAGTATGACACTCAAAATGAATTATATTCAAAATTAAAGTAATAAACAGAAGATGACTCTGAATAATTCTATGCAAACAGAATCGCACCTTAGCCATATACAAATAACTATTTCAAAGAAACTTAAAGAGATTCTGAGTACATATCTAAGTAACCAAATAAAAGCTAATAACCTTGCAGTGTTTAATAATAAGTTTAAGATGAAGAGTAAGGAGGAGATGATTATTTATCAAGAAATATAGATTAGTTGAAAGAAATACTGGAAGCTACTAAAAAAGATCTTGAAAAATTAGAAAATAATAATTTAAATAGCGATGAATTCAATTATTTTTCATCTCAATATTAATAAACCTAATAAGAAGGAACAATATAAGGAAAAAAGATACAGAAGACTATCCCAATATCAAGAAATAACGAATTAAGTGAGCTGTAAGCAATACAAAGTATCAAGAAGGTGGCAAATAATCTTTTAGAGTGCTCAGATAATAGATAGGTTTATCAAAATAAAATAAATCCTGCTTTTATAAATTCATACAAATAATAAGAAATACCAACAACAAATGATGTCTTAGTGTAAGATTCAAACTTATCCAAGCAAAATAACTTATTTTAAGATATAAGCGAATAATAAAATTTTTTTACAAGCAACATTTTCTTGTGTAATAATAATTCAATATAGAAAACAAATGGAGCAGCAGACAATATGTACAAATAGTCTGACCCATATTTTACAAGCAATATATTTTTGAATGATAATATTAGCAATAATAACGACTTAAAAAATAATCAATCAAATTTATACTCAAACAATCAAGGTGATACTTAAATTTAAAGAAATTAAAATATAATTAAATAAGATATGTTTAAAAAATCGATTTAAAACTATTCTAATCAAGGAGTTAAACCTCAGGATTCTCTTTACATAAGACATCACCTCAAATGATTAGTTTTTGTTTTTGTTTTTTGTAAGATAATTAAAAGTAAATTTTATTAAATTAATTATAATTAAAACTAAAGTTAAATAATTAGATATTATTAATCACATTACTACCTTTATACATTTTCATTTGTTTGTATATCTCAAATTATTTTATTCTACTAAGACTTTAATTGTTAGTTATCCTTCTTATTCAATTTTTATTCTTTTACAAATTAAGCTAATTAAAATTAAAAGTTAAATATATAGATGCTATAAATCTAATTTCTTCCTTTATCTATTTGCCTTTATTGGCATAAATATAATTATTTTATTCTACTTACTCTTTAAATGTATGCTAGCTATCCTTCAAATTCAATTTTTATATTTTAAAAAATTAAACTAGTCACATTTAGAGTTAAACTTATAGTTACTAATTTAATACACTTATTTTTGTTCATAAGGATAAAATATTTTTATTATACTAAACCTTAATTTTTACTTTGGTTTTTAAATTAATTTTTATACTTTTACATAAATTTTATTTTAATCCCTAAAAATTTTAGATTTTTTAATTAAGAATTTTCAATACAATATTAATTAATTATGCTGTAGAGATCAAAGATTTGATAAATTAAAAATTTAATATGGAGTAGAAGGAAGATATTTAGCTTGTCATTCATTTAAAGAAAGGAATTTTTTAGCAACAGATAAGAAAGAAGAAGTTAAAGTAGATTCTATCAGAAAGAAGAAGAAAAGATGATTTAACTTACCAAACTGAACCAAATATTATTTAATTTGATATGTTATAAACTTTAAAGAATCAGGATGTCTTAAAAAATAAGCATTAAGACTTTAAGTTTTTATATAATCTAATTACATTTATCAAATAGTAGATAAATATTCAAAATTAGTAAATGGTCTTAGAGTTATTTACTAACTATTATTTGCTTGATTTCTTAGTAGTAACGTTGAAAAATTTTTTGTATGAAGAAATGTCAACTTAATTTACAACCGAATAAATTGATTTTGATCAAATAGTTTTAGATATTTTGTTTATCTTAATAAATTTGACATATTATATAGATAAAAATGAAATTTTATACGTTTAAATTGTAATAAATTTATGCTCAACGAATTAAAGCAATATATAAAATGGCAGTGAATAATCAGATTTGAAATTGTTTGAAAAAATAGCTTTAAATTACTCTAAAAATGAATAAATATTAGAATATCTAATATAGCTTTTCAATAATTTAATTTATTTAGAAAATCAAACAATATGCAAGTGTGTGATAGATTCTTAAATAATTTTAGAATTGGTTATTGAAATGATACAAAACAATAAAGATAACAATGTTCTTCTAGATGAAGTAACACATTTTGTTTACAATTTGACTAGATAAAAATAGCATTATTCTTTTGAGCAAATAAATGATGTACTATATTTAGTTTATATTTTAATACCTTTAGTTAAGCAAAATGTTTAGGCTATAAACAGAACAATTTAATCATTATCTTATGCTTTAGATAATGCTTCATAAGAGGAATTTATAAATTTTATCATTCAAAATTACAACATTTTTGAAACTCTATCCGAATTAATAGATAACAAAAGTAATAATTTAAATGAAAATAATTCTAAGGAGGAAGAAACAATACAAATAATTTTAGAAATATTTCTCTTAGCCAGTGATTTATTAGATTCTTAAGAAGAATAAATAATAGAATGCTTTCATTTGAAATAAATTATATGGGCATCTTGTGAAAAGCCATTTAATTAAGTTAAATTTTAGAATGTTGAAATTTTTGTTTTAAGCTTGAAAATAATGAATTAAATTTTACAAAATTCAAATTAAATTCAATATTTTGTAAATAGTATATTGAATACTAGTGATCTTAATTCTAATATTTTAAAGAACTTAATTTATCAATGCTGTGAGTGGAGTAATAAAGAGTTAGTTAATGAATTTATCTCATTTCTCTACAATCTTTTCAAATGCTCTCAGACAATCGATTAAATTTTATATTTACTTAATTTTGGTGCTTTAATTATCTTCATAGAATCATTAAAAACAGATTTGCTTTTTTATGAGACAAAAGATTAAATATTCTAAGTTATAAATGATTTGTTTAATTTAAAAGAAAAGTATTTTGATTAAGAATCAATTTGCTCTAAAATAAAAATTAATACAATAATGCAAATATAATAAACACAAGGAATTTAAATCTTAGAAAATATCTTAAGCTCTTAGATTACTGATTATACATCCTAACTAATAGAAAATATATTAGATCAAACAAATGAATTTGAAGAATTTGAGTGAAAATTAGTATTTAAACAATTAGTTAATTTTTAATAAATTAACTATTTTAAGCAATTTAAACAAATTATGTTTATTTATTTATTAATGTTTTTCTTATTAATAAATACAAATGAATTTAAAGTATTTGAGTTAAAATTAGTTTTTAAATAATTAGTTAATTTTTAATAAATTAACTATTTTAAACAATTTTAACAAATTATGTTTATTTATTTATCTTTTAATATTTTTCTTATTTATAGATAAAAATGAATTTGAAGTATTTGAGTGAAAATTAGTTTTTAAATAATTAGTTAATTTTTAATAAATTAACTATTTTTAAGCAATTTAAACAAATAATGTTTATTTATTTATCTTTTAATATTTTTCTTATTTATAAATACAAATGAATTTGAAGTATTTGAGTGAAAATTAGTTTATAAATAATTAGTTAATTTTTAATAAATTAGATATTTTAAGCAATTTTTACAAATTATGTTTATTTATTTTGTTATTTATCTGTTAATGTTTTTCTTATTTATAAATACAAATGAATTTGAAGTATTTGAGTGAAAATTAGTATTTAAACAATTAGAGAATATTAATAAATTTACTATTTTAAACAAATTATGTTTATTTATTTATTTATTTATTTATTTATTTATCTATTAATGTTTTTCTTATTTTTTAATGAATCACAACAAAAATGCATTTTTTGACACCCATTTTTCAGGATTAAATTCTCTGTATTAATGCTTAGATGGTGGATTGTATTCACTATCGAATAATATATTTTTTAGCATTTTGTAATTTTTAACAGATCCTGTATGAAATATTCTGTCACCTATATTAAGTTTTTTAGCTTCCTATTTAATTATTTTTAATTTTTAAAATTTAAATAATATGCATGATTTATTTACAAGTTCTCTTAGTTGCTCTTGTTCTTAAACAGTAAGATAAGGTCCACTCGTTCTTACAATTGGCTAATTATTAAATTTTTGAGAGATATGTAATTTTGTAAATAAATTTACCTTTTTTCTACATTCATCAAAACCAATATCTAAATTATTTATTGTAGTCTTCTTTTTATCTGTTTCAGCTATGCTCAACTAAGATTTAGTACCAAAATAGCTTGATTACAGGTTGACCCTACTTGGCATTACAACATTTTCTTATTTAACAAATGGATTGTGGTTTTTATCTTATGTAGTATAAAGCGGCTATTATTTTAATGATGCAGCTGATTGTGTCCTTAGCTACAACTTCTTCATAGGGCCAACAGATGGCACTTTTATAATTGTTTAATGTTCCAAAGCTCTAATTCCACTTAATTAGTTACTCTTGCTTAAATCCTTTTAAAAATTTGACCCAGACACCTAGTTAATTGAAAAAATAAATAAAACCTAATTATTTACAAAAACAAAAATTATTCTTTACCCATATATTTTCGTTCTGAGGAAGCCCTTCTTTTTATAGCTTAGGGTGAAGCATTAATCTAATTTCACTTTAATTTTTAACAAACGCATCTTTTTCATCTATTAAATCTTTTTAATTATATTTATGCTCCTATTCCTTACTTTATTTAGAAGCATCTTAAAATTTTTAATATTAGCTGGTTGAAATAAATTAAGACTAAACAGTAGACTTTGCACTGATTATTCTATTTTTCATTATAGATTTTATATTTTATTCATTTCCTCTCTAAAATTTGCTCGAACCATTTTAGAAAGCAGTCATAGGACGGTGTTGCTTGGAAGAATTAACTTGGCTGTGTTAATCTTCAATATTTATATTATTTAAAGAAGGAATATTGTTGTTTGTACCAATACCAGATTTACTTGATCTAGAATTAAAATGGTCTATTTCTTAAAGATTAGTCACACTATCACGATGTACAGCATTATTTTCAACCATTAAATCGACCTTATCATGTTTTTTAATAGCAAAACCAGAATGTCTAAAGCAAGGATATATTTTTTTCTTTTTTTATTCTTCTTACTATGAATCTTGCTTTTTAGCTTTTAAAATAGATTCTAAGCTATTGTTGTCTTCCTCTGTCATATTTACAATACTCTTTATTGGGATAGATCTATAAAAATAAAATATTTCTTTAAATTAAGTTTATAATATTTTCAATTTTACCTTTTTCCTTATCTAATTTTATCCAATTAATGTTTGATAAAATTGCATAAAACCTAAACAGTTTAAGGATATTTTTTTGTTACATTGAATTAACATCCCAAAGTATAAGGATTCGGTTCAATAATTTAAACAGTAAACCTAGAATCAGCTAAAACAGTATATGTCTTTTGTGGGTTTACAAATGCTATGGGATGAGCATCCCATTAATTTTTACTCGGAACAAGAAATTCAAATTCTAAATCAAGAAGTGCATAATGGTTCATCAAAGCTTTCTTAATATAGCAAATAGTTTCTGTATTTTTAGCTTCAAATATTGTGTAAGTTTTTTTATGATGAATGTTAGCACGGTATATTTCAGTTTTCATAACTAACTTTCCCAAATCCTAGCTTTCTTATGCTTTCTTTCTAAAATGAAGTCCAGTGTTGTGAACAGGTTTCCATTAATTTATCTCATTATCCCATTAATACATATCTCCCGAAACCTTTAAATTAAATTTAACATATTTGAAGCTTTAATTGATCAATTCTTTTTATACTTATAATTTACATTATCTAAAAAGTAATCCATTTTTCCATTTGGATAATCCTTTTGAATAGATTTAAAGCTTTGTATAGGATCACCATTAGCTCCATTTACAATATTAACTGGCTATTGAAAATATATATATATTAATAGCTTATTATGTTTTAAACAATTTACTCTCTCTAAGTCTGTTGCAATTAAATAAATCAGAGCCTACATAGCAAATTAAGATGCCCATAAAATTTTATTAGTTTTGAAGCAGTTTTTTAAAAACATAAGAAACTTTTTTAATTAGATAAAATTCTTTTCAATAAATCCTCCATATAAAAGTTTTAATTACTTATGAAGCTTTATCTGACCATGGTCTTAAATTTGCATCTCCCTCAATAAAAACCATATCTATAAAATCAAATGACTTTGCAGCTTCCTTACTAACAAAGCTCCCACTCATTTCATATAGAAAATCACATATATTGTTTTTATCGCAAACAAAAAATTCTGTTTCAGTATCCATTAAATCCTTTTATCTTAAGAAATACTTAAAAAAATAATTTTTGGTTCATAATTATTGCAATTAGTTAAATATATCAATCTTAGAATAACATGCAAAATAATAGTTTTTGCAAGTAAATATAAAAAAATTTACTTATTTAATCATATTTTCAAATTCTGAAAATTGCTTCTATCCGCTTGGAGTATCTGAGTAAGCATTTACTATTAAAATTTTCATAATTAAGATTGCTTAATTGCTAAAAATGTATGTGATTTATATAACTTCTTTAAAAAACTTCAGTAACTTCTAATAAGATTTTTTGAAATAATCAATCAATATTTGCAAAATTTGTTAATATCTATAATATAAAGAATCTAAATTCATATAAATGTTAATTACATCTTCATAGCTTTTAAAGGTAGAAATTAAAAAGCTTATATTTTTTTTTTATTAGATTTTATGAAAATAAATAAATAATACAATTTCTAAGCTTTTAATAAATATTTTATTTTAATAAATTTTTTTTTTATATTAGAAATTTTGACCAATTCCAATTCCCTTCAATCTTTGTTTTCAGATCTTTTATTATGCTATGATTTCGCTTGTTCTTCACTTTTTTTTATCCTCTCTCCTTTTTTGAGAAAATTTTTTGGATCAATTGTCTTTTTAACATCACCTTCCATTTTATATTAGAAAATTACAATTACCAGTTAAAAAGTAAAGCTATAATTTACCTTTAGCTGGTCCCATCGCATTTTTTGAATTTCCTTGAAAGCATCTTTGCTTGACTTCAAATTTACCTGCTGGGTTTTTAATCTAAATTAATGTTGATTGATTTTACTAAGTTAACTAAAATGATTGTTAAGTTTAAAGTAATTTTCAAACTATTTTTTAAAAAATCTATTACTAAATAAATGCTTTCACATACAATTATTATTTTTCATTTTTATTTTAAATTACAAAACTTAAAAAATTAAAATATACAGCAATTTTATATTTCTACCTTATTTAGTGTACCAATAGGAAATCCAAATGTTGAATATGTTGGTGGTAAATTTCCAGGATATTTTGATTTATAAAGATTAGTTTTTTGAGTGATGTCGGGTTTATTTATTAACAAAAATCGAATATTTTCTTCGTAGCTAGACATTGCTTAAGTTATCGATAGATTAAAAGATGATTGATTATATTCTATTAATTACTATAATATAAGATATAGAGTTTTTTATGAATAAAAATTTATATTAAGATTCATGCATGTTCTTTAAATAATACAAAAATGTCTTTTAAAAATCTTAAAATAATATATTTCAAAAAAATTTTCAATATTAAAATTACACTTCTAGTTGTTTTAAAGATTTTTATTATATTAAAAAAATTTATAGATGATATTCAACTAAACTTATAATATTGGTTAACATTTATTTGTTAAATAGCATTTTATTAGATTTATTTACTAATTATCTATTTTTTTAGATATTGATTTTGCTAGTCAGAAAGAAATACATACTAAAGGTGATATATTTTAAAATTACTATCCAAGCTTAAATTGCCAAGTAGTACTTATAATTTTTTTAAAATAACTTATGGTAAAGTAAAGAATTGACCATTAAGATTGACTGAATAGATAAAAGTATTAAATAAAGTATTATATAAATATATTTTTAATTTCCTTAAATAAAATTAAAAAGAAATAAAATAACTTTTGATTGATTGATTGATAGCTTGGTTGATTCTAACAATCATATAAACGTATAGAAGTATCAATTTTTCAAATAAAATAGCAGCTAAGAATAAAAAAATCAAAAAATTATCTATTGAAAGTCTATGCTGAAATTTATTAAAAAAGTAAAAATAAAAGTTAAGATAATTAATTTACAAAATTTTAATAAACATACAAAATACAATTCAAGTTTGAAAAAACAAGAAAGAAACTAATTTGCATTTTAACTCTTTCTAAAAACAGTCAAGTTAATAAATATTATCAAAAAAGAAACAACAAACATCATAATAATCAAATAAAAAATTAGCTTTATAAATTAGATTAAGCGCATTTAAAATACAAATTAATGGGAAATTGTTTTGTCTCAAAGCCATCAAGCAGAGATAACAGTACTACAAAAGAAAAGGTTGTCGACCATAATGAACTTAAGGTTGACCTTTAAGAAGTTCAAGAAGAACAACAAAAATAATAAGTAGTTAAAGGTATCTTATAAATTTAACATTTAAAACGAATCCTACTTAGGTTGAAATTAAAATATAAGTTTAAGTATAATAAATTTTAGCTCTTTTGTTAAAGATTGATTATTCTACAAGCTATACTGGTGGCTGACATTATACTTAATATCAATAATACTTTGTTTATTTCTTTTAATAAATATTATTAAAAATACTTAACCTCCTTTTTAATTTCTATTCTTTGTAATTAATTACATATTAGAAGAAAAATAAGTTGCAGTAAATAGCGCTAAAACTTAAGAAGAACCATAAGAACCTAAGTAAGAGGCTTAGGATAAATCAGCAGATAAATATATTGATAAAAGTGCTGATAAATCATAGATCAATTAAAACAATGTTTCATAAGATGATTCAGCAAAACCAGTAAATAATTTATTTAATTTATAGAATTTTGTAGATATTTACTTTCTTCAAAACAAACAAACAAACAAATAAACAAACTATGAAAACTCTATATGGAGTAACACAGTTGAACTTATTAATTTAAAGTATATGTAATTTGATTCAGAATAGTCTAAGAGTTTTAATCTATGAATTTGAAATTAAAGTTGAGTTTTTAAATCAATAAATAAGAAAGCAGATTTTGAAATATTCGAAATAATATGCATTTCTAACTTTTTACATAAAATAAATTATTAAGGATCCTGAAGACAAAAAGAAGAAAAGAAATAAAGTTAAAGCTAAAAAAGTTAGGGCTGATATTGAAGAAGAATCTTAGATTTATGAAAATATTATCAAAAGGGAAAGGGAAATGACAAATGCTGATATCCACGCCAATAAAAAATCGCTAGGAAATCATTTTGTGTTTTCATTACTTTCAGACTAAGATAAGTAAATAAATAAATAAATTTGTACACTTTATCCACTTTACTATCACATTTTTGAAATCAAATGAATTAAAAATGAGTTTTATTTTCAAAGAAAACCACTCATTAAAATCATTTGCTTTACTTTTTTAATCAAAAATGAATTAGCTAGCCATGTGAATAAGAAATTATTAAATTTTGTTTAAGGACCTTTAATTTTTAATAAAAACTGGACAAAATTTGAACTATCACTAATTTTAATTAGGGAAGAAATTATCAAAAAAATGTTCTACTGTGAAAACAAATCAGATTTTGTATTTAAGCAAGGAGACCAAGCATCTACCTACTTCATTATAGGTAAAAAAGAAGTTAAGTGTACAATTCATAATTTTATATATTATAGAAAAGGGAGAGTGTTAAATTATTATTAATGGAGATGTGAAGAGAACTCTATAACATGGTTAGTGCTTTGGTGAACTTGCTCTGCTTTACGGAGCTCCTAGATCTGCCTCTGTTAAAGCTCTAGGTGTTTGTGGATTCTGGGCTATCGATAGAAACACTTTCAAAAAAGCTATTGCAGAAGTAGTACATCGTGAATATGGTGAAAATCGTTCATTCATTGATAAAATCAAATTCTTCAGTAAGAATATTAGATAAATTTATATTTAAAATAAATAAACTAAATAAATAAATAAATAAAAAAATAGACTCTATGACTAATGAGTAAAAGGATTCAATTGCAAACGTTCTTATTACTTAAGTTTTCAAGAAGGGAGAAATTATTGTTGCTGATGGTGATATGGCTAGTTCATATTATATTATAAAGAAAGGAAAGGTAGCAATTTACAAAGATGAAAAGATGATCCGTGAAATGGTAGCAGGAGAAACTTTTGGTGAGTAAGCTCTTTTTGAAAATTCTAAGAGAGGTGCTACAGTTAAAGCAGTGGAAGATGATTCTAGATGCATAGCTTTAGGAAAAGATGATATCCAAAGAGTTCTTGGTGATAAAGTTTAAGTTATTATGTATAATAATATGATTAAGTGGGCCTTTGAAGGAAATGAAATTTTAAAAAAACTTACTAAGGTTTAAAAAGAAAAAATTGTAATTAATTAAAAGTAAACCAATTACTAAAAAGGAGTAATTTGTTTCCCAGCTGGATAGCCAGTCTAAAAGCTTATATTTTTATTAGAAGGTTCGATTGCATATGTAAATAATTTTTACTTTATTTGAATGATTTTATTTAAGAAGCACTTTTTACAAACAAACAGGAAGGAGGAAATAAAATTGCAGAAAAGGGTGGATTGTTTGGTGATCACTGGCTTCTCTAAAAATACAAAGATGAAAAGTAATTAATAGCAAAACATAAAATAAAAAATAGTGAATCAATATTATAAATAATAGGCTAAGCAAAAATGTTATATTTAGTGAAGATACACTTTTAGCTGAAATATCATTCTAATAATTATATGAGCAAATTGGTGGTAAAAATATTGAAGAAATCATAGATAAAAACAAAGATTCCCATGAAGTCAAGTATATGAAAAGAGCTAACTCTAAGGATTTAAACAAAGAATATGAACATTTAAAGCTAGAAGACATGATTTCTATTAAAAAATTAGGTGAGGAATATTTTTCATTTCAAATATCTAAAATATAAATTATTTTTATTTAAAAAAAAAATAATTAGGTTTTGGTCAATTCGGTAGCGTTTATTTAGTCAAATCAAAATCAGATTCCAATTATTATGCTTTAAAGTGCATTTCTAAAGCTTAAGTTATTGAACAAAGTTTAGAAAAGCATCTTTTATAAGAAAAGAAAGTACTTGAAAGTGCTCAATTCCCTTTCATCATGAAATTTATTAGAACTTTTAGAGACAATAATAATGTATATTTCTTAGTAGAATACGTTCGTGGTATGGAACTCTTTGATGTTATCCGTGAAATAGGTACATATTTTCTTTCTTTCTTTCTTTCTTTATTTTTTGATTTAAAATTCATTTTAAACGGTTTTTAAAAATAGGTCTTCTAAATACTTATGATTCTTAGTTTTATATTGGATCTCTTCTTTTGTGTATTGAATATCTCCATACTAATTCTATTATTTACAGAGATATTAAACCTGAAAATATCATGATAGACTACAAAGTAATACTTTTAAACTTGCTATCAAAATAAATACTCAATCATAATTTTTATTCATTAAATTAGGGATACATGAAACTTATTGATATGGGTACTGCAAAATTCTTAAAAGGCAAAAGTGGAAGAACTTTTACTATCATTGGTACTCCACATTATATGGCTCCTGAAATTATTACAGGTAAAGGTTATTCTTATAGCGTTGATTTATGGTCGATTGGTATTTGCTTATATGAATTTATGTGTGGTGCTGTGCCATTTGCAGAGGATGCTGATGATCCATATGAAATTTATGAGGAAATTATTAAAAAACCCCTGTAATACCCTGGCTTTTTAAAGGATAAGAACTCAAAAACTCTTATGAATCAATTGCTAAATAAGACTCCTGAACTCCGTTTAGGTGGTTCATATGCTGCCCTTAAAGCTAATCCTTGGTTTGATAACTTTGACTTTGTAATTTCTATTTATAAATAATAAATAGCTAAAAAATAAATATATTACTAAATTAAAGGATAAATTAATGGAAAGATAACTCAGAGCTCCATATGTCCCTCCAAAAGATAAGTTGATATCAGAAGCTGAAATCAAAAAAATGGAAGGTATCCGCAAGTTAGTTATGGATGAAATAAAGGTAAATTGAATTAATTAAAATTAAAAAAAATTAAATAAATAAATAATATAAAATTTTTTAACTAAAAAAGCATGAAAATACATCTAGATATAGAAAAGAAAATGCTAAAGATCCTAACTGGGATAAAGATTTTTGAAGTAGATTAAAATAAAAATGTAAAAAAGACAAATATTTATTCTTTAAATAAAATTTTATTAATATAATTATCACACCATTAATATTTTAAACTAATTGGCATTAAATAAAAGAATCATGAATAGTTTTTATATTATTAGATTGAAGTTAAAAAATTCTAAGTAAAAAAACAACTTACTTTTTTACTTAATTACTTATTTACTTGTATCTTTTGTGTTCTATATAACTTTAAAAAGCATGTAAATGCATATAAAATTTCTCAATTAAATAAAATCTATTGATTTCTTCATTAATTCTCATTAATTTTTATCTTTGCTTTAATCAATTTTTTATTTAAATTTAACAATTACAAAAATCATTTTAGTTTTATTCTAAGATTTTAAATGATAAAATTACTATAAAAAAATAATAAAAAATAAAAAGTAATTTTTTAAATGCTTTATTTATTTTTAACCTTAAATTATATTTAAATTAAATATTTCTAATAGTAAAATTGAATTAAGTGCCTTTATATTTTCTATAAAATGCATTTCTAGATTTAAAGTTTTAATTTAAAAATTAAATTAGAATAATAGCTTTTTTATTAGAGTAATATTTTTAATCAATTATTTCAATATTTAAATTATCAAATACTTGTTTATTATCAATTTATTTTATAATAAAGAATTAATTAAACAGATAATAAATAATAAAATAAATTAAAATAAAGGTTTCCTACTAAAAAATTTTAACAGTAGCTTAATTCATCAATATTTCATCAGAAAATCTAATTCACCCTATAAAAAAATATAACTAAAATGATATAAAATATATTTAAGCATAACTAATTTATTTTAGCATAAAATTATTATCCGTTTTTTTAAAAATTAATTTTTCTTTAAAAAAAGATAAATTTTGAAATTAAATAAAAAATTAATTTTTAATATGTTCAGGTTTGTTTTAAAACTTTAAATTATTTATTTATTTATTTATTTTTTTACAATCATTATAATACATTTTATCAATGAATATCATATGAAATAGTTGTTTGCTACAATTCAAAATAAAGTTTATAGGTACAATTAAAGTTAATTTAGTTAAATATCTTAGATCATTTCTTTTTAGTCTTAGGCATTTTAAATTGAATTTGTTCGTTTTGAATTAAACCATCAGGACCATATATGAAATTATTAATATTGGTTATATCATTTTTTTATGTCTAAATTTAAAAAATAAAAATTAAAAATTTAAAAAAATAAATAATTAAGTGTAATTACATCTTTTTTCTTTTTAATAATTGTGATGGTTTTAGTCTATCCAGAATCATCTTGAATGTTAACTTTAGCAGTAGCATTGATGATTTTCTTTTTATAGTTTACATTTTTTGTATTTAACATTTATGATTAAATTTAAGTGTCATGCTTTTTAAATTATTTGTTAAAGTTAATATTTTATAAGACTTGATTTAATTAATCTTTACATTTATAATTGAATTGAGTTCCCTTTCTATATCATCATCATATTATTGATTTATAGCTTTGAGTTTTTGTTCTTCTTCATTAGGTGCTTTATTAGTTTAATTTTATTTTTAATCATTTTGGGTTGAGTTATTATTATTATCTTACAGTTTATTATTTTTTAAAATAAGGTTTCCCAAAAATACTTTCAATTCTTCTTCCACTGTTTTCAGAGTTCCTTTTTTCTCTTTTTACTCTATAGAATTAACAAGCTCATTAGCATCATTGTAAGTTTTAATTTTTGTCAATCTGCTGCTACCTGAATCTAGACTTTCGAAAGTATCTAGGACCATGAATTCTATGTCTATAGGAACATACTTCTTAGAGAGAATATATCTTTGGAAAAAGATTAAGAATCTAAGCATTTTAGGGAATGTGCGTCTCTTTGTGATATATTATCTAACAGGTTCAAGGATATTGCAAATCATAGAAATTCTGAATAAATCCTCTTAGCTATCAATTCTTTCGATTTCTTCTTAGGTTCTAAAAGGTTCATGACCAAAATCAATACATAGATAAAGCAAATCAAAAATAAAATCTATTTCAACAACTTAATATAAGTATAACTCTCCTAAGAATCTCACAACACTGATTCTTTTTTGTTATTCCTAAACTTCATTTTATTCCATTCCATAAATAGTCTATTTAATTTCATAATTAATTAACAATTTTATTACTAATTTTGACAAAATTTACCTTTTCTAATAGATCATCTACAATTCTAAGAGTTAGTGTTGGTCTAAATGTATTCAAGAAAGAGAGTAAACCAGCGCATAGCTATATATCATCTATTCTTCCCTTTAAAGCTCTCTTAATGATAGCATTGAAGCAATAATCGTCAAGCTACTCATCCCATTTAAGTCTTTTTTAAAAATTAAAATTAGGTTATGAAACTGATAAAAATTTTTTTTTTATATATGTCAACATAGATAGAAAGTACAAATTAATTGATTAATTTTAATTACTTTTAGATAGTAGCAGTAACTTCTCTGAAGCTCATTTCGTTTAATTTTTCCAAAACCAAAAATCTAATATATTGCTCTAATTCAGTTCTTTATTTTTCAGATTTAATTGCCTTTTTCTTTGAGGGCTTGGATAGACTGATAGAGTTTTCAAGCTATATGGACTTATTTGTGGGTAAATTAGCTTTACGAAGATGAACGTTAAGCTAGTCAAGGATAGTGATGTATCTAAAACGAGTTTCTTAGTTATTATAAATAAATCTACCTACATTATCCATGATAACACAAAGTAAATCTACTTATTAAGTGTTAAAATCATCAACAAGAGATTTAAAAATATTTAAAATTTTGAAAAGCTCTAAAACTCTAAATTTAGCTAGCTCACATAAATATTTTAAATATCTCATTTTCTTATCTCTGAAAGAAAAGTCTTGTCTCTACTTTTCTCTGTAGGAGTCAAAATCTTTAATTAATTTTTCTACGACCATATCACCCAAATCTTTAAAATGCTTGCTAATAACAGCAACAAATCTACACAAATGAGGAACCATCAAATTATATTCTTTTCTGTATTCAAGAATGTCTTTAACTAATTTTTTTCTATTTTATTTATTGTTAACATATACAAACTATTCTGCTAATAAATCTGCCTTTTCTTAGCTGACACAGTGTTTTAAGTTCTTTTTAAATTGCTCATAAGACTTAGGAATATCATCTACAAATAAAAAATATTTAATTAATTATAGCTTTAGTGATTTTATTTATTTATTTATTAGTTTATATTTACCATTATCTTTGTCTTCATCCTCTTCATCTTTTTTTTCTTCTTCCTCCTCCTCTTCTTATTCTTTTTCATTGTCATTGTCTTAATCTAAATCATCATCATTTTCATTGTTTGCAGATGTCTTTTAAACATTTCCTTAGAAGTAATTATTGGAAAAAAGAGATCCAGGAAGCTTAACCTTTAAGTCAAATATATCTTCATAGAATGCCCTTTCTTCATCAGTGTCAAATAAATTTTCACTTTCTTAGCGAAGACGCTCTTCTTCTTCTAATTTCTTTCTCCTCTACTCCTCTAGAATTTTTTGTTATTTTTTTTCTCTTTCTTCTTCTCCAAAGTTTACTTTAAAATCCAATTCTAGATTATCAGCAATAGTAGAAAGAGCTTCATATAAATTAATATAATTGTTTCTTGTTCTAGTGTATTCCTATTCATCTTTTTCTGTAAGCTTTTCTTCACTTATTAGCTTATTTAGCTTTTCATCTTATTGAATTTTTAGCTAATGATTAAAAGATGCTTGATTAATAATCTATATACCTAAAAATAAATATCGCTTACATCGTAGAGGTTCTTCAGATGATCCATTAATATATTTAAATAATATTAGAAATACATAACAATTTTTTATATTTTTTCAGGTGTAACAATTTGATCAAAGTCAAAGATATTGACTAAATCGTCATACTTGTTGTAGTTAAAACTTATTTTAATGCCTTTGCGACGAGTAATTTCAAATCCAAATCTGTCAGAAAACATTAAAGCTGTTTAAACATTTAACATAAGAGGACGAGCTTCTTTATGATTTATCTTTTTTTTTACAAAATAATTATTGTATGTACTTTTATTATTTTCTAAATAAACAAATATTTACTATATCTTTTAAGCATTCCATCATTTTATCGTATTAGCTTGTAACGCCTACAACAAAGAGCTCAGCGATGAATCTCATCATGTCTCTTCTTTTAACTGCTACAACTTTTTCATCTTTTTCCTTTTAAGGGATACTAAATTTCCAATATTTGATTATTAAGGATCATAACAATAAGCTAAAATGTATTTTACATTGTTTTGATTTGCTTTTAAATCTAAATAACCATTTGTATGTTGAAATCTTCATAACTTTAATGAAGTTTGGAACAAAGCTTTTTTATATAAAAGTATTATATTTAAAGCTATAAAAAACACTTATATTCATTAATATACCTAAACAAAGTAAAGAATATCATTATCAGTGATATTATAATCAGCAATTGAGATAGTAATTTCGCTAATGTAGCTATATTTATATTATATTAAAATAAATTTTTTAATTCTTCAAAAATCCATTTTTAATAAAATCTAAATTGAAAAAATATTGATACAATCAATCAATCATCTATTAAATTTTATTATTTTTTAAGTTATACTTTTGCAAATTATAGTTATCTATTTCGTTCAAAATAGCATCTCTATCCATAGGTCTGCTTCCCTTAAGTTTATTGAGAAACTTGGTAACTTACTAAAGCTTTAAAACTCTTTAATCCATTTTTAAGTCTTTTTAAATATATGTATAATATTAATATTCAATAGTGATGAAACATAATAATCTTTACTAGCATAATTCTCCTTAGCCTTAATATTTTACAATCTCAGCTATCTTCTAAAAGACTATAACTAAGCTCTTTCATCAAAAAATTTTTTAATTTCTTCAGGAATTTATTCGCTATCCATTATTTATGATTGTTAAAAATGCTTTTACTAATTATTTAAAAAGTTTATTTATTTAGATAATTTCTTTAGAAAAGATATTTATTTAATAGATACTATTAAATTTACTTTCTTTTTGATTAGGTAGCATTTATTAATTTTATTCTTTTAAACTCAAACTCATATTATTCAATTATTTTTTATAAAAAAATATATAGAACTATTCAATCAATCAATACAAAAAAAATTCGCCAAAAAAAATAAAACTTTTGTATTTTCAAAAATTATTTTATTTGTATTTTTCAAAATTTAAGCACTTGAAAAAATTATTTATAATTTGAAAAAGTGTGTTTTTTTAAAGCAATAACTATTAATCTTATTTAAAAATATTAAACTATTAAGCAATTCTTTAAAGCAAAAATTAATTAAAAAATAGCAAAATATGTGTTAACATTTTGAAAAAATAAATTTTCAATAAAAAAAAAATATTTTTAATTTTTTTAAAATTATATTTATAATTATGAATAAGATTTTACAATAATATAAATCCTATTTTCTGGGAAAAAATGAACCTTCATATCCATCTTGGTATCAATTTATTTATTTATTTATTGAAAAAACAATTAAAATAGATTGGATTGCTTTTCAAAAATTAATTTTGATAAAAAAAATATTTTTAATTTTTTATAGAATCTAATTTTTGATATATTTATATATGAACAAAAAACAAGATGGATAGATATTCAAGTTTCTTTTATTTATTATTATAGTTTAAATATATATTTGAATAATATTATTTATTTTTTTAGTAAAATAACTCTTATTGTATTATAAATTTAATAAACAATTTGTTGGTTGGTAATTAATCGATACACTTCAAAATTAATTCATTACTTAGAATGACTTTTCATACTAAATTTACTATTATAGTTAGCAAACTCGTCACTCATATATTATTAGTGAATTGAATTTTAGCTTTATTTTAAGGTTTGCTGCTACTACTTTTATATACATTTTTTATTAATTAGCTATTCTTTATTTTATGATTCATTCTTATTCTTTGATTATCTTTTTTCATCTGGTTTTTTAGAATTATTAGATGTTGAAGACTACTTAATGTTGTTACTCTAAAAGTCATATTTTATTTTTTTAATTTAACTTTCAAAATCTTCTAAGTCTTTCTCCGCCTCATGTGTCAAAACTTCAAATTACTTTTAGAAATATATTCTCTCAGGTGATTTATTAGATTTTCTCTTGCTATCAGCACTACTTCCGTGTTTTTTTATTTTTTAAATATTATTTTAATCTGTCAAATAGTAGTTTCGATTTTCTACTTTATTTTTCATATTGAAAGAATTCAATTTATTTAAATCATTATCCCCTTCTTTATATAGCTAAAGCAACTTTTAATGATTGCTATTATTAGATTTAGGATACTTTTCATTTTAATTAGAATATGATTAAGAAGATTCTTATAAATTAGAGTCCGTTAGCTCTTAGTTACTCCCTCTCTTTTTAAGGTTCTAGATTCCAGTTATATATTTCTTTATAGTTTCTTTGTGTAAATTTCTTAATTCCTCATATTTTGATTGCATTTAGTCAAGTTCTTATTTATAAGTTCTTTACTGTTGTAATATGTATTGCTTCAACTTCAGAACTTATTTTTGTAGTATCAAGTTTTCTTATTCAACTGTGACCTTAACACCTTCTTACAAATAATTTTCGTCTTCTTAATCAGTGTTTATAAATTTTATAAAAACTTTGCACAGTTTATCTCTATTAACTTTTATTTTCTAATCAAAATTTTTTTTACGAAATTAGCTTTTTAAAAATTTTTCACCCTTTTCAAAATCCTAAACTAATTTTATTATATTATAACTACTACATTCAATTTAATTATTACAATCCTTCATCTTTTTAACAAGAAATTGCTTAAACTTAAGATACTAAGCCTCTATAGTAAGAGCAGCTTTCTTGACTTAACGAAACTCGATAATTAACTTTCTGCTTAAATAACCTTTGAATACTTTCTGAATTTTAGTAGCAGCTAGAATATAAATATCGAAATCAAACATAATTGGCTTTTTATTTAGACTATTAACTAATGTATTAGAATTTGCAGTTCCTTCAGATCTAGTCGAAGAATTGTTATTATTTGTTTTGCTCTTTTTTGGATTATTTAATTATTTAGAACTATCTTAATTTTAAGATTCAGGGACTCGGGATGACATCATACTATTGCTCTTACTTGACATATCGAATATTTAGCCATTGTTATGCTTCTGCTATTAAGTCGTTTCTAATAAATTTACTTCTAATTCTGAATCAATTTATTATTTACTTCCTTCACCAAATATTTAAGAAGATTAAAAGCTTTCTAGCGAATATTTAGAGAGCTAAAGAAAGTTCTTGCGATTTTTATTATTAAGGATCTAGTTTTAGTGTATCATTTTTCTTATTTTCTTCATATTCTTCTCATGGTTTACACTGCGTTGTTATTAATCTTGTCCAACTTACTAATCTTACATTTGTTTTATAACTTACATATTCTTAATATATATCGATTTATCTATGATTAACTCGTTATTTTCTTAGGGTAAGCTATAACTAGCTAACTAAGGATGATGTTCGTGATAATGATGCTGATGATAGATATCATCTGCAAATCTTTATTAAATTTCATAATTTTAGCTTTCTTCAAACAAAAACTAATCACAAGGATATGAATTGTATTCAATATTGCTTATTTTTGCAAAATGAGATTCTTTGATATTATTTTAGGAAGACTAATTAGAATTTGGAGAGTAGTTAAATTGATCAATAACTTATATAATATTTTAAAACTTATTGTTTAGTTAATTTAATTCCTGTTTATTCTGGTTATAGCCTGCTTGCTCATAAGTTTAATATTTTTATTATTAATAATGATTAATCTGTTAATTTTTGTAATAATTTTCTTCCTCATCCTAATAAAATCTATTTGGATTCATCTTATTCTATCCGTTTTGAAGTGCCTTGTTTGACTGAAATGCTCCATTTTGATCAGGATTGATGTTTACAGCCTATTTACCTGAGTTTTTCTATATTTTATTTTGATTATTATAATTAGATTTAGGCAAAAGATTTTGTCTCCTTTCTGAAAGCAAATTGCTCTCAGAGATTTCAACTGAAATATTTACAGATTTTTGGTTTAAGAAATCTTATTCCTTATGGTTTTCTTTTTGATATTTCATTTGAGAGTCTCTACTATTATCTTTATTTTTATCATTTTTGGTATTCTCAACATGTTCCTTTTTCTACTGAGCATAAAGTTAAATTTCTTTGCCTTGTTCTTAATCATCACTTTCCTCTTGGTTCCTAGTATAGTTTGCTGTAATAAAACAAAAATTTGTTATTTAAATTAAATAAAAAACTCTGCATTTATTTTTTAAATTATGTGCAAATTATTGAATAGTTTTATTGAATAAAATCTATAGAGTAATTTTAAGTAATTATAAAACAATTTTATTATTTACCACTGTGTGAGTAAAGTTTTATTTTGAGATTTTCTTAAGACAACTGATCTGTCTCTTCTTCTTCTTCCTTTTTTAATTTCTCTGCAATATTTTTAAGCTTTTCTTAATTTTAATGTACCCTTTCTTAGAAGTTTACTTCGTCTTAACTATCTCTAGAATTCATCATCATTTTCATTTATGAGTTAGAGAATATTGGATGAAGCTAAGGAAATTTTAAAGCTTCTGCTTCATTTTTTCCTGAAACCAAGCAAGCCCCGTTTAAATTTTTATTCATATCTGTTTAAAATTCCTTTGTTTTCTATTTATTTAATTCTACTGGATGTAATTGATATTCGTAAGCTTATTACCTTTCTCTCTGGCTAATTTATTATTGCATATACTTCTATTAAACTTTTTTTTCTATTTCTGCACTACTACTGCTTTCACTTGATTTTTGAAACTCAATATTCTCTTGACTCTCATCATTTTGAATTAAATTTTTACTACCTATGCTCTTTTTCACATTATAAGCTTTTTTCTTTTACTCTTCATATTCACTATGAGAGGATTATGTAATATATTTGCCAGATTAATTTTCTTGCGCATCTCTGTTCAAATTATACTAATAGTCATAATACTCACCCTGTCCAATCTATTATCCTTGTAGGTATTCTAATTACTCTTTTTCGTACTCATAAATTTCCAATAGCTATCTTCTTATTTCTTATCTTACTAGAAAGCCTCTTATATTTGCCTATATTAAAACAATACTTTTTAACTCTTCTTGTGTGAGCTTCATTTACAGTATAAATTTAGAAAAGCCTAACTTTCAAAGGTTTAATTTCACAAATTATTTTGTGTATTTAAAAGCTACCTAAATATAAGAAGTAGGAATAAAATATTCTTTATTTTGTTTATTTGTAATTAAAAAAACAGATAATAATTTGTTAATACAGTTTCTACCTAAAAATTAAGTGTAGCATTCAAATAATTATGATGAGTATTTTTGAAAGATTCTATTATTTAAATAAACACTTAAAAAATAAATCATAAATAATTAATTATGTTGATTTATTTAATAATGAAATCAATTTGTTCTACCATAAATTAGTCAAAAATAATTCATTCATTTTTTACATTTTTTATAATAAATATTTTTAAATATTATTTTATTTTTTTCATTACTTTTTAAAACTTCTTTTATTCTTTTTAAAAATCATTTACATATATATATTGTTCCATAGGGTACTGCCTTTGCCAGGCTACATACACGAATAGTAATAATAGATATATTTTATTTATAGTTTCTTTTTTTCTTCTTGTTTCAACTGAATTTTAAGACAAAACATAATGGGTTGCCCTTATTTTTTGTAATATTTTCCTTGGCCTTTTTGTCCATTAAATCATATTTAATAAATAAATAGTTTGTTTAATATTTTAAAATAATTAAACGTAAATCATTAAGTTTAATTTGTCTTTATTTATTAATGTTGGAATTATATATGTCTAAAAGATTAATACAAAAAGTAAAATAAATTAAAAGTATTTGAATGCATTTAGTTATATTATTGTATTTATTATGTTTTCAAAAATAACGGCGGCGATTAAAGCTTATAGAATCTGATTCATTTCTTCTTTTTTTATTAGAACTTTCAAAAGCAAGAAAGATGCAACTTGCCAAAACCATAGCATTTTAATCTGAGTTATAGTTTGGAGGAAATCCAATACGAAAATTGTTGAAACCCCATTAACAGACAGTACTTTCTTAAACAAGAACTCCCTTGTTTCCATCAACATCTTCAAGAGCAAACTATAGCTCTCTACATGATTAACAACAACAACATCCACACATAACTCCAGCTTAGCAAATGTTATATTTTAATTACAGTTCATTAACATACTTGCTTTAGCATCCTACATAACCAAAAGAATTTGTAAAAATTTATCCAACATTTGCATTTTAGCCATTTTAGTTCATGTAAATTTATGCAAAGTTATACCAACCTGAATACAAGTTTTGCTTTTCTACATAGAATATTACATCAGGTTAAGTTTCATCTTCATCACTAAAATTTTTTGTTATTATCATTTCAAATGATTAATTACATCCTTTGCAGCAGCAAGCGCCACATGATCTTTGGCAATCACAGCAAGGATTAAATTTACCAATAGCATAAAGGAAAGGTTTGCTATTATCCTTTAATCTCTCTCCATACTGATCAGCTTCATATATTCTAAAAACATGTGAAGAGTTCCAAGTAAATATATTTTTAAACTCAAAACCTTCCTCAATGTATAAACCCTTAACTCCATTAAGCTCATTTACAGATTTATTTATAAAAGAAAGAGGTTTAAGTTCTTCATCTAATTTATTATGCTCTTCAACCTTAATCCCTTTTCCTTTATTTTTAGTTTCTTTGGATTTAGTTGCAGGTTTTAATGTTTTTTATGGATTCATTTACTATTAAATTGAATAAAAATTGAACTGATTAATGAATGAAAAATAGAATAAGTAAATAAATAAATCAAATTATCATTATATATATCTTTTTGTAAATGTTAAAACTCACAAATATCTAAACAAATTTTAAACTTATCGTTTTTATAAAAAATTTAAGAAAAAAGTTAGCTTGATCAAAACGTAAAATTTAACCATTTTTATAATAGATTTTTATTATTAAATATATATCCCTTTCTTACTGAATTAGTTTTTTAAATATTTTTGCTTAAATTTTAAAAATTTATTTATCATATCAGTGTGGAGATTTTTTTCTATTTTTCATTAAATTATAAAGTATGCTATTACTAAATAATTTAAATAATTCAAAAAAGGAATTAAATTATTAAAGGCTATTTCAATCTCTCAATATTTGTTTTTTTATCTTGTATTTTTATTTTGAAAGAAATACATAGTGCTTTTGAATAAAATTTAAAAAATATTTTTTTTTGTAATTTAATATATTTATTAAGCAAATCAATGAAGTTTTTTCTATTTTTAATAAACTATAAAGTATGAAATTGCTAAACAATTTAGGTAATTCTAAAAATAAATTAAACTATTAAATACTATTTCAATCTCTCAAAATTTGTTTTTTTATCATGTATTTATATTTTGAAAGTAATAGTGCTTTCGAATAAAATTTAAAAATATTTTGTTGTAATTTAATATATTTATTAAGCATATCAGTGAATTTTTTTCTATTTTTAATAAGCTATAAAGTATAAAATTGCTAAATAATTTCAATAATTCAAAAAAAAGAATTGATTGATATATAAAAGACTATCTCAATATCTCAATATTTTATTTTTAAATAAATTTAGAGATTTTTTTTTACATTATAAGCTTTAATTTACACTTAACAATAAAAGACTATAAAATTCAAAGAAAGTTGAAATTTAGACAAATTTTTATTTTCCAAAAATAAAATTCATTTCAGTTCATTAAATAGATTTTTATAAATTAATAATAAATTTTTCTATATTAAATCTACTTGAACGAGAGATAAATTTATATTTTCTATTTGCGAAATTGCAACATATACAAATAAACACATATTTGCATAATTAAAAAAAATAAATTTTATCATATTTTTGAAATACATTGAAATAAATCTTTAATACAATAAAAATATATTCAATTTAATAAAAAAATGTAAAAGAAAAAATTAATTTTTCTTTATCTTAATGATAATTAATAAATACCATAGGATTTATAGAATAACAAAATTTTTTAATAACAAAAAAATTATTTCTTAAATTAAAAAAAATTTTAACGAAAATAAGTTTTTCAAAATGAAATATTGATCATTTAGTTTTATAATTATAGAACTTAGAATGAATTTTAATTTCAATTACAAAATAATGATTTGATAAGTTATTCAATTTATTACAGTAAAAAAATATATATTTAAATAATAAGCATTTTATTGATATTAATATTAATTTTTACACTTGAGTGCGTCTTTATGCTTTTTTTAGATAAATTAGTCTTTTTTTACTGGGTGAGATATTATAAAAAAATTAGAAATATTACTTCTGTCAAAATTTTTTTGAACGCTTCGAATAAGTTAATGAGTAATTTATTAATATCTATAATTTGTATTTTTTTGATATTTAATCAATAAAAATATCAATTTTTTAATTTCATAGGAATAAAGAAAAATGTGATTCTCTTTAATGACCAATATAAAGGCGTTGGAAAAATAAAGTTTTGAGTGAAATAAATATATTATAATAAATCACCCTCCTCATCAAATAATATGATAAATTTAGAATTAATATATAAATGAATATATTTCTAAGTTATTATGTTTTAGATTTTTTTTTAAATCAAATACTACTAGAAACTGAAATATTTCTATAAATTAGTAAATTATTCAAGTGAATGATAATTTCATGTTGTATAATTTTGTTTGATCATCTAAATATTTTTATTTATCTTCGTAAAAACTTATTTACTGAACTATTTTAATAATCGCTTAACTTCTCCTTTATTATGTTTGTTTGAATGATGAAGAATTAAAGAAATTAGAAAGGAGTTATCTTCAGTTAAAAAATGGGAAAGAGCTGTTTGTGGTGATTTATTGCCAATAAACAGTAACAGAAAGATAAGAATTGAAATAAATATAAAATAGTAAGAATATAAATATAACAAATATACTGCTTAATTGTTATTCATGCTACATAAATTTTGATTATATCTAAACAAAAACTGAGGTTTTAAATAAATATCACACAAAATTCTATACGTTTATTCTCAGTACGTTAAATTATGAGTTAAAGAGATTGTTATAATATATAATAAAAATAAAAGATATGTTGATTTTAAAATTTAATATATCCCTAAAATTATAATTTTAATTATTATAATAAATTAATTGGTGAACTCTATTAGTAAATAACTAATTGATTGATTGATTGTAATTGAATTATTTTTCTCCTTCTTTTTATAGCATAAATATAATATATCTATTATTATAAATAATCTTCTTTTAGTTAAATTACACTAATTAAATTGCAATTAATCACCATAATAATCTATTAAGTTTAGCAAAAATATTTTGGAATTGCTGGTAGATAACTAATTCTATATTGATTTATTTATTTATTCTTTATTCTGGCTGATATCTTTAAAATAACTGAAATTGAAGCAAAACAAATTTATTCATATATATTTTTGATATTTTAATCATTTCTATTAAGTAAAGTAATATATGAACTGAATGAATGAATGATTGATTGATTGATTGACACTATTATATAAATTTTGATTTTGCGCTTTTGATAATAAAAAAATTACGATAAAAATTTAAAATGCTATGAAAAATATTTATATGTAATGATAAAAATATAAAGCGCATTTTTTGAATTTTACTGATTTTATTAAGCTTACTTTTGATAAAAGCTTAAATTTTTTTCAAGTAAATTATAGATTATTATTATTTTTAAAATTTATTCATTTATTAAAAGCAAATTTATCTTTTTGTAATGAATGCATGAATTCGGTGTTATCTTTAATTTCAATCAAGTCTATTTTCTTTTTAATGATTGTTTCTTTTTAAATGGCTCTTTGCTGATTTTATAATCTAATGAATTCATCCATATCTCAAATTCTTCAAATCATGATTACAAAAAATATTGTTTGAGAATTTTATTATAATTTTCAATTTTTATTTGATAAGATCAATTGTAAGAAAATTGTTCAACTCAATAATAATAATCATTTGTTATAATATTAATCCTCTTTGTACTGTTTGAAAATATATTTTGAAAGAAATTTAGAATCTATTATAACATTTTTGATTTAATTCTGAATTTTTATCTAAAATAATAGATCGACAGATTGACGAATGAATGGATGGATATAGATTTGAAAAATTTAAATGTGTATCAAAGTGATAATATTTTTATAGTGGTTTTGAAAGCATTTGATGTAATATATGCTTTCGATTTGAGTGAATTGACATGAAATTATACACGAATTTTTTTAATTTTTTCTTTGATATTTGAATTTTTATACTTTCATTTTCGTGGTTCCAAATTATAATAATTTATCTCTTTTCATTCCATAGTCTTGTCCTTACATATGACTTAGATATAAAATTTGTAACAAAACATAGTTTTTGATAATTTTAACTTATCTAAAATAGATATATAATTTTTTAGAAAATTTGGAGAATAACTTAAGAATACTCTTATTTTCTAGAAAAAATCTTTGCATTTAAAGAAATATATGGTCTTAAGCTGAACAATATAAACAGTATTTGTATAAAAATCCTTTTTTGAAGAGGTATGCGATTAATATATAATCGGATTATTAGTAATTATTATAAATTTTTGTAAAAAGAAACCTGAAGAGGTAGGATTAAACTTTTAGAATAATATTAATACAGTATGCAATTATTATTATATATTCAATTTACTTTTTATTATGCTCTAAAACTGTAAAGCAAGGAAGTCCACAAATTAGTTTCTAAAAAAAATCAACTAAAACTCAATTTATTGATATTCAAAAATACCGAAGACCTATAACTCCGCAAATAATTTTAAGAAGAATAGTTAGACAGACAAAAATTTAGAAAGATGAAAAAAACTAATTATTATTATTAGTATAATTAAGGGCAATATATAAAGAAAGATAAGTCAAGAGGTAAGGTAAATAACTAAATAAATTTATTATTAATTAAGAAAGTCTTAAATTTCCCGTTCAATGCTTCTCCTTCTATTATATTATTGTTGTTTTGAATTTTCAATAATCTTCAGATCAAAAAAGCAAATTTTTAATTTATGTGTGCCTAAATAGAATCAATTAGGTTTCTTATTTAATTACTTCCGCTCATTTTAACATTGATCTAAGAAGAGAAATCGATATACAAGCAAAAAATTATCATTACAAATTGAACAGTGCCCTATACAATTTTTTATAATGATTAAATAAATTAAAAAATAACAAAACAAAAAATATAAGCGTTAACTAATACCTTCTAAAATAAAAACAATATTTAGTAAAAAAAAAACAAATACGTATTCCAAAATGTCTTACAATCACTCCTCCATTGAAGATGCTTCTCCTTTCAACTCTCCTGTTTTGAATAAAGAAAGGTCTAACTCTATCTAACTACCTTTGGGTAATGGATTAACCTCAATATTCCTCCCTATTTCTTTCTCTGAAGACAATATAAACGATCTTTTGAATTTGGCTTACAAATTTGAATTAGAGGAAGAAAATGAGGACTCAGAATGTGAAAACATAGAAGAAATACACTAACATGAACTCAACTCTAATAACAGCTCATAAACTGACAGTGTTATTTGCAACTGAATCAAGTTGGTATGAATAACTGATTGATTTTTAAAAGAGTCAAATATTTAATACTTTACTCTGCGCTTCTAAATTAATTGAAAGAAGACCGCCTTTAACCTCAATGGCTTTAAAATACTCTTTATCTAACTAATATATATGCCATTTAAAGGAAAACGCAGCCTTTCTATACATTATTTACAAAAGCTCATAATAATAATAAATTCCAATGACATTACAAAATTGCTTAAAGTAAATACAAGTAATAAATAAGAACTCACTCACTCACTCTCTCTCATTCTCTCACTCACTCACTAATGAAACAAACATATATATTTAAAAAATTCTTCATTCAAATATCTGTATATTAAACTAATAACTAACTAAATAACTACCTATTCATCTCAAACTATAACATACTCTATTTAATTAGCCTATAACTTTATAACTAAAAAACATATATTTAATTTGTCTTATATAACCTGCATATTGCTAAAAATTAAATTAATTAAAATTAATAAATCAATAAAAAGACATATTCAGCACTTTTTATGTTTATTTTAATATAAATTCATATATATAAATATAAATAAATAGTTAGTTATATCTGATTCTCTTTTTTTATAATAAAAGCACTAAATGTATTAGAATCAAAAAGAAATTTGATTTTCTTAAATTCTTTTATAATTAACTCTACATTATTAAATCCTCTTAGAAATTAGCTGATATTTATTTAGATATTTAGTATTAAAGTGATTTATTATCAATATTTATAAACTTCAATACCACGGCTACATAACATTCTCATTGTTCATTTTATTTTTTTACCTTTATACAAATATAATAAAAAGCTAACTAAAATAAACTTATGAAAACTTAATTAAGTCATCCATTAAAATTTTTTAGAAGAAATTTCCTTTCTGTATGGAATTTTAAAGAATCTATTTCATAGAAAAAAGCATTTGAAAAAAAAGTTAAGAACATTCCAAATTTATATTTGTCTATAAGATAATTATTGCTTTAATAATTATTTTGAAAAATTTAAACAAATATTATAAATTTTATGTTACATTTATCATTTAAAATTACAACTAAATCAACTTGCACATTTACATTAAAAAACAAAAATTTTTATAAATCTTATCTTTTTTTATATAATTACTTTTTAAAAAAAGCACACGCATTTTGTGAAACGTCATAGAAATAATTATTTTATAAGGCCTAAATAATTATAAAATAATGCTAACACATAAAAATATATGAATTTGATAGAATATCTATTAGATTACTTATACATAAAATGGTTTGTTATCAAAATCAAATTTTAGCTGGTTACTTTAACTTAGAATTAATATACAATAAATATATTTATTTGTTCAAGCAAAATGTAATATTATATTTAGAATTTAAATAAATTCCTTTAAATATATATGCTTTTATGTAATGTATAAATGTATGCATGTATATATGCGTGTCTTGGAAAACGAAAGATAGCTCTTTGTTTACTTCAACAATACTCAAATTCAATGCTGGTTTACGAAATATATCCCAGTATCTTTGTTAAAAGATGGTTTGACCTATTAGCCTTTTATAAACATTGGAGATGAAAAACCTTTGACATTCTTTTCATATTTTTTTCCATCGTTTCTGAGATGCTCAGAAAGTTAAAGCATTTAATTATGTAATTGATGGCGTTTTTAACCTTCAGTTAAGTTTCCAGAGTTTAAACCAGATAACGAAGAAGCAGATGGACTGCGTATTCCTTTAGATACAGCTGTTTTAGGCCTCAATCCTTGCTTTTGCTGTCCATTTTTAATGTAGTCTAAAGGTAGACTAGGCTTTTGCAGCTATTAATTTATGAAGTTGTTTTGTAACAAATTAGAATTTGGTAGAGAATGATGGGGTAGTTAATTATGCTAATACTTTGAAATGATTTATTAAGTATTCAATTGAGATTGAGATGATGAGTATTAAATTTGCTAGTTGAAGAAAGGCAGCTACTTTTATTATTGTTACTTTTGTTATGGGCTTTATAATTAGGAATGATGTGTATTATAGTGCGTATTAGAATACTAAATGTTGTTATCTATTTACGCACTATTCCACTAATAATTTTAATTATTTTAATTTTGATAAGGAATTGCTGTTGTAGGCCTTTTTGTTTAATAATTACCCATATTTTCATTTTCATTCATTTAACCATTAAATGCACTACTATGGTAATTATACGAACTATGCTTTAAATCAGTTGACTCCCACTCTTTAACGGGACTTTTATTATGTTGATATAGGACATTCATTGAAGATTCTTCAACTAAGAGCTAGCTCTGTAGTTATGGGAATATATGAAATTAGTAAGTTTTTTAATTTAGATCCTCAACATAAATTGCCTTCATTTAGCTTGAATAATAATTTAAAAAGATAATGTATTAATATAGATATATCTTATTTTTCTATTACATTAAATCGATTGCAATCAATAATTTTCAATAATACTGATCATAGAATAAATTTTATAATTCGTGTAATTAACGAATGATTGCAAATTAAATTATCAAAAATATAAACAAAAATTTAGCAAGAAATGAATATGAAATAAAGTTAACATTAATTACAGTAATGACAGGTATTTGTATAAAGGTTATGGTATTGTTCTTTTTTCTAGTTTTTATAAAAAATGATTGTTAATAAATTTAATCTTATTAAGTTGGCTACTCTTATTTAAATTGGGCCAGTTATTTATTTATTAATGTGAAATTAAAAAAAAAATTGTCAAATTTTTACTCTAAAAGGCTGCAAAATTTTTAAAAAAACTAGCAAACAAAATAGTTTAATAAATAATTACTTTCAAGGATATAAAGTGAATTGTTATATATTGATTTAAATTCTATATCTGTAGGATCAAAACATAGCAGATACCTGATATAGTAAAGGAAAAGAATATTCTAACTTCCAAAATCTAGAGATTACTAAATTGTTCCTTTGAAGATAAACTTCTCAAATAAAATAGTTTCTTCATCAGATGAAAGTTTTTGATAAATCTAATTTTTAAAAATTTTTTACTCTAAATAAATTTCATTTAAAATAAAACTATTACCAAAACATGAAAAAAAGATTAAGGTGAAGTCATGGCATGAGTCGGCTGATGCTACTTTCCTAAGAGAGTGAATATTTTTTCAAAGTTAATTTGAACTTGTTCCTATATTAAAAACCATAAAATAAAATTGCTGTAAATTTACTTATGCCATTCAAACTTATAATAAAAAGTCAATCAATTACTAGCTAGTAAAGGAAAAGTAATTATATTTCTTTCATAAAGTTGGAATTTTTATTAAAAATGAAGCGTTGAATTTCATTAAATTAATTAACCATAAGATAAAATTAAAAATATGGTGTTGAAATAAATTTATTGACTGATTGTTTAGATAAAAGTAAAAACATATTTACCACTAAATTAATTTGAAATTTTTGTTACAATTTTAAAAGTAACAAATTAGAATTTTAAATTTTGTTGGTTTTATTTGTTCTAAAAATTAAAAGAACTGTTAAGGATATATTTAGCATGAAATAAAAAAGCTGTACCTCTTAAGAAGTAATATGAACGATAAAGGTAAAAAAATATTTACCACTCAAATAAATTTGAATTTTTGTTACAATTTTAAAAGTAACAAATATAGAATTTTAAATTTTGTTGGTTTTATTTGTTCTAAAATTAAAAGAACTGTTAAGGATATATTTAGCATGAAATAAAAAAGCTGTACCTCTTTATAAGTAGTATGAACAAGCTAGCTGTTTATTATCTTTACATTATCAAATTTCACAAAATTCATGGTTTTCATGTCAATTACTTCAACCTTAAATGAAAAATCTTTTTCTAATTTAAAATAATAAGCAATTAAAACAAATTTAGAACTGATTTAAATAAAATGAATTTATTTAATTCAAACATTTTATTTGAATAACTTACATAAATTTGGGAAATTCCATTCAGTTTATTCTAAAGAAGAGTATTCATTCCCAGTAAAGAATTTAGATGGACCATTTTTATCTAATACTGCTGATTTTATTTTTTTTATGTTAAAAAGTTTTTAGTCTTCTTCTAAAAACAATTTTATTTATTCGTTCGATGCTGAATAGGGTCTAGAAGAAAAAATCCTTTTTTTAAATTAAATGCCTGTTTTATTTTGAGAGCTGTTTTTGTTTTTTTATGAATTTTCTGTGCCAGTATTTGAAAAAGCTACAGCGGTTTAAGGTCTGTCATTTCTTTTCTTTTATCCTGATTAATTTGTATTTATCCTTATTGATGAAGATACCCCTTTCTAAGATGGGTCAGTATTAAGGTTTTCATTAGTTGACTACTTTTTATCTTACTAACTGTCTTATTTTTTTTCTGCGACCTGGTGTGAATATATTTTCTTAAATTGTATTTCTCCTTAGCTTAAAAATTTTTTTTAAGACTGAAACGAATCAAGAAAATTAATTTTTTCCCTTTCTGATGGAGAGTACTTTCTTAAAATGTTTAGTTCATGATTTTCTCTATTTTCTAAAACGTGTCCATCTTTAGTGATAAATATTTTTTATCCGTTTAATCTGTTTTCCATAGCTTTCTCTTAAACTTACTATATCTCTTCATCATCAATCATTTCTTCTTAACCATCTTATCCTTCCATGACAATTTTTCTTAAAGCAGATTAGTTTCTAACAGCTTACTTTCCATCTTTGAATATAAATATAAATATCGAATTAAATAGCATTTACAATAAATATTTGCTTAAAAAACATAATTTAGAGCTATTAAGCGCTAACATAAAATAATCATTAAAATTCTTTAAAAAAGCAAATCTTGTAGAAATATAACTGATTTATTTAGACTAACTTAAATCAATGATGCAAATTTAATTATTTTATTAGCTAAAAAGAAGTAAAATTTTAAAAAATAAAATACTTGTGTCATATTTTTTTGTGAATTTCCAATGCTTTATCTTCTTGCCTACCTCTTAGCCTTGATTATTTTAATCTTAATTTTCTTATTATCCTTCTTATGTCTAGTATTCTTCTTACTCTTAAATAAATACTCTATCGTTTATAGTATCATATCCTTTATATTAATTAGCTGACTATATATTTCTTATTGCTTAACCACTATTTAAATTTGATTACAAAGCTGCGGTTTAAGGCCTCATTGAATTTAAATATTGTGATTAAAGTGTTTTTGTCATTTGAAATTCTGATTGTACAGTTGCATCAGGAGCAAATTTATTAGCAGTTGTAGGTCTTATTGAACTCGTTACTGATTTAGGACTAATTAACTAATTTTAAAAACTAACTCCCCCTTCGCTATTAGGTTTTTTTGCTGTTGTTGGCCTGATTTAAGCGCTCTATGGTTTAATATTTGAGTTATATTATGAAATATTTCCTTTTGGTGAGACAACTCTATTATGCTAATGAGTAGAGCTTTACTTTATTGCATCCTTCTCATCTAGTGAAGCTTCATTTTCTTCTTTGAAAGCAAAACGAGAAAATCCTATTATCAAAATATTTTTCTTTACTCAATTTTATGTAAAACAAAAGAAATATTTTTTATTTTAGATTTTAAATGATTTTATTTTTCTTTCTTAATGATTTACCATAATTTTAAATATCTTCTTAATAATCATCACGCAAATCTTAAATATGAGGGTGCTAAAATTTATGAACTTTGACAGGGTCGTAAAAATCCTAAATCTTCTTTTCCTTTTCTTTAAGTTCTTACAATTTTCTGTATATGATAGTTAAGCTCATTCCTAAAGTTTTAAAAATAATAAGTAGCTGATTTCAATTTATTATAAAAAACACTGATATTTATGATAATAAAACAAAAATAGTTATAATAATTAACAATTATTATTAAGATCATTATTTAGTGAATAAATATATATATGATATAAAACAATATCAATTTTCAAATTATTAGCATATATTAGAATTACAATAATCACTTAAATATTAGCAACACCGTGCAATAATAAATAAAATAGCAACAGAAAGAAGAAAAGATATTTTTTTAATTTTTAGCAAACAAAAAGCATTTGAATATCTATTTTAACTAAGTGATTAAAATAATTCTCTTGAAAGTAAAATATTTTTTCATTTTTTTTTCTAAAAAATATATTTCAAAGAAACATTTTTAATAAATCTTGTTGATTGATTAACTCAAAATTTTTTATTCTTTGAAGTTAAAAGAAATGTTAAATTTTATACATTAATTAATTGGTTAATGTATTTCAAATAGACTTCACTTTTAATAATAATCATTTTTTAATCCTATTAATAAATACAGCATAATGATATTTTTCAACATTTTCAAGAAAGTATTTTGTTTATAAACCAAATATTTAATTTTTATTTCAAAGATTTTATGTAAAATTTTAATTTTGTTATTTAAACTCTAGTATAATTTATAAGGAATTAACTTACTTTTTATGAAAAATTATGCTTGTAAATTTTAATTTATAAATACAAATTTTACAACATTTTCTATCAAGAATTTCTTGAAAAGTGCAAATTTTAAAAAATTGTTATTAAAAAACTTCACAAGTAATGTCAATCATTTTTAAAATTTTAGTGATTTAAAAAGAAGAGCCTTCTTTTATTAATAATACCTCATTTAAAAACTAAAAATGTATATATTATATATAAACTCAAAAGAATACTTATTACATTAAATTAAAGTTTTAAAAAATAATAAGTAAAATATTAATTTCAGTTTTTCCATGTTGGTTTTTTAAGACTTTTAGGGCCAGCTCCTTATTTTAATTTTAATTTTTCTGAATAAAGTTAATAAGCTTCTTTCATGGCAGCCTTTGTTGCTAAGTAACCTTTCGGCATGCCCATATCTTAAACAGGACAAAGGTACTCAAATGCTATTTTTCCATTTGGGTATTCTATTTTATCTCCCCAACAAGCACATTTAATTACTGTTCTTGGTGCAAAATATAATCCATCTTTTTTCAAAGGAACGTCGGCAAAAATAGCTTAATCAAGAGAATCATATACATAAAATCCTCCTTGATGATCTGGCTTAGCCGGTTGGTGCATAACAACTCCCATTTTATATTCAGTTTTTCCATCATAAATTGAAAGATATTAGCCAAGAGTTTTTGCTACCATCTTGTAATAAAATACAGCTTTCTTTCCTATTTATTGCTCTTCTGTATTTGTTTATTAATTTGAGCTATCTTCTTGATATTTTGGAGCGGCTGCAAAATAATTATTCTACATCTGTAATTAAACAAAAGTCAGATTTATTTCAAAATAATTTTATAATAGGTTTAATCAAATCCCTGTTAAAAGTTATAATTTTGTGAATTCTTAAATATTTTTTTTTTAATTTAATAAAATTAGATTTATAAATCAACGAATATAAAGTGTTAATTTTTAATTAATTATCAAATAATTTGATTTTTGATAATATTAAAATTTAGATTTTAAGTTTCTTAGATACAAAAATCATTATTAAAAGCAATTAAAAATGCTGAATAATTAAAACCAGAGATATAAACAAGAACAAATAAAAATAGGTGGAGGTTAGTTTATCAACATCTAGTAAGAATATTAATACAGCAATTAACCTGAAAAAATAAAAGTGATTGCTGAAGAGGATATATTTAAGAAAGACACATTTTAATCTGCTCAAGATAAATTAAATCCTAAACTTGAATTACTGTTTAATAGAGTTCAGTTTTTATCATCATAAGTGAATAACTATGAAAATCAGTATTTAATTTCAATTAGTACAAAGCCGCTTTTTAAATTTTTTACTATTATCAAACAGCAATGATTCTCTAAAATAGCAAATTGAAGAAGAGATAGATAGAAATAGAAAAGAAGAAGATTGTGTCAATTCAGCAATCAAAGAAATGAACGAAGATTTAAAATATTTAAACGATGTTATTCTTTAAATTGAGGATAAAAAAGATTTTTTGAAGAAAGCGAACGAATAAATAAAAATAGTTTAATTGTCTGAAAATAAAAGTATGCAACTTAAAAAAGAGAATGAAAAACTTAAAGAAGAAATTATAGAACTAAAAAAAAAGAATTTATAAAGCGAAAAAAAGCAAACAGTAATCTAAAACTTATAAATGTTAACATACACTAATAAATATTTTTAAATAAATTCTAGGAATTGGAGGGAACTTTAAAAGAAATAAAAGGAGAGTTGAATAAAATTATCTTAGAAAATTAACAAATAAAAAATGAATACTCAGCTAATTAAATATAGTTCATGAAGTTAGAGCAAAAATATATTACGTTAAGATAGGATCATGAAAAACTTACCTATGACTATTAAAAGCTATTTCAAGATTTTAACAATTTATAAAAGGAACATAAAAAATTAAAAACCTAAAAAGAAAAAGATTAGCCAAGAATAAGTGTGTTTGCTCCATAAGAAAGTTTATCATAGTCATTTTAGATTCATAATGATACTATTTAAGATACACTAAAGCTAAAGGAAATAGACAGCTAATAATATTCTGAACCTGATTTATCAATATTTTAAATTTCTTAAAATGAAGGTTTGGGTTAGAATATTATTGACATAAAAAACAAGAGTAAAATATCTAAAAGATAACAAGATATTATAGCACATAACCTAATCAATTAAAAATGATAAATTAATATTAAGCTAAAAAATATTTATTTATTTAAATCAATTTATAATATATAGAGTGTAATAATTATATTTTTAGTTAGAATATTCGTTGGTTATGCTTGTCTAAAGATGGTATAATTATAAATTAGCATATCTTATTTATAATTGTCAATTATTTTAAATTGTTACTCATATCAATTGAGTATTCTACTTATAATAATAACGTTCAGTATTTAACGGAATTATTGATTGCTTTATTCAAGTTTTTAAAAAAATATTAAAAAAGAAGTTGAGTTATTAATTTATCAATTTATTTTTTAATATAAATCTTTTACAAAAAATAATTAATTTATTGCTACAATTTGTGTTAGTTAGAATATCAAAAACGAAGAGAATGGAACACCTAGATATAAATCCATACACTCCGGGATAGGTATGCATGGAGATCAACTCAAAAAATAGTGAAAAGAGCATTATGAAAAACTTGTTTAGCTACTTTAACAAAAAATAATAAAAGATGAACAATGGTTTTAATAAAATTTTAAACTCTCAAAGTTAATCGAACAAAAATTAAAGACTAACTATTTATACACCTATGATAGAGGGATTAGTTAATAGTAAAAGAGATGCTATTTCATCTGTTGATAGCGCTTCCAGAAAAAATTTTATTTAATAAAATAGGAATTTCATTGTAAAAAAAACTAGGCCCTAAACTACCAACCCAAATTAAAGATAGAGTATTGCTAAATCTATGAATCAATAGCAAAAAGATTAAATATACACTTTTTAGGAGCTAGATAAATAAGAAGTTTTGTTATAAGAAAGGAACAACTATTAAAATGTCCAATCTTTATAAACAAGTAAATAGGATGGCCTTAAGGTGAGGCAAAACAACCCTACTCATAGCAAAAACGAAGCAGAAAGTATTGATAGGCAAAATTAAAAACAAGGCTTAAAATAGTAAAGATCTCTTATCAAAAAATCTGTAGTTAACTCAGTATTTGGATAAACATTAAATAATTCATTTGAAAGCATCTAATCTCGTAAGAACTCATTTAATAGAAAAGTAAAATGCACTCTTAATAGCCAGAATTAACAAACTTAAGAAGCTTTAGAAACCTAAGCTGGTACTACAATTTAAGCTTGTAACGCTGATTAAATTAAGAACACTGATTGTTAAACAATTAATAGTAATTGTGATAAATATTAATTAACTTAAATTATGAATTAGACTATTTCTCAATAATAAAATGAATATTATAATTCATAGCAAATAAATAATGAATAACTGAAAACAGAGGAATCTGATTAACAGTATAAGTATTCGAAAATTTAAAGTAATAAAGATTAATCAGATTTTTAACATCATAACAGTCATTTTTGCAGCAAATCAACTAACTACCAACATACAATATCTTCTTAAAATAATGATTTTATCGTATCTTAGAAAAATGCAGAGGATGCAACTATAGATACTCTTATTAATGCCCATATTAAAAAATCGTAGGACTACAGTTAAATTAATAGTTTTAACAATTAAGGTGTAGAAAAAATTAGTAATATCCTTACAAAAAAATAAAATTAAGAATCTAATTTAGATCTTAGCATTGACTAATAATTGATAGATGAATCATACCGAAATCTACTTAATGAAAGACCACCTGTCAATAAAAAAAATAAAACAAGTAAAATAAAAGTGAGATCTTCCAGTTGCTTAGCCGAAGAAGGTAAGTTATAAAAATAATCTTAAAGCAGTAATTCCAAGCATAATAATAGCTGCAATCAATTTTCATTGCAAAGTAACTAAATTTATTAAAATGAAAAAAGATAATAAGAATAATCAACATAAGGTAGTTTAAATTAATAAATTTAAAACAATGAATAATATCATTAAAATAATATTGAGAGCTAAAGTTATCAAAAAGTTAATTAAAATACCTACAATTCTAATAACAGTTTAAATAAAAATCCATATCTACTTTCAGATCAATACCAATAGTCGGTAGAACAATAACAAAGTAAGGGATTGCTATCAATTAAAACACAATTTCTAACTTAAGAATCATTTGATAAGAGAGAAAATAAAGAATATTATCAAGTAACAATAGAAGAAGATATTTAAAATTTTACAACTATTGAAGAGAAAGAATAAGATTAGAAAAAAGAAGAATTAAATTATAAAGAAAAAATTCCATCAATTTAAAGGAATTAAAATAATTTAAATTATAATTAATAATAAAATTTGAGTGTTATAGAAGCAAATTAAAGTTTGCATAAAACACCATAGAAAGATATTGATATAAATGTAAATAGTTTGTAAAATAGCATGAATTAAATATTAATGAAATCTAATCATATTACATTTAACGTTATGAGTAACACAAAAGACTAATTTAATAATAATTAATCTAACAACGCCTTCAATTACAATAGTTAGATCTCTGATAACAAATTTATGACAAGTTCATTTGATGCTTAAAATTAAATATAGTTCGATCCTAAAGCTAATGATGAAATCAAAGCATAAGAATAATTCAATTAAATGAAAGAGTATATACAGTGTCAGATTGATAGCAATAAACAAGTTATTAATCAATATTACAAAAATAATTTTTCTTCAAAAAAAAATTTGCAAGTAGAAAATTAAGGTTTAAATACCTCCTCATAAAAATAATTAATTAACTAAAACAAGCCAATAGCAACTACAGAGTTTGGTGAAAGTAAATTAATTTCTTAGTAAATACAATCAAGACCTGTTTCTTCAAAAAGACCTTTGGTTTCTCAAAGAAAAGTAAGTATTGAGAAAAAATTTAACTTCTATGATGAACTGGATAAAAAATTAGAGGAAAAAAAGAAAAATATAATGAAAATAGCTTTAGAAACATAAATTTAAAACGATACTACTATATAAAAGCACGAGAATCTAAATAAGGGAAATGCTCTTAAAGGTTTTAACTCTGGAAGAAATAATTCGTTACAAATTAACTAATAATAGCAGGCATAAAAAATACCTTTATCTCAAAGAAGAAAAAGTACTTAAGAAACATCGAGGTTTAATACAAACAATTTAGTTTTGAATGAATCTAAAATTAATAATTACAACATTAGCGAACTTAAAGGAATCCCTTCTAAAATAAACAATCAAATCTTTATTTTGAAAGATAATATTGATAATGGTAAAATTTAAGAATAGCAAAGTTAAAAAATTTAAAAATAAGCTCCTCCATCAAATGATAATTGTTTGAACCCAATTTAATCTCAAATTTATTATTAATAATTTCTATTATCGAATAAATAAAAAGAAAATATTCATCCTTAGAAGTAATCAGACACTAGTTAATTATTAATTTTATAGGGAGAACCCCATTTGAATTAAAGCTCCTAAACAGTTAATAGCAAATAATCTCGTCCTCCTTCTAATTACTAAAACTAATAAAAACAATACTAACAACAAGATTAAATATAAACTTTAAATTAAGAGAATTATAATATTTCACAATAATAACCAGAACAGCTGTAAAACAAGTCAATTTTATCAAACAATCAAACACAAGATTTTGGATATTTTATACCAACTAATTAAAAAATATCTAGAAAATATAGATCTAATACTGTGGATAATACATTTGAAAACAATTAAAGAAAATAAATTAACTATATTTAAGCACATTCATCTGAAAAATAATCTATATAAAACACAGGAAGAAACTCTATTGCTGCTAGTAAAGTTAAGCTTTCGAGAGAAGAATAACTTTAAGTAATAAAAGAAGTATAAATATAATCTTAGAATAAATTAAAATTGCATTAATATTTACAACAAAATAAATAAATTCACATGTAAATGAAGCATTTCTCAGAAACTATCAATAAAAATAATATTTCTTTAAATCAAAGTATATAAAATTAACTTGGCTCTTCAATAAATAACTTTTCTTCTAATTGCCTAAATAATTTATGTGCCACCTAATAAACAATGAGCATGGAGGTTAATAATTAATTTTAATCTAGCCTAAAGAAATCAATAAATGAGCTAACTAACTTGCAAACAACTCAAGAATTTTTACAAAGCATGAAATTGGCAAATAACACTCAGAATTCGTTTAGAGAAGATTTAAATTCATCTTAATTAAATAATAATGCCTTTTAAAAATATGGACAAAGTAGTACACGAAAATAGAATCCATTATTATACAGTGATTAAAGCAATTTACATAAAAATTATGTTGTGCCCTTTACAGAAGTAAATATAGAAATGTAATAAAACCAATAATTTGGTACATAAGTTTCATAAAATATGCTCTTTAAAACAAAAGAATTTAACAATTCATTTAATCTTTAATCATAAGCAGCTCCACTAAAATCTTCTGTTGAAATAAATTAAAATAATGTTTAATTTTACGAAAATTTAAACTAAAATACTATTTCTTAAGAAATAGATTTAGATTAAAAAGTCTATGCAAATCACTAATATCAGTATGCACTTAAAAGATAGCAAAGAAGGGATGATCATCAAATTTTATAGAGACTAGATCAAAATAATTAAGAATTATATGCATAAAACATTAACTAATGGACTTAGTCAAAATAAATAATTAATAAAAATTAATAAAATACTTTAGAGTTATAAAAAAATTTCTAGTAATAAGCATAGAATATCAGAAACAAAAATATCTTTGAAGGTAAAAATCAAAATGCTTAATAATCATTGGTAAGTTAAAATCAAGGAAGTAAATTCAAACAGACTAAATAAATAAATATTAGTCATTTGGAAAAAGAGAACATTTATTTGAATTAAAATTAACCAAATTTACATAGAAACTAATAATATAATGATGACTATATTTAATCTAATAGAGGAAGATAAGCAAATTCTAAAACATCATAAAGATATTATATATAATTAAATGAGGATTTTGAAGAAAAAACCTTAGAATACTCAGGAAGTAAAGCTGGAGTAGAAAATTAATTTTGAATTTAAACTGAATTGGTTTAACAATATTTTATTAACAATTTATGAAAATACAAGCTAATTAATCACCTATATGCTAATATTTAATTTTTTAGAGTTTTTCTTTTATAAATATTAATATTAAATAGTTTTGTAAACTAAACTAATATAATTTAATTTAATCACATGTGTATGTGTTTGATGTAATATATATATATTTATTATTTAATTAAAAAAATAATATTTTTCATTTAAATTTTATTTTATCTTCACAATACTTAAATCCTATTTTTAAGGCTTAATAGATATTTTTGAAAATTTTATATTGCATTCAACATCTAATTTAATAAATATACTGAGATTATTACATCCAGTAGTTTAAAAGATATCAGACTTTCATCAAGCTAGTAAAAGTTAAGTATTTTTGATCAAAGTTTTATCTAAATTAATTTATTTTAGAGATATAATTAAAAAAAAAAAAATTTTTTATGCTTTATTTTTTGTAGAAAACAAATCACCTAATTAATCTATTGACTTTAATAAATAGCTTTATCAATTTAATATTAAAATTTTTAATTTTTTATCCAAAAAAATATTATAAAAATATATTTTATTATTTTACTTTAAATTTATAATATAAATGGGAAAGAGTTTACTTGGATTGAATGTGGACTTTGAAAATATATCTAAAAAATTTAGCATTTTTAATGTAATTTGGGTGTTTATTTATAAATTAGGGTTATAAATGAAAAGAATTTACTTGTGTTGTTTTTATGCACACAATAAAATCTAAATTGCATAGCTATTTAAAGGCTAATTAAGACATTTATTTACTATTTATTTTTATCAATATTGATTAGATATTTGTTAATTAATTAAATCAGTCTATTAAATAAGAATAATATAGTTTTAATAAAAAAATATTCAAAGTAGGTATAAAGCAATGGATGATGGCCAACATAATTTGTCTAATATAAACTATGACAAAATAGCTGGATGGATAGTAGGTATTGCCATAGTAGAATTTGATGTAGATTTAGGTTAAGTTGTGAAACATTTATACCCACAAGATTGCTTAAATTAAAATGAATAAAAAGCAATCAGCCACATGAGTTTCCCTGATTCAAACTCGTTTACAAAAGCAGAAGGTTCTTCTCAATATATATTTAGAGTAAAAAGATAAGTAAAGGACATAGAGAATAGATTTTGCTTTGGGTTTACCTACTTTTAATAGAAAAAAGATAATGCTATTTAAAGAGGATATAAGCAATAAAGTGTAGTTATTTTTACAAACTATCCCTTTATCAGATTCTTCAATTAGATATCAGAAATAGTTGGAAAGCACACTTTTAACAATCCTGACAATTTGGATATCATAATAAATGTAATAATAATATATGAAGAATCATTTACTTATTATTAAGGCAAATTTATTTGGATTAAATATGCATCTTAACTTTAGCCTTATTGATATAATTCATTTAATATATTGTTGCATATTGATTGATTAGTGAAATATTATTGATGAAAATTAATAGTAAGCCTTGATGGATATATCAGAATGGCCAGAACCAGAAAATAATAAGGCGTACTCATTACTCTTTTTAGGCGAGATAATTAATGTATTTATATTTATTACTAATTTAGCTGTGTTCTTTTACTTCTACATAAAAATATTTATTTACTCTTTATTTTTACTAATTAACTAAATAAAAATTATTTTAGTTAGAAATTCCTCGCCACGTCCAAATCGCCAGAAAACGCTTATCCTAATAGCAAATCTCAAATTAAATAGTTAGTAATTTTACATAAATTAATGGAAGTCCTCCTGAATTGATTGAAAATAAGCAAGTTAACTTATCTGTTGAGAAACAAAATTCTAGCATCTTACAAAGCGATAATGAACTAAATTAGTAGAGCAATTCTCAGACTAACTCTGAAGAAAAAAAAAATTAAAAAGTAAAATCTTTTTAAGACTTAAATATACTTCATGTCTAGAGCTAATAAAATGGAATTCAATCTATGCTTAGTACCCACGATTGCTAAGAAAAAGGTTTCTTCTAGGAGTTCAACATATACAAAATAGTAAGGAAGAACAAAGTTCATAATTTATGGAAAATATGGGAAATAGTTTTAACTAATTAGCCTTTGTTGATTGTTGCTGATTCACCTGAGGAATGCTCTGAACTAGTATTTGGAGCAATTTCATTGATTTCCCCTTTAGAATATGTTGGCGATTATAGACCCTATTTTACAATATACGATTTAGAATATAAAACAATAAAAGACGAGTGTGATAAAAAAATGACAAGAAATATTATCATTGGCATCACCAATCCTTTTTTCTTAAAAGTATATTACGATTTCATAAAATATGCTTGATTGTTAATATATTTTTAATAATTTAAAAAAGACTTTACCTGATTTTCCTGTTGTTTTGAGATTTGATTCATAATATGGTAAAATGAATGGAGATACTAAAAAATCTTCTTCAGAAAAAGTGTTCCCGTTCGAGTAATTGACAACAAAAAATTTTTAAGTATTGACAATATTTTTAAAAATATTTTAGGGTAAATTAGAAAAATTCAAAAGTTTAAATAAATTATGATAAAACCATTGACAAGATGCTTTTGCCGATTGAGTCTGTAGAAACGGATGCAATCAATAATTCTCTGATAAGAAAAAGTTTCAGAAATCTGACTTAGTAATTTATATAAACTTTCGAAGATTATTTCGATAACCAAAAAAATGTAATGCAATTAATTACCTTCCTTATTAATAAAAAATATTTTAAACAAAAATTCTTGATATAAATAAATAGGATATTAAAATATTTGACCAAAAAGAGTTTTTTAAGAGCTTAGAGTCTAAAAAATTTGCTTTCCAAGATTTATTTGAGAAAAAGACTAAAATCATATAATTATATGAAAAGTTTCTTATCTCAGCTAATTTTTTAAATTACATCAAGCAGAAAAAGAACATTTATTTCACAAAAACACTTTTAAAATATTGAATAAATATGTTTTGATTTTGTGTATTTTGTAACTTGATTTTGTTGCAAAATAAACTCTTTTTTAAATTATGTGCAGAAAAAATTAGCACCCTGATGTTTATTTTCCTCAATGTTTGTTTTCTTCTAATTTTTAAATTATTTGCTAAATCTAAAAACAAAACCTTGTCATTTTTAGAAAACCATTTTAGAAAATTTATAATATTTATGATTAAACCTATCTGTGTATGATCTTTGAATGTAATAACACTGTAAATCAATATTATTTTATACAAATGATGATTTTATGATAACTATATTAGTTAAGCTGATTTTACCAAACTCTGTTTTATTTAAATAAATAAGTATTAAGTCTGAAATGCTTCTCTTAATGGTTACTTTTATTAAAATTTAAAAAATAATTCTTTCAAATGGTAAAAAACATTCAATTGAATATTCTATTATAAAAAAAGATAAATACTGTAAACTTTTTAAATAAATATATAGATTAGTATAGAAAACTAATACAATTTTTTTTGAATTATTCCTTTTTAAGATTGAAAATCTCAAGTTGGAAATTCTATTGTGCAAGAATCAAGGAATTACGGTTATGGTAATGAATAATACAAAAAACTATGTTTAGTTTTTACTAAATAGAACTAAAATAAATTTTGTTTAATATCATGAAAGCTAATGTGACCTACTAGTAAAATCCTATTAAACTTACAGATTTTAGTAAGAAAATAATTATTATTGTGTACTCTATTAAATTATTTTAAACATAATATACAACTCAAGTTATCAGCTGAACATTAAGACCATAAAATTTTACTAAAAAATGAAGAATTAAAAAGCTCAGTGTTTGTAAATGGTAAGTAAGAATCATTCATTTATGAAGTTGATTTTTTTGCTTAGATTTACATACTAAAACAATATTATCTCATTTTTTTAAACAATTTAAGGAATTCATTCAACTTGATTTAAATTTTAAATACGATATGAGATCACATTTTAATTTACGTAATTGAAAATAATCTAAAGGTTTTTGATAGGCCAAAATATTCTTTTATCATAAAGATAAAACAAACTAACAAGCAGATAGATTTATGACGATATTTATTCATTTAGAAAACTTTAAAAAAAGAATAGAAAACTAACAATTAACTAAATTAGAATTATAAAAATGAATGGAATTAGTTTAAGTACATAATTTACCTCTTCTTTTTTTAATTTATTAATAAAAAGTAAAATTCACCTATCAAAAAAATAAAAAAAAAACTAATTTTGATAGAAAAACTAATATTAATAGTAAGAAAAAGATTTATAAATTATCAAATATTTAACAAAAATGAATAATTTAAATAACATCAATTTTAACGAACTCTCTTCAATTGATTAAGAGTATTTCAGATGCATCAACTTCGTAGAAAAGGCCTAATCTGCAGAGAATAAGAAAAAACCTATTTCTATGGATTCATTTTACCTTTTGAGTATAATTGGAAAAGGATCTTACGCTAAAGTTTCTTTAGTCAGAAAGAAAGATGATAATCAAGTTTACGCATTAAAAGCTATTAAAAAATCTTTGATTGAAGCAAAGAATTAAAAAGAGCACATCATTACTGAAAGAAATATTCTGGTAAAATTTAATCTATTTGATCAATATATAAAACCTATTTTAAGCTCCTAAAACAAGGGCTAACTAGAAAATATTTATTTTATAATTTCTTTCATAATTGATTTAAGAAATCGTCGAAACAATTTTATAATTTCATCTTTATCAAATAGCAAACAGTCAACAATTAATATATTGTTAAAATGAAATATGCATTTTAAGATAAGCAAAAACTTTTCTTTGTACTTGAATACTGTGGTGGAGGAGAACTCTATTCCCTTCTTTCTTCTAAAAAATATCTCAATGAATAACAGTAAATTTTTTAGCTCGATTTTATATATAATAGTTTGTTATCCATATGCAAACTATTCAATCTAATTGATGAAAAATAGAAAAAATTAAAAAATTAAATAAATAAAGATTCATAGGACTTTCTAATTAAATTATCATAATGAATTATTTATGTTTTCTAATATTATAACTAATTTTTATATTTTTTAAAGGACTAAATTTTATGCTGCCTAGTTGGTAAAAGCTATAGAGTATCTTCATAGTCACAATATTATATACAGAGAGTAATTTTATACTGAATATTTGATAAATAATTAACATAAATATGTATTTTAAAGTTTGAAACCTGAAAATATACTGATTGATAAGGATGGATACATTAAATTAACTGATTTTGGCTTATCTAAAATGGATATTAAGCATAATACAGAAGCTACTTCATTGTGTGGTACTCCTGAGTATCTTGCTCCTGAAATCTTAGAATAAAGCGGACATGGTAAGCCAGTAGATTGGTGGACTCTGGGAAATATAATTTGGGAAATGATGACTGGTCTTCCTCCTTTTTATAATGAAAATAGAAAGGAAATGTTCCATCACATTAAAGAATTACCACTTAAAAATCACCCCAGAATTCAAGGAGATTTAAAAAATCTTTTACACAGTTTATTAGAAAAAGACCCTAATAAGCGTTTGGGAACTATCGATGGAGCCAAAGAAATAATAGATCATCCTTGGTTCAAAGATTTAAGATGGGATTAACTTGAATAAAGAAAAATCAATCCTCCCTTTGTACCAAATTTAGAAACTGATATTGACTTAAAATATATTGATTATGAATTCAAAGAAATGCCTATTTACTCTGTTGATAACAATAATTCTTCAATGCATTCAGGCAACTTTAATTAATATGATAGTAATTTAAATTTTTAAATAATTTAATTTAATTAATTATTGAAATTTATCAAAAATAGATTTTACAGTCTAATCAGTTTAGTCTGTTTAGTCATTAGCTTCAAAGCTCTCTCCTGAAGTTAACGACAGCTAAATGGATGTAGAAAATTCTTATGAATAAATTTAGGGTATGAATCACAATTGATTGATTAAACAAACCTTTAGTCAAATTCTAAATAAAAAAATCTAATTAAATCTACAAGAATTTTGACAAATTATAAATATTTTAATTTGAAAAGCAAAATGTATTTTAAAATTGTATAATAATAGTTCCTTTGCTATATATATAAAATTTATATGAGTTTATTGTAATTCTTAATAAATTTATCGCTAAATATTATATAAAACTTAAGTTATCAAATATTTTTTATAGGACTGATCAAATAACAAATTTGAATCCTGATAATTAATTTAGTAGTATTGAGAAAATTTTGAATAATTAAATATTGAAAAAATTAAAATAGTAATAATATAAATTAAAAATTTATACAAATTATTTAAAATTTATAAATTAGCTTTTTCTCTAAATTTTGTCATTATTAATATGATTAGTGATTGATTTAGTTAATTAGTTATAATTTTAGTATACAAATTTATTATGATTATAATTTTTTGAGAGAATTAATTATATCCTTATTGAATCAAGAATTGACATATTTCATATTCATGCATCCAGAACATAAATCAAAGTCGCATGTTTGGCATGAATATAGCTTACTTGGAACTTTATCTGCAAAAATCTTAGAACAAATATTACATCTATGGACAAATCTTTCAGAAGATTTACTAGCATCTGGCTATAAAACGAGAGCATGATTATTAGGGCAAAACCCTTTTTTAATATAAAGAGGACAGCAGTCTATACAGTAAAAGCGGCTTGGGCAATTTTAGCAGTAATATATTCCATATTAGTTTTTAAAGCAGCTTGAGCATACATTTAAATACTACTTTGGAGAGTAAATGAGCTTAGAAAAACACTATTTGCACTAATAGCTTTATGTACCATTCAAGTTATTATCTAAATTGTTTACTTTGTAAAGATATGATTGCTAAGATTCTTATGAGTCAAAAAAACTAGGCCCATTTTGTAATGAATTTTTCTTATTTCTTACCGAATTTTCACCGTTACCGTTGAGAGTTTTTATTTCTTCTAATTTAGCTGTAAACAAGGAACCTGATCTTGGAGTTAAATTTTATTAAGGTCTTAAATCTGAACTAAGGTTTTAATATTTGGTATCTTAAGGGGATTTTAAAGCTTATTATTCTTACTAGCTTAGTATTTAGTTAGAAGAGTAATATTTTGTATTTAATAAACTATTTTATTCGCTTTTTTCACTTAGATGTTATGAATTAATCGTTTAATTCATAAAACTATTATTGATAGAATTATGACTAAATTTAGTATAGACTCCTCCAGATTAACTCTTTAGTAAAGATTTTTCGAGGTTTTCTCCTTTCATTTCTTTTATCTATTTTATTTTAATTTTTATTATGTCAATAATAAATTAAGAAAAAATTTACTTGTTAGAAAAGTTCAGTTATCTTTTCAGAGTACATTTTTTTCATTGATTGCATTTCAAGCATTACTTATGTACTCGATGCTTACAGTTTAGATATTTTTAATTCAGTCTCTTTTTAAAACTTTTCTAATTGATCTTTCAGCTTTCTATTTTCTTCTGAGTATTTATCTATTTATTCATTTTATTTTAGAATTAATTGTGATTAGTTGCATATCTTTTTGTTTAAATCAATTATTTCATCCATTTAAGATTATACATATTCATCACCTAAGCTAATGATTTTTGATGTAAATTAAGAGTTTTAGTTTTAAAGATTTGCTCTCTCAAAGATATTTGATTCCTCTTGAGATGAATGTAAAAAAGTATTTATGTCATCTACCTAAATTCTTTTCAAATCTAATGACCTATCATCGTTAGAATTCTATTTGCTCTAATCTCTGCTATGAAACTATTTTAAATTGCATATTTATAAATGGTCTTTCATATATTTTTTAGGTCCAAAATACAAGCAAGCTTATTTTGTAGGTGAAGAAGAAAAGCTTTAACACTCTTTGCTCTGATTAGGGCATTCAACGATCATATATTCGCAATCGATGTCAACATGATGAGCATAATTTTTAACATCTAGAACTACATCACAACCAAGCTACTAGTTTAGGCATTTAAACTGCAATTAGTTTATCTTCTTTTAAATAATTTTGCTTGGTTCTCTTAAATCCCAACGAAGATTTCTCTTGTCTTATTAATTTTCAAAACTGGAGCTGCACTCTTCATCATAACAAGCATTATCAGAAGAACTTACGCAATCCTTACAAAACAAATGTCCACACCCTAAACACTCTTTAATTTCATCAGAAATATTCTTGCATTTATAGCACTACAAATCTTCTACTATTATATTATCTTACTAATTTAATAGCTAATTTGAAGATAATTTAAATTTAGATGGAGCATATTTCGCATTATGAATGTTAATTGAATCCAACAATTCATATGGTGTATCTGGAGTTTGACTTTAATTGATAGGTTAGTATACGCTTTTTGACTTAACCCTTGTAATTTGCAATTCACTATTCTTGCTTTGTATTAATTTGACTTATTCTTGATAATTTTTTCCATCACTATTATCTGTATGAACCCGAGTTATCTTTTGAGTCCTATTCATAAAAGATATCAAACTATTTGAAGGATGATTCTAAGGACTCTAAAAGTCAAACGACTTTTGTTTCTATTTGCTAACTTCCTATCTAAACATGACCGACAACTATTTATTTTGATGAATTCGAGGCTTAAAAAAGAAATATTATCTATCTGTTTGAAATATATTCTCCCGTTTTTTAAGCTCTATTATAACTCAAATTAAATCAGCTGATACTTTATTATTAAATAAAAAAATTAACAAATAACAAATGATAAAATATTAATTTGTTTATTTGAATAATCAATCATTTACAAGTATTATGTGAGGTTTATGTATACTTTTTTTACACTCCAAAATATCCAACCTTATTATTATGAGTTGCTTATTATAAAACAGTGAGTAAGAGATAAACATATTTAAAAATAATAAATAAAACATATTAACTCAAACAAACACTATAATTTAATTTAAATATAAATTAATAAATGAATAAATAAATATCATAAATCATAAACTTCGTTCTTGCTTTTAAAAATAAAAAAATTTGTTAAAAATAATAAATACTTTAAAATGTAATTTTTATGTATGTATAAGTAAATTTGTAATTAATTACAGGATACAATAAATGGTTGGATTAAAGAAAGTATTTACTAAATTTTAGAATTATAATAGTTGAAATTGGTAAGATACATATTTTACTATAGTAATAAATAAGCTGATTTGAAAGTAATTATTAAAAGTTCTAATTGATGAGAATCAATTCATTAATTAATTAACTAATATATTAATAAAAGCTTGTAATATTAATAAGAATACAAACATAAAAGAAATTCATTCAAAGTTTATTATATTGATAGAATTAAGAATAAAAAGGAGTTTTTCTGCCACTAAGTAACTGCACTATATTTTTTAAAACATTTCTTGAAGCAGATCTCCTATATCAAATATGATAAACAAAATAAACATATTTTCTCTTCGATTTAAGAATTAAAAGAGGTAAAATGAATACGTGCTTGATTCTTGTATTGAAGTAATTATTACAATTTTTGAGTCACATAATTATCAAAATTATAATTTTAATTTTAATTATTTTAAAATTTTAAAGAAATAGGTATATTTGGTCATGCTATTTTTCTTTTCTATTGCTTTTGTTTTGATCTAAGTCAGTTAAGGAAATCCTGATTATAAAATTTATTTTGTCCCTCCTCTATTTATTGTAAGTTTTTTTTCTTGCAGATTTTTTAAAAAGCACAGCGATTATGTAGATTGTTTTGTAAATGTGCTTTAAATGTTTCTTATTACAGAAGTAGTTCAAAAAAATGAAAATGAAAATAAAGATAGAGTTATTTATTTCTTTTTAGGTTAGGTAAACAAACTTAAATATTAAAACATTTATTTATATTCATAATTCAGTTTAAAATAAATATTTTAATAATTTGGAAACTAAAGATGATAAAAAAATCTACTTTAACTCATTTTGAAAATAAAATAATTAGTTTGCAATTATTCTATTTTTTGTCTAAAGGGGAAATAATTTTTTGCTTAATCTGATCACTTTAGTATGCACATATTTTGTTGTTTATCTATATATATCGAATGCTCCTACATTTGATTTGATGGGATTAGCTTTTGCAATTCTAGTTGTTGGATAAAATTATGCATATGCTTTTTTTAAAAGACAGTCTTATCTCCACAAAAGCTACTTTAAAGAAATTTTGCAGTTGGACTTTCCCTCAAATATATTTCTTACACAATATGATAAAGTAACTTGTAGATTGGTTTTATAAGGTAATTAATTAATATTTTGTTATTTTACTAATTTTAATTTAAAATTTATTTAAATTTTAATACTGATAACTGTTCTTCTTACTACATTTACCGTTAATTATTGGAAAAATTAATTCTAATTTATAAATAGATTGTAACAAATTGGCATAAAAACGCTTCAAATTAGATCAAGGTGATTAAGAAGGATTTTCAGAATTTTTGAAGAGGATTAAAGTTTAACAAAGAAGAAAATCACGTTCTTATATTGAAAATAATAATAATGTTTTATAAAAAGAGGCTAATTTAAAAGAGTACCTTATAACTAAATATATTAGACTTAACTAGGAGTTTAATTAGTATAAAAAAACTAATTGCATGAGAATGTTTAACTGCTTTAAAAAATCATAGCTTTATGAAAGCAATTTGCAAAATTTCATTCACGGGATCGATAAAACAGGATTGGATTAAATAAACAACTTTGAAAGAAATGTATTAAATAATGAAAATCTTTTTGGATATTACTACAAAAAATAAGATGATTAAACATATTCAAAATCATTTAAAATACATTTGTAACTAATTGATTTTTATAAGGAGCCATCTATCGCTATATTTTTTGAGGATGAAACCGTGTAAGACGATCTTATTGATGTTAAGTTAAAAAAAAAAAAATAAAAACAATTAGTTATATCAGCTCTTAATTAAGTAAATTTATTTTTTTAAGGACCACAATTATTTCTTTTTGATTTTTTTATTAAAGGATTAAATTTACATTTTGTGCTTACTTTTTAAAAATAATATTTAAATGATTGAAAGCTAATAAATTAATTTTTTCAAACTTAATACTTCAAAAAAAGTTTATTTTTATCAAACATAGTGATTTAAAAACAAATAATTTATTTTTGAATTTAAGATAAAACAATAAATGAATTTATAAAAAATAAATATTTTAAATATAAATTCATTTTTTATCAAACCAAGAAGAATTCGAATCATAATTTAAAATAAATATACTCATACCTCCTTGAATCAAGAATAAATTAAATAACTATTATATTATTTTTATATTCAGTATAAATGAAATGAACTGAAAAGTTTTGTCTATTATAATTTAAAAATATATTAAGAAAATAATAATATTTAAATTTAAATATAAGGTTAGATAAAAAATAAGCTCTTTGTTGGTTCTATTTAAAGATCACACTGATAATTATATTTTAAAATAGACTAAGTAGCTTAGCATATTACTTCTAAATTAAACGTTTAATCTTTTTGATTATATTTACCTTAAAGAGAAAAAAAAGTTACTTTAAAAGTAATAACAGATATAAATATAGAATGCTGATGAATCATCATATAAAGATTAATACTAAACATAAAATAAGTATCAGTTAATATTGAATTTATCTGAGTTCCCTCTTAAATCTTTACTAAATGAATTAAGAAGTGTGAACCCATCTATAGAAATATTGTTTTCAGATTTTGGGGATGATACAAAAAGTGAAATTAATAACTAGTAACAAAATAATTAAGGAAATGAACAAGATTTTGTTATCTTTAATGATTATAAGAGAGTGCTGTAAGTTCTTCTGTCATTAACATTTTAAGAAAATATATAACTTATCATTCGATTATTCAAAGAGAATTTATATAGTGGTATTGAGTTTATATTTAATTATGGATCTCAAGAATAAAATGAAAAAATTACAGAGTAAAACTTTTAAGATACAGCATAAAATTAAAATATAAATCAAGGATTAGATTTGTGTTTGAATAAAAATCAAACAGATAAACGTCTTAAAGAGATAGATTTATATGTCATAAAAATAATTGTTAGGGATATTGGACCTAATTCTTTATTTATTGATAAATTAAATAACTAAGTTTCTTTCAAGATCTTTAGCGATATCAGAGTGCTACAATTTGATGATGAAGCAAAGATTGCCAAAAGCTCACAACACAATATAAATATAAAAAAAGAAAAATAAAATAATATTACAAAAAATTCATCTTTCAAAAGTATTGCTTAGCTTTCTATTCATAATTCTAGCTTTTGCAAAACAGAAGTAAAATAAAATTCTGAATATCCATAGTTAATTCTAAGTCCCCCATACAAAAATTTACAGAATAATCAATAAACTGCTTAGTCGCCAAGGTTTTCCTTCAAATCTGACTTAAAGGGATAATTTATGCAAAACGCCAGACGCTCAGCCTATTCTAGAACTCTTCCTCCGTCATAAATTAATATTAATAATAGTGAAATTTAGGACTAAAATAATATTTAAAAACTGATTCTGAAGGAGAAAAATGATTGTGAGACATTTCTTTAATCAAACTAAAATATAATTTAATAGAATGATGTAAATATAGAGCCAGCTAAAGAAAATGGAAAAAATAGTCCTCAGGGATTTTCAAACAATTACTTTGTTACTAAAATGGATGAAATATCCTAATACACTTATGATGAAGGTGAAGATCTTCCAGAAATCAAAATGACAAAATATCTACCTAATTCTTGATATAAAATGATTATATGTCGAAAAATATTTTAGTATTTAGTCACTAAAACAGTTATAAACTGTTAATCAAGTTTCAAAAATAAAAATTAAAATATTTTTCAAAAATATAAAATTTAGATAAATTATCAAATAAAATATAAATTAAAAACCAATTAAAGAATGAATTAAGAACGACTTATTTACTAACTTACTTCAGCAGCTATTAACATTGTAATAAATCTAATAAATAACTTAATACTTAGCTTTACATCTTATTCTAGAAAATATAAATAATAAAATATTTTTTAATTAAAATAAAAATATACTTTTCAAATTAAATTACTTATTTAATGAATTAAATGTAGAAAATAATTAATATCAGTTTTTAATGAAATTTTATTTAATAGAATAAATAAATATTTATTGTGAGTACAAACAATTTTATTAACTTATTCAATCTTTAGAAAATGTCCATAATTTAATTTTATTATCAACTGTATTTATAGCAAAATTTTATCCATCATTCATGTAAGTAATGCTCCTTGCTCCTGATTTTCCTCCAAGGTTAAGAACACTGAGAGTTTTCATATTTAAGTAATCAATTACAGCCACTTCATTTTTCAGAGTGATAACAGCAACGTGAGATCCGTCATTTAAATCTGTAAGAGAGCATATAGGAGATTAAAGGCCTAACACTTTTTATTTTTCTATTTTGCCACTTTACAAATCTTAAATAATAATTCCGTTAGTATCTATAATGATGATTTATTTATCCAAGATTTTCAAATAAAAAGATTCACTTGGGCCTGCGAAAGTCGAAATGATTCTCATAGTCCTTTTATTAATTGTAGTGATTTTATTTTTAGTATGTAAGACAACTGTTTTGTATTATTAGGAGTATGCACACCTTAATATTTGTTAAGTAAATTTGAACTCTCCTGTCTTTTTTTTCATATCTATAAAAGTACTGAATCCATCTATTTGTTAAATCAGTATTTCTCTTTCAGAAATCTAAATTACATTATGTCCTTGCTTATTCAATTTGATTGTATTAATTAAACTATAATCACCTATATTCATAATTTAGCATCTCTTATCTAGAGATGTACTTATTAAAACTTATTCAGAAATTATTTTTTTCTCTGCTTGGGGATAAGAAATATTTTAGCTGGACAAATCTTCATGTTCTAAGGATTAAGAGCGATTATTATGACTTTAGAGATCCTACTAATGAGTATGCAATTTGCTACTGCTTTATTATGCAGAATGTTTGCGATTTGCTTTCTTCGAACTCTACTTCATTTTCTATGATAAAGAGATCGTATCACTTATATTAACTTATCTCTTTATATTAAAATAGTTCAAAGATGTAATTCTTTCTGTGTGAGCTACGAGTGAAGCTAAAATCTTTTCTTAGTTTATGTCCATAACTTTTATTTTTGTATTTACCACTGCAGCGATTCTGCTAAGTGGAAGACTTGTAACACAATTTATCGCTTAATTTTCTGCTAACTGAGCTGATGTTTATGCGAGTGATTTTTTGTGTTGTAAGTTAAAGCTGACAGGTAAGATTTCTAATTTTGGGAGATCAAATTCAATTTTTTTCATAGCTTCGCGCAATGGAATACGAATTTATGCTTTTAAAATTTTCTGGAATTCAGGAAATTTTTAGTTCATTTAATTGATACTTGAAAGGATATGGTACTCCATTTTCTTATCATGGTCTCCATATCTAATTTGGGATATGAAGCTAAGCAAAGACTAGTTGATACTATTTAATTTTTCTTTTTAGAATTAGTCAATTTATTCAACTATTCTTTTCTTTGTATGCTCGATTGCTTTGATAAATTGTTATTCACAAACAGCAAATTATTCTTGAATCTTCTTCTTCAATTCTTTAGAACTCATACTGATATCAATACAAACAACCTTAAAATTAAATTAATTTTATATTTACTGATAGATGCTTTGCTTTTTAAAGTAGGTTTTATTTTTAAGACTGAGTCTTTTGATTGAATTTTTTTGAATTAAATATTTAAATGTTTTTAAATTAATGAAAATTAATTAACTTCATTTCATTCGTGGAGGGGGATCGATTTTGATCAATCGATAAGTAAATCAATCAATCAATCATTATAATTATTAATCTGTATATTATTGATATAATTCTTGCTATGATAAATTTTGATGAAATATCACATAAGAAATATTATTATTATTTATTATTGAACTTTAAAATAAATTTCGCAAATTTATAAAAAGAAAGTTTTAATGAAAATTTTCTGACTAAATAAAAATTCATATTTTTAATGAAAAAAAATATATTTAATTGACAAGTTTTAAACTAAAGAAAATAAATAATTTATTAAATTTTTTAATTTTGGTCATCAGAAAAAATATGGGCAATTAATTCATCATATTTATTAACTTATTCTTATAATCAATTTTCATATCTTGAATTTAAGCATGCATTACATAAGCCATAATCATTTTAGATAGGATTAATTTTGCAGTCATCACACATTAAAATGGGATAATCAGTTTCTAGATGAGCTTCAGCCTTTATGTTTTCTTAATGTGGTATTTGGGAATATTTCTTGCTTAATTTTGAATATGCTTTGGATTTCATTTTCATTTATTTAATATCAAGATCAGGAAGCTCTTCCCCTAGATCTCTCAACATATTTGTTAGGTATTTTTTAATTATTGATGTATGTTAAATAATTTCGGCTTTATATTGAAAAAATTTCTAATTTTCATTATCATTTGAAAATAATTCTTAGAATTTAACTTTATTCAATTTTTATTCAAAAGGTTCTATATTTTTTTCTAATTCTCCTTGCAAGAATTCAAAATATCCAAGCTTGTGTTATTCTATATAATAGCCAATTGGATAAGTGTATGATATACACTTCTTAGCTTCAATTAGAATATCATATGCAGAAACATAAAACTAAATTTCTTCTTCTATTTTTTTATCTTCTTTGAAAGTTTCTTTCATATTTAATTTTAAATTATCAATTTAATTTTAAGATTCTTTTTGAGTATATTTTGCTGCATTTAAATGGTCTTTAAATCTCTCAGTGTAGAATTCATATTTTTTAAGAGTTTACTATTCCTTAGACAAATCTTTGGCATCATCTTTTTTATACTTATTGCAGGAATAAAAGTCTTCATGATTAACATATTCACCTAAACATAGCCAACAAAAATGGAAATTGCAATTTTTACAATTCATGTGCATGCAACCTTGATTTTTTTCTATCAAAACCTTACATCTAGGACAAGGTTTAGTGTTTAGCTAAAACCATATTGTATTAAGACTATCTTAATTTTTACCTTGTATAAGCTCCATCCAAGTTTTAAGCATACTACAGGAACAAGGTAGATGAGCATCTTCCTTACATGATGAGCAGAAGTAACCTTTAGAGCATTTACATTTTAGATTCAATTATTTTCCTTAGACAATAACGTTATTTCCAAAATCTAAAATGTTGTCACACTCGCTATGAGGGCACTATACCAACAATTTATTGTGTTGCAAAATATCGTTTAGAAGAAATTTACAAATTAAATTTCTTTCTCTAGGTTGAGTCAGAAATAAAAAGATATCACTTAATCCTAATCTTTCTTAGCATCCTACCATGGGGCATTTTTTCTATAAAATTGAAGAACCTTCTTATAAGCAAGCTTTTACATATTCTTTAAAGCAAGACATGCAAAAATAATGTTTACAATAAAGAGAATATCCTTTATTTTATGTTATATCATCAAAGCAAAGCAAACATTCTTTGTTATCTTTACATGCCACTAGATCATTTGATTCTTAATAGAAAATTGTATCTATCAAGTGATTGGGGATATTATCTTGCTTATTTTTATCATAGTTATTTGCTTGCATAATTAAAAAAGCGCAGCCTTCTGAAATACCATTTTCTTTTGCTATTTGCTTAATTAATAGAGTGTAATTTTAAATTACTACCTCGATTGCCTCATTTTAATATAGTCTATTTTCACAAGCTAGATAAATTTTTTAAGAATCATCCTATTAAACTTTCTCTTCTTCATAGTATTCTTCATTGTCATCATATTGTCCATCGTCCCCACAATTAGCGAAGTAGTCTTCGTCTTCGTAATACTCTTCTTCTTATGACATTCCTTATCCTTTTTATGAATAATTTTCTTTTTTATTTTTCTTTAGAAATAAAAATGAGTTTTAAAGTATTAAAAATTATTTGATTAAATTTTGAAACTAAATATTAATAAAAAAAAAATATTGGATACAACAAAATAATTATGTGATTAAAGAAAGATATTTATTTTGTAAAAAAAACAGATTAGAATTTATTCCATTACTTGATTTTACAGATAAATTTTTCTAAAGCAGCTTTAATAATTAAAAAATATTCAAAAAACTAATATTTTTGTAAATTTTAACCCATTTTTATTTTAATAAGCTATATCTATCTTATATTTTAAGAGTAAAATCTTTTTTTGAGAAAATTTTAAATTATGCTTTTATTAATAACACGAAGCTTAAAATCATAAATATCAGCTAAAATCAGATTTTAATTTTTCTGAACAGAGAAATTAAAAGTTATTTAAGCTTTAAAAATTTAATTAAATAATAGTAGAATCATTTTAAATAATTTTATGAATATTAAGAAAGAAAGTAATCTAATTTAAATAAAAATTAATTACCCCAGATTAATTTATCAATTTTATAATTTTAGAAAAAGATTGCTAGTTTGAAGTTAGATTCATTTGAAATATAATTAGCCAATCTATTATTATGAAACAATCAAATATGATATCACTAAAGTTAATAGATCTAAAAAAAAATTATTTTAAAATCCATATTTGATCTTTGTGGATAATCAAATTTATAAACTTTCTTCCTTTATTATAGTTATGTCATATTATAAAAATATGATTTAATTATTTAAAATAATGATATAGAAACCAACTATGTAAAAATTATAAATTTTATATATAACTGTTTTAATACTTGTAGAACAAAAATTTTTCAAAAATAATTTTAATATGATTTATTTAATCCTTTTCTTGCTTTTTAATTTGAAAAATAAAATTAATTATATTTTATTTTGCTATTTTAAACTCAAAAAATCATTTAAATCAATATTATTTATCTTTTATTAATAGCTTTTAATCAGTGTATTAATCAATCAATCAAACAATTATATTTGTAAATAGCATAGAATTCTTCATAGTTATTATAAATCATTAATTTATAAAATTAATTATCATTCAATTAATAATTTAAAGAATTCTAAAAAAATGCTAAGTAAATTAGGTGAAAATTATCCTTACAAAAGAGATAGATCTGCTCCAGGGTTAATAAGATAGTAAAAAAATGAATCAAGGAATTATAATATAATCACTTGTATTGATAAACCTGCTACCTAAACTTCTAGCACTAGATTTGCAGATTCACTACCATAAATTGACATCCCTAAATAAAGGAAACTTGGAGAATATAAAGATTATCCATATCCTAGAAATAAAAAAGATTGCGAAATGAATATAAACTTCAACAAAGGTAATTAAAAATAAGAAATGGGCAATGAGTCAGTTTAGTCTTAGTAAAATACCATAAGGCAAGCTAGTTAATTATATCAAAGCAAAAATTTGATGAATTGTAGTTCAGTAGGCTATAATTTTATTACAAATACAATAGTCGAAAACCCTAAGACAATTAAAGATTTAAGAGGCGATCACTAAACTATATGTAATAGAACAAAATAAATTGGGTCAATATATGATAAAGGAAGGCTCTTTGCACCTAACTTCAATCCTGAGTATTAAAGCTTCTTCAAAACTAATGAAGTAGCTTTTCATCGTAATAAAGGAATGTGTGCAGATACTTACAATAGAGCTCATACATATGGCCCTGGACTAAAACCCTTTAGAAAATTTAAATGAAAAAGTGATTTATAATTACTCAACTTATCTAGGAAAAGTTAATTTGTAATTTTATATATATTCAATACACTTATAATTAGTATATAACTATTTGGAGTTCTTCATTTTTAAAAAGTTAGATTAATAAATCTTACTATTCTTAATTTGTATGAAACTGTTTTAAATTAGTCTATTCAAACTTCTTAGTACTATTTTATATTATTTTTTTACATAAAAAGTCTTTATTAACCTAATATAATAATTTATACAAAATTATCACTCTTGAAATTAAAAACAATTGAACTAATATCATTTTAAAAATTTAATTAATCTTTTTAGTAATTAGATTAATAATGTAGTCTGATTTAAATTTGATTTTGAAGCTATAATAATAGAAATCATTTTTAAAAATTTGTATTTAGTTTTATAAAATTTTTATTTTAAAATGTTAAATTTAATTTAAAAACAATTATAAGATTTTATATATTTACAAACTATTCTTTATTAATTTGTGTAAACAATATTTTTATTTGGAATTGGAATAAATATAAACAAACTTTTAAGTAAAACCTTCAAAATTTATTAATTCCTACATTTTTTATCAAATGGGATTACTAATTAATTTTTTTAAAAATTCATAAATTTTATAAAGAAGATACTCTCTACACCCTTAAATAGTTTTAATTATTCATTAATTTAGAGGTTTTACAGTATTTCAGGTTTTTTTGATTTTTTTGTAACATGAACTATAATTGCAAAGAAGTTAAAAATTAATTTACATACACCCTTAATCAATTTGTTAAAAACTCTATCAAGAATGAAGAAATTTCGAAAAGTTACATCCTTTTAAATATATAGAAATACTCAAATTTTAAATTAAATTTTAATTGAAATCAAAGATGAAGAAATTTTAAACAGTTGATTATTTTTTATTTAGCTAACTAGGTCAATCATACTCAAATCCATCTTCATCATGATCTATTTGAGGAGCATCACGAGTGCTCTGATCGTTACTAGCTCCATATCTATTCATGTAATCAATAGGGCCATTGCAAACAATTAGTTCGCTATTGTATATCATTTTTTATGTAGTTTCAAGCGATTCAGCAGGTGGCTTATCTGTTGTGAAGATATCTGTCAATTGTGTCATTTTAACTTTTTCTATTTATAAGAACATATCACGAACCTTCTTTTCATCTAGCTTTTCTCTAATTTTTTTACTTTTAAATAAGGCATCTACTGGGTCATCTTCATTCATAAGTTAATCATTTCTTCTTTTGTTTCTTTTTTTGCATTCTTTTTTTTCTTCTTTTGGATCCTTTCTTTATTATTCCCTCAACCAGGTTTCATTCATACTGTGCCATATGATACTTTTAACAGTATGTTCTTCATTAGTGAGTATAAATTGATTTACATCTTCTTCACTCATATCTGATAAATCTTCTCTAACATTTAAGGAATAACCATTCTCATTAATAATTCCAATTTATTTAGCATCTTCTTTTTTTACTAAAGTTTTGACTTATCTTTCAGATTCTGATAAAGGCTTAAGTTGCTTTTTCTACTCTTCTCCATTTTATTATTTACTATTTTCACCCTCATCTTCTTCATCATCTCCAATAGAAATATCATCACTCATTTCATAATCTTAATTTACCTAAATCAATATGATTTGATAAAATTTATTTAAAATACTTGGATTATTTATATTATTTATATTATTATTTACTTATTATCCCTCGTTACTGGTAGACTTAACTTGAGTCTCTATGATATTTGCTGCATCTTCTAATTGTTTATTTATTTCATCATCATTTTCTTCATTTGGTTTTATTTTTTTTAAAGTTTCTTATTAATTTTTTAAAGCCTTTATGAAAGCAGGAGGATCACGCTCCCTTCCCATCAACTCTATATCTTAAATTTCATCGAATTTTTCTCTTGTTAATTTGGCAACATCTGTTTCTTTGAATTCTTCTAATCTTTTTCTTAAGGTTTCTTCACAAACATAAACTACTTTGCAAACTTCACTAGTAGTTCTCTTAAATCCATGCATTCTTGCAGCAATTAAAATGGCAGCACCACACAAAGAACTTGGTCGACGACCATGACTCATCCAATCCAATTTCATTCTTTTTAAAAGTTTGATAGCTGTTTCCTTAACTTAATCAACTTTATCATTAAATTCTAGCATCTTGCAAAAACTGTAATATTTATAAACAAAATAAAACATTTTTATTAATAAAATAAATAAGATTCGTTAAATACACACACATTCTTTCTTTGCTAATATAAGAATTTAATATAAATAATATTTTTTATAGATTTATTTCTTTATGATAAATAACACTGTAGACGCTTTTCATTAAATGAAAAAAAGCGCTCAAGTTAAAAAATTAAATAAGAAATTAGCATAGAAATTTGATAAATAGCACTAATGTGAGTATTTATTTGTTTGTTTGTGTAGAGTATTACCGTGGAATATAAATTGATGGATCTATTGAAGGGAGTCTTTCATTTAATTTAAGAGTTACATTTAAAAATTTAGCTAATTTTCTATAGCATCTTGCGAGCTTGAAAAGATTTATGCAAAGTTTTTCTGAAAAATCCATAAGTAAAAAGGGAGCCTTTTAAAATCTTAATGCTATATAAAGGGCAGCGGCAGAATAATGATGTATATTTGAACCGTGATCTAAAAAGTAAGCTTTATATGCAAATTTCATGATTCTCAAAGGCGTTTCGCCAATTCTTTCTAAATAATCTGGGTATTCGCTTTTTATTTTTAAATCTCTTATCATTGTAGCTATGCATTCTTCAGCATACTTAGTATTATCTCTTCCAAAGTTAGACATATCGTGCAACTAGCCATCGATCTTGGTATCAGTAAATTGAATACCTGATTCGAAGCAGTTTTCATACATAACAAAACCACAATTTCTGCATTTTTATTGGTCTGCTTCATCACCGTCTAGATCATAATTAACATGACCACACTTTTTACAAACTTGCTTATTTGATTTGTAATCTATTGTATCTATCATTATATTGTTTGGAGTTATCTTAAATTTAACCTTTTTTTATATTTCTACTTCTTTTTTATATATTTATTAGAACTTATAATATAAACTTAAAAATGCTAATATATTTTATCTTCACTATAATGCTTATTTTAGTATTATATTTATATAAATATACTATTTTTAAAGTATTTTTTTCTTAGTTCTCTAATTAACTTTTGTATTTCTATTATTTTAATAGAGTTTATCCTAAAATAGAGGTCTATATTAATAGTCTATCAACTATTATATGATTAAATTGAAGAAAAATATATAATGCAAAAAAAAAAAAAATTAATCGGGAAAACTTCCTTCAATAACTATTTTGATAAGTAATCATCCATAAATTACAATAAAATCTAAATTTTTATAAGTCGTTTATTATAAAATCTATGTTAAAAACTATAAATTTGATATTAAGCTATCTGCATGCTATTACTGATCTTTAAACCTATAACTCACAGTTATTATTTTAAATTATTAGTTAAAATACCTTTGGCCTTGAATAGATCATTTCATAATAAAATAGAAAATTTTTAGATTTAATTAGATATTAAAAATGTTTAATTAATGATTAACTCCTCATTTTAAATTAGAAATTTTGTAGTGAGCTTATAATTAAAAGGTGGGGGAGAAAAGCTTAATATCTTAATTTGAAATAAAATCAAGATACTTATTTAAGTTATAATAATTAATTTCAAAAAAAATTAATTAAACCTAAAAAAAAATAGGAAAATATACCTCCTTGGTTGGAGATGAGGAAAAAGTGGTCTATTGCAATAACTTTTACATTAGTTTTTAAAGAAAAAAAAATTCAAATTTACAAGTTTTTAACTAATACACCTTCCTACTATTTCTCCACTAATTAGCACTCTATTGACTAGCTATTTGATTTTTTTAGTTAATTTAAACCGTCAATTACTAAATTTTCAAATACTAGCTTTCCAATCCGACTTAAAGATGCTAAGGAGAAAACTAAAAGTTATTGCGAATTCTGCTTTCCTATGGATTGTCAAAATTAAATACTCAACAAATAAAAAAATAAAAATAAATTATAGTCCTATTCCCTTAGGTACAAATTCAATGACCAAAAGAAGAGAAGACTAATCGAAATAGATATTTTTTTCATAATTGAGCTATTAATTTGAGATTGCCTTGATAAAAATAAAAAATAATTCAAATTCAAATATAAATATAAAAAACAAAAATAAAATCAAATAAAAATAAAAATTGCCTTGAGATAAATTATTATTGCCTTGAGATAAAAAAGCAAAAAAATAAACAAACAGAAAAAATAAATACACACAGAAAAATGAAAATAAATAAATAAATAAAAAATATGAATAAAAATAAAAACAATAAAAAAAATAATATGAAAGAAAAATCAAACAAACAATAAAATAAACAACATTAAAAATATAAAATTAATTAAGAGGGGAAATGCTGCTCTTTTTTTAAATTAATTAATTTTTATTTATTTTTTATATGGGAAGTAATTAATTTTCTTGAAATTTTCAATTTAATTAATTAAAAAGAATAAATTTTCTTTTTCATTGAATTTTTATTTATATATTTATTGTTTAATTAATTAATTGATAGATTGATAAATTAATCAGCAGTTTATTATTTAAAAATTGATTTTTAATTAATTAATTATCTTGCTTATCTTTACATTAATAACAAATAAACATAGAATTATTGAAAAGTTTCCACTACATTCTATTATTTTCTTAAAATTCATATTTAGTTACGAAAATAATATTATAAATTTAAATACATAAGATGATCTACAATTAATAATTTAAAGGTTTATCTTGCAACAATAAATCATTATATTCAAATAAATAATATTCCCTTCGAATATAATAGATGATGAGAAAATCCAAATAATAATATCTGTGATTTTCATTTTTTGCCTAGCTTTCTACTAATTTTATAACAAATAGGATAAAGGGCTTTTGAGGTAAACCACATGAAAAATCCTGTAAATGCATATCTTGAAATATTATATTGAGTAGGATTTTCTTCTTTAATATTCCTATTTTCTCTTTTTTTAATCACTTCTGTCAAATAATCTGCGAAATTTTCAGAATATTTATAACCTAATCCAATAGTAATTACGAATAATGAGTTTCCTATGATATTAAGTATTCTTTATTACTTAGCATGGATAGCTAAGGATACAGGCTAATTATTTGATTCCATATAATGATTTGAGTATTTACTCATTAGATTAAATAATCTTCTTTAATGATTCATGGTATATTTTGCAATCTTAAAAATAAGTATAAAAGTTTTATATTTTAGAAGATTCTGGTTTCTATTGATTCTTTATAAATTTGTGTTGATGTAATAAATTATCAAATTATTAGCTTTGATGTATATTTCTTGGATGAAACTAATAAATTATTCAATGCTATCACAAGATATAAAATAAACTCTTCCTAATTCATCTTTGCATATAAAGAACATAAATAATTCATTCAATCATATTTTTTATGTTTCAAATTAATTTATGATATATATTTTTATTATGGTCTTTCTTCTGTTAAGGGACATATTATATGTTCAAATCAAAGTGATTTTCTTACTATTATTTAATTTCTTTAATCTAATAGGCAAATATTTGGAATATATTTTATTAGTGCATAAATAATATTTTACTTAATTTAAGAGAGTGTAGAAAATAAAATAAATATGTTTTAGTTTGGAGAAATGGAACTTATTTAGAATTTTTTAGCCTCATATTTTATAATCAATTATGAATCAGAGTCTCAAATATAAGGTAAAATTAAATGGTTTTAAATTAAAGTTAGTATAAATATTTAATTAGAATTATGATTCTAAGTATAGAATAAAACAAAACATAAAAGATATTTCAAAAGTTATAATTTAATATTGGCTCAATATTATTTTAGAATGATATGTTATTACAATATACAACAGAATCTAAAATATGACGTACTATTTAAATAATATAAAATTTTTTAAAACTTAATTGATAAATGACCTTTAAATAATTTTTATAAATATATATATTTATATTTCATACACAAAACATTTTATAAAGAAAGTTTGACAAAATTATTTTTTGTTAAAATTAGTTTTTAATAAATATTTTTTACTTCTATTTGTATATTACATATGTGAGATTATTTTTTATTATATTTTTATGTCCATTTAGAGGGTTGAATTTTACTTCAATAAATAAATAAATAAAGATATTTATTTATTTATGTATCTATCTATGTATGTATTAAGTCTCCAATTTTCCATCAGGAATATCATCAAAATATTTTCACAGTTATATCCAAAGTATATAAATGAAGTTTATTTTGGGATACTACCTAGGTAGCTGAGGGAGTTTTCTAAGAATATTGAGAGTGATATCCTATTTTAATGTTTTGAAAAACAAGCAAGTAATGCAAAATGTTGAAGTGAAGGTCTACAGTTGAAAAGGAAAGTGTATAGAAAAACTTTTGAAAGACGAATGGTTGCCATAAAGGAATTTTTAGCTTATTCAATAATGAACATTTAAGAAAAATTAAGTTGTCTATAATTTTTAATTTAATTAAGGTTATTAATGAATAGGTATATTGATTTCATTAAATGAATCAATATGGAAGGTTAATGGTTAGAAAGTAGTTTATTTGGATGGATATTTATAAATAGATTGCAAATTTATTAATTAAAATTAGAAATAGAGGTTGTTGCTAATAGCAGTAATTTTAAGAGGTTGGAAATTATTCTAGCACTTATGATTTGTTTTTATATGAATTTATGTAGGTAGGTAGGTATGGATGTATGTTTATTTGTATGAATGGATGGATGGATGTATATAGTGGTTATTATGAATATGTGTGTCTAAAAGAAATGTCAGATTAGTAAGTATTCAGTTTTTGATAAATAATTTAATTTTGTTAATTTTGAGCTTTGTTATTTCGCTTTTATGTCATTTAATGTATTGTATCTTTTTATCAAATATTACAATAAGATTGAATTTTATATTGCGTTAAAAGTTTTTGCATTTTTTAATTACTCAATCAAGAATTCACTGCTCTTAGATGCTTGAATTCAAAATTTAAGCGATTGATATAAATACATTCAAAATCATTTATTTCTTTTTAGTATTTATCAGAAAAATCTTCTTCAATATTAGTCATCGATGTTACTATGAGGCTTTTTCTATGACCACAAGGCAAAGTAGCTTCAGAGAGTTGCTAGAGTTCAATTTTATTCTTTATATTAAAATAAAAAAATTTTCAGTTTATTTATTTGATTAAGGATAGATAACACTAGAAGTAAGTTATTAAGTTTTCAAAACTCTTTTTATCATGGTTTTTAGCCAGTAATAAGTAAATTAACAAATAAATTACAATCCATGGATGGTTGAGGGCCTCAGAAGGTTTTAATCTTTTTGAAGGGTCTTTTTCTAAACACTTAAGAAGAAAATCTATGCACTCAGGTGATAGATGACTTCCTATTTCTTCAAGATACAATTAGCCTTTAATTATTGCTTAAATGAGCTGTTACTAATTATCACTTTTTTTAAAATATTAAAATGAATAAATTTATAAATATGTTAAACAAAAATGAGAGGATTTAAACAATTTTTTTTTTGAAATTAAAACTAGCGTGATTTTAAATATTAATTTTTGCTTGTGACTAGTTTCTCTTTAGTATTCATTTAAATTATGAATAAACTGAAAATTTAACAATGCTTCTGAGAATTTCAATAAGATAAGATATAATCAGAGAGATAATACAAAGAGTTTTAAATCTTTTAATTTAAACAATTGCAAACAAAAATTTTACCATTTTTCATAGAAAGGGAGGTAACCTGTAACTAGGGAGTGAGCAACAACTCCAACACTCCACATATCGACCATTTTATCATAATTACATTCAGTGAATATCTCTGGAGCCATGAATCCTATAGACCCTGTGTTAGTCCAGAGCATTTGAGAGGGTTTATGGAGCTATTTAGAAACAGAAAAATCAATGATTTTAACTCTTCTTGTTGATTCATCATAAATAATGTTGTTGTTTGTAATATCACGATGACAAATATTTTTTTTATGCAAGTAATCTACTGCCTGGATTACTTGCTTCAAAATGAGTTTTGACTCGAATTCTGAAAGCTTAGTTTTTTATCTGAGAATTTCTGTTAAGTTAGATCCATTGGCCCTTTCCATAACCAAGTAAGCAGTTTTCTTTTGCTTCTCTATTAAGAAGTCAACTTTTCTTACCAAGTTTGGATTATTACGGAACTCATTCATAATTTTTTCTTCCTCAAGTAACTTTAATTATAAAGATATTATGAGCTTATTATCTATAGTAAACAAATGTATTGAAAAATTAAAATCGATTAATTAATGAGTCAAACAAAATACAATAATAACTTATTCAATAAATTATCAAATTCTACGATATTAAAAAAAATTGGAAAATAAATGATTCTTATTTGTTTCTATTCTAGTTTCTTTAGTTTTTCTTTTTTAAATGTCAAAATAAATTCTTTCTAGATTTTTTCATTACTTTTTAAAAAATTTCTTGTTTGTTTACAAATGATGAAATAGATCAAATAGCTTTAATTTATTTATGTGTGTACTTATTTTTTTTAATTTATTTCAAAAATAGTTGTTTGGCTTTATTTTTTTTCATCCAATGATAAAATAATCATTCAACTAATTAATTTTCTTGTACCCACCCCATAGTATTGATTATTTAAGTAATTAATTAATTAATTTTTGTGAAATAATTAATTTCTAATGTGCTTAGTAATAATTAATTACCTAAAAGAGTATTTCAGTGTCACGGTATTTCATTATTTTAACAACTAATTCTTTGTTATTATTTTGAGGTAAAATATGAGGGGATTGTTCAGGTTGTGCTCTAACAGAGCATTCTCTCACTACTGAGTGTGCTCCCTATTTTAATAAAACCTTGTTAATTTGAATGCTAAAAAATTTTGCATTTTACCTCTCCAATTTTTTTCCCAAGCCTATAATACCTCTAGAATATCCCATGTTGAGGCTTTAAACTTTTTTAATATGTCTCTTCTTCTTAATATTTATTGTAGGAGTAATTTTCATTAGCGCTCAAATATTCACCTGTATTTAGGCGATGTCTTACAGATTCTTATTTCATGACCTTAGTTGATTTCTTCAAAGGAGAAAAGACATGATCATATTAATCGATTTCTTTGACAAGCTAAAAATTAACCTGTTAAAGTTAGCGATTTTAAGCAGTGCTTTTCTACATTAAATTTTCAATAGAGGTAGTTTCATCATCTTAAGCATCTGTTTCTTTATTATTTAAAAGAGCAGACAGACTAGCAAGAGAATTTTTTGGATTAGCTCCATAAATATTTTATTAGAGGCGTTTATTAATAAATTGTAAGCATGAAAGTTAAGGTTTTGTTGAGCTCCTCCTCTCAATGAGGCTCATAGTTTTAGATTTTGGTCTATTTATTTCTATTTTATCTTCCATAATTAAAAAATATAGTGTATTGATTTGGTTTGTTTCTTTTTTGTTTTTTTAAAATATTTACAGTAGTTCTTTTTAATTTAATTAAATTATTTGCATTTAGTTTTCTTAATATTTTTTTTTGATGATTACAATATCTTTAATAATTAACAAGGTTGGTTATGACTATAAAACTTACTTCAGCGAGTATACCAATAAGTGAGTAATTGTATCTATCATTATTCAAATTTTTTATAGATCAATCAATATTACTTTTTGCGAATCAATCTATAGTCTACTTTACTCTCCCTTAAAGATCTACTTTAGCTATTAAATTTAAAACGAATTTATCTTTTTAAAATTTTGCTCACTAAAAATTTTAACTAATATATAGAATTTTTAAATATCAAAAATGAAAAAATATACAAATTCTGTGAAATTAGCAATATTCTTTCAATAGAAAATATTATTAGCATGCGTTTAATGTTTATGTAATAAATGTAAAAATTTAATTAATTTCATTTAATTATTGCAGTACAAATCAAGAGTTCATTATAGTTTAATGAATAATATTTTATGCCAGTGAATTTTAATAAATTAAAAATTATCATTACACTTACGACATTGATAATTTATCTCCATACAAAAGCAAATTATATTTTTTTTGCAAAACTAAAATTATTCTGTTCTATAATACTTTATGTATATTAAATTCTAATATTTTTTTTACTCATCACATTATGTAGGTTACGATGTTGAAGTGAAAAAAAAGAAAAACATTTAAATAGACTTTTATTATTTTTTTACTGATTCTATCAAATAAAATTAGATGATTGGTAAAAAATCAATCGAAAATACTAAAATCCCTATGTTTTATTTCAAATAAAATCAGCAAATCCTTACAATTTCTAAATTAATCTCTTAACTAGATAGAAAAGTATTCAGTAATTAAAGAAATTTCCAAATATCGCTTTTTATCTTTAGACAGCCATGAAGTCCATTTTATATTTTCAAATAATTGAGTTATATTTCGTATTTCGTATTTTCATTCAAAAAAACTGAAAAGACAAATTAATATTAGAAATTAGTTAACTTGAATTTGCTTTTATTCTATTGTTTGAAAATAGTTAAGAAAATACAAAAAATAGTAATAGAAAAATTTATATACAAAGAATATTTAAGGAATTAAAAGAAGAGCTTGCTTTTAATTTTACATTACAAATAATTGAATGTTGTTTTTTTAATTTTTAAATTTATAGGCCGAATAATATAAAATAATTTATAAAAGCTAAATCACAAAACAAATTTTATAAATTTAGACTAAATTTTATAATTTCAAGCTACTCATTTTAAAAAATAAAGTAAAGATAAAAATAGATTTCAATGTAACTTTCCTTTTCTCTACTTAATAAAATTTTAGTTTAATTGACCATTAAATGATAATATAAAAAAAATCTTCTTATAGCTGGCTGAATGAATTAGTATATCATTTTAAGAATTCTTATTAAGAATTGTAAGGTACTTAGTATTAAAATAAAAAAAAGTTAAAACGATAGAAAAGTTAAATTTTTAGTAATATATATATGGTTTTTTTATTTATTATTAAGTTTTACTTGAAGATAAGATTGAATTATTATTATATAATAAAATTATAAATCTTTTTAAATCTGATCTAGGCTGGCTTATATTGTTATTATAATTTATAAACGATTTATAGTGGCTGATATTACTTTGAAATTTCATTGAAAAATTTATGAGATTTTTCAATAAAAAGATATTAATATTAAAAATGATTTAGAGTATAATTTTTATAACAATTTATTACTTTTAATTAGATGAAATATATAAGTAAGTAACATTATTGTTATTATTATTAGTATTTTTCAATTTTTAATTATTTATGGCCCTAACCATTAAAATTTGATTTAACTGATCAATAATATTTTCCTTATTGATAAAAGACGAATTGTTAATAAAGTAACGTAAAGCTTTATTTTAAATATAAATATATACATTTTTACTATCAATTATCGTAATAACTAATCGCTTTAATTAAAATTTTATAAATATCTTTAAATTACTAAATAATTTTTTATTAGTCAATGATTTAGAAATGTGCTCTACGCATTATTTCTTTCATTTGACCTAGGAATATTGAAATATCAAATATTTATTATGTTGCTTCTAAATATAATTGATTGGAGTAATTAAATTTCAATCAATTTTTATATTTTATTGATTATTTTGATGTTATTTTCTCTTCTATGATATAAAATAAAGTTGCTTTTCTATATTATTGCCTTAATTAGGATCATAAGAGTGCTTTGTACTTTCAGCTTTTATTTATATTTTCTATTAATTAGCTGAACTATTCACTGGCGAAGGAATATACATATTATTTTTATTTTTTTCAGAAGCATTTTTACTGCTTTACACATTTAAATTTTGAGGAATACCAAACTAATTCTAATTTTTAAAAAATAAATTATCAATAAAGTTTAAATAAAATAATTTAATCTCATTACGAACTCTTTTAGATCAGATTTTAACATATTTTCTTTAATACCAATCTAGCTTGATTGTATAGTAGAAGTTTCTGTGTTTTTTGATTCTGGTAAGTTAGTTGAGGGCATGCTACTTGTCATAGAATTGTTATTTTACTTATCATATTGCTGTTACTCTTAAGTTAACCTGTCGATTTCTACTTAAGATTAAATATACTTTATGTGTTGAATTCTAATTTCGGGTGGCAAACCTTCTAATATCCAAGGATGCATTAAGGCATCAGAAGGTTTAAGTCTTTTTTGAGGTTCCCATACAAAACATTTTGTAAGAAAATCAGTAAAGTCTTCAGATTCAGTTTGAAGAACAGCTTTAAGAATTTTGGAGTTTGGTACTCTTATCTTTCCTTTACTATTTGGTATTAGCTTTGGAGTATAATCTTCATTAAAAAAATATTTCCTTCTTGTACAATTCTAAATTATAAATAAAATAATGAATCTAAATAAGTAAATTTCAATTTAAAAAATTTGTAAGTAATTTAAAAGCAGCTTTATTACTTATAAAAAATCTTTTGATGGTGCACCTATAATTTCCCAAATATAGCCAATTTATTCTTATTCATCTTCCCCTGGAAAAATTGGATACCCTAAATTTAAGAAAAATAATAAGCTCAAAAATGATTTTTATTAGAAAAGTTAAAAATTTACCAATAAATAACTCTGCCATGATACATCCAAAACTCCACATATCAATTGATGTATCGTAAGGTAATCCTAAAATAACTTCAGGAGCTCTGTAATACCTTGATTAAATATATGTATATAATCTTTCGTTTTCAAAGCAACTAGAACCAAAATCGATCAACTTTACACCAGATTTGTTTGCTTGCTTAAGTAGTATATTTTCAGGCTTTAAGTCGCAATGTATGATTCTATTTTTCCGTAAAAAATTTATTGAGTTTAAAATCTATATAGCAAATCTTCTTATTAGTTCTAGCGATAACCCCTAGTACTTATTATTTCGAAGTAGATCATATAGATTTATAGATAGAAGTTCAAAAACCAAACACTTTTGTTATTTAAGAAAAATGATTAAATTTTGTTTAAATTTATTAATAAAGATCATAAAATAAATGCTTTTATATATTTAAATTAAAATTATTACAACATGTTTTCTAAAAATGACAAAGTCTTTAATTCTCACAATATTAGTGGCTTCATCTTTATCTTATTCTTTAATGTATGACAAAATATTAAGCTCAATTAAAGCTTAGTTATGAAACTTTTTCTTATTTCTTATCACCTTTAATGCCAAAAACTCTTTTCTCTTATGATCAAATACTTTAACAACAGAACCAAACGAACCTTTTCCTAAACATTCAAGTAATTCATATCTATAAGCTATATGATCAAGAAGATTAAGCTAATATTCTCCTCTTGAGTCATCAAATCCGTTGTTGAATTAAGAAGTTTTTTGAAATTTTTTTTTGCATTAATGTCCAATAAAGTAAATCTGTTTAATTTTAATTTAATTTATAATTAAAATTCTCAAAAATAAAGATTTTACTTGTTAAAAAAGTTTTATTTCTGTTTTTTCATAATCTGTTAAATAATTTGCATATTTTTAAATGGTTTCTTCTGGAGTTAAAGGGGTATTCTTTTTTTTAGAAAAAATAATTTAATGATAAAAATATATTTGAAATTTGAAATTACCACTAGAGCCCAGTCTTTGATTTCAGAATTAATATCAATGTTTAAATTTTCTTTAGATTGAGTTAAAATATTATTTGTATTTTCTGTATTTAAAATAAGTTAATCATTATTTGTTGAAATTACAGAAGCATGTGTATTTTATCGCTAATCAGTTGTATCATTAAGTATTTACCTTAGAGATTTTAGCTTAGTTTACTATTAATTTGTAAAACTCTCAACGTTTTTCATAAATTTAACTTGATTTTCATCCTCAACACTAAACGAACTTGCTCTATTGTTTAGATGTACACTATTTAAAGAAAGTTTCGGTTTTTTACTGTTATTATTATTACTATTTGTGGGTGTGGGATTAATTTAAAAGGGACTTTTAGTTCCTTTAGAGGCAGAGTGGTTAGTGGATTTTGAGTATATGTGACTTGGAATATTTATGGTTTCACATTTATCAATTTATAATTATTCGTTATGGCAATACATTTATTTTCCTCCGTTCATTTAAAAAGATTATCTCTTTGAATATTCTTCACCATATCTACTTATTTTTTTTCCATTTTTTATGTTATTGTTGTTGTAATTTAATTATAACTCTTATTGAGCGCTCTATAAATTATTGATAGATTAATTGGTAGGAACAGTTGCCCCTTTTTTTGGTTAGGGTGGCTTCTTTGTTCTATTTATCTAACTGATAAATTTGGCATCTGATATATATTCTTCATCATAAGAAGGTTCATTATTTTAAGCTTGTTAAGGTGCAATATTTTCTTAAGTTATTTTATTATTTCTTACATAACTAGATTTTGTAGAACCATTTTGTGTGATATTGCAGCTATTGATAAAAGAGTCTAATTCATTTTATTTAAAATTAAATTTTTTAAAAAGTCAGAAAATAGTTTTACCAGCTAAATTTTCTGTTGATTTCTTTAATGTCAAAACTAAATCTCTCTTTTTTTAGTTAGGTTATTTATACTATTAAATGTCTATGGAAGGTTGTAGTACTGTAGATTATTGCAATTACTGAGGTTGTTGCCTTTATTATTGTTGTTGTTGAAAAATATTTTAAATTTTGCTCTTAATTGCATTCATAACAATAGCTTATTAATTGCTGGCATTTTTTGCAGTGATTGGGACAAAGTTCTATTTAATAAAAATAGAATTAAGTTACTAATTAATTATAAATAAACTTAAATTTTTTTATAATAATTCTATTAAAGCTAATTCATTTCATTCCATATAACTTTTATACTAATGCTAAAACTTATCATCCATTAAAAGGATAAATAAAATGAATAGAATGAACTACTTTTGATTTTGGTGAAGGACCACTAGAAAATCTTGAATTTTGTGCACTTATATCTTATGAAGCTAAATCTACTGTAGATAATAAGGCTTATTCGTTATTAAAAGAATTATTAGCTGAACTATTATTATGCATATTTGTATTATTTTATGTTGATTTTATTCTCTTTCGAGTTTAGTCATATAAACCATTTTAATTGCTTGGTAAAAAAATAATATATTAAATAAATAAATTTATTTAGTTTTTTAATTTTACCTTAAATTAAATCTTTATTTTGCTGTACTTTTAGGAGTTGTGTTATTGCTATTAGCATTTTGACTCTATTATTATTTATTGATAATGTAAACCTTCTTTGGAACTGTTGCATTCTTAGTTGAAGATTGAGTATCAAATGTATTGTTTACATATCTTTACTAAGAAGAAGAATTTGTTGCTAAGTAGCCACTTATGTTTGAATTATTTAAAGTTATGTTTTAAGCTTTAGTTGAATGACTTTATACTGTACAGATAGCTGTGCTTGCATTATACAAATTATTTTGCTAGAAGCTAAATGTATTTTTTTATTGATCTTCGCTTTCTATTTATAAATCATTATATATTTTAACAAACTTTTTATAAATTCGTTAAATTTTAAAAGATTGTTCAAAAACATATAATATAAACTCGCTTTGCTATTTTATACTGCTGACTGCTTCCTAATATGCTAAATAACTATGTTATAATTAATATTTATTTATTACTTGTTGTCCATTATGGTTTACTGATTTAAGAATCATTAACATCAAACGAGATATTCTTTTTAATTATAAGTTAAATTTAATGATTGATGCCTTTATTTACAAATCCAAAAGTATTTTTTAAGTGCAATATAAAATGTACTTTTGGTGATATCAATAGCTTTTTGTGGTAATGTGGACGATATCCGTTTCCATTTGAAGAGGACCTCATATGAGTGAATACTAAAGAGTAAACTAAAACTTTGCTTGATCCCTCCTTCTTTAAGTCTATATTGCTTATAGTTTTATTTATTAAATGCTATTTTGAAAAATATATGAAGAATCAATAGAATTTAGATTATTACAATCTTATTAGATATATAGATATTACCTTTAATTTCCTCCAATCTTTAGCGGTGTAGTTAATAAAATTCTGTAGTTTTGATATTTAGTTAAAAAATGTGTATTCAATTTAATAATTAATAATATAATGGATGGGGAATATGCAAGTCAATTATCTGCTTCTTTCTGCTGTAATATTTATAAAAAAAAGTTGTGGTAACAAATAAAGAAGTGTTAAAGTGAGTTTATTTCAAAGACAAATCAATTTTGCTATTTATTTGAAAGTAATTAACTGCCTAACATGTTTATCTTATTATTAAATTTATTTTACTTTTCTCAAATTCAATAATTTAAACAAATTAATAAATGCTCAATAACATAAAATATTTTTTTATAAAATTATGATTTAATTTCTAACTAAAAAAGCATAGACAAGATTTTTTATTTATTTAATGTAAAAGAGTAATAAGCCAATTAAAAATTAGTATTTAGCCTATATTCAAGTCTCCTTATTTATCTATAAATAATTCCAACTTAAACAAAAACTTCTTTAAATAACTGTATAAAAATGTTATTCAGTCATTTCTCCATCTAACAAGTACTTCATCAGTTCTGAATCTTTGAGTGAAATAAGAATCCTTAAAATCCATTCTTCCACCTGCTTCATACTCTAGTATTCCAGCATAAGCTATCATTGCGCCATTATCTATGCAATATCTGTGATCCATTGCTCCTACTTTTCCTCCTCTATTTGTGATTTTTTTAGGAAAAATTAAAAAATTATGATTTTTTTTAATTAATAATTTATTAATTAATTACCTTTCACTGACCATTTGTCCAATCATTTCTTGCAATCTTACATTACAACCAACACCTCCTACAATAATAACTTCGTTTGAATTACAATGAGCCATGGCTCTTTCAGTAACTTCTGTAAGCATAGCAAAAATTGTTTCCTATAATGAATAGCATAAATCTGCTCTTGTAATATCCTTTGGAAGATCAAGAACTATTTATCAAAAAATAAATTATTAGTTTAAAATAAAAATATTTTTGATGTTACTTACTCTTTTTATTAACAACTTTTTTATTTTTCTTTCTCTTTCTATTATCTAAAGAATCATCTTCATCTTATTATTTTGCATCTTTTTCAGGTACAACACCATCTTCATATTATAGATGAGGATTCTAAGCAACAATATCTTCAAAGTAACTTAAAATGCCAGAAAAGCTCATATCCATTCCTTTAACTGTGTATGGAACTTAAATAAATTATTTTCCTTGCTTGGCAAGCTATTCAATGTTATAACCTGGAGCTGGATCGTTTGAGAGATTGATAATTCTAGCAAATCTATCTAAGCAATTACCTACAGCTATATCTAGAGCTTCTCCGAAGATACGATATCTAATTATATTTTGCAAATAAAAATTTTTATATTATTAATAAATATAATTTTTGCTGAAAGACACTTTAAGATAAATTATTATAATTTTTATGGAATATTTATTCTACCTTTAATTAGAATAAGCAATAACTTAAGTATTTCCTCCTGAGACATATAAAACTGCAGGATGAGTAATTCCTGTTGCCAATCTACCCATTTCTATATGCCCAATACAGTGGTTAACTCCTATTAAAGGTATATTATGCAATAAACTAAGTGTTCTACTTACAATAGCACCAATACTCAAAGGAGGACCCATTCCAGGACCTTTTGTATAGCAAATCAAACCTTTTCATTTTATATAAAAGTTGACATAATTATTTTACATATTTTTGATATAATAATATCCTAAAAATGTACCAATATCTTTAAAAGTAAGATTAGCTTCTTTTAAAGCCTAATCAACTATATCAAGAATTTTAGATCTATGGTGAACAGCTGTTTCATTTGGTAAGAATCCAGTTCCTATATTCAAATAATTAGACAAATCTTTTTTTTGAAAATTATTTTTCCTTTACCTGGAGGTGTAATAAATGTAGTTTTTGGATTTGCTAATATTGTTCCATCTGATTTAACAATTCCTTCATTTATATGTCAATATTAATAAACATTAATTATTTTTGATTAATCTTTACATTAAAAAGTAAAATTGAATATTTAAAATCCATACCTACTCCTATTTTGTTAGCGGAGCCTTCTATTCCAAGTGCTATCATTTTAAAATAATTTCTTTATGAAAATTGATCTAATTAATGGAATACTTTGTAAATATTTTAGATATTTATATTTATAAAAAAGATGTATGAAATTAATTAATAATGAATAATATATATCTTATTAATTTAGAAATAACTTTGATAACAAAATGAATGATTTATTAAATAAAAAAATCAATAAACTATCTATCTTTTTATATTAAAGAAATATATAGATAGGTTTATAATAATATTTTTTTAAAAGTTGACTTATCTATCAAAGGTAATTTTCAACAAATAATTTAAAAATAATACAAATAATATCCCACTAATATAGAAATTGTCAAATTATTTATATTGATAAATTTATTTCAACAAATCATTCAAAATTATAAAAATAAAATAGAAATCAAATTTAGAAAGTTAAATTTTGTTAATTTAAAGTGATAAATAATGATTTTTTATTCAAAATATTTTATAAACATTAATTTGTCTTGCTTAGTCAACATATATTTGTTTTAAAAGCATTAAATTATTTCATAATTCACTTCTTTATGAAGTTTTATAAATAATTTTTCGATCTCTAGCTTAATTTATGAATTTTAATAAAAACTATTTATGATTTAACATTAAATTTTTTTTATTCATGATTAAATTATTGCTTTTTTGTTAATCTTGGATATAAAAATTTAATAAATCTAGTTTAATTTATTCACTGAATTTATTGATGGTAGCCAATTATAATTTTCAATTTATTTTTAGTAAATGCTTTAAAATGCAATATATTTAGAATAATAATTATTATTAGATTGTTTGTAAAAGTTTGTAAACAGGAATATTTTAAATTTTACTCATTGAGAAAAAGAAGTTAATTTTGTTAAATTATAATATTTAGAAAGATTTACTCTACTTGTTGGTTAAATAAAATAAAAAATGAGTGTAAAAGGTAGCAATAACTCATTTCATAATCCATAAAACTAGCAACAAGGATAAGAAAAAGATGAAAATTAAAATATAAGATAAAATAGTGTAGTGCATTTTGCGAATGACATACCATTAGTTGTTGTAGAAATACCTTTAAATGGAAAAATTGCAAAATTACCTATATTCGAGTTTAGTAGTCCTGATAATCTGGCTTCTTAATTTTGTAGAAAATATTAACTAGATGAAAAATTGAAAAAACCAATTAAAAAAATGATAGAAAAATAAATGTAGGAAGCACTTAAAGCTAAATCAAAATAGAACTCCATAGATAGCGCAGACAATCATCAAAACAATAAAAAATTATAAAAAAGCTAATCAACAGTTTAAATTTCTTAAAATTAAAATTAGTAAAACTATATGCCATAATAGCTTGCTGATAATTAGCTTAATCAAAGAGATAATTATCAGGGAAAATATATCAATAACTTAAATGAACAAAATATAAACAACGAAGAGTATAGAGAAGAATAAAAGGCAAGCAAAAATAATTTTTCATCAAGCAATAGAAATTATAACAAAAATGAATAGCATTTAGGTGAAAATTAGAATGAATTATAATAAAATAACAAAAAGCATAAGGTTTAAATTCAGCCTGATCACTAAATAAAGAATGCTGAGAATTAGCATTAAAGTTTCTAAAAGCTAAAACATAAAGATTTTTTTACAGAAAATAGTGAGACTGAGAATGAATTGTCAGATGTTGCTGATCTTAGAAAACCTGCTATAAAACCAGTGAAAAATATAAACTAAGCAAATTTTTAGCAAAAAACTTTATAGAAAAATAAATAATCCTAAAGCTCAGCATAGCTTCTTAGGGAATAAAATTACGAAATGAAAGAAAAAGAATAACCTTATTAGCAATCTACTTTTCAAGATACTTAGCAATCCAGAAATAGCAATAGATATGAAAATACTCCAAATATAATTACTTAACAAACATAAACAAGGTCAATATTAAAGCAAAACAAGTCTTAAGAAAATTTGTTTAAAAATAATGAGTTTCTAAATGCTTAAGATTAACGTTAAGTACATAAAAACTTGTAATCTCAAAATGATAGTAATAGCAATATAAAAGACAATATTCAAAGATCTGATAATTCTAGATATTTAAAAAGCAATAATTAGGAAGAAGTTAGTTTAAATAATAGATAATAACAAATAGTTCATTTAAATCCTAAAATAAACGATCAAGTAGAAGAAGAAAAGGAAGAGACATTCCAAATTTAAAAAAACAAAAAAGTTTAAAATATAACCAGAGGCAGCTAAAAGGAGATAATTTAAAATGATAGAAAATAGCAAAATATTTATGAAATTCATAACCAAAATCTAATCAATAAAGTTGTTGAATAATAAGTTTATAAAAATACACTAAAAAATGACTAAGAATCTGCATAATTTACCTTTAATGAAGATGAATCTAATGATAATGAAGACCCCATTTAAAATAGAGATTTCAAAATAAAACGTGATATCAATTAAAATGAGAAACTCATACATAATCAACACTTTAAAAACTCTAAACAAAATTTAGATTCCCATTAAAACAATATTCATAAAAAAGACTCTGATAGTGATGAAGTTAGCTAAAACCAAACAAATAAAAATTTCAATAAATAATAACAAAGCCAAGAAGTTAAATCTAATATTTCAGTAAATTAAGGTAAACATTTATTATTAGAATAAAATAAATTAAAATCTAAATAATCTAATTAAAAATCTACAACAAAAAATATTTTTTAATATTCAAAGAAAAGCCAAAGTAGAACATCAATTAAAAATAAGAGAAGATGATATATCAAGATACATAGGAAATGAATTAAAATGAAAATGAAGAAGAAGATACTGAAGTTGATGAATTATAAAAAATACAAAAACAAAATAAATAAAATACTTTATTGAATTAAAATAAAAACCTTTAAAACTAATTTACCAAAAATAAAAAAATTTAAAATAAAAATAATGAAGAGTTTTAAAACTATGATTAAATTAACAATTAAGATAGTTATGAAAATACAGAGAATGATAACGACCATTTTAACTAAGTAGATGAAGCTTAAGATCTTGTGTAGAATCCTTAGTTATTAAATTTACTAAGCAAGCCAATAAAAAGAGCTCCTAATGGTGTTTTATAAAGACAACAAAAAAATGCAATAGCTGAAGGAAATGAAAATCATAACTTAAAAGCTAAACCATTTGTTTAAAATAAAATCAAAGATGATACTTTTAACAGTAATAACGTTTTCAATATTATCACTTTAGATTAACAAAATGAAGTTAGTGATTTCGTTTCTGATAATTTAAAAGCTATAAACTAAGGTTTAGCGCAGTAAAATTAACCATAGGCTATTTAAATTAATCCCAATAGCAATAATGCTATATCACCATAAAGTTATATGTCACCTCCTCCTTAGAGATATTTGTCTCCTTCTTCAAACTCTAATTTTTCAAACACTCAATAAATCTAGCAGCCAAATATTTATATGTCACCTAAGACGTAGTTTTAATAAAATGTATATAGATAAGCTAACAATGCTATTCCATAAGACAATAACAATTTTTTCACTACTTAAAATAACAACATCAACTAATAGGTAAATAGATAAATAAATCCTTAACATCCTAGTGAATTTTATTAAAATAATTAAAACTAAATTCCTTATTATTAAAATTAAATGCTTTCTCCTTTAAACAAAAATTATTAAGGCTTAAACTATTAAGAAAATACCTTTTATTAAAATTAAGTTTATTAATAAAACTTATCTTCGCCTCATCAGTAAAATAAATTTAATTAATTTCCTCCAAATAATTAAAACATAGCAAATTTGCCATTAAATTAATCATTTTTAAGTAGTAATAATAATAATACAATAAATACCTCTATCAATGGTAGTTTAATTAATAAAAGTTTTACCCCAAGGAGAAAAATCTTTGAAGAAAATAATTAATTTTTTAGAAATTAGCCAATTTTACCTCAAAATATTATTTATGACCAAAGAATCAATGAGTAGTAGTATTAATAATAATATGTAACTCCTATCAAAAATGGTTCTTCTACACCTATGAGGTATAGGAATTAAGAAAATACACAATTTTAGCAATAATAAAGATAGCAATTTATTTATCCCAGTAGATCTATTTCACCTAATGGAAACAATAATTATATAAATAAAAATTTTAGTTATTAACAATAGCTGCCTTTAAATTAATAAAGTTTACAGTTTACATCATCAAGCTAAGCTAATTATAATAGGAATGGATTTGTAAATCAAAGCAATTTATAAAATATTCCAAAAATAAATACTCCTTTCTAATAATAAGTTTTTGAATAATAGCAATAATAAAATTTTATCACATAGTAACATTAAATCTAAAACAATTAAATGATTGTTTAGTAACAACCATAGTAAGTATATGGACAAGCACCATAGTATTTATAGTAAAATTAAAATTAAATAAGTTAACCTATTTACAAATAAAACTTTCAAAATAATACTATTGAAAATCAAAGCAAATCACCAAGAAGCTAAGTAGCTTTACCCCAAGATTAAAGAGCTTACAAAAACAATAATCATTTTTAAGGCAACACAGAGGTATACTAAAAATCGCTTGACACTCCTTCACCTAACTTTGCTCCTGATATAGAAAAAAGTACCTAGAAAAGTAATATATAAAGTAATAATGGTAACAGATCACCTTCTCCAACTTAAATAAAATCTGCTAATAATAATTTCAATTATAAAAATCTAAATATACCACTCTTTGAAAAAATAAAGCTTTAACAGTAGGAGTAATTTAAATAAATGGGACTTGATAATAATATGTAGCAAACGAGCTAAAATGCTTCAAATATTATTGCAATTTAACCAACAAGGTATTTTTAATAAAATTTTTAATGAAAATAAAATTAAATATTTTCAAATGTTAAAAGCTAATAAATTTAAAAATTAATTTAAAATAAAAGTGTAATTTCTACAGATAAAATTGGAGGAGAAAAAGTGAATAACTAGCTTACATAATAATACCATAAAAATTTAGTTCAGCAAAAAGATTATTACGTTATAGATGATATAAAGAGCTCTGGTATAAGAGAAGAAGATATTTTTGAATCAAATTAACAGAATGTAAGCCAACGCACATCAGTAAAAATAGATGAATCAGAACATATATAAAATGGAATTTTATTTAGCCTTAATGCAAATTATTAAGAAAAGAAACAATCAATTAATAGCAATATAAAGGAGCTATTCAGTTTGCTAGATTCAAAGAATTAAGGGTGGATTTCTTAACAATAAATTGATTTTTCTAAACTACCACCACATTTTTAGCTAAGACTTGAATTGAATTAACTTCTTGAAGAATTATTTTAATAGTTTAAAACTGTTGATATTGATAGTTTTTCTGGTATTATTACTTCTAAATACCCATAAGTGATGCAGGTAAATTTGTTTAATTTCATTAAATAGCTAATTAAATTTACTTTTTATATTAAAAATAGCACTGTAATACTATATTCAATACAACTAAATCTTAAAACAATATTTTACCTCAACAACAAATTCGACCCCCAAGTTTTGGACTCTCTAAAGACACCCCTGTTTTTTAATGAGTCCTGAGACATTTATAAAAATGATAGTATTTAACAAAAATTGAAAATTATTATTAGTATATTATTTATAGTTATCTAATAAATTTTATAATAAAATTATTCTAAAATTTTGAAATTTTATTTCTTCAAATCGAAAAATAAAAGATTCATTCCTTTTATATTTATTTGCTATTTAATATGATTTATATTAATTATACAGCAATTGAATTGCAATGCTAAATATAACAATTTTTTCACTATTTGATTAATAGAGATATCTTTTAGTTAATATGAATATATTTTTCATTTATTTAAATCTGTTAATTATCTACAAATTAGAATAAATCAAAATTTATTTTAGAGTAATTTAAAAGCTAAATAAAACTTTTGTATATCTCTCTTTAAAAAAATTATTAAAAAAATATCCTTTATTTATATAAGTTACCTATCAAGGTTTATTTAAAATTAAAGTATCTGAGTAAATTAATATTTAAAAAATATTTAATTAATCTGTAATCAATAATTTATTCATGACCAAAATTATTTGAAAAAGAATATATTTTACTTTATTTAGTTTAATGAATTAAAATTTTTTTTTGCAAAACCAGTTAAAAATTTGAATATAATGTTAATTTTGAACTGATATTTATTTAACAAACAAAAATTTAAGAGTGTTATAGAAGATTTTATTCATTCATTTGGATTTATCTATGAAAAAATAATAAAAATAGATTAATTGATTTGATAGGAAATCTTAACAGCAAAATTGATTATTCTATTTAAATAATTCAAATAGCAAATAAAAAGATAAAATAAAGTATTATAAATGAATTATTAAAATAAGAACTTGTAAGCTTAAATGCTTAATTTTTTAAGTCATAACAACATGGATAAGAGATGTTCAAACTCGAATACTAATACTCCAAGGTAAATTTTTAGTTACGATAAAATTTTAAAATTCTAATTTCATTAAAATAGAGCTTCATTGCAAATTTAAGGTTTAAATAATAATAAAGATTAATCGCTAAATTAAGCACTTTTAAGTTAACAACTTGGTAATCAAATTAGCTAATAGAAAAGCAGCGATTTAAAAAATTATCATACTTCATCGAGTTGCTTGTCAGAAAGGAGTTACTGTGCTTCTGGGATCAAAAATCTGTAAAATAACTTCTAACAAAACTCTGTACAATACTCTTAAAGGAATAAATCTTTTTATAATCCACAATATCTTCAAACTACTCCTATAAGAATGAGCGAATTAGATTCTCAAAAAATTAACCAAAGACTTGCTTTTAATTAAGATTAAATGAATCAAAATGTTTATCCTCAAAGAACTCCTCTAGGAAATGGAAATAATATTAACATTTAATAACAATAAAATCCTCCACTTTAATAGTAGGTATAAAACAGATATTTATCAGCTTAACTAAATGAAAAAAATAAACTTGCTGGTTAATAATAAATAAAAGAAAATATAGGAAGAATTTAAATTCTTAAAACAGATTAAAACATAATTAACAATAGAAAAGATCAATAAGAAAATGTAGATGTTTTAAAAGATTATCAAAAAAACTAAACTTTAGTAGATAATCAAAAATAGTATTAACAACAGACTCTAACATAATCTTAGAGTTAAGAAAGAGGAATTAAATTAGTTAAAAACTTATTAGAAAAGAAAGAGATCAAATAATAAGATGAATAAGCAAACAAAAAAATAATAATTATCACTCATTTAAATCCTAGCACCAAAATTAATTAATAAAGTGCTCAGTCTGCTGACTTTAGGTAAAATATCCATTAGCAGGTTTCATCACCAATTTAAGCTGAAACTAAAGAAGATAATTTGTAAGAAGTAAGAGGAATCAGTTTAATGAAATAATATAATCCTGCTCTGTAAAGTAATTCTACAAACTAAACTTAAATAAAAGATTAAAACGACAAGAACTCTTTAGTAAACAATTTTAATTCTTTTTAAATGAGTTAATAAAAACTTATCAGAAGCACGAGCTTACCGTTTACTGAGAGCTAAAATTTATAATTTAGATAACCTCTTCAAAAAATAAACTAAATTTAATAAGAATAATTGTCAGATAGAAGGTAATCTTTATAATTAATTTAGAATCATCCATAATCTCAGTTACCTGCTTAAATTAATAACAATTAAAGCTACTAAACACCATTTTAATCAGTCAATGCACTATCTCAAAATAACTCACTATACTCTTCTTCTACTTAGTCATTCAGATATATTTAAGGATTAAATGATAGACGTCCTCACTCTACTTCTATGAGTAATTAAGTAGCTACTCCAAAGTCTGAATCTTTTTTTCAATCGAATTTAGTTTCATAAAATATGAAACATAGTGTCAGCCAATAACTTAGCCCAAAATAAAATCCTTTTTTTAATAAATAAATTAATTCTTAACTTTTGATTTAGAATTAGGAAAACATTCTTCCTTAGTATGCAAATCATTAAAAAGCTTAACAGATTGTAAACTAAACAGGATTATAATAATAAGTTTCCTAAAACAAATAAAACATTTCTCGTAGCAGCTCAATGTATTCGTAAGGTGGTGTAGTTATTAAAAATAATGATATGAGTGCAAATACTTCACTTTGTAAGTATGATAAAAAGTAGTTATAGTAAAATTTATTAGATAAGGACTGTGATGATGATAGATTTTAAATTTAACCTTCTACAATCATTTAGCCAGCATAAATGATTATATAATAATAATCTCTTTAGCAATAACAACAGTAATATTAATACAGATAGAATCAAGTAATAGATTAAGCTATCGATCAGCATAATATCCACTCCTAAAATAATCTTAACTATAATAATTAGATGAAAAATAGTAATTTTATTTCATAGCACCCTTAAAACTAATTTAAAATGTTGAGAGTTGATAATATTGTTTAACAATAATAATTTATGAGGAAATTATCTACGGATCTTAGTCCATTTTAAATACAAGGTAATAATTAGTATAGTCCTTCGTTTGGAGCTAACATAACATTCCCATTATAGAATTTATCTTCTTCTTAATTCCCTTAAAGTATGATAAATGTAGAAAATATGAGATAAAATATTGAAAATGAAAAATTTTATGTTTAATAGAAATTTTAAGATGAGCTAAAGTTGAGCCTAGAAAAATTAATTTAATAAAAAGAACTTAATCCATAAATTGATACTCACTCCTTTTAAACAGTTTAATCTCCTCATTAACAAGATTATCTACCTTGTGAGAGTGAATCTATTTAAATTTGTAATGATTATGAAAACAAATTTAATTCAGAGAAAAAGAAAACTAAAGAATCAAATTAAAAGTCAGTTGAAAAAAATACTTTTGATAAAATAGAGGAATGCGAATCTCCTATACAACTTGCTACCTTAAAAGTTAATTAATCTAAAAGAAGTATTTAAAGTCCCACACAACCTCAAGTTTCAGATTTTTCTGCTTAGAAATCTCCTACAAACTCCATTGGACTTTCTGAAGAAGAGAAATTATGGAACAAAATGTCGCCAGAAGCTAGAAAAGCTTTAATTAAAATAAATATAGATAAATAATGTGATAAAATGATTTTAGAAATTTAGAAAGAAAAAGAACATAGAATAGAAAAATAATGTGACAAGATGATAAAACAAATTTAGAAAGAAAAAGAAATCAGAATAAGCTAATAAAATTAATGTAGTGATGGAATTCCATTTAAATAAAACCTTGAAGAAAACATAAAAATCGAAAATCAACTTGATTTGCAAGACTCTGAAGATAAAATTAAGAGAGCTGGTCATAGAAGCTAATTGTCTGTTGAGAAATAATAGCCCACTTACTCTAATGAAAAATAATAACCCTCTCCTGTAAATTAATAGTGCATCTTAGTTGATAATACTCCTTAAAGCTGTTTGCCAATAGTGAGTAATTTTACATTACAATGCTAAAACTAAATTTTAAAAGTAGAAAACCTTCTAAAGGACCAAACCATAAAAGAAAATTCCATATTGTTACATAAAAGCCAAATGGAAAAAGATATTTTAATTGAAAGAAAATCTTTGAAACTGTAGGATATAGAAAATAAAGATGAATAAAATATTACTGATCCTCAATTTACTTTTTCCAACACAAAAGAGAATGATTGGTCATATTCAGGCAACAAAATTAAAAGAGAATTTGATTTTTCTCCAGAAAAATAAAACTAGTTAAATAACAACAATCCAGAATTTAATAATAATGAATTTAAAATTGATGATAAACTTTAAACTGAAGATAACCACAAATAAGATTCAAATGTTTATAACTTTGAAAATTAATCTTAAGAAAATAATTAAATTTAATAAACTTATAATAATTATCAAGACATTTATTCACATCAAAAATAGAATAAAATTATAAACATTTAGCAAGTTAAGCTTGAACAAAAAATTGAAAATTAAAATGATGAGAATGATAATAATTAAAAGCAAAATAACAGGTCCTCAGAAAAAGAATAGAAATTAATTAAATCAGATAAAAAACTTAATGATTCTTAAAATAAAAAAATAAACTAAGTAGATAAAGCAAAAAAAGAAAGCAATAAAAAAAGATCAATTTCTCCTAGTAGCAGCAATAACAGTGTTTAAGGCTTTAATCAAAGTTTTAATACCAAATAAACTGTTGACAAATCTTCACCTAATTAATAATAATTAGATAAAAAAACTAATACTGGATAAAGTGAAACATAATAAACCAAAGCGAAGGTTTCATTAAAAACGTTAAACATTGAATAATTAGAAAAAGAGGCTGAAATAATTCAAAAATAAATTAGTTCAGAGCTATTTTTTACCCCAAAAAATAATTTAGAAGTAATTTAAATTTTAAACTAATAAAAAAATATTTATTTATTTTTTGCTTTATTTTTTATAATAGGGTTAGCATTTTGGTTTGTTCTATGAAACAAGAAAGGAAAAGAAGTTAAGAACTTTACAAGAAAACATATAAAAAAATGTTGAAAAGATTCTACCTAACGCTAGAGACTCCGAGCTGAAAAAGATATGCTAATCAATTTATGAAAGTGTCTTTAGCTTGCTAAGAGAGAAGTATAATATCGAAGTGAGTTCCTCTTCTAAATCTAACGATAACTCTCTGTCTTAAAATTTGGTTTCATGCAATAATATAGCATCTCAAAGGGGTACTTCAAATCTTAATACAAATGTAGCAGGTGTAAAGTAAATAGAAAAAAGCTCAGAAAAAATAAATTAAAATAAATAAGATTTAGATTTCAAAGATATTTGCATTTCACCGATCAATAAGTTATCTAATAAAATAACACAGTCTAATGAAAAAAGAGAAAAGTGCTTGAGCTATTATACCAGTTATTCTCAAAAAGATGAAGAAATCATTTCAAAATCCTAAAAAATGTTGGATTCGAAATATAGCTCACATGAAAAGAAAGAAATAAATAATTACGGCAGCAATTTAATAATTCCTTCTGTCTTTGATGAATAGATAATATTCAGAAAAAGTTAGCAGCTAGAAGAATTTAAATAGCTACTTTTATCTTAAGATTTTGAAGAATTGAGTGGTAATTTATTTAATGTCTAAAAATAGGCAGATGGTGATCAATAGTTTTTGGAGAATCTTGATGGGGGTTTTATTGTATAAAATTCTTTTGATTCTTAAAAGAATGATACTTTTATTTAATACGAAACTGAGCTTAACAACTAAAATTCTAGTTAATAATAGACTGCATAAATTGCATCACCTCGTAATAACTAAAAAATATAGCCTTGTTTATCTCCTATTAGAGAAATAGAAAGCACAAATGATCAAATTCATCAATCAAACTTTGGTAAGTATACAAATAATGACTATGCAAACACTTCTGGAGATGAAAGATTTGTAAGCAATTAAAATAATTTTGACAGCTAAAAGAGTAGATCTATATTTAAGACTTAAAAAGGAATAGAAGAATAAACTGAAGAGGAAGAGGAGTATACCTAATAAAAAGAAAAGAATAACTAATAGACTTTCAATCGTATTGATGAAGCTAATCAAGTTAACAAGTGCAAAAATGAACATTTAGGTTATTTATAAAACAAGGTACATTCCTGTGAAAATTAGAATGTAGCCTATGAAAAATTGTGCGAAGAAGACTAAAATATAGAATAATTAATCAAAAGAGAGGATTAGGAAAAAAACAGATAAGCTTATTATGAAAATAATAAACAAAAAAATTATATATTCGTTCCACTTTGTTAGCAATAAGATAGCTAAATACTTAGTTCTATCTCTCCTACACATTAGCATAGCTCATAGTAAAACAGTTTGAATAACTCAAGAAAAGTAAGTACTCACCAATTTGGCAAAGTTTTAAATACTAATGAGGATTGGGAATAACTTTTAAATATTTCAAAAGCTTTAAATAAATCTAACTTGACAAGCAAAATTCATCTAAGAAAAAGCAGTTTACAAAATTTGGCAGCATATACACCTTTAACTTCTGCTTAAAATACTCAAAGGATAGTAGGATCATCATAAAAGCCTATTCAGAAAAAATAAGAAAATTAGATAAAAAAATAAGAAAAACCATAATAGTAATAAAATAAAAGCTAAAATTTTGCATAAGAATACTTAAAAAAGTGCTAAAGCACAAAAAGATAGCAAGAAGAATAACAACTAAAAAGAATAAAAAAGACGCTGATAGCAAACTTTAAGTATGGTAAAACTTTTAATATTAACAATTAAGAATAAAAAGAAAATAAACTATTAAAATAATCATCTGCAATAAATTAATTCTCTTAAATTTGATTTTTATAAATTAATTTTTATGATAAAAACTTCTAACTGAATATTTGTTTGTAATTTTTTTAAAATAACTACTTATTCATTCTACATCCAAGATTGATTGTAATGTTAAAAATTTCTAATTGAATATTTGTTTGTAATTTTTTTAAAATATCTACTTATTCATTCTGTATCCAAGATAAATTTATATTTTTAAATAAATATAAAAAATAAAATTGATTGCTGATAAAATAATTTAATATGTTTGATATCTATTTTTTTCAACGTTTTTAAAACTTTAATTGTATTTTAAACAACATCAGATTTTTTTAAAAAGCTTAGTTAATTAGCTAGTTAGTTACCTTGTTTGTTTGCCTGTTTGCTTAGCTCTGCTACTATTTTTTACATGTCTTTAAATAATTATGATAATCTTTTCTAAGAATATAAAGTAGATCAGGAAATGTTAAACAAGAAAAAAATTTTTAAAAAAGTTTGAAAGATATTAACAATTAAATTTATTAAAATAAAATAAAATCTACATCTGTCTGTCTGTCTGAAAAATCAAATAAATGAGCAATTAAAAAGGAGAAATACCAGAATCAATTCTAAATGATTATTTATAAATGGGGCTAAATGAATAGCTTCTCAGATTAGCTTATAGAAACTGTAAAGGCTAAGTTAATTCCCTTTTAGATGAGTATCAGCACCTATTAGCCAGCAATAATTAGGTATTAAACGAATAGCAAAATAAAATTAGCAATTTAACAGATAATATGGATGAAGAAGTTTAACTGAATTAAGCTATCTTAGCTTCTTAACAAGAAGCAAAAGAAAAAAATATTAGCTTTGAACCTCTTAATCCTGAATAAAGAATTAGAAAGGAAGGAATACCAGTTGGCTTGAAGAATTTAGGAAATACTTGCTACATAAATCCTCTCTTGCAATCATATTTTTATAACGCTGAATTCTGCTATGCCATCATTAATTTCCAAAAACCTAGTGAAGAAGAAATTTAAAAGCGCCTCAAAAATGACTCTACTTAAAGTAATTCATCTGACGAATAATTTTAAAAAGATAGCACAGAATAAAACATACTTTTAAAGAGAGTGAAGGCATCTGTCGAGTTAGTGTGTGCATTACAAGAGTTATATATATTACTAGTAGGAAGTGACAAAAAGTATATTGATCCTTCTAAGGTAATTAAAAATATAGTAGACGAGCAAGGTAATTAAATATAAATAGGTGATTAGTAAGACATAGGTGAATTCAATCTTACTTTTTTAGCAAGAATTGATGAAGGTCTTAGCTACTCTAAAAAATCATTTAATAAAGGAGCTATGGAAGAAGAATTAGTTCACAGTCTAATGAGAGCTTCTTCTACTAGCATATCCTAAGGTGAGTAAGAATTGTAAAGAAGCATTTCTATTTCTATGTCAGACACTAGTGTAGTTAATTCAAACTTTTTTGGAAAAGCTTCTATCCACATGAGCTATCCATTAGGTGAGGAAACTTTTGAAAAATAAGAAGAGGAGTTGTTTAACATCATTTTCTTAGATATCAAGCACAAAGAACTTTATTATGCTTTAGATGAATACGTAGTTAATCATATCGACGAGTTTAAGAATGACAAAGGTGATATAGTTCAAGCTTAAAAATACAACTGGATAAAAAGAGCACCTAAGACCCTTTTCTTTTAACTTCAGCGTGTCGTATTTGATAAAGAAAAAGGATGCTTAAAAAAACTAAATGATAGTTTCAACTTTGAGAATTAAATCTACTTAGAGCGTTTTACTGAAGAAAGAAGCAAGGATTACTTAAGAATTCGTGAGTAGGTAAACAAATTAATATATGAAAAATAGCAATATGAATTAGCTCTTAACAACATTAACCAATACTCAAATCATCTTTCATAGAATTAAACTAAATCTAATGCAAAGCCAGAAGAAAATAAAGATCAACAAAGCAACTTAGGACTTCTGAGTGCTTTAGAAAGTACTATTTTATTCCTTTAAACTAATAGCAAAAAGGTTGATGTCAATCCATTAGTAGATCCTTCATATTTTGGAGATAATTCCAAAGAAAACCTTTAAATTGTTAAAGCCCTTGAATAATATACTAGCAAGGTAAAGTAAAGAATCCAAGAGCTGCAAGAAAAAATCAGATAACTAGAAAATAAGATTAATGAGTCATACAATGGATTTAAAAAAGAAAAGTATTTGCTCTAGAGCGTTATCATTCATGACGGATAAGCTGATAGTGGTCATTACTACGCATTCATTAAAGATCACTCTACCAAGAAGTGGTGGCGTTATAATGATATACAAGTAAGTGAGGAAACAGAAGAAAATGTTTTCAAAGAAGCTCTAGGAGGATGGGGTAAGGCCAGTGCATACAGTTTAATCTATGTGAAAGAGGAAGTTGCTATTCCACCTTAAGCAAAAGAAAAACCTATTCGCTTGCATTTAGCTTCAAATACAGTCAATTAACTGTCAGCATCTTAGGTTAGAACAGTAGATTACTATACTTCTATTATTCCTGAAGATCTTTTGAATAATTTGTGTGTAGAAAACTTGAAATTCTAAGAAGAAATTGAAGAGTATAAAGCAAGCAATACTTCTCGTTAGATTATAGATATGTATACTCGCCGTTTCGAGCTTAACAATGAATGTGCTCGCAAAGGAGACGAAGCCCGTAAGAAAGTTAAAGGCTCTCCACCTCCATTCATCTAATTCTGCGTCTATCTAAAGCTACATCCTAAAAATGACAAGGGCTAATTTGATGATCTGATAAAATGGCTTATTCTTGATAGTTGTGTCAGAGAACACTACAAAAATGCCTAACACTTAAATAATTTAAGTGACAAAAAGCTAGAAGATAAGCTTAAATAATAAATAGCCTCTCTTGGTAATTTCAAGGCACCTAAAAGTATAAAAATATCTGCAGAAAATTCTGACACAATAGAATAAATCAATTCTGAATTTATCAAGTAGCTTAATAATGCAGAAGCTACTATATTCGCAATGTAAGCTGCTTTGAAGTTTGATTGGATATCATCGCTAGCAGCTTTTGATTATTTAATTGATCTTAACTTTTTCTCTGACTAAAATAAGTAGGCTTAATTCAAAGATGATTATTTCTTTAAGATTTCTCGTGATACTAAGCTAATCATTCTTATAGCTATGCTCCATTACTATGAACTTAAGGTACCTTTTTGCACTAAAGAAGATAGCCAAGAGATTTTGAATGGAATTTAAGTATTTATTGGATTCTACAAAAAATAAAATAAGCCAGATCAGAAGACCTAAGTTACATTTAGTCTTTGGATAGATGACATCTCTCAATTAGCCAGTGACCAAAATTTGCAACAAGAAATCAAAAAAATTAACTCTGAATACATGTCTGCTAGTAACAACAACCGTTATATTTAAGGTGAAGAACCATTAAAGAATATACCTACTGAACTTAAAGAGCGTTTAGAAAAACTTACATCAGAGGGTGATATGTATTATTGGAATGCAAATAAAAAGGAAGACTATTTGTTTAATGAATTAATTTCAAACTTTGATAAAATAAAAGCTCATTTTGATACCTACATCAAATTTATTTAAAAAATCCGTGCCTCCTAAACCCCATTATTCAAGCAAGACAGACTCTTCAGTACTAATGTCTAATCATACAACATAAAATGAAAATTCAATTATTTAAATTAAACATTTTGATTGTAGAAAGTGTGCTGATATTTCTTTAATTTAAATTTAAACATCTTAAAAAATATTATAATTTTCTTTATTTTATATCGTTATACACTCAAAAGGTCAACATTTTTAATAATTTTCATAAATTCATCAAATTCCATAGCTTAATTACTCAATCCATACATTTAAAACATATAGATAAAAGAAAAGATTTTTTATTTCTTTATTTTTAATTTAAAATGTTTAAATAATTTTGAATTTTATTTTATTTTATAAGATTACTCTTTCAATCAGTTTGTTTCTATGTTTTGACAAACTATAATTTATAAATTCCATTGCAAAATAAGTTTATTAATATTTTTAAAGTATTTGTTCAAAAATTTTTTAAATAAATTCTATTTTAGTTTGAAAATATTTGATTCTAAGAAAATTAGTAAGATTTTTTTAAAAAGGACCAATAATCTCTTTAATTTATTTTAAGAATGGAGTTAAATAATAAAAAATATAAATTTTGAAGTGTTTTTACATGATATACATAGTAAGAGTTTTAGAAAAAATTAGCGTAGTGTTATGGTAAAAACACTAGTGAAAACCTTCTTTATTAAAAAAATGATTATCCCTAGCTTTTAAAATAAAATTAAAATAGTAATTATTGTTTAATAAAAAAATATAAGCCTCTATCAGTATATTTATTAAATTAATGGTTATTTAATAAATAAAAGTTTTTCATTAAAATAAAAGTAGAAGTATTAAGTAAGAACCTCATTTAATAATTGGAAATACAAAATATTTTATATTACACAAAATAAAATAAGACTCTCTACTTAAATACTAAGCTTAGAAGTAAATTCTATTTGGAATTCAATATATAAATCCACATTATCACTTCTTTTTGCTTGAATTATTCTTTAAATTAGAGAGATAGTTTATATCTATTATTAATAATTATAAATCTTAATTTTATATAAAAGCATCTTATATAGGTCAGGCATATGCTTCCTTAGTCTATTCTAGATCATATCATTAACAATACTAATATATCTAAAGTTAGAGCTATCAGCAACTCCTTTCAAAAGTTAAATAGTAAATCCTAATGTAGCTAATCATTTAATAAAGAAGATAACTGTGATGTCCCAAACAATAAAGAGTCTTAAATAGATGATCAAAACCCAGAAATATTATTTAAGGAAAACGTGTCTTTGTAAAACTAAGAAGATGCATTAGTAAATTGTGATTTAAAATAAATCAATATTTTTATTTCTTATAAAAACATAAAAGATGGTTGTATCAATACTGAGAAAGCAAATAAAAAATAAATTGGAAATAACCTTTGTAAAAAAAGCTCTAGAAAACTTGGATATATGGAAAAATTAAGTTAATTTATTTAATCAAGGTAGCAGCTTTAATAATTCTATATTCTCTCATATGAAAGTTTAATATTGCTAAAAGGGAGAAGTTATCTTCAATTATGGTATTTGATTTTCAATAAACTAAAAACATTTTAATTCCATCTTTTAATAAAAGGTGACTAAGGATCAATATATTATATAGTTGCCTAAGGTATAAATAATTCAATTTGTTTCTATTTTTAAATTAAATGCATATTTTTATATTTGAAGGCTCCTTCAGTTGTCTAATACCTAAATCTATGAAATAACAAAAGCAAACAGATGATTAGCTGAATTAAGAATAAAGATAGAATATGTTAAAGAATATGTCTGTTGTTTAAGAGAAGTCTAAAGAAATTGTGGTTAATCCATTAGAAGAACTTATACCAATTAGCCAATATGTAAAACCTTCCGAAAAATAAAAAGTTATTTAGGAAGAAACTATCAGTGAATTCCACAGCCTTTCAAAAAAAAAAATTATTTAGGATTTGTAAATAAAGTTTAAAAATTATTTTTATTTATTTATTTATCTAAATTAAAAAAGTAAATAAGAAAATATTGATGAAGATAAAATTTATAAACAAAATTTTCCAAGTTTCACAAAAATTAAAGTTTACACTCCAGGAGAGTCTTTTGGAGAAATAGCTTTACTCACTATGCAAAAAGAGTAATTTAACTTAATTACTTTTAAATAGCAGTATTTTTAAAATTTATTTAAAACTGTAGAAGAAAAGCAACTATAATTTCTAGAGAAGATGGTATCCTAATTACATTGGATAAATCTAAGTTTGATAAAATATTAAACATTTTTAAAGAGCTTAAAATAAGAAATAGTCTCGATTTTTTGCATAGATTTTCATTTTTAAATGAGCTAGGCCCAACTAAGCTTTTAAGTTTACTTCATTGTACAGAAATAATTAAATTTTAAAAATCTAACATAATATACAAAGAAGGTGATAAAGCAGAGAATATCTTTTTTATTAGATAAGGAGTTATAATGCTAACAAAATTAGGTAAACAAACATTTTTATATTAATGAATGAATCAATTTTTAAAATGTTTTTCAAAAGGTGAAATCATTGATGACAAATTGGTAGAACAAAGGCAGCAAGAAATAGATGAAAACTAATCTTTAGATTTAAATAAGGTAAAAAAAAATCAAGCAATTTCTTAATCTTAAATCAGAGTACAGTTAGTAGTTTATAAGGAAAACAGTTTTTTTGGTGAAGATGAAATAATGTAAGATTTAGCTATGAGAAATACAAAAGCTGAAGTAAGTTCGTTTGAAGCCGAAATTTATATAATTTCTAAATAAGTAATTTTTTTTCCTTTTATTTATTTTAAAAATAAAATAATTAATAGTTGAAAAATTAACTATTTTTTTATATTTTAAGTAAAATTCGAATAATTAAGATTTTTAAAATGTTATTTTTAAATAAAAAGAGATTATTTGACTATCTTAAGGGCTCGAATGTATATAATATCTTAGTATAGGAATACGAAGTAAAACAAAAATGGAGAATATAGCAGTATAAAAATATAATAAATATGAAATAAAATACAATAAATTAGTATAATATTAAGATGAAATAAATACTTGGTGAGGAATACAGATAAGCTTACATTAATAGGATAAACTCTTAATTGTTATAAACTGAGCTTAATAAAAGTAAAGCTCCTACTTCTTCACAAAAATTCTAAAAGCCACTTGTAAATAACTTCATTAAAGAAATAAATTTACAAAAAAAGCAATCTTCAGTCTTAAATAAAAGCTAAAGTTCCTCATAAGAGTAATTAATTTATTTCTTTTTTGAAAAATTCAAAATTTTCCACCTTAAATTCTCTAAATAACAGATTATTTATAAATTAATTCTTTTTAGATCAATACTTGAATATTTATATTTACTAATTCAGAAAATTTGAAAAAATTTTTTAATTTTAAAAAGAGAATTTGAGGTAGATTTTATTGCAAATATTAAGAAATAAAAAAAATTCAACATTTAAAGAAATTTATTGGCTATTTTAATTTTATAATAAAATATTTATTTTTCAATTAATTGTATCAAAAGAGAAAATTAAGTAGAAGAGATTTTGAATTAGAAAGCGGAATAATTGGAAACACCCAATTCATCTATTATTGCTAAGCAAAATAAATAAGAATAATAAAATGAAAATAAAAAAGATTTTATACAAATAGACGAATATTTTCAAAGTTAAGATACAGAAAATATTTCTTCTCCCCTTCACTAAACATTTCGTATTCCTCCTGAACTTTCTGAATATTCATTAAACTAAATATTAGAGGAAAGGTTTTAACATAAATAAATGGTATTAAATTAATCAGAAAAGAAGGGAAAGCCATCTAACTTCTTTATTATTATTGATCCTCACTAAAGGAAATAGCAAGATTTAGATATATTTAAACTAAAAAAAGAAAAGACAAAACCTTTTTTTTAAAAATAATTTTAAAAAAAGAGGTTATAAAATTTAGAATAAAATAATAAGTCTCACTAATCAGACAAAAAGCTTTTTGCAGAGTAAATAGAAGATTTTTCACAGATTTTTAATATGTCAAGGTAAGAGAGCCAAAATGCTTAATAAAATATTGACTAAGCTAAAAATAACTTTTTTGAAATTAGCAATGACGAAAAATAAAATTTTACATCAATGTCGCTTGATTGTAAATAATCATCAAATAAACAGAAAAGTAATACTTCTTCTAATGATGAAATCAAATTGCATAGATAATGTTAGGGCTAGAGCAGCTATTCGTAATAAATCTAATAAGATATTCATTTTTAAACATAAAATAAAGAGTAGTAAGATCATATTTAATTATAATAACCTTAACAACATGTAGATTAGCTTTAATTATAAAACTAAACATAAATTTAGGGTAAGGTCTAATAAAATATGAATAGCTTTAAGTAGAGCCATCGTAAAATTTTTAGCGATTCATAATTCTTTAACAAAACGAATAATTAATTTAATTAATAATAAAATCTTAACAATTAAAAGCAAAATTTTATCAATCCTAAAATTTATTAACAAAATAATTAATAGCCATTTTCATAAAATTAATAAAACTAGGAGTCTTATGTAAATTTATTTAGCTCTCGAACCTACAAGCAATATTCACAATCTAATTTTAACAGTATTGTAAATGATTAATTGTTATTTTCATAGAGATAATAAAAATCCTAATTATCATTACAAATGGAATAGTTTAATAATCACTAATAACTGTTGATGTTTAATAACTTAGATGTTAAGCCTGTGAATATATATAAGAAGCCATTTACTCCCAAAAGAAACTGTAAAAGCTAATAATCATCAAATGTAAGGAGCTCATTAAATGAATAGTCACCAAAAATATAGCATATAAGTTATGGTTCACCAAGATACTCTTTATTCAGCAATTCAGTTGCATCTAGTCCTAAATAAGTCTAAATTTTTGAATAGCTTCAAATATCCTCATCTTAAACAAAATTAGATGTAGATTTTATTTAGGAGAACAAGCCCTCAAATGATATTATGCAAAAAATAAAAACATTAGAAAAAGAAGTAAAATACATAAACCTTAAAAAAATTTTAAAAAATATTGAAAGCTCAAAAACTTTTAAGTAAGTTAATACAAATCACCTAACAAATAGCAATAAAAAGCAAATATAATTCTTAAAATAAAAATTTTAAGATTTTAATTAAATCTAATCAACTACAGCTAATTAATAAAATGCTTTATATTAATCATCAAAAAATTATGAGCTTAAAAGCAAAATAGAATTATCCTCAAAATTACCAAAGCGTTACTCTACCAGTCCAAACTAAAATAGCTGTAATTATTTACAGCCTGCTGATTTCTTAATTACTTCATAAATGTAAGTTCATAAATTTAAGAAGGGCTAACAGAGTTCATGAAAAATAATTTTTTCTGTAAGATATGAGCAGATAATACACCATCCCTTTATTTAAAGTAGAAATTTATAAATTCAATTTGAATTAAAATTAAGGTTTTAATTAAAGAATAATTTTTGAAATTTTATTTTAACCTGTTTTTAAAAAACATTTAATAATTTTTATATTATAAAAAAGTAAATTTAGTTTATCTTAATTTTACTTATTAATATAAAATGTTAAATGAATGTATATCTTCTTATTTTTAAAATGTTCTTTTTATATTATTTGTTTGTTCGTTCGTTCAAAAGAAATAATAAAATTAATTTGTTTGCTTAATACTGAGTAAAGGATGTTTTTATTTAGCATACCATTCGATTTATTATATTTTTTAAATTATTAAATGAATGGTAAGTATTGAGAGATACAACTGCGATGATTAGCAAGACCATATTAAATATATTTAATTATTCAATATCTCTAAATACTAATTAAATTTATTGCATACAAATTATTATTACTACAAATTAAAGTAATAAATTTCATAAAAAATAAAAAAGAAACATAAAATCACAATAATTTGTATTCCTGATTGAACAGTATTTGTTTTATTTATAACAAATAACCAATTTATTGAATAGCTAAAATAAATAATTAAATAGATGTTCATTACTACTTAGCCATTCATATTAGATGTCGATTATAAGGATCCAAATTAAGTAGAAATTTTAAGGTAATAGATATTTTTACAAATATGTATAAACTTAAATAATTTATATAATTTATTTTTAGGTAATAGCTGGCTTATTAATATGAAAATTACTGCTATGGATCAAAAAAAATATCTTAGAATACTAAGAAATTAACTAAGCAAACTTAAAATTCCAATATGAATGCAAAGCAGGAATTTAATTTGGATTAGAGTAGTTAAAAAAGAATAATAGGGAAAGAAATATAAAACTCAATGTAAAATGATTAAATTAATGAAGCAATTAACCACCACCAAACGTTATAATCTAAAAATAAAAATGGTGAAGTAAATCATTACTAAATAGAAATTTAAAAAAGTAAACCTTATATATTTTTTTAAAAATGCATTCAAAATGAAATTAATTTGTAAATTATATAGATTCATCAGCTAAAAAAAAGAGAAGTCCTTCTCCTACACTTAATCAAAGTTAGACTATTCCTATAAACATATCATAGAAATAGTATTAAAATTCTGTTTATTTATCTCCTCTTTTACAAAATTGTATCGAAGATGAAATTGTTTCTTAAGAGCAATAAAGATATTCTTCTGTTCCTTCAAAAAAATATTTTGAAGTGTGTGACTACAGTAAGGTAAATAAATAAATACTTACAAAATTATAAATTTTCTATAACGTTAAATTAAATTTGATGTATTTAGGATAAGCTTTAAAAAATTTATGGCATTACTGGAAATTTTGAAATGAGTAAACTTTATGAGAGAAAAGAGTCTCCCAAAAGGAATTTAAGCCAAATAAGTTACTAAGTTAGTACAGCTGAAAAAAATTAAAATTAATTAAGCTAACTATATGATGTTGAAATAAAGTAAACTGATAAAAAAAATGCAGAGAAAAATGCATCATTTTTAATAGCTTCTAATGTAACATCAATAAACTAAGTCTCCCATGAAAAGCTAAATTCCTAACACTAATCGCTAACTGCTCCACCAAAAACATAAAATAATTCATAGAGAAATAGTATTTCTATTCAGCTAGAAAAACCGAAGCTCAATTCACAAAAGAACTCTCAAGAAGATTTATAAGAAGTAAAAAAAAAAATTGATTATACTGAGCAGTATGATACAGGAAAGGGAAGAAATAGTGTACAAGTTATGAAACCTAATAATATATCTTCCTATAGTTCTAATACTTATTGGTCTGTTTCTCAGAAAAGAAATAGCACTGGCTTCATCAGCTAAGTGTAGACAATAAAAAATTCAAACGAAGATAATTTTTAATTTACAACTGACTAAAGACATACCCACCAGTAAATAAAAAATTCTGGTATTTATTTAAGAAATAAACCTGAGTAAAAAATTTATTTAATTTATCTAAATAATCTAATCAAAACATTTTTTGAACAAAAGGTATTTAAGCGACCCAAGGTATAAGTTAATAGAGAATCTTAATAAAGTTAGCTAAACTGTTAACATTTAAAATATTAACAACCATTCTGTTAGATAAGATAAGAAAAAAAAATCAGATATGTCCAGAGTTATTCCCTATTTTCATAATTTCATAGACAGTTACAAGGAATCTTTTTATCATCCTTAGACGAGTTTTGAAAATAAATATAAAATTTACAATCCAAGGAAGTCTTAAGAGTTATAAAAGCTTCCCCATAATGATTATTCTAAATAATCCTTCACTACTCCAAGAAATGCAAATAAAATAAATTTAAATCAAAAAGATGAAATAAATCCACTTGTAACTCCTTTTTGTGAAACAAGTTATGTAGATGAAGACTTATGCAAAATAAAATATGCCAAAAAATTAAACTAAATAAGTTAGGAAACATAAGAGAATCATGATGATGACGATGATTAGTAAATTTATCAAGGTAGCAAGAACAGATATAATTGTCTATATTTAAATAGAAATTTGAGAGTAAGAATATCTAGGAATTAATCACCAAATAGAAAGAAAAATAATTTAGTCAATTAGTCTGTAGACAGTAGCTTAAACTCTAAAAAAAACTCTATTCAATTTGAGGACCCCAGAAAAGAATATAGAAATAAATAGAAAAGATTAGAATAAATGTTAAATGTAGCATCAAATAATTAGCAGATTTAATAATAGTAAGAAAATAATTCTTCAGATAGATATACTCCTTCTCAAGACTCTGTTTATCTCAAAAAATCAAGAAATTACAGTACACCTTACAGAAATAGCTACTTACCTTAAAATTACTAACAAAACTAGACAAACGATTATACTCTGAATGCATTTGTATTTAAAAATTCATCTAATACTTCATAAAAATGACAAACAAATAAATAGATATAAACAAGCAAATAAATAAATAAATAAATAAATAAAAATATAATTATTTTGATTGAACCTATCCTCTACTAAATCTTATTCTAAATATAACCAAAATTAAATTAATTTTAAATCTTAATACAATTAGTAAGTATGTAATTTACTTATATTTGTAGAAATACATTATATATCAATGTCTAATTAATTAAATATGGCATGCTAATTTTTCAAGCAGTAATTAAAAAGGAGAATATATAATAATTATTGAATAAAAAATATTTTATACTTTATATTTTCTTATTCTTCTTGTTTAATAAGAAAATGAATTTGATGCTTTAATTTTTACATTATTTTTACTATTTATAGCATATCTTTTTCATAAAATTTTATAAATTAATTATTTAGTCATTTTAATTTAATTTTTGCACAAGCAGTAATTTAATAAGTTATTGAATATAAACGAAATTTTCTAACCATTCCTTAATTTAATTGAAAGAAAGAATTTTTTTATTTATTTAAAGTAAGAAAAATTTATAACGCTTTTGATTAAATATGGCATGTGAAAGTAAAATGTAAAAGAAAAATAACATGCTAATTCGTAATAAAAATAATGTGAGGTCTATTACTCCTTGCCTTGTCCGTAAAGATGAGTTATCGTCTTTTGAAATTTACCTTTAAAAGATTCAGACTCCTTCTTAATAAAATCAATATCAAAATTAGAATGAACCCCAAACAAGATCATAAAATAAGATCTACTAGGAATTAGATTAGGGTTAAGGAGATTAACTATGTGCATAGAATTTACTACTTTAAGCTCAAGGAATAGTTAGTAAAGATAAGACTCATTTGAGCACTCCAGCTTAAGCAGAAAACATTCTTTTGATGTATCAAGATATATTTAAAAATGAAAACAATAGATTTAGAAGTTTGACTCCTAATAATAGATGGTCTAAGCAAAAAGGTATGATAAGATCAAGAAACGAAAACTAATATATAATAAATTAACTGTAAAATAAAACAAATATTGCTAATTAAAATAAAGATTTATTAATAATGACTAACTATTGGGAAAAAAAGTAACAAGAAAGTTAGTAGAGCTAATATCATGATAACAATTAATCTAATTGCTCACCTCTTCCATCTATTCCTCTTTCAAGCTCTCCCATTAACTTAAATTAAGGAAGCCACTTTCTTTAGGATTCAAAGTCTAATTTATAAAAGTAAAACTACTTTACAAGTCCAAATAATTATAAAAGACAACAAGATAGTCCTTATAAAAAGGCACATACTCAATATCAAGTTAGCTAAGTGATAAATAAAAGTTAAGGATAACATTAAATTAATTTATAAGATTCTCCCCTTAAAAATGGTGGAGAGACTGCTCATTTTAACAATTATTTGCAAGATACAATTATGAAATACATTTAGCAACAACCTATTTAAGATAATTCAAATAATACTAATCCGACAGGAACTTACTTAAGAAACTCAATATTTGAAAATTCATTTTTAGCTGAAAAGTAAAAAAGTTTTTGTTAAAATAGTTTAAATTCTAAATAAAGATCTGTTACTCCATCACCATTATCTCACAATAAAAACAGTGAAATAGTAAATAACAATAAAACTAGAAGGTAACTGAAGTTGAACAAATCTAATATAAACTTCTTTGCTGAATAAAATATACCAATTCCCTCACCTAATTAGAATAAAAGAATACAAACATAACCAAATGAAAGTTTTGAAGATAATCTCTTTTTCATAAAATATAATGATGAAAATATATTTAATAATAATCAAAATAGCATTCATCCACCAAAAAATACTCCTTAATAAAATGTTAAAGTAATAAAAAAAACTTTATAGAATATAGTTTTACCTGATAATTAAGAAGGATTATCTCAGCTAGAATATTAAAATAGTAGCGAATAAATTTAATTTTCTATTAAAAATGTAAAAAACCACCTTAAAAACCCATCTGTGGTTTAGTTCACTCCAAAATCAACAATGCGAAAATATAGCAAAGTATAGAGATTTATTCCTATATAAAATAGAATTATAAGATATCCAGCATTTGTAAATATTATGCATAATACTACAAGGGACTAAACATTCTCAACACTAAAAAAAAATAAATTAATAAAAGAAGAAGAAATAAAAAATTTTATTTGAAAATAGCAAACAATAAATAACAGAGTTTATATTTATCATTATAATAAAAAACTAATTTATATAAATTTAGAGTTTCATATTAAGACCAATTCAGTTTAATATATCTTTTTTCATACATACATACTGAGAATTTGAGTGAGTGTTTATAAAATATAAAAATTTATCAAATTTCCTTTTCATTAATTAGCTTATTTAAAATAAATATCATTTTTAATCTAAAAGTGCTAAAATAATAGATCTGATTATTTGTCTTTTTTAAGTTATGTATTCAGGAGTAATAGTATCATTGTATATCTTATTATTTAATATGTTTTATCCTTAATTTTACTAAATAACTTAAACTATTAGCTCAGCTATTGAAATAGCATACATACCACAATCATATGAGTTTCTTTGTTTTGGGGTGTTTTCATTCACTTTAATATCTAAATTTTTATTCATATAAGATTCATTATTTGTGATAATTGCCATTAGTTTACTAGCTAAAATGGAAGCATTTTTTATAAAACCACTTGAGCTATCAAAATAAATAAACTATTTCTCATCAACTATGAACACGAGAAGAGCCCAGTGGTTTCCTGATCCTACTGACCAGCATTCAGTGCTGTCGTTAACTGGAGAGATTATATACTTATACTATTGTAAATTAATTCTTTTTACAGAATCTTTGAGATCTTCAAAATCATCCTCAAATAAAATAACTTGATAGCACGATGGATTCATAAGATAAATTTTTCCTTGCAAATCTTGGTATTATTCATTCATGATATACTCAAAGAAAAAATTAATTGCTTCAGAAGTAAGCCATTTATAATTTTGATAAGCATCTAAATCAACTTAGTTAACAGTTGAATCTTTATAGCACAGAGGAAATTTATTTAGTTTTTACATTTATCAGATTGAAAAAAGTTTTTAATTTTAATTAATTATAAAGATATTTTTAATTTACAATTTTTATAAATTATTTCTGATGAAATTTTAAGCAATTTGACAATATATCAAAAAAGATTAAAACAAATTTTTTTAAAATATTAATAAAAATATCAAGAAAACTTAACAAATATAAAAATTGATTATACTAGGTTTTGCAAATAAAATTATAAATTAATAATTTATGAAGAAATTAATAAAATTAATTTCATATTTTTAAGTGAAATGATAATTAATAATAAAGTTTTGGCATAAAGTCAATCTCATTCTAGGTACTTGCAATCCTAAAATACAAGTTATAAACCAGGATTTTTATTTAAGAAAGAAATGAGGTCTTCTTTGTAAATCTTAAATATTTTTCCTTTTCTAGTTGCAACAACTGAAGTAGTAAGAGGTGAACTATCAGTTATTGACTTAACTTCTCCTATAAATGCACCACTCTCTAGCTCATCTAACTCAGATTCAGGGCAATCTACAAATTCAAAATTACCTTTCTTTATAATAAAGGCAAATGTAGCCTTGTCTCCTACATTCCACATAACTTATCCTTTATCAACTTCTTCTTCTTTTAAAATCATTTCAAGTTATGTTTTTTATGACTATCCCATCTCATTAAATACAGAATTCCTTTTTAAATATAATTAATAAATCAATTTATTATTTTACTTCTTTTCAATCACCTTAAAATATAATTTACTTGTATAATACGTGCAGAGCCTTTGATTTACGAGCATCAGTTAAGTTCATAAACTTTCTGATGACAGGACCATCTCCACCACATCCATCACCAAAAATAAATTTGAAATCATGTTTTTCCAAAGTGAGTAAACGAAGTTCAGTGACTGCTTCTACACTAAAAAAATTAAAAAAAATTTGATAAAAATAGAGAGTTTTTAATAATGTTTTACTTTGCAATTCTTTTTCCTCCATGGCATATTAGAGCAGTTTCACCAAAATACTCTCCAGTTTGATAAAATCTTTCAAATTAATTATTTTTATTATTTGAGTAGACACGAGCAATGCCACTTTCAATTATATAGAACTTATTACCTATTGTATTTTCTTTTACTACAATTTATTTAGGGTAATACTACTCTTCTACTAAGGAATCCAATAGCCACTTAATGTTTTTGATTGTTAGGTTTTCAAATATGTCAATAGAAGAAAGAAGGTCAAGTCTTCTTAAAGTATCCATATTTTTATGAAATCCCGAAGGATGTAATATTAAAGTATTTTCTATACCGTGCTTAGCTATTTTAAGTCCACTGTCTTTAAGCAAATCTTTTTCTGCGATGTGAATGAGCATCATTTTATTTTTAATCTTTTAAATTTGTTAAAAAATTTAATTTTCAAATGATTGACATTTAATATATTTGTTACATGAATTGGGAGACTAGCGAGAACTGTTTAAGGTGTGTGAATAGGAGGAACACCAGCTTCGTGAATAATAATGTCATTGTTAAATTTGACATTAGCTAACTATTCATATCTTTTTTATCCAAATATCCCTTATCTTTTGAATTCTTTTAACCTATAAAAACGATTAATTGATTATTTTTTATATAAATCTAGTTTAAAATTACTATTCAGGATTATAGAATGTATCTGCAGAATAATAAATTGATCTCTGCTTAAGCTCGCATTCGAATCCGATGCAAGGTATAGTATGGAAAGCATAAAAAAATCTAAAGTTAGCTCCATATATATTAATAGAAGTACCTAAGGTAACTGGCCTAAAGATAAACAAATGCTTAAGTTCTTCAATACCCATTCCACTCAAGGCACTATATTTTCTCAAAAAGCTATTCATGATTGTTCTAGTTGTAATGACCTATTTAAATAAATTATTGTAGAATTCTTCCAGTAAAATTACAAGCAAAAATAAATATTAAAAATTAAAAATTTATTACTTCAACTCTACTATCATCAAGAAGTTTAGTGAAAGTTCCTGCATCATGATCAGCATGACAGTGGGTTATAATAATTCCATGAATTAGTACACTAGGGATACCCATTTTCTTTAAAAATTAAGAGCTGAATGGTGGGGGATCAACCATTATACCTTTACCATAGATCCAAATGATAAATCCAGTAGTGCTTCCCTTAGGATCAAAACCTTATATTTTAAAAAACAAAATAAGTTTTTTATTATTTTGAATTATATCTAGTATGTACCATGAGAAGAACCAAGGACAGTAACACCAAAATCAGGAGGAGTAATGGTTTCTGATTCATCGATAAACTCAGGATGAAAATTTTAAATATCCTAAATACATTTCATTTAACCAAGTTTGCTTGTCCAAACTGCGATCAGATTTTTAGTATGAGATTTAGTAGGACTTTCAAAAGTAACTCTATCATGATTAAATTAATTGCCTATTTATTATTCAGAATTTTTCATATTATTGATGTTATCAGTGCTGATAGTTCCAAAACTCTCAAATAAATTTCCTTCAGGTAGATTTACTTCATCTTTTACATTATCAAGGAGTTTTCCGTTTTCAAAAATAGAATAGCTCCCTTGTTCTTTTTTGATTTCTACAATATTTCCGTTTGAATCGTTTAATTTTGCTACACCATTTTCATCAAAAATAACAAAACTGATTAAAGTATCAACTTTTAAAGCCTCACTAGGGTTCATAGGATTCTACATTAATTATTTTAAATAATTATTAATAAATTTAGCTTAAAATGCATATGTTCAATAGTTACCTTTGCAAAAACTTTTAATTCTTTATTAAAATCTGGTATTCCATCTTTAGGATAAGAATAATAGTAATCCTCTTCAATGTGCTTTTAAATAAATTTTTAAATATTTAGTTAGGATTTTGCATAATAAATTTTTGTTAAAATATATAATTTTATCTTAGTTTAAATAGTAATATCAATCATTTATTTACTTCAAAACTAACAGGACCAAGAAGAGTCTCCTAAAATACTGTTCTTACTGCTCTTTCAGCTTCTTGAGTACAAATTAATGTGCATTTACGTTTTTTAACAAAAAAATTGAAATAGGCAGGGAATTCAAATTCAGCGACATTTACACCATTCTTTTTATCAAATCTCTTAGAAGGTATAATATAAAATGTAGGAACTTCCTATCCTAAATTTAATGAGTCTTTCACAGTTTCTGGAGGAATACCAAATTAAATAGGGCCAATCGCAGATTTTATAACACAGCCTCCTCTCATTAAATTGTATTTGTTATTTGTTTAAGCCTCTTAAATAATTTAAGATAGCGTTTTTTTGAGTTACATTTCTTCAATTTACTCATTAATTTCTGAAATTATTGATTTTCCATCATCTTCATTTTGCAAGCAACACGCCATTTCAAAGTTATTTTGTATATATAAACTATAGATTTATAATTAATTTTGAGTATTCCAATTAATTAAATTTTTATTTTATTTAAATTAAATATTGATCAACAATTTTGAATATTTCAATGATATACTTAGGATATAGAAAATTAAATGTTATCATCAATTGGATATAATTGTAAGAAATGTGATAGAATGGATCCAATTTAAGAATAAATATGAATTTAATGGCTATTACATAAATAAAAGATCAAATAGAAATATGTTTTATAAGGAAAAATGTAAATACTGAAAACTGTTTAATAAATATTTATCATAAACTTATTTATTCTATGGATATAATTATAAGAAATGTGATAGAATAGATCCAATTTATAAGAATATATATCAATTTTATGGCTATTATATCATTAAAAAATCAAATAGCAATATGTTTTATAAGTAAAAATATAAAAACTGAAAATTATTTAATAAATATTTATTATAAACTTATTTATTCTATGTATCATTGTAAAGAAAGACATTAATCATAGATGTTTATAAAAAATAAAAAAAGGATGAGCTTGATTGATTATTTAAAAAATTTTTGATTATCTTTCTAATATTAAAGTTAATTTTGCTAAGTATTTATGAGCAACCTAATTTTTTATTAATTAAAACAAAAAATAATTTTAAACGAAATAATTTTTGCTGTTTTTTATATTTTTTGTTCTCTTTTATGTTAAACAAATAAATTAATTTTATCAACAATAATTAAGAAATTAAGATATTTAGTTAGAGTGAAGAAGGAATTTTTATAATATTTTTTAATATATCGTTTATAAGTAATAAGACATTGAGTGTTGGGTAATAGACAAGATTATTTTAATAATAAATAATTATAATTCAAATAGTCAAATAAATAAATAACTTTGTTTGTATTTTAGATTGTCTGATAAAAAATTTATTTTTAATATATGAGTCAAATGTATTAGTAGTAGCATTAATAGCATTAACAAAATTTAAAATAAGTGACAATAGCCGGAAGTTCTGCGTTTCCAAAAGCACAGCCTCTTTCTCATAAAGATATTTTCTAGCAGTTTTATACAAATTACAAAAAATCTTATGACTATTCATACTACTCTAAATAGGATAGTAGTGAAATAAATAATGGAAATTTAGAAGATAATAAAAAAAAACTTTATGAAATTTGGGGCGAGATGCATAATGAATATTTAAAAACTCACCCTTAACAAAAAAGTATTTAATTCAGTGTATTTAAATATAAATTTATTTTATTTTAAATAATAAAGATGATGAAATTATTTCAAAGAATAAAATAAAATAAACTGATAAAAATTAAAAGCCTTAGGCCAAAAAATAGCACTAGAATACTCCAAACTAATAATAGAAAAAGTAAGGAGATTAGCAAGGTAAAATGGGTTTTTTTATTTTATAATTTACCAAATATTAACATCTTTTTTTTAATAAATTGATTTATTTATTATATAGCACAATAATAAACTGCTAAAGATAGACTAGAAGAAATTTAAAAAGCAAATCCAGTTGTGGCAAATAATTTAGTATATAACTAGCATCAGCAGTAATAGCATCATATATAGTAAGTATAATAATAACCATTAGAACATGATAAGATGGCTCACTAATATCCTTAATACTATTAATATCATTAATAACCTGCCCACTAAGTGATTTATAGTGTTCCACCAGCTAATCCTATTCCTGGAATACAGTAACCTGCATACTAGCAAACTCATCACTATATCCCTTAATAGTAAACTATTTATCAATAGCCGTAATAGTATTAAGCTTAGTACAGTTATATCCCTGCAGCTGCAGCTCCTATTCATAACCCTATCATTATTTCTAATCCCCCTCCAATGAATTATGCTGCCCCAGCTAAATTAGATATCAGCAATTATATTTCAAATAGTTTACAGAAATGATTTATAACTTAAAAAATATTTAATTAATGTACTAAATACTTCTTATAAATACATTTTATAAATTTTTTTGTTTTGATAAATTTCTTTAGTAATAAATAAATAAAATAAGCTATTTTTAGAAAACTTACAAATCCTTTATTTTTAAAATTTTCAAAGTAAAAAAAAATAAAATAAATTTCATTAACATTATTTAAAAAATGGGTGCTAACTTAAATTATTATTTACTAACTAAAAAGGATTTATCAATATATAATAATTTGTTATTTGAATAGGTTTGATAATTTGTAAGATTTATCCTCCAAATTAATTTTGAATGGTTTTATAAATGCATATTTGTCTGTATGTATAATTCTATTTATTTTTTTACATTGTCTTTGATTAAAAATATAAACAAATATATAAGGTAAGTTGTTAGATAGAAAAATTATATTCTAAGGATGGATTGCAGCTTGTGTATTTAAAAAATAAATGAATAATGAAATATATTAGTTAATTTTGAATAGGAAAATAGACTAGATTAAAAAATTCTATTCAGTTTGATAAGAAATTATAAAAAGGATAGCTTTCAATTTAATAGTTGAAAGAAATATAATATCAACGTTTATAAAATGTAATAATACGATAAATTCATTAAGAAAAAATTGTAGTTGAAACAGGGATACTTGTTTGAAAAATTTTAACTAATCACAAAATTGTAAAAATTTATAATTAAATTTTGATATATTATTCATAACAAAGTTTTTATTCATTCAAAAAGCAAATAATAAAATAGTAAATAAGAGCATTTCAAAATATAATTAGAAATTAAGATTATGAGTTAGTAGATATAAGTAGCAAGTGCACCAGTAACGAATCCATAGACTTAGACAGCAGCACCTATAACAGTAGCTAATTCTTAAGCTAAAGTCTAAACAACTGGTAATCATAATGCGTCTTCAATCCCTTGTCTACCGTCTCCAGTAATACCTGAAAAGTAGACTTTACCAGCTCTCAACCTGCCTCGCAAAAGTATGTTAATTTAAAATTATTTAAAATGAAATGTCTTCTAATATTGGACATTGCTCCTAAAATACTTATTTGAACAGTTTGAAAAGTAATAAAGATTTTAGCAAATACACAAATTTTATAATGGTTTTAATATTATTAAATTAATTTTAGAAAATTGTTTGCAAACTAAATTTTAAGTGAAACTATTTTTTAAAATAGGTTTGAATCTTTCGCTTCCATAAAACTACCACGCATATAAAAGTTAGTCAGAAAGCCCTTTTTCGATGAGGAATAAATCGCATACACAAAAAAACTATTTAAACAATAATTCAATCAAGTTAGATAAAATTGAAGAAAATTCATAAACGAATTTCAAAAATAAAATAGTTCATAGATAAAATCGGTCTATATCTCCAAGCATAAATGAAAAAGCATAAATAAAAAATACCTTAAATTTATCTAATTTAAGAAATCAAAACAAGAACTTAAGATAATAAACTAATGGCGAATCTAATTAAAAGAATCCGATTATTTTGAATGTAATACATAAAATATATTTTAATCTACTATAATTAATTTATTCTTTATATTTACAATCTATAGTAATCTCAAAGGCTTAAAATGCAAACTTTATAAGGAGACTCAAAGACTAGTTCATAAAAGCAAATGTCAAATACTTTAAAATCTTAACAATCCAATACTCCTTAGTCTCAATAATTGCAGAACTCTTCAGCGGTCAACCCTAGTTATTAAAAATAAAACCTTTTTACTAATTAAAAACTTCAAGGCTCTTAAGTAGTTCTTGTTCCTAAAAGCTAATAAACAGCTGTAAGCCCTTAGTAAAATGATACCAAATTAGCTGCTTTAGTCAAGAAACCTTTACCATAAATTCAACAATCCAACAGTTCATAAGGAAATAATAATGTTTCTTAACCTGATAACTTATTGAAGGTAAAATTTTTTATTATTTAACTTTAAATTATAAAATTCTATAATGAAAAAACCAAAATCTAAAAAAATAATTTTTTAATAAGTTTTATGTAGGTGGAGGAAACAATGGCGAAAGAATCAGAAAGCTGATGCTTAAAAGAGAAGGATGGGTAGAAACAAAAGATCCTACAACTATGTTTGTTAATTTCAAGTGGCAGCAAACTACAAGAGGTTATAAATATGAAAAATTAGTAGAAAACACAAGCTATAAATAAGTTGTTAATCATTTTGAATTTCACAAAGAGATTACAAACAAATAATATCTTGTAAAAAATCTGATGAGTTTTGCAGAAAGTATGAAATAAAATGTATTTGATATTACTCCGCTGACCTATGTGATTGACTTTAATGATGAAAACTGTGATCTCATTCTTAATAATTTCTTAAAGTTTTTTGAAATGAACATGCCAACTCATGTGAAAAAGAAACAATAAAATTTAATGCAGAAGCAAGCTGATATCAGAAAAATATTAAGATAATTCTAAACTCAGTACGGATAGCAAGGGACTGAAAAATTATTTAATTATTTTTACACTAGATGGTCTTTGCATGATACCTTTTTAGATAAAAATAATAGTACTTATATGTGGTTGCTTAAGCCAACATTTTTAAATAGAGGTAGAGGTATACATGTTTTCAACAGCTTAGCAAGTCTAGAAAAGCTGATGTCAGACTATACTGAAGGATTCGAAGAAAAATCTCTTAAAAAGCAAGAAAAAAAAGATGAAGGAGAGGAAAAAAATGAAATTCAAGAAATTCCTATAAAAGAATCTTAGAATAATAATAAGAAACTTTCACAATCATAACCAAATATTATTATCGAAAATTAAGTTAAAATTACTAATTAACCCGAAGAGTAGAATTTGCAAAAGATGGACAACAAATCTTCTTTATCATTACAAAAGTTACCATCACCTGAAAGAAAGGTTGAGGGTTTTGAAGAAACTAAAGAAAATGATGAAAAAGCAAACAATGAAATAAATTCAGCAAAACAATTAGATAAGGAAAATAATCCTAACCAGAGCCACTCACCAGATGTTAAAAAAATATCTTAAAACGGAAACAGTTTCCAAATAAAGAAAATAAAACCACTTCAAAATAACCGTGCCAACAATAACTCATAAAAATCTATGTCTATCAATAGTGGAGCCTCTACAACTTCAAATACAAATACAAACGCTTCAATAAACTCACAATCTATGGTATAGAGTGTTCCGGCATCAACTAGTTCAAATAGGCAGTCTAAAAAAGAAAAGGAAAAAGAGAAAGAAAAAGAAGACCCAAACAAATACATTAGAGCATAGCCTTAAGGACCATATATTCTTAAAGCTAGCCAATTCGTAATTTAAAAGTATATTGAAAAACCACTTTTAATAAATAAAAGAAAGTTTGATATTAGAGTTTGGGCTCTAGTAACTCAAAATTTAGATGTTTACTTCTTTAGGTATTAATTTTATTTTATTAGGTGAGTAATTTACAATAAATTTATTTATTTTAAATAAAAAGAGAAGGCTATATGAGACTCTCAAGCTCTGAATTTAGTACTGATGAAAGACAACTTGATAATCTATTTATTCATTTAACAAATAATGCTATTTAAAAATACAGTGATAACTATGGGCAATTTGAAAATGGTAATATGTGGTCATTTTAGCAGCTTTGGGAATTTTTGGAAGCAAATTATTAAAACAGCTCATCAAATCAAAGTAGTACAACTAACAGTGGCTCAAATGAAGAAAAGTTGCCTTAGAAATTCTTTAAAAAGAAAATTGTTTCTAAAATCAAAGACATCATTTGGTTAACATTTTGCTCTGTTAAAAAGAAAATAAACTAATATGATAGAAAGTTTTGCTTTGAAATTTTTGGATTTGACTTCCTCATTGATGAAGAATTAAATTCATGGCTTATTGAAGTAAACACTAATCCAGCCATTGACGAGTGTTCTCAGTTACTGAAGACTTTAATACCTCGTGCATTAGGTAAATACAATTTTTTCTAAGACAAAAACTTAAATTGAAAATTAATAATTTAGATGATGCTCTTAAATTAACTATCGATTAGATTTTTAGCAAGAGGCAAGTAGTTCCATAAAATACAAATGTATAAAGTAAAAACAAAGAAAAATCTCCTACACATTAGCCATAAAAATCAAACAGTGATAGTGAGAATGATAAAATTGTTTAGGATTAAATTATTGAAAAGCCAGTTGAACAAGAAGAAGAGGAAGACGAGGAAGAAGAAGAAGTTGAAAAGAAAATAAGTTCTGTAGAATAAATGGACCTAAATTCACCAACAAAGTTATAAGCAGACTCACCATAGTAAGCAGCTAAGAATTAAGGCTAATCAAATTCTGGAACTAGCTAAGAGCCCTCTTACTATCCAGTTCCTGGGTATGAGGATACCTTTAATATGTGGTAATAAAAATTAAAAAAATATTTTTCAGTTTTTGAATTTATTTATCTATTAATAAAAAAGGGAGCTTCTTGGTAACCTTAAAGACTCTTCAAATGTTCAAGTTAAAAAGAAATTCAAATAATTAAAATGAGAATATATATGAAATTTAATAAAATTAATAATAATTAATGCTACAATTTAATTAAAGAATAAATAATTATATTACACCATATGAGATTCCTATTACTAAATAAATGAAATATCAATTTAATTCTCTATCAGCATATAATTAGTTATAACTTATATGGAAATTTTAGTAATCATCTTCATAAATTATTTATTAGTAATAATTTGATAATAGAAATACAATTATTATTTTTTAAGTAATAAATATTTAATAATTATTATTTTTAACTTTTAATTATTCTTTGTATCTCTATTGATTGCATTTACTAATAGTACATTTTATTTGTTGCTTGTTTATCAATGAAATTAGATTATCTTCGCTTTATTAATACTAACATTTTAAATAAAATCTTTATTTAATTAGAATTTTTTAAATTTTAGATTAAATAATTAAGCAAATATTCATTTTAATCAGATCTGTTGAAGAAAGATATGGTTTATATATATTTTTGATAGAATAAATACTTTTAAATTTTTTAATTAAATATCTGTTTAATTATATCTTTGTCAACTAAATAATCTAAATTATAAATGGATACATAAAATTAAAAATAATAGATTGAAGCTAATGGAACTCAAAAAGAGGCTTCTGAATTTTTAAAAGAAATCAAAGTTGATGATGATGGAGAACATTCACCTGATAATATTATCAAAATTTATGAAAATTCAAATTTTAAATTAGGAACTGCAGGAAGAATATATGATTGCGTAATAAATTGTTTTCTAGAAGATTGAATGTTAATTAGGGATTAACCAAATTTATTTTAAAAAAGAGTATAATACTTGCTAAGTATTTATTAAAGCAAAATGATGAGGGCAATTACAAACTTAGAGGAAAAAATATTTTAGAGTTAGGCTGTGGTACTGGATGTCTTTCCATATTTTTAGCATCACAAGGTAAAATATTTATTGATTTATTTAGTTAAATTAGTAAAATATAATTAGGAGCAAATGTTGTAGCCACAGATCTAAAAATTACTTAAAATTATGTTGAAAAAAATTTATAGATGAATAAAGAATTAGTAGATTGTCGTTAAGGTACAGTGAAGTTTGTTGCTCTTGATTGGTAATAAATTAATTTTTTAATGTAAATTATAATCAAAACTAATTAAAAATTGAAGTGAATATAATATCAAATTATGAATGAATACATGTAACTAATTTATCATTTATTGAATAAATGGTTGATAAATATTAAATAAAAATTTAAAGATAATATTACTTATTCTTAAAATAGGAACGAGCAAGAGGAAAAGATATTTTAAATCTTGAAATCAGATATCGGGTTTTAAAAAATAGATTACATTGTTGCATCTGATACTTATTTCAATTCAGCTATGCTTAACGTATTTTCAAGAGTATATTTTAATTATAAATTTCATTATATGTTTTTCCTACTTAATTAATAATAATAATCTATGATTATAAAAAAAGCTATTAAAATCTGTTTCCACTTACTACTAGCAAGAAGGATGCTCTTTTGATGTGTTTATAGCTTATAAACAGAGATTACATGAAGATATAAATTAAGATCCAATATTGTAAACATTTTAAGAATATAAATTTATTGGCGAAAGGGTAATTTATTATTATTAGCAATTTATAAATAAAATTTTCTCTAATTTTAAAATAATAGATTCATAAATCAGAATTGGATAGCAATTATAAGCAGAAAGATATTGAAATATTTAAATTAGAATTCTGAGCTTTAAAGATTCTAAAACAGTCTAATTAGAAAATATATAATAAAAAACAGGATTATGATCTATTAAATTAACCAAAAAAAGAAAATTCAAATCTGCTACTGAAATTTCTTTATTTTTAAAAATTCTAACAATTTTTTAGGTATTTTGTAAAATGCAATAATTAAGATGCAATTCAGAATTCTTAATATAATATAAAGATTAAGTATCATTTTATATATTTGTACATCTTAATAAATGTGCATTCTAACTTTATTATCTAGAATCTTAAATCCTTTTGATAAGTATCAATATTATAAGCTGCTATCAAATCACTTGATATGATAAAAATTCTTTCATTTTGTTTGATTTATTAGATAATATAGGCCAATAATTAAAAGGAAAAATTTTTAAGAATTTTTCGCCTTATTAAAAAGGAAAATTTAGTAAAATTTGTGTTAATTTCCTATTTTTGTCAAATTAAAATTTAATTATTTCAATATTTATTAAGAATATTGGGAAATTTACTTTAGTTAAAAAGAAATTATTTAATATTTTTCCAAATCTTTATGGCTAATAAATTATTTTGAATAGAAAGATTTCGATAATAACAATGAAAAATATAATATTAAAAATTAATAACTAAAAGCTTAATTAGATTTGTTAAAAATAGATCAATTCCTAAATAAAGAGATAGATAGATTGATATATTTCAACATTCTAAAGTTAAACAAACTCAACTAAAGGTTTGCATTCTAAACTTATTCATACTGTCTGATCTCATTCTTATAAGTTTTTCCTTTATTCTAAAATAAAAAGAGCAGAAACAAAGTAGTAAACTACTCAGTTAAGAATTATTAACTTTACACAGCAGCAATCAACAGCATTTCTCTTAAAAATATTAAGACAATTGTACTTTACTATATTGAGTTTATATTGCAAAGATGAATATTGAAAAAGAATCTAACGAACCTACAAAGCAGTATGTTATTTTTATAATATAATTACAATAAAATATTTAAAAATCATTTTTAAATTGTTTAACATTAAATTGATGTTAAGACTTTCTTAAACTTTTCTTTTAAATATGTAGTCTAATATTTATAACTTTAGACAAATTTTGGTATAACCTTTTAATTTAAAATGTTTTATTTCCAATATCTCCCGATATTTCCTATATAAGTAAATTCTGATAACCTTTAACTGTAATTTATATTTATAAAAATGAATTAGATCTAAGATCTCTTAAAGTTTGGCCAAGGGATTTGAAACGCAGTTGTAAGTGAATTAAAAGTAACAAAGTCAAAGCAGCAATTCTAATTAAGGAAGTTAAAATGGGTTCGTTGTAAATGGCAGTTAGACTAATAGTAGTAGCAATGGATCAGGTTCTTTCGTTTTACATAACAACTAAAGTAATGCTAATAAAAGCGAAATTCTAAAGAACAGTAAAATAAACTCATAAAAAATAAATAATAAAAGCATATAGCAGAGTTAGTAGAATAATTGTTAAGTAAATGCAAATAACTTAATTTCAAGTAATTATAACACAATCTAAAATGCTTCTGAATAAGATGAAATCAAAGAAGAAATGAGAAAAAAAATAAAATATGAAACTTACTCTAATCATAGTGGAAGTAATAGTGGAGATAATTACACTTCTTAAAAAGGAGTAAATTTGTAATAAGGAGTAATGAATAATTTTGTAAGTTACAATTCATCTTAAAACAATGAGTAAATATTTAATGAAAATCCTAGCAACGGCAAATAGATATAGTAATAGTAATAGATATAACAAGCAAATAATGTAAATTAGTAACCATAAACTCTCTTAGATGACTAATAATTTAGGAATATACAATCTACTTTAATGTAACTATAGGAATAAAATAACATCCAAAATTAAAAAATATAGCAATAGCATACTTACTAATAATAAATATAATAAATGATTCCAGAGCTTGTTATGCTGATGCAAAATTAAAGCCTTGGTTAAAATTAAATGCCTTTTCAAAACTAGATATAACCTATTCAATAATAAAATCAGAATTAATAATAAATTTAAAAAAATAATATACTTCATGCATTCTTAAATTCAATGATGTAACAATAGTAGTAGCCATCCAACAATATTTAGCCTTAAATTTAAAATTAGACCTAGCACTCTTAAATAGGAATTGGTAATATTGTAGGATAAAATGTATTTAACTAAAATAGTTTGTAGTAACCTCAGCAAAATAACAATTAAGTAAGCTAAATTTTAAGTTTCTTATAAAACAATGGCAATAATGCAAATAATAATGGAAATTCAATATCAAATATTTAAGAAGAGGAAAATTAAAAAAATATGCATTTAATCCAGCAGATATAAGATTTTTATTCTAAAATTGTTTCTTTTGAAGAGGTCTAATCAAACATGATAAAGGAACTTTATAAAAAAAGCAATCATTAGTTTGAGCTTATAAGCAATGTTAGACAGGAAATAATGTAAATAAGGTAATCTTTTTACTAGTAAAATTTATTTTTTAAAATATAAAATGTTAACATTTATAAAATGAGAAAAATTTTAATTAAGTTTAAGATGTATTTTTAAAATAATGTTGCCTTATTAAATTTATTTTTTAACTAAAAGAGAATCAATAAGATTAAACAACCAATCAAAGCAATAAGGATAATAGTCAAATTAACAAAATAATTTTGACTTTTCTTAATTAGAAAGAGCTAACTTACCATAAGAGACCACTATAGGATCGTAAGGAGCTAGTAGTTTACTTTAGTATCTCTTTAATAAATAGGATTCAGACTTCAAATATGAACTGAAGCCTGCTGAAGAAATACCTCATCCTTTCTATAGGGAAAGAAACTTTAGGTAAAGATTGATTTTTTCTTTAAATAATAATCATAATAAAAAAAAATTTAAAAATAGTATAAAGTTATAACTATACGATAGACAGGGAAATATGATTTAAAACCAAAATAAAGTTACTCTAACAATGGCTCTATATACCTCTGAAAATCCTCCATAAGTCATCAAATAAAATACTTTGGGTAAAGAATTAATTTATAATAAATAGAAAAATTTTAATAATTTAAATTTTATTAGGTAATTAAATTTTAAAGGGATTTTTAGAAAAAGAACTTTATTTAGGAAGAGTGTCTTTTGATAAAATATAAATTAAAGAAGTAACCTCTCATTATCTGAATGGATGGATTTATCTGATAATATTCCCTAAACATCCAAAAGAAAGCAAACTATAAAGCAATTAAGGAAATCAAGATCATGTAGAAATAAAACCATTAATTTTAGAAAAAATTATTGTAAAGGCAAAGAAAATGAGAGAAAATAAATTCCAAAATTCTAATAAAAACTAATAACTTATTTAAAAGAGTGAGGAAGATAAAAGCTCGATGTAATCTGATAATAAACTATCACAATAACAAATCAACTCTAATGCATGTAGTGGAATGAGAGATGAAGATGAAGAAAATGATGAAGAAGACGACGAAATTGACAATGACATTGATAACGAATAAGATGAAGACATGGATGAAGACTCTACAAACAATTAAAATATTGACTCATCTTAACAAAAGAAAGATGATCCTTCAGCCAACTAATAATAAATATTGAATTTAAAAATTGAACAAGAAAAATCTTAAAACACACAATAACAGTTAATTATCAACTAAGAAGTTAAGAATAAATGAAAATTTATTTCAATTGAATATTTAAAAATCTTTAAATTATTCATAATATTATTTAAAAGCTTATAAGCTGAAGTTCTATCAAAATAAGCAAATTTAATTCTTAAATTATTGTATTAACCAAAAAAAAAACAATTTGATAATTAATTTTGAATATTTTACACTTATATAATAAAATGTAGTTATTTTATATTTACAAAGCATTATTAATGATTTTATCATGGCAAAAACTAGAACAAAAAAATATATTTTCTAATCTTTATCAATTAAATTATTCTAAGTATTCACAAATACAAATTAGTAAATAATAAATTCAACTAAAATGCTAAAATATTTAATATTTTCATATTAAGCTAATTAAAATAACGTAAAAAATTAATAAAAAATTTAATAATACAAATAAAATTAAATAATTTTATCTTTATTTATCTTATAGATATAGGCACATACTATCATAATAATAATGATTTTTAAAAATCTTAACACTTAAATTATATTATTATAGTCATAAAATTAAAAAATAGTTTCTTTATTTTATAGATATAACCAAAATTGATAATTTTATTTATTAGAATTAAAAAATAGATAAATATATTTTATTTTTAAAAAAGATTATTTTTATTATCATAATAAAACTTAAAAAGTAGCTTTTTAATTTTATAGATATAGAAACATACTAAGATTTAATAACTTTTGCTTTGGTATAAAAAATCCTAAATCATATTAATTGAAATATATTTTATGCTTTATTAAAGTTATATTTATTATATTCTACACAGTGATTTAATAATTTTATGTTTTGGTATCAAAAATCTTAATTATTAAAGTAAATCAAAATATATTTTATCTTTGATGAAGAATATAATTAAATATTAATATTTTTTATCCATCCAAATTTCTACGTCAAGATTGTTTGGAAATTAATAACTTATAATTAAACTTTACTATTCATAAAGAGGAGCTAATATATTATTATATAAGTTAATTTGCCAATTAATGTCTGAAAGTCCTTAAAAGAAAAGGAGAGCCATTTCAGCATATGGCAATTTTAAAATGAATTCGATTTAAGAATAAAATAGATTAATTTAAAACGATTCTCCACCTAAAATAAGAAATATTTAGGTGATGCATTTATCGCAAATTTAGTAATTGAAGAATCCAAAATAAGAATAAACATATTAAGATCTTGTAAATAAAAGAGGATTTAGATTAAGACATTTTTAATATTAAAAATTAGATTCATCACTATATATACATCCCAAAGAAGTGGTTTTAAATAATACATTCTGCTAGGAAACTCTTGGATAGCCTGATTTATTGAGTTAGAGTGCACTTAATTTTACTAAAAAATAGTAATATGTTTAAAAGAATAAAGAAATTAAACTGTTTAGCAAATCTCCTAAAAACAGCAAAAAAAATGCTAAAAAAAATTTAAATAGATTCACATCTTAAATAGCTAAGAAAGCAGATAAGTTTTCTAATCTAACAGTAAAAATTGGCTTAAAAAATTTACTTTTAGGGTCTAATGATACTCAAGATATGAACTTTGACTTAAGTGAAAAAAGTTCTCCAGCTGAGCTTTAAGAAGATTATGATTTGGAATATGAAGATATATATTTATAGGAGGAGTATAGCCATTAGCCTGATGAAGTATTAAGATTTGTTTTAAAAGGTAAAGATCGCTACTCAAAATAGGAACCTGAGCTTCTTAAAAAATGGATTTCATGTCTACCTATAGAAGAAAGAATGGAGATTGAAAAAGACAAAACATATTTTCCTGTACCTCATAGACTAATGATGCATTAAATAGATTAGGTAGCTTGCTTATCTTTTTGCTCTTAGATAATTATATATAATAAAAATAAATTTTGTAAAAAACATAAAAGGGTCTCAATGAGATGTATGGAACAGGCAAAAATAGAATATTAAGACCAGGCGAAGAAGCTACAATAATAGAAACCATATCAAGGTTTTTATCAGAATGCTAAAACATAGACATTTTTCATAGAATAGCTACATCAAATGTTAATTGTAAATAATAATTGATGATTAAATGATTTTTAATTTAATTTATCTGAAATAGCTATATTGCAGTATTTACTTAAGAGATGTGATTTATTTAACTTAACAGAATTCCCATTAGCTATGAAGCAGGTAAATCATTATTATTATCTAAAATGTTAACTAATATAAAATTATGTTAATTTTTATGAAAGATTGAGTGCCATTGGAAAATTATGGCAACAAGATTTAGGTGCAGCGACAAAATGCCAAGTGATCATAAGTTATTTGAAAAATACCTTTATATGGCTCATCTAAGAGGGCATTTCTTTTAGCTATAAAAGAAAGACAATCCACTTGTTTCTTATCTGCTAAAATATTCCTGTATGAAAGCTGATTATCTGAGAATGAAAGAAGAAATTGAAAAGAAGAATTAGAACAGGAGAAAATCTGTTTATAACATAAGCAAAAAAACCAACTAATAAATATCCCTCCCAAATAGTAAAAAATAAGAAATGAGTTCCAGTAAATTTAGTAGTCCTTTTTATAGTTTAAATGATACACTGATATATGAAGCGGACTGAAAAAAATCTTAAATTAATTATTAATAAATTGATATATTATGTATGAAGAAATAAATATAAATAAATATGAGTTTTTATGTAGAAAAATCACTTATTAGGTATAAATGAGAATTTAATTAGCTATTTTGCATCAGTAAGAATATACAGAACTGAGTAATTTTCATTAAAAAATATCTTCTAAATGTTAGCCTTGATAAAAGTATTGTAAGCAATCAAAGGCTTGCTATAATTGTAATCGATTTCGGAGTTCCTTCTATCTTTTAAGTCAAAGCAAAAAATTGACTATTGTTTTCCTAAATTTTATTTTAATTAAAAACTTAACATTTTTACTTTAAGAGGAAGTAAATACCTATCCATACAAGACCATTTTTTTAGTCTACATGCATGACTTTGTTATAGTTTTCTACTTTCGAGCCTAAATCAAAATTAGTAATTTGAAAAAACTTCAGATTTTTCTTTTAAAAAAATAAATTAAAATATTTAAAATTTTTTATTTTCATTTTAATCATATGAAATTTACACCAGTGTTGTCTTTGTCGAACTTCCTCATGCGATACTAAGCTTTGTAAACATATGGTTCAATAAATGTTCCGAGAGTAATATATCCTTAGCTATTAAGATAAAGTAAATACTTTCCATAAAAACTACACTAAGTGACCTGAACTGTATGCATAATATCTTCTTAAGCTTATACCTAGTAATTGTATTGAGATTTTTCAATCTTTACAAAGTTATTCACAGGAGTTTTTAGAAGCAAAATTTTCTTTATTTATTCTGATAGCTGCCAAACTTAAATTGTTCCATCTCCACAAGCGGAAAATATATTTTCGCAAGCTAAGTCAATGTCAATGCACGTAAATTGTGACATAGGAGAAGTAGATAAAAAATCTTTAAGCTAAATAAGTTTTTCTTATTTAGCCAAATGAGAAAGAAAAATTGAACCATCTTTACTTGCACTAACAACTATATTTTTGTAATCTTAGCATGACTAATTTCTATTTAAGCATTTGATATCAAAAATTGTATCTCCATGCACCTAAAAGCAAATTTAATTGGTAGAACTTTAAATGTCAACAAAGTGTATGAAACCTGTCATCCCTCCTGCAATAACTCCAGTGTAAATATTTTTTTCTAAATGCAAATCGAAGAAATCGCAAGAATATAAATCCTCTTCTGTTTTAGGAAATACGCTTTCTCTGTAGCCTTTAACGAAATTAACTATTTTTTACTTGCTCTTTGGATAACTTTAGTACTAATAGGGATTATCGCTTATGTTAAATTAAATAGTATGCTAAGACATTAAATTTATGTTTGAAGAAGCTGAATCACTTGAATAGAAGACATAAATTTAATTTTTACTCACTACTCCTATAAGGCTAATTCCATCTATATACAGAAAGCAAGCATCTTTTATTTAATTCTCAGTGACTATCTTAATTTCTGTTTATAAGCTCTCTTATTAAAGAGTCTCTAAGTGTTTCCTAATATCTTAGAATTAGGTATTTTTCTCAAGAGTATATTATTTAAAATCATTTTAAAGAGTTTCGAATCCTTCTTTTACACCACTTGAGTGGAAATATTTTTCAATTTCATATTCTATTTTTTCTATAAAGCTCATCTCAATATCTATAAATAAGCTAATTAATTGATAAGTATTTAAAATTTATAATTATTTATTATGCAAATTAAAAATTAATAAATTAAATTTTTAGCTAATTAGCTAGAATATCATCATTTCAGACTAAAATTTAGTGTAAAATAGCAAAAATTACCTTTAAAAGATATTTTATTATCTAAATTTAATATAGTTGAAAATGCATCATTAATTATATTTATTTGTTGAATTTAGATAATTAGCTAAATAAAAATGGCTACTTTTTAAATAAATGAAAAATAAAAAACTAAATTAAATTAAAATCTTCAAATAATTATGAAATTATAAAGTAAAAAATAAAATAAATTTGGAAATTATTTTTTTAAAGAAAATAGGAAATTACTATTTTTAACAACATTTTTTATTTAAATTGTATGTCAAAGTTTTTTCTCATTAACAATAACCGCAAATAATGAATAGTTTTTTAAATAATCATTTTTATTTTATAGATTAAAAATATTTGATTTTTAAATTCTAAATATTTTTTTACATTAAGATTTAACATTTTTAAAAAAAATTATCATTTTTGTTGTATTTTCTACAACTTTAGTATTTTTATTATAAAAAAGCTCTAAATGAAATAATACCTAAAAAATAGCGAAGCTAAGTATTTATAATTGATTGATCAGAATATTAATAGTATAATACATTTCTTAATTGATAAATTTCAATTTACGAAGAAAATTTAAATAATTTATGATGGAATTTAAAAAGTATAAATCTTAAATTATTTATAAATTAATTAATCAAAAATTAAACAAATTATTTAACCAAAAAGATACTTTAATTTTCATTAGAAAATTACATATTTGTATTTTCCATAAATTAAAGGATTCTTAACACTTTTATGTTCAAATAATTTACTTTGGAAAATTATTCAGTTAAAATTTTAAAGGTTTTTGTAATAGAAAATTATAAAATTAAAATAAAATAAAGAAAGTGAGAATTTCTAATGAATAAATATTTTTAATTGCTTAAAATACAAATAAAATTGATAAACAAACAGTACAAATATTTAAATAAATCAATGTTTAAATAATTTATTAGTAAATAAAATTATATAAATTAGCCATCACTTGCTAATTAATATTTTATTTGCATAAAATATATTTATAAGCAAGATTGATAATTTTTTTTAAGATTTCTTATGTCAAAAAATATAAGGTAAGAGTTGATTTTAGACTTGTTTTTTAATTATGATATTATATCAAGTAAATTTTATAATTATTAATAAGTAGGAGAGTAATAGGTAGGTATTTTGTTATATATTTGGGCTGTGAATAGTTTTTTGAATTTATAATTATTATCATGATTATTAAAATGTTATTATAAAAATATTTCATCTTTTCATTTGCATTTTTTAAAAATTAATAAATTTAGAAGAGGTGTTTTTTATTTATATTGCAAAATAAAGATTCAATATATTTATTTATTTATTTCTTTATTAATCTAAATCTTCAAAGCAAATCAAACGATTTATTCGAATTCGTTGACTGATTTAATTTAAGCCCAAACTTGCAAATATTTTTAATTGTTATTGGTATGAGTAACGTCTGTTTCAGCGCTATCTCTGCTAACATCATCCCTTAAGCTATTTTCTTATTTAGGGACCATAAATTGAATCCATTAGCCCTTTTGTATTTGATCTGATCTATTTTGAATAGAAATATAATTAGTTTCTGATAAGATAAAAATTAATTGTTTGTTGTTAATTTGAATAGTTAAAAGTATAAAAGTAAGTTAAGATAAATTTGTATAAAGAAAATTTAATTTATTATTATTATTCTAAAATTTACAAATTTCTTTTAGATTATTTTTTTTTCTAAATTTCTGTAATAAAAATAATATATTTGAGAAATAGAAAGATAGTTAATTGAATCTTTTTTTCTTTTTTCTTAAATCGAAGGATATTTTTATAACAAAGATTAATAACTTTTAATTGTTTTCTTTTCAATTTCTTTTAAATTTATCTTAGATTACTAACAAAATTTAAAAATAATTGTTATATTTTACTTTGTCAGCATATTTAAGTTTATTTAGGGGGTTTCTTCACCTTATAAAGGTACTTCTTCTTCCATAGCTTAATTATTAAGCTCTTTTTCGATGTTCAGACCGATTTCTCCTTTCGAATCACTCTTTTAATACATTTTTTCATTTAAAATGGCACTTCCAACAACAGCAACTTCATCTTTTTCATTTCTATTTTATAAATTTAAATTTTTAGTTATTTTTTAAAAATAAAATCTATTTAAAAGTAAAAAATATTGCAGAATAATTTATTTATTTCATATATTAATCTATCTGTATGCAGGTAATGATTTTAAATAATTTCTCAAAAAGTTAAAAATAGGATCAATAGATTTTATTCTTATTTAAAGTCATATGCTTGTGTTGATATTTTTATGAATTATCTTGTTTTGTTATTTTAAAATTCACATTTTATTTTAGATTAGGTTCTGATTTAAGAGATTAGGGAAAAATTGCATTTTTTTTCTTAATTGAAGAAAACAAGACAAAATGAGGAATTGTGTATTAGAAATGAGGTATTGAGAAATATCGACAATTACTTTTTGTAAATTAAGGAAATTTTTAATTTGAATACAAATTTTTAAAAAGTAAGGAAAATGATATTTGCTTGAGTGTATTACTTTTTTTTATTAATGTTATAATGTTTGATTATTTTATTTGATAGATTGATTGATTTATTTATTGAAGACTATTTGCTATTCAATTCCTATTAAATTTAATTTGATTTTTTTTTTGTTTGCTGAAAGGGAAGTTGTCTTCCTCTGTTAATCGATCTATCTTTTATTTATTTATTTGTTTATTTCTTTCTCTGTTTCTTCTTTATTTAATTTTCCTCTATGCTTCGCTAAAATTATTAATATGTTTTGCTGATGATTTATTTATTCAATTAACTATTTATTAATCAAATTTCCTCTATAACACAAGCATCTAGTTTATATATTATCCTACTAATTTAAATTTTATAATAAATGCTTTTTTTCTTTCAACCGATTGATCGACTATATATGAATTTATGCCTTTACACTAATTTGCTAAAATAAATAATCAATTAATGCATTACCTCATTTAACTCATCTTTTAGAAATCTTAGGTTGATTTTTATAAATCATCTAACATTTTCATCATTTAGGAACCTGTAATTTTATTTAAATAATATGTTAAGAAAAAATATCAATGAATTATTTATTTATGTTCTATTTTTGTTTTTTTAGTATATTTCATAATAATTTTTATAATAATCGTATCAAATATTACTTTAATTTATTATGGCTTGTTCATTTTTACTGGGTTTGATATTGAAGATAAGTACTACTCCTAAAACAGCAAAGAAAGCAACACTGAAAGCAGCATAGTTCTTTTAGAGAGAATGATGATTACTGTATTTTTAATTTAAAGCTGTTTAGTTCATTTATGCTGATTCGATTTTATCGGGATTGGTGTTGAAACATTTGCACTAGCTTTAGAGCTTTCTTTTTAATTCTTAGATTTCCTTTTAGAGAAGTTCATTTTTGTTCTTTTCATTGGCAACTTCTTTTTGAGATTCATTTAACTACTATCTCAATTCAATACTTTCGAGTAAGAAATCTTCCTTATCTTGCTCAAGCTTAGAAATGTAGGCTTTCTTACGATCACGAGAGTTCTAAGCAGATATTCTGTTACGAATCATTTACATTACTTTCTTTTATTACTTTTGATCCATGCTTCCTTAGCATTATTGAAGAGCCTTTAATTAGAGATCTTCGTGACTTAAGGAAGAACTTGAGCTTTTTTTCAGCTTTTGTTCGAGTAAATGAGCTGGATTAATTCCATTAGCAGAAGCTTGATTTCCAGCAGAGCTTGAAGATTCTAACTTTACTTCGAATTATGCAGTATTGCTAGAACAGCTTGTGGAGCAGCTTCTCATATCAATTTGTTATTGTTATCCAGATAATTCTGTAGACTTATTGAAAGTAGAAGCCTCTTCTGTATTTTATTGAGGAACTAAAGGAGCTGAAGGTACCAAAGTTGGAATGAATGACTTGAATTAAGTTTCTTGACTGTTTGCAGTTTACTATTATTATTCAAGATTCATTTTTCTGCGAGATTTAGCCTTTTCTCTTTTCATAATTCTCTTCATTTTGGCAGAGAGTTGACTGCTATCAAATTGAGTAGGAGCTTATTAACCTTGAGAGGAGGTAGGATTATTTTAAGGAATAGATTACTACTTGAATAGGAAAAAGTTAGTATTGTCTATTATGCTACCATTCTATTAGTGAGACATGAAAGGAAGGTGGGCTTATTCAAATCCCATACCGTTTTCTATTTTTAAAATTTTAAGTTATTTTAGTCTACAAACGATTTTTAAATGAATTAGAAAAATCAAAGATATTTTTTCAGGTTTAATAAAAGAAAAAAAGAATTTACCTTGTTAGTTTTTATGTTCATGTCCTTGAAGGAAGTCACATTCTAGATCTTCCTACTTAACGCCATGTATATTTTCGTAATTTTCCATAATATTGTCACCGAAATTGAGGTAGTCTTCGACATTATCATTGTGTTGGGGATGAGAGCCTAAGGGGTTTGAGTATTCACTTTAAGATATAGATTCATACTTTTATCTAATCATGACCTCGTTAGACATCTACTAATAAGACAAAATAAATTCTTAAATGAGTTTACAATCTAAATTAATTATCGAGCATCATATCAACTCTATAAAAAGTAAAACCTCAACTCGATGTGAGCAAAGGATAGAGTTGATTGCATGATTTTCGATATTATTTTTCTCCTGAATTTCCTTAACGCATTTCCAAGCAGAAAGCAGAAAATAAAGGAAATAAAGGAACAGAGTGATATTTTTAATTTGGTGTTCTCCACCTAAAATGAGAATTATTAATAAGTACATTGTTAATATATTCTTGGTAAGAGTTTTGGTGGGTGAAGTTGAGACTCATATTTAGTAATTTAGTTCGATATATTTGTTAGCAGGCAATTATTTTATTGAAGAGTTTTTTTTTTGTTGATTTAGTTTCAGAAGAGATTCTTTCTTTTATTGAAACACTTAGATTTTAAGTTGTTTTATGTTGAATAAGGCTTAAAGCTTTAAAAAGGTTTGTTTGTTTGTTTTTCTTTTTTTTATTAAGATATCTTTTTTTTATCAATTAATTTCTGCAAAAACAAACTTTTTTTTTAATAGCTAGACTGACCCATGAGTTTCAAGGAAAAAGAAATTAGTTAATAAATTAAATAGGCAAAATTTCTTGTATTTGATTAGTATTTTTTTCAGTTTCCATTCAAAAATCAATAGTTCGCATAAATGTTTATTTGCTTACCAGCTATGCTAATTTTTTTGTAATGTTCCTTCAATTTCCTTTTACTTTTCATATTTAATTGATTTAATCACTGAGGAAATTACTAATTTCTTTTATACTAAGCAAAGGATGTTTTTTAGGTCATTTAATAATTGCATATGATTCTTCTTTATTATTATCTAAAAGAAAAAATTATTCTTCTATTTTTCCTAACTCTAGAATTACTTATTTATTTAAAAAAAGCTTATGGAAACGCTAAATTGCATGATAAATCACTTCAATTTATTACATTTTTCAAAGTCTAACCTTATCATCTTTTAAAATTAATCAATACCTTGTCTGTTTGATATTTTAGCATGAATACTATTTTTCTATTTTTATTTATATCAAGTAAAGCATTAGTAATAGCATACTGATCTATTACAAAATTTAAAAAAATATATACTTCACTATGTAGATGAATTATATTACCATTGTATTACTATCATCTTAAATTTTAACTTGTCTTTACTATTGTCCTTTTATTCATTTTTAGTGCTAACCTAATTTTGGTTTCTAATTTTAGTAAATTTTTATAAGAATATATTAAATAGATTTCAAAACATTTAGAAAAAAGAAATGAATTGCTTTTCACTGCAATATGAAATTAATTATTGATTGTTTAATATAAATATCTTTTTATGTTGGCATTTAACAGATTATTAACTGAATAAAAAAACCGTTTAAAAATTTCGTTTCCAATATAGATTTTTTTTTAGCTTAACTCTTCAATGAATACAGAGTCTAATTGAATTATTTTAGTTTCGATCAGAGCATAAGCAATTAACTCAGTTGTGTTTTCGAAATATAAAAATAAATATTAAGTTGAGAAAACAAAGAGTGATAAATAAAATTTATATTTTAATATTTGCCATTAAATTTTTATTAAATATTCAATTTTTTTCCTTTAAAATTCACCAGTTTTAAAAAAATATTTAATGTAGAGAAAATAATTAAATAATTTCCAAGTTTATTTACTACACAGGGATAGAATATCTATTTTCTTGAAATATTCAATTATTTACAACTTAGTGTTAGACCACTCACTCACTTTAATTTTTATGAGTTATTAATCTAATCAAAATTATAATTTTCTCAAAAACGTATTTTCATTAAATTGTTAAAATAAGAAAAAAAATAAAGAAAAATCAAAAAGTATTTGACAGTTTTTAATTTTGAGATAACAATATCTCCAATATGGGTTTTCATTTATTTTTGAGGAAGTACCAACATTAATTCATATTTCAAAAGTCTAAAAATTTATTGTAAGCATTTTTATTTTATACTTTCAAGTTAGCTTATGCGTTTTTTATGAGATGACTTTTTGGAACTTAACTATGTAAGAAGTTAATCCATGCTCTCTCTCAAGTTATTTATTTGCTAAGCATGTCTGTCTATTGTGTTTTTGTTCTTTATTTTTGAAACCTCAATTATTAAATTTGTTGAGAAAACTAGATTCTCATCCTAATTTTATGTTCGCACTTATAAAACCTTCTTTTATATAAATTTTTTTTATGAAATAAATTATAATTATTTTTAAAGAATCTCCGATTCTCTACATTAAAAAATTATGATTTATGTAAAAGAAAATTGAGTTCAACAAACACAAATTATTCAATAAAATTTTAATAAATCAAAAAATTTCTAATTTAAAAATAATGTCTTAGCTTTAAAAATAAATTATTTAAGCTTTTAAATAAAAATGAACAAAACACATTAATACCTCAATAAATGCTTTTAAATTTAGATAAGAGTTAATAATTAGTCTATTAAGTTTGATATTTTCTATTAATAAATGTTTTCGTTCATGTTTTTATGTAATAGATAGATAGACACTAACTGATCAGCCTTATATGTTCTAACTTATTACTTTGAATAAATTCGAACTTTATAAATATTGAATATAAAAATTTGGGTAAAAAATATTTTAGAAATTTTAATTATTTCTTTAAAAATAAAAATCAAAATTAAAAAATATTTTAAAATCAAAATTACAAAAAACTTTACAAATTTTAAATTCAAACTAATTTTATTTTTTCTAAATAGTTTTTTTTTATAAATTATTTTATTTATTTATTAAAAAGTTTTATGTAAATTTTTTAAATTAATATTTTAATCATATTTCAGAATTTTCTAATTTAAAAAAAATGAAAATAATTTCTTTTTATATTCATGCTTTGTAAATAATTAATATTTTTTATTATTATTCCTATTTAGTGAGTAAAATTAAGTCTAAAAATTGTTTAATATATTAATTTGTTTGTGATGTTTTTTATATAAAATATTTATTTGCTTATTATGCTTGATTTTTGAGCTATTAAAACCTTTAATATTTTTAATAGATTCATTTAATATAAATATAGAAAAAAAATATTTATAATAATATTGTTTCTATGTTAATTAATAATGATATTTTAGGGATTTTAATTATTTAACAATTTAATTTTTAAGAAGAATTTTAATAAAAAATTTAAAGGACATATTTGTAGTTTTTAAGCAAGTATAAATGAAGAAAGGAGATAAAACTTTAGAAGAAGAATTAGAAGAAGATAACCCAGATTAGCAAGAATTAGACTTTGACTTATATAACTAAGGTTCGGTTGGGTAAAGTTAAAATTTTATGCAGACAACTTTGATTGAATAATCTAAAAATATTTTTAGATTTTCAAAAATGTTAGATAATGATTTAGAGAAAAAAGAGTCAAGCATGCCAGGGTTAAATAAGTTTGTTAGTATTTATGCTCCTATTCCTATTAGAAGAGAAAAAAGCTTTTAATACTTAATTGATCCAACTTTGAATAACTCTAATAGTGTAATAAACAACAGTGGATTACCTCAATAGATAGCAAATGATAATTTTTCTTTCGAATATGGAACATCTTTGGAAGTAAAAGATGATGATTTAAAAGGGCAAGATCAAATGCCTGAAATTAATAGAAATCAAAGCAATAATTATTTTTACAATAACTATTCTGGATATGGTTATGATAATGCTTGGGTAGATATTGATGACAACAATTTGAATCAAGAAGAAAATGATATTAAAAGCAGTAATCTGATTAGAAGTAAAAGCAATTTAAATAGAGACGAATTCAGTTTGAATTAAAAATAATAATCGAACTATGGAGGCTCTTTGATTTAGCAAAAGGATAACAATAACTAAATTGATGATGACGATTAAAGTGATATTCAAGAAATAAAACCTGAAATATTTATTCAAATAGAATCAAGCAAAAATTTGAAGGATAAAAACAATAAGAAATAGGTAATTCAAATAAGTGATGAAGATGAACAGCAAAAAGAAGAGGAATTAGAGATATTTAGTGATGACAGGGAAGAACAAAAGAAAAGTACCTAATCTCTTTAATCTTTAAAAATGTACGATTTACAAACTATGGAAGAAGAGAAAAGAAAAAAAATAGTTACAAACAGGAGAAATAATGGAAATATTTCAAGGGAGTTAATAGATTTGGAAGAAGATTAAGAAAAATAAGATAATTATAAACTAACATAAGCTGAAGAATACGGAATAGTTAGTAATATGAATGAATGGATGAATCTCAGCAGAAATAATATGAAACTTCGTATATTAAACAGAAAGTATTAGGCTGAGCTTAATAGAGAAAGGAGTGTCCACTTCAAGAAAGCAAAGAATAATTAAGATATATTTGATAAGATGAAGAAGAAAATGAAAAAGCTGATTACTTCTAATTAATAGCTTGTTGATAGCAATAATGAAATGGAAAAACGTTATAAGGAGACAGCTTAGTAATTTTAGAGAGTTACAACAGAATTAGCTGAAAAATAATTGAATATTTAAGATCTAAATAGAAAACTCATTTAGCATGAAACCTCTCTCGTTGAATATTAATCTTCTCTTTAGAATAAAGATAATGAGATTCTAAATTTGAAAAATACAATTTAAATTTATTAATAAGCCAATTAGAATATTTACCTTAAAAGAACTTAGCTCGATACAGCTGAACTTGAGACTAATTTATCAATCCAGAGAGCTTTTGATACCAGTGAAATAAAGAAAAAAATAGATTAATTAAATTAAGAATTAGGAGAAAAACAATCAGAGTTATCATCAAGTAATGATATGTTTTAAATTTTTTGCTTTTTACATAAAAAGCTCTTAAGTATGAAGGAAGAAAACTTAAATAAAAGCGAATAAATTAGTTAGCTATAATAATTTTAGCAAGAAAAGACATAATTTGAATTGAGAGCAAGATTAGCAGAAGATGAGCTCGGAGTTATAAAAAAAAATAATTATGATCTTTCACAGCTGCTAAGTGAAAAAGAAAATAAAATTTAAACACTTCTATTACAAGTAAGTGAGATTGAGAGATTATAAGAAAGAAATTTATAGTTGATTGAAGAAAAGGATTTATTGCAATAGTAAAAGACTGACAAAGAAAGATTGCTTATGGAACAGGAAGTTATTCATCAAATTAAGATAGATAATTTGATGGATGCAATTAAAAATTAAGAGTAGAAAATTAATGTAAAAAAATAACTAAATGAATTGATGGATATTTCATAGATTGCATCATCATCATTTGTCCCTGAGCATATCTTAGCTAATTAGAATGTATTTGATAATAATTCTAACGAATTAACAAAAGTTAAAATTGATAGAAAAAGTTTAGATTTAAATGACGAATGTGTATTATTAAAGAACACTCTTTTAAAGCTTTTCAACTGGGAAATTTAGTATGATAATGGCTTACCTTTTAAATTCAATTTGGTGAATAAGAGTAATCCCAATAAAAAATAACTTTCTATTAATTTAGCTGTAAATGAAGAAGGTGAAATTGAAATTTAAAATAAAAAATATTTACTGAAAAATGTGAGAAAATTGTGGAAAATGCTTGATTAAGATTTGCACATGAGTTCGTTAAGAAGCTGTGTAGAAAACTTTTGGTTAATAACTTCATTACAGCTTAAAGAGTATTTAACATAAGAAGAATAAGAATTCAACAAGTAAATGGAAATATAATCCTAAAATGATATTGCTCAAAGGGATTATATGCAAGAAGATATTGAACAAGATGAATAGTTTTCGTGTTCATCATCTGAATCTTCTTATTCTGAAAACCTAGAACAAGAAGACACCATTCAAGACATTTAAAATAAAAGTGGATAAGTAATGGATCTGAGTTATAATTAAATGACTGCAAATAAATTATAAGAAGAAGATGAGGAAGATATATAGGAAAATCTAGAAGAATAAGAAAATATTTAGGAAGAAGGCGAAAATAATAAAGAGTTTGAGGATGGTGAGGCAATAAATGATGAAGACTGTAATAATTTTAATATCATCACCAACAAGAACAATATAAACAAATATAATTTAATGTAAAGCTAAAACAATTAATAGTATGAAGATGTCTAATAACTTAAATGATTTTAAAATACTTATAATTCAACCAAAAATAATAATTAAATTAAAAATAAGGCAATGAAATAATTTCAGTTCAAGAAGAAATTCCCTCAAAAAAACTACTTAAATACTATTTTTTAGATAATTTTAAAAGCATCTATCTATCTAAATAATTTTAGTTTGAATTGTATAAGATCAAACATATTTTATTTTTGAAACTACAGCTTTTTGTTTTATGCATATTAATTTATTTACATGTTGATAAAGTAAATTATTGTATTTATTAATAATATTTTATAATTATTAGAATTCCAAATATATTTTTTATTTTTATTGGTCTTTAATTCTTTATTAAAAAATTTATTTCCTTTTTTATTTTTATTAAAATTATTAGTGATTATTTATTGTTTTAGTGAAGGAAAGCATCATTAAATTGTCCAGGTTAAAGGAGAAAACAAAAAAATTGTTTGTTTTGGCAATTTATTTATGTTTTCCCAAAACAAAAACAAAAAGAAATTTAAATTCCTTTGCTTTAATAAAAGAATTTTTTTTGAGTGTATTTGCAAAAATAAACTGTTCTTTTCATTCTAATTAAATACTTAGTTAGTGATTTGTTATCTTTTTACTTCTAATTTTAAAAGGGAGTGATATCTTTAATAATCAAGACTATAACCATAAAAATATTATCATATTGTTTATCAGATATAAAATTTTATCACTTTAAAAACTTTTGGTCTTTTGAATTTTTATTATAAAATTAAAGTCTAAAATTATTTTTGGTTACCTATTTGATAAAAAACTAATAATGTAAATCGGAAAGTATATTCTCATAAATAATTTTAGATTTTTTTAATCTATATCAAAATTCTTTTTAATTTCCTAATAAACGATTAGGTGCTTTTATTAATTCTTTTATAACCTGACCAAATCATAATTATAATATAGGCCAAGAGGTTATTTTTGAATAAAGAGTAAGAAAAGATTCTAGATGAAATGAGTGTAGATATCATAGAATTATCTTATATGTGCAAACTATTATTTTTTTATTAAAGAATATTTGCTTAATATTTTAAAAATAATATGCGTTTTATTTTAAATATTTTCTCTTATATAAATGTTAAATAATTCAGTGAATAATAATACTCGCCTGTTTATGCAAACTTAGATAAATAGAAACATGATTTCTAATGAGAAAGGTTATGATAGAATCAAAGGAAATACTCTATTAGTATAATTGATTGTAAAATTTAAAGCGTAATTATATATAGTAAGTCGCCCAAAATCAATATATTTTCAAAGAGAAAAATATTAAATGGTAATATAAAAAATACTACTCATCATATTAATATGCAAAAGCATTCATAAATATATATATTCCTATATGAATGCATAATCTCTTCAAGGAATTTGTAAAGAAAATTGCAATTGAACAAAATATTAATATTTGCTTGACTTAAAAAATAATAAATAAATAATGAAAACTTTGTCATAAATTTCTAAACAAGACAAAAAAATAATTGAAAATACTATTAATAATACAGAATATTAGTATTGTTGTTGAAAAACAATTAACGAAGCAAAAAAAAACTTGAGGCGGCAATAATATGGAATACTGCCAGTAAAATTTACCTACATCCGCATGCATAAGCATGAATGTTATGGCTTATGCACCTGCGGTTATCTACTTAATAAGCTCAATATTGATTACCAAAAAAAAATCATTTATATTTTAGATGAAATCTAAATAAGAATATGAAGAAAATCTATCTATAATTGAAAGATCTAGCTTCACTAGAATGGTGAAGTAAATACTTACACTTATTAATTGCATGGTTTGCTGCGTTTTTATTGCTATTTATGTTTAGGAGCCAACTATTTCTATAATTGTCCTAGCATTTTACTCTATCCAAAGTATATTTTTTATTATTTTTCTTTTATCATTCCTTTTAATGTAAGAGGTCTCAATCTAGTGAATATTAAATATCTGTTATAACTAAAAAATGAATGAATAAATTTCTAAAAAAAGAAAGAGATTCTAAAAATATAATGAAGATTTCCATGAATATATAAAATTTTTGATCGAAATGAATTAATTTCTAAATATTTAAGAAATTAACTTTAAATGGAAGAAATGCAGAAAAGGAATTTTATTGTATTTGAATTAATCGCATGATTAATTATCTTCAACTATGCATTTAAAAAATACGAATATAATTTAGCTAATATAAATTACCAAAAATTGATTTAAATAAATTATGGAGTATTTAGAAAAAATTGAAGCTTAAATTTTTAATAAAATATAATTTGATGAAAAATTAACAATAGACCCCCTTTTAATTTGAGTTTTCAAGCACAGTTTTACTATTTTAAATTTCTTCATTAGCAAGCTCAATTATGCTAGATTTATATCTTTCATTAATTAATCTAGCCATTTACTTTTCTTCTTGAAAAACCTAATATTTTTTCTTGGTTTTGATTTAAAATAGACCTTCTTACAATCTTTTAATTAGACTATTAAAATATGAATTAGACAAACTGACAATAAATTTAATTTATATTTTTATCTAGTCAGCTAGAATTTTTTAATTAAATTATATTTTAAATAAAATAGCTGCAATTTATATTTTATGCGTTTTCCTAATGAGTGCTGAATACAAAAGACAAGGAAAAACAAGCAAGATATTGATTTTGAATTATGCTTTAAACTTTTTATTTTAAGCTGGTGTGGGTGTTTTATTCTAACTAGAACATAGTATCGACACACATTGTTTTGGATTACTCATAATCCTTTAAGTTACTTCTTTTATTAGTATATTATCTCTAGTCTTTTTGAGAAACGATTTTACAAAGGAGGCTATTCAAATATAAATTAATATTATGAAATAAGTTGAAAATAGATAATAAATTATTACTAATAATCTTCTAGAGCAACCAGTAGATCAAGAATCTATTTCAATAAAAAGCTAAAAAGTTGCAACTCAAAATATCACTGCAACATCAATTAACAGCAAATAGTAATTCTCTGACACTCATTCCTTCAAAGATTTAAATATAGCTGATAATAGCAACAGCTCATAATATGATTAGGTTTCCATGAAAAGATAAACCTCTGCTTTAAATACTAGTACCCGTTCTGATGGTTAGGATATTCGTGATATTTTGAATGCTAGATGCACTCCCAGCTTTAGCCAACATGTAAATTACTCCACTTTTTCAAATCAAGAAGAAGAACCTAAGACATATTTGTACGCTTATAGAGACATCAAGGTAGTTGGCTACAAAGCTAAAAACTAACATATGCAATTTGTGATTGAATATTTCCGTGGTATTAAAAAATTAAGAACCTATCGTACCCACAGAGATTTCAAGCACTTGAACAAAAAAATGAGTGAAGAGTTATTTAGATCTTCTCTCAGTCTTCCCTTGCTTCCTTAACGTATCTAAAAAACTGGTACTCTTGACAAGAACTTTATGAATGATAAAGTAGTTAAGTATAATAGATTCTTAAATTATATTGAGTATAATAAAATTGAAAGCAAAGAATTCACCAATTTCCTTCTTCCCATCACTGAGTTAGCTGTTTACGCTCCACCCTCCGAAAAAAGAGAAGAAGACAGTGAATCTTTCATTTCTAATTAATCACCTCCTGAAAATATGTCAAGAACTGATTCGATTAAAAATGATGAAAAAACTTAAAATACTAATATGCCTGTTTCTCCTTCATAGTTTTCCCGCTAGAGAGTATCTTCTGATGCAAGCTTCAGGGGAAAATCAAATACAATTTACATAATTAATGAAGATAAAGCTGATTCCCTTTAAGCTTCTAAAGAAAGTGAGACTCAACAAAAGGAAGTATCCTCATCTATTTAAGAAAAGCAGTTTTTGCTTATCGAAAATAATATTGAAGATTTCGCTAAAAAAGAAGTTGGAAAAGAATCTAAAGAATCAACTTTATCAAATTCAACACAAGCATCTTTGTAAACTCAAAGATTAAGAAGCTCAACAATCTAAAATAACAGTAATAAATCATAAGACAAATGTGTTGCTGAACAATCAGGTCAAAGAAAAGCTCACGAAGAATCTTTATTTACTTAATCAGAATAAGCATCTTTTGATTCTGGCTATGATCAAGAAGAAAGATAAGGATCAACTCATAGCGATGGCTAAGAATACGGAAGTATTTTACAAAATAATACCTCAAAATAAAGAATATCATTGAGGGGAAATACTCTTTTAAGCAACAGCTAAATAGAAACTCAACCAAAAAGTAAGAACACAAACGCCCAAAGAGATGAAGCATTTTCTTTCTCCCAACAAAATGAGTCAGCTGAAAATGTCTTTAAGAAATAAAACACTGGTGTATCTGATGAGTTAAAAATTATAATTAACTAACACAAAGAAATCAATGGAAAAACAGTAATTTACTTAATAATAAAATATTTCAATATTAATCTTAATTTAAAATAGTTCTATGAAATTTTATTCTTCAAAAATGGAAAATAATTGCACAACATTGATAAGAGATACAATGACTTTAAGGAATTCCACTTAACAGTATCTATTTAATTTATTTTTTTTTAATTTACACTTTGTGTATACTTTCTATTACACAAAATTAATTTTGGTATAGAACTAAATTATTTATTTTTTATTTTAGATGAAGAGCTAATTAAAGAAGAGTAACTTAGTAAACCTATTACCTCAATTGCCTTACAAGCCCAAAAACTCTTAAAATTTAGTAGACTTTAGAAAGCAAAACTTAGCTAAGTACCTCACTGAATTGAAGAACATACCAGTCATATCAAATTCAGAGCTTTTCTAAAATTTCACAGAGATAAGTATTTGAGAGTAAGAGAGAAAAACTTCCTCATCTCTTTTGATTCCTTTTCATAATAAAGAAATTTGAAAATTTCAAGCATTAAAATATGCTAACCTAGAACATAATTAAGCAACTTAAAGAAGCAAGTTTAGATATCTTATGTATACATTCATAGCAGATAAAATAAAGCTTTACAAAAAAAAAAAGTATCTAAATGGAATTGAAAGAGAATATTTATATATTTATATTTTACAAAAAAGTATATAAACAAAAAAAATAATTATATAAAACAATAAGTTTATATTTATAGATAGAAATAATTAAAAAAATCCATCTTTGAAAAACTGTATACATATATACATTCATTTATATTAAGAAATTCTTCTATTTTAACAAATATCTTTGAGTTATAAATAAAATATCATTTCCTCTTTCCCTTCAACTTTTTTCTATGTTTAATATAATTAAATAAAATCCTTCTATATTCAAATCACTAATTAATAATCAACATCTACAATTATAAAAGCAACACCATTTTTGTTTTCTACTAAAAATATTCTATAAATTTATTTGTCTATATCCTATTAAAGAGTTATTTTCTTTCTACATTATGAGTAACAAACCTTTGGCATTAAAAATTAGCATAATAAATAATTACCTCATTTTAAATAAAACAGAAAACTATTTATTTATTTTTTAAATTATTTCTTAATCTCAAAAACAAAAAGAATTCTATTCTAAATTTATTTTCATTAGATCAAAATTTTATTTGCAAATACATAACTCATTATTCCAATTTTAGATTTTTTTGTCTTTTTTTCAGTGGTCTTTCATCCATTTTATTATTAGAAATCTAAGATTTCTACATTTTTAATTAGATTTAATTGTTTAGACTTTTTAATTTTTATTTTCAAAAAGCTATTTTTATTTTTTATTAAATTTGATAACAATATTTAATTGACTTTTTTAATTTAAAATATAAATTAAAATGTTTTATTAATATCAAAATAAAAGAAAATTTTTATTTTTCTATAATTTAAATTTCATATATGACATTTAGAAAACTTAAAAACAACTTTCAAATGAACCTTTAAAATATTTTCACAAATAAAAAAATAGATCAAATAACTGATTAACAAATAAAAGAAAGTAAAATAAATTTAATTGTTTGCTTAATTTATAGCTCAAACTAAAAGATTATATTGCTTTTATAATCTGTAATACTATATCATATCTTTAAAAAGAGAATATAAAAAAGCTTCAACAGGTTTAAAAGACTAAACAAAAGAAGTATTTAAATGAGGATTTTCATATATTTTATATATTCTTTCAGCTTATTTGAGAAAAGTATCATCTTTTACATATTTAATTAGATTGTAATAATTCAAGACTGTAGCATTAAATGCGCTAAAGCTTTCCATAATCTTAAATGTCACGTATTCATTAATATATTTTAAATCTTAATTATTATCCAAATAGTTTAAGTTAAGTGGAGGTATGTCTTTTAAACAGTAAATAATTCCTGCTATCATATCTAAAGACTCACACTTTTCTAATTTTTACTTTTTTAAATCGCTCATTTTAACATCTCTCAGTAAATCTGAAGTGTTTTAAAATATAGACTTCATTTAAATTTCTATTTAAGCCTTTTATTGCAACATAATCTTCAAATAAATTTTAAATTAATTTTTCAAAATTTAGCAATTATATTATAATTGTTAATATAATTGTTAACATATAATTAGTTTCAAATTCATTAATCAATTCTGGAAATTCATTTTTTTAAATAAGATTAGAAATATATTTTGCTTATATTTGAATATTAAAGTGGGATCATTATAGGAATTTCAAAGAAGCATTCTCCCTAAAATTCCTATTGATCATTAAACTGAAGATCTAAAAATTAATAATTATTAATTGAAATGAGAAATTTCACCACTGAAAATAATAAACAAACATTGATAAATTTGCTCTATTTACATTTATAAAATATTTTTTTAATTTACAAAATTCAATTTTAGAATTAAAAAATTCAGTTTTCTTAAATTTTAAGCAACTTTTCAAGTTTTTTTGCTTTACTGATATAGTAGTTAGACTCTTGAGTATCTCCTTTTTCTTCCCACATTAAAGCTATATCTTGGTAGTCTAACAAAAGTTCTTCTGTGGGATTATCTTTATCTAACTTTTATCTTATTTAGATTGCATCATACAGGTTGTCAATAGCTAAATCCAAGTTATTTAATGATTTATAAATCTTACTGATTAATTCAAAACTTTAAGTTTAGCCTTGTTCTTCATTCATTTCTTAAAAGAGAAGAAGAGCTTAGCTACACTTTTTTAAACTCTCTTCAAACTGCCCTAACGAGTGAAGTATTCTACTTAATGAGTGCAAAGCTATTGCAAAATCAATAGTATTTTTCTTTCCATATTTTTCTAAAGAGGCAACACATTTTTAAGAATATTCGAGAGCTTTTTAATAATCAGCAATATCTTCATCTTAGTAAATTGAAGCAATCATTCCTAAGCATATTGGTAAATTTTCTTTATCATTTAGTTTTTAAAATATTTCCTCAGCTTTTAAGGAATAGCTGATAGCCTAATCAAACATTTGTAAGTCCTTGTAAATGCTACTAATATTCATCAAATTTTTTGCTATTTCACTATTATATTAATTACCAAAGTAAGCTTCATTCATTTAGAGAGAAATAAGTGAATGTTCTAAACTCTTATCAAGTTTTTCATCTCCTTCTTATTAATAGCTAGTACTCAAATTGTTGTGTATTTATGCAATCAAACGTTATGATTTATATGGAAATTTATCTTATATTTCAGCCATATCTCTTAGACATTAATTTAATATGTCTTAAGCCTCTGTAAACTCAAAGAGATCCTGTTTAATATTAGCTAAATTTATATTAACAATTTATTTATACAGACTTAATTCTTCTCCTTAAAAAATATTTGTAAGCAAAGAATTAGACTTCTTTAGGTTTTCTATTGCCTCGTCTCTCTTACCATGCAAGCTCAATAATGTACTTGAATTAACGTAGCAATTAAAAAGGTAAAATAAAAAATTATTTTCCTTTTTATTCTATTCAAGTTAAGAAATTATGCTCAAGATAGTTTTTAAAGAAATTTCATACTATTAACTCTGATTGTATAGATAAAAGAGCAAAATATCCTTCTACAAATTGATAAATTTATTTTCACTTTTGAAATTGATTGCTTATTATATAAGCTCATCTATGTCTTCTGTCATTTTTTTTATCAAACATCTATTCAAGAACTAAAATTCATCTTAAGCACCTTATTCTATTATTTCTAATAGCGCATTTATTTATACCTTCCTCCAATCAATGATATTGTTTAATATTAAAAAAATTTAACCTTAAATAGGTATTTTTGCTAAGTTCATATCTTCACTAGTCTATTATGATAAATTCAAATCTTAGTAATAAGTTGCTACATTATAAATTTCTTATTTTGTAATATAAGCTTTTATCTAAATTTTATCTAATAGTTAAATTTCATAAAAGGAGGTATTCCCTATTTATTTTAAAAGTTAGATTGATAACATTTAAAATTAAATTTTGTTTTAGTGTGTTAATTTTTAATTAAAAAATGTGGAATCAATAAATTTATCAAACATACATTTTGATTAAATAGTATTATGTTAATAGAATGCTAGATGTACTTTTAATTAGCAAGTTTATTTTAAAATAATTGTCTATATCAGATTTTATATTGCCCTTTATGTTATCAATCAGCCATTCCTATATATTTTTTAAATAAAATATCAGAACATATTATTTAATTTTAGAATATCAACTATATCTAACAATAGATCTTTTAAAATCTTTAGAAAAAAAAAATAATCAATAGTCTTTTTCAAGAAAAAGTGCGCAATATTTAATTAACAAATTGTTTTCAATTTATTATCTATAAATAATTTATCGTTTAAACTTTAAAAAATTTAGAAAAATTAGCAAACAGTAGAAGTTAATAGGAATGAGCGATACTTTTTTCTTGGAAAGCTAAATGCAAATAGAGTAAGAGAAACCCCTTGGAATTAATTCAGATGACTTTATTACAACGATAAATGAAATACAAAAGAATATGCAATATCTTAAAAAAGAAGAAATTCATACATATTCTGATGATATCTTGACTGCTATTTAAAATTATACTGAATTATAATAATAAGAGTTAGAGTAGCCTATTAAAAGAAAGCTTGCATAGTATTTCTTTGAATTTGTCGATGAAATTCTTGAAAGGTTTTTATGCAAAGCAAAGATTTAAGAATTGAATTAATTTGTCAAAGTTAGATGTATGATTTCGAAAATAGTGTAGCTACTTTCACAAAATTTAACGTAGGATAATCTTATTATCAGAAAGTGTCTTATCACTTTGTTTAATCTTGATAATAAATAAAATGAATTCTATTCTAATAATTTAGATCCTCCTAATAGATTCTTCGTAAAATAATTCACAGCAACGAAGCAATTATTTATTACATGATAAAATTAATTTTAAAATAGTATTCAGAATTGATTTCTGATTTAAAAGAAAGAAGAGAGTGGTTTGAATCTATAAAAATAGGTGACTTAGTAGATGCTGTTAAAATCGAAGAAAACTACAGAAAATAATGTTGGAGTCATGCAAAAGTTATAGATAAATCTGATACCAGAGTTAAGTTATCGTTTCTGTGTGATTCTAGTAAATATGACAGGTAATTAGAATAATAATAAACTTTTCATTTGAAAATAATTATTTTTAATTTGTAAACAGATCAGTAGAATGGACAAGCTATGAGCTTAGAGAGTATAAAAGTAGGTGTTTTGATTTTGAATGGAGATAACAACTCAAACCAGATATGGTAATAGATGTTTGTGATACAGCTTGTGTATGGTATCAGTCAACAATATTAGATACCAGAAGTGTAATCATAGAGGGAATATCAGAACCAATTAAGGAGTTATACATTGGTAACTAACTATTTCTTAGTATTTTAGAAGAATTAAAAAATTTTAAATCTAGGCTATAGAGTATATTGTGAAGATGGAGACATTAGAGATAGCTAAGGTAGGAACTTTAATGGTTGGACAAGCAAATATGATGAATGGCTCTCTGCACATAGTCCTCGTTTATAACAGTAATAGTTATTCTGCATTTTATTAAAATTCAAAATACTTTAAGATGTATTAAACATTTTCAAAAAATTTTATATTAAAAGAGAAAAAAAAATGTCAAAAAAGTTGTTTAAGCAAGCCAGTTAGAATAATAGCGAGAAAGTTATAGATGACAGCAATGATATTATTTTTGACTATGAGTACCAAAATTAATTTAAAAATGTTAAAGCAATACATAGATGTTAGAATATTTTCCTAAATTATAATATCAATTCGAGCTTTATATAGTTTATAAATGATTTTGGAGAGGGTTTGAATAAAATTTTAGACATAATACGTGATTCTAATGAAGCTGCTTTACTTTAAAAAACCTCTAATTAGAATTAAGAAAAAATTATTACTTTTTAAGCTCTCTGTGACTACATCTAAATTATTTATTATGTTTCACCATTTTTATTAAAGCAGTTCTGTATGGAATATATTCCATAATTAAGCAATGCAATAAAATAATGTATTTAGAGTATTACAGAAGATAATATTAGGTAGTTTAAAAGAGAATAAATCAGTGATATGATTAGACATTATGGTATCATTTTAATGAGGTATTACTCTATAGGATAAAAAATAGAAATTATAGAAGAGCTTGAGTATTCAATAGCTAAGATGTGCTTTGAATCTTCCTTTGTGAAATAAAAAACAATTGGTATGTAGCTTCTGACTTAAATTGTATAAAAGTTTCAGAAAAATTCTAAAAAATCTATTCAACTAAATGAAATTGTAAAAAAAATTATAAGAAATTATTTTTTAACTTAATTCCTTCATAAAATTTATAGAAATAAGAAATCGAGAAAAATAAATATATTGAATAGCTTTTTAATGAAGACACTCATATATAATTGCTAGAAAAATGCACAGATTTATTCATTTTTTTGATAGAGTAAAATTTATTTAATGAGAATAACATGAAAAATTTATGGAAAGTAATTCAAAAATCTCATGACGACACTAGAATTTGCTACTATAATCTTCTAAAATAAGTGACGAAAAGTTTTAAAGCACATCATATCTAAGCTTTGTACGAAGAGTAATTAATATAAATTATAAGATAATTCTTAAATTTGATTTTATTTTTTTATTATTTAAAGAATAAATTTATAAGAAGAAAATAAGTACAAATAATATGAAATAGATATATTATTTGAAATTTGCTTTCAAGAAAAAGGTTTTTTTTCAGAAAAGTATAGTTTTTAAATTCAAATATATAACATGATTTGGGATTACATAAATACTTTTAATGAGGATATATACAATGCATAAGGTAATCATTCTTAATTTGATAGAAATTTTTAAAAAAGGCTTTTGTTAAAAGATTTAGAAAGATCCAAAATGAAGTTAATTGTTGACAAATTTTGTTAATTAGTCAACGAAAAAAAAAAAGAGAAGGAAATTAAATTTCTACAAAATCAGCTTATTGATAATATAAAGGAAGGAAGGAATACTTATTTTTCACTTGAAATATTGGAATCAGTTATGTCTTAGTTAAATGTGTATTTAGAATCACAAATAAAAGAATGTGAAAATTTAGAAAAAGAATATTTCAATATTTTAGAATCGTAACCATAAGATAATTAATAAACTGTTATATAATTTTCAGAAGCAGTTCAGGCTAATAACAGTTAAAATACTGGTGATAGCTAATAAATTGAAAATAGTGGTGGTCAATAATCAAATCTTGTTAACATCACAGATTTATAAATGGAACTAGAAAACGAAATCAATAATGAAGATAACGAAATTTGGTAAAGATTCCCTAATTTGAGACTCTTAAGCTAGCAAATTAGTGAATAAAGCTAGCAGTAAGATCAATAATTATCCCCTTCTTAGCATATACAAGTAATATTTTATTTATTAATTTTTTTTAAAAATGAAAATGCGTTTTTTTAATTTCAAAAAATATAAATTGAATAGAGCTCAATAAACAAAGAATTGTTTATGAGCAAGCTAAGAGAAAAGGAAAAAAATTATATGAGAATTTAGATTTGCAAAAAATAAATAAAGAAAAAAGAATAAGATAGAAAGTAAAAGTGTTTAGAGATAAGATAAATTATCATAGAGAATCTGAAGCATTTAAAAGGTAAGTATAACTTATAGCAGTTAGAAAATTCTCCATAGCTTACAAGATCATACATTTCTTAGATTGAAAAACGCATCAATTTTTTAAGCTTTATTAATGAAGAGTGTTAAACTTAAATTTTAGATTATGAGCTTTTTTCCCAATTGTTAATAGAGCTTATAGAAAATCAGTTAGTAAAAGCAGAGAGTGAATTTTTCTATAGGTGGCTGAAAAGGAGTAATAAAAGGAATAAGGGAATCATTCCTTATATTAAACAGTTTTTTTTAGATAAAGTTATTAAAGATGATCACTTTATTTGTACACTTTCTTTGGAAGGCTTTGATTGTTTTAAGTCTCTATTTGTTCAGATAAATTACGAGATTGGAAACATTATAGCGATTGATGACAACCCATAATTGAAATGTATTAAAGATACTTCTGGGGGAAATAAATTGAACAAAAATAAAAATGTTGATGACTCAGACCTAATTTTTGGGGAATTTAGAGTTGATTTTCTATACTTACTAAATACTAATCCATAATTGCTTGAAGGATTGGATTTCTTATGGAAAATAGCCTTTTTAGCATAAAATGAAGATGTTTTTGACTCAGGGGCAAAATTTTTAGTCAATCTCTACTTGAAAACCACTGAAAATCTAGAAGATTAAGTTAAAGAGATTCGAAACCAGTTTTTTGAAATTTGTTTTAAAAATATTACTGAAAAAAAATATTTAGTAAGAACATTTTAACTGATCCACTATTTCCTAGATTATTCAGAATTGGTAAATATTATTAATATTAATAATCATTAATAATTCTTTAAATTTTTTAGAAAGGAATAGGTGACTTGATACCTCACTCCTCTGAAACTTTTGTTGAAAAGAATACTTTGATTATTAAAAACTAACTACCTGAATCAGCAAATGTATTATAAATTTAAAAAACATTTTAATTTCCATGCTCCTATAAAACGACTTTATACTAACTGAGAGTTGATCTATCATAAATATTTAAAATTAACATTGATGAAATGTTGATTTTAGTTCCTGGTAAAAATGAATCCTATGGAACAAGCATCGCTCTAAAAGATTTTCTTAATGGTTATACTTTATAGGCTTTAGAGTTTTCAAATAATCAAAATGTGATAGTGTAAAAACAAGAAAAAAAATGGAGTCATCCTATTAAGCTAATCAGAGATAACGATTCTCTCACAAAAAAAGCATCAGAACTTTTTAAAGAATGGTTTAAAGCTTACAGCGAAAACGGAAGGATGTCTATGCAGAATTGTGCTCACTTCATAGAGTCTTGTACTAAAGATGTTTGTAAAGTGGATGATTATAGAGTTATAGACGTTTTCAAGTTTTGGGATAGTGATAAAGATGGTTACCTCAGTGAGCAAGATTTCTTAGAATTTTATAGAAAAGGATCAAAAGACAAAAAAGAAACTGTCATGAAAAATATTTAGGCTCACTATTATTCTGATGATTTAGCTAGATTATATGTAAATTAATATTTATAAATCAGTTAAATTCTTATATATGCGATTTTTATTTTAGGAACTTAAGATGAAATTATCATAAGAGGACGTCTAAGAACTTCCTAGGTATCTACTAAGTTAAAACGAGGTAAAATTTGTTAGCGCGCACGAACATTTTTTAACATATTTTTTATATTATAGACATTTTAAAAACAAATCTTTTAATTGTACGATATGAATGAAAATATTTCAATTGACTTGAATAGGATGAGATTTTTAATTGAAAAGCTATTTAACAGGTTGCCAACATGCTCTTATATTAAATCTATTTTACAAAACACAGAGAAAGTTTAGCAAATTTTTGAACAAGCATCAAAATATGAATTTTTTTACATTTTAGAGTGTATAGAAAATAAATTTTTTGAAAATTCTATTGAAAAAGACAAAGGATTTTAAGATTTATAAGAAATAATTAATAAATTGCAAAGTTTATAAAATTTACCAAATGCTTAATTAACTGATAATTAAAATAAAGAAACTTAAATTTAAGAGTAAAGCATCTAATAACCACTAAATAAAAATGAGTAGCAAACAAATTAATAAGTCCATCAAATGAGTAATGAGAATAAAGAAATCAACTTAATCCTCCAAAATTTTGATGCAAATTAACAAAATAATTCTTCAAGCAATACGCAAAAAAATTCAGCAAATGAATTCATAGTTGATTTCTTTAGCAAAGGACTTTTTGAAAAATTATTAATGAAATTCTAAGTTTTAATTTAAAGCTGGAACTCAGTTAATATTAATGTAAGTTAATAAAATGGCATGGATGGAAGTATGCAACAAAACTGTAAAGAATTAAATTTAGATAATATCTAAATTAAATTATTCCAAAAGTTTTTTAAGATATTTAACAAATTTTTATCTGCAAATCTCATATCGGAATATCCTTTCATTTTTTATTTAAGGTAATATTTATGTACTATATTTATCACCTTAGAGGAGATTGACGAAGACCTAAATAATAAATAATTATCTTCAACAGATTCTTGTAATAACAGCTCAAATATTGAATAAGAAAATGTAGATCCTCAATTAATTGGTCCTCTATTGCCATAATAAAATTAGGCTAAGTAATTGTGTTTATAATAACCTAATATTGACAAACTTTAAGAGATTTTCATTTAATTTGCAAAGAATAATAATAATTTACATGATTATTTTTTGAAATTCTCAAATCAAAATATTACTTTAATTGTCATAAACACTATACTTTCAACTCTAAGATAAGTAGGCAAGTTTACTAACTCTTACAGAAACTTAGTAATAGACTCTCTTTTTACTTTGTTATTACTACTTTACAAGAATCAAGATTAATTTGTTAAAGAATTCTTGTCTTACCCATAATCTAATTTGCTATTGAAAGAAGGTCTGTTTTACTAAAAAAGTAAAATCATCAGACAAATATTTTCATTTTTCATCTTTTTAGTACTAAGATAGTTAAATGTAATTTATTTTTAAATATTTATCATAATTTTATTTATTTTACTTTTCATCATTTAGGAAAAAAAGCATATTATCAAAATACTAATTAATCTGATTCCATAGAACAACTCTTCAGATGAAATGGCAGAAACATGCACATAGTTTTTTAGTTTACTCTGCCTCATTTTTAAAAAATACAAAGAAAAAATAAGCAGTGATGGATTCGATTTCGATGCAGCTTTTGTATAAGTTTTTGAAACACTAAAAAATATATAATCAAAAGAAAATATATTAAGCACATAAAAGGATAACTTTTTATCAGGATATATGCAATTTACTGATGTAATTCTTAAAAATTCTGTAAATATATCATAAAATACTGAAATGGAATATTTGAAATATTTAATTAATAATTGCTTATTTGATTCAGTAATGACCAAAGACAATCAAACTTACAATTCATCAACCATTCAAGCAATTTAAGAACTTAGCATATAGTAGGTATTCACTTAAGTTCAAAAAATTAAATGCTTCCACAATGATACAAGGGTTTAGTGTTATAAATAGATTTAATCTCTTTGTTAGTAATATCCAGAAATTTTCCCAAGCTACGTGTTAGATAGCATTACTTAGATAATCTAAAAAGTAAAAAGAACTTAAAAAGTCTCGCCTATTAATTATGAAAATAATATGAAATCAAATTTAGGCTTTGTTGGACTTAAAAATTTAGGTGCTACATGCTATATAAATTCTATGATTTAGTAAATATTTACTTGTAATCCTCTAATATTTTCAATACTAGCTGCTGATGATTTAAAGGAATAAGAATTAGTTGCTAATTCCTAAGGAACTTTGTATGATGATAATATACTTCACTAAATACAAAGAATGTTTGCTTTTCTTCATTTAAGTATAAAGTAAATAGTTTTTATTTTTATAGTTAAGTATATGTTAAATTAAAAATAATTATCATTAATAAAAGGAAGGACTTTAATACAGATGGATTTTGTTTCAGTTTAAAAGGTTACGATGGGGAAAGGACCTAAACTAGCTTACAATAAGATACATAGGAATTTTTAAATTTATTAGTTGAAAGAATTCACAATTCATTAGAAAATACTCCTTTTAGAGGTATTTTCGACACTTTCTATGGTGTCACTACTATTACAGAGAGAACTTGTATGAAATGCATGAGAAAAACATAAAATGAATAGCCTTTTTACATGATTCCTATCAAAATAAAGGGAGAAAAGACTCTATAAGGAAGTCTGGAGAAAACATTTAGATAAGAAAACATTTAAGATTACAGATGTGATGAATGCAAATAAGTTTTTGAAGCTCAATCACAGGAATACATAAAAAATCTTCCTAACACATTAATTTTAAATTTATTTAGAATATCTCACAATATAGAAACTGGCTTAAACTAGAAAGACAATAATAAAATTACTTTCGAATAAAATCTTAACATGCACAAGTTTATGTATAATACTAAAAATGAAGTAAAGCAAGCAATTCAAGTTAGCAATTTTAAAAATAATTTATTTTTATATTAATCAAGATGGAAATAGAAAATATGGAGCAGGAAGATTACGATTATACTTTAAAAGGTATTGTTGTTCATGATGGAACTGCCAATTATGGTCATTATTTCTCTTACATAAAAATTGCTGTAAATTTTTATTTATTTATTTTTTTTGAAATATATTAAAATTAATTTATTATAAAAAGGAAAATAAGTGGTTAGAGTTTAATGACTCTGCTATTTCTAATTACAACCCCAAAGATATTGCTAATGATTGCTTTGGAGTTGATTCTCAAGAATTAAAAATTCCTAAACCTTATTACGAAAGCTAAAAAAGTGCTTATCTATTGTTCTATGAAAAAGTAAAAAAAAATTCAATAGAATTTAAAATAAAAAGCCAACAAGAAGAGGAAGAAATTGTTAGTAAATTAGGAATAAGAAATCCTATTACATTTTCTAAGTGGACATGCAAGCAAAAGTAAGAAGATGCAGAAAATTAATCAACCTAAAACTCTAAAGATAAGGATTCATACATACTTCGGGCAGATTATTATGATGTAAACTCATATATAAGCGAAACCTATAAAAATTAAGTTGCTTTTGATAATTATCAATTCCTTTGTTCAAGGCTCATGTTAAATAACTAATTTTTATCTTTTGCTCTTGATATTATTTAACAAGTTCCAGTACCTCATTTCTATTAATAATTATTATCTGTAAAACCTCTTAAACCTTACATACCTATTGACTCGTAAAAATTATCTTAAGATAATTTAATAGAAATGAATAGCTTTAATGAAAAATATAATTATTCAAAAATTCTTTAATAGATCGCTTTCATATATTTCAATTTTATACTATAAATGCAAGAATGTCAAGTAAAAACATTAACCAAGATATGATTTATTTACAATAAAAATTTTATTTTATTTATTAGGCAGCTGATAATTGGTTTGACTTGTTTTATAAGTTTAGCATTTTATGTCCTCAGACTTCATTTGAAATATTCAAAGAATATATTGTGGATAAAATGGATTTATTCTGGCAAGATATTTTATATAATAGTAGTGCTAAATAGAGATCGAATCATAAGCAAATAGTTCTTCTTCTAATTAATGTTATTATTAAATATTACAATATAAATCTCTTGTAGCAATCACAATTAGAAGTAAATAATTATTAAAATATTTTCAATTAATTCTAAATTTAAACTTATATTTTAGTAGTCAAACGTTCAAAATCCATAGAGTGTTATTTTCTAATTTTTAACAAACTTATTCTAAGGGCTTCATACCTAAGTAATAAATAACTTTTACAGATGCGAGCAATATTTTGATGTAATTTTTTAAAGAGCTAACAATCATTATATTGTTTTACTTTTTAAATAGCTTTTAAGAGATTTTGCCGATTCAGATAATATCTAAGCAGCATATTTAATTAAATGTGAAATGATTGAAAAACTTTTGGATTTTTATTTGTATGAAGAATCGCCAATTGTAAATAAATATTTTAAAATAAAAAAATCAAATCAAATTAGTGGAAATTAAGTACAACAATAATTTAATCCATTACTTGCTACTGTCTACAATCTTTTATGCAAAAAAAAATATATCATGATTATGGTACAATTTTTTAATTTTTAATAAAAATGATGGTAATTTAATATTTATAATTTAGCAATAAAAGGATTAATAAACATTCGATAAGGAGTTAGTAAGTAATTCTTAAGCTTTTGAAAGTATTATAAATTAAGAAAATTTATATAACCGAGCTTTAAAAATGAAAAGCGATCCTAATATTTTAGGTAGAATAATATCTCATATGAGCTATCAAAATTATTAATATTCCTACTTTATTGCTTCATTCATAATTAAAGGAATTAACGATGTAAAAATCTTTTTTGATTTAAAAAATATATTATTTAATAATTTCTCTTAATTAGAAATTTAGGTCAGATGATATCTATCACTATTTAGAAATAATGAGCAATTTCATCACAATATTAGACGATTACAAAATTTATAGATTTGAGTGGATTCTTGGCATACCTCAACTTAAAAAAAATTAAATTTATTCAGATTTCTCTTTATAATACTTTTTAGATAATACTTATTATGATTACATATCTACACTAAATCCTGATGGTAACTAAAATGAATAAACAAAAGGGTTTTTATCAAGAATTTTAGATTGTACTATTGGCTACGCTAATTACAGAGAGCATCAAGTTATCAGCAAAGTAAAATTAAATCATATTCTTTTTATCTGATTTAATTTATTTATTTATTTATTATATAAAGCTACTGTAATTAGCTGACATTAACGATTAGATTTTTAATTACATCCTAACAATTACACCAAATAATTATGAGTTAGGATATTTTATTGAATTTTTAGGACATTATATTCAAAAAAATAAATTGAATATTTTGCTTGATACAAATAGTGCTGCAATCCTTACTTAAATTGAGGACACTTATAAATCAATATTGAATAAAATTTAGTTTTAAGAAGAATAGCTCTAAAAAATGTACAATGATATTTAGTGTTTTAACAATACACCTCAGAATAAAAACATGAATTAAAATAAACCAGAATAAATTGAAAGATAGAGAATTTTTGATACTTACATTTATGGTTAATTTATTTAAACTAGATAAATTTAATGTTTGTAAAATATCTTAAATGTTCCTGATCTTGATTGTATTACAAACGAACATGATATTTACTATTGCTAAAATAAATTGTCAGCAGAAGGAAAAAATATAGTTATTCCTGAAGAAGTAAAAAATAATGGCAGGATAGAATTAAATAAAGTAAACTTAGAGTCAAATATATTTTTGCTTTTTAATGAAAAAATTAAGCATCATTAAATTGCTGAAGAAGAGAGAAAAATAGTTAGTGAAAATTAAAATATGGTAGAAGAAACAAAGTAAGAAACGGTCTCTGCTAATAATAGCATTTAGCCTAAATTTTCAAGTGAATCTTCATTAAGTAACTCTAAAATAGCTAATTTAATCGAGCAACAAAACAATAACTAAAACAAGCATACAGATAACTTGAATCAAATTAAAGAATCTGATGAAAACATGGAGGAAGAAGGTAATTTATTTTTAAAGTTTAAAAACAAATTTATTTTAATATACTATAAATCTCCAAATATTAACACACCCCGAAAATTTAGACTAAAGATTTTTATAAAATGGGTGTCTTAATTATTTTGTTTTCTAAATTTTTGTTTTTAAATTTGAGAAAATAAGAAAATACAGTTTAAAAATATAATATATAAAAAAATAATATTTGCACATAAAACATTTTAAATAAAATATAAAATAGTGGGATAGTGTACTCCATTATAATATTTCTAGTCACAAACATCTTTAACTGAAACAGAAATAAATTGCTCATCTATACAATTAGATTAAAATTCTAAAGAATAAGTCAATAAAGTATCACATCAACGTGAAAAAGAAGATAAAATTCTCATAAATATAAATGGTATAAATAGTGATAATTTAATAAGAGAAGTTATTCTTTTAAACAAAAGTAAAAGTATAACTTACAAAGTTATTCTTCAAATATAGCCAAAAAATTAATTTTCAAATCTTTTGTAGCTTTCTAATTTTAAATATCCCAGTATGATAGAAAGGATGATTCTCCCTAATACATCAGTAACTCTTTTGACCTTAACAAAAAGTATTCCACTTCATTAATGGGGAGACTATGAATTAAATTTTAAAGTCGAAATTGCTAACGAAGTAAAAGAATAATAAATAGATGAAATAGGTGGTGATAATAATAACAATCTTTTTAATGCAGAGTTTATGAGTTAACTTTTTAAAGACTATTCAGAAAATAAATTTACTCAAATAAATCCTGATCTATAATAAGTTTAATAATTTCTAGATGAATAAGCTGCAATTACTGCTGAAAATAGTCTTTTTGGTCACTTAATGATTTAAGAAAATACTATTACATGCAAGTACTGTACTATAAAGAATAGTTCTAACTTAACAGTTTGTGAAATTTGCTAGAATCCTCTTTAAAACTCTCAATGACCTCCTTCATAATGAAGATATGAACAATAAAACTATAGTTTTAATAATAGAATTAATTACTTGCAAACTTAAATGATAAGTACTCAAATATACTTTGAAAATACTATTTTGAGTATAATTAATGATAAAGCAGAATATTTTTAAATTTTTGTTTTACTAATATATTTATACATACATACACATATACACACATATTTTTATTTATAATTCAAATTTTTAATATTTTTATAGTTTTTTAAATATAATTTTTAATAAGATTTATTAACTTCTTTCATTATATAAACATCTTTGAAATTTAAGGTTAACCAATTCATCAAAAGAATAAGGATGATGCTCTATTAGGCTAGTTTTATATCTGTTGCATTTAATTTAATTTATCTTATAAGCTATTAAATTAGTTGTCAATTTATTGTTTTAATGATTGAAAATTATTTTTAAGTTATTTTTGAATATTATAGAAGGTTTTTATACATTTATGAGAGGTTTGTTTATATTTAGGATACTTAGCATTACAAACTGTGCAAATAACGGGTCTTTATTCACATTCACTTTAAGCGTGATTTTATAATTAACTGTAATGAAGACTCATACGACAGTGTTTACAATTTTCAATATTGTCCTCGCACAAATACAAATGTTCTTAATACTTAATCAATGGAATATCTTCTATACAAGCATTGCACGTAATTTTACTGTTACTCATAAGTCTATAAAAATTATATATATTCACATGATCGTTAGTTTTCTTTAAAAGCACTTAGCACATAGGACATTTAGTGTTACAATCCTCACAAAAATACATGTCTTCTCTTCTACATTTAAAGCATCTTATACCAAAATACATATTTTTATGGCACTTGTAACAATTAAAGCAATTTAAAATAGTTTAACCATTTAAATTCTTGCGGATTTTATAAAGAAATTTAAGCTATTACTTAATTTTAGAGCGAAAATATTTTGATGAGTGAATATATTTTTTATCCTAATGAATTTTTTCCTCTAATAATTGTCTATTATTTAAGTATATGTTTTAAGTAGGCTAAACTTTTTTTCCTTTAAAATTTCCATAGTTTTATTGGGCATTCTATAATTTTGCTTAATTAGTATTATTCTTCTTTTTTATTTTAGGATTAACTATTACTATTTCTTCATTCTCAATATACTCATCTTCATTAAATGTGTTATTTTCAATATCATAAAACTAATTGCCTTTCTTCTAACTTTGCTGTGTCATTTTCATTTAGTCATTTAGCTTCGTTTAGATAGGTTAAGGAGCATATTCTATAGATATATAAAAATGAAATTAAAACTAATAATTTTTAAAATATTTAATATACCTTCTTCTAAAATATCTGGATTGTTTTCCTCTTTTAATAGGTTATTTTTCTAAATCTATTATTAAATTGCTACAGGCTTGCTAACAGCAGCATTTACATTTTAATCCTCTTCTTAATTTTCAATTTTCTGTGCCTTAGAAAAGAATTGCTAAAAGTAATCATTATGAGTAATAAATTCATAAGATAAAGCATCTTCAAAAAAATAATCTATAAGTATTCCACCACATACTTCTAATTACTCTAATTCGATTGTTTGAAATCTATCAGTATAAATATTACCTAATTATCTCGCTAAATTTAACTACAGATCAGCTATCTCTTTAAAATTTGTTTTAAGCATTACTTATCTATTTAAGAAGATAGCTTTTAAAATCATGCTTCCAGACTCGAAGGACTATCCTTCGAGCTTATCAAAAACAACTCTTATATCTTACATCTTGTATTGCCAATTTATATATTTTTTATAAATAAATTATTGTTTTTGATCAAATTAAAATACTGCTCAACAAAATTCTATCTTTTTGAAGTAATTTAAATAGATTCTTTTATACAAAAAATATATTTCTTAAATAAACTTATGCAAATAAAACACTTAAAAAAAAATATTTTTTATAAAAAATATTTAAATATCATATTTTTATTTGAATATTTACCTCCTTTTTTTAAAATTTATTTATAAATTGTATAAAAATATTAGTGAACAAACACAGCACTTTCTGATCTTAATCATAATTATTTTTAATTTTTGTATATCATATCTGTTCATAATTCTTTAAATATTTATAAACATATTTATTTTAATTATACTTAATAGGTCTTAATTAAATTTTGTTACTGGAATTTCTTAAATTAAACCTTCAAAAATTTCAAAACATTTTCAATCATTAATAATATCTTAAAAATATAAAAATTTATTGTTAAATTCAATAACAATTTTGTACTTTTTTACTCAATTTTATAAAAATCATCATTTAGTTAAATTTAGAATCTAAAAATAAAAGTAGTTAGTGTAGAGTTAGCTGATCAGAAAAAGTTTGAAGAGATATATTCGAAATCAAGAATGAAAAAAAAATGTATATTTAAAATTGGTTAAAAGAATGATATATAATATCAGTTGTTTATTTATTATAATTAATTTTATTATAAATTTTATATATTATACATTTTTTTTAAATCACTTATATTAAATTTATTTTATATTATTTTAAGGAGATTTATATTTTTTAAGCCTATTTAATAGCTTTCAATTTTAGCTAGGATAATAAATTTCTTCACATATATTACATGCATTATCTGTAGTTGCATCTATTTTAGCATACCCTTAGTAGCCCCAATTAACTCCTTCGGAATTCTTAATTGTGAAAGTTTTTCCATCGTAAGCAGTAACTAAGACATATTGGTACTTTGTATCTTAGCTTTTCTTCTTAGAACAATAATTAGTAGAGATTATATCCTTGTCAATATCATATGATATAAAGTCTTCTAAGTTAGAATAATTTATTTTAACAGCAACAGGTTATTAGAAAATTAGCCTTTTTAAGTTATCGCAACCTGATTAAACAGAAAAGCCAGTGATGTTGAAAACAGACTCAGACTTATTATCGATAGGGCAAATTTATTTCTATGCAACGTAATATACAAGTGAATAGTCAACAATTCCATAATCTAATGCAAATTAGTAAGCATCAACCAAACTTCCTCCAAAACAATTATCCTATTTTGGAGTGCAATCTAGAATTTGTTATTCAGATAAATTGTCTTATGAGTAATTTTATGAGTACCTTTTCAAAACTTTTAAGTATTCTGTTCTTGGTTTTTCTAGCAAGGATTAATGATTTGTATTAGACAGTGCTACGATCTCTTTTATTCCCATTAAACCTTCAATAGATGCTACAGATGCAAAAGCCCAAGAAACATTAGGACAACGGGTTGCTTGTTAATCTTTGACAGCTGTTATAACACCAAATTAATTCCAATCTATAGAAGTTACATCATTAGGAATTAGCAAAGAATAAATTAAAAGCAAAGTTCCTGCTAGCAAAAGAGAAATGGCTATCCAGAAATAGTTATTTTTCATCTTCTTTCAGCTAATCGGTAATTAGTTAAGACTTAGTTTTGATAGATGTTTAATATTTATGGATTTCAAATAAATGATTGTGAAATATATAAAAGAAAATTTTTTGAGGTTTAAATTAAAAGCAAATACTAGATTCTAATTAGGTTTACCAACCATTTTACATTATTATGTCATGATTTTATTATTTATAAGAGTTTTATTGAAATATTTCTTTTATATTAAATTATTATATTAGGTTAAATTAACGAAGCAATCCATTTTATTGAAATACTAATGCAAAATTTACTGTAAATAATAATTAAAATTTGAATATAAAATGAAGTTAAAACGAGCCAAAAAAAATATATAAATCTTTTCTCAAAAACTAAAAATCAAATTTTCTGTAGATTAATAGATCCAAAAAAATTTATTCTTATAGAATAAAGGTTATATGAATAAAAAAATAAATTCACTTTTGATCAAATAGGAACATAAAAAAATGAAAGAGAATAGCTCCATATAAAGTTAGTGATTTTACGAATTTTTTATAAATTACAAATTAATAAAAAGAAATAAATATTGACAAAAAGAATAAGTTGATGCATTTAAAATCATTCATTTTAAAATTAATTTATAAAACTAAAAAATATTTAAAAAAAGAAAGTCTTTTTTAAAAAATTTAGGGTATTCATTTATTTAAATAAAACATTTATTTTTATTAATTCGTTTAAAAAATAACAAAATTTTTATTTTTTTCAATAAATTTATTTTATTATAAAAATTTCAAATTTATATAAATAAGTAAATAAATGTTAATTCGTTTTAAAATAATAATTCTGTGATGAATTAAATATTTAAATAAATTTCTATCTTAGTTAATACTTTAAGAAGTTTATTTATTATTCTAAATAATCAACATTAATTATTCAGTTTTTATTAAACTAAAAATCATTGATAAAAAAAGATTTAGACTAATTAAAATGAAAATCTTCATAAAGGATAAAACTTCTACAAATTTATTAAACATTTTTGCTTTATATTTTAGTGCAATTTGTAATTATTTTATCATCAAAATATTTTTATTAAGTAATATTTATTTATAAAATAGGTTTTATTTACTGCTAAAATAGTTGTTAACCTCAAAATCTAAAAACTGACACAAATTCATAGAGTTTAAATCTTTCTTCCTGTAACTAAATCGAATCAACAAAATTTTCAATAATTTTAAATTATAATCAAAAGCAACATAAATGTTCATGCTGTATGGATGGGTAAGTTCAACCTAACAAACTTCATATAATATTTATAAAATCAAAGATAGGTAAGATATTAAACAATATCTTTATAATATTTGTAAACAAAATCATATTTAAAATAATAAAGTGTCAACGATCCCGTTTTGAGTCTTGATTTTAACTATTCAAATTAAATTTTAACGATCAGTGGAAAAAATATTTAGAATATTTATCAATAAAATAGTTTGTGGTTTTTTTTTTTGACTTAAATTGACTAAAATGGATAATAATTAACTGTTTATTTCTCTTAACCTTAAATTTAGAGAGATTACTATAATAAATTCAATTTAGCTAGTTAATTAACTCTATAAAGTTCTGGATAAATTACTCTAAGTATAAGCGCAGCAAATTACAAAAATCTATAGTTTATCAATGGGGCTAATTTTGCTTCAAGTGGGTACCAGAATGCACAGAGCTTCATGTTTTAAGATTTTTAAGGTTATCTGTATAGTTTTAAATTGGATTAAGTGTATGAAAGAAGTTTACTTAAAGAAGATGTTTAACAGAGAATGTATCCTATATACCCAACTATTGATGGTCAATTAAATAGTGCAACTTATTCTAAAGCATATTAAGGCATTTAATTGATAAACTAAAATATAACATTAAGTAATGGATAATTCATGAGATACTACTCAACTTTTTAAATCTAAAATGTAATTTTAACAGACCCTTTCTTCTTAGGATTTTATTTTAGATTAACAAATCTTACCTAAGATGATAATAATATATTTTACATTGTTTCAGAGGGTTTGTAAAATCCTGAAAGCATATCCTTTGTCATGATTTAGAATTCTCTAAAAATAAAAATGATAGATAAATAATACTTACTATATTCTAATAATCTGTTTACTAATTAATGGTATTACTTATCTCTTACATGGGCTAGTATTTAAGTAGATAGCACATAAAAATTCTAATCTTAGATTATGGTAAGTATTAGGTAGTAATATAGTTAAAGTGCTTATAAATAATTAGTATAGCTTGCTTATCCTTTAAGTGTTCAATCAACTACATATTCCATTTACTTTGGATATGTACCTTCCCAATATAATAGTTAAAGTACAAATTATGGAATTTATGGTTACATTTCAAAAATTTTAATTGGTTAAGGTGGATCTTTAATTAGCAACACTGATGAGTTTAAAAATACTTGTAAAATCTAAAATTAATGCGATGTATTATTCTTAGGTTCATAAGGTACTTCTTGTCAGGTTTGTTCAAGCGGATATTTAAATCTCTCAAGCATGGATTCAAATACTTGCATTTATACTACATGCCCTTCAGGCTATTATTTTTCAAATGAATTTATGTAATGCTAGCAATGTAATTAAGCTTGTTTAACATGTTTTTCAGCAGGAAATGATTCTTGCCCTTAATGTTTAAATGGATATTACTAATATCAATAAACATGCTTTAAGAAATGCCCAGATGGTTTTTACATTAGCGACTAAGCCAATTTTAAATGCGAGAGTAAATTAATAGATCAATTTATATTTATAGATTATTTATTTAATTAAAAGAATGCAATGCATCTTGTTTAAGCTGCACAGGACCATCTTTTGATTAATGTCTCTCATGTAAATCAGGATTCTACTTGAGCAGTAATACTTGCTAACGTAAAGTTAATTTAAAATAAAATGAAATACTAAATAATAATATAATAGCATGCAGTTAAACATGTAGTCAATGTACTGATATGTCAACATGCTAATCATGCATAAATGGCTATTACTTAGATTCAAATAATTCTTGTATTAGTTCATGCCCAAATGGATAATTCGCAAATGTTTAAAACTAATGCCAAAGTAATAAATTAAGATATTAATAAATATTAACCATTTAAATAATATAGATTGCTCAATTCCAAACTGTTATCTTTGTTCATCTCTTACTTCTTGCACTTAATGCAATGATAAATTCTATTTATCTAATAATCAATGTTAAAGTAAAATTACTATTATAAATTAATGCTTTTATATTATTCTGATTTCATCCAAATAGGTTGCGATCCGACTTGCACCAAATGCTTTGGACCTACTAATTAGTAATGTTTTGCATGTATTCAAAATAAATACCTGTATAATTCTGCTTGCTTATCTCAATCTGATTGTACAGCTTTGGTAGGATATTTTCCAAATTTTTAAACTAGTGTTTGTTAAGGTATGCAATTAATATTACCTATATTTAAAATAAAATTTATTTTTTAATTAATTGATAATAGCTTGTTAAGGAAAGTGTAAAACATGCACTTCCTCAAATACTTGTAGCTCATGCATAAATGGTTATTATCTTTAAGATAGTAATTGCTTACCTTGTCCTCCATAATGTTCTTCCTGTCAAAGCAGCACAGTATGTACCTCTTGTTATTAAAATTATTACCTTGATGGTAATAATAACTGTTCACTTACTTGTCCTGATGGAACTTTTGGAAATAGCCAAAATATTTGCTAAAGTAAATAAATAAATTTATTTTTTAATATAAAAATTTAATTTCAAATTATAAAAGCTTGTATTGATGGTTGCTAAACATGCTATGGACCTACCTTACTAGAATGTTACTCTTGTGAATAAGGATTTTTCTTTTAGGCTTTTCAGATTACAAATAACTCATAAGCTATTTAAAAAGGAATGTGCATAGCTTGTAGTTAATTTTGTTTGTCTTGCACAAGTAGATATTATTGTACTGCATGTAAGCCTTTAAGGTTTATGAAAATTTTGCCAAATTTAAATTAATAACTTTGTGTTGATGATTGTGGTAGTTATTATTTATCTGATGAGACTGATTATACATGTAAAAGTTGCTAATCAGGTTGCTAAACATGTTCTATAACAGTTTCTAATTGTCAGACTTGCATCTAAGGATACTATAATAGTGGAGGAAGAGTTTGTAATTAATGCCTTTCAAAATGCTTATAATGCTCTTAAATAGGTATTTGCACTTCTTGTGCAAGTGGGTTCTATTTGTAAAACAACTCATGCTAAAATGCATGCTTATCAGGCTTTCCAGATAGTTCTTAAAATGTATGTGTTGCTTGCCATCCAACCTGTGTAACATGCTAAGGACCTTTGGCTACTGATTGTCTAACCTGCATAAGTGGTTATTACTTGAATCCTGCAAATAATATTTGCCAAAGTATAATTTATAATTTTTATGAACCTCAAAAATTTAGTTTTAATTAATTAATAATTAATATAGTTTGTGATCCTGGCTGCTATTCATGCTCTTCTAAAACAAATTGCAGCTAATGTAATAACAACTATTTCTTATATTCAAATTATTGCTATTTGGCATGTCCTAGTCGAACTTATCCTACATAAGTCAATGGTATTTCTGTTTGTCTACCTTGCACTGATCCTGCTTGCTTATAATGCAGTAATTTATAATGCATAACTTGTATGGCAGGATATTTTATTAATTAAGGAGCTTGTTAAGGTAAATAATTCATTTTTATTTGAATAATTAATTTTAAATTAAAAATAAAATAAGTATGTGATTCTTCATGCAACACATGCATGAATTCCCCGAAAATATGTACTTCTTGTGATTAAACAAAGAAATTAGTACTATCTAATACATAATGCGTAAGTTAATGTGCTAGTAATCAATATGTAGATTCTGTTTAAAATAGATGTCTACCATGCTTCTACAGTTGTAGTAGTTGTTTTGGGCCAAATTCGAATTAGTGTTTTTCTTGCCAACCAAACGGATTCTACTTAACAAATTAAACTTAATGTTCTATTTGTGACATATCATGTCTTTAATGCTCTGGACCTGGCTTCGATAGTTGCATTTAATGTGCATAAGGATACTATAAGCTAGGTGATTCTGTCTGTGTTTAAAGTTGTCCAGATGGATTTTTTTTGAATACATCTAATAATTAATGCTAAAGCTGTAATTAAGTCTGTTTTAATTGCAATGGACCTTAAAATTCAGATTGTACATCATGTGCTGCAGGTTATTACCAGAGCATTGTATTAATAAATTATTTTTTCAAATTTGTTTTATTAAAATTTTATTTAAAAAAAGTCAAATTAAAATGGCATTATTTGCTCTTAATGCAATAGCAAATGTTTAACTTGCAATGGTCCATTTAGTTCTAATTGCATTTTATGTAATAGCGGATATGTGAAGTATAATTCTTAATGCCAAACTTTTTGTCCTTAAGGATATAGAAGTATAAAAGGAGTTTGCATTTAATGCCCATCTAATTGCGGATACTGTGTTAACTAGAGCTTGAATAGTAATTCATAAGTGTGTACTTAGTGCCTGTAAAACTATATTCTTAATTAACTCGATAATACTTGTGTTTAAGTTTGCCCAAATGGAACTTTTCAAGTATTTATTGCTAGCAATTAGCAAGCACCTGATATTTCAAGCTATTATTGTCAGTCATGCGATTAAGGGTGTTTAAGCTGCTCTTAATCAAGTTCAAATTGTACTTAATGCAAAACAGGATATATTTTTCATGAGACCGTAAATTAATGTGTTTATGGAGGAACTTGCTTAAATGGATTTATTCTATACATTGATTCACAAACATAAAACTAATACTGCAAAGTAATTCTTACCTTTTTTTCATAAAATTTTATAAATATTTTATTTTTTATCTTAAAGGTATGCAAAATTAATTGTGTCTCTTGTATCCAACAGTTTTTTTATTACTAAGAAAATTGCTACAGCTCATGCCCTGTGGGAACTGTATAAGTTTCTTAGTCAAACATATGTGTCTTAAATCTCCTTCCTCAGTTAACAATATTAACAAATCCAGCATAGGTTACTTTCAAGGAAGACGTTACAATTGTAACACAAATCTAATCACCAATTTAAATTACTTCTATGGTATGGTCATTAATTAGTCCTTCTCCAACATCAGATTTAGGGTCTAAATTTTTACAAAATTTAATTTTAAATAATATTACTAACTTATACATCCCTCTTTCAAATATATCTCCTTTATCTCTATACTAAATCTAATTTACCATCGCGAACTCTAAAGGATCTGCAACACAAACGATTAGCTTAAATACGTAACTCATGCTGACTCCTGGAACTGTGAATTGTTAGCCTTCTTCTAACATTTTTAGTGGAACAACATAAATATAGTTAACATTGCTTAATTTCATTCATCCCTCACCTCTTTTTTATGATTATATCCTCTCTCCTATCTCAAACACCTACTCTTTTTGTAAAAAACTCTTAATAATTTTTTATAAATATAATCATTAAAACAAAATGAAATTAAAAACATTTTTAATAACATCTTTAATCATTCAAGAAAGCTAATTAAAATAAACTTAATTAATCCAAAACATTTTAAAAATAAAAATAAGGCTAATAATTAATAATAGCAAATAAGACATAATTAATTTACTTTAATTTATTTAACACAAATCAACAATAAAAATTAAAATATTTTAAAATTTTTTTTGAAAAATTAGAACGTATAAATAATATGACAGCTACTAATCAAGATTTGTTATCATTAGACAATTTTTTTGTTGTTTTTATAACAACGAATTCGAAATAGCTAAATTTAACTACTTATTAAGTGAGATAATAATAATCAATTAATGTTGTTGTGAATGTTTTTAATTAGTATGTTTTCTACTAAACAAGTTCTCAAGTGCAATTTTTAAAAGGTTCAGCTTTTACATACAATACTACTGATATTAATTCAGATCTTACTAAGTTCGATACTCTTGTAGCCTCTATGATAGCTAATACAAATCAATTAACCTAGCTATCTACCTTCATTTAAGATATAAGAACTTTGAAAGAGGTCTTATATAATTACCTTTAAAATGCTTATTCGTAGTCTCAATAATAAATATATTTACAAAAATCTTTCTTTTAAGTGATTAATAGTGATATTAGTTGCTCACTAAATTTATGCATGAATTCAGGTAAATGTGTCCCAAACTCTATATTTTGTAGCTGTCCTTCTGCTTTCACTGGACCTAAATGCCAAATAGATGTCAAAAGAAGTTAGTAATTGTCTTAATATTTAGAAGGTGCTCTTTCGTTGATTTACCAAAACATGGCTTCTAACATAAGTAATGATGGTCTTGTAAATATTTTAATGGATATTTCTTTCTTTAGAGACATGTTAGATAAGGCAATTTATCCTGTATACTTTTAAATTTTATCAAAGTATTTTAGTTAAAAATTAACAACAGTAATAACAAATAATGGTAATGTAAGCTTTCTCAGTAGTAAAACACTATCTTACTGTTTTATCTAAATATTTGAAAATTTAAATCCTATAATTATAAATTACAACAGTACACAACTTCCTGATAAATCAACGTTCTTATAATTACTAACTAATATTAAAGATTTATCTATCATAACTATTATTACAAGTTAAAATAGTCCGCTGAATGTAGCTTCTCCATACTACTTCTATGCTTCAATTGGAGTAATCACTTCTTCTATGTTTCCTCAAATATTGGATTAATATTAAAACTACTATAACACCTCAAATTCAGCTAGTTTTTCATCATCTCTATTAATGAGAAACTTACAATTATAAGAATAAACTTCTTAATAAACAGACCCTTCATAAAATAATGTAAATGTTGGATAGGAATTTGGAACGGGAATAGATTTATTGAAATCTTTATTCAACTTTCCAGTCATTGAATATTAGTCAAATCGTCACTTTATTTACTTGCCTTAGTCAACAATTACCTCATTCTCCAATTTAAGGATAGTTGTTGCTGAAATATTTGATATCGCTTCTGCACTGCCATATTCTAGCTAGCTATTATCTCAGTAATTCCTTCTAGCAACAGGTTTTTTCACAGTTATTATTTCCTAAAGCTAGTAAATTATACCAATTATTAACAATCCTAATCCCATTACCATTATAATTCCAAAAATGGTTTCTTATCCTTCTTTAAATTATGTTGATCCTAAGCTTCCAGTCTACAAGTAATTTATTAAAAGATTTTAATTCTTACTAATTTTTAAATATTTAAAAAAAAAAAAAAGTTGCCTCCATTATGATCAAAATAAAGATCAGTTTGAAACAAATAGTTGCTTTTTTTAAAGAGAGAATTCAACTCATATTGCTTGCTCTTGCTACACTATTAAATCTTACATAACAGTTTAAATTAATAAGTAAAATATACAAAGTCTACCTGTCTACAATGATATTATCCTCTCAAATAATTTTACTTTTGTAAAATAAAATTTTATTCCAATAAAAATTTTTTTCATATTAAAAAATGTTAATTTTAATTTAAATTAAGGATTCTTATGTTACTGAAAAGCTGAGAGTATATAAAGAGGTCAACAAATTTACTGATGCTAACACAACATTCTCTGTAGAACAAGAGAAATTTTAAGAGTTAATGATACTAAAAAACTATTATGGTCTATATATAATGATTATTATATCATTAGGTATAGGAGCAGCATTTTTAGGTTATTCTGCAATTAAATCTAAATATTTGGACGAAAAAATCAATATGAAAGACCATTCTAGAATTTATTTTTTATACTACTTCCCAATTATTAGTTTTTTGGTTGGTCCAACTAATTAGTTTGTAAATAATTACACTAGAGCAGTAACTTCACTTACTATAATTGCATCTCATTTTGCTTTTTCTTCAATTTATGTATAAATTCTACCTTTTGATATGCAGTCTTCAACTCAATAGATACTCACTTCAATTATAACTGTATCTTCAACTTCAGTTTGCATTTATTGGACTATAGGTATTTCATAACTTATTTATATTTGTTTAAAATTTTCAAAATAATAATAATAGGTGTCTATCATATGATAGTTGTTGGTCTTAACAATAACTTAAATGAAGAAAAAAATACAGGGTCAACCTGGAAAATAGTAGAAGGATTTAAATACTCGTTTGGTGTGACAATGATTGGGTTAGTTTTGGCTGTTCTAGCTTTAATAAGCATTTCCGTCTTTATTGGATTATGTGATGATGATTAATTTAATATTTGGTAAGATATAATAAAAGCTGTATTCTTAATTGACTTGATAGCTGATGCTATAGTAGTATTCATATTAATCATCGTTGGTTATGACAGTACAATAGGAAGTTTTTTTGCTCTTAGAGGATATGGTATTACAATATAATCTGACAATAAAGTTAAGCATTAAAAATTAGATAAAGAAGTAAAATTAGATGAGAAAAAAAATACAAAGTGAAAAAATAAATAAAGTGAAACCTGTCTAAACTGGGAACCTACCATACCAAAAATTTTGCACAAAATATACAAGTGCCCAGTTTAAAGGAGGATTTTATAATTAAAAAGTTAAATTTGGGATCAAATCTTTTCCCAATTTTTAACTAGTGATCAGTTGATAAAGATGTTCAATTTAACAGGTTTTAATATTTAATTTTTTTGTTGTATATGTGATAAATTTTATCGTTTCGATTTATAATTACATTTTTTTATTGTATGAAATGAAAATTTGAATCAAATTCTATTGAATTATTAAATGCATTAATATGAATAGTTTTGTCTTTTGATTATGTATTTAAAGTTAAAATTTTTAGAAATATTACTTTCTTAATAGTTACTTTAGTTTAAAAAAGACTTTGATTTTTAAATATAATTCAAAGTGCTAAAAAAATATATTGAATTGAAAAAAAACAAGAAATGAAACAAAAATATGAAAAATAAATGAAAGATGAATAGTTAGTTTAAAAATAAAGAATGAAAGAAATATATCTATATATATAATTTTAGTAAATGAATGAATTAACAAAATATTAAATTTGCTTTTTATTTATTGATTGATTGATTTATTTATTTATATATTTGAAGATGAATAATTTTAAGATGCATTGATTGTTATTTTATTTATGTAATTATTATCTCATAATGTTTTTTTTTGATGCAATTCAAAACTCTATCAAGATAATCAGTCATTCATGCTAATTAATACTAAATTTTATTTATTTTTTTTATAATTTTCAAAAATATGTGGCTACTTTCTTACTTACAAACCAACCAACCTATTAGATCTTAAAATTTTGCTCAAAGTGCCTATACTATTTATTGTATAAGATCAGTGATCAATTTTCATGCATTTATATTATTTATGAGTAATTGTTTTAAATTTCATTACTTTTATTTTATAATATTTGTTGCTAAATTATCCTTTAAGTATAGCTATTAATGTAGAAATTTGTTTGTATTAAGAAAAGGAATTTATGTGTTTATTTTTATTTACAATGTTCTCCATTTTCAGTAAGGATTAGAACTGAATACATTTGTAGGTTGGAATGCATTATTTTAAGGTATGTCTAGCCCTTAACCAAACATGAAACTATTTGTGCTGTTAGTCTATCCTTATGTTGTTAACTCTTAGAGTATTCCTGATGACTTAGAAAAAGGATCAGGTAAGAAAGATTGCATTTAGCTATTCACTTATTGCATTTCTTGCATGAGTTAATTAGGAATGGTTCCATTTTAAGCTAATTACTGTTAGAGGATAGCTAAAGTATTAGGGTCAGTTTCTTTATTTTCATCCTCAGTACCCCATTTTATGTTGAAATGAGTGATACGAGGCTATTTATCAAGGATACTACGCTCAACCTTATCAATTAGAATTTAAGGAGGATCATTAATAATAAGTTCCTGATCATTGTATTGATTGTAGACATAGTATCCAACACGGAAAAACTCCTGATTGTGGTATGAAACAGTTAGAATTATAGCAGTTACACCAAGTAAATCATCTTTGTTTGGAATCTTAGTGTGATCAGGTGGATTTGTTTCAATGGTAAATTAAAGCACTCCTTAATCTAATGACCCAATACTGAATTTATCAAGGACTTAATCGTATTTCTCATCTTTAGCAGAACCAATATAAATTAATTACCATTCAATGTCATCAGGTATAGGTTTGATACATTCGAAGGTTACGTCAAGTTTAAAGGGACTCAAAAAAGGGCAAGGGTTGTTATGAAATTGGATGTTTTAGATGTTGACTAAGGCCATTTTGCTTATTTGAGGTAGATAAATGCGTACTTTTTGGATTTTTTTCTTGTTTAATATTTATTTTATTCTAACGCGAAACGAAGTTGCTTCCTATAAATTAATAAAAATAGAGTTCTTTGATGAGCTGTGAAGCTTTGTGTGAAGATAAACTTTTTCTAACCTTTTTTCTTTCTGAAAATGAGCAAGATTTTTTTCTTACTTTTTCTTGAATTATTAAAATTTGTTTTTTTAATTTTTTTTTCGAAAAATAAAAAATAATAATATCTAACACAATCTTAAATATATATTTTTTCATAGGAAAACTGCATTAATATATATTCAACGCCTACTTAATTACCGGAGAAAATATTAAATATCAGGCATTAAAATTTTTTTGATTTGGCTCATATCTATATATTTTAATTTTTGGGTAACTTAGTTGCTTAATAGAAGTTTAAAAATAAAAAATGATTCTAATTTTGAGCGGCAACGTTAAAATTTTTAATTATTTATTATGCTATAGCATTAAATATCATGTAATCATTTTATTTCAATAACACCTAATTATTCTTAATATGGTAAAAAAAAGCTATATAAAAATAAGACTGAGTTCGTTAAATGTGTAAAATGTGGAGGATTTGTTATTTAATAAATTTTTAATTCGAAAATTTTATAACACCCGCTTTGAATAGGACATCTCAAACTTTCGAATTTTAAAAAAAAATCGCGCGCCTCAAAGCGAAATAAATGATGATTAAATTTTTATAAACATAAATATTTTCATGTAAAAAAAATAAAAATAATTAATTATTACTCAAATATATCTCAAATGTAGTTAATTAATGTAAGCATTTAAATTATTATTTAGGCATGCGAAGAGTAAGAGTACAATTATTCAGATATGTAAAATAATTTTAGATATATTTATTTTTTTATTTATTTTTAATTATGTAAGTGATCATTATTTGTTAATTAATTAATTTATTTATTTATATTTTTTTTCTTTTCTTGAATATAAGAAGGACTCTCTATTTATTTATTAATTCAATTTATTATTGTTTTTAATCAAGTTAAAATAATATTAAAATTTAAGGTATTTTATTTACTTATTTGAAATAAAATTTTTTATTTTTTTATTTTGAAAATCTATTAAATTTATTTTTTTTTTATTAATTTATTTATATATTTTTGATTTAATTTAATTTATGATAATTAATTATTATTCATTTTTTAAGTCAATATTTTTAATCTATGCATTTAGTATTTGGGTCTTCATACCATAGAATTTGTCTAATATGCTGAGGGAGTTTTCTATTGAACAGAATTTATCTTAAGCTATCAAGTTTCTTTTTATTAATTGTAAATCTTTCCCAATCTTCATTTACTGCTAGATCTATTGGCTAACCAATTTCATCTAAGAAAATAGGAGTTTTCTATGCAACTCCTTTAGGATAGTCAATAAAAATAATTTCTTGATTTTATAAGGATAGGAAAATTGTCTTTCCTTCATGATAACTCAATGAGTGATTACTTAAATTGCCTTATTCCTTTATAATTTAAAAAAAATTTAAATAAAATAATGGAAAATTAATTTTTTATACAGGTATTTAGTCTTATTAAAGATTGCAGTCAACAACGCACATTACTTATCCACAGATTAGACATAAAACTAGTTTCGTCTTAGGACTATATCTATTGCAGAGACAGCAAGGTTTATAGTGGAAACGATGGAATTGCATGTAATTTTCTCCTAAATATACAAATGAAAATTTAAAGCAAGGATTCTTTTCTAAGAAAGGTTAGAGTTTTTGAGTATTATTTAAATTATTGAGGTCATTCATATATAACTACCAGAAATTTTATGAATTAGAAGTCTTCATAATTGATTCAAAGTTGATGTTTGTAAAATCTTTTCCTAAAATATCCTCATACACCTCTAATTCCTTCTCTTCATCAATATATTTCTTTGTTAAATTGTTACTTATGACTTCTTCATTGAATTCGAACATAGTAATGAATGTTGCCATTACTAATCTCAAATAAGGTAAACTAAATATTTAACAGCTTAGTCTAAATTCCAAATCTTCTTCGTACATATTTTTAAGTTTTTCAATAGTGAGTTAAGGGAATTCTCTCTACTTCGCTAATAAGAAGGCGTAAAATATCTAAATATATCTTTTTAAAAAAAATATTTTGTTAAGTTTATAAAATTTATAAAATAAAATGGTTACTGTAAATATAATAAAGCAAAAGCCCTAATCAATTGCTTTAATCTATATTGATCATTGTTATATATGAGATACAGATCAGCTGCTACTTGGCGCCATATGTCATCAAAAGAAAAGTTTTATTTGAGTAATTTCTATGATAGGACAAAGTTAAAACTGTGGAACTTATTTAAGTGAAGTAGTATTCTTTCCTAAGCTTTAGTGTAAATACTGTAATCAGCGTCATGTACACATTACACCAAAGATAAATTTTGCAATATAGCCTTAGAAATTATTATATTTTTGGATAAAAACTCACTAATTCCATTAGAAAATGCAAGATCTAGTTAGTATTGATATGCCTATGTTAAGATTGTTTGGATATCTTCATTACAAATAAGTATGGAGAGATCATAAAATTTTTAAATAAATATTTTAATGGCTTATTCCAAGTTTTCAATGAATTTAATATCCTTAACCTTAAAATCTACTAAGAAGTGTTCTATATTTTTTTTTCTTGACTTTATGCTATCTTCCATATCTACTACATAGAGTGTGATATAATCAAAATATTCTTATTCGTTGTATTCCTTTTTTAAAGTACTGTGCTAAGAAGACGAATTTTCGCTAACGGATATACTTTTAAGAACTTAATCAAGTGATCCTAATTAATTTTCGCTACTGGGAATCAATGGGCTACTTTTGCTAAATTAAATTTTCTTAAAAATAGGATCCAAATAGACTAAAGCAGTGTTGCTTAGAGTTTTGCATTAAGAGCAAAACATTTCCTTTACAATCATATCAGGGTTAGGATTTATCACCCTCTTAGGTATAGTGTTTGGCATAGAATTTACCTAGGTAGTAAAGCATTTTCCATGGAAAGAGTGCATACAACTGCTTAAGGTACATCTTCTTTCAAAATTTTAGCTATCTCTAGACAGGTTCTAAGGTGAAGGTACTCCATTTAATAGATCCTTATTTTTTGTTAAAAATTCTTCACTGAAATTGACTTTATTTAGGTTTGTTGCAACATCATATAGTTGGCATAAATTATCAAGAGCTAAATAGCAATAAATAACTATCAATTCGCTTGTTTATTATTAACATATTTGACAGTTTAAAATTTTCTCTCCCTTTGCTTACTTCTCTGCTTCATTTTAGTACATTTCTTAGTTTCTAACCAAAAATCCTATTTTGTAAAAAAAAAAAATGGAAAATTAATAATTATTTTATGAAACATTTGTATTTAATTAGTACCTTTTTGCTTATTTTAAAATTCTTCCATTACTCTTCTTTAAGCATCTTTAGCGCGGTCAGATTTAATTATTTAATCAATATTTTAATTATTTGCCTATTAATTCTATTATGCAAACATGAGTGACATATTCATTCTGTTTCTTTTAGCATTTATAATTTCTAATAGCTTAATAATGCAATTCTTAAGCTCTGTATCTGCTTCAGATTTTTTTATGAAATTCACTAATTCTTTATCTTTAACAAGTGTATCGAAATTGTTACCAGTAGATTATTTAAGCAAGATGAAGATCAAGCGACAAAAATGCTTCATGAAATTGTGGTCAATCTAATTAGTTATGTTTAACTCTTTCATTCTGTTAGAGATAATTTAAGGCAAGCACTCAATTTCTAAAATATCGAGAGAAATACATTAATTGAATGCAATATTTTGATTATTTGTATTGTATATTTATTCTTGCAAATCAAATATGTTTCCTGCTATACAATCAAATACAGTTTCTTTTTCAGCTCTTTCCCTAATGATGGAATAAAATTCACCTTGGCGCTTACTATTTTTGTAGAACATTTATACATCGTGGAAGTTCTTAAATTAGGGTTTTAGTTTAAAATGCTACTCTGAAGAATCATAGATGCATATATCTTGCATAATTTCTTTATAATTATCGCATTCAGGATTTAATTCTATTTCTAATTTTTCCTTCAACTAAGGAATCTTGTAAACAGTTTAGGCATTAAATTGGTTAATAATTGCTAATTAGAATGGAAGTTTATAGTATTTTTTGGCTTTATCTCCGAATATGTTGTATAAGACATTTGCAAAAGATAGAACATCAGAGTTAATAATTAAAATAAGCTCAAAATATACCACTTCTCTCAATAGTAAACTCTTTTAATGAAGTTATTCAATTAGGTTTAATTCTTAATTCCTCTTACTTTGATCAAAAATATTTTGAAGAGCCATTCCTTAACCAATAAATTCAAGAACTTTCTTTTTGTCTTAAGCAAGAAGTATAGACATTTGCAGACCTTTACAATTTAAAAATTATATTGAAAAATTTATAAGTTATTGAAAATTAATTATACCTGTAATGTCGATATCATGTAGGCCAATAGTTGGTTTTCTGTACTCTAAGCTAATATCATAGCAGATTCTAGTGTATGACTTTTCTTTTCTAATTACCATTTCAAAAAATTCTGCTACGGAGTCGGGTTCTACATGTCTATTTTTGAAAAAGAGATAACAGGTTGCAAATTCTTTTGACATCCTGCAAAGTACTAACTCTAAAGCACCTGGTTAGCATTACTTTGAATAATTATCTATTAGGCCTTTAAATTCAAATATGTTTCCATTGCATTTTTAGTATAAGTAGCATAAATAAACAGTCATAAAACGATAAGGAAGGGAAAAAATTGGCCAAAGTTCTTGTTATGAAATTTCTTATGCAAGTTAAGCGTATCCATTGTGCTCATTATCCATACGTTTTCTACATTAAATAACCAAAAATTTGAATATTTCCACTTCAAATTTTTCTTTACGATTTTAATCTTTAATAAATTAAATATGATTCAAAAAGTAGTAAAGGAAGGAAAGAGAGTTTAGGTCACTATGCATGTGTAAAACTATTTCTTTTTCATTTTTGAATGGATGAGATCTACTATAAAAGAAAGCCTCAAATATACGGCAAAGACCAACCCATATTTCATCTATATTTTCAAATTCAAACTTATTTCTTGGATTTAAGTGGAATAGGCAAGATTAAAATCTATTTAGTTGTTCGACTGTATCATTAATAGTGACGTTTTCAATCAAAAATTACTCCATACAATCTATGATCTCTTTTCTTCTAATATTTATGAATTCGCTGTTATTAAAGATGATCAAAAAAGATCCTCTTGTATAAAAATTATAAAGAGCATATTTAATTGATTCGTTCCCTTAAATAACTTTCAAGTCATAGGTAATTATTGTAAATTTAGCTTTCTCTTCTTCAAAGAGTCTGTGAAATGTAATTAAACTCATCACTTAATTCATTTTAGTTATTATAGTAGTAACTGTTTGGATTGCAGCATCTTAATATTAAATGGAAAACTATTTTAAAAGATTAGCTATTTTTTCTATGTAGCTTACATTTTTAAATTTGTTGCTTAGCATTTCAGCAATAATTACTTAAGCTAAGAAACCATGACTACAAAATGAAGAAATTTCTAAGACAACTTTTTCTAAACTCTGTATGCTATTTATAATATTTATAATAAATAGTATTATTTCAATCAATTTAAATCTATTTTATTCTTTATTATTTGCAAATCAATCAATAAAATAATACAAATATTCTATGTATTGTAATTGGTAATAAATAATTTTAATGAAAATCAAAATAATTAAATTACTTTTTTAAACTATTTGTTTGGATCTGCATAATTTGATTTTAAAAGTACGAATCTATCTTAGAGAGCAGAATATGATCTAAAGAAGAAAGGTAAAGCTAATGCCCTTCTATACTATCATTTATAACTTTTTTAAGAGAGTGACGCTTACATGTGTAGCTACTTTATCCGTTTCTATTAGTTCCGCAAGCACAAAATGTTTCGAACGAGCTTTTAACCATAAAAAATCTATGGTTGAGGTGATTGGAGTTTATAAAGCATTCTTCGCATTACCCATATTATTTATTTATAGTGCAATCCAAGCATATAAACAACACTTAACCTTCTATTTTATTGCAACATGATGTATAATTTTAGTATTTGCTACACTACTAATTTAAATTATTAATCTAAGTTTAATGTAATTGCATGCTAGCTAATAGGCTTAATATTTCATCTTTCTTATTTCCTTATATCTGTGAATTAGTGTTTTACTATGATTAACCCGAATTTCTATTGGAAGGTTATCCAGATGATTACCTAGATTCCTAATTTCCCATTTACTAAAATATTAAATATTAAATTCTATTTTATAAAACTTAACTTTGATTTTGTCGATACTATTTTATCTTAATAAAATTATTATTTAAGGAAAATTATTTTTTTAGTGTCCTTGCTATTGATAAAATTATATCTTTTAGTTACTGTAAAGATATCGTGTATTTTTAGTAAGATATAGGGTATCAACTTTGGTTTTTTTAGCTTTGTATTGTTTTTAATCAACCAAAAGTACTTAATTAATTTAGTTAGTAATTTTTTTCAAAATTTAGTTTCCTATTTTTAATTAATTTTTGGAAGCTAATAAATACAAAACAAAAAATTAAAAAAGCAACAACAAATTCAATTGAAATTAAATGCAAATATAGAGCCATACAACTCTTTAATCTTATATGTTCTAAAATTCTTTTAAAAATAATTTATTTGCTTTTTTTTTTCTTATTAAAAATAATGCAAATCATCATTCGCTTGTCTCAGATTAGTTTTATAACATATGTGCTGATAAGTGATAAGGTTCCTGATTAAAAGCTTATATGCACATAAGATTCATTAATATTGATTCCAATAAATCTAAATTTATTGTTTATCTATAATCTAATAAGGTTTTATAAGATTTTAAGCATGACTATATTCTAATGTCTATCACACTTCCATATTCACGCAAAGACTCTTAATTTTGCTTAAAAAATTTATTTTTTAAAAATAAAAATATTTTAAAAATTTTTTATTTAAATTTAAAAATGTTTGTTTTTAGAGTAAAATAATTTTATTTTATTATTAGCAATATTTGTATTCTTTAAAAAAATATTAATTTAAATCAGTTTATTTTATAAATAAAATCTTTGTTACTCAAATACTCAACTTATAAAAAAAAAAGACTTTTAGATAGAAATTCCTTTATTTGTTTTTAAATTTGATCATGATAAAAATAAATCAAATACTTCAATATCGAAACTCAAACATGTTAAAATTATTTTTTTAAAAAGTTGTTAAGAAATTTAATTTTGTAATTAGATATTTTAAGCTCTTTTTATTCTACAAAAATATAGATTGAATAAAAATATTTTTTGTATATTCTTTAATAAATTTCTTAAAGCTCAGTTTAATTAAATAATTAACTCAAAAAATATCACTTATTTATTAATACTTACATGCAATCATTTGAAGCTTTGCTTATTTTAAAGTTACTTTGCTGAATTTATTTTATTTAGCTATATATATGATTATTTCTCTATGTCTTTACAATCTATAGAATTATAGATAACTCATACATTTTATGCAGATATTAAACTTAAATATATTTTAAAGGAATATTTGTTTTTTTAATAAAAAAATAAGGAACTTAAAAATAAAGCATTTAGTATTTGTTTTTCTAAATTTTTATTTTTGTTATTAATTTAATTTAGGAATAACTTAATTGATTATTTATATTAGTTATTAATTAAAATTTGCAAAATTATTAAGCCATTAAAATTCTTTATTCAAATTAAAAAGAAGAATTTTTTGATTTAAAAATAGTAGAACATTAATAAGAAAATATTCATTTTTACACTTTATTTCTACTTTTTATTTATTTATAAACAAAGTTTACTCTCGCAAAGTGTAAATAATTTTATTAGAATCATAATATAAATATAGCTAGATTACTTAGCAAAATTCAATTTATCTAAATATTTTGATAAAATCTATTATATAAAAGGAGAAACTATGAGTTTTTAAATTAGTGCATTCTAAATGGCGAATGATGAATCTAAAATAGAATCATCTACTTAAAAGAATATATCTAATATTTTCTCAGGTTAGAATAGCATATTAAATGGTGGAGACATTACAGAGGATCTGCGTTTAGGTTAAAATAAGAGATAAAATTTATTTTTGGATGAATTAAATAGTTTTAAAATGTCTTAAGTTAATAACCAACGCTAATTAGATGATGAAAATATTGAATTTGATGAGGAGTATTAATTTGAAGATTAAAAAATGAAAATGGCATAATTAAAATAAATAAGTTCTTTCTTTAATTCAACAGAATTATATAAGCATTCAGATAAATCTCCTTCATAGAACGAAGTATAAATTGATAATAGCTAGCTTTCTCCCAGAAGAAAATCTATAGTAAGCGAAAAAAATTAAAAGAAGCATGATTATATTTAATCTCCAACTAAAGATATGCAAAAATCGCATCCTTCTTCAAGCTCTAGTAACTCATAATCAAGCTCAGATACTGATAAAAATAATGATAATTCACCGTCTAATTAATAGAAAAAATTTGGTAATAAAAGAAGATAAGATTAATCTCGAAACGAATATCGTTCAAAAAGTGCAAAGAGAATAGACAAAGATGGAGGTAATTCAGTAATTTTTAGGAAAAAGAAAGGAGAAAATAGCTCTCGTTTTAATGATCGTGAAGGTTCAATTAGTCGTTATTTTGATCCTCTAAAAAAAAATAAAACTTCAATGTTTATGTATGATGATTAGAGTGTTAACAACATTTCTGCATAAATGTAAAACCTCAGCACAAACAAATAAAATCTCAAACGTCGTATGTCATCTAGAAGATAATTAAACCATAAAGCTGTATGGAATATGAAAGCTTTTTCAATCATAATGTTCATTAACAAATTAATATTTTCATTAAAGAGGGCACTTATTTTTACTAGACCTCACCTATTAACAACCTTGCAGCTTAATTTAATTAATGATAAAAGTGCAAGAGATGTTGGTGAAGGTTGGGGAACTAGAGATGATAAATTGTAAAAAATTATTGAGAAGGGAGTCTAATAAAATGAATTTTTTGGAAAATTTACAAAGAGATATAAAATTATAAGAAAAGCTTTTAAGAAGAAGTGCAAAATCTTAACTTAGCTTCATGTAAATATAGAAAATTTAGCTAAAAAAATCAACAAGAAAATACCTTTGTTTGATCCTATGTCATTATGGATGTCGATATGGGAGATTTTGATATTTTTAGTGACGTGCTTTAATTTTGTATACATACCATTTGATTACTCTTTTGATATGACAAACTCTGCTTTAAATGATTTGTATTTTCATAAAATATCACCAATTATTTATTTTAGTGATATTGTTATTAGATTTAATACAAGCTATTTTCATAGAGGATACCTTGTGTAAGAAAGATAAAAGATTGTGAAAAATTATTTGCTTAACCTATTTTTAATTGATCTTATAACCACTTTCAGTCTTAGTTCAGATTTTTTTAATTTCTCAGGAAGCCGTTTAATCTTTTTTGCAAGAATATTTTATTTTTCAAAAATACTTGATAAAATGATGGAACAGATTATGCTTAATTCTAAACTAGCAGCTATAGTTTCTCTAATATTACTTTTTGCAGAGGTTTAATTCGTAGTTCATATTTTTACTTGTGCTTTTCATTCATTAGGTAATAAATCAATTATTATTAAATATTTATTATTTTCCGTTAACACTTTTCAAACAATTTTTCTAAGATAAGTTATTTAGTTAGTTAATTATTTAATTAGTCAATAATTTTTATTAAAAAATTTAATAGTAATTTAATTAAATTAAAATGGCTTGTTATATTTTTTTTGAGAATACTTTTATAAATATTAGGGCAATACGAACTCAGCATTGGTAATTTAAGTTGGCTTTCTGTGAAGCAAAATCTTAATAGTCCTTTCAGCTAATATATAAATGGATTTTATTTCTGTACCATTACAATGACTACTATTGGATTTGGTGACATTACTCCTTAAAATGATACAGAAAAAGTAAATAAAATTTTATTATTTTAACATTTTAAAGTTGAAATGAAAATATTAAAAATAGTTATTTGTTAGCTTTATGTCGATGTTTGCAAGTGGAATTTTTGGTTATACTCTTAACTTCATAGGAAGTATATTGATGGATTTTAAGAAACAAAAAGAACAGTTTTAGTAAAAGTTAGCAGAAGTTAATCATTACATGACTAAGCATTCTGTTTAATCTCATTTATAAAGTAAAACTAGAAAATATTTAGAATATATTCATAGTGAAGGTGTAGATAAGCAGAATTAACCAGAGAAAAGTTTAGACCATCTATCTAAATTTTTAAGAGAAGAAATTCTGAAAGACGTATATTTGAAAAGTATAAAAAGCATTTAACTATTTGAAAATAAGTTTTGTCAAGCATTCAAAGAGAGATTAGCTCTTAGAATGAAAGAATAAATTTATGGTCCTGATGAAATTATTGTCAAAAAAGGAAATTATGAAATACCTAGAATATATATAATTATGAAAGGAGAAATTGAATTATATTGGGAAGTTGGATCAAATAAATAAATACAATCTAAAGATAATGAAAAAAAATTAAAGGTATTATTTTTATTTTTATTATTAAGAAAATTTCATTATTTTGATGAAAAAAAAAATAAAAATATTGAAAGAAACTTTGTTCGTTCAATAAATATTTTGTTTATATTTATATAAATTTAAGTTAATAATTTTAATTAATGAATTTTTCTTTAAAATTTTACTAACAACAACAACAACAAATAATACATCTTTAATTGGATAAATTATAGTTTTTAACTAACCAATTATTTTTCATTCTTAAAAAAGTATTTAAAAGAAGGATCTTCATTTGGTTTTTATGAATTCTTTACTTAAAACTATTAGTCTTTTTTTAGTGCATAAAGCAAAGGAGTATCTCTTATTTAATATATCTAATTAGATGATTTTTTAGATTTACTATAAGATTTTGAGAATGAAAAAGAAATTTACTGCTTTGTTAAAGACTCTGTTTTGATGAAAAAAGAATATAAAATGATTTAAGCGCCTTGCTATTCTTGCTCCAGGTATGATCATCTAATAAGTGAGTGTCCTCTTCTCTTTTATGATTCTAATAAAGATAAAATTATCAAAGCTTACAATAAACATTTTATAGAAGAAAGAAAAAATTTTTCTCGTCCTTTAAAAAGGATTAAATACCAAACATTAATAAATTGTGTATAGCAAACAAGTGATGTGTGCAATTTTAGAGATAAAGGTAAAAAAATCAAATATAACAAATCTTAATTTCTACATGTAAAAATAGTTGTTTTTAAGACAGAAACCGATTATTCTGACTCTGATGATGACGATGACGATGACTATTACAGTGATGAAGATGAGGAAAATGAAGAAATTAAGGATTTAGAAAAGAAAGAAAGAAATGATGACTTAGAATCGCCCGCTCGAGTAAAATAACTTACTGTCATAGAAAGTTCAAATAATGATAGTGATGAAGAAAGTAAGAAATCAAAAAGAAAACAGCCAAGAAGTTAAACTCTTAATACTGCAGCGATATAACTATAAGCTGCTAATTCTCCAGGTCTAGCTAATCAGGCAATTATAAATAGTCGAAGAGGAAGTTAATTAGGTGAAGATATACTCAGATAAGCCCAATAACGTCGTTCCCTATTAATTTAAGGTATTGATGACAAAATGCCATCCATGCATTCAATAAGTCGTCTACCAAGTATAGGTTCCAAAGCAAACAGGCAATCATTTATAGGAACTTAAAGGAAGGGTACTTTTATAGGTAAATATTTTTAAATTAAGACTTATATAAAAAAATTTTTTTATAATGAATACTAAAGGATCGAATTATGATAATTTAGGAACTATAAATGAAACTGAATTGACTGGGGAAACTAAAAAAGCAATAAAAGCTCAAGATGTTAATTAAAATTTAATAAAGGAATAACTTTATATAAACTATTAATTGCAGTAGCATTAATTATAAAATCAATAAAAAAATGAAAACTTTATTGAGGATCGTGTGTGTTAATATGAAATTTACTTTCCACATAATAATTTAAAAAACATTATTGAGGAAATGGAAAGGATTAAAAGAAAATGGAGATCAAAATCAATACAAAGGCAGAGAAGAACTGGTTTAAAAGATAAATTAATAACTTTAAAGCAACTTCATACTTTAAAAACCGTCTTTGCAGACAAATACGATATAGATACAAACTAAAATTCGCCTTAGAATTGATTTATTAAAATAAATTTTAACAAAATTATTCAAAAAAAAATATTAATTTGTAAATAAAAAAATAAATTTGTATTTAATTAAAATTTTGGCAGTAATTCTTTTTATATTTTATATTAAAATCATTTTTATTTATAATAATAAATTTAAACGTCATAGTGTTAGTGTATGAGCTAGTTACAAAATATATCAACTTAGTAAAAAAATATTATTTAAGAAGTATTCAATTATTTATTGTATGATAATTCTTTTTATTAATCTGCTTCAAAAAAATAAATATAAAGTTGACAAAGTTTATAAATTTTTAAACAAGTTATCACAAGAATTCAAAAGCAGATAAATACATTTCTATTAATTATATTTTTAAAATATTAAGAAATTAAAAGAAACATAAATAAATAAATTCAGAATTTAATGACCTATTAACTCATTATATAACTTCAACTACATTAAGTCATCAGCTTTATGTAGACAAATACAATATAGAATCAAACTAAAACTCACCTTTAAGTTAATTTATTAAAGTAAATTTTAACATATCTCTATTTAATTAATTTTTTGAATGTAAATTTTACATTTTATATTAATAAAGTTTATTTTTGATAATTTAAATTTCATTATGAACAAATTAGATTAAAGGTATATCTATTTATTTGATTAACAAAAAATATATAAAAAGTATTCATTTTTGTATTAGATATAACTCTTTTTGTTAAAATAAATAAATAAAATAAAATGGACAAAATTTATAATTTTTAAACAAGCTTTTATAAGAATACAAAAACAAACAGAAAACAATTCTATTAATTATATTTTTAAAATATATTATGTATGAATGAATTTAATAGAAAGATACAAATTTTATATATATTCACAATTTTATAAGCTATTAACTCACTTTATACCTTCAATCATCTTCTAAGCAAATTGGGTCATCAGCTTTCCCTTTATTTACTACTTCTTAGGTGACCGCTGCACTTTTATTACTTCCTGCTGCAGTATTATTTGCACTTTATGAAGCACCTTGACTAGTACTACTTTTCTTTGCTGCTGAAGAACTGGATTTTTGTTTTTATTTTTTTTAAGTTGTTTAAGAGTTTGTTTAGGCTGAAGTATTAGGAGTATTTGGGAATGCAATATTAGATTATCCTCCTAATAAATTTGCATATGCTCCTGAATTCATGTAAAGATTATACAAGCTTGTGGGGTCTGTAGCTGAGGAGGCGGAGTAAGCACTAGGTTGAGTGAGCTATGCTATGTTAAACAAGTTAGATAATTGGTTTGATTATCCTCCAAAGCCAAATTAGAATTAATTAAACATGTTTGAAAAGTCATTTTGCTGTTCAAGTAATTAGTAGTATTATTAAGTGGCTGCTGCTGTTGAAGCACTAGGATTTGCTGTTCCAGGAGCAGCTGTAGTAGTTGTAGCAGCAGTAGTAGGATTAGTAGAAGCAGCTGTGTTGGCAGTTAATGGAGCAACAAAGCTATTTAAATTGGTACTCGAAGAAGCTGGAGCAGCACCTGATGCTCCTACTGAAGCTGAAGTAGCTTAGGAGGTAATGGGTATAAAATTGTAGGTACTGGGATTACGTGAGGCAAATAAGTTAAACGAGTTTGAAGAAAATTGAGGTATTAAGCTTTAAGTACCTAGAATATCATATCCATAAAGAGTAGAAGGTAATTGTAATGTAGCTGATGTTGCTGCTGTATGTAAACCAGTAGATGAAGACTTATTTAAACCTTTATTTTTAATGGTTGCAGTTTCTTTTGAAATTTAACCAGTGCTATTTAAAATTTTTGAGTAATCATTAATATAAAGATTGTTTCTGCGACTATTGTTTTATTCGTATTAGTCTAAGCTAGCAATTAATTGGGCTGTAGCATCTTTTTTGATCAAGTTAACGAGTTCTGGATAGTGCTTCTTTAAATTTTTTGTTATTTTGTTGCGACAAGATTGTCTAACAGACTTTAACTTCAACTCTTATATCTTTTCTGCTTATGTTTCAAAGAATTCTTCATAAGTATAATCATCTGAATAGATATTTGCAGATGATTAAATACTTTGTTGGAGTTTTTCTTTTAATTTGAAGAAGCTGTCTGGAATTTCAACTTTTTCTTTAGTCATTTCTCCTCCTTTGTTAGCTTCATTAGCAGACTTTTCCTCATTTTCTTTACCTTCATTGTTATGGTTTTCTATATTCATGGCTTATTATTTTTCTTAATCGTTGATCTCCTTGCCATCTTGAGAGATCTAAGCAGCTTATTCCTTTTCATTTTTTCCATTAACTTAGGCATTTTCACCAGCAATTAAATTGAGTTTCATTTGTAACTACTTTTTCTTTTATTCAGATTCATCTTCATCTTCATCAACGATAATAACAGGGTCATCATTTGAAACTTTCTTTTTCTTCTTTTCTCCTTCACCTTATTTATTACTATCTGATGCTTATTGGTCATCTTTTTGATCAGATTTTTCTTGGTTCTGATTTTCAGTAGGTTTTTAATTATCTACTTCAGCTTTATTTTCTTTATTAGCTTCTACCTATGAAGCAGCAGCAGTAGAAGTGGTTGTGTTGTTTGTAGCTGGTTTAGTACCAATTTCATCATCGAAATCGTCTTCGTCATCACTCTCTTTTTTAAGCTTATGGATTTCATAATTTGCTTCCTGATCAAAGGATATTTCAGTTACATTAAGATTTTATTCTTTGAAAGAATTGATTATTTTTTGCATATAAGAATCTATAACAATATCATAGCATTTAAGTTTACAGATAGGGCATTTCCATTTTCTAGGAACAGTAGCCTCTGTGATAAGAATCATGTTTTCTAAGCTGAAACATTAAACATGTTTGCAGTACTTTCCTTTAGCTGGAGTTTTAATAGTGTTAAATCCAAAGGTGCAATTCAAGCTGACATTTAGTTTATCAATTTTGAATCCAGCATCTTCATCATCGTCTTCATCCTAAATGAAATTTTTATCTTCATCTTTATCATTTATTTCTGAAAGATCAACATCAACGTATGTTAATTTCTTTTCTTCTGTCTTTTCAGAAGGATTTTACTAATTTTTGTCTTATTCTTCTTCAACTTTTTTTAATTCGATTTCTTCTTCCTTTTCTTCTTTTTTATCTAAAAAATAAAAATATTTTAATTTAAATTGATTCATTTATTTTATTGATAAATATGATAAAATATATATTTTTTTTACCTTCTTTTTTTTCCTACTATTCCTCTTCAATATCAATCTTTTATTTTTCTTAGGTATCTTACTATTAATCATCAGTCTTGGCTTTTTCTTGATCACCATTTGCTTATTCTTCTATTGCCATATTATTATCATTCTCTACCTGTTCACCACTTTTAGCTTAGTTTTCAGAGGCCTCTCCAGTTTATGCTTGCAAATTCTAAGATTCTTCTGAGTGATTGGTATTGCTAGATTATTTTTATTCTTCATCAGGTTTACTCTCGTTCTATGCATTTTCTTCTATTTCAATAGCTTCCCCAGCTTACTTTCCATTAACTTAATTGCCGTTTTCTAATTCCTTATCTTTTTCAGTGTCTTTCTATTCATTTTAATTTTTTTAATCATCAGATTAAACTTAATTATGAAGTTGCTATTGCTTTTTTTATTCAAGAAGAATTTTGAGTTTTTTTCTCTTGTTTGCTTAGATGAATTGTTGTCTGATAATTTCCTTGCATTCTTCTTCAGAGCGAATAGGGATAGTAGAAATAAATTCAGCGTGAGGAACTTTTCTTACTAAATAAATTGCAAACACGTGAATTGAATTAGGATCGATCCTATAACTAGACTTAGTATTCTAATGGATATTTTCTTTAATTTAGATAAGGTTTAATCCCTTTTGGATCATGGAAACATCTTTTAAAGTATATTTTTCATCTTTTCTCTTTTTTAAGGATGAATTTTATTACAGAGGTTGGTACTCCTTTAGCTTTTAATTATTGAGACTGCACTCACCAGAATCAGGCCAGGTAGTTTCGTACATATTTTTTGTGCCGTCAATACGAATGCATCTAATCTCAACTGAATGGTTTTTCTTTCCGAGCTTGAGGTAGAGTTCATTAGAGACTTAAAAATATGTGATACAACCTTATCCTGAAATAATAGTGGGAGGCTGAATAACTTCAACAGGTTTATTCAAAGGGTCAAGTTTTTCAAGAGTACAAATAGGGCATTCATAAATTCGAGCTTATTCACTATTGACACTAACTTTAACGCATGTAGGATGGAATTTATTATTGCATGTAACGCATTAAATAGCTTTATTGAATCTTTCTTCTTCCCTAATTTTATTCAAATCACGATATAATCTATCACAACTGTTGCAAATACATTCATTCTTGTTAAGTTCTTGCTTATCAGCTGAGTTATTAGGTGCTACAGTAGCTTATTGTGCTTGCATATAAAGCTATTAGTTTTGATACTATTATTATTACTATTGAAGCTATAACTACTACGAGTATTATTACGCAGCTTGCTATTATAATAATTGCTATTAAGTATTTTAAGAAGTAAGCTATTAAGAGGAAAGCTAATACTGTTATGCTTATTGTTGCAACTACTACATTTACTGAATGATGTATTACTATTGTTATTATGATAAAGTAGCAAATGAAGGATCTGTGAGGTATTGCTAGTAATAATGATATTATTGCTATGGATTTAAAGATGAGGCAGATAAAACACCTCCTGCAGCAGCTGCTTATTATAATTGAAGAGCTGATAAAGTTGAGGCAGCTGATGATAATGAAGATGTTTAAGGTTATTATTGTGATGTCAATAGTTATTAGATCTAAGTTAATTGTTGTGATGTCATAGGATATTGTGAATAAGCAAGTAATTACTAGAGCTATGCTTGATTTCTATAATAATAATAATTATAATATGGTAAATAAAGAGCTGGTTAGCCTAAAATAAAAATATTAGAGTCCATAGTTGATAATTTAATTAGAAATTGAATAAAGCACAAATTACAATTTAAATTATTTTTTTTTTTGAATAAAAGAATATTATTTCTTAAAAAATGAGAATGAATAATTTATGTAAAAAAAGTTCCTTGATAAAATGTATTTTTAGTGTGAAGTGGATATTAAGGCGATTTTAATAAAATTAATTAGTTTGGGGAAATAAAAAATAAAAAAAAGTTATTAAATAAATAATTTGTAAAAAATTATGTAAAACATATTATATCAAAATTGATTAAGTGAGGTATTTTATTTTTTAATTAATTATTAATTTATTTAAATTTAATTTTTCCTCATCTTATTTTAGTTTAATTATCTATTCTTAAATTTCATATATCTTGTAATGAAAAATTAAAATTGGAACAAGCATTCGAAATAGTTTTTTTATTTAAACTTTTGATCTAGAAAAATACTAATTAACTAGATAAATGCATGCATAGAACTTTTGCCAGTCATAAGCTAAATAAATTTAACACTAATTTATTTTTGTATATTTGCTTATTTGTTTGTTTGTTTGTATTTACATTTTTTGTTTTTTTTTCTAAGAGGAAAAACTATTAAATAATTTAAAATAATTTGATAATTTCATATTACAAGCTATATATTTCTTCTTTAGCTATTTAATATTTTATTTCTTTTTTAAAAACTGAATGAATAAACAAATATGCTTTCTTTTAAATTAATTTTATGCTTTTCTTTTCTTAGTTATGCTTTATATTAACTAAAATTTCTATTTAAATCAATATAAAAATAATTTTTTTCAAATGTAAAAAACTGCTTACGCTTATGAATTAATTAATGGTTGGCTTCCTGACTAACTAGCTTGTAATAGTAAATACTAATATAATTAGGCTTGCTATGCAGACATTCCTTAACCTATTTTTGTAAATAAAAAGGAAATTATATTAGTTTTATTAAAAAATAAATTTAAAATCTAGTTAACTCCCTTTCCTGACTTCCTCTAGCCAAGAATTCTACTGTTGGCACATTATACAGTATCAATTAACAATTATTTTGTATAAAATGTTTAAAAGTAAAATTTTTCTAAAACTTCTTTGGGATTTTAGTCAAATTTTATTTTGATAAAAAAAGGTGCGCCAATAATTATAATTTAATGTCTTTAAAAGGTTGACCCTCTGTCTTAATTTTGACAAAGAAAATGTCTTTTGAATTAAATAGACAGTGATGTGAAAATAAAATTTAAATTACTTGAGGTGCCTCCATAGAGATCCATCAATTATTGGAGATACAGCTGCTATTACTGCTATTGCTATTACTATTGCTACTATTATTGTTAAGACTGAGTATAAATGCTTTATTTGCCAGCACTAAACTAATCGAAAAATCCTTTTATAATTTCTTTCAAAATAGGACTATTTTCAATTGCAGGATGACTAGGAATATCCATAGTGCTAGAGGACATAATCATCTAAATTAGCTTGCTTGAAATAGAATGAATCATTTCATGTTTTTTTAAATTTGTCAATCCTAAATCCTAACCTATCTAATTTAATTCCTTTTTAGGTAAGTTATGCAAACCTTTGGCCTGAGCGATGTTGCTCATAAGAGTTTCATATTACTATTTAGCGCTTGAAGAGAGAGCCATTATAGATATCTTTTCTTTCTTTTATGAACTTAAGTTTGAATTATGATGAACGACCTGAGTGAGAACAAAAACTACTTGTGTATTTATGGAGGTACCAGTAATTGTTTTGTATTTAATATATTGAATTGGATTAATTCCTCCTTTTGTTAATATATATGATTTTTAATTACTATTTGTATCTTGAATGATTATATTTTTTTTTCAAAGAGAATCAGATGCAATGCGTCTAAAAAGCAAATTAATTTCTTTCTTTTCCTTTTTATTTTTATTTATTTATTGATAGTTAATTTCAATGTCCCTTTCTTACTCCTAACCTTTATTTAATTTGCTAGTTTTATACAAACAAAACCATTGCATGCACATGCAAATGAGCTCTTATATAAAAAATATACTTTTCTCTCTCCTGCTCAATACGAAAAACAAAAGACTGAGTGAGTTAGTGAGTACAATTCAATGAGCTATTTCTCATTATTATTCCTTCTAAATATAAATGTCTTTCTAAAATCTTATTTATAGAAAAAAATATTCACTTTATATTTATAGCATATTTATTTATATTTCCTAAATACATAATTTAATTAATCCGAACACATTTTCTTTATTTAATCTGAAATATTTTATATTCCCTCCATCATATCCATTTTTAAATTTTTACTTTATGTTCTCAAAAAATCGAAAATTTGCAACATCTCATAAATATTTTAATTTTTTTAGCAAAGTAGTTTCTAGGAGTTTTGAATATTTAAAAATAAAAACGTAAGTTTCGAATTGGCAAAATTTTCAATCAATTCTTCTACTAGATAATGACTTAAGTAAGTGTATATGTTTGAAATCAAAGATAAATTTGCGAATGGATAATAATATATAGTAAACGAATCTTTTTAAATAAAAAAAACAAAATATGATGAGATTCGTTGAATTTCAAATTTGAGATTTAAACATGCTATTTTTTTTTTCATCCATTTAAAAAAGCGAAAAAATAACAACATCCTATTGATTTGATTTACAATTTTTCATATATTAAATTTTATGTTAAGCATAAAATATTTATTCAAAAAATTTCTTCATTACTCTTAATTTTTAAATAATATGAATATTTATATGTTTTGAATTAACAAACATACCACTTGTCTAAATTTTCAATACAGAATTTATCTATCTAAATATTAGTTTATAATTTTTTCCCACCAATTCATATAAAGACTTTAATTAATTTGATATTAGCAGGCAGGCGCGAAACATTATTATCAAATTAACTTAAATAAAAATTAATAAAAATATCAATAAAATAAATTAAAAATATTAAAATTAAATATTTATTAATAAATTATATTTTAATTATTCATTGCTTTTCCTCTTATTATTTTATTTCAATTTTTATTTAAATTAAGCATTTTAACATTTTTTATAAATATAAAATATTTTAATCCATTTTTTATGGAAAATTTATCTATTTCTAATTCAAATATTTATTGTAGCTTAATTTATTTTAACAATCAATTAATAACAATAAATTTTATAATTTATAAATACATATCACAGCAACACTAAATTCCATTTTTAAACTTATACTTACTTTACACTTAAATTATTTAATTCAAATATATAATTTTCATTTTTATTTAAAAATAAATGCATTAGATTTAAATTTATAACATGTTTTTATTAAATATTTTTTTAAATTATCGCAAACAAAAAAATATTTACATTCTTAAAATAAAACATTTTAATAATTATTTTACAAAAATAAACTTCTGTCAATTTAAAAAATTTTAATTATTTAAAAAAAATATATTTTTTGCACATTGGATTAAAAAAATTAAGATAAACCAATAATATGAATGCATTAGCAAAAAGCATAAAAATTCAATTAATAAAATTGATTATAAATGGAAATCTTTTTTTATGAAAAAAAAATTAAAAGCCTTGAATGAAAAAAGAAAAAAAAAATGAATTAATTATAAAAATAAAAATATAATTAGTTGGTAAGTAACAGTGCAGCTATATTTTTGATTTTTTTTTCTAATTTTCTTTAGATTTGTTTATATTTAAGATTTTATTAAGATTTTTATTTGATTTGGTATCTTTCATTTATTTTTATTAATTTTATTAGATTGTTATTTATTGAATTTGTCAGTTAAAATTTGTTTGTTTGTTTTAAATCAATTAATTTATTTTGTTTGTTTATTTATTTGTTTGTTTTTAATTGTTTTTTGGCAGGTAAAGATTTTTTTAATTTATTTATTTTATTTAATGGCAATTTTAATCAACTTTCCTCAATTTTTTATTTTTAATTTTGAACAAGGAATAAGAAAATATTAGTTAAACATATACGTCCCTTATTAGTTTTAAAATATAAAGAAAAGAGAAATTTATTTTAGCAGAGCAATGAGATAGTTTAGTTTCGAGCTTCAAATCCTCAAATATATGTTAAGGTAATATTTTGAAAAAAAAATTAGGAAAAAGATTTTTAGATGGTTAGATAACCTTATCTAAAGTTTTAATTTTAATTTTTGATATAGTCCTGTAAAAAGGAGTAAAAAAGGCCATTATTAACTTTTTCTTTCTTTGTTTTAAACATAAATGATTTTTTGTCTTCGGGATGGAATAGATGTTATCTAATCGCTTCACGCCCTTTAAAAAATTATCATAGCTGGAATGGGATTGATCAAAGTAGACCAGTACACGTTATTAACCGAGGATCCGCTAAAATGGATTTTAAAAACTAGACTTAAATCATATCAATTCTAATTCTGTTTGAAAGAAATACGTTTATAATATTTTACAGTCATTTCATTAATTTACCTTTTTTACAAAGTTTCTTCTAACAATTATTTATAAGAAAAATTAATTAAATACATTAAGAAAAAATAATAATTGATTGGATATACTTTATTAATTATATTAATAAACTTTATTTACAAAAATATTAACTAATTAAATAATTAATTAATTATGCACTCTTTTTCATTTCGGAAAAGTACTTTTTCTCAAATATTAAAATTTATTCAATATAAATTATTTTTATTTATTTAAAGAATTTTATAACATTTAAAATTTAAATGCATTCCAACTTCAAAATTAAAATAAATATTAATTTATTTTAAATAATTTTGTTTAAAATATTTTTAAAATAATTTTGCTGTTGTATTTTTAGAAATTAATTTTATAAATTTTTTAATGAAAAATTTAACTAGTTTCTTGATTCGAGAATTTAAAATACTTTTAAAATTATTTAAAGAATTTAATTTATTTAATTAGAAGATATTTACTTGTTTATTAATGACCATATTACCTCCGAAAGCTTTGAAATATAAATTAATAGAATTTATTATCATTACAAACTAAAATTCGCTAAATGATTTCGCGGTATTTAAACGCATTTTTAAAGATAATAAAAATTTAAAAAATTATTAATAAAAATAAATAAAATAAATTAAGGAACTTCTACTAAAAATAATGGAAAAAATATAAGATATATCTGGTATATTCTATAAACCAAAGGAATAAGAAAAGCTCGTTTTTGTTGGGTAAGAAGATTTTATAAAAAAAATAGAAGAAGACTACGATTAAGGCTAATGGAATTTAAGCTAAATTGAAGAATTTCATGTAAATAACTTTGATTTTTGCAAATATTTACCATACGGCTCTACTGCTAAAAGGTTGTATTTAAGGACAAATTACTATTACAACTAATTAATTTCATACTCTTTGATACTCGAAGGTATGACCCACTATTGTAACTTAGTTCATCTTTAAATTGAGTACAATTTTAGCAACATTTAGTATCCGTAAGATTACTAATTCTTAAAATGTATTTAAAAATCTTTTCCTTAACTTGAAAGCTTAAATTTAAAATTTGATCATATAAGTGGTTTGATAAATAATCTATTTACAAGGATAAATTAAAATATAAAAAAGATCGTTCTTAGCATTTATGCAAACTTTCCATTTTAATTATAATAATTTACAAACTTCAAGAATGTATAATACTTTTCATTAACTGTAGAAAATAGATAAACATAAGGATTTAAGTATCTAAAATCTATATTGCAAACAGCAAAACATTTTGAACTTAAACTTTAAGGGATTGAAAATAATGGAGATTTTGAAAGCTTAGCTTAACTTATTGAAAAAAGTGAGAACTTAGAAAGTCTTTCACTTTAAATAAAAAAAGAGAACTCTTATTGCTATGATTCGAAAATAAAAGCGGTTTTAGATAATATTAGATATTATCCTACAACCTTAAAAGAATTTCAAATTAATGAAAATAAAGTAGAAGAATCGTCTCAAGTATTGTATATGTACCATTCTCTAAACTTCCTCCATTCTTTATAAACTTTAATTCCTTAATTAATTGTGCTTAAATTAAGGGCTAAAGGTTTTCAATACAAAATAAATAATGTAAATGAAGTTGAAGAATTAGAATTTCTTAAAGAACTATCGAAAGCACTCTCAAGAGAGAATAATATAAAAGAAATAGACTTAAGATTTGGAGGATCTCTTAATGCTTCAGAAGAAACATTTAGAGATTTTTTTTCTTGTTTATGCATAGACGGATTATAATCTTTGACTTTAGATTTAGAAAGATGGAAAAATACTTAAATACAACTAAGTAAATAGTAAGATATTCATTTATTTTCTTTTTTTTTAAAGTCTCTAAAAGAAAATTGCTCAAAAACTTTGAAATCACTAAGGATTAATTTTGATGGGTGGAGTATCTATGATGATTGTAATATATTCATCCATGAATTAAGAGATTTTAACCTAATCTAAACTCTTATTTTAATGGGTCCTAAGAATAGGACTCTTTAAAAGAACTACCCTCTAATGGTGCTTGAATTTCTAATGAAACAAAAGAAAAAGTATTTTTATTTACTTTAAATTCTGAAATAATACTCTTAGAAAAATTCAATGAGAGTAGATTATTTATTAGATATAGCTTTCTAATATGTTTAAATTTAATAACCTTAAATCAGTTTTGATCAGGAAAGTGATCCTTTTATAGAAAATGTCTCATTTGAATAGATGAAATATTCTGTTTAAAAGGATATTAACTTTAGAAATTATAAAATAATTAACTATTATAAATGATTTTATCTATTTTTTTTAACAAAATTTGTTTCATTTTGTTAAAAATACTCCTAATGAAATTAATAATTACTAATTTAAAATAAATTCAATTAATTTTTATTTTATCCATTAATAATACTGTATATTTGTTGAAATTTATCCATAAATTTTGTAATTTAATTCATTTAATGAAAAAAGTTACTAATATATTTATTTCACTAATAATGATATTTCGAAATATTCATTTCAAGCTTCTTTTAAGAACAATATTTAAAAATAAAGAAAAAAGCAGAAAATTTTGTCTGTCTGGTATTTACAGTTTTATATTTTTAAAATTACTAATCAATAAACTATTATAGAATGAAATTTTAAATATATAGAAACTCTTCAAATAAAAAGATAATTTATTGAAAAAAAACAACAAGCTTTGAGTAAAAGTTATAAAATAAAAGTTGATCTTTAAAATTATTTGAGTCATCCTTCAATCATTTTTTCAGATTAATATTCAAAAAGAAAGAGAATGCCAGAAAATTTGAACTTTATTATGGTATTTATAATTTTTTCTGTAAAATTAAATTGTTAATATTTTTAATGAAAAAATAAATTGTAAAATTAATTTCTGTTGAATTAAAAACCCATATTTAAATAAAATTATAAATTTTTTTATAAAATAACAAGAAACAAATATAAGATTTAAAAATAGTAGTTAAAATTTAAATTCCTGTTAAAAAATCTTTAGAAAAATAATTTTTTTCTGAAGGATTGAATAGTTGCATGAACATATTTATTATTATTGAATTGATAAGTAGCATTCAATTAAAAATAAATTATTAATTAATAATTAAATTATTCCAATTAATTTATCAGATAATTAAAAAGATTTCTTAAAGGTATTAACGGTTAAGAGAGTTTGAAAATTTTTAATATTTGTTTAAGAAAAAAAAAATCACAAAAATTAATAAAAATTAAGAATAAAGAAAGAAAATGGTATAAATAAGAATTTCAAGTTTTTAATCTAAAAAATCTGCAAATGGAATTACTACTTAGTTTTTAACATAATCAAATACATAATGAAATTCGTTTATTACATTTTCTCAGCCGAAATAGTTAGTTATAAGAAATTAATTGGAAATATCAAAAAAGTATTAGACATAAATATTATCAATTCGAATAAATCGATATGCGATAAATCAAATCTTCTTTCTTTCAAATAATACCTAAAATCTAATATCTTGGCACTTAATTAAATCGTTTACTTTACCCTATAAAATTATATTAAATCCTAATAATAAAACCTTTCTTTTTATAAAAAAAATAATATTGATAATTAAATTAACAAAAAACCTAACAATAAAAATATGTTTATAATTTAAATAATATGAAAATTAATCATTCAATACAAAAAATAATCTAAAAAAAAAAAAATAAAAAGTGAATTTTAAATGTAAAACAAAAAAATAATTTTAAAAACAAAAAAAAAATAAAAATGATATAAAATTTAAAATAAAATATAGTTAGTAGCTGATCAATATATATTTAAGTTGGTGGTTTCTGTTTGTTTTTTATGAATTAAAAAGCTAAATTATTTGGATTAAAGTAAATTTTCTAAAGAATTTTTATTAAGAATTAATTCATATCTCCTAGCAATAAATTCACTACTTATTCTATAAAAAGAATAAATCTTACAAATAAAGAAAGATAGATTTTTTGTTAAATCAACTAATAGAAAAGACATTATATAGTAAAAATTATACAAAGTTTCTATCAAAAAATAAGTTTAATTAAAAGAATACAATTATTTAAAAGAAAAAGCAAATGGCTGAAGATAAGGAAGTTATAGTACCTGCAGGTGAAGAAGGCGAAGAACAAGAAAGAGAAATTGTTAAGATTCCTAAGAAAGTTGTTTAATATTGCCAAAGTAATTTACTAAATTATGTGTTTTTCCTCTAAATAATCTACATTCACTATCATTTAATTTATATTTTAAACATATCATTTATTTAAAATTAATTATTACTATTCTAGTTTGTTCACTTCCTCCTGAGTACTGCATGTACTAGTCAAACACCAAAGCTAGAAAATGCTAAGAATGGTTAAAAATAAATAACCCTGCATTATTTGTTAAATTCTACGTTGAACCTGAATAAAAAGCTAAAGAATAGGAAAAGTAGCAATAAGAAGGCGCTCCTAAGGAAGGAGAACAACCCAAAGAAGAAAAAAAAGAAATTGAAAAGCCTTAAGCTGAGGAATAAAAGGAATAAGTTGAATTAAAAGATCTGACCCCTGAATAATTAGAAAAATTAGGTAAAATACAAATAATAATTTTAATTTAAGCACATTAATTTATTTTATGATTTTATAAATATTTAGAAATCTAAAAGTAAAAGTAGAATGCTAAGTTGATGGTAAAATGCAATTATTCAATAAGATTATTTATCAAAAAAACATTGTGAATATTGTTTTTAAGCAAATCTAATATATAAAAAGATGTAATTATCTGGCGGTGACAATAAGATTACAATTTTAACAACTAGAAGAAAATTCAAAAAATTCGTCACTGTTGTTACTGGATTAAGCAAATACGGTAAACATTATTCTCTTGCTTCTATTAATTATATGAATTGACAAAATAAAATAAAAGGTGTTAGTTTAAAGGAAGCTGCTAAAAGATTCAGACATAAATTCGCCTGTGGTGCTAAGGAAGAAGGTGAAGAAGTTGAAATTTAAGGAGAAGTAGATGATGTTATTGCTGATTTCATTTGCAAGGAATGGAAGCATGTAAATTAAATAATTAAAAAAGCATATTAACATATGATATTTAAATTAAAAAAAGATTAATTCAAATGTATTTGTGTACAAAAAAGAAGGAGTCCCTGGAAAGAAATGAAAAGATTTATTTAAACAAATATTTAATTAATTTCTTAAAGTATAGAAATATTTAATTGTATACTTAAATTAGTATTATAAAATTAAGCTAATGGATAAAACGTTTTTTAAATCAGTTTTTTGATTCTAATTTTTTCAATACTATTCAAAATTTTATATATAATTTATTTAAATTTAAATTCATTTTTAACATAAACTAACTCATAAAATTTTACTAAAAAAATATTTATTTATATTAATTAAATAAAATACATGTTTTTAATAAATTAATTAAAAAAAATAATTGAAATTCAAATATTTGCTTTTAATTTAAATAATTGATAATTGATACCTTTAATATTTTTTTAGAACTTGTTTAATGATTTAAATAATTATTTTTATAATATTTAATATAAATACTTATTTGTAATTTAAGAAATATTCTATTTTGATATTCTACTAAAAAGTATTAGCATTGGTATTTTTTTACTTACAGAATACCTTAATAAAATTAAAATTAAAATTTTTAGAAAATGAAACTGTGGCTAGAAATAAACTTAAAGTTTACTTATTTGAATATTTTCAAAAAAATAATTGTTTCAAATAAAATTTCAAAAGAAAAAGGAACATATATTTATTGCTTAAGTGCAAACTTAAATAAAAATAAAAACTCATTGTTTTTCAAAGAAAAAATTTATTCAAATAATATTTAAATTAATATTTTTAGATGAGTATTTCTTAGATTAATTAGAGGTTATTTTGAAAAATATTTAAATCTATTTTTCATTTTAAGTTAATTTTTTTAATTAGTTTTTGTATTATGTTAGTTCTAAAATTAGTAAATTTAGGTTTCGTAAATAAAAAAAATTTTAATATTGCCCATTTTTGTTTTATTTTAATGTAATTCTTACAATTAAAAATTTTTAATGATTTTAAAAAAAACTATTTATTTTTATATTTTAATGTATAAAATTTTTAGCCTAGGATAAAAAAGTAAAATTATATTTTTGGTGATATATTTTTTTAATATTAATTCAATAAAGAATGCAAAAAGCTATAATTTAATTAGAGCAATATCATAAATCAAATTAATTACTTTATGACAGATAAATAAATTTTAATATCATATTTATTGAAATTTTTATGAAAAGGGAAAATTGACTTTATAAAATAAGATCTTAAGTGTTATTATTAATCATTAAAAAATTTATAATTAATATTTATTCAAACTGCCTTTTACAACTGAAATTATAGAGAAAAATTAAATGTTTCAACGCATTTTAATTTTATAAAATAATTTTAAAACATGTAAAAAATTGAACTTTTTTGCTTAGTAAGAAACTCTGTTAACAGTTTAAAACATCATACGATTATTTTTATTTTTTAGGATTTGTTTATTGTTACAGATATAATATATATTTGAGATATAACTAAGTTATGGAGAATATCATTCATTGATTATTCATCATAAATTATTTAACTAACTATAAACAATGAAATTAAGTTATGATTCACATATGTTGTTCACTCTCCAAAAATTGAGGAAATAAATACAAATTAAAAAATTAGTTGATGAGAAATAACAATCATTTAATTTATAGTCTCTGAAATGAAATTTTATCAAACAAACAAATCAAATAAAAATGCAAAAATCAAAAACTAAATGCAAAGAACATTACTAAAAGAAAAAAAGCCTTTAACAATATTTATAATAATTAAAGAAATCCATCAAAATATAGGAAGCAAAATTAGTAATTAATTAATATTATATTCTTATTGCTTGCAATAAATAAGAAAATTTAGAATAACTGTAAAGAAACAAACATTGGTTAAGATAAATAGCTAGCTAGTTAAGACAATAAAACACTGATACTAAAAAACCATTTCTATAGCCAAGAATATTTATTTTTTCTAAAGGTAAAACATAGTTTAGTCCAGGTCATTCAAATACTAGTACAAGATATAAAATAAAAATACTTTAAATATGAATACTCAAAATATACCTTCACTACAATCTGACTCAAATTAGGAGATATTAAAAGATAATTTATCCAAAGGTGCTACTTAAAAGTCATAAGTTAAGAGTGCTTAAAACAAAGATAATAATGGATCCCCAAACGACATTTTGAGTGCTTTTAACCATAAAAGCTCTATATCCAAATTAAATTAGGATTTAATTAATTCAAGTTTCAATCAGACAACTAACACTTTAGGATAACAATTAGCTGACATTTTATTTTACTGCAGAAAAAGATTAGATGAGGTACTTTTTTCTTAGTTTTAAGTTAAAGTTTTTATATTTATTTGGATGAAAGCATGGAAAATAATTATCTCCTTATATTTACCATCTTATTTTTTACTCTTCAGCAAATTTATTCAAATTTTCAAAAATATTTAATTTTGTTAAATAAAAGCTCTTAAAAACAACAAAAAAGGATTAAAATAATTTTTGATTTACCAACAAAACAAACTTTCTAATCTTACTTTTTATTTAAAACCAAAGAACTCAGTCGATTATCTTACTAAAGTGATCCCTCTTGATTATGAAAAAGAAGAAATGGAATTGATTGAAGTGCCTGAGTTAGCTTAGTATATCAAACAAATAATTAATTATCTTACTAAGTGTAAACTTGAAATGGAAGCTAAAATGCAATAGCTCATCAAACCTGATGAAGAATACATGAATGAATATGAAGGAATGCTTCAAAAAATGGAAGCAGAGTGCCGTAATCATATTCGAATTGAACAGTAATTAAAAATTTATGCAGAGACAGCTCAAGAAAGACTTGAATTTGTTGAAAGGGATTTAGAAGTGCTAGAAAAGCAAAACGAAGAACTTAAATTATAATTAAATGTAAATTTTACAAAATAAAATATATTCAAAAATTATTAAACAATTACTTAACAACCTTTTAAAAATATAAAGAAAATGACATAGACAAACGAAGAGCTTATAGGTTTGAATAGATAGAGAGATGATAAAATTGATTAATTGAAAAAGAAAATCAAAGAACTAGAGGAATAAGTTGATAAATAGCAATAGTAGCTACTTCACTAAAGTAGCTCTTCTTTGAATAAATTAGCTAAAATTCCTTTACATAACAATAGAGGATCTATTAGAGACTCTGTTGATCATAATTAACAAATTAATAGCAATCATTATGGAGAGTAAAGTAGTTTAAGTGGGGCTATGCCATCAAGTGGTGGAAATTCTCACAAAAATTTGATACAAAATAATCAGAATTAGTCTGCACATCCATCTTCAAGCGAAAACAGTTCTTAAAAGCAATAAGTAAATCCATAATAATTAGGTACTAATTAGTAATCTTTACAAAATAAGAGAAGTAAGAGAAGTGTTAGTACATTAAACTCAGGTGTAAATAATGACGAGGGTTCTAACACTTAAAGAGAAGTAATGAAATAGCTAGAAAATAACGCTAATCGCCTCAAAACAGAACCTTATCATAATATAAATCATTCAACTGGTTAAAACTCTAATGCTTTGAAATCTACTAGTAGTAGTCACTAATACAACATGAATGGTAGCCAAAATACATAACCTTCAAATACTTATTCATAAGATGCTCTTGCATACTTACTTGGAAACTCTAATTATAAACCTTCATCTTCATCATCCTAAAATAATCGCTCTTCAACAAATATAAAGGAAGATAATAAAAGGATTATGGAAAAATACTTATTTGATAAGGGAGATGTAATTAAATTATTTTTTTTAATTTTAATTAACTTTTTTTTGCTAATTAACAGAAGGCCGTATTGAAAAAAATATATGGAGACAGTGCCAAATCAAAATCTTTTATAGATCTAAACAAAAGCTAGAAAAATTAAAATTCAAGCAGAGGAAACAGTACTCATGCATCAAAAGGATCTCAGCCATCTAGCAGTTAAAACTAATAGCAAAATCTTATTAAGCAAATTTAGCAACAATAAATAATCAAGTAAGTCTAAAGCTAATAAGTTCTGAACAGGATACAGTAAAAGATAAACCAAACAATATAAAATAATGGAAGCAGTAAGAATAGCAATGCAAATAACAGTTCAAACAACTTAAGTAATCTTTATCACAATAACAGTAGTAATAACAATACTTTGTCTTAGTCCTAAACTTAAAGAGCTTTATCTAGAAGCAAAAGTAGAAGTAAAGTTAAAGAATCAAGCAACGATAATTCCAAAATATAAAAGGAGTACAATATCTATACTTTAAATCCTTAAAATGTTTATAAAGTGCAATAAGCTAAAAACTCACCCTTGAAGTAGTCGAAGTAAGATAGCCATAGAAGCTAAAGCCTAGATGCCTATAGTAAAATGAATAATAGTAAGTAGTAGGCTAGCTATAATCTCAAATGATTTATGCATAATTAACAACAATAAAAATAAACTTTAAAAATTCAACTTAAATTTAACTGACATTTTTAACAACAAGAACAATAACAAAAATATGAGAAATTATTAATTAATTTATTTCAACTTATAATTTTGGTTCATTTCTTAGAAAAAGGATTTTATAGATTAAATTAATAAATAAATAAATAAACAAATTAATAACAGCTACTTAGATGAATTAGCACTTTCAAAAATAAATCAATTAATAAAAATAATTTAATATTTTTTTAATTCTTCAAATAAAACTAGCCAACATATTAATAAAACCTAACCTTTGGTCTATCTAAATATGAAAGACACTTTGTACATAATTCCTCTTATCTTTATATCTATCTATATTAATAAAAAATTGATAATTTGCTTATTGTTTTTTGTTGTAATATTTTTCCACCTACACATTCAATATATCCTACTAGTATTTATCAAATACTTTCAAATTTTTGACTTGTTTAATTTATAAAATTGTAAAATTCTTTAAATTCAGATATCAAAGTAGAATTATTAAAATTTGATTGCCTTTTTAAATTTAATATTTCTTATAAAAATAAAAAATATATTTTAAGCCAACAAAACAAAAAATATATTTTCAAAAGATTGAAGATGTTAAAATTTTTACTCTTAAAATTTTATATTAGAAATCAAAATAATGAGCAGAATCATGCTAAGAAGATTATATATAAATTAACAAACTGAGCTTGCTATTCTCTTGTATGTTAAATACACTATTCCATTGATTTTCAATGAGATTAGAGAGAAAACATTAACAGATCAGAATGAATCTTTTTTAAATAATTTTTTTTAATTAATTAAGATATTTGTTTTTGAAAGTGATGTTTCTACTACTTTATTTATTTATCTGCAATAGAATCAAGATATTAACAAGAAGAATGAAGGAAGGTATTGATTGAATCAATTAAAACGAAAAAAAAAAATAAATAAAGAATCAAATATTAATTTTATAATAAAAAATAAAAAATAGTAAATAAATAAATAAAAATCTTTAATAGGATTTGAAAAAGCATATTCAAGACTGAAAAGGTACTAAAAAATTAAATTTTTAAACAATATTAAACATTTAGAATAATGGCATATTTTTTTATTGGTCAAATAAGTTGTCTCATATTTTTTCTTCTAACATTTTATAGGATAAGAACAGTACATTTAGAATAATATGAGTTTAAGCAGCGTTAGATAGTACTTGCAATTATTGTAAGAAAAGGATAATGAGCTAAAAGTTATTGGATTGGAAAAGTTAGTTTCTGTTGTAGAAACCAACTGGGCTGAAATAGCTGATCATCTTGGAGATATGTAATTAATTCATAATAAAAATACACAGAAATTAAATAGCACAAAGAAAAGAATTTAGATAGTTTCGTTATTTTAAAGGGATGAAGCAATTTATATTTATCCAACAAAAGAGATAATCAATTACTTCATATTTTAAAAACTGAAAATAAGTTTATGATATTTAAGATTTAAATAAATAATTGTTGCTTAGCTTTAGATCTAAATAGTGAGATAATACTGAAATTATTTAAGTTCTAAAATTGCTTATAATATAAAATATTGTTGCCTTTTAAAATATAACTTTTCTTCTAACAAAATAAATAGTGAAAATTTATATGAAGATGAGTCATTCCCTAAGAGATAGTTGGCCTATTACTTGGCATCTAAGGTATATTTCAATTTAGAAGAATATGAAGATGCCCTAGACTTAGCTTTAGAATCATAAGAATACTTTTAAGTTGATGAAAACACATAATTTGTAGAAGTTTTAGTTAATACTTGCATTAATAAATATATTACTCATAGATAATCTGACTAGGTAATTAATATTAATTAATTAACAAATGAACAATATTAGAATTTATTCAAAGATAGACAAATAGAATGAAAAATTGAAAGATTGAAAGATAGATAGATAATTAGATATGCAAATTCAAATCAAATCAAATCAAAATTTTTGTTTGCCTGTTTATTTATCAATTTATTTTTTTATTTTTGAATGAATTTTTTACTTAAACTGGTTTAAAACGATGTCCTATTTTTTAATCTATTATAAAAAAATAAATAGACCACAAAGTTAAATCCTAAATATGAATCTATAGTTGAACGTATGTTTGCAAAATGTTAGAGGGATTAAGATTATAAAAGCGGTTTAGGTATTGCAGTAGAAAGTCGTAGAACTGATAAAATTAATGAAATACTCTCCCAATCAGAAGAATCTAAGCGTGGTGAATTAGTGAATTACTTATATGATGTTTGTATTAAATCATTAAACAGCAGAAATTATCGTATTGAAATTATGCAACTCTTGATTTCATTTTACAAAGAAAAACTTGCTTCTCAAGGATTGCTTCCTCATGAATATATTAATTTAAGTTTAAGCTACCACACTTTAGGAAAGTATGAAGAGTGTTCATAATTAATTGATGATCTTCTTGCCAAAAATATACCTCTTGCCTATCAAGTAGCCACAGAAATTAGTGAAACTTAAAATTACAGCTTTATTAAGAAGGTAACTTACCTAGAATTTATCTTTTTAAAATAAATTTTTATCAGTAAAAAAATATAAAAGCGTTTTTGATTTAATTAAAATTAGGTTATTCAAGCTTTACCAATTGAGGAAAGTAACAGCGAAAAGCGTAAAACAGTCATAGATATTTTAGATGGTAGAACATAAAGAGAAATTAACTAAAAAGTTCTTGAACATTTAAATAAAAGTGATCCTCTCTACATCAAGCAAATCCATTCTGCAGTTGACTCAAAGAAATCAGTTGCTCATACTGCTTTGATTCTCTGTAATTCTATTTTGAATGCAGGAACTGGAAACGATTAATTCGTTAAAGATAATATTGGTAAAATTAGACATAATTTTAATAAAAATAGTTTTACATATATTTATTAATTTAAACAGATTGGGCTTAAAAAAGTTAATTGTGGGCTAGATTCGCTTCTTTGGCCTCTTTAGGTATGATCCACTCTGGAAAACCTGAATAAGCTAAATAAATTTTTGCAAGTCATCTTCCCAAGGGATAAGCAGGTGGTAACACCGGAGGTGCTCCTAATTACTACAGTAATGGAGGTGCATTATATGGTATAGGTATTATGCACAGTGGTACACGTGATCCCGAAACTATTAGATATTTAACAGATATTATTAAAGACCCTCAATAAAATAAATAAGAACCTATTCTTCATGGTGCTTGTCTTGGGCTTGGTCTTGCAGGTTTGGCTTCTGAAGATGAAAGTAAATTTTATAGTTTTTGTATTAATACAGCCTAAAATAAAAAATCAAATTATTAAAAGCCTTATTCGAAGTTTTGAAGAATGTTTTAATGAACGACAGTGCAGTAACTGGTGAATCTGCAGCACTTGCTATTGGTCTTATCATGGCAGGAACAAATAATGAAAATGCAATTACAGAATTATTGAAGTTCGGTTCTGAAACACAACATGAAAAAATTATTAGAGCAACTGGTCTTGCTCTTGCTTTAGTTTCTTTCGGATAAGAAGAAAATGCTGACGGTGTTATCGAATCACTTCTTACTGATAAAGATTTTATTCTTAGGTAATTTTTGAAAATTATTTTAGCAAATATACTTATATAAAATTGTTTAATAGATACGGTGGTGTCTTAACTGTTGGTCTTGCTTATGTTGGTACTTCCAACAATAAAGCTATTAGAAAATTACTTCATTATGCAGTTGATGATGTTGCTGATGATGTCAGAAGAGCAGCTGTTATCGCATTAGGTTTTGTTATGTTTAACTAATATGAACAAATGCCTAAAATTATGAATCTTTTAGCCATGAGTTATAGTCCTCACGTAAGATATGGTACTGCCATTGCTTTAGGTATAGCATGCGCTGGCACTGGATACTAAGAAGCCTTAAATATGATTGAACCAATGCTCACTGACACCACTGACTTTGTAAGATAGGGAGCTATGATTGGTACAGCTCTTATTTTACAATAAGCCAATTAAAACTCTGAACCTAAATTAGAAAAATTCAAAAAGACTCTTTAAAGCGTTTATTCTAAAAAGCACGAAGATATTTTATGTAAGATGGGTGCCATACTTTCATCTGGTATTATTGAGGCTGGTGGAAGAAATTAAGTTGTTAGACTTGCTTCTTAGTAAGCATTTAAAATTTAATGAGCATTTAAATTTAAATAAATATTTTTCTTTTAATAGATAAGGTTTCCCTAAATTAGCTAGTTGCGTTGGTATGGTTATTTTCACCAATTTCTGGTACTGGTTCCCTTATGTTAACTTCATTAATTTGAGTTTTGCTCCTTCTGCTTTAATTGGTATTGATTAAACCTTACGTATTCCTACAGACTTCAGCTTTAAAATTAATACAAAGAAGAGCACTTATGATTACCCTGAGCCAATTAAATAAGATGACAACAAAGATAAAAAGGAATTTGAAAAGGTAACTCTTTCAACAACTAACAAGGCTAAGGCCAGAGCTGCTGTCAAAAGTAAAATTATTGCCTACCTAAATTTAATTTATTAAAAATTATACAATTTATTAACAAAAAGTTGATGCTAAAGATAGTAAAATGGAAGAAGAAGTTGCTGGTACAAGTTAAGCTGAAAATAAAGAAAAGGCAGAAGAAAAAACTGAAGAAAAAGAGCCAAATTCTTATATTTAAACAAATCCTGGTAGAGTACTTGAGAAATAAAAGAAATATGTTGAGTTTATAGAGAATCATAGATATCAACCTATTATTAAAGTAAAACAAACTACTTTTTATTAGCCATTTTTTATTTTAATTTATAAATAAAACTTTATCTAGGAAAGAAAATTCGGTATTGTATTTTTAAATGATACATAAAATTCAGATGATGCCAGCTACCTTGGAGTTGCTAAAAAATGTATATTTTAATTTAATTTTTATTACAAAATAATTAATATTATCTTTTTATATAGAAGCTGAATAAAAATCTGAAATGGTTCCAGAACAAGCTGTTGGTGACTAAAACGATGATATAGCTCCACCTGAGGACTTCGTCTATGATGAAAACTAATAACTTTTGAATTGATTTACCTGATATTATTATAAAATAAATATAAATGAAAATTAAAAAATAATAAATGTTTAAATTAAAATACTCAAAATTAATGCATTTTTATACTTTTAACAATGTAAATTAAAGTGATGTCATTTTTCATTTTGATATCTTAACATCAATTAATTAATCAATTAATATAACAAATACAATTTTTTAAATTAATTTTGTGTATATTCTCTCATTAAATTTTTCTAATAAAGAAAAGTTGAAAAGTATGATTGATTATTCACAATTTTTTTTATTAAATAACAATAAATATTCAATTTAATTTATTGAATTAATCATTTCAAGTTCAATTTTTTAATATAAAATAATTTTATAAATTTAGTTACAAAAAACAAGAGTTTTGTTAATATTTCAAAAAAAATTGTAACTTTGACTTATTCTATTTGAACTTAGTAATTAAAAAATTAATTTATAGTTTAACATAAAATGTTAGTAAAAATCTTTAATTAAAAATATGTGACAGTAATAGAGTAATGATAGAAAGCTGGTTTTGCTACCATCAAATTTAATATTAAAATAAAAAATTAATATATAGATCACATAAATTTACTCAATATTTTACTAATCTATATTTTTATATACTAATTTGTTAAAGAAGTATCATTCATTATGAATATTTTTTAATTCAGTTGGAAAGGAAAGCAGGCTTCTTGACGATGCAAACGTTCTTGATTTCAATGGCATCGTTGTAGATGGCCTTAAGGGTGGGGAAGAGATCGTTAAGATTTAAAGTCTTGATGTCTTCAACAGCTTGCTTGGATTTGTTGAAAACTTCAACACCATCCTTGACGCAGACCTTAAGACTGGCGACATTGTCAACAGTGGGGAGGTGGAGAGCATCAACACCACAGTCTCTGAAAGTAACAACGGCGTTGTTGTATAAGTTAATGGTTTCTTCGAAGATATCTTCAATGGGAAGAGTGCTGTTCTTGTAATCTTGGATTAATTACTTAGCAGCATCAACGTCTTGCTTGGCTTCTTGGATGCACTTAATTAAATTGATGCTCAAATCAACACCGTCAGCTAAGAGGATGGTAGAGTTAGGCTTGGCAACAATAGAGCAGTTTTCCTTGGCAGAGGGGAGAGCTTGGAGGAGGACTTAGAGAGCTTGAACGATGGGAACAAGGTCTTAGACGATGTGCTTTTGCTTAATCAAGGCAACAAAGGTTTCGGTGGCATTGACGATGGTATCAATGTTGTCTAAATTAATAAATAAAAAGTGTAAGTAATAATATAAAAAAAGGAATCAATTAAACTTTTGAGCTCTTTGTTATTAAAAGAGAAGGTATTTATGAAATGTGTGGATTTTTGAGAATGATTTTTATTATAACCAAATTCTTTGATCTGAATGAATGTTAGTGTTTTAATAATATTTTTGGTGGTAAAATTTGAATAGAAAAAAGCTTTCCAAAAATTGATTGTTAAGCTATATTTATCTGTATTGATATTTATTAATTAATCAGTCAGAGCTATCAAGAGGTTTTCATTCAATTCAAAAAAAAAATAAAATTCTTTTTCTCAAATATTCATCATTTCATTTTTGTAAAGATTTTAAGCTTGTCTTAAAGCCAAATAATTACTGAAACATAAGTTGGAGTTGGAGAAGGTGAAAGCATCAAGCTTGTCAATTAACTTGATATCAATAGCGCAACCGTGGAGGAGGGGGTTAACATCTTCAACAGAAGCGTAGAGATCAGTTAAGGTGGTAGAGATGGAGACGGGATCAGTGTGGATAGCAGCAAGAGCAACCTTGACATCGTGAGCAAGCTTAGCAGCGTTGGTGAAGCAAGTTTCGAAGTCAATGTTGAAGTTGAAGGTGGCAGCTTCTTCTTGAGCAGAAATGGTACCAACCAAAGCGATTAATAAAATGGAAAGGATAGCCTTGTTCATTTTTATTTAAATTTCTTTATTTACTTATCTTTTATCTGAATTAATAATTATTATATATTAAAGACTAAATCTTGAATGATTTTTTTAATCGCTAAGTCTTTATAGAGTCTAATTGAATGAAAACTAAAAAATTAATAAAATAGTGGAAAAGTTAATCTTCTAATTTTTGTATATCTGTATTTCTTTTATAAACTAAATTGCATCATATTATGACTGTTTTTACCACAATCTTCATGTAAAAGCAGAGTGACTTAAACATATGCATCATTATAAAAGAATATTTATCATTTTATATCCAATTTTGTTTTAAAAGTTAAGAATATTATATAAAATTATTTAAGTTTTTGGCTTTTTCCTAACTATCACTTTTAGATATTTACATAGGATAAAGCTAATTACTACTTTTTTTAAACCAGCAATGATAATTATCTAAAAAATTTGATTCAAAATTAGTTTTTTTCTGCTATAATTTCATAGTACATAATTAATAAATAAGCTCATATTATTATCTATATTTAGTAAAGCTGAAAATGACTAAACTAATTCCAAAGTTTTTAATTAATTTTGTCAATACTATTTGTAAGTTAAATGTTCTTTGATTGACAGATCTAAATTTAGTAAAAATTAATTGATAATACCTAAAGTTAAAAATAGTTGAATTAATGAACACTTTTTTAATTTGTAAAAATATTTAAAAATAGGCCATATAATAACCACTTTTTATTTTGTAATTAAATTTGCTCAAATATAAATTTTTTCATATATTATGTAAAAAGGGCTTTGAAATCAAAAAGTTAAACATAATTATTATGCTAATTAACAAATATTCTAAGTGTTGTGGGATAAAAGTTTTGATTTGTAAATACTATTTTATAATATTTTAATTAGATTAAAATAAAATTATTTAATTTTTATCATATATTTTTTTAAATATAAAATTTTATATTATAATAATATAAACTTTATACAAAAAGTTCAAATACTTTTTCTAAAATTTTTGGCAAATTATCAGACCAAATTATATTATAAAAAAATGATAAATTCAATAATAAAAGCTATTTATCTGAATTTATAATAATTAAAAAATTGTAATCCAATTTAATTTATTAATTATTAATAAATAAAGTAAGAATTTCAATAATTATTAATAAATAAAATAAGAATTTCAATAATTATCACAAAATATTTAATTGTTTAAATAATTTTACTAAATTAATCAAATATACCAAACAAGCAATCATATTTTAATTATTTCAATCAGTAATTTATAAACTAAAAACACTTAAAATTATAATATTTTATTTCTAATAATTAAATTTGATATTTTAAATTATTATTTTTCTTAATAAGAATAAAGAATTAATTAGTTTTTTTATAAAAGTAAAATTTTTAATTAAAAATTTATATTTTCAAAAAATGTTGGCTGAAAAAAAATTTATATTAAAGATACATTTATATTAAATTTTTAAGAGACTTTCATATATAATCATATTAAGAAATTCAATAAAAATTAAAATGACTTAAAATAAATTTTATTTGGCCAGAGTTATAACAATATAAATAAAAAAGTATTAAAAAATTTATTTATTTTTTCTTTTTATTTTACAATTTCGTAGAAATCTTAAAACTAAACATGATTTATATTTATTTTACATAATTTTATATAAAAGTGTAACCCTAGAATAATTAATAAAGCTGATTAAGCTGTAACCTAAAATAATTTTAATGATAAATAAAATTTAAATAATAGTGAAGAATTATTTGCAAATTATTAGCTTTATTGGTATTAAATATTTATTTGCTAGATTTTCCTAAATTCGCTAAAAGAAATAAAATTAGTTCTAGTATGAGCATTTTCTCCTTTATTTAAAAAATTTGTAAAATTATTCATAAAAAAATATTTATTAACATTTTTTATTTTTTAAAGCTGAGAAATATACTAAATTTTTTAAAAAGAAAAGGCAAATAAATTTATTAAAAATAAATTTTTTCAAACCAAGTAAATTAAAAGGAAGGCCGATAAAGTCTGTAAGTAAGTAAATATAATTAATCGCAAAACCAAAAAAAATTAACACTTGAATTTTATTAAATATCTATATTTACTAGAAAAATATTGAATATTAATGAAAATAAATAATTTTGTTAACCATTAAATTTAGAAGCAGTAAAAAATAATAATAAAACTTAGTATAATTATACACGCTTAAATAAAACAATATTTAATTATTTATGCATTTTTTAAACTTTATTTTAATTAAAATATAAAGTGAGAGTAAATATTGTAGAAATAAGTATTTTACAAATCAAAAAAAAAATTTTGAATATCAAATAATTTATTTATTTATTCAACTGGTATTTAGATTGATTAAAAGAAAGAAGTTAAAATATCTGATGCTTTGTTTATATCTAAATTTTTATTTTTGTTTCTGATAGATCTTTTTTAATAAAGGGATTACTTTCTGATATATTTTATTCTGACTTGCAATAAAAAGATGATATTATTTTACCAAATTTCTTTACAATCATAAAATTAAAACCTTATATTAAAAGAATATATAAATTAAGAAAAGTAACTATACTGATAATTATGACATTATTTAATATTATTAACAATTTAGAACGAAGACTTGAGATTAATTCGCACTAAAATAACTAGATTTAATAAAATATACGTTGAATTAAAATTATTAATTTTGCATGATGTATTTTTTATTTCCTCTCTCTGTTAGAAAAGATATTCAATGAACCTAAATATATATCTGTACAGGAAGGATATAGAAGCGAAGTAACTTAAATGCAATTATCGACACTGGATCAGAACATTTAAACATAATTTTGGTTTATTAAAATAGGGAGACTTTGGAAAAACTTTAAATTCCTTCATAAATTTGAAATTATGCCATGATATTACGATATTAACAAAAAGAATTAAAATAGAGGTAATTTTAATTAATTACATTTGTATACTTATAGTTTTTACAGTATGGATTGAAAAGCAAAATAAAATCAAATTCCATTAGAAGTACAAAAGTTTCTTTCTGCTTAAGGTAAGTTAATCGAGGGGTAATAGAAGTATAAAATAGTTTCTAAGTTGAAAAATAAAGTGTAATTTACTATTATATAATAATTAGTAACTTTTAAAATTTAATTAGGAAAAAGTTTTAGAAGCTTTAAATGACAAAAAATTTATTTAACTTAGGATAGGATATCAGAATTTATATGAAGTTTTTAATCAACGACAATTATGATTTATTAAATTAATTATATTTTACTATTTAATCAGCAAACCAAAAAGCAATCATCTTGAGCTTTCTTTAAAACTGAACAGAAAGTAAATCAAAATAATAAAAATTGTTTAATATTAAAAAAAATTAATAAAAACCTTAATTGAATAAGTAAATCATACTAAATAGATAGATATGAATAAGCTCTTATCTTCTAAATTCTTCCACTCTGCAAAGAGGCAACTAACATAAAAATCTACTTACAATTTTGCATAAATTTGCTCATCTGCTGCTGAAGCTCTTAGAGATGTTAAAGATGGCTCCAAGATTCTTATGGGTGGATTTGGTATATGCGGTATTCCTGAAAACTCAATTCTTGAACTCAAGAAAATGGGTGTAAAGGACCTGACTGTAGCTTCAAACACTTGTGGTAAGAATTAAAGCATTCATCTTCTAGATTTTTTTATAATTTTAGTTTGTAGTGAAAATATGTTTCATATTTGATTCATAAAAAGCATATCAGAAAATTATGAAATCAAGGGTGCTGAAGTCAAGATTTAAATAAAAATTTTATTAGTTTTAAATATATTAGAATCTTTTAATAAATTTCTTTTGTTTTACTTAAAAATGGAAAAAATTTATTTCAAATAGCAAGAATTTATAAATAAAAACAACAAAGCTAATTAAAGGTGCATATTTATTTGAAGGCATATTGATATTTTCTATTAGAATTAGTATGAACATGAGCTTGAAATATGCAATTACTTTATTATGTTTTATAATTAGTACAAAAATTTACACACATGGCAACAACTTAGAATAATACAATTTCTACTATCAACTAAATTTTACACAATATATTTATTTAAAATGTGAAGTCATGATATATTATTTATTATATAGGTGTGGCAGATTGGGGTTTAGGTCTTTTACTATAAACTAGATAGATCAAAAGAGTTATTGCTTCTTATGTCGGTGAAAATCCTGTTTTCGAAAAGCTTTTCAAGGGAGGCTTACTTGAAGTCGAATTAACTCCTCAAGGTACCTTAGCTGAAAAGATGCGTTCAGGTGGTTTAGGTATTCCTGCCTTCTACACACCCACTGGTGTTGGTACTTACGTAGAATATGGTAAGGTTCCTATTAGATATATTGCTAATACTCCTATTCCTGATATGCTCTCTAAGCCTAAAGAGGTAGAAACAAATAAATTATATATATTTTACCATAAGTTTTGATAACTGTTATTAATTCTATTAACTTATCAATAATTTGAGGTCTTTTTTATCTATTTACTGTTTATTAATTTTTTTTAAAAGAAAAATCCTTTTATTCATTATATTTTAAAAATCTAGCGTAGAATTTTTAATGGCAGAGCTTATATTATGGAAGAAACCTTGACTGGTGATTTTGCTATTGTTAAGGCATAAAAGGCTGATAGAAAAGGAAATTTGTACTACAATAGAACCGCTAAAAACTTTAACGAAGATGCAGTTATGGGTGGTAAGATTGCTATTGCTGAAGTCGAAGAATTAGTTGAGGATGGAGAACTTGATCCTGATTTGATCCATACTCCTGGTGTATTTGTTGATAGAGTCTTTGTAGGTGAAAAATTCGAGCATAGAATTGAAAAACCCATGTTCGATACTTCAGATTAACCTTAAAAACCCAAAGATAAAATTACTCACAAGGAAAGAGTTCGTGATAGAATTGTTGCTAGAGCTGCTAAGGAAGTTAAATCAGGAATGAATTTAAATCTTGGTATTGGTATGCCCACCTTACTTCCACAATTCTTACCTAAGGGTATTAACATTATGCTTGAGTCAGAATTAGGTGTTATGGGTGTTGGACCATATCCCAAGAAAGGACAAGAGCATGCAGATCTTATTAATGCAGGAAAAGTAAATCATTTATTTATCAAGAAAAAAGTTATTTTATTCTAATTATATTATGCTATCAAAAGGAACCTATCACTTTATTACCTGCTGCCAGTACTTTCTCTTCATCTTTATCTTTTGGTATTATTAGAGGTGATCATTTAGATATGACTATGTTAGGTGCTATGTAGGTTAGTAGAACATGTGATATTGCTAATTGGATTATTCCTGGTAAGTTAGTAAAGGGTATGGGTGGTGCCATGGATCTTGTCTCATGCAGATCTAAAGTTATAGTTTTGATGGAACATAATAATAAGCATGGTGAATTTAAGGTTGTCGACTAGTGTACCCTTCCTCTTACAGGCAAAGGTGTAGTCAACACTCTTATTACTGAAATGGCTGTTTTCAGAAACTGGGATGGAGAATTGGTTTGTGAAGAAATAGCTGAAGAATGTACCCTTGAATAAGTTAGAGAAGCTTCTGGATATGAATTCAGAGTTGCTGAAAATCTTAAAAAGTTCTGATTTGCTTGATAAAAAAGAGACATTAAATGAAAACTAAAATTAGAATATTTATTTCATTAGAACTGCCATTTTAATAAATTGGGATTTAAACTCTCAGTAATTCCTAAAATAACTTTTTATAAATATATTTATTAACACCTTACTTTTGTATTATTAGATATTTATTTATATCTTTATATTTCATGTTTTTGAATACTTAACTCGATATTCTCACAGCTTACCAAATTTACTTATCTATCAATCAATTAACTCAAGTATTTTATTCAATCTACACTATTTTTAAATAAATCTATTTATTTTCAATAACAAAATTTAATTGATTATGATAAACAATTTTTTTTTGTTGGTTTATTAGAATAAATCAAGATCCATTTTAAGTGTATTTTTTGATTTGTTTCAAACTTATTTTCAACAGTTTTATAAAGCATAAGAGCAAAAGTGACGAATTCTTTATAATTGAAAAAAATAGAAAATCTTTGAATTTATAATTTAAGTTCCTTAAAAGCTAAAAATTGAGATTTTTAAAAACCAAAAAATATATTTAAATTTTTTAAATATTAAAAAATAGTTTAAAATTAAATAAAAAATGAATAATTAATTTAAAAATATTTTAACAATTTATAATATTTAAAAATATTTAAAAAAATAAAATCTAAAAGTAAATTAAGTTTAATAAAAACTAATGTTGGAATATAAAATATTTCAAAATTTGATATTTTTTATATAATCATATTGTTACTTATATAAAGCTAAAAATCTACTTTTTTTAATAGTATAATCTTATAAAAATTAATCATTTGTATTTGTAATTTTAGGTGAAAGCATCGTAGAAACGGCATGAGGTATCTGAAGAATATTACCAGATGAAGAATCCAGGAATAGTGATACCTGATTTTTCTTTTCCTTCATTGCAAATTTAAGCTAATTTAGCAGGTTCAACATAACCAGTATTTGTGGCATCAGCAGTGACAGCTGGTTTACCAAGAATTAACTTTTCAGCAGGAATGCCATCGATTTTAATAATTTCTGAGTAAGAAGTATTAACAAAAGGTTTTCCACTTTCAACAAATAGAGATTCGTAAGAGTCGTAAGTATTAGAACCTTGATTGTAAAATTAAATGTTGTACCAATCGATGGTGTTACCTACTTCTTTTTCAACAGTGTAATAAGCACCATTGTCATAGTAAGCACGAGAGAAGTAAGGGGCTTGAGGAGCATGAGTGATTAACAAATGCTTGTTATCAAGCTTTTAACGTAAAACCTTTTAGAAAGTAATTAACCATTTGGTTCCAGTTCCATCAACAATAGCATCATTGTCTTCATAATCAATGTCAATACCATCAATGTAAGGATTTTCGTTTACCCACTTAGCTAAGCTTTCAGCAACAAGTGTAGGATCAAATCCAGTAGGGTTTTAAGCAGCTCCAAAAGCACTGATAAAAAGTAAGGAACCATTATCATGATAAAGTTTCTAAAGATTCTATTAAATTTCGGCATTAGTATTACCAATGACATCAGGTCCAATAAAATTAAGAGGCTTGTCATAAACTGAAACAGCGTCACCCATCATTCCATACATCCAGAAAGTAAGAATGAAAATGTCATAGCATTTAGAGTTGACACCCAAGCTGTTAAGTATGACTTAAGGAGGCCAGTATCCAGCTAATCTATTAACATAGGCAATAGATTTAAAAGGCTTAGCTTTAATAGCTTCAATCAACTCCTACTAACGAGTTTATGAAGAGGTGTCAGGTCTAATTGAAGCTCCATTCTTGTAATAGAAAGCAAAACCAGTGAGAAGAGAAACTGCAATTAAAGCAGAGACGACAAAAATAACTCTGTTTATTTACATTTATTAAATGATAGCTTTTAATACTGTATTTTGTTATTAATTAATATCTAATTTCAGATATATTAGTTTTTTACAAATCTTTTCATCCTCAAAAAAGAAATAAGCATGTACAACACAAGCTTAACTAATTAAATATTCAAATCATTATACTTGAGTAATTGAGAAAGGCAGATTTAATTATTAAATTGCCTCTCAAGAAAAAAGACTATAGCCACCAGTTTAAGTATGTGTGCATCAAAGAATAATTTAGTAAGAAAAAAATAAATGAAAAGCTCTATTTTTGTTATAATTACTGCATTGATAATAGAGGGAAATTAGAAGGAAATAATTAAAGAAAATTAATTCTCAAATGATTTCTGAAAAGTATAAAAGTATAAATTTTTAAATAAGACACTATAAAAATTTAATAAATTCTGATTCGAAAAATTTGGATTGCAATTATTTAAATTTGTAGATTAAAAAATATTTTAATTTTTTAGAACCATTTTGATTTTTTAAAGAGTTTTTAAATAAGTATTTTTTTTCTTCCTACTATCATACTTAATAGAATAAGTAAAAAATTCACCGTTAAATAAATTATTGTTACTATTAATATTTTTCTATTAAAATGATAAAAAAGACGTGGTGTTTGATTATCTTATATTTTTATATATTGGCTTATTTTTTAAAAATATATTGCATGCAATTTCTTTTATTAAGTGATATTCAAGTTTATTTGCATTTATAAACTTTTTATTAGCTTTTTCTTTATTTTTTTTTGTAAGTATGATGGATTTTTGCTCATTATATCATTTTTAAAAAAAATAGATGGAACCTTAAATTTATTTTAAAATATGAATTAAACTAAAAAAATAATAACACTTGAAGTTTATTTTAAAAAATATTATTTAAATAATTAAAACCTTTTCATCACTCAAAATGAGAAACAATAATAAAAAATTAATAATAAATATCCCAAATGTTGAATTTGGTAATTTGAAATTTAGTTGATAATTGAGAAATAGTTTACGATTTTTATACATCTAATAGAAATCTACATTATTTTTATTTTTATATATGGTTTAAATTATAAGAAAATAAATGGTGTGTATGTATGGGTTGTTTGTGTTTATTTAATTTATATATAATTTTTTTTCATTGTAAAATTCTAATATTTATATATCCTTGTACCTGTAATGATAAAAATTATGAATTAATGATCAAAAAAAGAATGACTGACTGAGCTATAAAAATAAACATTTATATCCAAAAATAAAATTATATTTAAAAGCTTTTTTTTTTTCAGTGCTATCATATAGATCAAATGCACCCACGCATTCTTTCTTTCTACTATATTATATTAATCTTCAAAATTATAATTAAACTTTATAAATATTGTTTTTTAGCTTAATAAAATTGCTATTTTTTAGTTATGCTTTTATTATTATTGACTGATTATCAATATTTCCTATACCCAAAAAGACCTTAAGAAGAATAAGAGTTAGACTTCGATGTGTTGGTCGAAGAAGGGTTTGTGTTTTATTTAGATTTATTTGAGTTATTAATTGCATTTGAAGTATTATTTGAATATGTAGGACTTGCTAGACCTGATTAATAGCTTGTCGGAGTATAGCTAAGTTTACTGCCTGCTGAAGTTCCTTTATGATGTGTTTGGCTGCTACTATATTAAGCGAAAGTAGCATTTTGTTATAAATTTGTGTTAGGAGACTAAGCGTGGTCCTGTCCTATGTAATTATTATTTTTAGGTACACTTTATGTATTTTATTTAGAAATTAGATCTTATGGACTTCTTGAAGGAGAAATAGCTGTATTCCCTAATGAAGTAACCTTTTTAGCATTTCCATTTTGATTAGCATCTTTTGTTTCATCAGCTGCTAGCTGAATACTAGATCTTTATTCGATAGGTTATTATTTGATATTATCATCATCGATTTTGATTGCATTACTAGAGGTGAAAGGATACACAGAGTCTATGCTTCCTTCAAATGACTTAAATATCATACTATTAGGATTAAATCTTACATTTACAGATTAAGGAGATTAGTTACCATTAATTTCACCATCTTAATTAAATGTTTTATTGTAAATATCTTTAATTCTCATTATTTCAGAGTATAGAGAGTCAATTTGATTAGCAGCAATGTTTTATGGCTTTGATTTCATGTCTGATAACCTATCAATTTTAAGTTTTAAATAATTTTAGAAACTGTAAATATTCTAGTAAGACAAAAAAAATTTGTTTACTTTGTGATGCAAGTCTTTATGAATTCGCCAAACTTATCGTAAATTCTCAAGAAACTCTGCTGGTACTTTAAAATTTCTTTTTCATGCTGGTCAGTAATTTTCTTTTATGTCTTTTCCATCAACTCTGTTTCTTCTTTCATTTTGTTGACTAAAAATTATTCTAATTCCTTAGTTTAATCTTTTTGAAGCTAAAAGTTTTGCTTTTCAGCTTTATATGCCTAATTTAATTATTTTAAGAAGGGATAAACAATTAATTAATCTAATTGAAGTTAAAGAAATTTTTATTACATCAGCATAATGCTCTGATTTAGATGTTTCCATTTTTAATTCATTCTGAAGAATTGATATTTTTCCTTCAAGTCTTTCTTTTTCTTTTAATACTTATTCTATGAATTCCTGATTGATACCATTAAAGAAATTTCCTTTTAGCTCTTAGTAAGTTCTTTTAATAAGGGTATTTCTTTGTTTTAATTCTTCAATTGCTCTATCGTATGTTAAAGGAATCAGATCTTTTGAGATAACTTCATCAACTAATTTATTTGATAAATAAAATTTTGTTATATTTTTACAAAATCAATTTTATTCATTTATTTACCTTCCTTTAGCTCCTTCATTATAGGACTGTCAGTTGTTTTTTCAATATCTAACTAAAATCCTATAAAGCTTCCCCTTAAACTTTTTCTAATTGTATCGTTAGAGGGTTTCATTAAGAGATTTCTGATAGACTCAGTGTCTTTAATAATTCTTGATTTCTTGGGTGCGAATTCTTAGTAAGTATTTATCTTTTCTTTTACAAACTAAGTTTCTAACTCAACTTGCTCTATTCTATTTCTTAACTATTTATAATTATAATTAGCCTCATTAATAACTTATTCAAGCTTTTAAATGTGCTTTGTTTGTATCTTATTTAAAATAGATTTCATCTTGGCCTTTCCATATTCTATAATTTATTTCCATTCTAAAGCGTTAATAGTTCTAGCAAGATGCTAATTAATTAAATGAGAGCTATATTTATAAAATAAATTAAAATGGTTAAGTTGACTTAAATAAATTTTATATTACTTGAAAAGTTATTTTTTAAGCAAAATTATCATTAAATCTCTTGATATAGGAACTTGTTAACTGTACTACTCTAGTTAACCAGGAAATTCTACAATTTATTCTAAAACATCTTATGTATTGCAAACCTTATTGAAATCAAGCTCTCCAATAAAAGATCCTCTTAATTAATCATCGGCTGGTTTCGAATTAGAGCTTTCTCTTCTTGCTGACTTAAATCTATCATCGTCTAGCACTGAAAACTCAGCTTAAGACTTAAATAACTCCTAGTCATCAACCCCGATTTGTTTCATATTTTTTTATACATCTGCCCATTTTTAAACAAGATTCTATATTTTTTAAATCAATTAATTTATATAATTCCTTAATTTTAAAATATAAATCTTACATCGTAGTTAAAGTTGATGCTATTTTTGAAGTATTCAGAGAAGTGAATTTCAGAGAAATTTAATTTATCCTTTAAAAATTCTTCAACCTTCTTTTATGCTTTTAATCAAAGAATTAATCAGAATTTTTATTTATTATAAAAAAAATTTACAAATTTCTTATTTTTCTTTCATTAAAACACCTATTGAGTTTTCTTGCTTGCAGATATTATCAACTAAAGACTAAATTTGCTTGTGTAAAATTTCAATTTCAAATCTATTATAATCATTTTTAGTTATTTATTGAGAATGATTATATTCTAATTTGTGCTTCTCCTCACGCACATCAGCAAGGGATCTTTCAGTTTCTAGCTAAATTTTTTTGAGTTCCATAATTTCTTTTTCTAAGTTTCTGCATTAACTAACTTTTTCTTAGTAGGCAAGCTTATAGTCAAGGTTCAAAGCAGGACCTTTAACTGATGAGGAGGATTATTATTGCTACTATAATTGAGCCATATTTTAAATATTTTTTTAGGTCGAGCTTGGTCTCTTTCCACTAAATTAACTAAACTAAACTTATTTTTCAATAGCAGTCTCGCTTGATAGAATATTGTTATTATTATTACCATTAACATTGTTTATTTGACTCTCATCTAACTCTGAATCTTCATAAGATTTTGAATTATTATTTTTTAGATTGCCCTCTTTTGCTGTTTAGGCATCTTCCATATTCTCAGCTAATTCTGAGCAATTAAGTATGTCTTCTAATGCTTTCACTAAATAAATAAAATATTTTTATTTAAAACTTTATCATTTAAATTTATTTAATTTACTATTTTGTTAAATGGCCTACTATTACTGCTCAGGTGTAGCTCTTCCTTCCTTGACAGAAAGCAGCATAGATTATTAGTTAGATTTTAATTAATCTCTCAGCTATTTAATGATTTTTTTGAAATTATTATTCTACTTTTATGCCTTTTCAAGTTCTGTTTTTAGCTACTCTATAAGTTTTCTCATTTAATCTACCGATAATTTGACATTCATCTTAACATTATTTTTTATTGTCTTAGCACGAGTAGCGAATTTTAGAGTACTTATCTGCTCTTCATGCTAACTAGAATGTGGTGAAATAGCAGCTACTAGTGATGTCTTATAGTTACCACCAAGTGATTCTTACAAAATTCTAGTCAGTTTTGAATCTCTGTAAGGAATATGTTCTTAGTTAGAAGTTAAAGCATGAATAACATTACCTATATTTATTTTTTTATTTGAATAATGTTTAAATTTAAATCTAGAATAAATCACTATATAAATATTTATTTATAATCAATTTACCAAGACAAGAAAGAGAAAGGTTAATTTTTTTAGCTTCTTCTAGAGTTTCGCCAGTTGCTTGAGTTTTGGCTATCTTTTCTGAACCTGCAAGATCAACTAAATTCAATTTACCTAACTTTTCTTAACCATTGCTATATCTTTATGTAACAGTGATAGTAAAAATTGTATGAGAACGAGATGAGTATTCATTCATTCTTGTTTCACGTGTCTGCTTACTTTAATAACCTAAATTTATTGCATCTAAAATATCCTCTTCACAATCGACAGAAATTGCTGTTAAACCTTATACATAAATACCACCTTTTTGTGGATTTTCTTTAATTTTTAAATTAACTCTATCAACTTTTAGCAAATCGAAAAGCTACTCTTTATAAATTTCTAACATGCTTACTGTAATACTGAATTCAATATCTTAATCGAGTGCATTAATATAACTGAAGATCTGGTTGCTGACACGAGGAATAATACCTTTTTGCTTGGGATCATTAACATCACCAAACATAGTATAGGTCTTACCAGAACCTGTAGGACCATATGCAAATATAGTACCGTTGTATCCTTAGAGCACATCATTAACCATTTCTCTTCCGACATCTTCATAAATTTATTCCTAGTTATTATTATATATATTTATTTGAATTACTTTGTGTGTAAAAAGCATATTATATTTTCTATTACTTATTATGTATCAGGAGGATATACTTTATCGAGGGTATATAAACCTTTTTCAGGCATAACACAAATAGTTTTTGTATCGTTAAAACGAAGATTTTCATTTCCCATTCCATTTTCATTAAATTCAATTTCCATTTTATTTAAAGGTCTTACTCTTATAAAAGTTTTAATATTGCTTGATTTCTACTTCTAATCAAACTGTTTAAGAACCTCAAAGTTAACGCTTTAATCCATAGCTTAGTTAGGAGAACTAAGATCATTAAAAGCAGCACTTTTAGCATCAGCAAATCCATTTAATGTTGATATATTTATATTATTAGTAGCATTTTAAGCTTAATTTGCTGTTCCTAAGTTAATACTGCTAATCAAATTTCCATTAGTAGGATTTTTACCTATTTAATTTTTATTTATTTTAAAATATCACTTAAAAAAATTTATAATTATGATCTAAGCATCAATTTTAAATTGAAAATATTTTTGCAATAATAAATTCTTTGTTCTTTTATGACAAAATTTCATATTTAAATCTAAAATATATATTATTTAAATGGCATAAAGATAACTTATAAAGATTTTACTTGTAAGATTTGGTGTCATGCTTGAATAGTTTTTGCTTGGGCTTTTTTGGAGTTAATTGAAGTTCTAACTGCTTTATAATAACTATGATGGCTAATTTATGCTTACTGCTTTTTTTAATATTTATCCTTAGTTTGCTTAACTAGCTGTACCATTGTTTATGCTTAAATTAGTGTTATTATTGCTTACATTATTGTTTGTACTACTATTAGTAACTTAGTTTGTTAAATTAGTTACAGTAATTCCAGGGAGATTAAAGCTAAACGTATTTTTTTAGTTTGCACTGCTAGAGGCTGGATTTTCTACTTTATCAATTGGTGTTATTCCTGAAATATCAAGCTAATTCAGGGGACTCTACTCTGGAATAATTTAATTATCGCTTTGTTAACTTGCCTAAACTTTTTTAGGCTCTTAGGAGTTAATGTTGCTTAAACTTATTTGCGCAGATGGAGACTTTGCAGGTTGGAGAGAAATGTTTGCTGTTTACTTTTTATCATTCGGCTTTAACGATATAGAAGGGTTCTTAGAAGTAACAACCATCCTTTTATAGTTAGATTTTTAAAAATTCATAAATAATTTTGATAGTTAATAAATTTTGATAGTAAATGAAAAAATTTGACTGCTAACTAGATGGTTTTTTATGATTTAAAAATTTAAAATAAATTGAATTAGTGATAATGTAAGGAAAAGAAATTTTGATGATCAATTTCAATTTTCTTTTTTTTATTTGTTTAAATTTTAAAAAAATCAAATAACAATAAAACAAGCAGGTTAGCGACATTTAAAATTTAAGATTTACTTGCATGCTTTTCAATTTAATTTCTCATTTTATTTATTTATTATTTATCTTATCTAATTATTCCATTTTTTTTACAAATTTTGCTCTTTATACATTTATATATTATTATAAAATGGCAAATTCTCAATGAAAAATGGAAGCCAGCCAATATATTTTGCAGTTATTTAAAATTTTATCCTCTTTATAACAATTATGCTTGTAATTTGTATTGCTTTTATTTTTTTGTATATTATGCGTTTCTCAACCTCTAGAGTTTAATTATATTTTCTTTCTTTAAAAATTTCAAATTTTTTCATATTTTCAATAAGATATTTTCAGTACATATTAATCTATTATCAAGTTTATTCAGTATTTGTTTTTAGATAGCCAGTTAAAAAACAATAATCTAATATATGTATGCCTGAAATATTTGTTTAAAGAATTTTATTACTCAGTCAAATATTTACCCTTTTTAAAATTGAAAAATGCTATTACTTTTGACTGTTGTTTGGTTAAAGCTCTGCTTGTCTAGCATTTGATGAAGTAGACTGCTTTTCCTAATTATTCCTCGTAGGTGAGACCATATTTGTGCGACCTATTCGTTTTTAGGAATACAAATATTATTTTTAAATATTGAATTATATTGAAATTGGTTAATTCTAATAGAAAAAAATAAATAAATCATCTTCAGTGCAATTTTTATTTTTTGATTTGTATAAATTCAAATATTTTACAAATGAATGTTTGCTTAGTTAATATTTATCTTTGAAAGATATAAATTGGCAATCAAAGTTATGTATATAATTTGCTATTTGAAATATGAATCTAATTGAAATATCTCAAGTATAAAATAGTTAGTTATTTACTCTTTTCCTAACCCTTTGAAGATAAAGAACTTGATACTCCTAGGACTCCTTTTGATCTAGAATTCATTTCCTAAAAGCTAATTTATCTGAATTGAATGTAAATAAGATTTGATGTCTTTTCCAGTTAATTAAATCTTTTAATAGTTGTATTAAACCTTTTGGATTATAATGTTTATTGAATTTCTTTTTATATTTAAAAATTATAAAAAATATTAATTAAATTGATTTTTGTATTATATTTTTTTACCAAGAAATAAAAAATTAGTCAGAAATATCAATATCAATAATTAGTTTCTTTCACTTTTTATCTATCAATCAATCTATTAGCTATCTAGCTATTTATTTATTTATTGTTTATTCTGTGCGATTCTCTCTCTCTCTATTTATTTATTTATTATTTATCAGTTCTTTGATTACCTCTCTAATAATTATTTTTGTTAAGCAGCATACTAAGTTACAGTCTAATTTTCTTTATACATATTTCATAAAATTAAATATCAATTATTATTCTTGTTCAATATTTAGTCTTGAATTTTACTAATACAAATATTTTTTATCACAATTATTACCTATTTATTTTATTTTGATGGTCAAAACTTAATATTTCTCATACTAATTATTTTGCCTAAAAATGAAATTTATTTTCAAATACCAAAAGGAAACCTTAGTGCTAAATGCATTTCACTACATGTAATTGAAGTAAATTAATATCATATCTGTATTTTAATTAAAACTAGGAAATAATTTTAATTTTTAAAAAAGAATTCATAAATTTACAATTAACTCTTTTTATTGGCATATAACAATCTAAATATAAATTTAATTTCTTCAAAATGATTGATACTCAGTGAAAAATATTAATTGAATATGTGTTATATTTATTGTTTGTAACATTTTATTAAAAGATTAGTATTAAATTTCTACCAGATAATTTTGTTACTTAATGTAACAAAACCATTAAAAAACTTAATTTCAATTAATTTTTTGTGGTCTATGATTTATTTATTTTCAAATGGTTATATTAGATATCCAAAAAATACCAATCATATTGTATCATAATACATTAACATTTCTTTATTGAATATTTACTTTATTTTTTTAATACTTCAAAAATATTTTTTTTAAATATTGATTGCACATTTAAAAATATTTGATTGTTTAAAGTCAAAAATAAAGTTAAAACTAACTTAAATAAATGAAAATTCAAGCTTATTGTTGATAATCTTTCAAGCTTATTAATTAAAATCTTGGAATATTTTAGTTTAGGTTTGTGTAATATGAAGAATAAAATTAATTTACTAACAAAAATATCTTTCCTATATTTAATATGATTGTTTTGATTAATTCATTTACACTTTTTGATATGTTTAAATCGTAATAATAACTTTAGACTGTTTGTTTTCAAATATATAGAAGTCAATATTTGCAATTTATTATGTTAAAAAATATAAGTTAAATAAAATTTAATAATTTATTTTTTTCGTTTTTCTTCAACAAATTTATATGCAAAAAGAATAATAGATTCTTTTAATATAAAAGTACAAATAAAAGCCTGCAAGAAATAATGAAATAAATCAAACAAAAAAATGGCATATACAACTATAAAATACAAAAAAATAAATTTAATAAGTATTACAAGAGTGAATATTTGAGAGATAGTAGATATTGATTGATAGATAGATATCTTGATTGTTTTGGAATTGATTGAAAGGAAATAAAAATTATCTCTTGACTGAATTAAGATCACTCACAATTTCTTGTCCACTATTTATGCTTATTTCTGATTAATTTATTTCACTTCATGCATTTATTTATTTTATTATTAAAAGATACTTTGTAAGTAGGATATAGATTATAATGATATAAGGGTAAGTAAAGCAGTTTGTTACCATTAATATTTGGTATTTGTATCAAGAATAAGAGCCAACTTGGTTTTCAAGAATAGCTAGTTTATTTATGCACGATATAATTAGTTATTATATTTGACTCTTTTCCTTTTTAAGCTCTGTTAGTTGTGATTATAACTTAGAATTTTCATCTTTTTATGCACCAATTGCTAATTTTAAGTTTTTAAGCAAAGCTGCTAATGTTGGTTTTGTTGTGTTATTTATTTCTTCGTTGTATACAGTTACTTCTTATTTCATTGCTGATAATTCTTATCTCAAATTTTCGATATCCTTGTTGTATTCCCCTAATTGCTAGTTTGTTGATTCTATGATGCTCTTTTGATAGTAAAAATAACTTGTTTAATAATTGCAGAGTTAAAAATAAGAAACCAATAAAATTAAGAGAGCTAAATTCTTTTTATAGCAGAAAAACAAATATATTTCTGTAATCTATGAAATCTTTGGCTCTCAAATCTTCTGAATTTATTTTAAACCTTTTACCTTAACCAAAGCAATGTGGTTTTTCACATTTGTTGCTGATTATTAATCAAAACCAGAGTTTTTCAATTCTGCATTATAATCATCTTCCATTTTTATGTGTGCTAATCTTTTCGTTAAAAATAATTTTAATCTACAAATGTCAAAGGCATATTTATTCTAATTTAAAATGTGTATCCATAAATTAAATATCTTCCAAAACTATTTATAAATATTTATTTTACTTAATATGATTTTTGTACTGTTTTTCTTGTTTGTTTTACTTTCGTACTTCTTTTTATCTAAAGTTACTTTGTGTTTTTATTTATAATTAAATACTATTATTTATAAAACTTCTTTTTTCAATCTTCCATAAAATTAATGAAACTCAAAAATCATACAGAAATCATCATTAATACAATACAAGCATTTAATAACTATTAACAAATAATTGCCACATTTATTCTGCCAAATTAATTTAATAATTATAAATAAATAAATATTAATTAATTAACTAATTCTATTAAAAATTCATCATTTAAAAAAATTTTATTTACCTAAAATATTTCAATCTACATTCATCAAAAATATGTAAAGCAATTTTTTTATATAGCCTATTTTGTATAATTAACTTTGCTTTTTTAATTAACTTTAAGGGATCTATTTAAATGGCTTAAAGAATACATAAAGATAGTCCTTACTATTTAAACCTTAGTGAATACATATTCAAATTTTTTATTGGCTTTAGATTTAAGGGATTTGCATTATTTATCAATGGGTTTTTAATTCAACAGTATATTTTTTGGGTCATAATTATTAAATTGATATTAATATTTTATGATGTTTAATAGATAGTCTATTTTGAATATAAAAATTAGAAATAAGAATAAAAACAGTTAAAAAATATAAATTAATTCTCAAAAAATGTAATTTATTAATCTAAGGATACGTATAAAATGATTTCAATATTAACATATACTATTTATTATAATTATTTAAATAATCTATTTTCCCTAATAGATTTAAATATTTAATTTTTAGTATAAATGAAGATAAATTTGTTGTTTAAAAGTATCAGATCAAAGGAGTTATGATATTATAAAAATTAATGTTGTTTATTTTGACTTTTAGTTCTTTTGATTAAATTAGTTTTTAGATAGATTTTATATTAATTTTTAATTTTATGATTTATTAATTACTAAAATGATGTTACTTAATTATTAATAAATATAATTCTCTCTTTAACAATAGGTAATGTTAACAAAAATTTTACTTTATAAATATTATTTTTTTAGATATCAATTATTAAAAATAGTTTTGAAAAATATTCAACTAAGATTATGTTCATTAATTATAATTTTTTGTTCTGTAAAGTCTTACAATTTCTTTGAAAAATATTCCTTTGTAAATTTAATGAAATTTACAAAATATTGTTTGCCAAAAAATATCAACTTTTATTTTAATTCTATGCATATACAATTTAATTCCTTTTAAATATTTTAATAATTAATATTTAAATTTATTTAATTATCATCTAAATATCAATTCAAATTTCTATTTTAAAAGAAAAAATGTGTTGGATAGTTAAATTCAATCAATGTATAAAAGATGATTAGAGAGTGATAGAGTGTGTTAAAAAACTAACAGATACATTCTTATTTTTTTAAACATTATCGAAAAAACTTGTGAAACAAAAAAAACTTATTTAATCAAATTTATTGTTAGGTTTTCAATTGCAAATTGAATAAGAAAAAAATAAATAAATATATTCATTTTTACCTTAAAAAGTGATTACTTAAGATTGAATAATAATTAGATTAATCCTAAATAAAATATTTTTTCTTAAGAATTCAGTCTTCTCATTATTTTTATTAAATAATTATTGGCTTAAATATTAAGCATATTGAATGGGATGTTAATAATCTAGAAATACTGTTCCAACAGAGTATCTAGAATAAGATGATTAGGATATATAAAATTTTAATGATGAACAAAAAATAAGGAATTTATTTCAGAATATAGATAATAACTAAGATAGGTAGCCTTTTAAGCAAGGTGTTTGTAATTAACAAGTGCCTTAAGCAAAAGGATGTAGATATAATGAGGCTCCAACAAAAGGATTGAGTACTTCAAATTTAAGCAAAAAATTTAATGAAAGTAGAACTTTAGATCTCATAAACAATGAATTATTTTCTAACAGAGTTAGCTAATCTGCACGAGATTCAAAAAGGTTTTCAGTTTACAATAAATAAAACAACTCTATTTTAAAAGAATTTAGATAAAAAAAATAATTTTAAAAAAGTAACCAATAAAATAAACAAAGTATAAGTTAAAATTAATGGCAAATAATTTAGATGTACAATTAATAAAATTAAAAAACTAGTGTTGATTTATCTTAAATATCTTTTTCTTCAGCTCTCTCTTCTTAACTTTAAGTTAGATTTTAGTCAACATTAAGAGATCTAAATAAAATTCAAAACAAAGAATAAGAAAATGAATTTTAGCCATAGTCTTAAAATACTATTTTTTCTTATAAATATCATTAAAAAAATTAAGATAAAGAGAATATTGAAGCTAAAAGCTAAAAAAAACAATAAATGATTGAATCTGCAAGATAAATTATGTCAATTAGATCAGGAAAATCAATTTAGGTATGCGAAGAAGAGTATGACTGCATCAAGTATATGATTTTTGAAAAAATGGTTCCTTAGATGGTTAAGAAAGGATCTCCTTTTACTCAATTTTAAAATGAAATAACACATATTTTAGAAAAATGGGGGTAATTTGTACATTAAGCTATTATTTAATAAACTGGTGAGATTAGAAATTTTGTATCAATTCGAAACACAAATGATTATATAAGAATAACTCATGAGTTATCTTGCTGGAAACAATTCTCTGTACTAGAATAATTTGTTTTAGATGTTCTTAATTAACCTGTAAACTTTTAATATTTAGATGTAATTAAAAATAATGCTTAAAAAATCAAAGCTCTAAGTTGCTTTGTTTGGATTGAGCTTTCTTACTAAAAGGATATAAATAAACTGGATATTTAAGTAGGCGTATCAGAAAAATAGCCATATGATAAGCGTATACTTCAAAGCCTCATAATTAATAAAAATGAAAGAAGCAACATAATGGATTGGTATAATATCGCTTAGCCAATAGCTAATGAATATGGCTTTATTATAAATAGTTAACACATTGATGAAATTTATGACTTTTATATATTTGAAAATGATGAAAAAACTAATTTGAAGTGCTCTTTGCAGGCATTCTATAATTATGGAGCCTAATTCTCTAAAAGTATAACTGATGTTTTAGACTAAATTCCTGGAAATGACTTTCATGTTATGTTTCATTTGAATAGGTTTGGTTTATTAAATTTAAAGCTTTCTCTATAAAGTCTAAATTTGGATGAAGAATCAATAATTTTTGATGACATCTTGAGCAATTTAGACAGTTAGAAATAATAGGAAAGCCTAAAAAGTTTATGGGAGTGGTATAATTAATATATATTTAATGAAGAAAATGTTTACACACTTCACTATTTAGAGTTAAATCCAGATGGTCTATATTTATATAAAACAAGAGAAATTTCAATTGATGAGGATTCATAAATTTGAAATTTCAATAATATGATTAGAGTCTAAATAAATCAATACTATTTATTTTCCATTATCAATTTTATAAATTAATCCTTGATTTTCTTATTTATATTTATATAATTTACTTTTCACCAAATAAAAATCTCTCAATTCATTCAAATATTTTCTTTCAATTTTTAATATCATTTAAAATTTTTTGTATGTTTATTTTTAAAAGATTATTTATTTATTTTTTTTTTTGAGATTCTCAAAAAAAAATTTTTATATTTTTATGAGTTTCCATTCTTAATAAAATTATTTGGTTGAATTCAATATTATTTTAATATTATTTGATAGAGATATTGTTTAAAATTTAAAAATAGTTCTATTTAAAAATTTAAAAATTAATAAATAAAGATAATAATTTTTGGACTAATTTCTATCATCTAACAAACAAAAAGATGAACATTAGATTTACTAAATAAGTATTTGGAATCCTCCTCAAACTCTTTAATTTGATTAATTATTGAAACTAAAAAGAAAATCTAAATTAATTTTTCCAGAAAATGAAATATAATTTATTGAAAAATAGTTTTTAATATTTTATAATACTTTTTAAAAATAAATAATAAACTTATTATTTTTTATATTTTATTCACCCTTTCTATTTATTTTAAATAAGTTTTTATGAGAAAATATAATCACAAAAATTTATTTTTATTTTTTGTTTGGTACCTTTTTGTAACAAAAGATATTCTTTAATTTTTGAATCAAACTTGGAAGGTTTTTGCAAATTAAATGCCTTAGGCAAAGCACCATAAAGTAGATGAAATTATATAACCATGCTTTTCAGCAAGAGTTGTTAAAGTATCTGTAATATTTTCGTCAATGTCAATCAAATGGACAAAAATTGACTCTGCATCTTCTAAGTCTTATTTTGGATTGATGTTTTCTTATTTGTTTCCATTTACTTCTAAAAATACTGATTTTGTGCAACTACAGCTTCTCCATGGATCTGTATAGGTTGGGGGACTCTCTTTATTTGATACTTTTAAAGGTTATTCTTCTGCGGTATAACCTGTTTCTTCTTTTAATTCTCTTATAGCATTTTAAACTAAATCTGGGGTATCCATTAGACCAGCAGGGATTTCTAAAACAAATTTATCAACAGGAGCACGGTAGTTTGCAATAATAATTAGTTTTGAAGGTTAATTGTCTTTTTTTATAATTGCAAAAGTGGCCACTCCATCATAAGGAGTATTTTTAATTCTTGTTGTACGCTCTATAGATTCGTAATTTTCTATTTTTTTACCTCGTATTTCGAAGTCTATGTACTTCATTTTTAACCATTTTCCCACAAATGCATCTCTTTCTCCTAATCTTTTAGGTTAAGAGTACTAATTATTTTTTATATCTTGATTTTATTAGTTATCCATCTTGCTAAAACTAAATAAAAGTCTTTAAGTTAAGAATTCAGTAGATCCTAAATTTAGAGAGGATTTTCTTTATTTAGAAAATGTTGAGGATTTAGCTTATGAAATATAGCTTGGTAATTTATTTATTATATTTTTTATTGCAAAAAACATAGAATCAGATATACAATTTATAATTAGTAAAAAAAAACTAAATTAAATTGTTTTTGATGATATCAATTATTTTTCAAATCAAATATTTGCCAAAAAAAATTTTTAGATATTTTTGGTAATTAATTAGTATTCTAGCTAATTATTTCTTTTGATGGTAATGAATGAATGTATGAATTCTCGAAGCAAACCAAATGCTAAATAATGCGAAAAATATTATTTATAATTAGGTTATACTTGATATTATTAATTTTTAAGCGATTTTACTTTACTTGGAAGTAAATTGCCTTTTTTTATTAAATACAATCACAAGTTTAATTAAGAATTTAGATAAATTGTGGTATGATACAAATGTATCTCAAATGATTACATTTATATTTTTGAAGTTAAGCCCTTTCTAGCTTTCATTAAATTAAAGGTAAAGGTATAAAAGATTTCTACAAATTAACAATAAAAAAAGATTAAAAGTATTCATCAATTTGGTATTAAAAAACCAAAACAAAATTTGGCTAATCATAATAAATAAATAAAAAAGAGACATTTTTATCGAACAGAGATGTCACACAACAACATTTGTGATAAACTCTTATAAGATTATGATAGCGATGATAACGAAGATGTGAACTTAAATCAATTAGAATAAGACTATAAGTCTGTTTTTTAAGTGAGTGCAAAGCAATTTCATAATATCCCTAGTACAGATAATTATAATGTTGATAAAAATGTGATTTAAATATCTGACAATAACGTTTAATCCAATAACTAGCAGAATCAATTTAATGAAAAATAATAACCATCTAATCCTACCAATAATTAGTAGAGGCATATCTAACACCAAAGTAGCTATTAAGGTTAATCCTTGCCTTCAATTTTAAAAAAGAAATCCTCCTACGATTAAAGCTCAAATTTAATTTAAGGCTAATTTGGTTTTGAAGCCTAAAATTTATAAAAAAGTTAAGGAGAGTAGCTGGTAGGTTCTCGCGATAACAGAGATTCCTAAGACATTGAAAAATCGTAATAATCACCTCTAAATTAGCAAGTAAGGTTTGGAAGAAAACAAGAAAAAAAGTTTAGTATTTAAGACGAAGTTCTTAAACTCGATAGAGTAGAGAGCATCAATCAGTAAAATTAAAAAATTGAAGAAGAGGATTAAAAGATTTAAGATTAAGACGAACCAGGAAGCGTAGACTAAGAAATGTTGAACAGATCAGAAATGGATTACTGGAAAGGTGAACTTCCTTTGGATTTGTTTTTAGAGAGCACCTATGAAAATGGGTAGAGAACAAATTTAGATGCACTTACTGTTTATAGACCAGATGTAGAACCAATACTTTATCAGTCTAAAACAAAAAATATTGAATCTTATTTGTATTTTGATGAGAAATCATATGATTATCAAGCAAGTGTAAAAGATGGAAGGAGAAGAAATATGCTTAGAAGAATCAATGAAAATGACGGATTTTTAGGTTTCTACAGTCAAAATAAGCGCAGTGATGTCCTTAAGATGCTTATTTGCGTTACTATGTACAGTGAAAGCAGAGAATTCTTGGAAAATACTCTCTACCATATTTATTAAAATTAAAAAGGGTTTCTTCAAATTGGGTTAAAAGATTTTCAAATTTGCGTTGTTGTTATATAAGATGGTATTATGAAAATGAAAGAAGAGTCAGTTGATTTTTATACTGAAATAGAAGGTGAAATTAGAGATCCTAAAAGAAACTTAAAAATTAGAAGATTTGACATTTAGAGCCAATTAGACTACTTTAAGTTTAATAATTAATAATCCCTTATTGATGCTAATGAAGGACTTCCTCCAACTATCCCTAAGCGTATTGCTCTTACATACTAAAATCGTTTATATTTTGTAAAGGAAAATCATAAAAACAGATACGAAAAACCTAAGGTTTATAGCTCAAATTGCAGAGGCTACTCAAATAATTAAATAGGTATGACAGTTTTTAGCGTTTTCAAGCATAAAAATGCAAAAAAGCTCTCCTCCCACATGTGGTTTTTCGAAGGTTTCTGCAGATAATTTAATCCTAAATACTGCGCTCTTGTTGATGTAGGAACTTTACCTGCTCCAGACGGATTACTGAAATTTTACATGGCAATGGAAGGAAATTCAAGGATTGGTGGTGTATGTGGATTCTTAGGTTTAGAAGATCCTCCAGAATATAAAAGCAAAGAAAATTAAGTTGTTGAAGGAAATGTATCACTTGATGAAGAAATTAAACAAAAAAAAGAAAATTTAAGGTTGAATACAAAATGGTGGAATATTTGGCAATCAAAAAAATAATAATAGTCTTCTAATCAGAATAACGATAATATTGATGAAGTTTAATAATAAGACATCTAAAAAATCGAACTTTAAAAGAAAAAAGATTCTCACTTTAAGAAAAAAATAATATCAACTACCATTTTTTCATTTTTTTTCTTTCTTCCTATTTAGATAATTTACTTTACTCTTTACTTAATATACTTCATCCTCTTTAAATGTGTCTTCAAATGCATTTTCAAAATTCTAAAATGGATTTCATATAATTACTTATCTGGATTGGCAAGTCTTAAAAAAGCCCAGCTTTATGAGTACACTATGGCTCATATGCTAGATAAAAATTTTGAATCACTTTTAGGATTTTTGCATGTTCTTCCAGGTGCCTGGTCAGCTTATCGATATAAAGCACTAGAAATTAAACTTTCTTAAAGATAAAATCTACTATAAAAACGCTATTTTAAATAATTGATAAATCCTGATTAATTAGAAGGAAATATCTAGGAAGCAAATATGTTTCTAGCAGAAGACAGAATCTTATGTCTTGGTATATATTGCTAGCCAGATTCTAATTTTATCTTGAAATACATACCTGATGCCTAAGCCTTTACAGATCCTGTTGAAACTCTAGAAGAATTTATGAATTAACGTAGAAGATGGATTAACAGTACTCTCTATGCATTAGATTACGTTTTAAAGCACTTTTCATTTCATGTCCAAGAAAGCAGTCATAGTAGTTTTTCTAAATATATTCTTTTACCATTTAACATGTTATTTGCAAAAATTGGAAAATTAAACACTTACTTTATTCCTGCATTTTACATGTTTGTTGCAATAACAAGCAGCTTTTAATTAATATCGCCTGAGATAAAAAAAGGCTATATGTTTCGTACAACAGAAAACTACAGTGACGATGATGGATGTATTATTGGTATGGAAGAACCACAACAAGATGATCTTTGTTCTTCATAAAATAAGGAATTTTGCTACATTGTGTGTGAGGAAAAAGACTTTCCCAGTTATCTACTTCTTCTTTTCGATATAGTACCTGCGATTTACATCATATGCTTCCTGCTGATAGTATTTGCAAGCTTAACTTTTCGTATTAAGCGTGTAAACAGACTAGCTGTATTTGAAGAGTTAAGTAGAACATTACTCACAAGTGAGTAGAAATAAGAAGTTTAAAAAAAAGAAGATGAGATTAAGTAGTAGCAAAAGGTATTGAGAGAGTCATTGCAACTTTCTTCAAAACAAATTAAGTAAGCAAATAAAAAAATAAATGAAGCTGAAAAGAAGCTCAAAGAATACATAATAAAGATTACTAAAAAGTCGTTTAAAGAAATGGAATAAAAGATCTAGTAACACTAAGTGAAGCTTACTCCTAAAGAAAAACTATTTAAAGAAAAATATGATACATTAACTTCATAAGATTTTTCTAATAGTTCATTTAAAATTCTCTCAGCTATTATGTCATTTATAAGTATTATAGTGATGATCATAGTAACTTTTGCCATTTTGATGAATATCTTCAACGATAATTTTGGATTAGTTAAAAGCTTTGTAAAATTAGAATATTGGTTAAGGTTGTATGTTATCATTATGGCATGTCTCAATACTGGATCATTTTTTATCCTTCTGTTTGTCCACTTACTTTTCTAACCTAAACTTGTTTGGTATATTATAATATCTTATTGGAGCTATACAATATACTAACCTATATATAATTTCACTTTAATCATATTCTCATTTTGTAATATTGATGATGTTACTTGGGGAACTAAAGGTATTTCATCAGAAGCTACTTCATAATTGTTTTATCAAAGCAAAGTTAAATTTCTACTAAAATGGTTTTCAGCAAATGCTCTTCTCTTAATGGTTATGATTTGTGGTAATATTTTCTCTGGAAAAACTCCTTATATTATTTTGTTAATTGGTATGTATGGAACATTGTATCTAACTGTTAAAACTATATTAGCAATATTCAATTACATAAAGTATTTCGTGATTGATAAGTGGATAGCATATTGCAGGATCAGAAGATTTAAGAATAAAAATAAAGTGCAATAGCAAGAAATAGAAAATAAATTCAAAGATTTCCTAAAGAAGATAGAGTCCTCGAAGACAAAGAGTCATAATGAATGGAGAGAACTATACAATAATAATAAAACAATCAGCTAAGATTATATTTAGAAGTTTATAACTTCCCCAAAAAGTCATTCATGAAAATTAAAGTTAGCTAGCTAGCTATTTATCCCTTTAAAATTGCTATTTCCTATTATTTATAATAAATTTCAAATTAAATTAAACAAATATTTTTATTTTATTGTGAAAAAATTCATTGACCATAGATTTGTAATAAATATTTTTTAAAAATAATTTTTTTAATAATTTATATTTATTTATTTATAACAAAAAACTATTTGAAGCTTCAAATTTATTTCAAAAATACCATTTTTATTTTCTTTTTAGAAAATAATTAATTTATTTTTGAATTAATATTTAAAAATCAGTTTTAACTTTGTTTAAATTTTATAAAATTAACATTGAAAAAAAAATTATTTTTTGTTTAATAAAATATTCATTTATAATTTATTAATTTTGTAAAAAATAATATTATATTTCTTAATTCATATTAATATATCAAGCTAATGAAGTAATTAGTTTGCTAAATTTATTATTGATTCATACTTTAGTTTGAGTTTCAATTTCATAATTTATAGAAAAATAATTTCATTACTATTTCATTTTATTTTTAAATGTCAAGTTTTAAAATGTTTTTCAATTTTATACATGAGGTGCATCATAACTTTAAGTTTGTTTATTGTTTGATTTTTGGTTTTTGGTTTTATAACCTTTATCTTAGAGTTTAATTTTTATATTTAAAAAAATACACATTTTGAAATGGATCATTTTAATTTTAGAAAATAAATTAAAATGTTATATTTATTATTTTAACAAATAAATTTTGATCTTTTTTTATTAAAAAATAAAATATAAAGATAAAAACAAATTATTAAAATATATCTTTTAGAAGAATATTAAATTAACTATTCGACAAAAAACATTTTATAAATTAAATTTTATTTATTAAAATTGTTACAATTTATTTTTAATATAATTAATTTGATAATTTCACATTCCAGAAGATAAAACAGCGTTTTGTCTTACTATTGAAGGACCATATTCTAAGTATTCTTATCTACTCTTACATACTTTTTCAAAGCCGGGCTAACATTTAAAAGTTTAGATAAATATATTAGATTTATAGATTTTTATTAAGATTTTACTTTTATTGAGAGCAAACTACCTCCTTACCAGACTGAAAAACGTTAGTGAGGATTTTGTGCGACTTAAACTACAATTGGTTAAGGTTTACTTAAAGCAGTAGAATATCTCAAAAGTCTATCATCTACTCTTTTCTAGATTAAATTATTAATATTAAAATGTATGATTTCATAAAAAAATTAATTAAGTCTGATTACTTAAATGGCTGACTATAATCTATCAGTGAAACCCTCAAACATAGTAGAACCACCAGATAACACAATATTCTATAATTTTTATGAAAGAATAAGAAATTTATCATATTTTTTAATGTTTACTGAATAAAGATGTCTTCTAGTATCAATTGGGGATCCTTAAATTGCATTATCAATAGATTCATCAATAGAAGTTCTCCATTTAGAGTCAAAGAATTCCTTTAGTAAATTCATTAATATTAATATATTTAGTGAGTAGAATTAATTTAATTACAGGGTAGAAGAACATTTCAGGACCTAAGAAACGTTCATAGCCAACATCCATGGTATATTACTTTAATTAAGATCAATATAAAAATTAAATTCTTTCTTTAGAAATAATATTAATTACTTTTTTATCAACTTAACTTTCGAAAGTGTATTGCTTAAATTTATTGGAAGGCTTACCATCTTTGCCAGGCTTGTCATATCTTTCAAATTCTTATAATAAACCTTTAGGTGCTACGTAACCATACTTTTCTTTAATTTCTGCAGAGATTCTGTTAATGTCTTAGTTATTAACTTTTTCACCTCTATCTCTAATCATTTAAGCTATGAAATTTGTAATGTCTCTACCAGCAAGAGGAATATGCTTAATACAACTACCGATAACATATCCATCACTCTTATTAAATATAAAAAAAATACAATGAATTATTCATTAAAAATATAAATAGGATTTTAATATAAGCTCTAAAAATCTGAAAATATCTTAATATAATTTGCCTTAAAATATAAAAATTTATTAGGTAAGTGCGAATGAAAGAAACCAATAATTTGATTTGATTTGTATTTATGTTTGACAGAAATTTAATTATTAGCTATTTGGAATGAATGAATAAAAAATCACATCAAAGATATTTATGTATGTATTGGGTATTAAAAAAAAAATTCTTACGACTGGAATAATGTGAGTAACACCATCACCAGAATCTAAGACGCAACCAGTCAATTTGTTTCCTGTTTGGGCATTTTATTCGTGCATTTAATTTGAGTAGAGAGCGAGCACGGCTTGAACTCCAATATAAATGCTTTTTGCATTAAATGTTTCAAAGAAAATTTCTGCTATGTTTTCTCTATTTTCAGGAGGATTCATAGGAGGTTCAGTAAGAACAAATGTGGTTTCGTCGGGATCACAACGAAGATAATCAAATATGCTTTTTTACCAGAACTTTTCCATTAAAGTCCAGTCTGTTACAATACCAGACTTCATAGGATAAGTTTTGACTTACTAATTCAAGGCATCATTACCGATGCAAAAATCTAATTATTCATTGTAATTCTTACTAACTTAAACTGAATTCTATTTTTAAATTAAAGTAAATGTAAATCTTTTAGGTCATATAATTCTTAAATACTTTATCGCTATTATCTGAAATGACTGTGGGAATATCATAAGTTGGTTCAATGTTTCCACCCCAACCCATTTTTGTGTAGCTTTTTTGATAAAATGTTATACATTATTAATGACAATCGATTATTCATATTAGATAAAATAAATGTATGCTTGCATAATTTCTGATAGCTTATTTTGCTTAATAAATGAATATATAATCATTACCCTGTACCATTATCAATAATAGCTACTTTATTTTCTATGAAGCATTTATTATCCATCGCTAATTCTTATATCCTATTTTTTCAACTTTTTTTCTTTGTTTATTATTGAGTGATTAAATTTCTGCTACCTTAAAATTATAAGAAATAGTATATTTGTATCTTTTTTATTATTGCTTATCAGCTTAATAAAAAAATATATTTTAAGTGTTTATTTGATCTGATCACACCTAAGGTTCATTGATAAGATTTTTTTATTTAGGATAATAATTCAATCAAATATCAAAGCTCAATTACAATCAATGAATTTTTTAATCAAAAATAACTAAATTAAAATTAATTCTATTTAATTTTTAAAGATTCAAATTTATAAAATATTTATTATTTTAAAATTGTTTTTATTCTTTAAAATTTTTATTAATATTTTTAATTTTAATTTTTCAAAAATTCTATGATTTAATAAACATTAAAAGCTATTATAATTTAAAAAAAAAAAAAAATTAAATTTTATTAATTAAAAATTTTTTGTTTGTTTAATGCTATTGTTCAAAATCAGTTGTTTAAATTTGCTATTTCAATAATTGAGACTTTTCAGTATTCGATTACATTAATTTAGTAGAAAAATAAAAAATATTGTGTGATCCGTTTTTAATGGATGGATGACTTTAATAAAGAGGTAATACAATTTATTTTGATAAAAACGGAACAACCTATTTATTTGAATAATTATTTTATTTAACTAAAAATAAGAAAATAAATTTTAGGTTTTTCAAATTAAAAAAAATAATTTGGAATTAATAATTAATTGTAGATTATAAAAATAAATATATACAGTGAAAAACTTCTAAAATTTGTATTATATTGTATATCATTTAATTGTATTTTATTTTATTTTATCAATAATGTTTGTTTGTTTGCTTGCTTGTTTCTTATCAAATTCAAATCACAAATTTCTATAAACCCTTAGATTTTTTTAATAGACCATTAATTTTAATTATTATGCGTTAAAATAAATAGCGAGATTAGTAAAAATATTAGAAAAATAGCTCAACGCATTTTATTAACTATTCAGGTAATAATTTAGTTATTCTCTTTAGGGCTTTTGCTGAAATAATAAGCAATTATTAAAAATTATTGACAAGAAGAAATAAAAACTAACAAAATAGGTTTTAAAGACTATTTTCATTTAATATCCACAAAGCTTTAAAGGAAAAAAAAAAACAACTAAACAAACAAAAAGAATTGTTTGAAATTGTGCAAACAACATTTCAAAAGTAATTATATATAATTGAAGGACGATTTAAATCCCTAAAAGAAAAGTAAATCTGCTTCTCAAAGTCCTAGTAAGGTCTAAAAAAAGATTTAAAAAGAAGACACTTCAGTATCATCATCATCAACATCATCTAGCAGCTAACACAATTTATCAAAAAAGTAATTTATAGACTCCTTATTAATAAGGCAAAAACATTAAATTACTAAATCTTCACCGCAGAGAGAAAACTAGGCTGCATAAGGTACTATCAATATTAAATATTTATTTTATAGTTAAATGAGATACCTTACTTACTACTGTAAAATTAAATTGAATTATAATAGGAAGAGGATCTAAGGAGTCAATTAAAGAAAAGAAATAATCTCATAAAGTAGTTGAAGGAGGAGAAATTAATTAGTTGGATTCGGAGATAGAAATCAATTAAATAAGTTAGGAGCTAATTTAGTAAACAAAAATAACGAGCAATAAAGAAGAGAGTTCATAGCTGAAATTCTAAGCTTTTAGTTTCGAAAGTTAGTTTGTTTAGCAAAAAGAGTTAATTTTAGAAAAATAAATTTAAAATATGGATGACCATCGTCGTCATCATCAAATGATAGATGAAGGTGGGAATGAAGCTAATGATTAATGTATGAAAACAGAAGAGAGCAATGGAACTCCTGTTTTTAACTACTGTATTGAAAACAAGAACGATAATTTCTTCCCTAGCATACCTCCTCAAAGCAATCAAGCGACTTCAGATAATACTTATTAATTTTAGAAACCAGCTATAAGCAGTATACCAAGCAATAAATCAAATAAAAAAGGTGGTAATTTTACGTTTGATATGATACCTTTGAAAGAGCAAAGCTAACAAAACGAAAACATCCCTTAAAATTTTTAGCCACTTCCTTCTCCTCCAAAGCAAAAAATCAAGCAAAAATTTGAACTCTTCTTAGATATTTCTCATTATGAGAAGCAAGAAAAGGAGATTCCATTATAAACAGATGGAAACTCTTAAAAGAAGAAGTAGGATGTTTTTGATTTTTAAGATGTGCACGAATATACAGGTTTTTGCGATGTTGCTATGAAGAAATGTTCAAGAGATGACTAGCAAGATAGGGTAATTAATTAATAATTTTATTTTTTATGTTCATAGTTATCCTTTTAATTAGAAGATTATTTGTTTTTTTCAGTTTAATTCGTAAAATTAGTTAAAATGTTTTTAGTTCTGAATTTTGTAGAATTTGTTTTAACAAAAAGCGCTTAAGTGATTTTTTGCCTAATTATAATTTATATTTTGATTAAATAGTTTTCAGCAATAAGTCCTCTAGATCCAGTTGAGAATGATGACGCCTTTTTTGCTGTATATGATGGTCATGGTACTTCTTATATTGCAGAATAAGTAAAAAACAACTTGCATTAAAAAATTAAAGAAAACAAAAATTATCCTTAAAATATTATAATGGCTGTTAAGTAGAGTAATTGATTTATTTATTCATTTATTTATTATTTTCATTCACATTTATTTATTTATTTCCATTAAATTTTACTTTTTGTCATTTTTGAAGCTAAGATATCATTAAGAATTTATCTATTTCTTAATTTTAAATGTTTGCTTACCCCTTTTTTTAATTTATTCTTATTCCTTTAATTTTAATTTGGATACCTATTTTTAATAAAATGATCTTCATAAGAGTAATAATTTTATTTGTAAATTATAGGCTTTGAGTAAATAGATAAAGAAATTTGTAATTCTTAAGAGTCTAATTCAATCTAAAAAGGTGGTACTACTGCTCTGTGCTGCTTGATAAAAGGAGATACGATATATATTATAAATTGTGGCGATAGTTTGAGTGTACTTTTTACTTATCAAAATGAAACGGAACTATTAAATAAACTTCATAAACCCTCTAATGAAAATGAAAAAATAATGCTTAACTAAAAAAATGCAATATACACTGAACAAAGAGTATCTGGAACTCTATCTGTTACAAGAGCTATTGGTGATCATGAGCATAAATAATTTATTACTTCAGAGCCCGAAATTTTCTAATACACAATTAATGAAAACTAAAAATATCTATTCCTAGGTACTGATGGTTTTTGGGATGTAATTTTTTTTATTTTTTAAAGTTAAAATTTTCTTAATTTAATTAATAAAAATCTAGATAATAAGCTATAAAGATAAGCTACCTGAGCTATTGCAAAAGAGAAATGATTAAAATATTTAGAATTTATCAACATACTTAGTAGAAGAGGCTTCAAATACGGTTACTACTACAAAGAAAGATAATATGACTTTACTTGCTATCGATTTAAATTACTACTACCGCTAAAATAATGAAGCAAAAGAAAATTAATCGATGTAAGCAATGTAAGAAAGTAACTGTATTAAAAAGAGTAAACAGATATAAATAAATACTATAAATACAGAAATATCTTCTTACTTTTTTTAAGCAAAGTCGCCTTGCTCGGTTGGAAGAAGTACTGAGAAAAGAAATACTATCGGGAGTAGTGTTTCATAGAAGTCGTATTAATAGCAAGAATTAAAAACCTGCCATAAAATTTAATAAAAGAGAGCCTTTTTTGCATCTGAGAATACAGATGAGGAATAACTAAGCAAAAGCGAGGATATGGGGAAATTAGATAGCATAATATAAAGTTAAAAAGAAATACATGGTGTAGAGCAGAATGGAAATTTGATATCACAAAGTGTGACTAGTATGACTGATATAAATATTTAATGTAAAAATGAATAACCGTAATAAAATTAGCAAAGTTTTAATTTACAAAATTCTAGCAACATGGAAATTAGCCCTGTGATAAACACTACTCCAAACTCAAGCTAAAAGAAATTTAGCTTTTAATTTCCTATATCAAATAATAATTCTTCAAATAATCAAGTACCTTCTAGATAAATGGTTATCGATAATAAATAAAATACTTTTTTTTAATTTTGAAAAGCTCTTCAAGCTGGCTATTCTACAATTTTTCTATTGATTTTATTATCAACATAATGATGAAAGAAAAAATTATAATAACCTAAATCACATATATAAATTAAATAAATAATCTTTATACTTCCTCATACTTCCACATTTTCCTATCAACTAAAAAAAAATCATAATCAACTTTATTTTGTAAAATATTAACTTAAATCAATCAATAATGCATGCTGCATAACTAATTCTTATCATACATTCATACATACATACATAAATAAATAATTACATATATTTTCCATTAATCTATCCTTTAAGTAACTAGTAAACTAACAAATTAACTATCTAACTAATAGACTAACTGACTAACTAGCTAATTAATTAATTAACAAACTAGCTAAATAACTAAATCTACTTATTATTTGTAATCAAAATATAGGCACAACATGATTATTTTTTAAACCTTGAAAATGAATAATATAATAAAAATATAAAAAGACTTTTGTAACGAAAATTTTCCGTGTTTATAACAAAATAAGGCGATAAATAGACTGATTAAAAGTGAAGCCAGAAGATAAAAAGTAATTTTTTATTTAATTAATAAAGTCTAATTAATTAACAACAAAATAAAATACAAAATTGTTTGTACCTATGTTTTTGTTAGCAATAACTTTTGAAAAAAAAAATATTAAATGAATTCTGGTTAAATATTTTGCAAGGAAATTAAATGAAAAAAGGAAGATAACTTTGCTATAAAATTCAATAAAAATAAAGAAATTTAAACTATCAATTTTATTATGCATAAAAATGGTTTTTAACAATCATTTTATGAGTTTTATGGACTAATAGAAATATTTACTGTCTTTCTTAAATATTCGATTTTATATCATATTTATTGCTTATTAACTAAACATACTTAGAAGAAGTTAATATATACTTGATAGGCTAGAGTTGTAATATAAGACTATATAAAATATATTGTTATTAAAACAAAAAAATTAAATTTTGATAAATTTAAGATATATTAAAATCGATAAATCTGTGAACGGTTATTTGAGTTAGTCATTAATAGTAAGAATTTGTTTGTATTTTATATTTTTATCTTTTATAAACGAAATTTTTTTGGTAAAAATAATATCTACTTCTAAAATACATTATATATTTGTAATAACTTTTGTTAAATAATAATTTAATTTGAAAATTTTTTTTCTATTAAGTTTTTTATTAATTAGCTATCCTATCACATTTTAATCAGTAAAAAGATTCTATAACCTTTGCAATCTTAGTATCATCGCAATTAGGATATTCTTTTAAGACATCTTTATTTAATTGTTCCAGAATTTCTTTAATCTTTTACATTTTTTAAATTATTTACAATAATAATTATTATATATTATGCAATTAGAAGCAAAATGAAATATCTTTAAAATTATCAATGATAAATAGGAATTCATTTACCTAAGAAGAGAAGTTATTTAAATCTTTAATCCCATAAATGTAATTTTATTCTAATAGCTTATTTAAAATCTCTTCTTGATGATTATCCATTAATGTAGTGTTTACAACAGCACATATTTTTTTTTTGAGCATCAAGCCTTCCAAAAGAGTTCCAGCTCCTATTAGTAAATTTAATTTATTTATTGATAAAAAAGCAAAAAGTATTATTTTACCACAATGACTAATTACAAAATCAGCTTATTAAAACTCATTTGTTAGAGTTGGCTTAAAATCAAATAATTCTATTTCTATAGGAAGCTTTTTAATGTAATCTTCTATCATTTAAAACTTTCCTCTTTTTAAATAATTAAATCTATTAGATAAATTCATCATTTAATTGAAGGAATGAATAATTGATTACCTGCCTTTTTATAAAACCATTTTAGTGAACTTATGTTATGCTAATAAATTAATCATATCAGGTTAAACAAGTGCAGTCAATAATTCATCAAACTCAGTTGTACCTACTGTTGCGAAAATAATTTTTTTCATCTTGTCAAATTACTTTAATCTATCAAATTAAATTAATTATATTTTAGGATTATTAAAATTACTGATAAGTATTTGTGTGCAATATTTTAATGATGCTAAGGCGATATTAAATAATCGAAAAAAAGAATATTTTTAACAATGCTAATTTTAATTAGTATTAAATATTTTAAAAATAATTTTGTTTGAACATTTTTTTTGTTGAAATAAAATTTATTCCTTATTAATGTGACTTTTTATTGGCTTATTTTTATAAATTGAGAAATAAAATTACAAGATTATGATTTAAAATGAATATTTAATATAAGGCAAAATGAACTTAACTCTCAAAAAACTATTTATTAACATTTTATATGAAAAAATATATATATTATTGGAAAAGACATAATTATTAAATATCAAAGAATAAACAAAATGGTTGGTTGATTGGTTTGTTATTCTAAATTATAAAGCTACTTAAATTATATGAAATTATTTATACTTCTACTTCGGCAAGCTTTATTTAATTCTATCTCATTGAAAATTATTACTAAAATAAACACTTTTGAAACACTTGTTTTTTTTAAGAATAAGTTGATTTTTTATCTTATTAATTATATTTATATAATAAAGTGAAGACGAATATTAACATAAAATTTGAAGAATAAGCTCCACTAAATGAATAGGAATTCTTAAAATAAATTATATTTAACTTAACACACTTTATCCCTTCAAGCTTCTAATTTATTTAAAAGACAAGCTAGTAAATAAGTGATTGGTTTATAAGAACTAACACACTAAAAATAGGTTGATGAAGCTTTAGATCAATTAATAAATAATAATTAACCATTGAAAAAAAATAAAAATAATATTCACAAATTATAACTAAGTAAGCTAATAAAATGCGAATAGCCTATTTTTAATTTTGATAATACTCTTAAACAAGAATAAAATCGTGTTTATAGGCAAAATTTGCAAAAGGATACAAAAAATAAATATTTTTACTAAACATAAATCCAAAGAGGGGGTAATATAGAAGCACGAATTTCAAAGTCTCATTCTGTTAAAATGCTAGCTCAAAATCAGCAAATTAAAATTCCATCTCCTTAAGAGAAATAATAATAAATGATAATTCCTAGTTTGGAGAAATTAGTTGACTAAAGCAGTAGTGTATTATCAAAAAATACTAAAGATAAGGATGAAAATAATTCTAAATATTTTTATTCTCCAAAAGTGTAAAAGAGCTCGAAAATGTAAATAAGCTTGCCTTCTAATCAAACACTTTAATTGAATGATTTCCGTAATTTTTTGAGGGAACAAATTTTTTAATAGTAAAACAAGTAGCTTCGATAATAAAATAACAGTAAATATTTGACTGATTTTTTTTCTTCTAAGCAATTTAAGCTCCATAAAAATCATAAAACCTTAGAATAAGGTTAGTAAAACTTTGCACTTCACGTAAAACATGAAATAAAGAGTCCTAAAAATGTTAAATAAAACTTACATAATTAGAATGTATTTAGTTAGAGTTTTAAGTAGAGATCATTTACCAACAATTTCACTTAAACAATTTATAACAATAACGATTTAGATTATGATTTATATCATTAAGACTAAAAAAATTAAAATCCTAATGTAGCAATTAATAAAGAAGATTAACAATAAGAAAAAAAGACTTAAGAATTAACCTAAGAACTGCATTATCCAGCTTACAACAATAATAAATAAGTAGAAAAGCAGGGGAGATATTCATAAAAAATAAACTTACTTTGCAATTTAAACCAAATCAAAAATGAGAATACAATTTAAAAAATAATGAACAAAAAAAACAGTATTTCTCTCAATTGTAAACATATTTTTTTGAATGAAAGAATTTAAGACAAGTTAGTTTTTACATCTTATTCGGCTAAGTCAACTTAAAAGAAAAATGATGATGAATTAAAATAAAGTAGTGATACTATTTCATAAATTATTTCAAAGCAAAAGTAAGAAAATTTAACTAAATAGCAAAGCTAAAACGAATCTATCAATTCTCCCAATTTTACAGAAAATTAGTTGAAAACCTCAGTTTAAAATAATTTAAATGAAATTAAAGTTAAAAAGATTGTTAATTTTAGCAAAAAGACATACAATTAGAGTTTTAGAAATTACAAATTTAAGCAAGATCATATTATATTACCTTAATCAGGTTTTAACTCTCCGAAAATTCAACAAAATAAATCCGATGAATTAGAAATAAAACCTTGGGATTATTATAGCATTTAAGAGAATATTTTTGATTCATATAATAATTTAGTTGAAATAAATAGATAAGATGTGTAAACAAATATTAAAAATGAACCATCTTGACTTATATATTAATTTTTAAATGTACATAAAAATAGTTATATAAATATTTTTTTTTTATTTTAAAAATAAATTTTTCTTCTTTTTTTAAAAGAAATAAATATTAAATTCCTAATAAATGTTTTTGTTTATTTGTTTACAAAATACAAAACGAGATAAAAATCAAATTTTTATAAACTATTAATCTAAATAGATAATTAATTAAATAATAAAAATACCAATTATTGTTTTATCAATAAATTTTATTTTCAAAAAATTAGTTTAATCTTTCAAAGATAAAAAAAAATTTTTCTTTTATTAATTTGATTAAGTTTTTCATTGTTTTCAAACTATTTCATCTAGCATATTATAAATTTCTTGATTTATATCTACATAAATCTTGCTCACTGACTCGTTGCCTTTGCTTTCTTTTAAAAATTTAATTAAGCCTTATTTAAAATTCTTTAAATCGTCAATTATTTTGTCGTCTTCAGCGCTATCTTCTGATCTAAGGAATTTTTCATCTGACCTTCTGGAAATATATCCAACAAAAAATTGCACTATAGCCTTACTTAACTTGCCTCTAATCGAATTTTTAAAATCAACTGTATAAATTTTTAAAATATTAAGCAAAAGTGGAGCTAAATTCTTTCTGACATTGTTTACCATCAAAAAAGCATACTAAGCCTCTGTGAAATCTAAAATTCTGACATAAATATTTATTACTTATAATCCACTAGCCAAATATTGAGATGACTCCAAAGCACAATCTTTTAAGATATAAAAGAAACTTCCTTCAAACTCATGCAATATCGGCCCTAATGAATCAGGAATGTGAATATTTTCTGGATCGTTTGTGCTAAAATTAACATTGTCATTCTCTCTTTCTTATTTTTACTTATAAAGTATTTTCAAGCTACTTTACAAAATTTATAACGTCATCACAGAACTAATCTTTTATTTAGAAGTAACTAGCCCTTTAATTCTTATCAATAGATGTCTAACAATATTTCCCATTCTTAATTTTTTATTTTCTTCATCTTCATTGCTACCTAGAAGGAAATCATTCATATTAGATTCTTCTTTATCTTATTTATACTATTCACTATTAGAATTAGAATCATCGCTATACTTTTTGTATTCTTCTTTCTTTTTTTTAATTTCTTCCAATGTCAATTATTTCAATTCTGTATTTTCATTCCAAAATTTAATGAAGGAAGCAAAAAACTCTAAATAGAGTCTGATAAATGAGTGATCACTTCTTATATAAAATCTGTCATAACATTTGTTTAGAGTTGATATAACATTTTCTACCTCATTCGAAAGATAGTGAAAGCCCTAAAATTTTACAAATAGTTAATCCATAATTCTAAAAGGACCTTCTTTATCTTACAACATGTCAATTTATCTTATTTGTACTAAACTCCTTTATACTATACTGCTAGAATAAATTTAAATAAAATCTTTAATTCCTTAGTTTTATTTCTAAGTGATTATCTCTTGGCTCTACTAATTTTTTTATTGCTCATAGCATAAAGTAGATATTAATAATTCAGTTAGTTATCTGATTGAGTAGTTATCTATTGAGTGCTTTTTCAATAAAAAAGTTAGTAATCTTAATGTATTTTGATAATTATTTTCAATCAATTTATAGCAATAGTAAGCATTTTCAATTGCCAAAATTTACAATGTTTCTATGTCTTCTGATTTTATTTCAAAGTTTTCATAAAAATCCAAAACCATGAGATGATCAAAATACTGCTAAAAGTGAATTTTAGATCCTACTGAAAAATTCTTTTCTTGCAGAGCAATTTATTCATGAAAGCAGCCACCAATAAAAGCTTATGTAGAAAGTTAAAAGGTATCTTATTTTTTTGAGGAATTAGCTAAATTTGCCTAAAAATTACAGATTGTTAATTATTGTAAGATATAGTGGTATTGGCAAAGAGTTGCTAACAAGTTAGATGAAACAGAACCTTCTAATAAATACTTTTCATAATCAATTTAAACTAAATTAGAATAAAAATGCTCGAATATAAAAATAGACACTTCCTTGTTTAAGGAATAAAGTATTCTGTTGACTTCTTTGAGTATGTCTTCTTTATAATTGGCAATAGGGAGAGATTGCACAATTAAGTAAGTTTTTATTTTTTTATAAATATTATTCATGTCTCTTAATTCTTTCTCATCAATAGGATTTTTTAAATCTATTTCTTTAAGTGGAATTACACTTTGAGAATTTTCCATTAATTTTATTTTTAAGTTGAATTTAAATTTCAAAGATTTCTCTATACTGTCACAAATCAGTTATTTTTCATTGTGCAAGAAGCAATCTGTATTCGTTTCTTTTGAAATCTCAAATATTCTATATAATTTTCTCAGTGTTTTTTAATACTTTTCCTCCATAAGTTCAGTCACCAAGTGAGGAAGTCTTTTAATTTCAATTAGCATTGTCTATTTTAGATTTTCCATCAATAAACTAATCTCACTTTTACTATACTTCTTTGTAAGCTATTCAATCATCTTAGGATTCAACTATTCATTTTCATACAAGTCTTTTTTTTCCTACAAAGCTCTATACCTAAGTGGGATACTTTTGTCTAAGTATTTAGATTATTTTATTTGAGGATCTTTTGCTTATTCTAACTTATCATAATCTTAATCGACATAAAAAAATATTTGAATAATATTTGTCAAAGTTTCCAAATCAAATGCATTTATCTCTATACACCTAATGCAAAATCTAGCAAATTATTTAAATAGCTTTTTGCTTCCAAACTACATAGCTTTTTCGATGTTTTAATTTATCACTTTGATAAAATCTTTGATTTTATTAATTGCTACATGATCAAAACTAACTTCCTATTTATTCTAATCTATCTTAATTTTTGAAGAATTAGTATTTTTCATGAAATCTACTACAAAATTTTTTATCTCTAAGTTTTTTTCGCTTTTTTTATTTTCTTTACTTTGAACTCTTTTATCTCTAAACAGATCAAACATAGTCATATCCAGTACATTTAGGGCTATGTATTTGCTTTTAGACATTTTCACTTAATTATTAAATTCATTATTCAGTATTTTAAAAAGAGTTGAACAAATTTATGGATAAACTTCTTTTTTCTTCTCAAATTTTTACCATGTTTCAGCAACTAAAACTAAGCATTTCTTAACTATTGATTTCGATGAGGAAGTCTAATAATATTTTAATCATGAATTAACTAAAGCATAAATTAAAAAGAAAATGTGATTTTACTTTAATTTACTCTAAACAGAATTAAATCAAAACAGCTGCTAAATTAATATACATGGCTTCACTATTAATAAAACTAAAATCATATGATTGTTCTTGTATCATCATAGATATATAGATATCTAAAATCTACTCTATTTGGTTTTCATCTAAATTATTTCTTTTTTTATGAGTAATCAAAGTCTATAATAATGCTTAAAAAAATCTGTTAATGAATGGGCTTTTCAAAGGTAACTATTATTTAACTATTCCTTAAAGTACTAGTAAGTACTCATCTATCTTTTTTTAAGATAGAGATTCACTGTTTTTTGTAAGCTAATCCAGAGCATTCATCATTTTCTAAAGGGTCTCCATCATGTTTTGACTCATTTCAAACCTATTAATAAACCTATTGAATAAATATCTTTCTTTCTATATAAATATCTAATTATTAACAAAAATTGCGCAATTTTTATTAAATATTTAAACATGAATAATTAATTATTTAATTAAATAAAAAAAAGAAGTAATTTTGTTTACTTCCACTTTAAATCCTTTCACTTTAATTAATATGATTTTAATTAAAAATTATTTTTTTTTTAATAATTCAAATCTGTTTAAAATTGATAATAAAGTATTTATTTTAACCAATTTCATAGATTTAAAATAAAATTTAAATTTAATTAAAATTTAATTTAAGAAATTCAAATATTAATTTATAATTGCTTAATACAAAAATAAGTAATTATAGTAGAAAAAAGAAGGAAAATTAAAAATTAATACATAAATAAATATTTAAGAAATATAAATAAATATATTTCTTTTACTGTATTTTTTTTTCCTAGAAAAATTAGAAAGCTGATAATAAATTTTTCTATTTTTAGAATTGATATATACTATTTATTTATTACCTTACTCTTTTTAAATAGAAAAAGAATTAGTGGCACTGTTCAAGTATAAAAAGAATTAGCGAATGAATGAATGAGGAGTGTTTTTACTCTTCATACAAGCATTTATTTTTATAATTAAAAAGGCATAGAATTAATAATACGATGACTATGTTTAAATTTTTAATTTTATTGTTTGTTTTAGATAGACAAAGCAATCTAAATAGATTAAAGGTAATACTTATAAAAAGAAGGAATTTGAGGAATATATAATTACAATTTAAAAATGGATAATTTAGATATTTTAATATTTTATATAAGGTTAAAGTACTAGTTTTTTTAAAATGGATAGATATCTATATTATAAATAATGTGGTTATTAATAGTTTATATTCAGAATCTCATGTTAGACATTGAAAGATAATCAGACTAAAAATTAAAAGCTGCTACTTTAGGTTTTTGGTCATCTAAAGACTAAAAGAAAACATAAAAGTCTTTAATTTCATTATTATTAACTTAATACTTCAAAGTGAAATAATATTGCTTTTATTAAGTTTCTTTGATAGTTCTTGTTTATATTGATGAAATAGAATTAAAACTTAAAACATCGCTGAATCTTTAGAAGATAGATTCATTAGCATATTACAACATATTAAGAGTCTACTTAGAGAGCTCGCTTTCATCAAAATCTTCAGTTTTCCAGGTCTTATAGACACTGTCTTAGTATCTTTCAGCTAATACTGGTTTTGAAGAGTTAATTCTTGCAGGTAAAAAGGATTTGGCTTCAGAGATTACAGAGAAAGTACTCAAAATTAAAATTAAAGCTTTCATTTATACTTTTCTTGTTTTTATAAATATTTCAAAATCTTTCCTTATGGCTAAGGTTAGGTAGCAATTATAATGCCTTCAACTCTTATAATTTTTTTCAAATTGTTAAGAAAAAGAGGAGTTTTAGTCTTAATACCTCTTTGTTATTAAAATTAATTGAGATTCAACTTATCAGAAAAATATTCAAGTAATCCAAAAATATTGAACAGATCTGTTTTTTACTAAACTGTTGTTGTTTTTCTTTCTTATTCACAAGATGGTTATCAGATTTTTAAAGTGTTATAAATATTTAGTTTTATTCAGCTTAACGCCCTTAAGTTGGTTTGTTTTATTCCTTAATATTGTATTAGTTAATGTGGTTAGGATTTTTCGTAAAGGATTAGGAGTAGTTGATTTGTTTATTTGATTTATTAAAGAGGAGGTTGCTCAGACGCAGAGGGGGAAATTAGATTTATGAAATTTAATTTTTTTTTTTCACAATAAATAATTATGAAAAAAATTGATCAACGTACCCTCTTTCTTTTTAAATTGGCTTTGTTAATTAATCAAATCCCCAAATTAGCTTTGATAATATCGCTCATTCATTAATTCATTATCTATATCAAATAAAAGAAAATAGCTTTTTAAAAGAAATAAAAATAGTTCGAAATAAATATTTAATTCAATCATTAAGATTGCATCATATTAAGGGTTGGTCATAAAAGGACTCCACCTAACAACATTTGAATGTTGTAAAAGAGTGAAAATTATTTATGTATAAATACTTTCTAAAATAAATTGAATTATAGTTTATAGTATTTCTAAAGCTAATTGATCGGCTTTCCCAACAAATTAAGAAAATATATTGAAATAATTGTTCACCATAAATTTACTTTTTTAACTACTGCTTTCATATTGTTTATTTCATTCAGATTTTACAAGTCTTTTTTCACTCTAAATTAGCTAGAATCAAATAATACTCCAAATTAATAAGGATTAAGCTTCTAATTTTACAACAAATATGATGAGCTCGATTATCAATGAAAATGAGCATGATCGCCAAAAGCAAATATTGTTAAATTGATTCATCATATTCTCAAACAAGGATATGCAATACTATTTATTCATATAAAACTCCAAAATATAAATTTAATATTCAAATATAATTTAGTCTTTTCTTAGAATAGTTGAAAAAAATATATAAGAAAGGCTTTCTTGAGTTAGATGATTCAGGAGTATTGAACATAATTTAATTTTGAATACATTTTACTTGCAAATACTATATTTAGATTGATAATTAAAAAAATTGCTATTGAAATAAGTAGCTTAACTTTTTATTTGTTTATATCTGATGAATATGGTTATTTGCCAAAAGGTGGGGAGCACAAATTTTAATTACTCTATTGCATTCATTTTGAATTATTTTGAATGCATATTTAAGTTAATTTCAAGGTTTTAAATTCTACTTCCTTCCATTAATTACTTAGAGCCTCTTTAGTTAGATGCTCATAAGAAAAAGCATTAAATTAATTTACTATTTTTATGATAGATTGATTACATACATGAATGATCTCTATTTCTCATGACTTAACGTCTTTTTTAAGAAATCTCTCAATTGAAAAATAAGAAAAATGATAAAATAGCTCATTATATATCAAATCTCAAAATTTCTTTTTAATTCCTATTTTATTGAGTTTCAGTGGTGGGCTCACTTCTCTTAATTAAAAAAGAAATTTCTTTTTTATGATAAATTTTAAATAAATTAATTCATATAAATAGAATTTATTTAAAAATTAGTGTAAAAAATAATTTAATTAAAATTAATCATAATAAATAACAGTGATCTCCATTAAATGAATTATTTAAATTTATTGACTGACAGAAAAAGACATTTATTTATAATTTATTTTAATTTCAAAAATCTTATGAATTTAATATGAATTTTTTTAATTAAAAAGAGGTAAATTATTAATATCAAATTATATTTTTGAATCTAAAATTATGTTTTTAATCTATTTAGAACGCTAAATAAATTGTACTATATATATTGACGCTTCAAATAGGTTGATTAGTTATAGATATTTAAATAAAATTGCTATTAAATATCTAGCAGAAAACCTCAAAACTTGATAAATAAAAAATTTAAATGTGAATTATTTTAATTTTAGCTTTCTCCTTTTATTTTTATTTTAAAAATGCCATAAAAAAAAACAAGAAAATTATTTAAAGAAAGATACAAACAAACAAATTTATAATTATCATTATTGTTATCTTTTTAAATTGTTCTCAATTTAACATTTTTAATATTCAATTCTCATAATAAAAGTGCCAAAACATTATTGAAGTGATTTTATAAAAAATATTAACTCTTTATCAACCATCTAAAATTATTTTTATTTCTAATTTTAATACAAAGTTCAATAAAATTTTTTAAAAACTATTAAAATTTTGTAGAAAGTATTAATTAACTAGCTAACTAACGCTTTTAGTTTTATAATTTTTCTTCTTTTTAAATTTCTGAAGATTTTTAATTTCTAAAATAAAAAAACTTTATAAGCCATTTAAGATATTTTACACAAAACTCCTTTAAAATTTAAGAGAAATTATTTTTTTAAAAACATAACTTTGATAAAATTAAAAATGAATATAAAATATAAAAACTAATTTTCTAAGTTTGCTAATTTCTTTAATAAAATTATTAAATAAAAAATGTAAATTAAAAAACAAAAAGAAATCTTGTAAAATTTCCATTTTGTTCATATATTTTAAAATACTAAAATTAATTAATTATTTATTAGTTAATATTTTTTTCTTTTTTCAGTGATAAAAAGTAAATCTAAAATTTTAATTTTAATTTTATTAATTAGATTATTTGGTTAATAGTTAAAATAAATATTTAATTTAACATTGAATAATTTCCATGAACATATTTTTAATTTTTATTAACTATGCTTATAAACTAAGAAATAATTAAATTGCTTTTAACTATATTTGAAAGCAAAATAAAATAAATAAATTAAAGAATTAATTGTCTCTTACAATATTTAAATTTTATTTTTTTACTTATCAATAAAATTATAAGTAAAATTTAAATATTTTATGGAAAAATGTAATTTTATTTGTTAAGAAAAATATATGTAATTAATATAATATTTAATTTAGTGTTGTATTAATTTACTTTTAATAATCAATAACAAATGTATAAAATAAAACTGTGGAAAAAAATTAAGATAGATTAATTATAAAAAAAATAAATATTAATATTAATTAATAATATTTTTAAAAGCTTCCTTTTATTTATCAATTAACAAGTAATGCTAAAAAATAAGAGAGTTTAATAAATACACCTAAAATAATTTAATCCATAAGTTCAAACTAAAAGTTTTATTTATACCGAGCATAGAAAGATTTTAAATACCTTAATTTTTAGATTGATAAATGATTAAAATAACAAACTAGACTACATTTGGATGATAATAATAGTTAAAATATAATATTTTTTCAAAACAAAAAATATATATATTATTTTATTTAAGTTGTAAATAATAAATAAAAAATTAATGTTAGCTAAATTTTTTTAGATAAAATAGTCGCTAAATTTATCAAATGTATGGATTGCTAATCCAGGTATTTAAATATGTTGAACTGGATAGCATTATATTTAATACATAGATTATGTTTAATTTAAAATGAAAAAAATCAATTAAAATTTTTATAAAAAAGTAAATAAAATCACTATTAAATATATAGAATAAATAGCTTTCAAATACAATATTCAATATTTTTTCAAATTTTTGATGGTTTTCATTACCTCCCTCAATCAAAATTTCTAAAAAATTCTATCCTGATGGCCCTGAAAGGTCATTCTGCATCATATAATATTTGAATTAAATATATCATTTTTATAAATAGAAAAATAAATTATTTTACAATTTAAATTATCAAAAAAAGCACTAAATTCTGCTTTAAACTTAAAAGAAAAAATTTTTATATGAATAGATTATTTAATTATCATATAAACATGTATTTTTTAATTTAAGAATTTCATTGATTATATTTTTTTGCAATAGTTTTTTTAATATTTTCTACATATTTTATTATTTTGAAAGATAATCCAGAAATTAAAATGTCATGATTGATATCCAGTTCATCTTATTTTAATTCCTGGATTAGCAATATTATGACTTTATATATCTTATTTAATACAATCTATTTTAATTTATCTATTTTTTGGAGGGAAGTAAATTTTGCTCAATATGGAAAGACTCTCTTGGACATAAAACTATTCCTAAATTGGGTTCAATACTGAGAAGAATCAAATTAGAAATTTGATATGGTATTATTTGCTCTCTTAATTTCGAAATATTAAAAATGTTTAAGATTTAACAAATTTTCTTTAAAAAATAAGAATTCCTGTTAAATTTTTAATGTTACATTAAATGCGAGCCCTAATTAAGGATAACCTAATATTATAGATTCGTTTTTTAGAGTATAATACAAAAAAATTAGTTAAAAAGAATGTATTTAAGAACAATAAAAACATATTTATTTTAGGTTACTTTGTTCGAGGTAAAATAGAGCTAAATCAAAATTTATATAATTACAAGGACAAAATTAATTATCAATGAGGAACTAATTTATTTATGTAAGATTTAATAATGAATCTAATGAATAATTAAAATGGTAATTACTGAAATTGTTTCTAAAATTATTAAAATTCTTTTGCTAAAATATTGATTTAAGTGCTAAAACTTGTTACAATCTGTTTGGATAACTAAAATTTTTTTTTTGTTATAAATATTAAAGTTACTAAAAAAATCATTAAATTATTTTTGTTTACATTTTATATCCAATCAGCATTAATATATTATTATAATAAGCTTAGATCAGGTTAATTATTGAGAATAAACATGTTAGATTCTAGCTTTGAAATAAATATTAATAAGATTTTGCTATCTATCTGTAATTTAAAAAGGAAGGTGAAATTTTATCCTTAAGCTATTAAGAGGTTTTTGCTAAAATCTGAATTAATACAATATTTAGTTTACTTACCTTTTAGTATATTTGATTATAAATAATAGGACTTATATAATTTATAGCATAATAATTTCAGAGAAAAAAGCTTTTATACGTGTCAAGAAATTTCTTTTAGATTTTCTAATTAAATTTTATGATTATCATAAATTAATTTAGTTACTCTGAAATAATTCATATTACTGCCAAACAAATAGTAAGTAGATTCAATTTAAAAAGTAAATATATTAATTTATTTAATAATTAATTAGATTACCTAATTTTTTATGCTTAAAAATAAAGCCATTAAACTATCCTGTAAGATTATTCTGGCATATTTCCAAAAATACCTTTTTAAATTAATTTATTTAGTTCACAATCCCAAAATTGCTATCTAAATATTAAATTTTTTTTTAATGAATCAATTTTTTTATTTTATTTTAAATCATTTTTTAGTCGGACAGATAATTTTATATCTTTGATTAATCAAATTTTAGAGTAGTTCATTTAATTAAATTCATTTTGCATTTAATACTATTTAAAAATATCTATATATTGATCTATCTATCTAAATGCAGAAATAGAAGAATTAGTTCAAGCAAATTAATTAAAAATATTTAATGTAGAAGCCACTTACTAAATACGCTAGTAAAATAGAGGGTTATGCGTTTCAAATAAAGTATAATAGATCAAACAATTATAATAATAAACTCTAAAAGTGTATACATTAAAATAGACAAAGCTTGCTTATAATATTACAAATATTTGAAACTGCTGACTGAAAAATATAAAAAAATTAGAATTAATAATTATATTAAGTAAATTAAATTTATAAACTTTGTACTATGTTTGTGTAACAAATTTATTTGTACTATGAATAGGTAGGTATATTTTTTTTATTCTATTCTTGAATATATTATTTAATTGCGTTGTGAGAATGCGTCTATTGGATTTAATATAAAAAAGTCGAATAATGAGCTCGTCATAGAAAATAGCTTTTTTTGAATCATTTATTTGCTTAAAAGTATAAATCCAGTAAATTCAAACAAATGCAAATAAAATGCTATTATTTATTTCTTTATTCAAAAGATTTTTATTTTATTAGATAAAATCATCAGCTTTATTTAATTTGTAAATATCCACATTTATTTATTTATCTATGCATGTATGTATGTTCAAGTACATAAATAATAATTAAGTTATTAATTAATTAATCATCATTCATCAGTAAGAGGTGGCTAATAAATAAATGGGAATAAATCGATTGGTAAATCTTCAGTTTTAATTACTTTTTTAAATACTCTTAATTAATAAATACCCAACCGATATATAAAAAATAATTAAAAAATTAAATTCTAAAAATCAAAAAACTAAAAAAAAAAATAATCAATTATGACAATGGAAGGTTTAAATGAAATGCCAATTGATTGGGAATTACTTTTGGAAAAATAATCTCCTGAAAATGCTATGACTATGTTGAAAGAAGAGCTTGGCCCTAGTATTTTAGGAATAATGGAAAGCATTATTTTTTAGCTTGAGCAAAGAAGATTTTTAGCCTTAAGGTCTACTGTTATTCGCCTCATCGATTATTTCTCTAACTTCGAAGCAACTCCTTGTGTTAAAAGCTTGATCCTCATAAAAGAGGACTTATTATAACTTGACTGCTTCGAAGAATGTACTTTAAAATGCCTTATTTCTGGTATACAGACACTCTTTTTAAACATGTCTTACTTACTTTACTATTTACAAGAAGCTTTCTTGGTATACCCTCAAGAACAAGAAGAAAATTATCTTAATCAAAAAATGAAGGAATTTGATTAAAAGCTACTTGTAGTTTCAAATCAAGAAAAAATTTAATAATTCTCTCCAAAAAATTGGAAAGAGTCTTTAATTTTTTGAAAAAAACCAAAAAAAAAGACTTTGTAACTAAATTTCATTATAAAAAATACAAATTTTAATAAAAGATTCTTCTAAAATCAATTAATTCTAAATTTAAAAGCAAAATTAACTAACCAACTAAATAACTAACTAACTAACCAAACTCATTTACAAAATTAAATTATTCAAATTTTCTATGTTATAAACCATAATAAATTATAATCACAAAATTCTAAAACCTTATCTTACCCTTTTAAAGCATTTGCATATTACATATTTTTGATGTATTTATTAATTTTAAAATTCCTTATAAATTTAAACATTGTTTCCATTTGCTTGAAAAATATACTTTGTAACCAAATCAATTCTTTCTTAGTTAATTTATATTATTATTCTTCTTCTTATAAAAAAGCTTTATTTACAGCAATGAGGAAAAAAAAATTAAAGTTGAATAGATGCTTTGGTTTATAAAAAGTTAATTTCAATGTATTTTTTTGATCATTTATTATTATTTTTTTAAATTTGGAAATAAGTATTTCTATAAAAAAATTGAGATTAATTAAATATTCTTACAGTGAAACTAGTAAATAATTTTTAAATTGATAATCTTAAGAACATTAAATGATAATATTTTCATTTTAAGGTAAACCTTTTAATAATTGAGATACATACTGTAATTGATATATATTGTTAGAAGTAATGTAAAAAATATATTTCTAACCAAAATTAAAGCTTAACATTGTTAATTAATATTGCTTTGTAAGTACTTTCAAAGTTAATCAATCAAAAAATATTAATTACATACATACATTTGTTCTAATATAAATATAGACAAAAGGATCTTTGTTTTTAAGTGAAAGATTATTTAATAAAATTCTTTTAAAAACATTGAGAGTTATTTTTCGATTATTTCAACTTTAAAAAAAAATGCTTTTAATAGTTTTTTATAGCTTTTCAGTGTTGAAAAACATGCTTGAATTTTAATTAATTTCAAACACCTTTTTTTACAAATAAAATAATAGCAAAGTAATCAAATAGATAATTATTGAGCAAATAAAAATGCGTTAGGATTACATTATTAATAATTTATTAAGTAAATTTTCAAAATACTTCCCAAATTTTAAGTTTAGACATTATTGGTAATATTAATTAATTTAGCAAAATATTAAAATGCAAATCTTTAATAAATATCAAATTGTACACAGCTCAAGACAAATAAAAATTCTTATTTATAATTAATATATATAGATATTACCATCCAAAAAATTCATCGAAATCATTGAATTTAATTTTATTCTTTAACAAATTGTTAATTTTATTGACAGATATTAGTTCTATAAAAAATATGTCGTTGGATATTAAAAGTTCCTCAATAAATACAGGCAAATCTCTAAATGAGCTTGAATTACTTGGTCTATTTAATATTCTTAGAATTTTTTAGCATACAAAATATGAATACTCACAATTATATTTAACATTTTTAAAGGAGATTCATCAAATATTCTAATTTTTTTTTTGTTTTTCAATAATTAGAATTTCTTCAATTGGATAAAAAAGAAAATTAAATGAGTTTAAATCAAGTTTTTTCAGGTAATTAAGATGAAAATATTATTATTCGTATTGGAATTTGTGCAATGGTAAAACATTCAACATAAAATACTGAGTATTTTTAAGAAAATATTTGTTTTAAAGAACAAAAAAGTTACTTCCAAACCAATGTAGAAGATTTTAGAATTATTAAAAACAAATGACTTTGAAATGGTTATTTTCGATGAAGAAACCATTTAAAAAAAACCAATTTAAGTAAAAATACATTTATTCTATTTATTTTTTTATAAAATGTAATTTTACTCAAATTAATTAAGGACTGGCCTATAGTCGATTGTTTAATAAGTTGGTTTTCTGAAGGATTCCCTTTATAGAAAGCACAATCTTATGCTAAACTTAGAAATCCATTCTTGATAAATGATTTAGAAAAATAAAATCTGTTATTTGATAGAACTGTAATTTATAAACTACTAAAAAAGAATAATATTCGCATTTCTAAAAGCTATTTTGTTTACAGAAAATAAGAGCAATGGATACCTGAATAATGTAAGTAATTAAATTTATATTTCATAATATCTAAATGTTTTTATTTTTAAATTACATTCTTGTTTTTATTAAAATATAAAGCTGAGGATATAAGAAAGGTTTTGAATTCAATTAGATTTTCAGACGATGATTTACTAAACGAAGAAAAAAGTAACCAAAAGAATTTAAAATATAAATTAATAATGAGTAAATTTTAAAGAAAGTTCTTATACTGAAGAGTCATAATAAAACTAATTTAACATTGATTCATCTAGCCAGAAGCTCATATAGCCTTATACTAAATCTATCCAAAACAATTTAAAAGATTGCTTACAAATTAATAATGACACGTAGAACCAAAAAAAAGACAGAAAATTTAAGAGGTCAAAAAGCACATATAGCTAAGAAGACGATGACATCTAAAAGCCTTTAATTAATGGTATAAAATATGTTTTTTTATACATTCATAGAAAAATTCCAAAAAGAAAACAAAGAAAGAATCTTTAATTTTTATTTTGTGGTGAAATATATTGCTTATCACTATCTTTATAAATACTTTTATTGGTTGTAAATTTAAAAAAACAAATTTTCGTTTTCTGTATCTTGTGTAAGCTAAATTATTATAAATTATCTTTGAAGATTAATAAAAGGAGTTTAAACCAACAAAGGTAGAGGAATTTGAAGACTATATATTAATTGATGGTCAGAAATTACATAAACCTTTTGTTGAAAAGCCTTTCGATGCAGAAAATCACAATATCTATATTTATTACTCACAAGCTGATGGTGGAGGATGCAAAAAACTTTTTAGAAAAGTTGAAAATAAATCTTCTGACTATGAAAAAGAATTAAATACTATTCGATAAGATTAAAATATGATTTATGAAGTATTTATTGATTTATTTTTAATTAATTTAAAATTAAAAATAATTTAGTGAAATCATTTTATTTTTTTTTAACAAGGTTTTTTTACCAACGAACGGGTTTGATATTAAAGTATATACTGTAGGTCCAGATTATACACATGCTGAAGCACGCAAAGCACCTGTTTTAGATGGGGTTGTTTAGAGAACAGATGAGGGTAAAGAAGTTAGATTTCCAGTTATTTTAACCCCTGAAGAAAAGTTTATATCACAAAAAATTGTAAAGATTTTTGGCTAAAATATATGTGGATTTGATCTATTAAGATCAAATGGTAAATCTTACGTTTGTGACGTAAATGGATGGAGCTTTGTCAAGGGAAATGCAAAATATTACAAAGACTGTGCTATCATTTTAAAACAAATGATATATAAAAGATTTGCTCCTAAAAAATTATCTGAATTTAATGAAAAACTATCATAAAATATTTTAATGGACCTTAAAAAGAATTCATATAGGTAAGAATTATTTGATATTTTAAGCTGAATATTTGGAATTTAGAAAATTAATTTGTTAAAAATTTAATTAGACCTAAAAATGTAGAAGAGATATGTGGAAATTAATAAGAAGAACTCAGATCAGTAGTGGCTATTTTTAGGCACGCTGACAGAACTCCAAAATAAAAGATGAAAATGAAAGTTAATTACAAATAAATGATTAAATTTTACTTGTAAAATACCAAAGATACTCCTAATAAGGAACTAAAAGTTAAAAATGCTAAACTTTTATAAGCTATTTTAAATATCAGCAGAGAAATTTTCGAAGAGTTTTAAAGTCAAGGCTAAAAACTCAACTTAGAGGAAGAGTGCTGTCTCAGTAAAATAATATAAATGATTAGCGTGCTAGAATAAGGTGGATAGTTTGAAGGAATAAATCGTAAAATACAAATCAAACCTATAGAGTTCTAAAATATTGAAGAAGATGCTTATAAAGATATAAATAAAAAAGAAAATCAGTTGATTCCTTCATAGGTTTTAATAGTATTAAAGGTATTTTTATATAAAATATTATTCAAGCTTTTAATCAATAATTATTTAATTTTTAATCACTTATTACAGTGGGGAGGAGAGCTTACTCATTCAGGCGAATAATAATCAGAAGAGCTGGGGAAATTCTTTAGAGATTATTTGTATCCAGCCGAAAAAGACGGAATACTGAGGCTTCATAGTACATATCGACATGATCTCAAAACTTATACTTCTGATGAAGGAAGGTGCTAAAAAACTGCTGGTGCTTTTTTGAAAGGATTTCTTTAATTAGAGGGAGAGATTGCACCAATAATGGCATCAATGCTGACTAAAAATGAAATAGCCTATAGTAATTATAACATATTAAATAATACAAATAATTATATCAAAAAAAATAATTTTAAGCAAATAATGTTGGATTATTTACTTTAATTCTATTTAATTATAATAAGATGTCTTTAATTACACAAAAATATACTAAAATGCAGTTAAACAAATAGGTTAGGATAATTAATTACAATCTAACTTATGTATGGTCTTGATTATAATAGTTTTTAACAATTTATACAACTGGATTATGGAAAATTTTTAATCGAAATTCTGTTAAATGTTAACAAATTTTGGTTAAAATCGAATCCTTTATATTTACTTCATCCATTTAATTTTTATGTTAAGGTTATAATTTATCTTCATTAATCCATAAATTAGTTGATTAATGAACTGATTTTTATTTACCTTATTTTTATGTTATTTATTTCTCATGATTTTATAAAAAATCTAATTACACAGCTTTTTTTTTTTTAGATTCTAGCTTTTATTAATTTAGTGGTTTTTTTTATTAAAAAGGTTTGCTTGATTAATGTAACTCTGTACTTTCTAGTGATCCTCTAGAACTATAAATCAAGTAAGACATATCTAACTTTTGTAATTCAGAAGAAGACCTTTATGAAGCATTTAAAAAAAAGTTTGGAAGGTTTGGTATTAATGAGAATATGAAAAACTTAATGAAAAAAATAGGGAATCCTAGAAAAAGACTTGAATCAATTCATGAAAAAATAAGAAAATTAACAAAAGGAATCTTTTAAATGCTTAATTTATCTTCAAAAACGTATTATGTTCAACCTAAAGATTGGAACAAAGAGTAAAATATACCAGAGCCACTTGAAACCTGTGGAAATGAATCCCTTATTTTGATGTATAAGGTAATAAATAATATTTATTGTATAAAAGTTTTGAATATAATTTTGAGGTTTTATTAATTCATTCAATACACAAAAACTAATATTTGTTCATTAAATAAGTTACAATTAATTAAATTTTAATCAAATGAAAATAGTTTTTTTTTAATTTTTAATTAAAAAAATTATTTATCCAAAATGCTTATTAAAACTTTATGTTTATTTTTTTTTAAATGATAAATAAAGAGATGGAGAAAATTAACTGTGGACTTATTACAAAATAGCACTTACAACATTTCTAAAATTCCTGATGTGTATGATAATATTAAATATGACTATTTACACAACAGGAATATATTACTTAAGATTGATCCTGATATTTCTTCTTTGTATGAAGAAGCTGAAATGATGTCTAATTTCGTTGTTCCAAACGAGTTTGGTATGGATGAAGAAGAAAGAGTCGACATAGCTATGAAAACAGTGAAGTCTCTTTGTAATAAAATTAAAAAGGATTTAGTTTGGTGGTATGAGAAAAATTTTGATGAAGAAGATTTTTGGAAATACTAAAATGTTTATGGTGAAAATGATATTAGAAGTCCTTGGCGTCACATAAGAACTAGATTATATTTTGCTAGTGCAACCTAACTATATTCGTTGTTCAATATAATTCACCTAGGATTAGTAAATTTTTTTAATTTTTTTTAGCATACTTCAATTAAATGCAAAATATAGGAGAGCAGATTGATTGAGAGTTAACAATAATAAAATGAGTTAGATGGTATAACATCTTTGTAATACTTGTCTCATATTTTATTTAGATTATATGAGAATCTTCATGCAGACACTGTAATATTAGTGTTAAAAAATATTAATTTACTTAATTTTTATGAAAAATATTAAGAATGACCCAGAAAGATTTAGATTGGAACTTTCAGTTAGTCCTGGATGCTAACATAATCCAGACATTAATGATGATACCCACATTACACCTGTTAAACCACTCATTTCTATAAATAAAAGACTAAATATTTTCGTAAGATATGTTTATTTTAATTTTTTTATTTAGCTTTAATTTTAAAATTAAAATAAGCAAATAAAAGAATTCTTTACACTTTTGGTCAGCGAATAATCTCCATTAATAGTTAAGAATAATTAAAAAAATATTTCATTTAATATTATAGAGAATACCAAATCAGCTAATATTTCTTGATCAATAAAACTTATAAAACATGCAAATTATTTGAAATAAATAATTGCTTGAATTCATAGATTTTATTTAATTTATAAAATACAAAAAATAATAATAATAACCTTGTTTGAAATTTTTAGTAAACTAAAATGTTAATATATATTTAACAATTACAAATATAAAGCATCATAGTTTAATTTTTAAATAATAAAAATATTTCATAAGTTTTTTAATTTAGTTAAATTAAAGAAGTTTTTTAATAAAATTAATAGATAATTTTTAAATAAAAAATTTAAATCTATATTTAAATATTCCTATGATAAATATATATATTGGTAAATTTTAACTCAATATTCTATATTAACAATTTATTGTTTTGAATTAAAATTGTGTAAATTATATTTTTTAAATTATTAGAAATATTTTTATATTTTTATTAAATAGAATTTAAATCAAAAAATTGATATACAGATCTAATTTTTTAAAATAGCATTAAACTATTTTTCTATAAAACTTTTATGGATAATTAATTTAGGTAATATATAAGATTAAATAAATAAATAAATTAAATTTTTATCTTTGATAAAATTATGTTTTTTGAATGTTTAAATATTTATTTTTTGTTTTTTTTCTATCTCTTTATTATAATTTAGGATTATTTTATTTTCAATCAAATTCTAGATTTATAATTTATTCTACAATAGCTTTCATTAAACTATAAAGATTAACCTTTGGTTCTGGAGGTAACTTTTCAACTATTTGCTGAATTTCGAATTTTTTGAATCTTTTAATAAAATTTAAAAAAGATTCATATTAACATTTAAAATGCACTTTCTTGAATTTTTTAAACTAAAATATTGTAAAGTAAAATACTATAAAAATAAAGCAAAATAGTTTAAAATGATCTCATTAATTTAATTTACATTGTTTATTAATCAGAAGTTTCATTCATAAATAAGAATAGACTTTATGTACTTAGCACTGATCCTTTCATTTCTATTATATCTTATATTAATATTAACTCATTGATTATTCTGTAAATTATTATTGTTTTTAAAATCAACTCGCTAAGCTTATTTACTGTTAGAATATCTTCATATTAACTTTATATTTTTTTTAAAAAGTAATCTTTTATCTCTTTATTATTTGGTATTTCTTATAGAATAATTAATGAACACTTCAACCCATCAAACTCTAATCATTATTTTAAAAAATGGTTTCATTATTTTTAAACGTTGAAACATTAGCTAATTGTTATTGAAATTGAATAATAAAATTTAATACTTTTAATTTTATTCTATTGGTATTTATCTACTATTATGCTAAGTAGCTTAATTTAACACTACTAAATGCTATAAATTGATGGATCTATTTTTGTTGCGTAGAAAGAAAGATCACTTATGAAATTTGAAAGTTTATTCTAAGAATCTAATTTCTGCTTAATCTAAAACTTTTCATATAAATGAACTAAAGGCTTTTCTGGTTTATATTCTAATATCTCTGAAACTGATTCCTTAATATGATTTTCCCACTTTGATTCTTGCAAAAAATCTTGCATATCTTGCGTTAAAGCATCCTTTAGCTACTACATTTTAAATAAACTCTATTAAAAATTTTTGAGTTTTTACAAACAAATATTTAAAATTAAAATTAATAAAAAAATTTTGCATATAATTTGTATATTAACTTTAAATTTTAACAGATAATATTTTCAACTAAAATATAATTTAAATTTTTTATTCATTACATATTTTGAAACAAAAATTGTGAATACTATTAACTTATTCAAAAATATGTATTAAAACTTATTTTTTGATTGACCGTATAAAAAAAATATTTGGTTTTGAATTGATTGATTATTTTGAAAAATAATTTGATAAATAGAAAATAAAATTTATTACAAAGAAATGAATATATTAGACTAATTTTCTTTTTAAAATTAATTAAATTTTTATGATTTTAGTAATTATTTTAGACACATTTTAGAAATTCATAAGAAAGTTTTTTACTCAGCAAAATAATATTTAAATATCCTAGTGAATTAGAAAGAAAAACATAGAAACAAATCTATTAACTGCTTTTGTTATATTTTTAATTCTTTTATTAAAAAAAATGAATAAAAGATATTGAGAATTTTAATATTTTATTCTCTCTTTATAAGCAAATGATTTTTTTTCGTATGAGTATTTTATGAAATAAAATCATTCTTTAAAATATTTTTTTTATCATTTTAATACTTAAATATTACATTTTTACATATTTATTTATATTTTCATCAACAAAAAGTTAAATCTTTTTTTGAGATTAAATTAGAAAAAATTATGATTAAATATAAAAGAATATCGAATAAACCCATTACATATTAATGAAATCATTAATTATGATAATTTAGCTCTATTAAAATATTCATATTGGAAAGTATAGTAATAGAGTCAGTGTAGCTTTAACTTAGGATTAAAGCTAACAAAAACCATTAAATCTCTTTTTATTTAATTAGAAAATTTAAATACTTGGTTTTTAATCTAAGAGAGTTGTAATCTTGGATATATCTTAATATTTAGATAAATAGAAGATTTAAAGAAATTTAATGAAAATATATTTTTAAGGAACTATTCTATGAATAGTATAATTTTAGTAATTAATTCATGTAATTAAGAATGTTTTTTAGCATCAGTAAATTTGGCTTTGGTATAAATATAAATCATAAGTAAACTATTGCTACTATAACTATACCAAAGATAGATATCCAACAAAAATGAAAAATGCATAATTATTTATAGTGCAACTGCAAAAATGATCAATTTAAAATGCGTACTTAAAAACGAAAGTGATTCTATACATTTAAAATCATAGATTTATGATAATTATAAAAGACTTAACAATATACCCTAACACTTTCTATTAATATGTGCGTTTCTATTTAGTAATTATGATAAAATAGAAGAAATCTAGATCTTTTTGTTTATAATCATACTAATAAATGAAATTATGTAATCATTTGGTAATTAATTATTCCGTTTATCTAATAATTTTAGGGCTTATTTACTTATTTTTTAATCAAATTATTGCATTAAAAAAAATGATCTTTTGCCTCTAATTTTGATAACTAGCTATCAGATTTAAACACAGATATCAAGAACGAACCTGCTAATTAATTAATAAATTAATATAAATTTATGTTTAACAAAAATAAAAAATAAATGAAAGGTGCAATTTTTACCCCTTTTTTACTTTTTGTTTTATTACTTGGAGTTGCCAATTCACTATAGTGCTAGCAAGGATAAGTAGTGATAAACGGAGTTTGTGCTACTAATGATGTTTCAGTCCCACCATAAGCTAATACTTCATATCAAGGTTCATAAAGAATGACCTTAAAAATAGCATAAACTTAAGGAGACCCTAATTCCTTAGATATCTTATTTATTGTGACTACAATTGATGAATTTTATATAGTATTTGGAGATACTTACATTAACTCAGATGCTGTTTAATTTGAATTATCAAGCGATGAAGATAATCCAGTTATAGTAACTGCTATAGATAGTTTTTATTAACAACCTTTCCCCTAAAAACCTGTTTCTGATGTTTCTTTAGGAGGAACTCAAGATATAGTTTTACTTGGTTATCTTGCAAATAATTCAGACCCAAATAATCCTACTCTCTTAGTTAAAATAAGAAGAAAATATAACACTTAAGATCAATATGATACCTTATTTTAATCAAACCAAATATAGTTAAACAGAGTCTTATTTGGTATTCCTAAAGTTGCTAAAGATCCTAGAGATCAATGGTACACTGGTTCATTCTTCTTTGTTTTAAATGCTGCCACTTAGCCATGTTAAAATAATTAAATTTTTAATGGAAAAACATGCGTCTAAAACGATTTGACTCCTATTGGAGATCCTTACATAGCATACAACCACGCTAATCCTTTCCTTTTCATAAGTCATTAAACTACTTAAGGCGGAGATATTACCTTTTTAGTTAGGTGCTTAACTAATGGGTATTTTGGTATAGGTTGGGGAAGCAATCTCATGTCTAATATGGATATGCACATATTTAACGTAAATATAGATAACCCAAATTTCCCTATTGTTATTGTAGATGATTCTTTCTCTTCAGGTCCAGGATCACCAAAATACGACACTATGCTTGGTGGTACATATGATATTACTGTTCTAGGTTATTTAGTAGAATAAAACTAAGTTACAGTAAAATATGTTCGTAAAATGGCAAATTAGGATGTCAATAATGATTTCTAATTCTAATATAACTAAGAAATTCCTTTTGCTTATGCTTTGTCTCCTGCTGATGCTTTTAGTTTGACATTAATTTATCATAAATTTAACATAGGTTGGGGTACTCTTGTTTTGCAAGCTTCAGATGCATAACCCTGCGCTGCTGTTAATAAAGTATACATTAACACTTAGTGTTTAGATAACAACCTTTCTACAACAGGTCTTGACTAGAAAGCTAATTACAATGCTGGTTTATTAAATGTATAATACGGAATAGTGAATGATGATACTATTGAATTTGTATTCACTATAAATAATATAGGTTGGTTTGGCTTTGGTTTTAGTTTATAACAACCTGATGATAATTGGAAAAAAGATATGACAAATGTTGATATCATAATATTTGATACAATCACTCTGTAAGATGAATCACTTGCTATTTATATTTAGGACACTTTTGCAAACAAAAATATTGTCCCTAATTTAGATATTTCATTAAAAGGAACATCAGATTATAACTTGTTAGGTTATAGCATAAATAAATAAACACAATAAACTTAAGTAAAGGTGTCACGTAAAATAAATACTGGAGATAAATACGATTATCAATTTGTGAAAAATTCTAAAGTTGGTATTATTTATGCATGGATGAATACAGTTGACAATATTCAATTCCATGGTAAAAACACAGGAAATGGCATTCTTAATTTTTATTACAACCCTAAAAGTTGTCCAACAGGTTAAGTTTTAATAGGAGAAAATTGCGTAACCAACGATATTAAGCCTTTATCATCTTATGCTCAAGATAATTTCTTAAATGTTTAGTTTGATTTAGCAATAGAAGGAAGTGTAACTTTTATGATTGTTGTCTAGAATACTGGTTGGTTTGGTTTTGGATTTGGCTAAGGTATGAATAATGTTGATATGATTGTAGCCGAAAATGATTCAGGTGTTGTTACTCTATCAGACAACTATTCTTAAAAAGAAGCAACTCCTAGTTCAGATACAAATTTGGGAGGATAAAACAATTTAAATTTGTTAGGTTATGAGTTGACAGACAAATAGTTAACATTCAAATTTTCTCGTAAGCTCGACACAGGAGATAAATACGATTACGTTTTGTAGAAAGACTAAATGTTAAATATTGTATATGCTTGGGGATCAGATGGTTCTATGACTTACCATCACTAAAACATTGCTTTAGCAAAATTCCCATTATAATAAGGTTACAGAGGTACCATAACAGGAATTGCTATTGATGACACTTATAAATAGTTCCATTTTTGGTCTAATTTTGTATTATGGGGATTTGTAGTCGATGTTGCTTTCGTAATCGCTCGCTTTTTCAAAACAGGAAGATTTTATAAAGAAATTCATGGTGCTATGATGGGCATAATAGTTGTCTTTACTGCATTTGTAGAGATTTGGATGATCACAAAGAGTAAAATTTATTCATTTATTTTTTTATAAAAATTATTAATTTTATTTAAACATTTTCATTTTCTTAATTTATACAGAGGATATACTTTTCAATGGTTAACTTGATACTAAAGACTAAATGAACAGAGCACATGCAGTTATGGGTTTCATCTTCCTCATTTTCTTTATTTTAGAAGCCGTCGGTGGCTCATTTTTAAATTTCCTACTTTCCTTTAAGAATACAGGAGATGCAACATCTTTGAAAATCAAGTCATTCCATAAGTATTTTGGATATTTACTCTACGTTATTGGAAAAATCAATGTTTTCTTAGGAGTCAGAATGGTAGAAAACGATGCTTAATAGTAATAGAATATTTTTTCCTTTTCAAAATCTAAATTTTTTTTAAAAAAACTAGAACTGCATGCATTAGTGGATACACAATTTTCATAGTTTTACGTTTGATATTAGAGTATCTTTACAGAAAGCAACCAAAAATCTTTGTTAAGATTTTATTCTTGTCTGCTGTAGATGATGAAAGCTCTGATACATTAAGTAGTACTAACAGCTTACTCACAACTAAAGAAGGATATGCTAATTTAGTAGATATGATTAACTCAGCAAGTAAAATTTACTATTAAATAAATAATATTTTTTAACAATAAAATTTAAAAAAATAGAAACTACTTCAGAGATCATTTCTACATATCCAAATATGAACTATGTGATATATAAAGATAATATCTATTCTCTTGACAAAATTAGTCATCCTGGGGGTAAATTCATTTTTAACTCTGTTCGTGGAAGAGATGTTAGTAGGTTCATGAACGGTTCATACGGATTAGAAAACACTAATATGCCTCCTCATACTCATTCTTTATATGCAACTTAGCTTTTGAAACAAAACTAAATTGGAGTCTTGTCTTAACCAAACATATTAAGTGAATCGAGCGGATCTCATCATGTTTGGAGAGTTTCTAAAGAAAAATATCTATCAAAGTCCACTGCTCTCTTCTAATTCGAATCTCTTAATCGTATTAAAGTATAAAATGCCTAAAAGGGTATGGAATGGATGGGCAGACATTATACTCTTTCAGATTTAGCAAATGAAAAATCTACTAGAATTTATACAAACTGCCTTTGTTTCACTCCTTATAATATTCTTTTGATGCAAAAAATGAAATAAAACTATTCTTAACTAATTTAAGAACCCTAATCGACTATAGATAGTACACTTCCTTAAGAAAGTAATGTTTTACCTCTTGTCATTAAGCGTTATGAATCTCCAACTGGATTATCTCAATATATACATGACGAAACTAGCAATTAAGCATAATCTTTAGAAATGCTTGTTGAGGGTCCTTTGGTAAATATTTTATTTTAAATTCATATAAATTCTAAACTATATTCATTTAAATAGGGAAGAGGTTTAGAATTAAGCAGTAAATCTTCTGGTTTGCATTTATTCGTTGCAGGTGGTACTGGCATACTTCCTTTTTATGATTTATTAACTTACTACTGTAAGTACTTGATGTTCAAGGCTATTCAAAAAAAGCATGGTGAATAAGTAGCTAAATTTTTCGATATTGCTAATGATAATTTTGCAAGATTCATAAGCTAAGATTTTAAGATTAAAGTTATTGCAGCTTTTAATTCTTCTGATGATGATTGTGGTGCTATATAATTATTAGAATTCATGAAATAAATTGATCTTGATAATAATCTTAATTTATTCGATGCCGTATTATCTGTTAAAGGATATCATTCAAGAAATATTACTATGGATAATCAGCACTTTACATAAGAATATTTTGAAAAACATTTAGGAAATCTTATAGTAAATAGAGCATATGTCTGTGGACCTCCAGGTCTCAATAGAAATGCACCTGATGCCTTACAAAAAATAGGACTAAGCTCAATGCAAATAACCATTGTCTGAGATTATTATTCTTTTAAAAAAATTTTTTTAATTTAAGAGTATTCTGCATTTAATATATTTGTAACAAATTTTTATTTTATTATTTGAATTAAACTTCTTTAAAAATATTTTAAATGATAAATATAACTTCTTAATTTCCTTTAAATTTCTTACAAAAAAACAGAAAATATTTTTTTATTCAATATTTAATAAAAATATAATAATCATCAATTATTAAATTATAATTTAATATATAACTACCAGAAATTAAAAGAAATATCAAAAATAATAACTTAAAAAACTTTAATTTTGTTTTAGTATTAAGTATTTTTTATTTTATTTTATGTATTTATTATTTGAATAATAATTAAATACTATGTGAATTGTTAAATCATTATATTTCATGTATATAGTAGTGATATAGGATATTTTTGACTTATCTCTATCAAAAATTAAAGTTAACTCTTCAAAATATATTTTTGTAACATAAAATAAAATTTTATCTTAAAAAGAAAATAAGGAATTGTAGAAAAAAACCGAAATCTCTCATTAAAATTTCCAGAAGTGAATTTATAGCTATTTACAAATTAAAAATATGAATATATATATCTGTTTTTATATGTGATAAGTCAAATATTTATAGGAATTTGAAAATATATATTTTAACTAATTTGAAATTATGATAATTTTTGAAAATAAGTTTAAAAAGTAGAATGTATGTCTTCATATATTTATAGAAATTTTATGAAATTTACCCTGTAATTAAATAAAAATTCCAGAATTTAAAAGGAAATAAAAATACCAAAAACTTTTTACTTTAAAAAACTTATAAAATTATAAGATTGCTATGAATTTGTTTGCTTTTTTATTTATTAATTATGCATTAATAATATTATTTTGTTTGAAGTTTCTGAAACTGGATAAATTTAAAAGGTTTTTGTTAAAATTAATTACATCAATCAAATTTAATACTTTATTTTAATACAAAAAAAGATTTTTTAATACTGATCTTGAAATATTTTATATTAATTTTTAAATAATTATAATTTAATATATAAACAATCTTATCAGTTAGAGTCACCATCTATTGCATTTTTTATAACTGAGTACATACCATAAATAAAGATAGCAAAACCAACCACTAAAATGGCAGCATAAATTGAAAGTCTAACTGTTTTAGGAACACTGTTAATATCTTCAGTATGGCTATTACAAGAGTAAGATTATTAAGCTCTAAGTCCATTTGTTTCTTTTTAGAAACTCTTTTCTTAATCACTATCTAAGTAGCTAACTGATTCTTATTCGTTATCCAACAGGTTTTCTTGTTATTGCATTTCAGATTAGGATGGTTTGACAAAAGTTTTTCTTATAGATCTCAAAAATTTGTTAGAGCCGTGATAGCAGGCAAGATGCATAAAACTAGGAATTAAGTAAACAATAAAGAAACAGCTAAAAGCACCATTAATATCAACTAAGGTATTGGGTGAAACTCCAATAAGCTTAACACCTGAGCATACCATAATAAAGAAAATGTTTACACTAACAAATACCCATTAAGGAGGGACACCACCATTTTTTTTAAAGACAATTTCAAAGACACGAACTCTACAAATATTGGCAAGGATAGGATACATACTCACTAAGTGAATTAAATAGAGAAGTTCTACTATCAAAGGTTACCATGCATCATCAGCAAAATAGTCATTTATGTTATGAGCCTTTCCATCCTTACGTGAACTTACACGTCCTAGAACTCCAAGTCCACCAATGAGTCCAATAATAAGATAAATAGTAATACCCATAGCATAAGTAATCTTGACAGCTAGACGATTTTTTGATTAATCCTTATTGCATTTAACCATAGGACAAGCATTAGTGTGAATTTAATATGCAAGAGATGCAGTACTAGCTAGTGTTCCAACATCAAATGACCAGAGCTTAACATCACTTATATTATCTTACAAAGTGCCTGAAGTAAGATTGCTTATGAATGTATAGAAAATAAAAATAACATAAGAGTAGATAGCATAAACACCTAATTCAGCTATTTTTATCATAAAACCCAATTTTTTCAAGAAAAGAAGTCCTAAAAAGATAGGTATAGTAGCTAAAACAGTGTATTAAATAGAAAATTGGCTATAAGAGACATCTGCCTTGTCTGCGTAGTTTTTGCTTCCAGAGTGAGTCATAACAAAAGTGATTAAGCTATAAACCATTTCAATTGAAAAGGAGTAGTAAAGTAAGGTGACTAATATCATATAAATAGTAGATATTATGATGAAAAACATTTTCCATCTGTTACCTAGTTTGTTTTAAAAAATCATTGTTATTAGTTAATATTTTAATGAGAATGAAGAATATTTTAAAATATAAAATGTCAAAAAATATTGAAAATGTTCAAATTAATAAACTGTAAATCCTCACATACCAAGGCCACCTTCTTATCTAAACAAAGCCTATAATTTTAAGGCATTTTAACAAAAAAACTGGAAAATTGGTCATAATATAATTTAGTTTTATATGTGAGGGATTAAAGTAAATTTCTTTTAAAAAATCAATTTTCTCCAATTGTTCGAAATTTGAAATAGATTGAGCAAAATTTATCTATATTATGCAAATTAAAAAATCTTTTATAAAAACAATGCGAAATAATTTATTTTTAGATAATATTGCAAAATAAGTATATGTCATCATAAATAATTCTAAATAAACTCTAACTTATAATTGTTTTCTTTTACCAAAGAATATCTTTTTTCCTTTTTAATTCTTTAAAATTAAAATAGATATTCTTTTATTAATACATCTTTCGAATAATCATTAGGTTATTTATTTTTCAAAAAACTAAAGATTTATGTCTAAGCACCTTAATAAATGCATAAATAGTTAAGTAAATTTTAACTCATAAATTATATTATTGAATAAATCAAAAAAACTATATTTTTCTTAATTAATAATCCTACTTTCTTGGATTTATTTAATTTAAACAAAATATTTACTTATATTTATAAATCAAAAATGAATTCACTTTTTATCACTAACTAATAAGCAATATTATATTTATCATTTTACTAATTTTGACCATTTTAAAATATATCTTAATTGAAAAATTTAGTGGTATATTGAATATGATTTTTTATCTTTTTAAAAATTTAATAAATAGACAGATATTTCAAACTATTTTAGTTAGATAGGATAATTTTTTAAGGATTGCTTAAAATTTTGAATTTTATAAGGTATTAAGATTGAGAATAAATCTTTTTTATTGCTAAATATCTTAATTATTTAACTCTTTAGTTAATAGGGGCAATAATAACTTTTTATATTATCATCTTTGCTAAAACACTTAATATGAATTAAGTAATAAATAATTTTGTGCAATTTATTTAGTTATTATAAAAATTTTTGAGAATAGAATTTAATTTTGTAAAATTAGAAAAAAAAGCTCTTAAAATGTGCTAATTAGTTAATTAATTACCCATAATACGATGTAGAGTTTCTTGAATATCGAATTCATCCTTCTTTAAATGTTACACATATATATCGCATCCTTTCATTGAAACTATACCCATAATTATCATGATTACTATCGAGGTAATAATTCCAGTTTGATTAAAATACAAGGGAAGGAAAAGCATTGTGCCACCTATCATAGAATTCAACAGCGAGAAAACTGTTGACATTAAAGAGTTAGTTTGATAAGTTGAAGGATCTTAATTTCTATCTATTTCAACACCGCCCATATTTTTTGTCGATTTAATATTTTGAAAAATCTATATTTTTTAATTTAATTACTGATTATATATAATAAACAAAATTAGATCCAGTTTTCAATTTTTAATTACCATCTAGCATTACCAAAAATGTTTAAGCTTTATTTAGCTATTAATTATTATTAATTAAACGAAATGACATTGATAATTAATTTTAGTATCTAAAAAAATATTAAAATGTTAATTCAACATAATGACTTGTAAAATGAGTAATATAAAAGAGTATAGTATACGAATTAATAGTTAAAGCCTTAATTTAGAATATAAAATAGTGGTATTGTTAATACGATAAAAAAAAATTACTCTTTCTGAATGAAAAACAAAAATATTGAAAGTAATTTTAAGCATGCGTATTGAATATGGTAATAAAAACATATGCTGCTCTAGATTGATGTATTCAAATAATAGAAAAAATAAAGAATATATGGAATTACTAATTTAATCAGATAATTTTGTTGCTAAATTGAGGACTATAACTCAATAATAATATATATGAAATATTATCAAGAATACAACTTTAATTAATAAAAATATGAAATATTACCAAGTTAAATAATATTACCAATAAAATATATTTTTATTTACAAAATATAAATTTAACATTCAAGCTAAAATTAAATTCAATATTAATGTCTTTCTCAACAAAAAACTAAAATATTGATAATAATTTTAATAATACATATTGAATATGGAAATGAAAGCAATAGAAGTATTAAAATAATAGAAAAAATAAAGAAAATGTATATGGAATGATCAATTTAATAAGATAATTTTGTTGCTAAATTGAAGACTATAAGTCAAATCTTTAATTAATAATACAACACTATATTTAAAATATAGGAAATTTTACTAAATTAAATAATATTCCAATAAAATATATTTTTATTTGCAGTATATAAATTTAACATTGAAGCTCATATTAAATTCAACAATAATAATAGAAGGTAGGGATGATTAATACTAATACGATATAAATAAATAATAGTATTTATTTAAGTCTTTCCCTACAAAAAATATTTAAGCATACATATTAAATATGGAAATGAAAACATATGTTGCACTAAATTAAGAATATATGAAATGACCAATTTAATCAGTTAATTTTTTTGCTAATTTTAAGACTATAAGTAAGTCAAATCTTTAACCAATAATACAACACTTTATATAGGAAATATTACTAAGTTAAATAATATTAGCAATAAAATATATTTTTATTTGCAATATATAAATTTAACATTGAAGCTAAAATTAAATTCAATAATAGAAGGATTAATTGAACTGAGGTATTCTTAACCTCAACTTTTATTAATAAAATTTAATTAATAATTGCAAATATAGTAATCAATTAACAAGATTCCTTGCAACTTCTTCTCTGTATAAAGGATTAGTAAGCAAGTCTTCTTTTTATCTTTCATAAATACTTTTCCCTAATTATATTGTATTCTTTGCTAAAGCATCTGTTTTTTTCATAAATTAATTCTGAGTAGATAACATGTTTTTGATCATCATTTAGTCATTTAATTTTTCTAAATCTATTTTTTGAAAGAATTAATTTAAAAGATACTAAAATAAAATTACCTAACACAGCATCTTAAGCACTTGAAGGTCTCCAGGGAGCTGGTGTTTAGCTAAACAGCATAGCTTCTTCAGTCTTTTGTATAGCATTCTACAAATTTTTTATTTTTCTTTGTGTTGAGACTAAATCTGCATACTTTTAATCTAATAGAGATCCTTATTTTTTAGATTAGCTTTTCTGATCAGCTGAAGGCTCTCTTATTTATTAATCTTTTTTCTCTTCCTATTCTTCAAGTTTTTCTATTTTATTTTTCATGATTTGTATGTCTTTTTTCTTTTAATTTAGAGCTTTTTCTACCTTTAGATACATTAATTGAATTTGATAATTTAAGAATTCGTTAGTGTTTGGCTTTTAGCTTCCTATTACTCCTGTTTTCTAAGCATACAAAGTAATCTAAGCAGCATTAGCTTGGGATTAACTCTTGTAAACTTCTTCAGTAGTTATATTTCTTACTAGTAAAATTATATTGATAGAACTAATTAAATTTGGTGATTTTTTTAATTGATAAGTAATTACCTTCAAAGGCATGAAGCTTCTATGACCATGTATTTTTTAATTTTTCTTATTCAACCTAATTTTATTCTAGTTCTTACTTAACAAATAATGCAGCTTAGCTTATGATTTCAAAGGCTTCACTGTATCTTTCTACAAATTAAATAAATAATTATTATGTTTTTTTGGATAATCATTTTAATTACCTTTTTTATATAATATGTCTGCTTTTTACAGTGAGGATATTTTAAAATGTATAGAATTGTATCTCTTTTCTTTATCTTCTTACTTAATTTAAATAGACTTAGATTTAGATAACCTTTTATATGCAGCATCGGATTTTTATTTGAGAGCTGTTATCTTTTAAATATTTGCGTTTTTAAGCTAGCAAATTGAACAAGGTCCTGTAGGTCCGCATCCATGACATTTCACAAAAATATTATTTGCAGGATTCCAGCTTTTTTAATTTGATTAAGAAGCGTCTTTTAATTAATTTTATATAACATTAATCCTCTGACTTAGTGCTTTTAGTTTAGCCTTTATTATCACATATTTAATTTAAGAATAAAATATTTAAAATTTATTTTATTTACTTTTTTTTCATTTATAAACTTCAGCTCTGCATAAGTATGAGCATATTCACAATCAGCTCCAATTGGAACAGAATTACTCCTATTTCCTACTGGCCATTTGTCTTTTACTGCACTCGGACATTTTGATCTTTTAAAGTAAATAAATTTTATAATATTTATTTTTTAGAACAAAATTACTTGAGAGGACACATATAAGTTTTAGGCTACTATGACCTTTGATTATAGCTTGTAGTTTTTTTGGTATCTTAAGATTTTGAAAGCTATTAAGTGTGGGATAACTAACCTTGAGTATTGTTACCAAGTCTGTTATTTAGAGATTTATCAAAAGTATCCATACCTCCATGCACCTTCTCTATAGCAGCTTAAATAATCTATTCATCTTTCTTCAATTTTTCTTCATGCTTATCCATAACACGAATTATATTAAAATAAATGTCTTCTAAAAAGCGTCTATTTTTTAAATCTGCAAAATCTTCATCTTTAAGCTATTTCATTTTTTCTTAGTCAGGAGCTAAGTTCTAAATAGAATACATAACTCTTTAGGTAGAATTTTTTGTCTAAAGAGGTTCAAATTCAGCTCTTATTTATTCTACTTTAAAGTTTTCGTACAAGAGAATAGCTGCCTCTCTATACTATCCTGTTTCTACAAGAGATAAACACCTCTTATAAATACCAAATCTGTACACTTTAGGATATCTTTTTTTAAAATCAGGTCCCATTCTTTCTAACCATTTTTCAAAGCTAGGCTACCTTGAGAATAATATTTCTTATATCAATTCACCATATTCAAGCTGTCTATCTTTTAAAACGCTTTTTACTTCTAAAGGTGCTCTTAAACCTACCATTGGTTCGAATCTGCATTCTTTTGCTTCTTCGAATTTCATCATAACCTTCAGTTTCTCCTCTTCTAGTCTTTTGTTATCCCATAAACTCAAACTCTAACTTTCTAAGTATTTTTCATACCTTTTCATCATTTTTTCATCTCTACTGTGCTTTTAAACCTTGTTAAAATTGATTAAAATAAAATATTGAAAAATAGTTTTTATAAAATTTTATTTTACTTTATAATTCAGAGTTTTATAATTTCTTCCAGAGGGAGCCCAGAAAGGTAATTTTCTAACAGCATCCTTGTGCATATTAGCAGCATATGAACGGACAACTTCAAAGAAGTATCTTTTAAATTTGTATGGATAAGATCTCTTTTTAAGTCTTTTTGACTCTCCGTGATTAAAATTGTAAAAATTCTTTTGAATGGCTAAACAATATGAGGGGCTTTCTTTACAGCTTTTATATAATTAGCTTAAGAATTCATTAATAGTTGGAACTTTTTAGACAAATCTTCTTTTTCTAAGCTAAATAAAGCGTTATGCTTCTCCTTCTAAGTATTTATGTAAACTTTTCATTTATTATTATATTTCTTTTTTCTCTTCATCCTTCCTATGTACTCGATCTTCTAAATGATAATAATAATTGTTTATTTCTTCATCAAATAACTCTGCAAGCACTTTTGTCCTTTAAACTAATGGTTCTTCTAAATCTGTTAAGCTCAAATTTCCTTTACCAGAGTGTCTGACTTCCACTAATTCTCTGTGTTAAATTTTTGCTTCATTAACTTCATCTTTCCAGTCATACTCCAAAGGATGCTTAGCCACTTTATTATCTTAAAATTCCTCTAAAATCATTTTCCTCAGGATCTTATCATTAGGATATTATTTCCTTAAGTAGAGTAGCTGCTTACCTATTGTTAATCTGTCCTTGGGTTGAGCTAATGTATCAAGATCAGTTGCTACTATTTCTTTACCCTAATTTAAGTTTAATTAAGAAAATAATTTTTCTAAATTAAAAGTACTCCAAAAACTTCATTTTGTATTTTTTCAAAGTATTCTCTTCTTTTCTCTTCCTCTTCTCTCTGCTCATTTTCAATTCTTTGTCTTTCTTCTTCTGCCCTTTCTAAATAGTAAGTGATCATACTATTTACATCTTATTCGCTTTCAAAGAAAATTCCCCTCCTTTTTTTTTCTCCTTTCTAAATTAAAAAAATTCATTAACAATAAAACTACCAACAATTCTTATTTTACCGTCAAAGTAAAATAAAACTAAACAAGTTCCTAAACATCCATTGTGTCATATCCAAGTTTTGCTCTTCTTAAGTACAAAAAATCCAAACATTTGTAAAAGAAGTAGTCATCAATATATTTCCTTGCTTCATCTTCTGAAATATCCAAGTTTAATTCTTTCTATAAGATATAATAAAGTAAGTAAGGAAAGCTGTGAGAATATAACTAAATCAAAAAATATTAACTTTGTTCGGTAAGTCATCGACCCAAAATTCCATCAAATCAGATCTATTTTTGTAAACTTTTTGAATAGGGTATCTTTTTTTGTATTGCACAATAATCATTTCCACAAAAACATCTCTCATTTTAGCATCTACTTTTTCTTTTTCTATTTGAATTTCAAGCTCTTTCTATTTTTATTCTTCAGGAGTTAATTTTTTAGGTTTTATATTTTATTCATCTTCATCTTCTTCCTCTTCATCAAAATTGTAATTTTTATAAAGTTGTTCCATCCTCTCTTTTTAGTTAGCTTTCATTTCAATTATTTTATCTTATTATTTTCTTCTTAAATTTTCTGTTCTCATAAAAATCTTTTATGCTTATTCCTATTTGTTTATTTCCATTTCCTCTGCTTCAATTTAGCTATAAGTAGTTAATGTTAATAATATATCGTCAGGATGTTGATTTGCAAGTTTTCTTATTTTGTATTTTCTTTCCATTAAGTTGTGTTAATTAATCTAATGTAAATAGAAGTAATAAAGAAAAATATATTAACTATTTAAAAAATTAAGAAATTTTTATTACTTCAAATACATTTAATGTTCTTAACTCTTTTTGAGTTAAAGGTTTTACTTCTTCTACTTTTGCAGAACTCATTTTTTCCTTAAAAATTAAAACAATTATTTTAACTTAAAGTAAATTCTGATATATTTATTTAGTTTTATACAACTTACAGATTTACTCATTATTTTCCAGAAATCAAATAGAATTTGTGGATCTTATTATGAAATTTTATTCTTTTGCTTGTATAAGTTCTATTTTTAATATAAGTGGTTTTAATAGTTTGCTAAAAAAATAAATAAATATAAAAATGTTTTTATTAAATTTACTTTCAATAAATTATATGTATCTCTTCCAAGGTCTTTAACCTCATGTCTGTTTAATTCCTCTTGTTTTTTCTTTTCTTTTTCTATAGCATTTAAAAATTCTTATTCAATTCTTTTCTCTTTGTCTCCCATAGTGTATGTATTATTATTTGAAAAACTAAATTTATGAAAAACAATGTTTTAGTTGTTATTTTTTAGGCTATTTTTATGAATACCTAACAGCATTATCTTAAGTTGCATACGAAGAGTTCTTTTTAAGTATACTTTAAGTGTTTTATTTAACAGATAACGATTAAGATGCTCTTTGTTAGGCATTCTCTTAAGAAAACTTCAATTATTTTTAATTATTAATCTAATTTGGTTATGCAGTTAAAGATAATTTTTGAGAAGCACCAGCTCCTGCTTGAAAACTTTACATATTATTTAGATTAAAATGATTATTTTTATTTAGCATGTTTAAACTTTTGATATATTTTACCTTTAAGTTAACTCTGATTATTTTAAAATACCTTTCATAAACTAAAATTTTAAATTATCACTTGATTAATGAATGTAAAATTCTATGTTTAAAAATGAATCTTTTTAAAAAATTTGAATTCAGTTTTAATTAAAATATACTTAAAACAGACAGTAATTAATAAAATTTATATTAATAAATGATAATAACTTAATAATATACAATTGAAAGGAATTGAATGATCATTTAATTAAAATTATTAAATCATTGATGATCCTCAACAATGAAATTTGCTTGATATTCATGTCTATTGAGGAATTCTTTTTTTCAAATAATATTGCTGTTTGCTATTTCATTTTTAATTTTTAAAATTATATTTTTATAAATTAAAAATTTATGTTTGATTACAGTTAGATTTTTTAATTGTAAAATATAATTTACTGAATTATTTTTATTAAAATATATTATATTAATAATAAAAAATATCATATTAAGGAATGTAAAAATTTATAGTTCTTGATATGGTAATAGTAACAAATAAAAATAACTAAATCGATTTTCAGAGGCAGATTAAATCAATTGCTTTATTATTAAAATAATTCAAAACAAATATATATATATATTCTTTGGATTATTGTTTTTAACTTTAAATCTTCTAAATTATTAATAAAAAAGGGAATAGCTAATACTAAATTTATCAAGTAGAATATTTTCCTAAAACAAAAAGAAATATAAACTTAAACTTATACCAATACAGAACATTAGGTCTTAAAATAATAGAATTATCATTAAATAAGATGTCAGATTATGATTATGAATAGGATTTTAGCGATTGTAAAACTTAGATTAATTTAATCATACCTTATTAGTTCATAAATTAGATGAAACGGTTTATAAATTCTAAAGTTTTTTTTGTAAACTTAAAACAGTGAATGATGAAAAACCTTAATCGTAGGAAATCGAAAGGCATGAAGATTCTTAATTTCAATAAAATTAAGCAGTTTCACCTAGAGAAGGACAAAACTCTTAAAATAATGGTAGAGAACTAACTATAAATTAATTATTTATTTATTAGATGAATCGACACCATAGGTGTAATCAATAAAATATTTATATATATTAGGAGAATTAGAAAAGGATTCTGATTTTGGAGCGAATCATTCATACGTGTCATTTTCTCATGAAGAAAAGGAAATTGTTGAAAAATAAATTCATTAAAATAGTAAACAGAGTAAACTATTTACAGATACTTCAGAAGAATTCAATAAAATTAGATCAAACATAATAGAAAAGCAATTCTAATAAGCAGTAAATATTAATTAATTTTCTTATAAAGCAATTAAAAGAGAATTATTATCAAAAAGAGACTAATATAAAATAAAAAATTTAAAATAATTATTAAATATTATTTCAAAATATTTCATTTAAAGCTTGTCCAAATTGAAGAGTATTTAAGATTAAATCCAAAAAGTGTTGAAGCAATTAATTTGAAAGTGAATTGTTTAAAGTAATTGAAAGGTGCTAAGGATAACAACCTCAATAGAAAATGCATAGAAGAGCTGAAGAAATCGTTAGAGGTAATAAATTAAATTTCATTATTGAATATAAAGCAATTTATATTGCAAATAAGATTCTCAAATTCATTATTCAAAAATGAAGTAATTAATATTTTTCTAAATGAGAATTGCAAAATCTTTCATAATCTAGTGAGAATTTAAAATAGATAGATTGATTATTAGTTTAAAAAAATTAAGTATTTTTATTTAAAAAATAATACTTAAGCTTGAACCAAATAATGTTTTGACTCTTTTCAATATCGCAACTTGCTATTATGAGTTGAGTGATTATAAAAACGCTATTAAATATTATGAGATGCTAAGTAAATAAAATTTTTAAGATGCCAGAGTGTATTTTAACCTAGCTCTTTCTTATGAAAAAATTAATGATACTTACAATGCTTAAGTGAACTATGATAAGGTAAATAAATATTTAGCATAGTTATTTATTTAAAAATTTTATTTTTAATAACTAAAAGACACTAAAATTAAATAGCTCTTTCAGTGGGGCTGTAGTAAATTATAGCAACTTGCTGATTCGTATAGGGGAATTAGAGCAGTCAAGACTTTTGCTAGAAAGTCATTTAAAATACTAGCCAAGAGATGAAAAAGCTATCAATAATTTAAACATTATCTTAGCTGAAAAAAGATAAGATAAATAGGCCGATATTCTTTTTAAAAAGATTCTTAGAAAGTAAAATGGATTCACTCCTTCTATTCTTTACAATCATGGTGTCTTACTCTTTAAATAAAATAAGTTAATATCTGCCCTCCAGGCCTTTTAGTAATTTACTTAAATCCCAGAAGTTGAAGAAAGAGATCCTTTAAATCTACTCTCGTATGTTAATCAAGGACTTATTTTTGAAAAATTAGGATAATATGAAAGCTCATTAACTGTATACGAGACAGTAATTAATTATTAATATATTTTTTTTTCTTCAAAAATTTCGTGTTTAATTAAAAATTATTTATTTAAAAAGATTTTAGAAAATTTTAGTGACATAGTTAACTGCAAGGAGTTTGAATAGAAGATAGCAGAAATGAAAGATAAAATACTTAAAAGGCTCTCAACAAAAAATTATCATTTTTCTTATAACAATCCTCCACCTCAAGGATAGTAATATACTTTTTATTCTTCTAGCTAAAATCATGATACTATGCCTCCTTTGAACTCATAACAAAAAAGACTCTTCCCTGTCAAATAGAAAGGATCTCAATCAAATTAATTTTAACTGAGCTCCAATAATTTCCGCTAAATCTAAACTCCACAATCTTTAGAATCAAATGGAACAAAAATTCTATTTAACTAGAAGTAAAATGAAATGGCATAAACTGATGGATTAAAAGGATTTAATAAAGGTTCTTTCTAATTTTAATTAAAAACATAATAAATAAATAAATTATCTCCTGATAGCAAGAAAGATGACATCAAAATTAATAATTTCTTTAAAAATAATAAATTTAAAAATAGTGATAATCTCAATAATAATAATAATAATCATTAAGGAGAAAGAATTATTTTAGAAAAGCCTTTAACGGGATAAAATAAACAAAATTTATCTATTTCTTTTCATGAAAATAAGTTTAAAAAGAATATTTTATTAAGAAAGGGATCTTCTGAACTAAAGACATCACTTAATTCACATAGTGATAAATAAAACTTAAGTAATAATTATGGAGGAAATATGACTTAACCAAATAGAGAAGGTAGATAATTTAATTTTAATTATTTAGATAAGCTTTCAAAACCTAAAAAACTACCTAAAGAAGATCCTAATGTTAAATCCTCTTTAGAATTAGCTCCAAAGTAGATAAATAAGAATTGGAGTTAGCAAAATTAGGTAAACAACCCAGTATTTGATAGACTTACTAAACCAAAATAACCTTAAGTTGAGCTAAGTTAATCTCCAGAAAGCAATAAAACGTTATTAAATGCTCATAAATAAAACTAAACCAAAGAGTCAAATTCTAATTTTACAATTAAGCCTAACTAATAAATTAAGCTTGCTAGTATTGATAGCAGCAAATAAATTTAGTAAAAAGCAGAAAATTAAATTTCAAAAAAGGATAACAATTCTATGGCAGCTGAGAGTAGCTAAACTAGCATAAAGTAAAATAATTTAATGAACTTAGATAATTAATAAAAATCTAAGCCCTAAGTTAAAAGTGAATTTGCAATTAAGCAGAGTGATTCATAAAGTAAAATTAAACAAACAAAAAGTTAAGAAAGAAGTGAAGAAAAAGAAAAGTAAATAAGTGTAACTGATAAAAGCTAAAATGCTTAGAATTCTGCATAAAACCCAAAATAATAGTAATCTAATTTAGATCAGTAAAAATAAGTAAATGGGTAAACTCAAAAAATAAATAATTCTGATAATTAAGTAAATTTAGAAGACAAAACACCTCTAAAAATTCAAGAGAACTCAAAAATTACAATTTAAAAAAATAACAATGTAGCATCTTAAAGTGTTTCTAAAGCTTCAGAATAATAATTTTCACAAACCTCCACTCCTTCTAAAAAACAAAATTAGAAAAATTCAGAAACACCATAAAACTAGTCGACTCCTAAACAAAAAGTTTTATCAAACTAGCCTGAAAAGGTTTAAACACCTTAAAGTTAAAAGTAATAAAAAGCTTATGCCGAAGACTAAAATTAAAATAAGAAAGTGAATAACTAATAAATTAATAAATAGAATTCAATAGGCTCATAAAAATCCCTCAAAGAAACAAATAATTTATCTTCAACTCCTATCTAACATTAAAAAATTAAAGAAGAAAAAGAAGAAGATGATATATCCAGATAATAGTCAGAAAGTGGATTAAATTCACCTAATTAAGCTGATTAGCATGGGAAACAAAAAGAATAGAATTTTACTTCAGAATCTCTAAAATAAGATTAAATCTAAAAAGATAATTAGAAAGGAGAAAGCAAGCATTCAACATTTAAAGAAAATAACCCATAATAAGAATAAGAAAGAAAGTAAAGCTTGATATAAAAATAAATAGAAATTAATGAAACTGAAAAAAAACCAAATATTCAAAAGATAGAGAAAGAATAGAATTAAAGTCTTGTAAAAGATGAATAAAATACAAACAATTAGTAAAATACCAATCAAAACAAAGATGATCAGGTAAAGGAAATGAAAGTTGAATAATAAAAAGACAATTAAAATGATATCTCTAAAAATTAATTAGATCAAAATAGTTAATAAATAAAAGAATAATTAAAAAATAAAAATATAAATGATAAAAATAATCATGAAACTAATTAGAATGAGCATAGTTAAAAAGAAAACAAAGTAGAAGAAACAAAAAATAAAAAAGAAGGAGTTGTAAGTAAGGATGAAACCTAAGATAACTTGAGTAATAATTAATCAGCTATCAGCAAAAAAGAAGTAGAGTTAGATAAAAAGGATAAAACTGATTAATAGAATACAAAATAGTAGGTTGAGGAGAAGCATCCTGAAAGACATGAAAGTAATTAATAAATTGAAAGTAGTGTAAAAGAAAATAGAGTTTAGGATCAATAATAAGATAATACCAAGCATTAGTAGAAAGAGTAAGTTATGTAAAATTAAGATAAGAATGAATAGTAAAAACAAGATTAGTAATAAAAAAATTCCGAATAGATAATATAAAAAAAATAGAGTGATTAAACTCCAAATTAAAAGAAAATTGACAAAAAAAGCACTTTTGAAGAGAAAGAAGAAAATAGTAGTTAATAATTAATTAAAGATCATTAAGAAAGCATTAAAGAAAATAATACTAGCTAGCCACTTATTTAGTTGTAATAATAATATAGTTCGATGGATTCTCGACACCATGGAGAAGGATAAAGATCAAGACATTAGATAGGTTTTTAAATAAATATAATTTAAGAAAATGGTAGCTTGATAAAAAGCGAAGAATTTAAAGAAGAAGTTTAAGATGATGACCCTGAATAGCTTAATGATTCTTAAATCCTAAAAGACAAATAACTTATTGAAGTTTAATAACAAAAAGATGTTAAAAGTGATAATTAAATACCTAAAGGTGAATAAAAAGAATCCAATCATGATAAAGATAAAAATTAAGAAAAATAACATTAAAATGAATCTAAAAACATTCCAACTATTCATTAAGATAGTTAAAATTAAAAAAATAAAGATTTAAAAGAAATGTCAGAAAATAACTTAAATAAAAAATAAGAAATATCTAAAAGTACAGAAGACATGAAGTAATCAACAGAGCATCCATAATAAAAGGAATCAAAAGATAGTGCAGAATTCTAATAATAAGTTAAATCTAAAAAATCTGTAGATAATGATTAAGATAAAAAACATGAAGAAAAGTAAGAATCGAAAATATTAGAAGATAGTAATTAAGAAAAAGATGTTCAAATTAACCATTAATAAAATAATAATTAATAAATTAAATCTAAAAATGTAATAAACGAAGATGAAGCCAAAAAAGAAAATAATTAAACAATCAATTAGTAAGAATAAGCGCCTAAATAAAATAATAATAATTCCCAAGAGCAAATACCTGTTTAAGTAGAAAATTAAAATTCTCATTAAGAACATAAAAAATAAGAATAAGAAACTATTTAAAATAATTTAGAAAATCAAAATAAACATCATTAATTTGATAATTAAAATGATCATTAATAGGAAATAGAGTAAAATTAGAAATAAAAAAATGATTCCCCAAAAAATTTAAATTAATCTCATGAAGAGTAAAATTTTGAAAATTCTATGAAATAGGATTAAAAGTAAGAAGATAAAACATAAATCCCATAAACACCTAAAAAAGAAAAGATGTAACTGTAATAAAATGACATCTCAGATAAAGATAATATCAATTTTTTTAAAGATTAAAATAATAATTAATAACTTGATGAAGAATAGTAGAGAATATTTAATGAATAATTAGAAAAATAATAAGAGTATATGATCATGGTAACATAATATAAATCTGTTGAAAAATTAAACGAAAGCTTATAGGATTCTGCTAGATCTAGTAAATTAAATAATATAAGTTAAGAAATTGCACATAATAATTAAAATTAAGATTTTATTATTGGAGGTTAAACAGAAAGTATTTAAGAAATAGAGCATCATTAAGATAAACATATTGATTCATAAAAATAAGATTAATCTGATTTAAATTAAGAGGAATTATAATAGAAATAACAATAAATACATGACGATAAAGGTGATAACAACAATATTTCTGAAAACCCTAATGAAATTTTAGAAAATTAATAAGAGAAAGAAATTAAAATTATAGAACAAAATCATGATAGTTAATAAAATGAAAAAGACAGTTAATAAATAACATAAATTGATCAAATAAACTAGGATAATTAATAAGAAAATAGTAAGCAAGCATCGTAAATTCAAATTTAAGATCAGAAATAAATCAAATAAGATAATATTAATGAGTCAGATCAAGCTCATGAATAAGAAAAAGAAGATGAAAATGAATAATTGGAAGATGAGTAAAGTTAAAACGAAGAAATTGAAAATAATTAATAAAATAGAGACAATGATTCAGAAAAAAATCTAAATGATAGTACATCAAAATTATAAGAAGTATAAGATAAGCTAAATAGTGAAAAAGAAATCTAAGATTAATAAAAAATAGAATAATCAATAAGCTAAGATGAAAAAGAATAGTAATAGCATGAATAAATCCAAGATAATAATTAATCAAATGAGTAAATAATAAATTAAGATGAATAAGAAGAATAAAATTAGAATGAATAAACACAATTTAATTAATAAGAGTCAAAAGACGAGTTAAATTAAAACTAAAATTTGAAATAAGAGTAAGATGATTAATAAGCATAAGATTTATAACTTAATTAACAAGATGAATAACAATAACACGATGAATTGCAAGAAAAAGATCAAAATTCTCCATAAAACTAGTAAGAATTAGATTAATAGTAAAATTTATAAGGTTAAGATTAGAATGAAGAGTAAAGCAATATTGAAAATAAAGAAGACTTAGATAAAGAGAATTAAGATTAATAAGATAATGATGAATAAGAAAAATAATAAGATGAATAAGAATAAAATTCTGAGATTAAAAATTAGGAAGATTAGCAAGAAAGAAGTAATGAAGATTAATAGGAATAGTTGGATAAAGATGAAAATCAATAAAATTAGGAAGAATCAAATAAATAATAAAATTTAGAAGAAGAATAATAATAAGACTAAAATTAGGAAAATTAAATAGAAAAACAATTAGATGATTAACAATAAGATGCTGATTAAGAAGAATAAGCTTAGGATGTTGAAAAAGATTAATCTGAAAATAAAGAAGAATCTGAAGCCCAACCTGTTATAAATGAAAATGATAAGAATGATACAGTTTTGAATTAATAAGATGAAATAAAACCTAATGATCATGAGTAATAATAAGATTTAGAAGATACATAAAAGGCATCATAATTAAATGGAGATGAAGAAAATGACTAAAAAGAAGAAAAATAAGATAATATTGAAGAAAATAAAGAACAGCAAGTTCTCTAAATTAATAAAGATGATAATTAAGAAAATTTGATCTCTAATGCTTTAGAAAACCAGGAAAATTAACAGAACATTTAAAATATTGAAGGATTAGAATAGTAAGGAAGAACTTAATCTGAAGAGTAAGATATTGTTAAAATGCTTTAAGGTGAGAAATCCCCTCCTTCTAAAAGCAAATCCTAAGAAGATAACGTACTCGAGAATGATAATCACTAAAATTAATATTTAGTCAATAAACTAATTTAAAATAACTCTAATGACGAAGAAAATGAGAAAAGAGGGCTCCTTACTTTACACAGCTCTGCTAAAGAATTAGAATCTAACAGAGACTCTTTTATGAGTGATAATAATCTTACAAAAAAAAGTAAAAGTAAAAAGAGTAAGAAAAATCTCTAATCATAATTACCCCCTGAATTTGATTCATGGACTAAGTAAATATGTGAAAATATGATTAGAAACTAAGACGAAAAGGCTTATATGGCTCATTATAAATTAGGTATAATTTCGATTGAAGATAATGATGTTGAAAATGCAAAGTTAAACTTCTTAAAGGTGGCTGAGTTATAGCCTGATTTCATGCCTGAAAGAATTCATTTTGCAATAGCAGAAATATTCCTTCAAACATAAAATTGGGAATAAGCTTTAGAACACTATAAAATTTAATACAAATATTCTCAAGATAAATATACCTCTTGCTTAAGAATCGGAAAGTGCTTTAAAAAGCTTAATAATTTAGAGAAAGCTAAAAAAAGCTTTGAAAACGCTATTGCTTAAAATGACTAAAAAGACTATAAATGCTTTTACAAACTTGGTTCAATTTTCTTTTAAGAAAACAAAGTTAAAGAAGCCATAGATAATTTTTCTAAGGCTCTTTCTCTGAACGCTTAGGATATTAAAATATTAGTAAAGCTTGGACAGATTTATTTAGAGTAAGATAAAGAAGAAAATAGTATTTAAGAAGCTTTCTAATACCTCACTGATGCTATACAGTTAGATGAAAATAATTATGAGTGTTTGATAAGTTTAGGAAAACTCTATGATAAATAGGGAGAATTAGAAAATGCAATTAAATTCACAGAACTTGCTATTTAGAGGCCTGAACACAATATAAATTCAATGTATTACCTAGGCACATTATACCTTAAAAATAAAGAAATAACTAAGTCCGGAGAATGTTTCAAAAAAGTTTTATGTAATTATTTATTTTAAAAAAATTTTTTTCTTATTCAAATGTTATTTTTAAAAGAATAAAATTCAGAACATATCCCAAGTTTGATAGAATATGCTACTATTTTAAGCTTGAAAGGAGAATTTGAGAAATCAAAAAAATACTTTAAGTAAATTTTTAAATTAATTTATTTTTATATCATTTAAATTTTTTAATAAATAAATTATTAATAGAATAGCTCTTTCCAAAGATCCTAATAATTTAATTTGCAATTTAAGACTAGGCAAGATATATTTAAATAAGCTTAACAATATAAATCGTGCTATTGATTGCTTCAAGCAAATTATAAGCATCGAACCTAAGTATAGTAAGGCACATTTCTAGCTGGGTATGGCATACCAATCGAGAAAAGATTTTAAATTGGCAGCTGAGTGCTTTAAATAATGTATAAGTATAAATCCTAATAATGCAGATGCATGGTAGTAGCTAGGTATTTATATATTTTAACATGATTTAAATTATTGATAATTTTTTTTTTTTAATATAAAAGGTACCATATTTTAAGAAACTGGTAACACTGAAAAGGCTCTTATGTATTTCCAAAAGGGTTTAGTTTTTAATCCAAATGATTTTTAACTTCAGAAAGGAATTGCTAACTGTTATTATTTTACTGAAAATTATGATACAGCAATAGAAAAATATGAGAACCTCTTAAAGAATAAATAAGATGATGAAGCATTACAATATCTAGCTGACTGCTATTACACTAAAGATGATGTGGAAAATGCTATTTACTATTACAAATAATGTCTTGAAATTAACCCCAAAAGACCTAATTGCTTATATAATTTAGGTAATGCATATTGTACTTAAAATAACTATGAAGAGGCCTAGTAAGCCTACATAGAGTGTATATAATTAGATACTACTAATGCTTCTGCATATTATAATTTGGCAAATGTATATTACATTTAAAATGATTACGAGAACGCTTTGATTAATTTTGAATTAGCCATAGAAAAAGACCCTTCAAATGTTGAATGGAGAAATTATATTGCAGGATTGTATATAGATAATAATTAATTTGATAAAGCAATATAACATTTACTTAAAGCATATGATGATGGTACAAGCAACTTTGATACATGCTTTAAACTTGCTTAGGCTTACTACGGACAATAAAATTTATCCGAAGCACGTCAATACATAAAGGTAAAAATATTTTTTCTTAAATTATAAATTATAATTTTTTTTTATTCAGGTTGCTGTAGAGATAGATCCAGATAATGATGATGCATATAGATTATATGAAGAGCTTAATCCTGCTCCAGTTAACAAAAGTAATAGTCAAAACAAAGACTCTAATGTTTCAGCCTCTAAGGATTTAGAGTCAGATGCAAGTTAAATAAAATACAGTTAAGCATCTATTTAGGTTTTCAAAGAAAACATGGATCTATCTATAAGATAAGAAAGAAATGGCAAATCATATAATAAAGGTAGCTAATCACGTATTTTAAAAGAAAATATTGAATGATTTAATATATTATAATTAACATTTTCTTTATCAAGTCTCTATTTTATAGAGAAAGCAACTTGAGTTGTATATTTTTTAATTGGTATTAACTTGATATAATAATATTTTAATGAGTATTTACTTTTAGTTTATTCAAACACATATTTATATTTTAAAAACATACTTTCAATCGTAAAGAATGCTTCTTTATGTTTCGTAAAACTAACTAATTGATTGATTTATAGCAAATTGAAGAATAAATAACAAATATCTTTACATTGAATAAGTATAAACATTATTTGATTAGAATTTATTTTAAAAACATACTTTCAAATGGTAAAGAAGAATGCATCTTTATGTTTCGTAAAATTAACTAATTGATTGATTGATTTATTACAAATTGAAGAATAAATAACAAATATTTTTATATTGAATAAGTATAAATATTTTTGATTAGAATTCATTTTAAAAACATACTTTCAATGGTAAAGAAGAGTGCATCTTTATGTTTCGTAAAACTAACTAATTGATTGATTGATTTATTACAAATGGAAGAATAAATAACAAATATTTTTATATTAAATATGTATAAACATTATTTGATTAGAATTTAATTGTTTTAAAGTAAATTCTTAATTAAAGGTTATTATATATAGTTGGATTTTAAAAATTATCTATAATAGTTATCAATTAATCCTAAAATGAAATAGACTGACTGCTCTATATAAAAATTCTAATAAGTTTAAATTATGATAATTATCAATCTGAAAGTAATAAATAAAAGTTTATTTATTTATTTGTAGTTCCATTAATGGTTATTATTCTTTCTGTTTTTACTTATTTTATATCAAAATTATTCAGAGCTATCAATTTCCTCATTCATTTTTAAATAGCGATTAGCATTTAATAAGTTACTGACTAAATCATTTTTCTTTATTTTTTTCTTTACGAAGTTAAAGTAAATGCAGATCAATAAAAAGCTAGCAATACAGCTAATAGATATCCAGAATCCATATTGGAGTTATTTCGTATTTGAAGTATCGCCTACAACTTATACTAAGTAAACAACCATAACCCAATACAGTATGGCACCCATGTATAGAAATAAGCAGAGCCATCTACAAGTCTTAAATTTTAATAATTTACATCCTCTATTCTAAATACTTTCAGGATAAGATTTAAAAAAAGCAAGCAATTAGAAAGTATAAATAAATTAAATAGCTACTCCCATGCTAAACATTATAAATGAGGAGATTCCTCCTATTTCTTTATTATCTTCGCTGTAAAATCCATTTAATTAGTATGAATTATTATTGTAATGAAATAATAAACCATAGTAGGTTTATTCTTGGAAAGAACCATTCGTAGTTGGTGAGTTTTCTGAATCGTTATACCAAGGGGGATATATGATAGAAAATAGTAAAGAACCTATTTACACCAAATTGAGTAGCAATATTAGCATTAAATGATTTCTTAAAATCCTTTTCTTAATATTTTAATTCATTCTTATGATTGCTGATGTATCACTCTAATTTGAATCGCTATGGAAAGATTATTTTTAATCGGCTCCACTTGATGAAATCTTATTCTTGGTATAGTTATCGCTATTATTTAAATTATTAATCTTGTTTTTAAAATATGGTTCTTCCATTTTAGATCTATCTTGAGTATTTGAGCTGCTTTTTGATTCTTCCAGACCTAAGCTCTTATTAAGAGATTATTTATTTTTTGAAAAATATTCCATAAATTAATCAGAATTCTTTTATTTATATTAATTAAGCTTAATTTATTGTTTATTTTTTATAATTTTTTTGATTTATATTTGATCGATTTTTAACATAAGAGAATGGATCATTATCTATCTTACTCTTAATAGAAATAAGGTAGGTATATTAATGTCTATTAATTTTTAAATAATATTTAGTATTCCTGATAAAAACAAAAACTATTACTTTTTAAAACTAAATTAAATTATTTTTTATTTGTTATTGTTTGCTTCAACTAGTAATTATTATTGAATTTTTTTTAATAAAATCAATTCAAAATTAATTTTTAAAAGATAAAAATACTTAAAATAAAAACTTAATTTAGATATTTTAGAACCAATTAATTAATTTATTGCTTAAATCATTAATTAAATTTATACGATTTTAAATCATAATTTAATATTAAATTCTTTCTAGATTATTTTATTGATAATATAAGCTGCATAGCTAAAGTCAAAATTAAGATTCAAAAATTATATTTTGTTTTTTTTAATATATTTACTGGCATAAGTTTTTTATTGGTTTATCCATCTATAAAAAAATAAACCTTTTGGTTTCTCTAAAAATAAACCAATAAGAATTTTTATATTGATTGACTAATTTGATAAGAAAAGTAAAATAAAGAAAAATGAAAATTAAAAGTACAAATGCAAGGTATTTAAAATTAAAGTAATGTTTTAATACAATATGAATCCAAACATATATTTTTATTTAAAAGTTGTATATATAATTTTTAATTTTAATAAACTGTATCTCTTAAAGATAGATGCAGCTTAAAAAATATAATAAAGCTAATTACCTTTTACTTCTATTTATATATTTCTAATTAAAGTGACAAAACATTCTAATATGATAAGTAAGCTTAATTCAAAATATCTTTCATTCATTTTATTAACTTGTTTCATTCTTTTCTTGAGTAGAAGTATTATTTGCTTTAACAGCACTTTCATAATAACCAAATTCGCTTGGTAATCTATATTATCCAGGTCCAGGTGAGCCTCCTTTTTTTTATTTATTTATTTTTAATTAAACTAAAAATTATTTCTAACTAATAATATACTTAATTGTTCTTAAGAAAGAGTACGACGAACTCCGTGAGGGAAACTTCTACATTATGATGACTTGTATCCACTAACAAAGTATTAACCATCCTTGGTAATACCAGTATTAGGAGCATACTATCCTGGCCCAGGGTTTTGATGTCCAGCTTTTAGAGTATAATAATTGTTTTTTATCGATTTTAATATCAATAATAAAATAAATAAATTTATACCTTTAGGTCCATCTGGGAATCTCTTAGAGCGAGAAGGATTAAAGCTCAAAGCTCCTGAAGAACGGAATTTAGAAATAAAATATTTGCCATCAGAGCTAATAGAAGGTGCTATAGGATAACTTTAATACAAAAATAAAATTTTATTATTTATTTTAATTTTAAAAATAATTTTTTTTTTTTTTAATAAATTAAATAATTGTTTTTTTTTACGCTCCAGGTCCTGGTACGTTCTTAGCAAATGAGCTAAGAGGGTCATTATGGGCTGTTCTTTGTCTAATACTATAAGAAATATTACTTAAAGTTCTTGGTAACTAGTAATTGCCAGGACCTTTTAATTAATTATAACTTTTAATGGGTTTTAATTAAATTGTGAATATTAAAAAGAGAAGTGTTGTAACAGTTTATCAATCCAAATTCCTCTTAAATTCACTTTACATTACAAGAACTTAAATAAATAATTACCAGGATTTTTTGAGTTCAAATTTCCCATAATACCAGTGCTAGCCATATTCTATTTTAACAAAGATTTAACCAATTATTTAAACAATTAAAATTTTACCTCTCTAGAAACACCAAAAGGGAAACCTCTGTGTTTTTTAACATTTTTATCAAGTTCAGATTATAATGCATAAGTGTTAGGGCCAGGAGTCTATTTTATAAAATTTATATTATTTATTTTTTTTCATTAGTGTGTAAGTAAAAAAGATTTTTTAAGTTTTTAATGCTATTAGAGACTATTTAAAAATAATTTTATTAGCATGTTTAAAGGCAATACCTTATTATTTTGCTTGGTAAAATCGTACTTAGTACCATATCCAATTCCAGTCATTCTATGATCTCTGACAGGAGGTAAATCATAGCAAAACTTCTCACAGCTTAACATATTTTAAATATTAAATAAAGTTAAATATGAAAATGTGTCTAAGTACGCAATTATGAATTATAAATAAAATTAGTTTCATCAAATAAAAGGATTTTAGTCATGTTTTTAATGTTTTAATCAAGATGCTTTTTCATGTAGTTTTTAAAAAAAAATATTTTTAAACGAGCTATATTTTACTTGGATTTACCAATGTCCTTAAATCTCATACTTTTAGGGAAGGTATAAAGTTATTTGGACTAAGATTAGTTTAATGGAGAGTTGCATATTTGATAGCAAGTTGAAACAGTGATGGACATTCTCCTAATTATCTATCTATGTTACTAATATTACTCTTTTTTGGTGCTTTTAAATATATTTCTTATTTATTATTTAAATCAATCTAAGCTATTTTATTGATTTATTCAATATAATTTATTCTGAATATAATCAATAACTCCTTTTGATGCTTATTTGATAACTTTATCTATTTTTTTTCTTTTTTTGTTGGGTAAATCATAACTTTAAGATAATTCTTAGAGTTAATTAAACTTTCTAACTAATTGAATATTATCATTTAAAAATAATCTTTTCAATAAAAGAGTCGGTTTTTTTTTCATTATATTTAATTTATTATAAACCTAATTCTGTCATAGGAATCATCTTTTATGGATAAAGTGGTTTCATACATACATACATGTTAACATTTTTTAAATAAATTTTCAATTAAAATTATTATTTATAAATTGTTTAAAAGAACTTTTTTTCATTTTTTATATTTCATTTAAAACTTACGAATTATTTATTTATTTTATATATTTATTTTACTTTTTCACATCAATTTTTATTAAACAATTTTAAAAATAATTTTAAAAGATAAATTTTACATTTATTTACTAACTAAATGTTAAACCATTGACTAATCTTAATGCAATATTTAGTAGTATAAATTTATCACATTTAATAATTAAATTCTATTATATATATATTTGTTGATTTTATATGAAGCTTTATTTCTTTATTATTTTATTATGATGCAGCTATTTTCCTCAGCTTTTATTAGGCTTAGATTCATAATAACCAAATTCGCTAGGAAGTCTATAAGAACCTAATTTAAAAAGTTATTTTCTAAATTTTAAGTTATTTTGTAAGAGCAAAAATGTACCTGGTCCTGGAGTAAACTATGATACACCATTAGTAATACGCTTGGAATGGGTAAATGATCTGGAATTGCTTGATTTAAATTTAGAGACGAAGTACCTGCCGTCAGGATTTATAGATACAATAGGTTTATATGTTCTTTTAATTTTAATATTTATTAACATTTTTTATTTCAAAGAAAGTATTATTTTTACCCAGGTCCAGGAGTTTGATCTGCACTTGATTTAGGGAATCTTTAAGATGATGAGGGACTAAAGCTTATACACCCAGAGCTATTCATTATCAAAAATATAAATTAATTAAGTAAATTAATTAATTAAACACAGCAAATAAAAAAACTTTACCTTTTATATTTAGACAAAAAGTATTTACCATCTTCTTTAATTGCTGGAAGCGAAGCATATGCCTTTTTAAAGTAAATATTAATTCTTAATTAAAAGACTTGACTTATAATCTAATTGAATAAAGTCTTACACCAGGTCCAGGTGACTTCAAGTTAGTATTTTTAGCATCTATTAATAAGTTATATAAATTTAATTAGTTTTCAAATTAGTTTCAGAAAGTAGTAGAACTTGTATTAATTTTTTAACAAATAGTGAAAAGATTTTATTCTTTGAGAGGTTTAATTTATTAATTCTCTTTCTAATAAATAATTTTAGTCATATTTTTTTACCTGGAGAAGCAGTTCTCTGTCTAAGTGTGAAGGCTTACTTGCTCAAAGCGCTTGGAACTTGATATGTGCCTATTTATAGATTTTTATAACTTTTAACACAATTATTTTTCTAAAAATTTGTAATCATAATGCAAATTCTCATATTGCATTTGAATATTTAGCAAATGCTTCTTCCTAGTGATAATTCAAAGCAAATAACTTGAAACTAAAAAATTTACCTGGCCCAGGACTAAATAAATTCAATTATCCTAGAGGCCCACTTGTCTTTGCCATATTCTGATAAATAATAAATATCCAGTAAACAATAAGAATTAATTATGAGAAATTTAATAAAAATAAAATTATTTTAAGAATTACTTCTCTGCTAAGACCAAAGGACCATCCTTTCCTTTCTACTTGCTATATTGTATTCATTTTTTGTTCATAAGCATTAGGAGCTGGTGTTCTTGTATTTTACTTTGTAAAATCGTCTTTAATTAATTATCATTAAATTAAATTCAGCATTAAAGATTTCAATATGATCTTTTTAAAATTACACTTTGATCCATAGCCTATTGCTGTAGATCTTGTCATCCTCATTGAAGGTAAATCATAAAAAACGTTTGCAGATCTATATTTATTTATTAGAATAGTATTAAAAATGTTTTTTAGAAGTTGATCTTTCAACTAAAACTAAATGAAACAATTTTATTGAAAAGAAAAATAATTATTTACTAAGAATTAGCATTATTTTTAAATCTAGTTTCTTTAGGAAATGAATACATCTGCTTGGATTTAGAATTATTTAATGGAGAATTGCAGATTTAAAATCCGCTGGAAACTGTTACTGACATCTCTTTAAATTTTAGTTTATTTTATACTATTATGTTTTTTATCGTATATTTCTTTGTCTTTTTTTTTATTATAATTGCATAAAAAATATATAAAATATATATGTATCAAACAAAGTGAATACAAATTATTATTTGAAAATAAGCTTAGATTATTAAATCAAATGTTTATTTTTTTGTTTGTTTAGTTGTTTTGCTTGCTTTTTTGATTGATTCTAGCGAAGACTTTCTATAAATATTACGCAAAATTTTATTTCATAATAATTGAATTACCCTAATAAAATTCTTACTTTTAATTAAGAAAAAAGAATTTTTAGAGTGCGAAATATTATAATATTTTATATACTAACAAGGCAATTAAAATTGATTAATAAAAACACTATTACTTTAAATATTTTTTAACCTTAACTAATACTACTTAATCTGAATTTTTTTAATGTTTTTAACTAAAAAAAATGATTTATTTAAATATTCCAAATTAACAATAATTAAATAAAAAAAAAGTTTCCTTTTTAATAGAATAATTATATAAATATTAATTTAATTATGATTTTTATTTTTTTAAAATTTATCTAAGCTTTTTCTTTTTTATTTTTTTCTTAAGTCTTAAATAAACCTACAAATAAAAATTTAAAATAAATAGAAAAGCAGTGTTTATTATAAGTTTACTTAAAAATAGAGTCATTATCTTTAAATTTAAAAAATGAGTTATATTTTGCTTATTAAACTATTAAAATGTTACAAGCAATAAAAAAAATATGATTGGCATGTAGGATTTAATTAATGGCTATTTTCACATACCTTTGAGTAAAATACTCAAATAAAAAGTTTTATAATTTATTAGACTAGCTATTCACTCTTTTTCACATGTTTTCCTTTTATTTAATCTTAATTTAATCTTTATTATATAGAAATAATATTTATTTTATGCAATATTTTAATTAAATAATTTAAAGAAATATTTTTTGAAAAGAGAAAGAACATTTTATTTAAGAAAAAAATAATAATTTAGTATTCAAATTAATAAATTTTTCAAATTAGAATACATTCAATTTGCAAATAAAAAGTTCAAAATAAAATTATTAAATATTTGAAATTCAAAATTAATAAGAGCTTAGTTTAGTTTATTTGTTTATTTTTGCAATCAAGAAATTTTAGAATTAATTATTAAAGTTATAACAAAATACATAAAACCAATTTATATAATAATAATTATAATAATAAAATAAATATTAAAAAGATAAGTTATAGAGTAAATTTGTTTAGTTATTATATGGTTTATATTTTAATTACAATATTTATTATGGTTGAATTCATTGTTGTTAATTAGTTAATTTATTTATTAAAAGATTATTTTTTTAATAATCTCTTTTTTATGCAATTTATTTATTATTTATTGAACATGCCAAAAAGCAACGAAGCTATTTTTAATTGAAATGACATTTTTTATGAAAAATCGTTTTATTAAAGGAATAAATCAATCACTTTTGATCACCTTAAATCAGAATGCTTAAGCAATGATTGTTATTTAGAAACAGGTCTACCTTAAAAGATCTTCCAGAATTTAAGAGTTTCATCACCAGCACCAGTAACAATAGTCTGATTATCAGGTGCCATGCTCATAAATAGAACTCTGCTTTAATGTCCTTCAAGTTCTGCGATTTAGCTCATAGTAGGATATTTCCAGACTGTTACTTTGTTATATTCAAATCCATGAGCACAAACAAATTCATTCTAATCTGGAGAAAATAGTAATTTACAAACTTAAGAACCAACCTCAACAGATCCAAGTAAACTATTAGTATTTATATTCCATACTTTTATAGTTTAATCTCTTGATCCACCTCCACTTAATAATACTCCATACTAATGAGGATTCCATGCTAGAGCTCTTACGGCTGCCTAATGTTCATTATGTTTTTGGTAGGGACTAATTTCATTCGAACCAAAGCCATTTATGTTTTAGCTATAGGAACGAGCTATATCCCATATAGCTACCATGTTATCATTACCTCCTGAAGCAAGATATTGTTGATCTGGAGACCACTTGACTTAACATATTTCTTATTTATGACCTCTAGCCATTCTTAAAATTTTTGGGTCACGAATATCTTGAATAAGGATGCTTTTATCTTTAGAGCCAGCTGCAAAAACATTATTGTTGTTGAAATCAATACATCCTATTCTTTCTTTTTATGCAGAGAACTCAGAAATAAGCTGTCTGGTAGTTAAGTCCCAAAGTTCAACTTATCCGTTGTAATTTCCGAGTGCAATTTAGTTACCGTTAGGTGACCATTTTAAGCTTGTGTATTAAGATAGTTGAGATTAGTTTTAGCAATTTTCGATATTAGTTCCAAAGTTGGAAGCTTTACTATCACAGAGTTTTTATACACTTCCAGTGGCAGCATTCCAAATAAAGATAGATTTTCCTAATCCTACTGCTATCAAATTTTGTGAACTCCAGTCTAGTAAATCAACATAAAAATCGTCTTAGAGTTAAGGAGCATCTAATACTTTGAAAGGTGTTTTAGATATTTTACGTTTTTACTCTTTTGAACGATCATCTGGGGTAGAAATCTAGAATGGTGATTGCTAAATGTTGAGAAGAGGAGATGTAGTTGCATTTTTTTAGTCCCAGTGAAATTTGAGAATGGGTGTTTTTTAAAGTTCCTCTGAGGACTTTTTATTATTAGATCCTTCGTAATTACCAAAAAGTTCTCTTTGAATTAACTCATTATAAGATTTAGTGTTTTCATCTTACTAACTTAAGAAGTTGACTTTTTTACTTGGGGTTGTCAATTATTGAGAAGAATTTAGAGTATGTCCATTAGAAAATCCATTGATGGTTGTGCTCTAACTATTTGAATTATTTGCATGAGATTATCTTGATCCTTAAAAAAGAAAAGGAGACTCTGTAAGCATTCTATTTGCAGGTTATTCTTCTACAATCATTTCATCTTTTAAATCGAACAGAGTTTTACTAATAGAATCTGTTCTTGCGGGAATAAAGCGATCAGAGTACTTTGTAGGGGTTTTGAACTAAGAATTTTGAGGACTCTTATTTTACTGAATTGAGTTGCAGAATGGTGCATTAATTACATTTAAAGTATTTGTATTTTAATCGCCCTTTTTATCAAAAGCGGATGGAGACATATAGCAAGAAGGGCTTTCAAACAGATTATTGGCTTTATTTGACTTGAGTGGGGAAGTAAAGTTCATTTTTGAAATATGATGAAAGGGTTCTATTTTGAAAAAAACTTTATAGAGAATGAGATCTTTTTATTATTTTTGCTAAGCTACAGGATATATTAATATATTGATAGATAGAGATATATATATCTTGATTCTTTTTATTCTTCAATTTTGTAATATTTTATATACAAATTATTGGTTTTTACTTTTGTTTTGTAAATATTAGTTTTTTTTTTAATTATTATTATCTTTTTGAGATTGCTATTTACAGGTTTTTATTTTCAAAAATTAAAGAATCTGCAGCTATCAAAATAGTAAATTTTACAAACACTTAGCTTATCTAATAGAAAAGCTGTATATATATTTTCCACATTTTGTATAGAACAATCGTGTTTATCACCTCTTTGTATACAATTTTGTGATCCATCATTCTTTCAAAAATTTTTAAATAATTTCCTTATAAGAAGTTAGTAAATAGAGATAATAAACAGCTATCTAAAATTCATTTTTGAACTTTCCCGCCCCACTGCTGTAAAAAATATTTATAACCAGATAGAAAATCAAAATTCTCTTTAGGAATAGAACATCCAAAAATTATCAATATAAACTACCTATCTACTACAAAAAGATTAAAATGCATGAAACAACCTATTTATTTACATAATACTTTTAAAATATTTTTTATAGAAATAGCAAGCTGCTGTTGTTTATTATTTTTAGCTTTAGAGTATAATAAAATTTTTAAAAATCCAGTAATAGTTTGTGCATGTTTTGTTTGGCATTTGTTTATCTATTTATTGCAAATAAATAAAAAGTGATAGACACAGGACTGACTGTGTCTGTTTTTCATACTTTCTTTTCATAATTCAAGAATTTTAGAAAAAAAGTAAATTATAGATTTATATTATACCTAGTGTGTAAAATTAGAATAGAATATATATTTACTAAAACCATGTAACAACGAAAATATATTTTGTTATTTTTTCTATTACAAATTTAGGCTTTGATCATTTTCATCATTTTGCTTTAAAGTGTTTTAGTTTTTTTTTTTAATTAATTGCCAATTATTAAAAATACCAAAAATAAAATGAAAAATTATGACAACTTCTCAAAAGAAAGGTGTATAAATTTATAAATATTTCAATGGCATTTTAATAAATTAATTTGATTAAAATTTGTCATTTCTTTTTTAACTTTTGTTGAATTTTGAAGTTATCCTCGATAAGTAAGTGCTTGTCTATTGAATATTAATTTTCATCATCTTCTTAGAGTTTAAAAATAAAATAGAAGTAGATGTGCTTGAAGTAGAATTGCCAAGTACAATTTACTTAAAATAAGAATTTATTTACATAAGTAGAAAGTAGAAGTTAATCAATTTTAAAAAATAAAGGTGAAAGATGATGATTTATATAGATGGTAGAAAAAATAAATCTACTTAGCTATGTAGGTGAATATATAGATAGCGTATTAATTATTAACTATTTTATTATTTTAAAAATATCTAAATTCTACCTTAATAAAATTAATAAATGTGATTATACAATGTTGTATGATGACGCTTTAACAAAATAAATCTTAAATTTTTAGCTTTGAGTTATAAAAATTTTTAAATTTAAAATTTGGTTTGTTATCGTTATTATTTTCAAAATACTCAGTTAACGTATCATTTTTTTTTTGTTGAGTTATTTTTAAATAACTTTTTGAATTTTTTGAATATTATATTTGCTAAAGCTTTTTTAGCTTTAAGCTATTAAATCCTCCTTTGTTTATTAAGAAATGTTTTTAAAAAATATATAACGACTATTTTCAATACCATATTGAAAAAACTTTTACATTATAATATTTAATTTATTTTTATGTACTATCTTATTCTTAAGTTTAAGTTGAATAGAGAAAAATCAAATATGAAATGAACTCTACATTAGGTAGTATTCAAACGATCTGTTATTTAACAGAAAAATTTTGAAAAAGTGTGTTATATAGAGTAGACATTTTTATTTTGAAAAAAATTGATTATGATTAAAATAGAAGAAATATTATATGAAAGGTTTATTAAATCTATATGAAACCATCTATTTTATTAAAAAAATTCTAAGCTAGAAAATGAAATTAATTAATTGAATTCAAATAGTTGATACACTTAATATATATTTGTTTGGGATTAAAAATAAAATAACATTTATCTAATAGTTATGTATTAGCATTTTAGAAATAAAATATCAATATAAAAGTTGAAAGTAAAATGTTTAAATTAATTTTAAAAAGATATCTTTTGTTTTACTCAATTTTTTATTTGAAACTTAATTAATAATTTTGATACATTTTTAATTAAAAGGATTACTAAATAAATTCATAAAGAAGCTAGTTAATTTAATGAAGCATGAAAAATTTCTTAATGTTATTGAAGAATAATTATATAATATTTTATAGATGGTAATTATTCTGAAATTTGTTCAATGTTATGAATAGAGTTTTAAATCAGCTAAATTTAAAATCTTATAAATTTTAATAAATTTTTTTTCTATCTAAATGAATAAATATTTTTATTTATCTATTTTTAAATACTATTTCTGTTCAAATAAAACATTTGTTTTTAATTTTAAAGTTAGATGAGTATTTAATTAATAAAAGGTTGCTTAAAAGAAGAAATTAATTGTATGCTACTATAAACTTATTTTAAACACATTCTTTTTAACTACTTATTTATTTTATAAATGTCTAAATATTAGTTTTTAATAAATAAATAATTTTTTAAGATTTTTAATTAAATTAGTAGTTGAATTGTAAAATCTTTTATAATTGTAATATCAAATGGAAATATTGTTTTGATATTTATTTCATAGGTATACTTTGATATAAATCATATTATTTTGTTTTAAGATTTTTATTTTTACCTTTTATATTTAATTTTTTTAAGACAAAAAAGAATCTTGATTGATGATTTGTATCTTTATTAATACTAAACAATATTTACTAATAACTTGAGATGTTGAGATTAGGTAATAAAATTTAGAATAATACAAATTGAATTTCTTTTATAGCATTCTAATCGAATCATAAATTTGGATATATATATAAATATTACACATTACTAATTAAAATACCTAATTCGTCATCTAGTATTGACATACTGTAATCATCAAAAAATATTAGTAATTACACTAATACATTTTGATCAAAATAATTTTAAAAATGTCATCTTGGTTTATAATTTTAAGGTGTTTTGTTTATATTACATTATATTAGATAAAATTATAAATTTTATTTTAGAGGTATTTATTTCACAAAAATATTAGAAATTGATGATTTATTTCTAATCATTTTTGTATGGTAATAGACACATAGATTAGATTTGTTTGATGTAATATATTAAGACTTAAATCGAGTATTTGAATTAAAGAAAGAATTTGCTTATATTTTTATCAAGAAAGCAAAATCTAATATTGTTCACAATTAATCAATTTTTCCTTCGTAAAAAAAAAGCTTAGAAAAAATAATAAAATTTGAGTTTAGAACATTTAAAATCAAAGTTACATCAGTGCAGGATTAAAACAGAGTAGTGATTTTATATATTAATTAATATCACTTACTAAAAAATTAGTGTTTAGAGTCTCGCTAATTTTTATATAAAAGAAAAATAACATTATGATAATTCATTCTCGAATAAGCACAGAACTTTTCCTACAAAATTCACTAAAAATATCTTATTTATGGTTTAAAACAGCTTCTATTTAAAAAGCAGTATCTTAATTAAAACCAAAAAATTTATCAATTAACTAAAAATAAATTGTTTAATTAAATAGTTGAAAAAATAAAATACTAATAGTTCTAGCAAATGAATAGTGTCCAAGAATAGTCTTCATGCTGTTTACCCAGCAAGAACGAGTGCACCTTCTTTAGCACCCCTTTAGAAGCATACTAGAAGAGTTAACCTGAAAAGATTCTCTATACAGTTATGCTTCCCTCAGATCAAACTAAGCCTGACTACTTAGCTACTATAGATGTAGATCCTACTAGCGAAACTTATTCTAAAATTATACATAGACTTGATATGCCTCGTGTTGGTGATGAACTTCACCACTTTGGCTGGAACGCTTGTGTTAGCTGTAAAGGAAATGCTCAAAATAGACATCGCTACCTTGTACTTCCCTCTATGAAGAGTGCTAACATTTATGTAGTAGATGTACTTTCTGATCCTCTTAACCCTACCATCAAGACAGAAATTACTGGTGAAGAACTTGCCCGTAAAACTAATGGTGGCTCATTTCCTCATACAACCCACTGTCTCCCTAGCGGTGAAATTATGATCTCATTGATGGGTTAAAATGGTGAAGAAGGTGGTGGTGGTTTTGTCTTGATAGATGGCCACACATTCGAAGTCAAGAATAGATGGGAAAGCTAGGAAGATGCTTAAAATTTTGGATATGACTTCTGGTATTAACCTAATCATAATGTTATGGTCTCCACAGAGTTTGGTTGCCCAAAAGCTTTTTGGTATGGATTTAACCCTGAATAAGTTAAGGATATGTATGGCAATTCTTTACTCTTTTGGGATTGGCAAAAAAGAAAGCTCATTAATAAAGTTGAATTAGGATCTGATGGATTAATTCCTTTGGAGGTCCGTTTCCCTCACAACCCTTAAGTTAATTATGGTTTTGTTGGTGCAGCTTTAAGCTCAACTTTAATTAAATTCTAGCCTAATGAATAAACAGGTTTATATGAAGCAAAGAAAGTTGCTGAAGTTGCTCCTATAAATGTTAAAGGATGGGCTCTACCTACCATGCCTGGATTGATAACAGACATCTTAATTTCCCTTGATGACCGTTTCATATATGTTTCATGCTGGCTCCATGGGTGTGTTAACTAGTATGATATTACTGATCCTGATCACCCTAAGCTTGCTTCAACTATATACTTGGGTGGTTCTCTTATAAAAGGTGGCTCTGTTACTATTATTGATGAAAATGGTAAGGAAAGAGAAGACCTCTTAAATGAAGTTCCAGTTGTAAAAGGAAAGAAAATTGAGGGTGGACCTTAGATGCTCCAACTTTCTCGTGATGGCAAACGTCTTTATGTCACTTCATCTCTCTTGAGACCTTGGGATTCCTAATTCTATCCTGAAATGGTTAAAAATGGTGGATAAATTCTCAAGGTTGATGTTGATACAGTCAACGGAGGCATGAAGCTCGATACAAATTTCATAGTAGATCTCTCAAATGAACCTCATGGTCCTTCAGTTGCTCACGAAGTTAGATATCCTGGTGGTGATTGTTCAAGTGATATCTGGGTTTGATATAAAATTATTAAAAATACCAATTTTAAAATAAATATTTATACTTTTAATTAAAAGAAATTTGTTGATTAAAATTTTTACTTTTGTTTTGTAATTATTAATTTTTTAAGCATTAAGCAATAAAATCTGACAACCTTTACAGAAATAAATTTTTTATTAAAATTGATTAAAAAGCACTAATTAATTAATGAAATAATATTTTCTCTTACTTAAATAAATACCCAAAATTTTTTGATATTTTGCTAAGCAAATCAAAGACAGAAAATTTAATTTTCTTTGTTTAAAAATAAAAAACAAATAATTTATTTAATTTGACTTTTTACTTTTGGTTAAAAAAATATCCTCAAAAATGAAATTTAAAATGATTTTATTAAAAATTAAATTTGGCAAATAAACAGTTTTTTTTTAAATTTTTAGAAATTATGATACAAATTAATAGATGAATTTAAGTTACACAAAATAAATAATAAAATTTAATTATAATTATATTTATAAAAGTTAGTCAATTAGTTCATAGGTCAGTCAGATTTTAATATTTAATTTTTGTAAATTTAGCTCTCTTTAATAGATTCATTAATTTTATAAACAAGCGACTACAGATAATCTAAATAAACGCTTTTTCTGTGCTTGCTCATTATAAATTCAACGAATTCACTTGCCATTTCATGATTAGCACTTACCATTTAGTCAGAGAGAGTTTTTAAAGATCTAAATATAAATTCTAAGTCCTTTAAACAAGGTAATTGTTCCTATTTTAAAATGAATGAATAAATTAAATAAACGATCAAAATTTTAAAAGTATTTTTATTTTTTACATTTAAATTTTCTGGAGGATGACATTTAAAGAACTTGTAAATTTCAGTTAAGACTTCAAATACTCTCAATTCTTTTTTATCATCATAGCAGCCTAATAACTTTTCTAAGCATTTCAAAATAAGTCTGTAGAGCATTTTTTCATCTTTAATAAAATTGTTAGATATAAAAAAATAAATTTTGAAAATATTAAAATTTTACTTTTTGAGTAGACAGTTTAGAGATCTTATGGCACACATGAATTCAAAATTTTCAAACCACTTATTAAAACTGTGCTTACTGATTTAGCACTCAATAAATTATCAAGTAAGGTTTATAATTCTTTTGTTAAATCATTTTAACGGTAAGTCCTTTAATCTTTATCAGCATATATTTCTTTTTGGGTTGTTTACTATAAAATTGATAAATAATTTTAAATATAAAACACTGTCTCAAATAAAATATCAATTTTACAGATGTACAAAGTCTAAGGGTAATCATTAAGATAATTCTGAAATTATTTTCTGACATATTTTCAAGCAGTACTTTATCTACAATAGCAAGTTTTAAATCTATTACAAAATCGATTTTGTCAATAACTTCTTCTAAACCTTCATAGTGTAAGATTATTTGTTCTCCTAAATCGTTATAAAGCTATTCAGAAGTCAAGAGTATTTCTTAAAGCTTTTAATTAAAAATAAAATTAATACTTAAAATTAATCATTTTAAAATAAATTTACTTATTTTATGCAATCAGTTTTCTCTTTTGTGCGCTAGGGTACAAGCTCGAATGGACTCTTAGCATGGTTAGTAATCGCATTTCTTGAATTGTAGCTTATATATTATTCTTACAAAGAAACTCCATTTACCTTGGAAGCTTCTGTTTATTGGGAATCATAAGTAGTTGTCCTAGAGATATTTTGTTAGAGGGATTAGTTTTATAGCTAAGAAATTTAAGCAGATAGCAATTATTTTTCCTTTTTTTCTTCTTCTAACTTTTAAAGCAATTCTGACTCTTGTTTCTATTTTTCTTGAATGTCTTATTATATTTTTTAAAGATTTTCTTTTGTCCTCTGATGCAAATCTCTTTCCTCTTAATATCTTAAGTGCCAAACTTCATCTTGTTATCCATTAGAGTTGTATTACTAAATAGTATGGAAATTTTATGGTTGTTTCATGCCTGTTGGTAGTAAATAGCTCATATCTGAAAAATTGAGTTTACCATCCTAAGAAACATAATAATGTCTATTTGAAGATAGCTAGTCTATTTATTTGATTATTGGAGATACAGAATTCAAATCATGTCTATTTGTTAATTTCTGCTTTTATCCAGATTTTGGTAAACGTGAATTCATTCCAGAATATCTCTCTGCAGAACCAGGCTCATTAGTTCCTGTCTCTTCATAATCTAAAATATTTTAGTGAGGGTTTCTTATAGTAGATGGGATAGTATGATCTTCCACGCTATCGTAGTTTGCTAAATTAACATTTTAATTCTTTTAATTATTCTAATTTGTTGCAAATTAAGATACAGAAATAGAATTACTAATATTATTTCTATTAGTTTTATACATCTTTATATTAGAATTTGGTTATGAGATTACCCTTTCTTAGCCATCAAATAAATTAGAAGAATTATTATCTTGGTTTTCTCTAAGATAATCATATAATGAAGATTAATTCACTCCCTCAACTGAAGCATTTCTGTGCTACTAATTTTTATTATTTATAGGTGAATTCTTTGCATCTTATTGATTTTTTTAATTTGGATTTGTAAGATTACTGCTACTAATGCCTACAATCTAAGAATTTTATTATTGAATTTCATTTAATTATTTTAAAATTTTTGCATCGTGCTATTCTTATGTAAGATAGTTATTTATTAAACTTCTGTTATTATTGTTGCTATTATTTTAATTGAAATTATATTAGTCATTTTATTACTTTAGTTATGGCTATTATTAATTTATTTATAGATCAGTGTTATTAGTAATTCTACTTATGCTAGAATTAGAGCTGTTGTTGTTATTTTAATTAGCCAAATTAGGAAAGCTTCTATTGTTGTTGTTATTATTATTGTAAATTTATTATTTCTATTACTATTGTTAGTAATTTCTTTAATTGCTACTATTATTATTATTGTTGTTGTTAATACTGTGAGGGTTTCCATTTTATGCTTACTAATTTAAGTTAATACTATCTAAAATAGAATTAGAATAGTCTAAATTTAATTGATTATTAGAGTAAACACTTCCATCTTATAAAATGTTATTACTATTTAAAAGATGCTAATTATTTAAATTATTGGTGCTGTTTATGTTGTGATTGCTTCCTTATTATGGTTAAGGAGGTCTGTTGAAAATGTTATTGTTACCACCATTGCTATTGTAATTACTTACAAGAATGTTATTTCCTCTCTAGCTTTGTGTACTAGGATAGTAATTTAGGATAGATTCTTCAGAAATCATTCCTACACTATTTTGATTTGTATTGTAGACATTGATATCTACAGAATTCTATGAAACTCTATTTCCTTGATTGCTTGGTGTTGGACCACTGTTGTTGCTATTAGATTTATTTCTGTTGAAGTTATGATTTTATTAATATTAAACTTATTCAAAATGTTACTATTCATTCATAAAATCATCTTCTAAAATATTTCTTTAATAATGTTGCTAAAAATTTTATTATTATAGTTCATTTTTTTTCATTCCTTACATATTTTCTGTACTTTGTCTTACATTTTATATTGGGCTCTTTGCATTTATGCCTTATTTATTTTAATTATATATTAAATTTTATTTGGGTAAATCACTCTTTATTTCATCGTTTCTCAAAAGGATAGAAGCCAAACTTTTATCATTGCTGTGATCTCTGTTATTATTATTGTTTTTCAACTCTGCATATAAATCAAGATGCATGTTATTATTTGAAATATCAGTGATATTATTATGATCTTCTGCATGCTATATTGCTGAAGAATCAATATTTATAAAATCTTTTTACCATTCTTCATAGACTTAATAGTATTTCATAGAGTTGACTAGCTCAGTCTCAAAAATTCTTTTGAGAGTATTGTTATCATACTCAGTAAACAACTTTTACATAATTTCATGACCCATTTGATAGAGCCCTTACTCACTTAAGCAGTATACAATACTTTCAACAAAGTATTGCACATCTCTCAAGTCGATTTAAATTTAAACTTGTATATTTTGATCATCTGATATTTTATAAACTAAATGCATAAATACATTAATTAAATAATTCTATGCAAAAGAATTATAATTTTTTAAAATTATAGAAAAAGCATTTTTATAAGCAGTGTATATCACCTGCTTGTAAACATTTTATTCAAGTTAAGTTACGAACTCCCTTAATAGTTACTTTTATTCTATTGTCTTAAAGCTTTATCTACAAATATTGTTAAATACATTAAAAAATAAATATTCCATTTGTTGATTAGGGTGTTAGCTTATCTAAAGTAGAGAGTGCTTAATTTGCAATATAGCGTAAAAAGATTACTAGCACATTATTAAATCATCAGAGTTAGTCATTTAACATACCTTTTCAGCCAAATGCCTTATTTCTCTCAATTGTTATTCTAAATTTAAAATAAATAGAAAAGAATATTAACAATAATAATAATAAATAAATTAATAAAAACAAATCTGCTAATAAATAAATAAATTTAAATTTTTTAATTTTCTCACCTGCTGCTCTAGAAGGTGTTTGATTGTTAGATTCTCTACCTATACCTCTTCTCCATGGTCTTCCAGGAGAAATTGAGTTTTAATTTTTAGATGGAGAGACGTCTTTCTTGCTTACATTTCTATTAGATTCTTACTGAATTGATATATTTTGTATCTCATTAATCTCTTGAAGATATGCTACAAGATTTTCTATTCCTGTCTCAAAATCTCTATTTAAGTCTGCTTCTATCTACTTAGATAAAGATTAAGTGGAATTTTAAATTAAAGAATTATTTGGTTGTTATTGTTGTTATTATTATTATCTGCTAGTATTTTAATTGCTATTGTAATTTACCACTTGGTTTGATTTCTATTTGTTATTGCTATATTCTTCTAGTTATTCTTCTTCTTATTAAGAATCATAGTATTCATTTTATTCTGACTGGTAAGTTTGTTATTTTTAGTTTTATACATATTTTTGGTTTTGATTAGGGGTATTATTATATTCTTCTTTAGTATTTTTATGAGCATTTTATCTATTAAAATTTTATGGTTATCCATAAGATCTCTAATTTTAAAAGTCTATTTTAAAATTTATTGAATCAACAAGAATTCTATATTTACCATCTGTTTGCTCATCATAAAACTCTAAAGTATTTAAAAGAGATTGTAATAGTTTCATATCAATATCTTTTGTTGTTTTATCAAGCTTTTAAGAAATCCATGAAATAAAAAGCGAAAGGCTTTTGTTAATTTAGTATTTTTTAACGATGTTGTGAGTTGTCTATAAGAGCTTTTCTAAAGAGCAAACAAAATATGCACTATCAAATAATTAATTTATCCTTTGATTATGCCCATAATATAAAATTCCACAAATAACTTCTATTTCTCTTTATATGTTTTCTTAGTTTACAGATACGCAGCTCTATTAAGTTATTGAAAAAAAATAAAATTAAATGAAAAATTTCATAAAAATATATTACTTTATTCATGATAATAAAACTATTGCAAACTAATTCTGATGCTTTGTCATAATGAGAGGATTTTATATCATTTTTATTTGAAGAAACAGCACATGAAAAAGCGAATAAATAGCTCACGCAAAGATCTTATATTGCCTACATGTCATCACTTTAAATGTTTTACAACCAGTTTAAGAAATCTTAGCAAAATACTTCCATTTATTATATTTTGCATTGTTTTAGAATTAATTGATTAAGATTATGTAATTCATTTTAAATTGATTGGGCTATAGTCTCTTAATCTTTATTCAAGAGAACTCTACTATTATTACCTTCAGTTTTTAGGCGAGAGTCATTGGATTAAATATCTTGATTATAGTTTTGTACATTATCATTGAAATCATCAAAATCTTCAAGCAAATTGCTTATATTTTGATTTTACTATTATTATTTCTAAGGCTTTTATTTCTATAAATTATCTTCATCATCATAATCTCTGTCCAGCAAATTTACATTTTCTACTTATTTTTAAGGGGCTTAATTGCTTTTACCTTGTTAATTCACAATTCCTCCTTACTATTAAGAGTTGGCTGATTATTTATTCATTTATTTAACATTCTAAGAACTCAAGTTATTACTTGGATAACTTTCTTAGTAATTTTGAGAGTTTGTATTTTCTTTGTCATACTCGTTAAAATACTCGTTCGCTTTTCTAGCAAGTAGGTATTAGCAAGACTCTTTTAATTAAAGGTTCAAAGCTTTTTTCAATATTTATTCAATTTTTTTATCAACTGTATCTATCAATTTTTAAAGTTTTTCTCCTCTTTAAGTTTAAATTTAAGCATCCATATTTAATAAATCTAACGAATCTTTAACAATCTCTAAAGAATGAGGGATAAATCTGCCACCTAACCAATTTATGCAACCTATTCTCATGTGTAGATTTTTTTCATTATCACATTATGTTAGCAAAATATCAATTAGCTGCTCGTTAGTGCAGCATTAATTAAAATAGCAATCATCTAAAGCTTACCTAAATGAATTAAAAAAATATCCTTAAATAAATCAAAAAAATAATAAATATTTACCAAACAATCTAATTATACTATCTAGCTTTTGGTCCTCTGAATTTATCAAGAATTAGAAGCAAAAAATGTTTTAAAATTGGGAATGGAATTCCATTTTTCATAACTTTCATAAGGCTTTGCACACATTTTAAGGCTTCGCTAAAAATTAAAAAGTTACTTTCTTCTAAGCAGCCAATTAAAATTTTGTAAATGTTAGAATAATCTTTATTGTCCTTATAATTATAGACTTGAACTTAATTAACAATAAGCTTTTCGATATTTTACCACATTTCTTCCAGCTTATTCTTTTTTTAGTTTGGCTACTAAAATGAAGGTATTTCTAAGAATTTTTCAGGGATGATAGCTTACAAATCAACTTTTTATCCTTTGGAAATTACTTATTTATTTATTTTTTCGTTATCTAGATTTTTTTACATTTCCTCTTGAATCAATTTTACTTACAAATTTTTGGATACAACTTTTTTTGCTTTCTTGAAAATATCTTAAATCTCCTTCTAATGAACTGACCTTTATCCACTCAAAAATGCTTTTGATATTTCCTCGTAAGACTCTTTACTCTGAATATATATTAATTTTAAATTTTCAATAGCTGTGCTTCTAATATCTTTATTTGTATTTTTCAAAACAGATAAATTAGATTTAAATAATTAGCGCATAGTTTCATCTAAAAGTATAATTTCTTGTGTAGCAAGCTAATATTCTAGATTTAATTTTATCAACTGCAATCCAAATAGCACTATTTTAGGTTGAGTGCTGTCTAATCTTTTTATAATTTCACTAACCACAAACTAAGCATCTCCTTTTAATAAGCTATTACAAATAATGCTAGAAGCCATTTACTAATATTTTTTTTTAAATATTAATATTTTTTCATTTAATTTGAAATCAAAAATTTACTTATTATAAAGGTTTTAATAAAGGAGCTTTTTCTATTAAATCTCCAACATAGTATTTCAGAACTTGATTACTCATTGATCCTTTATAATTACCTATATATATCTCTATAGCCTTTAATCCTTCACTTAAAGCAAATAAATTCTTCTCATTAATAATATTTTTGAGCCAAGGAGCATAATTTTCAAGCGATAAATCATTCAAATTTTATCCATTCATATCATTATTTTATAATTATTTTCCTTAAAAAACCTATTAAATCTCTTAGTATCCAATTTTCCTTAATTACCATTAATTGCATTATATCTTTTCCAAAGTAGGTAAATTCTTTTATTCTTGACTGATCTAGAAGGTTTATTGGCTAGACTAATTGTACTCTGAATCATATTTTGAAACTGATTCCTCATAATAATCATTATTATTACTCATAGCTATAGCTGAATTAAATTAATTTGATTTATATTAATACTAAGATTGATAACCTTAATTGCTATAAGGACTTCCTTCCATTTTTATCTTTAGGAGTTTAGGACTATTTTTATTATAAATAAAACTATTAGTAGCTTCTATTACTATATAACGCTAATGATTTTAAAGTAAATAAATGAAATCTTCTTATATCTTATCTAAAAAAAATTAAATTTGATTCTTTCTTAAATATAAATCAAAAATTTTAAATATTGATTAAGCTCAATTACTATCACACAATCAAATAATAAACACAAAGATTTTCTTTAAAATTAAAAAATTGAACCAATGATAATGCAAAAATTAATACTCTTAAAGATCATTTCATAATTTTTAATCTTTTCTTTTTTAAATTTAAAAAGTATCAAAATTCATTTTTGATTGAATAAAATAGATAAATTCTTGACTTTAAAAGTTCAAAAATTTTAAATTAATTTTTTAGTTAAAATATTTACAAAAGTAAATTTTAATTTATTTGTATTTGGTTTGAAATATTTTTTAAGTACTTAAAGTTATAATTATTTGCAATTAACAAAGATGATTTTTAGTAGCTTAAAAGACATAAGATATGATTTTTAAAAATTTTAACTTTAGCAAAAAGAAATAATATTTTGCAATCGAATATTCAAAAAAATATAATAAATAGAATAAATTAAGAAAATAAATCAAATTTATAATTTGTGAAATAAGAATTTTTTTTATAAACATTTTAATTTAAAAATATTTATCATAAATACTTTAAATTAGATTTACTAAATTATCATTTATTGCAAATTTAAATTTGAAATATCTCAGTCAGCTAATTTTCTTTCAAACTTAATGATATGCAGTTTAAATAAGTTAACTAAAGTAGAATTAAAGAATATTCGAAATATTACTTGGCGTTTTAAAATAATTAATTATGATTTATTTTTTTTTCTTAAGCTTTTTTCTCAAAACTATTACGAATATATTAATTTTTTATTTAAAATATCATTACGGTTGTATGGTGTAGCGGTTAGCACCGAGGACTTTGAATCCTCTGACCTGGGTTCGAATCCCAGTACGACCTTTTTTAATTTAAAAAAAAAACCTAATAATCATGCTGTATTTACGGTATTTTAAAAATTTATTTTGTGCATATTTTTAATTGGTTTTAAGAAAATAGTTAAATATTTTATATGATCTTATTTAATAGACAAAATAATAAATTTTTATATTAATTTTAAGAGCAGATTTGATTTTATTACTATTATTATTAATATGAAAATAAGTTTTTATTATTAAATTTAAAATATAATTTTGATACAGATAAAGATATAGGATATCAGTTTCTTTTGAATTTTTACTTTAAATATGTAAATATTCATTTTATTGAGTTAACACTGGATTGAAATATTTAATATTTAATTAATAATTAAGCTGTTGGAATATTTATTTAGGAATGTTAAATATTTAATAGGATAAAACAATAAGAGAAATAATATTTTTATGAAATATACCAATTATAAAAAAAAAAATTTTTTAATTTTATTTAATAATATTATATTTATTCGATAGCGAAATGTCTAGAAATATTATTATATTAAAAATTAGCTATAAATTAATTAATTGTTGCCTATATTTTTAATTAAATAAAAATTTTGATCTATGTAATTAAAAAAAATAAAATAATAACCAAGATAAACTATTTTCTTTGATAGCAATAATAAATTAATTGTAAAAACATAAATAGGATCTTTAATTTACTTACATTTTTAATATCCTATAAATAATTAATTATTCAATAAATTAATTTTTATCTTTGTTAGATTAAAGATAAATTTATTTAAGAATTATCAAAAATTTTCATTAAACATTTTAACCTAAATATAAATTATAAAGAGTACTCTTAATTAATAAAATTATTTTATTTTATATTTTTAATGTTTGATTCAATTAAAAAGTTAACTTCTCATTTGCTTATATTCTTCAAGAAGTATTTTTGTTGGACCATCTTCATCAGAGCCTTCAAGAATCTTTAATCCTTCATCATACTCAAGTTTAACTTATTCTAACAATTGCTTAGCAGCAGGGTTTGATTTCAAAATACCAGCAACGATTGTGATAGTAGCCATATAACTATTTGAATAAGATGTATCTTATTTAATTTTCTTTGCTAATTCTATTTTTGATTGATTGATAACCTTCATACCTTAGTGTACTCTACCCTTGTATAGTTCAACAACTCCAAATGTAATAAGAGTAGTGAAATGGCTAGGATCAATAGGTTCATTCTTTTCTAATTCCATCCACAATTATCTTGATTTAGCAATGTGAGTTTCAGCAAGATCGAGCTCATTTTTACCTATACAGGCATTGGCAATTTTCTATAAAATAATTGCAAATGATTTTTTTTATTCTGGAATTAATTCCTCGAATTTTTCATAGATGTCTTTGGCTTTTGAGTATTCTGCAATGAAATCTTATTTTTTCTCCTTATCAAGAGAGTAAATATTACCTCTCTATGAATAATTTCTAGCTAACATATCATACAATGTAGGATTTTCATAGCTAACAGCTTTTTCAATTTTAGGAATAGCTTCATTCAATATACTAAGTGCTTTTTCTAAGTTAGAGTTGATCATTTCACCTTTACTAATATTTTCTGAGATTTTGGATAAAAGCAATGCATCATCAATTTTTAATGATTCTAACTATGACTTTAAATCGTATAAAACATCTAATCCATCTTAAACTCTTTTATTTTTAATCAAAACATGGCCTATTTATTGAACTTCATATCCAATATCTAATCCTTATTCTTACTTGATTTCTACAAGTTGTCTTAGTGTCTCTAAGCTTTCTTCGTATTTTCTCTCATCATATTGCTAATCAAACTTATTATTGAGATCTTCTATTTATTATTCGATTGATTTAGTTTCTTAGTTTTGTGAGAAATGATATTTATTATTGTGGCACAAAAGATTTTTGTTTTAAATTGCCATTTTGCTAGCCTATGAAACATTATAAGTATTTATAAAGCTATATCTTGAACATTAATTGAAAAATAATGTACAGCTAGGGTTGCCTAATTTAATCTTCTAAGCTAATTTAGAATATTTGGAAAATTGTTTAGATATCATTTTATTTAATATATTTGTTTTTGTTTAATTTATGAATTAATTTATTATTTATTGAGATATTGATGGTTTTTTCTAGAATTAAATAATATCTTTCAAATATCTAAATAGATAGCTTAATTTTTGTTGTTTTTGTTTAAAATAATCAAAGTCAAAACATAAATATTAAAGTAAACATTTAAATATTATTTTATGAAAATATTTTTTCTTCTTTTTATAGTAAATTAAAATATTCTCAGATAATTTAAGAACTATTTTAAAAAAATTAAAAATATTATCAAAGCTTAAATGGTAATACTGATTATTAGGGTTTATATTTCGTTGGGGTTGTATGGTGTAGCGGTTAGCACCGAGGACTTTGAATCCTCTGACCTGGGTTCGAATCCCAGTACGACCTTTAACTTTTTTTAGTAATCTTTTAAAAATAATCTTTAAAAAATTTTTAGGATTAATTTATTTTTTTTAATTTACTTTAATTTAGCTTAAATATTTTGTAATAATTAGATAAAATGATAGAAGATTTTTATAAGCTCTGCTCTGCTCACAATGATTAACAATTGATGTTCGTTTAAACTAATTTTAGTAAACAATAGTATGGATAACCCAAGGATTAAATGGTTAAACATAATAGTAAATGCTCTTATTGTATAGTTGTTAGCAATTAAGATGTTAAGAATTTTACAAATTATGATAACTTTAGTTAAGTTTTAGCAAAAAAATATCAACAATTAGAAAAAATAAAGCTTTTAGTTAAAGTCCTCTCTTCCCAAAATGAGGGAATGGTAAGTAATAAATAAAAAAAAGTGAATGTAATATAGAAGAACTTAGTTTCTACAATTAAAGAAAAGCTTATAGATGAATTTGAATAATGCTAAGAAGAGTTTCTATCTATAAACAAACATTAAGTTGAATATTCATAAAGGCTTCTTCAACTTTACAAACTGAAGGCCGTAATTGAATTTGAAGAATTTTATTTTTATGAGCTTTCAAATGAAGCGTAAGAATTACTTACCTCATTTCCTAGCATGTTAGTTTATAAATCTTCAACAAAGCCATTCTAAATTTCTAAAAATAATGATGTTAAAGTAAAAAAAGTTATTTTCTAAAAAAATTCTGACTTTCCTGATCAATAAATAAAGAGTAACTTAATGAAATTTTAGGAGAAAATATTTATTTTTGGAGATAATTATGGATTTATTTATTACTATAATTGTAAAACAGATGTTTAATTTGTGAAAAGAAAACATAATAATTAAGTATGTGTTATAGAAAAAATAAAAGAAGACATATTTTGTTCAGGAGCTCTTGATTAGAGAGTTATTTTATATAAGATTAATCCTTAAGATAAACTCATTGTTTTAGATAAGATGAGACTCGATTAGATAGTCTTTAGGTTAAAAAAGATGGATGAAAATCGAATAGCCTGTAACTAGGGTTGCTCAGTATTTATTCTTAACATTTCTAATTAGTAAATTAAAGTGGAAAAAAAACTGAACTTTCCTGAGGAATAAAGCAGTGATGTGTTTGGAATACTTTACATGAACAAGTAAATTATAGCCTTACACAGAGATGGCAGATTAAATTTCTGGAATTGGAAAAAGAGATAAATAATTAGATCTCACATGCTAAACAGTTATATTTAGTTTCCTCTTTTTGAATCTATTGGAAATAACTATTTGTAAGGAGCCAACGAAAACTAATTTTAACAACTAGATTAAGAATATTTTGAGCAATTTATTTAAATGGCTAATAATTAGGCAGATTTATCAGAATAAAATTAAAATAGCAATACTGAATAGAATGAAAAAGTATAAGAAGATAGTAATATGGAATTAGAATAACAGAATGAAGATGGTGAAGAAGAAGAAGAAGATGACATAGAAGATGAAGACTGGGAAACTAATAGCAGCACCTCTTCTATTGTAATTTCATATTCAAGAATAAGATAATTGAGCAAATATCATATAGCAGCAGTAACACATAACAACATAATTTAAATTCATGATTTCAGAGATTTTTACTTTAAGCAAAAATACTAACAAATAAAAATAAATTTTGAAATACTTTGCCTTGAAAGTATACCAAAAACAGATTATATTCTAGTAGCAGGAGATAGTTTGGAAATTTATAATTTAAAAAATTAAAAGAAAGAAATAGAATTAGAAAACACTTATGTAGAATAAGAAAATGAAGAAGAAAATAAAGAGTTTTTGCTTGGAAGTTAAGGACTTATTGGTGGTTAAATATTTAATCAAAGCTAAATAGCCTCCGTGAAACTTGAAGAAATTTAATTGATTTTTATATAGCTTTGAGTCGTTTGTTAACCAAAATATTCAATCATTAAGAATTTCTATATTTTTGAAATAATTCTTACCTTGAATTTGTTTTATTTTACCTATTTAAAAAATAAACGAATATATCTAAAAGTAAGCAATTTAAAAAGTGATTAAAAATGATAAAAGAAAGAAGCTAATGAACAAATAAATTGTTAATTCCTTTATTAATGTCTTCCATCAAACTTATTTATACAAATTTATTAATTGAAAAGCATACAATGTCAAAATTTATGTGTATGAAATAGATATTAATTTACAATTATATAAAGTAAAAAATATAATTTTGTATTTATTTATTTATTGATTTGTTATTAAAAACATCAAAATATTTTTCTAAAAAGCTATTTTAAGAATTTTTGATGCTGAAAATTTATTAGAGGATTACTGATTTGAGTTTTATTTTCTCACAAATTAAATCCAATCTAAAATGTTTAATTTTTTATTTTATGATATTTATGTTATTATATTAGCTATTTATTTTTTTAATTATCAATTTAGTAATTTTTAGAGAACTTGTTTCATTTAATATACTACTCGAAGAAATCAGAAAATTTACTTTCCTCACTTAATGCATCTTCTACATCCTCAGTTGTGATCTTTAGAAAAATTGTCATATTTTCAATATTTTTATTGTTCTATCCTCTTTTATTAGCATTTTATGCAGAGTTTTCCTTATTTCTTATTTATAGAATTTAATAAGATTATAAATTTTCTAAAATCTCCTTAAGTTTGCTTATTTCAGAAACTTGTATTCCCATAGAATTACATATGTTGTTTAATTGGTTTTTAACTTAAATTACAGAAATTTCAACTATTCCTTCTTTTTACTTAATAATAGAATAAATGGATAGAATGGTCAATATCTATTCAATTGGCATCTTAGCAATAAACTTATAGCTTACTTTGTAAAGTTTATCAATAATTTGATTCAATTAAGGGATAGTAATTTTTTATAATTCATTTAAATTGTCATTATTTTATTCATCAGTATCTTTGTTATCTTCTTGTTATCTTCCTTTCTTTGATTCCTCAAGTGCCTTTTTACAGACATCAAATAAGCATCTGATATCTCCTCCTTTTAAGTTATACATTTTTCCAGAGCACAAGCGCAAAGCTTTATCATCTATTATATCCTGAGGAACATTTAATTTTTCACTCATTTCTTTCAATCTTGATTGAATAATTTAATAAATTTCTTTTTAAGAATAAGGCTCAAAAACAAGATTTTTGATGTCAGGTAGAATAATTTTATATTTTTTAGATAAGTCAAAGACCATTTCCATTGAGTTTGAAACTCCTATTATAGAGATATTTGCTTTTTCTAAACTTGCAATATTGAAGAGGATAAAAATATCTTGGCTACTTCCATGAAATAAATTATCAAATTCGTCTATAAATATTGTCCTAGTTTTATAATAAAAATAAATAAGTTAATAAATGTTAAAACTAAAATAAATTTGTCTTTTAATTTTCTGAGTGAGATAATTTAATTTTACTAAAATTTGGAAAATTTATAATCAAAAATTATAATTTTAAGTCAAACACTTATTTAATTAAGTTAATAAGATGTTTGATTTTATTTGAATTTAAATTTGATTTATCAAAATTAAAATTAATAAGTAGGTAAGTAAATATTTTACAGGTGCGAAGATCTTTTAGATTGTTTAATCTAAGTTAGAAGATCTTAACAAGAACTTTGCATTCTGCTTTTAAATATTTTAAAGTGAAGATCTCTTAGAAAACTTTCTTGATTATTATAGCTCATAGCATTAAATTTTATGTACTCAAATTTTTTTTACTTGACAGATAATTCTTCTAATAATGAAGTAGTAGTCAAAGTTTTACCACACCCAGGCATTCCAGTTATAAGGAGACACTTAGTTTTTTACTTATTATCAATGCATCTATAAATAAAATTAAAAAATTTATTTAAAATATAAATTTATCAATATATTTTTAATTTAATAATAAATGAAATCCTTATTATAAATTTATGAAATAAGATTTATAACAAGATAATAAATAATTAACGATTTATTGAATGATTGATAGATAAATTATCTTTATTTGGTATATCTTAAATGAAGATTTGTCAAACTAAATATTATAAAGGAGAAGTATTTATTTGTATTTTATTTATATATATTACCTTTAAAGAAAGTTCTTTATTTCATTTTTTTCTTTATCTCTAAAGTTAATTAGGCTGGGTTTGTATTTACAATCAAATATTTCTTAAGGCTTATTGATCCTTTAATAATCTAAGTCCTCTTCTTCTATATTTTGGTCTTTATTTTAGTTATTATTTTTGCTTTAAGTATTTTAAGTATCATTTTCACATTGTTAAGGGGATTAATCTATCTTTTTATTACTTAAACAAGGACTAGATGTTCCGCTTTCATTTAAACTTTCAAGCTTATCCATACTTTATAATTTTTCTTATTTCAATTGTTAAAAAGGATAAACATCCATAGTACTGCTTTCTGAATGAAATTCCTCTTGATGTGTAACTGCATTAATTTTGCTTAAGAAGCTTTAATCTTTTTTTTTCTTCTTATTAGATATGTTTTCCTCTTCTAATTCTCTTTTTTAGCTAGCAATGCATTCTTTTCTTTTGAAGTTTTATATATTCATAGCTTAATAAAATATTTTAAAGTTTTAAGGTTTTTGGTTAGAGTGGTTGAGAGGGATTTAAGTACTCAAAGGTAATAATGAGTAATATTAGTTGTTTTTTAAATCTAATATTTTTAATTATTAATAATTGTAAATCAAAAGACTTGGTAAATATAAAAAGTCTGAAATTGGCTTTTAATAAATATTATTTGTATTTATTTACTTATTAAAGAAATTTTTGCTTAATATGCGAATATATATATTGTTAATTTTTGATATTATCTTTTTATATTAATTAAATAAGATAGTATTTCGCGCTTTTAATTTAAAATTGTCAGCTTTACAGTATTTAGTCCCGCCTTATTTAATGAAAAACCGTATAGGAGGGAAAGGCGTTTATCATCAACTTAGAAATGAAATATGAATTATTTCATATTTTTTTAACAAAATATATTTGTATAAAATGGAAATCATTTTTTTTAATATTAAATAACGATAAAAATATAATTCTTAAAATGCTTTTTTGCTAGTTTTTGTGTTATGTGCCTGGTTTTAATTTTCAATAAATTGTTCATATTCATAAATCTAAAATAATAATTTTAAATAATTAATATTCTGAGGGATAAATTATAAAATTAATATAATGTTATGCTTTCAATTAAAATGAATATAAATAATCTATTTAAATTAAATAAACAATACTTTTTCTAAGTATTAATTTTGATACTAAAAATAATAATAAAACAATTTATAATAATTCTTTGAGAGTTTATTAAAAATAATCAATTTGTTTTTTTTGAAATTAGTTATAAAAATAATATTTAAATATTTTTTTATTTTAAAATAGCTTAAAATTAAAATATTTACAAAATACTTTTCTTTTATTTAAAATTAAATTATTAAAAGAATATCAGAAAAATTTAATTGAAAAAAATATTTTTTAAAATAAAATCTATATTCAAGAACAAAAGGGATTTTAAGTACTTAAATTATTGTCTGGAGATAAATTAACTGAGAAAATTAAGACGCTTATATTGTTTATTAATAAAGAGATATTTTAAAAAATATAGTTTAAAATTCAATTCAAATATACTTCTAACAAATATTTAAATATAAAAACATTATTTTTAGTGAGTGACTGAGTAATAATAGATGGATAGATAATAAATAAATAAATATTCTTTCTCGAAATGTGATAAATAATCTATATTGATTGATTAATTTATTAAAAGGTTGAATGTAATTTAAAATTTATCGAATCTGTTATAAGAAAAGAAGATTTGAATCTCCAAAAACGAAAATGTACTTATTAAAATGACGGTATTTGAGATTAAAAAAGAGATAAAATATTGTGTCAGCGAAATGTGTGTAGGAATAATTAGGAGAAAAGAGAATAGTAAATTAATTTAAATCAAAATATAAATAATTGCAAATTTTACAAACAAATACATTATCAAAAGCAATTATAAATTTAAATTCAAATTTTGGTGTTTAATTTTTATTAGCGAATTAATATTGTTTATTTTAATTTACTCTAAAACTAGGTTAATTTTAAATTTTAGATGCTCCATAAATGATAATTAAACAACAATCAACAATGCAGCTAATCGTTCATATTTATAAATGATGCTTGTTAAAATAAATACTCTAATTTATATGGGCAGTCTTTTATTTATGGATTTAGAATGCAAAAATGATGAGATTCCATCAGCCAAAACAAAATAAGAAGTCAGTATTATTGTTAATCCTCTCAATATAGATTTTAATATATAGATACAAATTATCAAAAGATCCGTTGGGGAAAATCAAATATTAAAGTTTGTAAAGTTATAAATGAATACTTATTTAATATATATATAGATAGATAGATATATATATATCTATTTATATGTGTTTGATTTTGATAATAGAACCCTTTTTTATCTATAGAGTGAACAATAGGAACAAATACTTTCTATGTATTTTTACTTAATCAAAACAAACAGTTTTAGCGTAAATGCCCCTTATATCACTTGAATTCAAAAAGCTGATATAATAAATAAAAAAAATAAAAACAAAAATTGAAATTTAAATTTTTTGTTCATTTATTAACAAATCCCATAGTAAAAGAGACGTTTAAGATAGTTCAGATCTCTAATAACAAAAATAATACAAACAAATAATATAAAAACACAATTTATTTCTCGCTATATTTTCTCTTTCAAGACATACTTTATCACGAGAAAAAGAAAGCAAAGCTGTACTGAAATCCTCACAGACTCGTAATCAATTCTACATTTGATGATACCATTATAAGCTGGATACTAGAATAGCCCTATTGATAGCTAATATGCTGATGGATTAGACCAAAAGAATCTCTTCCAGTCAGATTAAAAAAACATATACTCACAATATAATAATCCGCATAATAATAACTAACACACTCTGAATACTAAAATTGTTAACGATAGTAGAGTAGATGACATTAGTAGAATAAGAAATCCTAACCAAATGGGAATACCCGAAAATAGTCTATAATATAAAGGAGCAACCAATCATCTTATTAAACTAGATACCGAGGATATATTTAACTCTGCAATTAAACAAATCAAAAACTAATTAACCTCGTACGACACTCCATCGGATAGTAAATACTTCTAAAGCGGAGTACAAATTCCAAATAATGATTATCCATAAGGCAAAAAATTAATGTTCTTGAACTAATAATCTACTCCAAGCGAGCATGAAAAAAATGCTGATGCCTATAACGTTGATGTAAAAGCTAAATAAGAAGATAAGCAAATCCTTGAAGCTAAAGAAGCTGATACCCAATATTTTTCTTGCATCACAAAGAAAGAGTTATTTACCAATGATACCTCTGAATGCGATGTTAAAAATACAGTATCTCACTTCACTTCCAACCTTAAGAAAGAAATTTCATTCGATCCAAAATATTCAGTAATAGCTTCTTCCTAAAATGCATTGCAAAAATAGCAGTCAGCAATAGCAGTGAATGGAGCTGATAAATACTAATCACACTAACAGAATAGTTAGCATTCAAGTCGCTCCAACACTAGTAATCAAAACAGCAAAGCCATTCTTGGAGAGTAACATCCAAATTAAAAGTAGTTGAGTGCAGCCGAATAAGCTAACACAAATAAGTAGCATCTAAAAAGATAAGCCACTAATGCTACTTCTAGTAGCTCACATCACAACCCCTACTACTATAATGGAAGTAGCTCAGGCAACATGAATTATCATCACAGCAGTCACTCTTACCACAATCCAGGCTCATCCTCCCTAGTATCTACTAGCCACAGAGGATATAGTAATAGTAGCTTGCAATAGTAGCAATATTAAAATTCTTCTAGTACTTAATCTATTAATGCTACTTCTAATAATAGCAACAATAGTAACTATTCTTATTACCCTAATCACCCTTCATCTCAATAACCTATGTATCCTCCTCATGGTCCTGTTTCTCATCATCACTTGCCTCCTATTTATCCTCAAGATGATATGGATTATGGATATACTGACATGTATGGATATTACTATCCTTACCATCAAATGCCACCTATTGGAGAGGGAACAGACAGCAAAAAGTATGAAGGTGAAGGTAGTGAGCCATCTGAAATTTTAGAAAGTGAAGAATATAAGAAATATTACTATGGTCATGGTCCTTCCTCATATGGATACTATTCGATTCCTCCTACAACAAATACTTAAAATAACACTCAAGCTGGTGGAGTATCTTAAACTTCTCCTTTAGCTCCTACTAAATGTGAAGCAAACACCTCTGCTGAAAATGCAATAAGCATGGTGCCACCTCCTTAAAATAGCGAATATATTCATTAATAAGAAAAATATGATCACTCACCATACATGAGAGGTTATTATGATCCAAAGGGATATTACCCTCCACACTCTTATTATTATCCTCCTATGAATGAAATGCATGTAGGAAATCCTTATTAACAGACTAAAAAAAATTCTAAAAAGACCTCCTCAAGCAATAATTATCATTCTCACATCTCATTGCCTCACTATCCTAGCGCAAAGGGACAGAACTCAACAGGTAGTTTTTCAAAATACGAATAAGGATAGGATATGTACCTTCATCCAATAGAACCATCTTATAACAGCTATGGAATGCACCCACATCATTCATCTGGAATCTACTGCGACTCTTCGTACTATGCACAAAACTAATTATAATAAAAGTCTTCATCATTGAATTATAAAAAACCAAATCACTAAAGCTAGTGTGATAAAGAAAATATTTAGAATAAGTCAAACTCATAATCATCAAAAGAAAATCATTAACTAAGCAAAGAAAAAAATGATTAAAAAAATAATAAAGAAATTTAAAAAATAGCATCCTCAAATTTATCAAATAGTCATAACAGCAAAAAGCACTCATAAAATTAACTACTAAACGAATAGGGAGACAATAATGACTGTGACTAGCTTGATAACTAAGAGAGTTCTTTGCAAAACTAAAGCACAAGCCATGAAATAAGAAAGAGAAAGAGAAAAAATAACGATTAACTCAAAATCTTAAAAATAGAATATCAAAAAGGAGGTTTTTGGGGAAAAGAGAAAATATTAGAAGTTGCACAAATTACAGGGCTTTCAGAATCATAAGTAAATAAAAAAAATTATATTTTATTCAGTTGCTTATAAAATTCTTTTATTAATAGGTATATAAATGGTGTTGGGATTAAAAGAAAAAAAGACTTGAGACCTTTAAGAAGAAGTTAGGCACCAAGATGCTAGCAGGGTAAGAGTACTAATATGAAGATATGAGTGGAGAGGGAATGGAAGATGAAAGCTACAAACAAACTGGAAGTCCAGAAAAGCTTTTAAAGCTTAATGATGCAACAGGCATAGTCCCAATTAAAACAAATATTTCAAAGTTAAGCAACGACTTTACTATAAATCAACTTCAAGAAAAGGTACTTGCAAACAAAAATAGAGCTCTTCAAAATATCACTGATAAGGTTCTTAGTAAATAAAATAGTAAACAATCTAACTTACCAGCTAATATAAAGCTAGAAAAGTAGCAAAGCTTAAAATTGAGCTCATAAGAAGGCGCTTAGCAGAATTAAGAAAACATTAATCCTGAAAATACTTCTCAATAACTTGATGATGTTTCAAAAAGACTTCAATTTAGCTCTGCATATTGAAATATTTTTTGAAACACTTTCTTAATATTTGCAATAATTATTTTCCTATTTAACAAACTACAAGAAATTTACAAATAAACCAATGCATTAACTTACAACAAAAACAACTGTCTAATTAATTTAATATCAATTTAACTTAATATCTAACAAGTTAGCTCTATACTTTTGTAATACTGATTCATTTGGACAAACTAACAAGGAAAGAATTAACAAATAAACTAACAAAAGAATGCCTTCCTACTAAATTAAAGTATTTATAATAAGAATGAAAATAAAATGAGCTAGCATAATTAACTAATTGAATTTTTAACTAATTAAAATCATAACAAAGATCATCAATTATGATCGATCTCAAAACAACTATAAATTAAAACTATTTATGACAAAAAATCTTTTTTTAAAGAGCTTTATATTTAAATAATAAAAGAGTATAAATTAATTAACTAGCGCTTCTTATTCCTATATTAAGTAGCGATAAAACAAAATAATACAAAAAATAAATATCAGAGTAGAGAAGTATTAAAAAATTTATATTATTATTATAATAAATAAATGACATAAACTCATCTACCTACAATATATAATTACAATTTAATTAAATTTATTATAGTTCTTTATATATGTGTTTTAATTATATTATCTATAGCATAAGTTAACATTTTAATCACTTCACTTTCTTATTTAAATTTATTTTTGGTTTTATTTTTTTAAAGAAAATTCTTTGTTTATTTGGCCAATCAGCCAATTCAATAAATCAATTGTTTACTTTTAAAAAGATTGCAAAAGTATTTACTTATTTATTTATTTATTTATTTATTTATTTTATATGAGATAAAAATTAATGTAATTTTAATTTGTTTATAATTATCAAAAAAATTAAATTGTCATATTCAATTTTAAATTTGAAATATTAATTAATTAATTAATTCAGTTAGAACTTCAATGAAATATGTAATTTAATCAATCCAATTTAATTTTTGATAGATCGAACGAAGGACTTTAATGTAGAATTTTATAATGGTATTTTGAAATTGTGTTTTTACTTAATTAGATGATGCTTCACTTGACAAAATATTTTATGTCAAATAATTAATTATATTTATTATTCATTAACTTAGTGGATGAAAGGATGGATGGATAGAGAGAATCATAAATAAAATCTCAGATTATGTAATTATATATCTGATTATTTTATTAAATTATTCATGACAATTCTTTCAAGTTTATTGTATTTTTTCTAGAATTGCTTTACAAGGATTATTTCTTAAAATTTTAACTAGTAAGCAGACCTTAGTATAAAGAGTTAATATTTTAAATGGTTTATTTTGATTTATTATGACCGTATTAATTGGGTTGATTTGAGAAGAATGTATTATTTTATGCTTATTAAGCTGTTTGGAAAATGTTTTTTTCAAAAACTTTTATATCATCTTGGATTTTACATGGGCTGAAAAAATCGAATTTAGTACTTTGAGGAGTTTTATTTTCTTAAGGATTGTAGTTTGAATTTATGTTTTAATTGAAAGATGGAAGTATTAATCTAGATTAAGTTATCTCAGTAAAGCCTTCTTCTTTTTACACATTTATTGGAGTCTATTTTTTTAATTATTCATTTAAATTACTTAAATCTAATTTTTTTATAGAAGGCGTAGATGGTCTTTAATTATTAGACGTTAATTATTTCTATTAGTTATTTCCTTAGTTTATTTAATTTGATTATTCTGTGATGTTTTGCTTTTAATCTATTATTAATTTACTGTCTTAAAATTTGTTAACATTTTGTTCAGTAGATTTTTAATTCTAATTTTATTACTAGTTTTACTAATTTGGAATGTTATTAAAAAAATTATTGACTTATTGATTTTAGGTAATACTTTTTAAATCTAATAAGGGTATTGATGGTTTGGGTTTTTTTGATTTTTATTATTTATTTTCATTTTCATTTGTTTGCTGATTTTGTGGAGATTCCTCAATATTTTATTTCAAGCTTGCTAAGTGGCTAGCATAATCATCATAAATCATAAATGATGAATCATTACTATCTTCAAGTCTGCTTGATTAAGAATTAACTTCATTTTATTTTTTTTAAGAATCAATCTCTTGATTATTTATAAAATTATGAATAGAGGGAATTTATTGCATGGATCCATTGTTTGATTAAGTTAATATCTATGACTTTTTTAGTATAAAATTTTTTTTGGGAGAAGTTTAATTGCTGAAGTTCATTTATAGTTTTGTATTAGCTGTTGATTTCCAAGATGGCAAATTTTGCTATGAAGATAAAGGAGATTTTTCAAAATTATTTGAAAAAAATATTGCTGAGGAATTTTTTCCTATAAATTTGTTAGAAAGTTGTGTATTTATATTTGTTTAAATTTCTTTAGAGAACTAATCAGCATCAATATTTTTAAGTGACTAAAAGTCGCTGCAAGAACCTACAGCTACGGAAGATGGTTTCTTGCGATATTGGAATTATATTTTAGATTTTCTGAGAGCATCTGTAACGCTTACGTTAGGAGAGCTTTCATTGCATATTTAAGCTTTCGAAAATAGATTATCACATGATTGCTTGGTAGCTATTGAAAATGTTTAAATAGGGGATCTTCCTTAATTTTTTTAAGTGTCACCTTCAATTCCATCAGAATTAGGGTAATTAAATTCATCTGATGCTTATTTATTAAATTTTTAATCATCAAATTCATTTAAAGTGCTAGGTTTTTATAAATTAACTTAGCTAGCAAACTAAATACCATTCAGACCTCTCTTTTTTATTATTGTTCCTTTATTTTAATCTATCAAAAATGTTCTTCTCATAGGATTAGCAGGACTAAAACTTGTTTTTTCAGGACTTTAGCATCCTCTTTAAGATGATGAGCTTTGTTATAGCTCATGAGATGCAAGAACAATGTCGGAATGTCTTGATGATATATTTTTTTAGTGCTTTTAGAGAATACCAGAGTTTAATTTTAGCTAAAATCCTTATTGAGCGACTACTGGAGAACTGTTCTTATTTGTGGATTAAAATCTAAAAGAATTTTTAACATCTTGTATTTCATTAAATTTATTCGTAAAGCTTTGTAAGTTTAGCTTATCTTAAACATTTTTGTTAATAGCCTAGCTATCAGAGTCTTCTATTTTATCTTAATTACTTTATTTAGCCATACTAATAGATCTTTCACTTTAATATTTCTTAACTCTAAATTAGCTAAGCTTTATTTTTGAAGGGGTATGTTCGTTTACATCACAATTTGATACAATTGGAGAGAAGCATTTAGAGCTGCTATTACTTAATTAGCCTTAACTAAAATTTGCACTGCTAAATTGTTAAAGATGAAAGTTTCTAGCATTTTTATTAGAAGCTGATCCACTATCCTCGCTTTGCTTATTTGTGCTTAGCCCATTAGATTAATTTTGTTGGCTTCCACTTGATTAGTGTTAGAGTTTATTATTTAAAATGTTGAGAAGCTATTTATTAGTCTTAGAAAACTGAGTAATAGTTGCGCTATTATTTTGCATTTAACTAATCTGTAATTTTGTAAACTATCTATTTGATGGCTTTTGTGAGAAAATTAACTAAGATCCCTATAAATCTGTGATTTGATTTGTTTATGGCTATTAACTTTATTCGATATTTCTTGTATTTGTATTTGTAAAATTTTATCTAACGAAAAAGTCAGCAGTTTAAAGAGAAGGAGACTCATCATTATGAACGCTATCTTGAGATTTAGATTTTAATTTACTTATATCAAACAAATTGCAATATATCTATTTTGGTATTCTTAAAACTAGTCCTTATTCACTTGAGCAAGAAGCAGTATTTATTCTCTCTAAAAAAATAAAAATAAATAAATAAATATAAAAAACCAAATTATTAAAAAAATTACTTTAGGAATATAAGATATCCTCTTCGCCAAACATTTAGTTCCTCTGGATTCTATCAATCTTGTTTTATTTTAACATTTTAAATGTAATTTATTGATTAAAAAATGTAAAAATTATGGATGCTTTAGAATAAATTTAATGGCTATTATAATTTGTGTTTAACGCAAAATATTAAAAATTATGGCTGTGAATAGTTTTTTTTAGAACGAAAAAAAAAACATTACTAAAATTATGAAAAAAAAGATAAAAAAATTATTAATAACCATCAAATCAAGTAAAAATAATTGTGAATATTCTGTAATTAATAATAAATTAAATAAGGGTAATTTACAATTTTTCTTTTAGCTTGTTTAACATCGTTCCCATTATTTTATTTTGGATTTGGGCTTTAGTCTTTTTGGTTTTCTATTTCTTGCTCTTGTCCTTCCTCCTTTCTTGTTATCTATGTTTGATTATTACAAAATTATTTTATAAGATTCATCAAATAAATAATTGCTATTTTTGTTTAATATCTACAAAAAATTTTACCAGAAAATCTCCATATAAAACAGCAAATACATCTAAAGCAACACTACCCTCTTTATACACTATTGTTCTTTTTCTAAATTGTTGAATTTTAGATATACTTATTATGTAGCTGAGCTTATCTTCATTTAAAGTTTCAAAAAAGGGAATCTGATTAAGAGTATCAATCAGTAATTGCATTTTTTTTTCCTCAAACTTAGAAAGTAAGTGCGAATATTAATCGCTACTTAATGTAGCTAAGTATATAAAATCTTCTTAGGATATACCGTTTTACTGTTCTGATTACATGTTGTTTTGCATAGTTTACATAGCTATAGCCTCTTTTAAGCTAAAGTGATACTAGTAAGATAATTAGGGGTTGAGTACTTCACCAGCTCTTACTATTTATATCTATTCTTATTCATTATTTAAGCTATTATTTTTCCTTAATTATTGGAGCCCATTAATATTATTTAGCTTAGTATCGTTTTAACTTTCATTAAAGTGAATTTTAAGTAACAAATGGCCTTAAATTACAAAAACAAACTTATTCTAAGCAATTGCTATTGGATTTACAAAAATTAAGATAAATTTATATGATATATTTGTGATATAAATATATATTTAAATGATATAAGTTTAGCAAGTATTTCTACAATTAAATATTAATTACTTTAGGGGATGATGTTAGTACCTACTTCATACTTCTCTATTTAAAAATTATGTAAAAGTCCATTTAACATTTATTCGTAATCATTATTCTAATCTAACAAAATAGCAGACTGTATATACTAGCTATTCTTAGCAGCTTCTAATGCCTTATCCAGCTTTTATTGGTTTAGTTTTCTTTCTTGCTAATTCAACTCTAAGTATTATATTAAGTCCTTTTTTATAATTAAAAGATCATAAATGAATTTGCTATTAAACTTGGCTCTAAATTTAGTACTTTTTGCTATTGACTGCCAAATTGCTACTCTTTCATTTTGGATTTAGGCTACTTTATTCTATGAAAATGTTTTAATTAGAATTTTTACACACCTTAAGAGTTATAAATAAACAAACCTTTTTGCTGTATTATATTAACAATTTAGAGTTATCTTTAGTTTATTTGTCGCAAAAATTAATAATTTTTAATCAAATCCCTTACTGCCTTTATAATTAAACAAAAAAAAAAATCTAACAAAGAATTACTTCGTTCTAACATTATTAAAAGTTTTGATTAATTCATAGAACTTAAACAAATAAATTAGCTTTTTTTTTGCTTTTGATTATGACCACAGTCAATTCTTAAAATAAGTTACTAACAAGATAATTTAGTTTTTTTAAAAACCTTTTGTTATTCTACTTAGATATTAATAATTCCTAATATTTTTTAACAACCAAGAGTAAGTAAGTATCATCTTTTTATTACTGCCTAAAAAAAAAATTAACAAAATAATTAATTGTTTTCAGTACACTGTACTCTTATACGTATCTTCAAATTATAATTAAATCTCACCAAATTTTTTCTTAAATTAAGCAAATAAAAGCTACAAATTTTCATATTTTTATTAATTACTTGCTGATGTACTTAAATATGATAGATCAACTTAATATTTTTCTATATTCTTGATAAAATTATTCAAATTAAATATATTTTTTGTATAATGCTAATGATTTAATTAAGTAAATAAGATGTCTTTTTGTTTGTATTTCCAAATGGTTGATCAATAACTATCTTTAAAAAAACGAATATTTATTTTTATATTTAAATTTTACTATTAAGTAATTTAAAATTAGATTTTGATAAATATTTGAATTAAGTTATATTCTGGATTATTTTATTACTCTTAATAAAATTTATTCAATTTAATTTTTTTATTAAAAAATAATTTTAAAAAATTATATTTATTTTATGTTATTATATTTATTGATTGCCATTCATTTGTGTAATTAATTTGTTAGATTGATCACAATTTTATTTATTAAATTTCAAAAAATTTAGAATAATTTTTGAATACTATATTTCATTCATTCATTCATTGAATCAATCTTTATTATAAAAAAATAAAAAATTGAATAATTTTTAAATCAATAAAGATACTTTATCTATTTTTGAAATATAATTAAAAAGAATTAGTTATTTTAGTTCATGGTTAGATTAGTTTCTGAAGATTTTTGCAATTTTTATTATGCAGAATTTTGTTCAAGAGCTTCTATAGTATGCATTTTATTAATGTGCTTGACATTCCTTGCACCATTTTATTTATCCTTTACAACAGATAGTATGACAATTTTCAATATTTTAAAAACATATTAATCATGATTATATATTAAAATAAAGATTTTTGGCTGAATATAAAACTCAATCAAGAATAGCCAAATACTTAAATAGTATAAGCATATCTTTTATAATAAGGATCTATCATAGATACTTTGTAGGTATATATTGAATTAATATCGCCATAAATTCATTTTTTATTTTTTAAGATTAATCCAGTATGGAAGGATAAGAAAATAGGGTAGCTTAATATTGAAAAAGTAGATGAATATGAAGTTAGTTTCACTGTCACAAATTTCAGTGGTTCTTTAATGGAAATTATTTTAGAAATGGACTATATGCTATCTGTATAATATTAAATTGAATAAATAATAAATAAAAATAATTTTTTTGTAAAATTTTTCTTAAAAAAAAGGATGTTTCCCAACTAAAATCTAGATAAATAATGTTTCTTTCATTTAGTGCAAGTTATAACTTTGATAATGTCTAATTCTACGGATAAGTTAATTTTGATTAATAATCTCCACTCTATTATAATGGAGAAAATAAGTTACAATATAAGCAGCCTTTATATAACTCAGATATATAATTTCATAATTATATGAGAGCTAACTTAATTTACAAAAATTGTAATAAATCAATCAATTTATTTTTTTATTAGTTTTTTTTACATCTTTAAAGACTCATAAATTTAGCAATCAAAATCTTTACAAATATTTGAAATTAACAATAAATAGAAACTTCCTCATTAAAGTATGAGTATTTTACTTAAATGCTTAAAGTTTAAAGTGCGGCAGCAAGAACAGTATAAGTTAATGGGAGAATACACATTCCTAAATATCAAAATATATTGTAAAAATTATATTAAACTTTTATTATCAATGTTAATTATTTAAAATATAAATAAAGATATATTCCTTCTATTACAGAAACTCTTAAGTTTTAGTGGGCTGCATATTTTAGCATATTCATTGTCATGTTATACTTATTTAGAATGGTTTTGAAATAAATGTACAGACATTCAGTTTTTCCAGTTTCAGTTATGGATAATTTGCCTTAAAAAGCATTTAGATAGTTCGGAAAATATAAATAAGATTGAAAGGCAAGCTCAAAAAGTTATTGAGCTGCATTTAAAATTTACTTAAGATTAATTTAACAATATTATAATACTTAAACAATATAAAATGTATGTATAAATCAAAATGTAATTTAATATTATAAAAGTGGTATGCATTCAATCAATTAATCAGTATGCTAGTTAAAAATTAGAATAATGTGTATTCTTTGATAATTCTTATCTTAAAGCGTTTAAGTGTTCCTTACTTTATAGATTCCAGCTAAGATATTATAAACAAATCAAATAATAAATAATTAATTATTTAAATTATTTACTTGTAGAAATTAGCAACAAAATTTGTTAAATTTGGATTTTTTTAGACTATCTAGTTAATACTTTTAGCAATAGCATTAGCCCCAACTTCAGTTGCCTCTTTCCAATAAGCTAATTCTAATACAAAAGTTTTTAGCTAGTTTATAGTATTATTTGAAAGCTAGTTCAATCCTTTTGCTATTGAATTTGCAGCTCCGTTAGTGCATTTATTCCAACTTTATATAAAAAAATATATATAATTTTAATTTGAAAAAGTAGCAATTTGAAAATTACTCATATAAATTCAAATTAAAGTGTGCAAGCTTTCTTGAACTTGATCCTAGCTGATGAATTACTGAAGAAAGTGATATAACTGCATCATCTGCACAAGTTTTCCAGCTATTAATATAAAATAAAGTTTAAAAAAATTCGTTCATATTTATCTAAAACAAAATATTTTACTGTCTCATATTTAATTGGAAGGATGAAAGGTTTCTATTCATACCCAAGAAATTATTTAGAGACTAAACCAAATTTTAAACTCCCCCTTCTGAGCAATTATGCCAACTATAAAATAATTTGAATCACTTAAAAAACCATTAAATAATATCGTACCATTCTAAATTGAGGGAGAGTAGTTCAATCTATTAATTAAATTTTGAAACATTCCTCAAGCAATCAGCTAAAGCATTTACTGAAATATCACTATTATCATTCCAACTTTTCAGTATTTATAAAAATTATTCAAAAAAGAATAAAATAAATGTATAATACTAACTCATTAATTAATAAATAAATAAAAAATTACTCGCAGAATTTCAAAGCTAATACTTTTAGCTAATTATTATTTTCAGAAACATTTGAAACACCTTATAAAATATTTCTCATGCATTTATCTCCTAAATTCCAACTTTTTAGATCTATTTTAATTCCTTGGAGCTGTTTCACATCAGTTGCAACTTTAGCTAAAAATTAACATAAGCTCTCTATGCTTTCCACATTTCCTATTTTACTGATTTTTATAAATAGAAAATCAATTAATTATTAAATAACATATTCTATAATCTACCCTGAAAAGTCTATGTTTAAAATTTTATTATTCAAGTAATCTAAGTTTCCTCTAAGCATTTAAGGACTGTAAATATTAATAAATCATATTTTAAAAATATTATTTAAGTATTATAATTTTAGATTATGCTTACTTAATGTTATCAACATCGTAATCTTCTATTTTACTATATGAATCATTATCAACTCCCATGGGTGTATCATAGTGAGAATGTTAATTTTGACGAGGACTACTATATTTCTCATCTATAGGCATGCCATCTGTTGCCTTTATTAGACTCCATTCACTCATTTCGCCTAAAATATCTTATAAACGTCTTATAATTTCTTGCATGGTATTTACATAAACTTCTGCATTTTAGTCAACCTCTTCCTAAAAATGTTCTGTCCTTCTTCTATTTAAAGTTAAATGCGTTTTTTCATTGACAGTATATTCTTAGAGCTCTATAAACCCCTTCTTTAATCCAGGGTAGTTGTCTGTCTTTGATATTTCATCTATGATTTTCCCTACCCTTTCCTTCTCAAGATCTCTCTAAATGGTTTTTTTGTAATTATCAAGCGATATTAAAATATCTTGAGAGAGCTGGTCACATAGTGAAGATAAATTTTTAAAATCTCTAGAAATCTCTAAAAATCTTGGCTCCATATTCTAAACTCTTTGATGGTTAGTGTTTAATGAAAGATCCAATTAACGTGCTAAATCGCTTAATATTGTAATAATGGGTACTACTGAATTATCAGGTATATCATCATGTCTACATACACAACAAACAGGATTTAAAATATTCATATCTAGCTCATTTATTTAAGAATCATAGTGATTCTATTTTTTGCAAAAAGGAAGTTTCATATTTTTTATATTATGAAGTCTGCTTTATAAAACTGTGCTCATTTTATCTTTTTTTACTAAAATTTTGTTACTTTTGTTAAATCAATTTAGTATAAATTTTTTTATATTTTGGTTATTGCAATTATTATCTTTATAATTGTATTGATATCAGCTACAACTGAAATTATGTATACATATCTTATTCAAGATTTTAGAATCACAAAACAACGCCAACCACATCTTTAATTTTTATTTATATTTGAAACTAATTAAAGTCAATTTTAAGTATTTAGCCAGGCAATATTTTTCTTTATAATAATATATTGAATGGTATTTTTTTAATCTTTAAGCTCCTATTCAAAAAAAATATATGCAATTTGAATGTTTATGCAAATATTTAATTTTTATTAAATAATTGTTTAATCTATTTCAAAGCTCTTTCAATATTTAAAAAATTAAATATACATATGATAATCAAAAAAATAAATGACTTATTTTTTCTTTTAAATTTCATAAAATTATGTTTTTCTTTAAAAAACAATTACAAGTTATTTTATTTTTATTTTAGATGATTTTTAAAAGATATTAAAAATTATTATTATTATTTATACCAACTAAACATAATAAATATATTTTTTAAAATAGATAAATAAATAATTGTTAATATAATAAATTATCATAAAAAATAAAGTATTTTTTATAGTCAACTTCGATTTTTAAATAAATAATAAATTAAAATTAAAAAACAAATACATTTAATAAATTCATTATATACTAAAATTGAAGATTTAAAAATATAAATGTTTCTTTTGAATTAATTAATAGAAATAAATAGAACTGTTAAACAATCAATTAGTAAGTAATTTTAGTTTGATTTAAATCAAAAATTAACAAATCAAATCTTTTAAATAAAGTGTTGTTAATAATTATATATATAATAAAATGATATGGGCATATGTAGTTTATTGATAAAACCAAAGCAAGTTATTAATTTAGAATTACTAATTTTTAATAAAAGTTGAGATTGTGTGTTTTATTTTAAAATTATATAAAAATTTTTTATTTAAAAAGACCAATTTAAGTCTAACACAAAATATTGCTATGCAGAAAAAAAAAATTTGATGATTATTAACAATTTTTAAAAATATTTTAATGATTTTATTTCTTAAATAAACAACTTTTATAAAAATTTAAAAAATAAAAACTGATGGAATTTAATCTGCTTGTTTCAAAATACTTTTAAATTTTGATTTGACTTTTAATATTTTGATGAATAAATCTAAAATTTATCAGCAAACATTTAATTTTAATTAAGCATTTTTTTCAATAATTAAATTTTTTAATAAATAATTGAATTTTTATGTTTATAATTTAAAATTTTAGACCAAGCTATTTATTTAAAAAATAATTTCTGAAAAAGTAGGCATAAAAAAATTTTTTTATCATACTATTATAGCTGAATCAAAAAACTAAAATTCTGCAATATTAGCAATAGTGAAATGAGGAATATAAAGATCCACTAAAAATTAATTAATCACTACATATAATTGGAGAACTACTAAACTTAAAACTTCAAATAACAGAATAAAAAGACCATCATAATATTAAATAAATTTTTTTGATTCAATAGAATTATTCATAAATATTATATAAATAATTTTGTGTCTTAATATTTTTTAGAAAGTTTTATTTATTTATCAATTTAAGCAAAAATAAATATTAATAGAATTTAAAATAGTATATAATTAATTATTTAATAAAATTTTACATAATTTATGTTTAAATTAATTTATATTTTGAAAAATGGTTAGTTAGTATTTATTTATTTATATATATTAATTTTATATATGGTTTAATAGTAATCTAAAGAATAAATGTAGAATTTCTCAGAGAGAGTAGCGTTTTTTAACTCTTTTCTTATGTTCTTTAAGCATTTCATAGTCTTAATTTTTAAAAGCATTTATTATTCTTAAGTGCATCTCTTTGTCTTAAATGTTGCATGAATCCACCCATTCTTGAGCTTGTCCATTACAAAAATTTTTGAAATCCAATGCATAAGATGGCTTCTGGGCAATAGTCTTTAAGTTTTTATTATTATATTTATGCTTTTTAATAAACTTGGTTAGTTCTTTGTAGTTTTTATCATCATCTCCTTTGATATCTTTCATATATCTTATAAAAGCCTTTGTAATATTCTTGGCTGCATTCTTTGATTATTATATTTTATTCTCTGTTTTTATCATTTTTTTGGGTACAGGATATACAATTTCTTGAGAAAAATCGGTGTTCAATACTTTTTAAGCTTTAACCTCTAAGGGGATCAACTTAGAATTTTAATAATCTTGCTTATCGAATAGGTAGTTGCAAGAAAATTTCTCATCATTTTGCATGTAGCAGGTACTTAATATAAATTAAGAATTAACTCCTTTAAATGTTTGTATTGTAATTATAGAAGTGTTAATTTAGTTATCTTGGTTTTCTATTTAACTTTCAAAGGAAGAAGTAGATGTAGAGTCGCAAGAATTAAGATTAGATTAACAAGAGGTAATCTTTTTTGGCTTAAAGAATGGTTGTTTTACTATTTTGAATTCACAAGATTATGGCTGTAAGACTTTGCAGTGAAGAGGAGTTAAGATCATTTTAGACAAATGTAAATTTATATTGTTAATAATTAATTTGTGATATAATATTTTGTTTATTAAATAGCTTTTGTTATAAATAGTGTTAAAATACTGTTAAAAAAATTGGTTAGGTTAAGATTGGCTGATTGATTAAAAAGTTCAATTTTTATTTTTTTTGTAGAATTTGCTTTAATTTATAATTATATTATTTCAAGATTGTCAATCTCTTAAAGTAATTAATTTAATTTAAGTAATAATCAATTTTAATTTACGTGATTATTCAAAAAATTTTTCTATTGAATGATGCACAATTTTTTTTTGCTTTAATATGCACTTTTTAATAAAAGCTTCCTAAGATTCAATCAAATTTAAAAGGATTAAAAAAGTAAGCATTCTAAAAAAAGAAAAGCATGAATTAATTACTAAAACTTTTTCATGGATATTAGTAAAAAATTTTTATTTTTTAAATATAATTCATATGATCTGGTGGGTTATGCGTACTTATTCTAAAGTAATATAATTACATGTAAAAAGTGTTGGCGAAAGTATATAGATTATGTGTAGTAATTTGTATCATTAATATTTAGAGAAGTAAAGTATCAATTATATAGTTAAGGTGATCATAAGGTAAGGTTTTAATTATATTTTGAATAAAACTGATAAATTATTTTGGAACAATACCTTGACAGTTCGCAAAATAAATAAATAAAAAATATCATTTAAAAGAATTTTTCTTTATTTCATATTGGAATGTCTGTTGGATACTCAAAAAATAACATAGATGTACAATAAAATATACTATTTAGCTTTTATTTTATCCAAGTTAATTTGAAAGAAGCATATTGGAGAACCTAGATTTTATTAATTTAGTGAATCATTTACAAGGAAAAAAAACACCCATATCATTATAAGCTAACCCTTTTTGTTTAATTAATAAGAAAATTTACTATTAATTGAGTGAATGTATTATTTATTTGAGGTTAAACTTTTATAAAAATGAATTCGCTTAAATGCAATGCTCTATAATAAAAACAAATAAATATCATAAGATTTTTCAGAAAAACAATTTTATTTGTACATGGCAATCGATTTTGAGAAGAATTTTCAAGGTGAAACAAAAAACTAATGAAAAAATTATGAATAAATTTCTCAAAGAAGTTTGAATTTGTCATTTCTTAAACAAGTATAATCATTGTATTGATATAGGTGTAATAATAGTCACAAAGAGGAAAATTCATTTAATCAAAAAGTAAATACCACGCAATAAGATATAAGAATAGCTTCATTCTCCAAGACGTATTTATTTTTTCCAATAAAATTATATTCAAAAAAGGTTTTTTAATCAACCAAACACGTTTAACTGTATTTTAAATTGTTTTATTGTTAAAATTGGTGGGTTAAAATGCTTTTAATTTTGCTTTTTTGCTAGTTGCAAATAAATAGTATAAATTAATGTAACCATATTGGCAAATAATTTAATATATCCTTTAAGAATTTGACTATTTGATTTTGTATTACGGCGGATGAATTTTAGTTAAGTATCAAATTAATCAAAATATATATATAAATAGATATATAAATGTACTTTTAAGCATACAGGAAATTAATGGAATTTTATTCTATTTATCACATAAACAATTTCCATAAGATTTAATTTGATCTCTGAACTATGTTCTTTGTTTTATTTTTATTTAATGATAATTTTATTTCGAATATTTAAACAAAAATAAAAAAATTTTTGGAAGAGAATATTTAATACTTTATAAAATTAATTACTAAATAGTTAACTTAATTTGAAATTGAAAATCAAATTATTCTTATAAATTTCTTCACAAAGTTGTATTTCATCAATACTTCCTTCCTTCTTTCCTTCCATACTTACTTTTAATTTTTAATACAACAAATAAATTGAATGATTTAGATGCTAAAATAATAGATTAAATTTTACACATAAAAATTCAACACTTTGACTTGATAACATTTTAGGATATCAAATAAATATAACTGAACAAGTGAGATTGGTTAATTTGAAGAATACTTTTTTCTAATTTTAGAAGTAAAACAAATCATTATAAGAAATATTCTAATGTTCAAATAATAAATAATTTTGTATTGAATTGAAAACTGTTCTATTGGAAAAGTAAAAGCTTCTTTTAAACTTTAATGATTTTAAAATAATTGTTTTTGTTCAATAATACTACTATTATTTTATTTTTTGAATTTAACAAAGGTAAACTAAATGTTTAAGAATCATTTATTTATTCTTCTGTTTTACAATGTTATTAAAAATTTAAATTAAATAAACTAACAAACCAATAATTTAATAAATAGCTTCTCTTACTTAAATAATATTAAATTTATATAATTACAGTGATAAAGATAGAAATATGCAAAGAATGAATGTTTACCTGTAATCAATAATTTATATCATACTATTGTAACTCAATATTTAATTATACACTATTAAATTATTTATATAGAATTGAATAAACTAATATATAAGATTAAATAATTTATACAATATTTTATAAATATATATTTTATAATTTACCAATACTTTTAACATATATTATTTCTTTGTTTATCAGATTATTAAAGCCATACCCCAATATTTTTAAATATTAAAATTTTTAAAAAAGTAACCCAATATTTTCAAATAGAATTTAACTAAAAGGCATCATAGCATATTTCATTCAATGATATCTGACATTTATTTAAACAATACAACTATTTTAAACAATTGTGAGATTTTCTATTAAAATATAATTGAATGTTGAAATGAAAATTGAATATTTTTTTTGTTTGTTAATAAAAAATAATCTTTTATAAAATAACAATACTTAATTCAAAAAATACTCAGAAATTAACAAATTTATCTTTTAGCTCATTAAAATATTGCTAACGTGAATATATTACAAAATTTTAATTTAATAAAAAATATGCTTTCTAATTTATTTGATATTTTTTAACAAAAATTATATTTTTTTATAATTATTAAAATATTCAAAAAAACTTGAATATTTGTAAACTAAACAAAATAGAATTTAACTTAAGAAAAACTACTTTATAAAAGTTAATAGTTGATAATAATACAGAAAATTATGTATATTTAAAATAAAAGTTAATATTTATAATTTTGTTTAATACTTTTCCATAAAAATTATTTATATAAGTTTTATATCAAAATTTCAAAAATCATCATTTGCCCCTTCATCAAAGTAAACATCATTTCCTTTTTGTAAGTTATCCTCTACTTATTCATAAAATCTCTCATCTGGCTCTAAATTTTCTCCATACTGTAAATAGAAAATGGAATTATAACATAACATTTTTAAGATTAAAAAAATTTTACATTTAAGCACATATCAGCTTCAGCTAATAAATCTAAAATGGTTTCTTCATCACTAACATCTAATTTTCTAATACCAACTAAACTATAATCTTTGATTGTTTCACGTAATGTTCTTGTCAAACTATTATACTTTTTATCAAATTCTGACATATTTTAAGTATCCTTAATTTCTATATCATCTATTTCTTCTGAAAATTCTAAATACCTGTTTAAATAAATAAATAAATGTTGAAATTAAAATTCTATTTTTTAAACTATTATTAAAAAAAGCATGTTAATTTTAAAATGTAAAAGCCAACATTTATAGATAAAATAATTAATTTACTCATCTATTTATTTTTTGTCTTAAATAATATCACATTTTGTTAAAACTGTAATATGTGGGAGACCTAAGCTAATCATTGCAGTAAGAGCTTATAGCACACCTGAAATAAATTTGCTATTATCACTAATAAAAGTAACGTCTAACATATACATAGAACATACGCTAAAACCTAGATTTGAAAGTGATTGTGTTAACTTATTCATCAAATCCATATGTGTATATAATTCAATTTATCCTGGACAATCAAATAAAACGTAATCATCAGTAGCTAAATCACATAACTGTTCTTCAAGCCAGTCAATATTTTATAATAAATACCTATAATATAATTTTATTTGATTATTCTAAATTTTGTTTTATCTTTTAATTACTCCATGCAGTAAACTAAGCCACCATTTGGTCCTAATTTGAATTCTTCCATAACATCATCAAGTGTAATTAAATCTCTAATGTCTAAATTTAAATTACAAATTAATCTATGCTAAAAAACTACGAAATAATATTAACCTATATCACATCTATATTTGAAATGTTCTGCAGCAGGGTCAAGATTAACAACCATAATATTTCTTTTCAAAAGTTTGGCATTATCTTACATAATATGGCAATAAGTAGACTTTTAAATATTATATCATTTAGATAAATATAAAATCGAAATATACTTGAAATATAAATTACTTTTCCACTTCCTGCAGGACCAACTATAACTTAACCGTAAAATACTCCCTAATTCATATTATTATACTTACTATCAATCCCTTTTAATTGCTTTTTTCACTTTGTAAATTAAATGGCTTATTTTTAATTTATTTGATATTTTTAATTGAAATTTTAATATCTTTTTTAATTATTACCAGATAGATATAAAAATAGCTATAGCCTATTTAGCAAACTATAATATATCTACACTAAAATTATAAAATAAGCTAAGACTGACTTATTTATTATAACAAAAAAACAATATAATATTCCGAGCTTAAAATATCAATAAATTTGCATACAAAAAATATATAGACACAAACATAATAATAGCAAAATTGTTTTGTTATTATTATTAATTGAATATGACTGATCTTTGAAATAAAAAATAGAAAAGTAATTCAAAAATGTTATAAATTAAAAACTATTTTTGAAAATTATAAATTGTTTGTTTTAATAAATGTACTAAATCGAATTTGTATAAATTATTATATGAATAGTAAGCAGTTTTATTTCTCATTAACAATAAAAAATCTCAAGCATATTAATGCATTAGCGACATTCTATGATTGGATGGAATTACTTTCTCTGATTGCTTTCTGCTTTTTTTTCTGTCATTCTTTTTTATTACTCTGTTAAAGTATGTGTACTTACAAAATGCAGGATGGAAATTTCGATAATCTTTTGTTGTTCTTGGAAGCCTAAATCTAACCACTGAAAAATTATACTCTGGATAGTAAACTCTGAATTCTTGCATGTGTTCTTCAATTACATAGTGTGTATCTACCTCTGATACTTTTTAATATTTAGCTTTTTAGTTATTTGGAGTTGAAATTTCAAGTAACGTTGCTAAAGCTTAATTGCCTTTAATTTAATCTTGTTATTATTGAAGTAACAATTAAGTAAATGGTTCAATCATTTATCCCTGACAATACACATTTTATCTCTAAATTTTAGTAATGCTATGAGTTTCTAAATTTTACTGATTTTCTTATTCATGAAGAAGAGAAACATATGGCTGCTATTACTATTATATAGCTTATAACTGCTACTAAAATGCAATCAAAGGATCATTTTCCGTTTCATGAGCTAAGAATCTGTAGCCAAACTTTTGTACTTGAGGAGAGTCTATTTAAATAGGAGATTAGTTTTTTATGAGAGGAGAAGGAGGCATTTATAATTATTCATAAGTTCCTTAAGGTCTTACAATTGAGTTTCTTTAGCTTTCTTATCCTTCTCTTTTTTGTAAAATCATATTCTAAAACGAAGCCAACATAAGTTATTGCTAAAGTGTTTTGGGGTTTGTATTTAACTACAGCATACTTTACTATGAAGGAAAAATCTTATTTGGGAATTTTTTCTCTTCAGAATACTTTTATAGAGTAATTTACTTCATAGAGTTTTAATGATTCCCATTTTCGTTTTAATAAGGATTTGAGTACTTCAACGGGCTGTATTCTTTGATTGATTCATTCTCAACAATTGGTTGGAGGTAAGTATTACTAACTGATTTTTTCTAGAGTTCCTCGTTGCCTTCAGTTTGCTAAATGTTGTTAAGGCTTTTTGAGGTGTCAATTGAGCTCTGCTTAAAAATATTAACTGATTTTTAAGGTATTTGTAAAGTATTGCTTGAATAATTTCTGGTATTTTTCTTTCTCACTTTTTTGTCTTTAATTTTAACTTCAATACTTTGAATATCTTAATTACTTGTTTATGAATTATCATCAATTTAATCATCTTCTTCGTTGGAATCTGATTCAACATCATCCAAACTAACTCTTTTTAGTTCTACCTTTTTATTTATTAGAAACAAAATTTATTTTAAATTCTAGCACTAAAAATTAAATACCGTGCATTCTCAATAATTAAGGCCATTTAAAAAAAGTATATTTATAAAGTAATAAATATATTATGCCATTTTTGATAAAAAAATTTTTTAATCAACTGGCCTTAATTATGAGAAAGCGCTGTTACCAAAAATTAATTATTAGTTAAAAAATAAATAAATATATTAATAATTAATTAAATAAATAAATAAGATATTTACCTTTTCTGCTATGTTTTTTTGTTCAACTAGGCAATTAAATTTAAGTCTTCTTCTTCTTTACTTTCTTATTTAATTTCTATTTTAAAAAAAGGGCTTATTTTCTTACAAAAATATTTTCTCTTTATCAAATTTCTGTTAAAGCAAATAGCAGTTTTAGAAAGTATGGTTGTATTGATTGCAAGAGTAGCAAGCAGTACCCACTATATATCCATTATTGTCAATAATTAACTTATCTCTTATTTTACAAAATAATTCATAATCTTTTGGATATTTTTTCAAAAGTTTTATAAACTTTGATCTCTGAATAACAAAACAGCGGCTATTTTTTTTGCAAATGGCACCTAATTTTCTAACACCGTTTGTATAAAAGCATATTTCTCCAAAGTATTAATTTTTTTCTAAAGTTTTCAAAATTTAAACATTAGAATTCAAATCTAATAATGTCTTTTCTTTATCTTCTTTAGAATTATCTTTATCATCTTCTCCTGTTAAATAATTGTCAGTTTAATACTAAATACTTGGGCTTTCGCTAAACAAATCAATTTCTCCATCATCAATAAAATAAAAGCATTAATCTTGCTCTTTCTAGAATGGTTTGAAGATAATTTCCCCTTTAGAAAATTTTTACTTAGAGAAATTCAAACAAACTTTTTCTATGAATTCTTCAGAATACATTGAAAAAACCCCACCACATTTTTTGATTATCTATATATGCGCATCAAGTATTAACTTTTCCTTTAAGGCAGGAGACAATTTGTTGAGGATATATTGCTCTTCACTTAAGGTAATATCTTCATTATAAATATGCTGATATTCTAAATATTTTCTCACTTGATATTTAAGCTCATTACTGATTGATAATTTTTCCATATAGTAATTTACTAAAGAAATATCTCTTTTGAATTCTTTATTTTTCTTATTCATTTCCTGTACAATTACACCAACTAAGTTGAACGAGTAAGCAAATACACCACCTTTTTTCATAAAATATTTAATTTTTTATCAAAAAATTATTTCAAAAAATTCTTAATATAAATAAACACAAAAAAATTAATTAATTGATTATTGATAAATTTAATTAATTTTTACATAACGTCATTAAACTAAAAATATAGAAAATAGTTTCTATTTGATTTTAAGGCGTTATATCTCCATAACCTACAGTTGTCATAGTGGTCATACAAAGGTAAAATGACATCATATATCTATTTATTTATTAATAAATTTAATATTTTACTATTTTAATATTAAATTTACTTATAATGCCACGTCAAGGTATTTATATCCTTTTTAAGATAGTTGGTATAAGTCGTCATCCAAGTTTGTGTGTAATTATAGTGTAGTTCAAGAGAATTTATGAGCAGAAAGATGCAAGCATAAATGTGGGCTATAAACAGTAGCTCAATTACTAACCTAGTTAGCTTTAAGACATTCTTAAATGTTACATTAGACTTAGAAAGATTTGCTTCTTATATTTCGTCTAAGATCCTTTAAAATGAGGGTATTTTGCAAAGAATGAAAACATTTATAAATTTGGGTAGCCCAAACTCCTCTGTTAGAATTGAAAAAAAATATATTTTTTTTTAATAAAAATAAAATAGAAATTTACTTGCAAATAATGTAATTGCTGTTATTAAATCTAATAATAGGTTGTTTTTTATATATCGCTTAGCTAGCTCCTATCTATCAGTCAGTATAGTTCCCTTATCAAAAACTCCAGTATTTAATTAAATGAAAATATCTACCAAGAAAAATCCAAAAGCTCCTTTTGATAATCCGTTGAATTTGTATGGATAAAGCTAGGCAAAATCAGTTTCAAATAAAGCAACTTCTACAGGGAGTATGAATAAAATCATAAGCATTATTATTAGATGTAATAATTGCCAAACAGTTTTGAATTTACTTTGGGGGTGTATTATTCCTACTTTAGAAAAGCAGTTATTAGTCATATCTGCTAGAATTCGTATCAACTTTTCAGAGGTTTTCTCTTATTATTCTTCAAAATTATTACCTTTTAAGAAGGAAGTTTAAGATCTACTAAACCTAGAAAAAAATACTCCCTTGGGTTTAAACTTGCTGAATTACCACTCATTCATAAATAAGCAAACAGGGTCATTAATTATACTTAATTGAAATTGTTTGATCATGTATTAGCTATTCAGAATTTAAAACTTCATCAAATTATTAATGAATTTGTATACTTTCATAGCAACATTTAACTATTTCCTAATTTAGTGTTAAAGATCTATTTTTCTATTCTAGCTAGATAAATCTTCGCTAACTGCTCCTTTTTTAATAATAAAGTTTAACTTATTTATTTTTTTGTTTACTAAATTGAATTAAACTAATATTAGATAAAAAAATAAAGTTGATAAAGATAAAATATTCGAATTAGTATTCAATAAATGAGTGTTTAATTTTTTTTGGCATTCTACTTGTTAGAAGAATCATATTTACTGAACTAATATTAACTAGAAGTTATTACACTTTAATATATCAGAAAATAAAAAATTTTTAATTCTTTATTTGTAGATTATCAGATAGCGAATTTTATTTATTAATGCATTTCACAATAACAAAAAATTTAATTAATAATCAGAAAAAACGAAGTTGTTTTGTTATATTCACTTCTTTCTATAAAAATGAATGAATTATTAATTTAAATATTAATCTACCTTTAAAAAAAATGAAAGTTTTCTTTAAAAATTTTATGTTTTGAAATTAATTAATTACTTGATATCACTTCATCATTTTTGTTAGAGTCAAATTTCTTATTAAGGAGCTTATCGTTATCTTTAGAAGTTTGTTGGGATTGAGTATTCATTAAAGGATTGTTTTGGCTTTGCTATCCTTAAGTCACTTCAGGTTCAGGTTCAGGTTCAGACTCTAAAATAAAATCTATATTAGTCCCAATTTTAAAGTTTGTATCGCCTTTATGCCTAAAGTAAACTTCTTAAGGTTTTTTCCTGCTGCTATTGACTTAAGAAAACTAACCCTAAAGCTATAATGCGAGTTCTGATTATTCATCATAATAAATTTTATCATTTCCAGCCGTATCCTTTTCAGTATTGTTTGAAATAGAATAGTTATAAAACTGATTGCTTGCATTCCGGCTATGATGTTTTGAAAATAGTTCATTCATTTTTTTAAAGGATGAGTTGCTTTCTTTTATTAGTAATCTTAAAATTTGTATTACTTTTTACCACTTTAAAATTGGCTTTATATAAATTCTTTATTTGTTTAATTATTTATTCCTACTTTATGCCAAATTGATAAGCAATCTTATTTGAGTTATATTAAAATTTGATTATTTTCACAACTTTAGTTGGATTAATTGCAATAAAAAACATGTTGTTTATTTTATTTAATAAACTTCAAAACCTCTTTGTCTGTAATTATAAAATTTAATATTAATTCAAGTGTTTTTAGAGCCATAATTTATTGCATTTTTAATAAACGACCTTTATACTTTTTTCATATAATTAAGTTATTTATCCCCAAATAATATAAAATAAAGTTTCTTATAAAAACTTATTGTGGATAATCTTATTAAAAATATTTGTCTTAATATAAATATCTGATCTAAATATTTAAAAATTGTGATAATAAATTACTTTTAGACAATTACATGGTATTATTATACCTAATTTATTTATACAACATTATATCAAAATCATAATTGAACTAAATAAAAATTATTTTTTTTTTAGCAAATCAATCTTATACTAGTTGTAGTAGTTATGAATTTATTTTGATAAAAGGATTTTAGATTATAATTAACATATTATTTACTGGAAGAAATATCAAAAGCAAGGATCTTTTTTATAATTTAATTACATTTTTTACATTATTATTTTGATTAAAATATTAGTAGCAAGTAAAATAGTTCTAATGAAAAAGTTATAGAAGAAATAATGTAATAAAATTAGATTTTAAATGAATTATTCGTTTCGAGATAAATACTAGTTAGATATTCAAATAATAGCATTTAATGATTAACAAATAGATATATAAGTAATTTTATTTTTAAAAATAAATTAAAATATGAAATACAATTAATTTTTTTATCTTCAGTACCACCTAGGAATTTTATACTTGCCTTCTTATTTACTTTTTTTAATTTGTTTTTTTTCTATCTTTTTTTCAGCAACAATATCAAGTTTTTCTTAAATTTACTGAAGAGCCTCCTCTTTATCTTCAACATCTGCTGACTACAACACGCTTTTAATGAAACTTGTATTTACACGATTGCGCTTGCTCTCTATTCTTTTTTAAATTTCCTTTTCATTTAAATTCTCAATGAACTTGCTCTTTTGCATGAGGCCTCTTAATCTTAGAGCCTTTGCAAATTCTTCTTTCTTACGGTTAAGGATACTTTTGATTTGTCTAGGAGTATGAGCTTTTTTATCAAGTGACTTTTTAATATCAGGTAAAATAGTTGAAGCTTTTTAAAGGTTTTGTTTATTTTCTTTATATTCTTTTTATATATTATGTTCTTTAATTTCTGATGGTGTCATCAAAGCTAACTAAGATCTATCTCCGATTATTTATCTAAGTTGCTTGCTTATTTCATCATCTTAGGAAGATTTATTTAATTTTGATTGTACTATTGCTAATCTCTTTTCTTCTTCTTCTAACTTTTACTCATCTAAAACTTAGTAATTTTCAGAAGTTAGCGAAGCTTCCTTATTCAACTCGAATAACCCAATCTGCAATCCACCTAATGAATATTTTTGTTTTATGCTCCAAACCATCCTTGATATGTTGATGAAGTGATCTTTATGATATCTCTCATGTACTGTAGTGTAAACATAAACATCTTATAATTTATTAAGATTCTTGCGAATTACTTTGGCAAATCTTTTAAATGAGCTTACTAATTCTTTATCACTAATGTGTTCAGACGAACGCAAACCATAAGGTAAATTAGTAATAATAGTATAGCCTCTTAAGTTTATCAATTTACTTAAAGCCTCAAAATCACTTCTGATAAATTTTACTCTGTCTTAACAGAATTATTCTTTAATATAAAATGGTGCAATTTGATTGAGTTTTTCATCATTATATAGCTCTTGTTTTTTATTTAGATATTGTGTGGAATCAATGATTTAATCTTATTCTGATACCTAATCTTAGTCTTGACTAAAATCTCTCACTGATTTATCTAAATTATCACCAGTATTTTAATGTTAATTTATAAAATTAGTGATTATATCTTCTAATTAACTTTGTTGAAAATTTTCTAATGAATACTAAATGGCTTGGTTTGATATATCACTTGCGATGATTGAAATATTTTAGATTCCTTATCCTAAAAACTATCCTTTACTTTCTTTATTTTCTTTATGCTAATTGTCTTGCTATTCACTGCTTTAATTAAGATCTTAAGAATCACTTTGTAGTTACTGGTTGGTTTAAGGAGAGTCATTTTCTAAGTAGCTTTGGTATTATTCATATGGGAAATTTTTTAAGAAAAAGAAATCAAACTTGTTTCTAATCTTTTATTGGAACATCATACTTAATAATTCTAATACAATAGATCCAGAACCACAAAAGGGATCCCATACTTTTAACTAATTTTGAAATTTCTACTTGTAATTCATTTATAACAATGAACCAGCTACTATTCCTTCCTTGATTGGAGCCCATCCTACCTTTTCTTTGAGACCGTGTTTATGCAAACTATCTAAATGTAGCTTCATTAAAATAGTTGCTCTGTCTTTAACCAAATAAACATTTATATCAGGTAATGAAGGAATGTTGGAAAGTTAGCTATTTTCACTAGATTATTTTTATAACTCTCTGTTTTAAATGATGATACTCTTTTTATCTTCTATGAGCTTCTTTTATTAATTTATTGATTTATTTAATGACCTATTGCTTATTTACTATCCTGATATTTGATTTAATTTCTTGTACTCCTTTCTGACCATTAACAAATTTATTTGCTTCTCAACTATAGTTTTAATTAGATTTTCATGGAAGAGATTTGATCTATAACTCTTAGTAAGAATAGATGGTTAGTTGTATTTGTATAAATCCTCAATTGGTAAGAATGCAGCCCAAGGTAGCTTTTAAATATTCTTTTCTAATTCATCTTCGCTTCTTGCCTTTATTTCATTGCCTACTTATATTTTTAATGATTCGATCGTTCTAGATTCATGTAGAACCCTAAAAATCATTTCATAATTGCCTTAAAACATTACATGAGAGATGTCATCTCTCATTTTTGACTTTATCCCCAGGCTCTAGAGTTCCTAAATTAAAATTTTCTCTAAACCAGGTGAAGTTTAGGCATAAAATTTAAACACGCTTTAAGAAACACTCATTAAATTTTAGATATATTGGTTTTAATTTAATTTAGTTTTATGATTTATAGTGTCAATAGGTCAATAGTCTACTTTTACTTAACTAATTAATATTTTCTTGTATGTATTTTTAGAGATATCTAAATTTGCTCCTATTTATTTTTTCATAGAATTGTAAATATAACTAATATGGAATGCTTAAATATTTATTTAATTTCTCATTTATTTGATTCAAAATTATCGAATTTATCTTTTATAAAATTATTTTAAAATCAAATGGATTTATTTCAAATATTTTTTTAAATCTATAAATGGTCAGTCATACAAAAATGATAAATAATATTATATTTAAAAATAAAAAACTTAAAAAATATGAAAAATTATTATCAGTGCAAGTTTGAGAATAAGGTAACAGCTTGTAGCCATCCTCGCATTCAAAGCAATTTCTTATTGAAGAACATTTCAAGCAATTAATTTTACAATTTTAGCAATTTCCAAATTGATCTTCATATTATGCAGAAGGACATTCACAGACTCCAGAAGTTGAATTAAATACTTTATTTTGATAGCATTGTTAACAAGTAAATGCATCTTAGTAGCATTTTTAGCAATTATACATACAAATTATGGTGCACTAATTTGTTGAACTCAAGCCATATCCATCTTAACAAGCAGTACAGTTAGATAGGCTCGTGCAATTAACACAATTTGAGCTGCATCTTTGACATGTATTAGTGGTGGATTCTAAAAAAAAACCTTGTTCGCAGGAAGTACATTAGCTAGGAGCTGATGCAGAGCATGTGAGACACAGTGGACCACATTACAAGCACTAACCATTTAAAAGATAGTAGCCATCTATGCAAGTTTAGCATTAAGAAGAATCAATGGCGCTACAAGTCTTACAGGTTTAATTGCATTAACGGCATTAACCTTCATAGTAATTGTATCCTTGAATACATTAACATCCTTCCCCATTATACCCTGCAATACAAGTACATTTTTTATTTAAACAATAACCTGCAGAGGCACAAAAGCTTTGACACGGACCAGGAGATTAGCAGAAATCTGCAATATTTGATGGGCAGACTAAGCTTCCTTGCATATCAAAAGGAGTTTATTAGCTAATATTTTAGGAGGCAGTATCACAATAAAACGAATAAGAACCTATGGTAATATAAATTAGAGAACTGTTTTATAGACAGACAGCATTATAGCAAGCAAAAGAAGTAACTGATTTTAAAGTAAAAGGTGTAAGAGATGATTCGAATGCTCTACTTTAGTAGCCAAACGAATAGCTAAAATTCGAAACAAGATATTAATTTGAAAAAAGATTCTAATTGCCAGGGTCTAAGCAATTCTAATTTTAAACTGGTTACATAAATAAGCATTATAAATAATTTGATGGCGCTTTATTATATTATTAGCTATTAGTCTGATAAAACTGTTGGCATATACCCATAGCATTTTATGAAAATGTTAACCCATAATTGTTTAGTGTATTACAAAACTCTTAAAAATACCCTGTACCTATGCAACCCTACTAGACAAATTAACATTATTTATTTTGTCCCCATTTGATTTAAGAATCATACTATAAAGGGTTAACATTATACCATCCACTATCTTATAGTATTGCATTATTGATTCCACTCCATAAACCTTCTCCTATATTTTAATTAAGAATAAGATTTTTAAAAATATTATTAAAAATTTTAATATTTCTTTTTAAACCAAAATAACCTAAATACCATATATATAAAGTCCTGACATAATATCATCTAAAAGGATAACCCTATTCCAGTGAATGTTTCCTAAAGAGTCAATTTCAATTGGTATTTAAGTCAAAGATGAGCAATTATAATATTTTTAGGCCCAATTTAAAGTGTTTGGATATGAAAGTGTTTAGTTTGTAATATTAATTACATGTGCATCGTATAAGTTATTTGTTGAATCTCTAAAATAATTGATTAACTATGAATTCATAGCAAGAGAGTGCATGATTTCATGAATTACTTATTTCTAGAGTTAGCTAAATTAATAATCTGACAAACTTTCAGAAATACTTTTGAAAGTAAGACTTAAATAAGAAATTATAACTCTGTTTGTAGAATCTGTATCACAAATGTAGCTTACAGCAGAAAAATCATCTATAAAAGTAGAATTTAATTGATAATCGACAAATATTAACAGATCTGTGTTTTTATAGCCTATTTTGATTTAAAATTTAAACAATTTATATGTATTTTTTAAGATAAGTTTACAAATTTAAAACTTTACAAAAATGATTTACTTTAGACCTTTTGAGTAGCTGAAAAAATATAATTATTGCAATTTGTCATTGTTGATGGTATTTGAATAGATCCCGATATAGGTACTTTTACAGAGATCAAGTTTTAATAAAACAGTGAAACAGTTTCGAAAAGATTTGTTAATTAGCTTATTAAAGAGGTGGCAAACGAAGTAGATGCTTGTATAAAGCTAATATCAAATTAAATTCTGATTTGATCAGCTTACAAAAACCTAGATTCCTTATTATCATGATTGGTTTCTTCAGGAGGCAATTCATTCACAATATTTTAAAGATGAGAAAATTCATTTTTATTAAGTTTAACTTACTTATCGCGTATTCCTTAAACAATAAAATGCTATAAAATGCAAAAAAATATAACCAATATTATAAATTTATGAGTATTATTGAATATTTTCATTTTTGACAAAAGAGATATTTGTCAAACTATTCTTTCAATTATTTTAAACAAATATTGTATCAAAAGGATATTAAAGGAGAGTGAATAAATGAATATAAAAAAAATCACAAAATATTAATAATAAAATTAAAACCTGAGTTTACTATTTAGAATTACAATATTAATTTAACAAAATAGATAATAAATAAATAAATCAGCATAAAATAAATGGTTTGTAAATCATAAAAATTACTTACTTATTTTAAATTCTTTTTTTAGAAATTATTTTAATTGATTAATTTATAAAATAACATAAAAACATTTTAAAATATTTATTTTATTTTCAATTTCTACTATCAGAAGTGCCTGTGTTTTTAGGCATTTTACGTTTATCACCAAGTAAATCTTTTTCTTTATAAAGGTGAGGAGCTATTTCAATTAACCATTCTCCTTTTACTTCAATTACATTACGAACATATTCTTTTGAAGTGAAAACTAATTCATTGTAAACAATCCATTCAGGCTTGATATCAAACATCAAGGAGCTTGGGTGGATGGTTATTGAATGCCCATTTTTTAACGTCTTGTATGTTCCGTTTAAATTTGTTTTAGCTGCATTATAAAAGAACCCACTACAAATACATTTGCAAATATTTGTATTCATTTCATCTTCAAATATACTTAAACTTGGGTCTTTAACATCTATTTCAACACGCTCACATAATAATATTAATTATTCTCTAACATCTCTTGCACGTCTCATTGATCTTATTTAAATAAAATTTTCAAAGCACCAATTTTATGAAAATCCATTATCAGCCCATGTGTTGTAAACATTTAGGAGGGCTAGATGGTCACCACCTGGACGGAAGAATGCTTTTCTCGAATTGTCTGCATGTATTTTTTTCTCTTTATCATTTGGTCTGTAAAATATGGTATTTCCTACTGAAAGCATAGCACAAATAGTAATAATCTGATCCACACATTTATAATGCTCAGATTAAACTAACATTTTACTCAAGAAAGGATCTAAAGGAAACTCAGCCATTCTCCTGCCCAGCTTTGTAAGATCACCCTCATCATTTATTGCTCCCAATGCATATAATTATTCAAGAGATTTGACAATCATTTCAGGAGGAGGAGAGTCCATAAAATCGAAATTAACTAAATTATTTATACCCATACTTTTTAACATTAACACAACAGAACCAAGATTAGTACGTTAAATTTCTGGTATTGTATTTTAATCAAGTTCATTTAAGAAACTCCACTTGGTATACATACGAAAGCATTTACCTGGTGCTACTCTACCAGCACGTCCTGCTCTTTAATCTGCAGATGCTTTGGAAATAGGAGTGACTATCAAACTCTCCATTCCTGTACGGGGGTTATAAGAAGTTTATTTAGCAAATCCAGTATCTATAACGTATATAATATTATCAATAGTGATAGATGTTTCTGCTATATTTGTTGAAAGTACAACTTTTCTTGCTCCAGCAGGAGTAGGTTCAAAAATTTTTGCTTGCATATCAGAAGGTAAAGAAGAGTAAATAGGGCATATTAAAAGCTCTCCTATCTTATTTCCTAGACCACGAGTTCTTGCAGTTAGCATCTCTTCTGCAGCTTCTATTTCTTCTTAACCAGTTAGAAAAACCAATATATCTCCTTTCGGCTGTGTGACATGAATTTAAAGAACAGTCAGAACAGCAGCTTAAATATAATCAGATTCGGGTGCCTTGGTATAGTAAATATCAACCTAAAAACGCCTTCCTGGAATTTTAATAATTGGACAGTTATCAAAATATTCAGAAAATCTTTAAGCATCAATAGTAGCTGATGAAATAATAACTTTTAAATCATCTCTAGCACGAGAAAGATCTTTAATAATAGACAACAAAATATCTGTGTGAAGAGTACGTTCATGTGCTTCATCAACAATCATAACAGAGTAAGATGCCAAATCAGGCTCCATCATCAGTTCACGAAGTAGCATACCATCTGTCATATATTTAATAACAGTTTTATCGCTTGTACAGTCTTCAAAACGAATAGAGTAACCAACTTCATGACCTAATTTTGTTCCCATTTCTTCTGAAACACGAGCTGCTACACTCATAGCTGCTACTCTTCTAGGCTGAGTACAACCTATTCTACCTGTGCTTGTGTATCCAACTTCGTGCAAATACTAAGGTACTTGTGTCGTTTTACCTGAACCAGTCTCACCAACCATGACAATAACTCTATTATCTCTTATCAAAGTAAGAAGTTCTTCTCTATATTTATAAATAGGTAGTGATTGGCGAACTCTCTTCATTTTCTCCCTTTCACTTAATTAAAGTAACTCTTATTAGTTTTAAGGTTATTAATCATTCTTGATGTAAATATTATCGTCCTGTGTCTCATCACCACTAGATGACCCTTCTGAGTCTTCAGATGAATCTGAAGAATCTTTGCTTTTCTTCTTAGATTTTTTCTTGTCTTTCTTAGAACTCTTTTTAGATTTTTTTTTACTCTTCATACTATCAAGCATTTGTTTTTATTTAAGCAATTGCTCTTTAATTATATCACTCTTGATAAATTAAATTTCATTTTCCATTAATATTTTATAGTTTTGTTCTTCTTATTACTGCTTTGTTAAAGTGTTAGTTCCAAATTTTACTTAGTTTCGTTAAGTCTATTCCCTCTCCCATTTTTCATGCTCACTAGGTTCATAAGGAACATCTTTATATTTTTAAGTTTGAGCATTAGCAGCTTTTCTCCTATCATATTTTCCTTCATCATCTTCAAAAAGCTAAGGCATTTCATATATATCTGCTTCTTTTTATGTTAAGTCTGTACTTTATACAGCTTCTAAAATTTTCTTTTTTTCTTCATAACTCTTGATTTCTTCGTCTGTAACTTTATGATTTTTAATTAGAAATTCATCATATTCAATCATTCTCTTTAATAATTCAACTTATTTATCTAATCTGCCTTTGACATAGTTTTATCTAGCTTCTTTTTGTAAAAGTGGAATGAGCTCAGCTTTTTCTTCAGCAGTCAAATTCATTCCTAGCTAAGCTCCTCCACTCAAAGCTTACTTTTTTTTCATATCCTTTTCTTTTATTTTCTTATCTATTTCATTGCGCTCTTCTATATCTTTTTTTTTTGCTAGCTCAGCTTTCTCTTTATCAGTTAAATTATTAGCAGCTGGGTTTCCATCATTTGTTTTTATTTTTTTTTATGCATTATCTGTAATTGAGAGTGGATCTTCCTCTATAATTTAATAATTACTATTTTTTTGAACTTAAGCTGCCTTCCTTATTTCTTCTTAAACGTAGCTACTTCTTTAAGAAGTCGTTTCACTTGTTCCCTAAACATATTTCATATACAATTCATCAATAAATACTTTTGACTTTGAATCTGTAGGATAGATTTCCATCTCTTTGAGACCATCAATAAGCTAATCTTTTGATTTGCTTGACTGTGTCACTCCTTTTATATACATGACTATATTCCTATCAGAAATCCCTAATATTTTATGTAAGCTATCATTAATGAAATCTTCAATATTATACTGCATTTTTGAGCTTTTAAGTTAATTGGAATGAAAGAGTCAGACTATTTTTATAGTAAACAGTTGATTGAATATTAATTAAAATAATATCTAACAAATATAATTACATTAAAAATCAAAAACTTTTTACTAATTTAAAGTTTATATTTTTATAACATCTTTCATCTGAGTGTCTAACACAAACATAATTTAAAATATTATTAAAATGTATATTATATAAAGAAATTAAAAACAATTTTATAGAATTAAAAATATTTAAAAGAAGAAATGACTTTAGAGCATTTTATAATTCCTAAATTAAAAATATTATTCAATAAATATTTTTTTAAAAAAGATTTAATCTACATATTGAAAAACATAAATTAAGTGCAATGAAAAACAAATAAAAAAGAAAAAGAAAATTTTTTGTATGATTAAATTTTAAAATGTTTTTATCCATTCATCTATTTTTTATTTATATTAATCAGTGGATTTTTATATAAGAGTAGCTGATTGTATTTATTTTAATGTAACTTTCTATAATAAATTAGACTTTTAATTATTTTATTTTTAGTTTTAATTTTATATAAACTTTGATTTTCAAAGAATTAAGTCTGTCAAAATATATTCTGCTTTATTTTATTTATTTCTTTCTTTCTTTATATGCTTTGGCCTAGATTTATTGAAAACAAATGAAAAAATAATCTAATTTAATTTCCTAATTTATAAAAATAAAGTAAAAAAAAAAAATACTTCTTGATGCATAACTTTGACTCAGCATTAATTAACTAATTTAATAGATAGTATGACTTACTTTTTATAGTATTTTATTTTAGATTCTGAACTGTATAGAAATAAATGGAATCAAAAAAAAGCATTAAATATGTTTCGATTTATAATATAAGTTGAAATAAGAGAATAAGACTTATTGAGAATTAATTATAGTTATTGAAATCTTTGTTTAAATTTATTTATTTAATATAATTTATGTATTTTAGTGTTATAATTTTCTTTTCATCAGTTTTTCTCAATTTTCATGCGCTCAATAGTCTTCTATTTCTCCTAAATCATCTGCCCCTCCTGCTTCTAATAACCAGCTTTCTATCTCGTATCCTATAAAATTTTAAAAATAAAATAATTGATAAAAAAATAAATAAATATATCAGTCAAATTTTACTTTGTTCTAAGAAATTCTTTATAAAAGAAATTTGTTCTTAAATTTCTTCATTTTTATCTTCTGTCAGAGGTAATTATTTAGCTACACTAACGATTTCGTTATTTAACAAAGGTGTATTTATTTTATAATTTTGGATTATTTTTTGATTTGTTTATTCTTGGCATGGATTACTTATATGTGTCAAATTATTTGTGTTTTGAGATGAAACAGACTTGCTTTCATCGCGGTTCTCTTAGAGACCTTCCAGAGAACCAGCAGATTAGCTGGATGATGCACTATTGTTATTGCCTTCTTTTTTATGTTTGTGTATTTTTTTCTAATTTTCCTGCTTGCAAAAGTTTTCAGTGAAATACAAGAATTATAACTTCGATTATTATTTCAAGAAATCAAAAATATTTGCACTGTTTAAGTGACTACAACAAGTATTATTTACTTTGATAAACTTGTTGCAGTTATATTTATCAAATAGATCAACACATTCACCTTCGTTATCGCTTTCATGACAGCATTCCTATTAATATTAGTTCTAACTATTCATCTAGTAATTGCAAGATTAATTTTAGCAAACATAAGTACTTCCACATGCATTATTACTATTATTAGAGCTACTGTTAATTGCATTATTATTATTATTTGCAATGTTACGCTCGTTTTTCAAGCTCTTGATAGAGCGCGTATCAGAATCATCATTATTATTATGATACCTACTCTCCTAAATAGTTTAATCAGTTGAAGCACGACGCTTTTGGGAATATTTATGTTAGAAAAGTAAACTACCTCTCTCATGTATATCGTTTCCTTCTAAATCGAAATCTCCTTTTTAAGATAGCTACTTTGTAGTATCTGAATATTTAGAGCTCTCTGCTGTAGTTAGAATAGATTAAGCAGGTGATTTTAAATAATTCTCAGATAAAACACCAATTTTAGGTTTTTTCCTGTAATTTCTTCTGATTCTTTTTGTAAATCTTTTATTTAAAGTTTAGGAAGCAGTAAAACTGTTATTTGGGTTAATATTTGAACCAATTTGTTGACTACCAGAGGAATGTAAATTAGATGAACTATTATTTCTACGATAGACAAGTGAGTTTTCCTTCGAAGCATATACACTTGCATCTTCTTCTGATATAATAGTATTGCAGTCATATTCATCTTCTTCATCATCATCGTACTCATCATTTTCATGGGGTATTCTCAATTTAGCGTATTAGTTAGACTGATGATTTCTAAAATATTAAAAGCTATGACCCTTGAAATATAAGCTACTAGCAGGGTTAGATGCCTAATTTAACGTTTGATTCTTTTTATTATTTTGATCATTTACTATATCTCCTTCTTCATTACCATTTTCTTCATCTTCTTCCTCTTCATTTTAGCACTCATAATCACTATTATAGCCATTCATATCTTCTTATCTGTCTTATTTTCTGTATGGATTAAGTTCATTCTTTTTAATTACTTGGCTATTTGTATTTATTTTTTTTAGTTTTTTAATTTATACATTTTATGATAAAAACTAAGGTAAACTCTAGGTCTTAGTAACTTATTATGTTTAATATCTTGCTTATTCTTTATCTTCAATGGCTAGTACAGTTGCATTAGTAGCTATAGTGCTTGAACTTAAACAACTTTGCTATATTTACTTGTTTTAAGTATCATCAAAATGTTTTTCAGATAAGGTGTCTAAATTTGTAATTTAGTTTTCTGTTTATAATTTTATTTTTTTCTAAGAGCCTTATGAATTAGATTATTTTAATTCTTTAGAATCTTCCCTAATTGATTAAATCTATTATTATGAGCTAACTTTTTATGAAGAGTAGCTGGTATTGCAACTGTTACTATTGCTTGTTATTTTAATACTTTTTTTCTTAGGGTTATCAATTTCTCTTTTTTATAGACTTTTTCTTTTCGGAGTTGAAAGCAATTACTACTCTAGTAAGCAAGAGTTATCTTTTTCTTTTTTAGCTGCATTTGGTTCTTAAATATCCTTAGTAATTTTTTCCAAATTCTAAATTTGCTAATATGCAATGTTTGAGTTTTTTTTCAACTTCCCTTCTTCATTATTTTTTTTGGGACTAATTTAGAATTTAAAACAAAAATATAAGCTAGAAGCGAAAAAAAAAGTAATCATTTATTTAATAAAAAAATATATTTAAATATTACCTTTACTCATTATCATTTGATTGTGGCTTTTAGACTTGTTATTTAGGGGTGTCTCTTTTAGATTCTGAAAATTCAACAAGGTTTGATTTTTTTTTACTCTCTGATTCTAATTTTTTCATTTTGTTTAATTCGCTGAATTCTAAATCATCTTCATCTTCTTCAGCATCTTCTTGGAAATCATCCTTATATAGTTGTAAGTAGTGAGCATTTTTCTTCTTGTTGGGTCTACTATTCTATTCATTTTGTAGCTCCTGCAAAAATTACTTAGTGATTTTTTCAGATTCTGCTGTTTCTGATTTATTAGAATCTATTATTTTTGTTAAAATTTTTTCTTACTTCGTATTTTGTAGCTATTTAAAGCTTTCCTATGACAATTTATCATTGTTTTCTAAAACAGGTTGAAGAGATTTGAATGAAGCACTTTTTGCTAATGAAATCTTTTCATTGTAATTTTTTCTTGCATATTCAGTGCTACTTTAATCTTACCTTTGTTCCTTAGTTGATAAAACAGCTGAGTTTGACATTTAGTAATAAAGTTAATTTTTTTAAAGGTTATTATGAGAGAGCTAGTTACTAAAAACTAAACTATTTGATAGTTATGAGTTGTAAGTATTCAAATTTATCTGAGGGGCGCAAGTATCACTATAATATGCAGCTATTGGATTGGAGTTTTAATAGTTTTTACCACTACTCTCAAGCGTTGAACTTATTAAATATTAGGAATTTTCCTATGGTTGTTGCTAAAATACTTATGTTTAAGGAATTATATTAGATGAATTTAGCTAATAGAGTTGTTATTAAAGACTGCTACTTAAATTTTAAGATGCGTATTTGTATTCATCAACATGCTCCATGAAATATTTAGGTTATTAATCTTTTGTGAGGTCATTAATTGTAGTAGATTTGTCAACCACTATCAAAGAACCTTTCATCCTTGTGTAATTTGGGCAAATCATATCAAAACTTCCTAATTAATCAATTACATAACTAAATGATTCGTTCTCATGGATTGGTGGACTTTCCTCTTCTAACTAAGGAATGCTAACAATAAAAAAGCGAGGACCTGTAGAATCATAAAGAGAATTGTACTACGGTTTGTTTTGCTTTACCTACCATATTAACTTAGTACCGCAGTGGACATACAAGGATTAAGGCTAAAATCTAAACCCTTCTATACTAATTATCACCTCATCTTTGTTTAAGAAATATTTATTCATGTTTAAAGTGGCGTTTGTTTAAGGGCAGCTGGGCAAAATACTCCCACCTACTGAAGCTTAGTTTCCATTTTTCACCTATTGTTTTAAATATTGAAGATTCTGTGAAAATAATTGTATATATTTTGTAATATTGTTTTATTTACGATTAATTAAGTATCGTTGTTTTTTAAAGCAGCTTATTATGATGGTTTTGATAATCTTGCTAAATTGTTACTTTCCCCATGAAACGCATCACTATTTTAAAAAGCAATCTTTGTGTCTATATCATTTTTATTTATCATGACGCTATTCGTTTTTGGATTAGTATACATCTTGATCTATGCTTTGTAAAAATAAATTATTATCTTTTGTAATTGAGCTGATCCACCTCTGAATCTTATCTTCAAAAAAAACAAAAAGTTTTGGATTTTTGCTTCTTCTTCTGCAGATTACTTATGGCGATTTAGTATTTTTAATAAAACTAGAATATATTCGCTTTAAACTAGAAATGGCTGGCTTTATTGTGATTTGAAAATTGTAATGTGTCTTTTAAATGCGGCTTTTTAGCTTTGGTTTTTTTTTTCTTTTACTTCCTCTATTCCTATTTTGAATTTATAAACAAAACGTTAGTGGAATTTTTTTAACTCCATAATCTTAAATTTTTATAATTTTCATCCAACATGCTCCGATGTTTCGCGTTATGAGAGTGAAACTGTTTCTCATGAATAGAGAAATGATTGAAAATGAATGGCATGAGTTAACATGCTTGACTAAAATTAAAAAATTAAATGCTATATTAATGGAAAAAATAGAATAGTATTTGGTTTTATAAGAAGCTAAACAACATTCAAAAAATTACTGTGGACTTAGTATATAGTAATATATTGCAATAAGATAAAGCTGATTCTGTATATTAAATATATATTAGAGCTAATTGGAATGTTTCTAATTATTTATTATTATTCTCAAAATGAATGATAATTAGTTGTCTTCATTATTATTATTATTATTATTATAAATTCCTAACCCATAACAATTTCTTACTTTTACTTTAAGTTTTGAAATAAATCCTTAATTGGTCATATCATATTATTAAAATAATGCTATTTCTAATCTTTTTTCTCTCTCTTTCAATCTATCCTTCCCCTTAAATATATGCAAATATATATAAAATTCATATATATCACCCCAATTATCAAATTTAATTTTTTTTTAACTCTTTTCTTCTCATTTTATCTTGGTGATATAATTTACTAATTCAAACTTTCATAAATATTCTATTGTCAATTTATAATTATACATTACATAACTCTTCTATATTAATTAAAGGTTCCAATATCTCCATTCATTTATCAATCTAAAACCCTATTAATATCATTGCAATTTTATATTTTCATTTATAACCTCAATTATGCAAAAAATTTTTATTATTAAGTTGAATTTTTTCAATTCATTTTAAATAATTGTATTCATTAATATTATCCTAATTATATAAATTTAAAATGATTCTCTTTAAAATTAAATTTTAAAAACTAAAAAATTCAGGTAATTTATGATAAAGTTTTTTCCTTTTTAAATGTATAAAGATTAATATTTGTAAAAATTATTTCTTAAAATAAATAATATTTTTTTAAAATTAGAAGGTAAAAATGATTTTTTTTTTTATGGAATTGTTGTAAAAATTTAAATATAAATGATATTAAAAAAATTACAATATAATAATATTTTAATTTATATAAACAATAAACATATTTATGTCAATTTTTAATTTATACTTAAAATTTTTAAAGCAATATTGAGATTTATATTTGAATGCAAAAATCATTATAAATTAAGAATAATATTCCTTATTTAAATAATGTTTTAAAATTTCTAATAATTTAATCAATTTAAAAATTAAAAATGAAATAGATTTTTTAAATTAATTTTTTTAAAAATAAAATTTTAAGAATTAACCAAAAATTATTTATAAATCAATATAATTGTAAAAATTTGATAATTAAGATATTAATAAAAAATATTAGAAATCAAAAAAAGTAATTTATCTAACTAGGCTCAGCAGAAAAAATTTAGCACAAGATACTTAAAAATGAATTATCCTCAATTCGATACGAAAAATTAAGTTTAAAAACTTACATCTGAAGAAAAAGTATGAATTACAATTAAAAAATCTACCAGAGATTATGAAGCTAAGACTTATTAAAAAATAATTTTAGGCTAAAAATTAAAATGCACAGGGAATGTATATTCTAATAAAAGTTATAGACTCTCTTGAAAGATAGCACGTGTTCGATAACATTACTGATGATGTTTATAAATAAAATGTTATTAAAAATTTATAAAAAGTTGATGCTTTTAAAAAGCAAATACCAAACTTTAACATAGATTAGTTTTGTTAAGTAATAAAAAGAAATTAATAAATTATTTTTTTCTTGATTACGAATTTAAATTATGAATAGGAATATGGACTCCAAGAATGCACTTGGGCAATAGAAAGAATCAAAAGTGGATATGATAATAAGGTTTGAAAATAAATTTTTATTTTTTAAGTTATTAGCTAATTTCTGAAATTAAACAAATAAAAGGATTAAATGGACGATGCCAAATATTTCTTGTTTTTAAATAATAAGTTCTTAGAAATCAAAGATTATTTATATTTCAATAAGCAATTGTGTGAAGTTAAGTAAAATTTATCTTATATATTACAAGGATTGATTATAATTTATCTATTCTAAAAGTTAAATAAGACTCAAACTTGACGATTTGTTCCATATCATATTAAAGAGAAAAGAAAAGTTTACTGCTGATTTTATGTATGTTTGCTAACAGCTTCAAGACTAGTAATGCTTTTTATCTAATTATTTTTTAAAATGTCAAGAATTTATTTTTATTAACTAATTAAATTAAATTAAAAGCTATAAAAATGTATTGCAAATAAAGCAAGGATAAGAAGTTCTATCAGAGTAGGAGTATTTAACTGTTGATGAGTTAATAGCCACTAATTATTAGAAATTTTAATAGTATTTTTAATGAGAAGTAATATTTAAAATTTCCTCTGTCAATAATCATTATTTGTAAATGTGTACAAAGAAAAATAGTTTTAATATAATTAACAAAAATATTGCATTTTAATTAATATTTTTTGCTTATTTATTTTAACACTTCGTAATAAAATTTGTATGTTTTACTTACTTGAAAAATTATTATCAATAATATTGCAATATATATATATATATCATATATAAAAACACAAGAGTAAGTAAATAACTTTTTTGATATATTTTTAACTTTGATATTAACTTTTTGTGATTTGAATTTAAATTGTTAAATATTTTAGTAACAGATAAAATTTTCAATTTTGCTTCTTTTTAGTATTAAATTTATCATCGGGATTAACCAAATTCCTAGTAACTTCTTCAACTTTAGCTTATTTGTATTATCTCCACATTGATAAAATTACTACAGCTCCAATAAGAAATATTCCACCAAATATTATACAAATTACAACAGTAGCTGTAAAGTAGGTTTCGTTTGGTGTTATTGAAATTTAATATGTAGAATTGAAATAAATATCTGCTAAATTTGTAGATACTCCAGTAGGGAAAGGTGTGTTATCGATAATAATTACAGCTGGACTGCTAGCTGAAGCATCAAATGAGGTAAATTCTACTGAATCTTCAGTACCTAGAACATTAATTTTGACTACATCATTAACAGAACAATCTAAGCAACATATCATTTAATTTGCTATTAAAATAAATTAATAATTTAAAAAAAATAAAACAGTGAAATATTTTAGTTTAATTTAAAATAATTAGAAAATTATTCTTTTACAAATGGATAAGCTTTTTATTCAAAATATTATCAAAGTAAATGATTTCTTTATTAATTTTTTACTTTAATTTAGTAAAATAAATATAGGATTTTATAATATCAAAAACCTAAAAAAAAATTGATTGATCTTTATTATTATTATTTCTTTTACAATTTTTAGTAAAATAGAATAAAAGTATTCAGAAAATAAAATAAAATGATAAAAATTTTAATATTATTACATTAGGAAAGATTTTGTAGATTTACTTAAGTACCATTTTCATAACATTTACTGCAGTCTATACATTAATTTTAAAAATCAGTTACAAGCCATTATTAATTTTGCATAGCTTTTAAGTAATTTTTAAATTATTCGCAGTTTGAGCTATAAAATAATAATAAATCATAAGTTATAGGAGTGGCTATAGATTAATTAGCCAAATTTTCAATCTACTATTTTTCATTCTCTTTATTACTATCTATATTTTTATTGTTTGGTTGACTTTGGCTAGAAGTACCTGTAATTTTTGTCAAAAATAAGTATGCAGATATCTCTCCAGGCTAATAATCTGATTCCAATAGCTTAACTGAAGATTTTAAAAATTCTATATAGGTATACTAAGGAAGAATAAATGTTTCTACATAATTTGTGGAAATAGCCTCAACAAATTTTATATGTGTAATCGTTACTATGAATAATACTTAGACTAAAATATATTTCATTTATTCTTATTATAAAATAATCCTTATTTAATTTACTTTTTTTTAGTGGTAAATACGTTTAGAATTTGTATATTAAAAATTATGCTAAATATCCTTTAAAAAAGTTAAGAAAAACAAAAAATAAAAAGAGCAAATTTTAATAAATAATCAAATTTAATTCTAATTGTAAAGTATTTTGTTTATTATTATATAAAAGACAGAGTAATGATTTACCAAAAATGCAAACATATAATTTAAATTTAATTATTTTTTTAATTAAATTTTTTCTAAATATTTTTAAAAAAGAATTATACTGATTTAATTTTTATAATAATTGTACAAGAGAATAAATTTATTTTTAGCTTTCCACTTGAATTATGATAATTAATATGATGAGATTTAGTAATTTGTTATTTATTCATTTTTTGTATTTCTTAGGATTGTTAAATAAAATATGTGTACTTTTCAATATTATTAGGGATATATTACCCTGTAGTAATCAGAGGGAATATTGTATATGAAATAATAGATATGAGAAAAAACCTTGATGATTAGGGGTTTCTTTTTTATAAATTTTTCTTTATCTTAAATATTTTAAAAATCTTTAACCAAAACAGATTTCGGTAAATAAATTATTTCATGAGTGCTTGTTAGATAGTTGCAAAGATCATTCATTGATTTATACTAGATAAGCAAATCATCTTTAACTTTGAACTTAAAAAGTTGAGTAACTTGTTCTACCATCTTTTTTTAAAATTAGAGTTTTAAAAAATATTAATATCAATCTTAATTTTACCTTTTTATTTAAGCTAAGGAATGTATAACAATTTTAAGGCCATTCTTTATCAGGGTGCTTTATATTGTCACTAAATTCTATTTTTAATTTATTTAATTTTAAAAATGATAAATAATTTTATTTAATTTTATTACCAGGGAAAAATTTTTTAACAATTTCTTAAACAAACAACCTTATTAGTCTTTGGTTATGTTTTTTTACAATTTTATAAAATTTCATACCTTTAAGTAACCTCTTAATAGCTATTAATAAAAAAATAAGTTTTTATGATTTTTAAAATAAAAATTTATAAATTCTTTTTATTTCTAAGTTAGATATATTAAGAAATAATGATTTATTTATTGAAGAACATCTCTTTTTAATGCTATTTTATCTACAAAAAAGAATAATAGTTACTTAATGCTGCAAAGACTAAATTGAAAGGAATAACTAAGTATAAGAATATTGATAAGCTTGCATATATTAAGAAAATATATGTTTTTTAGTAATGATACCAGCAAATTAGATTTTTTAATTTCTCAACAAAACTGATAAGATGAAACATTAAATAGGTCAGGTAACCTAAATATTTTTTATATTTCTTTACTTTACTAAAAATACCCTCCATTTATATGATCGTTATTTAATTAATATCAGTCATCTTTTGTAATTCAAATTCTTTGAAGGTTTATATTTTTTATGGAAAATAGTCCTCATTCTAATGAATAAGATATTCAATACTTTTCTAAAACTTTTCATAAACTTAACTCCTAAACTCCGAATGACAGTATAAAGTAGTGAGTATCAAAAATAACATCAAATAAATAAATAGGTAATTCATATTGAATTACAAAGCAAATAATATCATAAACTTTTTTTATATTAAAAAATGTAAAAAAAAAATATTTAAAAAACTAAAAAAAATTACAATATAAAATATCCATGAAACTCTTGGGTATTTAAAGTTCAGAATCTCACTAAAATTATTTAACTTAAATATTAGATTTGATCTCATAACTTTAATACGATTTCTTGTGACTTTAAATTCAAGTCTTTCTTTTTGTGTGTATTTATCTTTAGAAAGTATCTAATTTTCATATTTTTCTTCATAATTTCTAGCAAAGTAACTCATTTTCTATGTAAAATCTGAAATTTTAAATACAACTTTTATTTTAAGATCTTCTGCAACTGCTTAATTATTAGCATTATTGGTTTAGCCTTGTTTTTGGCTAGAATTAAGCTAAGTTTCTAAAAACTTTTTTTTAAATTATTTATTTATTTTTTATTTTTGAAATATTAATGAAAAAACTTATTTACAAAACTATTGTATTAGTAAATATTATAAAGAATATCTGCGATTCTAATAACCTAAGTTCCAATTAATTCTTCCTTACTTGTAGCCATCAACATTCCTGAGGTATATGTCCTATACAACTCTATCTCTATTTCAGAATAGTTATCGAATATTGGAAGCATTACTTTCTAACCCCAGTTAATGACTACATTTTCTTGGGCTTACTTTTTGTAAAACAACACTTTAACATCCATATGCTTAATAACAATATGGAAAGTAGAATTCTCTGTTTTTGAATTTTTTGGAAGAGAAGCCTCTTTTACTTTAGTTAAAATTAAAAAAGAGTTATTTTAATTATCTAACAATAAATTTAATACATTCCATTATAATTTTTCCTGTAGGCTTTTATTTTGTTCCTTTGTTACAATTTTCCACACAGTGCTTTATTTCTTAATAAGTTCTTATAATTTCTTCATTAATTTGAGACTATGCTTTTTTTTCTTTTTACTCATCAACATGTTTTATTGCTATCTGATATTTATCATATCTATGACCTATAAACTATAAAAAAAGATCTTTAATTAGATAATTAAATAAATGATTTACTATAGTATCTTGGTCTTTATCTAAGCCTCTCATTACTTACAAAGAATTGCATGGAATACAGTACTCAAATTAATTTTAGCTATTTAAAGAGTATATTAGTATATTTTATGAGCATATTTTTAAGAAATATTTTTTTAGTTATTTGATCCCTACAATATTTAGGTAGCTTATTAATTAATATAAATATGTTTAATTTTATTTGTGTTATTTCAAATTGTTAAAATACAAATATCCTTCTTTTCTTATTTCATCAGAAAGAGAATCTTTTCTATGAAGAATCTACAAATAGCTGCCCACACCACTTTTTTCTTTCTAGTCCAATTTGTGAAAATGGTCAAGTTGATTTTTTACTTACTTCATTAGTTAAAAAAATTTAGTAAATTTTTCAAAGAAAGTTTTTTTTTACTTGCTCTTATTTTTAATTTATTTCAACTTAGTTGCTCGGATTATCTCCTTTACCTTACTTTACCACATGAAGACCTTAAAAGCTTTAATTTCGATCACTGATTAATTCAGTATCAGCAGTACTATCATTTAAAAAATAACTTTTACTTCTTCTTTCTTGTCTTAAGCTTATAAGCTCGTTATCAGCCTCATAATATTCAACTTAATCCTTTAATTCACTTGATGATGCTTGACTCTATTCTGACTAAATTTATGATGATTCCTAATTACTTTAACTCCTTGATAGTGGCTCTTCTTCAATCTATGTATGAATTGAATCTAAAGAAACTTTATTAATATATTTATCTCTTATAAATAATTTAAAAGCTAAATTTCTAAAATTTCTATCGGAATAGTTATAAATTTTATCTATTTTATTACTAAAAATAGAATTTAATTAATTTAGTTTAGTTTTAGGCATATAAAACCCTGATCAGATAGAAATTTAGAGAGATAAATTTGATAGATTTGCTGATTTAATCAAAAACTAAAATATTTTAAATATTTACATAAAAAATTATAAAGGATTCTTCTTATCTTCACTCTTAATTATTAGCTAGGGGCTTTATTGCTCTCTTCTACAAGCTTCATAAGAAGACTTTCGTAGGATTCAATTCTCTTTTTTTTTGATAATACACTCATCTTTCGAGGAAATTCAGGTAAATCCACATTTGGAAATAAAAGTTGTGCCTGTTTTTATAAAAGTATCTAAAGTAAGCATATGATCAATATAACCAATAATAATATTTTTACTATTTAGTGCAAACCTTCAAAATCTGAGCTCTTTTTTTAAACACATTTAGTAGGAAATCCTTCAGATTAAATTTCTATATTATACCTCTATTAATTATAAATATAATTAATTAACAATTATGGTATGTTATGCATATGGATAAAGTTTCTCTGTTTGTTTTTAATACTTATATAAAATTTTAGGATTTCAATTTACTGTTCTATGAAATAGTCTTGCTTCTGAATCATTTATCTTTAACCTGATATCTATATTTACAAAATCTTAAAATGGAACACTTTCGTCAACTGGGACCTATAAATCAGACTCTGTAGAGTCTCTGAGAGAACTTAGCTCATCAGAAGCTATAGATTATTTTGAAGGATCTTCCTTCTAGATATTACTTTTTATTTTGCTAAAAAACTTCATACTTATGCTATTTTATTATTATCTTTTTATTTATGTAAGAATTATATAAATGTTTTCGTTTAATTTTTGATTAAATTTTGGTCCACATAATCAGATTTATTGATTAATAAAAATGTTGAATTCTCATATTTGTAAAAAAACATAAATAGTTCATAATTATTGATAAAAAGTAGTCTCTATCATATTTGTGGTTAAAGTTTATTTTATTTATAGATTAAATGAAAGATTTATATATTCATTTATTTTATTCTTAGCTTTAAAAATAACTTTTTTATTGAATATTACAGTAAAAAATTTCATAACTATCGTTAAGCCTTTATAGCTCAGCTGGGAGAGCGTAAGACTGAAGATCTTACGGTCCTCGGTTCGATCCCGAGTGAAGGCATTTTTTAATAATTTTTATGATAAACAATTACTTAAAGTGGCTATAACTAATAAAATAATTAACCAAATACATTTATCTAAAAAACAAAACGAAATGAATGTTAAAAAAGAAATAAAATTGTTCTTTTTTTATTTTAACTAAAATTTTTTATTTTTTTAAATAAATTTCTAACTAAAAAAATAAATTATTTCAAAAAATAAATAAATAGTTTTAATTAATAAAAGAATCTCAATAAAATAAAATAGAAATTTATGAAATATTAAATCAAAAACTCATAAAATTTCTTAAGAATGAAGAGATATATATTTTCTCTAAGGAATTAAACAATGAAAAAATTAATTAAAATATTATCCATTAATTCATAAAGTGTCTATAAGAATAAAATATTTCTAAATAAAATTGAGGACAATTTATTTATTTATTTTAGAAAGTTTTTTAATTTAATAATTACTTTGAAGAATAGATAGAATATAAAGGCATAAATTTAATTAACATTTAGTATTAAGATTATTATTTTTAATTTTATTTTATTGTTGCAATCTATAGAAATATTTATTTGTTTATTTATTTGTTGTTTTGTAGGTTCATAAATAAGAGAGTATTTTTGAATTAGACAATAATTATTATTCTTGAGATTTTTTGGCAGTATTAATTAGTTAGTTTATGTATGTATGTATGGTAGGTCTTTTAATTACAAATTGATGATTCATTTTATATAATTTATTTATTTATTTGTTTGTTTTAGTTTGTTTGTTTATTAATTATTAATCAAAGGAAACCACCTTAGGAGAAGGTATTAATTTCATCTATTTCTCTAAGAAAAGATGAGATAGTGTATGTAGTAGAACTTATATGGTATGACTTTAAATTAGAATTATTTAAGTATTATTAATTTATGTATTGTTTACTATTGCTACTACCTCCAAATTATGAAACAGCAAATGGTTATATATTTTCGTAGTCATCTTCATCAGCTATAAAGTTATGGATTCTATTACAATCGTAAAATTTCTTTTTATTTTTATTGTAGCTATCTAATTAGTTTTAATGATCACGACTTTCACTATTTATTCCTTAGTTAATTTTACTTCCACTTTATTCACTGTTGCAATTTTTTACTCCACTTTTGCTAATAGGGTAAATAGGTACAACTCCATTTGAAAGCTTATGGAAAATGTCATCTTCTCCAAAATTACCATCAGCATTTATTATCACGTCATCTATGTAATCCATGAACTAACTGTGGGTCTTCTTGAAAGAAGAACAAGAATTTCCACTCTTGTCAATTAATTTTTTGCGATTAGAAGAGAGACCTTAAATGTTAGCATTTATTGTTGGACGGAAAGGAGAGATAAAGTTGGCAGACAAGTTTTAATTTACGTTTATTGTAAGCTTAATTTGGCTATGATGGCCACTTTCATTAGTTCCAACACTCTCACTATTTCTTCTGATATGGTGTCTTTTGCATTCAGAGCTAGAAGGCATCATTTTTACTTTCTTTTCTTCACTCAAAGACTCACAAAATGCTTTTTATTATTTTGGACTTGAAAATCCATATGGTGCAGGAATACTGGCAATCTGTGCATTAATAGTGGAGCATTCGTTTGTTTCTAATTTAGCTTTTTTGGCACTTTTTGTTTCAATTTGATCTTCTAGTTCAAAAGCAGCTGCTTATGTTTTAGATTAAAATGTTTAACTTTTCTAAACTGAAGAAGGAGTAGATATTTCTCTAGCCTTAGGTTGAGATTTTTTAAAAGTGGGAGATTCAGGTGCCATAATTTCACTTTAGCATAACAATTCTTCTTCAAGCTTTAACTCTGCTTCCTCATCTTATTTCTTTTAAATTTGATACTTCAAAGCTTACTCTTCAAATTTTTAATCTATTATTTTAGAATAAATGAATGATTTAAAAAAATGGAATTAACAAAATTTAAGGTTTAATTTATTGAGTATCAATCAATAAATAAAATATGATATTTACTATTCAAAATTTTCTATCTATTTTGAAAAAAAATGTTATAATTAAATTTGCGGACTAATTTAGTAGGTAAGTAATAAAGTAATTATGTAGGTAGTAGGTAGGAAATATTTATATCATATGGGGATTTATGAATGCAATTAATATAATAGCGATATCAAAAATAAGTATAAAGGGAGATGAAAGACTTGGTTTAACTAAAAACAAATAAATGTTGATTGATTATGACTATGCAAAAATATTAATTTTTTATTAGTTTCTTTTTATGATTTTGCGGTAAATATCTAAATAAGTAAAAATAAAGGGAAAATTTTTAACGAATAAATTTTATATGGTCGTTTATTTTTAACATTAGAAATAAAGAAAATTAAGCAAAGAAAATTTACTGATTTGTTAGAGTTTTTCATTTAACTACTGCATAGATAATCCTTTCAACTCAAAGTCAGGACTTAATTTTACGATTTCGTCGAATACATCAATTTATTTTTGCTCCTTTATTTTATTACAAACAAGCTTTTCTTGTTTATAAGTTAAATTCTTCATGGTATCTCTCATAGAGTTATTGTAGAAAAAGGGTAATTTCTTGATCAAAGCATCTATTTATTCAAGACTAGCATTATCGATGTTTATTTCCTCTTCTATCTACACAGAAGGGAAGAATTGCTAAATAGAACCAACAAGTGGATCGTTACTGAAGACCTACTATTGGGGATAATAATGTCCTCTAACTTAAGCGTTTTCATTAGACATCATTCTAAGAGGTTCTCTTTATTGAACTTCCTTTTTATTTCCTTTTGATTTGATAACTTCGTTTTATTTTTTTTCATTAGCTTAATTCTTAGGAGTGTTGTTCTTTTTAGAAATTCCTTTGCGGTTGAGCTTTGGACACTCTTACTATTAGGGAGCTTTAACATTAAAAGTATTGATATTCTCATCTTGCATGCTATAATTCTACTCTCTTTAGCTAGCTTTAGCAGGTAAGTTATGAATGTGACTTGTATGATAGCCTTTGTAAATTGGAAGCATGGGTCTTTATTAAGGCATGTGAGGGATAGCAAATCTAGAGACCATAGGTTAGTTAACATAAGGCTATTCATAGTATCTATGATAGGGATGATGAGCAACATGAGGATGCACATGGCTTCTAAATTCTGCATCTTCATCGCCCATGAATTAAGATTGAGGATAGTGATGGTAGTACATTTTAATAGAAGTTCTCCTTATAATCTAATCTATTTGTTTTCCTTTTTCTTCTTTATATTAATTAATTTTTTAGAGTGTTTTTTTTTTCTTAACAATATTTTTTCTTTAATTAGCTTTTATATCAATAGAGAAGGATTTTTCTTCATCATTTTTTTCTTAACAAAATTATCAGTTTTTGAGATTTCGTTAAATATCAACCAACTCTCATATTATTTCACTAAGACTTAGAATTATTAATAATCCCTTTCTCTTTAACAATTTTTACTTGATCAAAATATTTCTTTGAAGTGATAGGTCTATCTCTCTCTTCTGCTAATCATTCGGCAGTTTAGAATAATGAAATAAGAACAGAGCAAAATCTAAAATTTATTTCTAAAACCAACAACATTTTTTAAAAATTATGATAGCGTATAAATTAACTATTTATTTTGCCATCTATATAAGACATTTGAGTTAGTTTAAATATTCGTTTATAGAATTATTTTTTTCAAAAAGGAGATTTTAACTTATTTGTTTTCATTCATTAATAATCATTCTGTTAAATTTTCTGTTTTTTTGAGGAAAATAAAAACAACCAACTCTTTAAACAAAAAAAATATTTTAAATTATTTATCTAACTAAACAAATCTGTTATGATAGTAGTCTGAAAATTATTTTAATTTAATTTGTGAATAGCTTTTAATTTATTTAAATAATATATTTACAGTACATTTATTTCTATTTTTTTAAGAAAATGTTAACAACACTTAAAGAAATAAAAATTCTTCTTACATAGAATACAGAACTAATAAAGAAAGATTTAAAAAAACGATATTTGAAATAAATATAAATATTTTCGAATAAAACACCTTTTTAATAAGAATAATTTTACTAAAGCTAAGCAAAATATAATTTTATGCTTACTATTCATTACAAATTGTATAAATTTATAAATATGCATTTTATTAATATATAAATATTTCTATAATTAGAGAAAACTTTTTTTCATTGTGAATTTTCATCTGAATAATCTGGTAACCATGAGATGTCCTCTTTTTAAATCATTTTCTTAATTTAAAGTTCGATACCTGTGTTTTGTTCTTCGTTTTTTTAGTTTATTGTATAAATATAATATGAATATTTCCAAACGTCATGTAATTATATGTGCAAGTCAAACTATTCTCCTTGATTCTCAAGCTAATTAAAAATATTTGGATGAATAATAAAAAATACAAAAAAATAGCAAGTTACAGTCAATTTTTCTATGCCACAAATATAGCACTTGTTTCTTTTATCTGTCTCACTGAAGTGAATTTAATCTCTTAACTCTGCAAAAGTGTCTGTCATAATACCAGTGATAATGTTTGTAAATAATATTGACATAAATATAAAGTATAATGTGTCCGAAAAAAATGTGGAGAGCTCCCAATCTGCCATATTATTGCCTACAACACCAGATAAAATAAGAGTAATCATACATTATAGCAAGGTGCTACATTGGTTAACAGACTCACTTTCTAAAGTATCTTCACTATAAACTTCTAAATAATAATTGTTAAAAGAGAGTACACTAAAAATGTATAAGAAAATTATTCCTAAAAAGCTTATTAAGATAAGCTCTCTTCTTTTCATAAAGATAGCTAAGTAAAGATTCTCTGCAACTCCTTTTACATACTTAAGTTTACTCTTTTTTTTATTGATAAGTTGTTAAAATTTATTTTGTAAAATTTAAAATTAATTAATTAATTACGACTGAATATGGAAGACTGAGAACAATAAACTTAGGATGGATTATTAAGGATAAGAAAGAACTAACAATAAGCATAATAAGATATGGTATTTCGTTATATTTAAAGAGCAAATAAAGTCTGTTGGTTTATATTTTAAATTTTAACATCTTGATATACGATTTAACTAAGTTATTTAATTAGCTACTATCTTTATCAGCTAGCTATAAGGGCATATTTATTTTAGGAGGTACTTAATTCACTGCAGTAAAGATTGTGAATAAAATAACAAGTAAGAAGAAAATAAATATCAAGAAATCTAAATCAAAAAGAAGAAAATCACTTTCGAAGTAAAGATTTATTCCTCCTTCTTTGCTGATTTAAACAGTAGCTGTGAAAGCCAGAAGTATATTAATAAAAATGCCGTAGTATGCAATGACTGTTTATATTACTTTGATTGTTTCATAAGTCACAGGAATCTTTTTTTAGCTCAAGTAATAGTTATATTCCATTTCGTTTGGGATAGTTTCTAAAGAGTATTTTATAAGACCTATAAGTTTGTCTCTTTGCGTGTCACGATTGACTTATTTCATGATTATCTTCTTAGTCTGCTGTGAAAGACAAGAGAATAAAGGTTCATTAATAAAGAATGTATTTTTATACTTTTATTAATCAACTATCACAATACTAAGAATCATTTAATCTAACTACTCAGCTACATAATAGTACTCATTTGTAATCAAATCCTTAAAGTGTTGGGAAATTGTTTGGTCGTATTAAGAAAATATTTTTACTATAATCAGTACTTAAAAAATATTTTTTATCTCGTGATTGTAGTTTCCATTTTAAACTCTTTGCTTTAGAGCTTATTTTAACTAGTCTTTTTAAATATTTATAAGTTCAAACTGAAACTCTTGCAAACTTTCTTGTTGTTCTTGCTAAGACTAGTAATGCAAAATTTCTCCTTATTTCTATTCAAGATGTTTTTCTTATCTTATTTCACTTAAAGATTACACTTTTATGAGTTTCACATATTAGTTGAATATAATCTGAAGAAACTCTAAGGGTACTTTGCTTAAAATTTCTTCATAAATTTAAACATCGTCTCCTTCTAACACTACAAGAATACTTTGAAGGACCTATATTTTTTTGAAAATATAACATATCTTAAATTTAATTTGACTAAGTATTTTACTTTTGTATACAATAGGTGCAATTCCTCTTCTTATTCTTTTTTATCAGTGTCAGGTATTTTATCTTCTTAAATTTTATCCTTTTAGAGCTCTTTTTATTTCTAATTAAAAAAGATTTAATTTAATATTTATTTTAATAATTCTTACGTTTATAAGTTAAGGCAATAGTGATATGTCCTCAAAGTAAGATGTTTGACTCAAAGAAATTTAGTTTTGTGTACATGGAACTTTTACCATCTCTGTAAGAAAATCAGCTATATAATTGCAAACTTCATGCGTTTCCTACAAAAAATAAGAAATTAATAAAATGAAAATAAATTTAAAAATTTACCTTTTTCAAAACTTTAGAAAATTATTAATTTGTATCACATGCTACTTTAATAAAGTTTATAGAATTAAGTTTTTATCTTTTATTGATAAATGTTTAGCATCTTAAATAATTCTTCATTTCTATATTATTAATCACACACAATTTGAGGAATTAGAAAATTCTTTTTAAAACCAAGAAGCATAACTCCATTTTTTACTCCTCTTAGTAATCGTCAGGTTAGCAAGTATGCTTTCTAATTACCTACTGACTTACAGGATCATAGTAATTATAGCTGTCTATGTATTGTTTTACATTCTTTTTTTCTTTTGAAAATCTGTAGGCAATTTTACCTAAATATTAAAAGAATATTATTAAATTAGATTAACAATAAATAAATAATTCTACCTATTTTCTATATTAAAGCTGCAATATTAACGAGGATTGTATTATGAGTATCTTTAAATAATAAATTAATTAGGACTTATTGCGTTTTTTAATTTCCTCCCAACATCAGAGTAATACCAAATAGTAATGTTTAAGAAACTAAACTTAGTCTTTATTCTAAATTTTATTATTAAAGTAGATTGCACAAAAGCCTAATACCTCCATACATTCTTAATTATTTTTGAATTTCAACTATTTCATTTTTATTATCAATCCAATCTTCTGTCTTCCATTAATCAATTTCTAAATCCTTAATTAAAAAAAAAATTTTTAAAACTAAAATTTGAAACAATTATTTACATCTTGTAATTCATCTTCAGTAATTTTTTTAACCTAATTTTATCTTTTCACCATTCCAACTAAAATATTTAGATAAAAGACATGTAAGTCATCAGGCAAATCTTGATGAGATAAAGCAACATCAAATAGACTTTAAATTAAATTATCCTAAGTTATTGTTTAAACTTTTTCATTAACAACTACTGAACTATTATCATCAAAATTATTAGATTTTGAATGAGAGTGACTTTTTGGAATGAATTGCAAAACATCAAATATCCTTTAATTTTCCCTTTTTAATAATAAAGAGCATTAAATAAATTTAAATATTTTTTTTATGCTTATTACTTTTGCAAAAAATCCTAAAATTCTTATGAGAAATTTAATTGCTACAAAATATTTCTGTAGAGGTTATTAAACTTATTATTGATATCATTTTCTACCATGTCAGTATAGTCAATAGGTTATTTTTATCCACTTTTTATTGTGCTTTTTGCTTCATACTTGTTGAATTCTCTTTACTTTTTTGTAGTGTCCCCTTACTACGAATCATCTATTGTTAATTGCTCCTTTTAATTCTTTAAAAATTGTTATCTCTTATTTAACTAAGAGTCATCCTTATGAGTAACAGGAGAATTATTATTCCCTTTTGTTCCATTCCTATTTTAAATTCAATATTTATTATTTATTATATATACAAATAAAAATTACAAGCTTTATGCTATCTTAAACGCACTTAAATTAGATTTGTAAAGATTTTAAGTCTTCTTATTAAGCAAATTATCACCAGGAATAAAATCTGAAATTAACTTGTTGATTTTTTAGATTCTAATTTAGTAGTATTCATCTCTTTCACTTATTTCTGATAATATATAGTAAATACTATGTAAAGTAGTTCTTAAATTATTAGAACTGTCCAAAAGAGCAGGTTTAAGTTATTTATTAATCAGTGACTAATTTTTAAAAATGAAGAAAAGGGTGTATATAACTTCTTTAAAGTTTAGTAGAATATAAGATTGTAAATGCTTAAATCTAATATAATTTTCTATTGAAATTTAATCGTATTTTTTAGGGTTTTACTTATACTCTAAATACTATTCTAAGTCTTTTTGCATATTTTTCAAGTCTTAAATTATATAATTTATTGCTGTTGCATCTTTTAGCATACTTTAATTTTCATTCTAGTCACATTTGCTATTATTTTGCTAAATCTGATTTTTAAATAAAGATTTATTTTGCCTAATAAAATTTTTAACATTTTTTTGAATTCTTTTTTATCTTGTTATCATATTATTCTCAAATGCTTCTTCGTCTTCTTCTTCATTGATATTTTTAAATCTATCTTTCATTTTTTGCTTTTCAATCTTTTTCAATTTTATTTTTTACTAAGTTTACTTTTACTTTTCTTTGTCGCTAATTTCAAGATATTCATCATCAAGACTATCATCACTTTCTTCAGTATCACAATCGATATTTTATTCATCATCATTTAACTAATCTTCATCTGAGTCTATACTTCCACTTTCATTTTTATTCGAAATGTACGAACTCTCGGTGTTTAAACAAGGGATCACAGTTTCTTTAAAATCTTTTTATCCTTTAGATTCTTTTAATTCTTTTTTCTGAGAGGTTTTTTCCAAATTTTAAAAATTAACAGCTTTATTTTATCTAGCTTCCATAAATTTAACATACTTGTCTAAGAAAAAATCCAATATATCATTAATACTCCAGAACTTAAAGGAAGGTTGTAAGAAAACTTCAACAGCAGCTAAATACTCCTTATTTTCTTTAGTTATCTGCTTTTGTTTTTTAATTTTATTTATATCTGATATGATAGATTAGACATCATTATTATTTTCTTTTCTTTCTTTATAACCCTCTACTAGCTTATCCATGAATTTAGATAGCTTATTTTAAACAAATTGCTTAGCTTCTTAAACTGCAAATTATAAAAATGCAAAAGTGTGGTTCAATTTCTATTAAATTTAGTTTTTAAAGATAAGCTATTTTATTCTCTAAAATAAACTTAAATTGGTTTGATTTTATGGGGAATCATCTTTTTTGCTTTCATTTTCAATTTATTTTTGTTAGTCTTAACTAAATTTACTTTTTGATTTAAACTTCTGCTTAAGCAAAGAGTAGCTCTTAAAAATAAACGTACTCTGCTTAAGTGATTCCTAAGATAAATTTGATGTTGATTCTAACTTCTAAGAAGTTCTCTTTCTAACTATAAGTGGGTAATGAATAAGAGCAGATTTCTTCACAGTAACATATTGTTAATTGTAGTAAACTCTGTTTAAGTAACTACGAATTTCCTTTTTTAAAGGTATGCATTCCTAACTATGCTAGAGAAGCTTAATTAAAACCTTAAAAGGATGAATCTTGTTAAATTTTCTCCTTAAAATCAAATTTGGACCTTCAATAAGCATGGAATAAAGAGAAAACATTGCGATCAAAATCATTATTTCAGAATTTATAACTAATGATTTAGTTTTATAACTTTAATTTAGATTGTCTGAATATTCTTTCATTAAGATATCTATTCTCTTATTGATAATTTATCTCAAATTATTTGGATCTAAGATTTTTAGTTCTTAAAATTTCTAAATTTCACTAAAAACTATTTCTTAGTTGTCTTTAATGGGTTTGTCATTTTAAATTAAAAGTGTTCTCAGAAAGTAAATTAACTTAGCCTTGTAAAACAAAATCTGGGTAAAGTACGCAACTCTTAAAATAGATTAACTGATGTAAATTATTTCTGATTAATTGTATAATAGCTATTTTGAGTTATTGTAAAGTTCTTTTAGAAATTCCAAAGATCCAACATTTAAAACCAAATGATTAACAGCAATATTTTTTGTATTGTATAAATCTATTTTTGCCTCATTGTTATTCCAGATCATCAATGTTATAAACTAGTAAATAGATGTTAACAAAATTTTAAGATTGTTAGATTCTTTGTTTCTCTCATCTTAAGTATCATTTAGGAACTATATTAAAAAAATTTATAAATACAATAAAAATAAATAAATAAAAAAATTACCTTTAAAAATACTTAATGTAAATCATATGATCTAATTAAATTCTAAATTAGTAAATTATGATCTTCTCTCTCTCCTATAAAATTGATACATGTTTAAGAAAAGTTTTATTCTAATATCTATTTATAGTCTTAGGGAATGCTCTAAAATATATCATTCTTTATTTTCATAGACCAAGAGAGTGTGTTAATAACTGTGATTAATTATTCAAAATAATTTTAATCTATTTCTATCAGCTAAAGAAAAGAATTTCTCTATTCCTCTGAGCACTAATCAGGTTGAGCATCAGGGTTCTCAGAATAAAATGAAACGTTTCCTTCTTCGCTTTTAGATTGATCGTTTAGTTTTTCATTATTTATATATGTAACTTTTTCTTCAATAGAAACAGTTTTTTAAGGATGAGCCCTTTGATAAAAGTTGTTTGGGTGGTTCTGTTAAATTGAGTAGTCGAATTTGCTAACTATATTTTTTTAATTATTGTCTGAGAAATATTCTTAATTTGAAATTTAATTTGATTCAATCGGTGATGAGCACATTGGATTTGGAACTTAATGTAAATCACTGCCATAAAATTACTTTTGGCGATTTTGGTTATCGTTTGGTTATTACATTTAAGAAAAGAATAATACTGATTAACTATTTTCTATTTAGGAATTCAAAGCACTGTCTGCTTAGCTATCATCTTCTCCAGTTAAAAGAGTAAGTACTATATTTTTTTCATATTCACTTATGTTACTTTATCTTATGCTTTCTAAATTATAATTACTTTATTCTAAATTTTAACTCAACTTTTAACTATTCACTTAATTGTTACTTAAATTATAAGCTATTTATTCCTCTTTGATATTTTTGTTTATCACTTAACTCTGCTACTCTGAACAATATTAAGACTGTGCAAATTATAAATTTTAATTAAAGCAGTTTTGCTAACTAGACTAATTATTTAAGAAGGCTTCTTAGTTTACACGTAATTTTAGCTAATCATCACTAGCAAAGCTTCCTCTGGATGATTCTACTTATTTAATTTCAACTTAATCAGAGTTATTTCTTTCATTACCAGATATAAAAGCTTTAAATTTATCTTTAAATTCCTAAGTAATTATATTCTTTTTTTCATCATTACTGGCTTAATTTGTTTACTTATCAACAATACATTAATCTTATTATTTTTTATCTAGTTTTGTACTTATTAATTATTTTACCTATAATTCTGAATTTGTGCTTTTCTAAAATGAGTTAAATAGTGAATATCTGAAATTAGGTTCATTTAAAAGTTAAAAGAGGTGTCTATTTTTTTAAATTTGTTACGAGACTGCTAATGCATCCCCCTTTTAATATAAAACAACCTTTTACAAGCTCTCATATAATTCTTTCTTTTTAGAAAACATTCTTTACAAGAGATAAAGTAAAATGTTAAAAACGGTAGCATTTTATAATTTGATTAACTATTATATTAAAGTCTACTCAACTCTTTACACTTCAGGTGTTGGTTGAATATTAATAAATTCCTTCCATTAATCTGAAATCCTAAAATTGTATATTTAAATTAAAAATATTAAAGAAATTTTATTTAATGATTTACTCTTTTAAATGTCTTTTTTTATCCAATCTATCAATCTGATCACTTTGATTTTATGGAGAAGTATCAAGTATTTTGCTTTCATAGAAATTTTTAAATTATTGTAAAACATAAGTTATGTTCACATTTAACTTCATATCTTTTATATTTTAAGTTTAATTAATTTAGCTAACAAATTCTTTAAATATAAATTACCAAAGCATTCTTTTAGTATAGAGGCTATAATCCATTTCTATTACTAGCATAAATCAGATATTTCTATTTTTAAATTAATAATAATTAATTTTCAAACAAAATGAATTTTATTACATTAATCTTTCTACTTTTTGCTAATCTTTTCAAAAATTTCAATCATTATTTCAATCACTTCTTTAATCTTTCCATCTTGCTAAATTCCTAAATCTATCGTTTTCCTAAAAATAAAATAAATAATTTATATTTCTATATTATATTTTACTTAAAAACTTCGAGCATCTGAGTTAAAAATATCGAGTTAGTAAAACTCCTAATATTTAGATTAGTAAAGAAGTTGTTAATATAATCAATTGCCACTTTAATTTCAGTTAGATATTTTTGATTTTTATTGTTTTTAAATTTTTTAGGCGATATTTCATTCCAGTTTCTTGCTTTTTATATCTTTTAAACCTTTTCAATTATAAAAATTTTTTAAATTATATTATCAAATTAAATATTTTTAATTATTTATGCATAAATTCCGATTTAAATGTTTAAAATCAATTTAAAATTTTTCGTTTTGTTAAAACCTAAAAAAATTTATTTATTTACAATAGATTTATAAGGATTTTTGTGGAGTTGTTTTTTATCAAAAATTAAAGTTATTTATTTTAAATAAAACGATTTTAAAGATTGATTATTAAAATCTTAAAAGTATTCTTTTATTAATTACATCGTAAAATTCTTAACATTCTAGGAATGCGTTTTGCAACAACTTGAGCATTGAGCATTCTATTTTACGAATAACATCAGTTATTATTATTTAGCTTTTTTAGATATCTAAGAATAGGAGGACTTAATTTACTGTGATAATTTTACGAATGTAGTCAATACCTATCTTATTTCTTCCAAAGCAAATATTAGACAATAGCTCAATGTAGGTTATAAAATATTTATATAAATTTTCAAGATCTTTATTAGAAGATTTTTCTAAGAAACTTGTAATTTTAAGTTTTACAACTTAACACTCTTCCTATTCTCTACCTTTATTGTCAAATACTTTCTATCTATAAATAATATTATCTTTTTCGAAAGTAAAGTGAAATTCTTATTTTTAATGGTCCTAAAAAAAGTTTTTGATAATGCAATATTAATTTTATGCAACTGCTTAATTATTACATTATGTTAAAGCTGATAAAATAATACAATGAATAGGATGCGGTTATTGTTTTTCATAAATAGAATCAATAATATTTTAAATATAACGTGGAGTGATTAAATCTTAGATAATCATTTAATTATCTTAAAATAATTCTTTCAGAAAATTTTAAATTTACTCTTCATCCTCCATATCAAATGCGTTTTTAATAAATATTTCTAAATATTAGCAAATCACAAACTTCGCTTTTTAGTTATCTTAAATTATTTCTCTTAGTAGCGTATAAGATTGTTAGAGAAGCTAGCTTAGATAAGACGATAATTACTTATCTTTTTCATGTATCAATTGAATAAAATTATAGTTGTATGTAAGAGAGTAAATTAGATACACAACAAGATACATTAACTTTGTGTCCACCAAAATATTTTATACTTATCTAATATTTTCACTTATTTACTCATTATAATTACTTGTTGCACTTTATTCGTTATTAATAGAATCATTTAGTTCTTCTTAGGAGTTTTCAGATGATTGTTGTTAAGAAAGAGCAATAGAAAGTTAAGTAGGATTATTGCTGTACATTCCTAAGCCCTTTTCAAGTAAATCATTGTCATCGGATAAGAGCGAGCTCATTTCTTTGATACATTTAATTGTTTACTTAACATTCTTAATTGTAATACTTTCCTTTAGCTATTCAAGGTCTTTAATTTTAGAGAGGATGCAATTAAATTTGTGAATCTATTCTTAAGTGGACATGGCCTTAAGCAAAATTCTTTTTAAATTTGATTAAACTTTAACAATTCTGAACCCACTACTGCTAATTTATTTATCAAAACCTATTTTGTTTTCAAAATAAAACACACTCAACTATTGTTGCTCACTTTTCGTCATTTTATCAATGCTTTTTGTAAATTTGAGAGTAGACTTGCTTGATTTAGAATCTTAAATTACATAATTTATTTTTTCTGGTACTTTTTACTCAAAGAATTTTAAAGTCTAGGATAAATGAATAGAAGATCTACGTTAAAGCAATGTTTTTTTATGGAAGCTGATAGCATATATTTAATTAGATCTTTATTACTTTAATTAAACACTTGAGCTGATATCACTGTTAGAAACATCGATACATTCATATTCATCTTTGTAAATAAACTTAACAAAACATGGTGATTTTTTCAGTATAAGACCTTTTTGAGAATTTAATTATTAACCATCTTCATCTTCTTAGTTTTTATTATCTAAAACCTTTTTATCATAGACTATCTAATTGTTTCTAATTTTCCTAATTTGAAGCTACTAGTTTTCCTTTTAGTTTTAATAATTAAATTCTCTTAATACAAATTCAAACTCAAACTCAAAATTTCCATCATCTCCCCCTAAGATAGCTTATAAATCATTTTAAGAATATTATAGAGATAATCTTGGCTTATTTTGTTTATTTAATACTGTATAATTCATTTCTTAAGATTATTCCTTCATCAGTTAATTGTTATTTGATCCTAATTAGCTAGAAACTTAATTTTAAGATTGCTCTTGCTCATCTTCGCTATTTTCTTCTGATATATTTTATATTTTTTAAGAATTATAGCTGGTAAGACCATTAGTTTATTGAATTTTACTACCATTTTAATGTTACGATAATTTACTCATTAAAAATTCGCTCTAGATCATTTTACTTTATTATTACTCAAATAATGGACCCTCTTTGAATGATTATAAAACAAACTATTATTCACTTTTGTCAATGTTTTAACCATGATAAAGACGCTAAATATCTTAACTTCTTAAGTTGAATTCAGGCTAATAGTTTTCTAATTATTGAACACTTTATTTGCTTTCATTTATTAAATCTTTAGCATTTAAATCTATTTCTTCTTAATCACCAACATTTGAAAAAGCTTTTGTGATGCATACTTAAGATTCTAAAGGATTTTAAACATATTGATACTTTTTAAATTCATATTATTCATCATCATCTTCTTCCTCTTCTTCTTTTCTGCTTTGAATAATACTTTAGTTTATCTATTTAATATCAAAATTTTGCTTATCATAAGATCTAAATTTACTAGGAATGCTTCTTTAATACTCTGAAGCAAATGTATGCTGATTTCCTAATAGCTCCTTTTTTTTTAAAGACTTTTAGTTCAGTTCTTAAACAGTTACAACCTCTCCTGAAGTAATGTGTCTTAAATAAATAAAATCAGAATTTTCTGAACTATCAGCTTTTGCAATCTCGAAAATTGAATCATATAAAGGAATAGCAATACTCTGATCTTACTCTTTTAGAATAAGATTATTGTTTTTATCACTTTTAGAAAAAATACTATTATTTCTATTATGTATTATTTAAACTAAATCATAATTAAAAATATCTTCTGTATCCTCTGAAAAGTCCTATTTAAATATAATTTAAGAAAAATAAATTTCATTATTTTGCAAATTAATTGATTATTACGTGATCAAATATTTGATTGAATTACCAGATAGTCTTAAATTTAGTGGTTAGAATACAGCGGTACTGTCCGTTTTACATTGTTTAAGGTAGCTTTATTTACAAAAATCCATTTTTCTGATAGTCAAGTATTTAAGTAGAAATATCCTATTGAAATTTTCTTGAAACTTTATCAAGAGGAACTCTATTTATGAAATAACCTGTTTTTACGTGCTGCAAGAAAAACTCTTATTTTTATTGGACTGCATCTCCTTCTATATTATACAAATTCATTGGTACAATCTTGAATAAAGTCATACTGTTTAAGAATGGTTTTATTTTAAGTTTGAATGAATCAGGAGGATTTTAAGGACAATCATGCGTCCCACATAGATAATCTTTAGTATCTAAATGTTGAAGTATAATTTCACTACCAAAATAAACTTAAGTTCCGTTCATTTATTTTACGATATTTTCATAATGTTTAAGCTCTCTTTTCTTTCTACTCAAAAGAACTTTTTTTTCCTCTCTAAAATCCAAATATTAAGTTAAATTAGTAAAATAAATAAATAAATGATTTTAATGAATAAATTGGTAATTAATAGATAAATATACAGAAGAATAAGATGAAACATTTATGAATTCATATTAAAATAAGTATAAAAATTGATTACTTTGATGCTTTTTAATATTAATCGTGAATATAAAACTAGCCTTTTGGCAATATTCTGAATAAGCTTTCTCTTGTACAATTATTAAATTCCATATTATCAGTTCTGATGAAATTGACATTAGTATTTGACCATCTTAGTTTTTTTTTTATTATATTTTCATATGAAAAATACTCATTTTTAAAAAAATTGCTTAAGAAAAAAAGATACCCTTTACTATGGAGGAATCCTGAAGTTGATTAATCAGCTATACCACACAATTAAATAACTTGACCATATCTTATTGATTCTTTTTCTTCTTTACTAAATATCTTTTTCTTAACCTGCTTAGCTTAGGAGGAGTTTATATTTATTGCTTTTGAAGCATTGAACTGCCTGGATGTGTTAAAACTAGTACTGTATTCTAGCAGTTTTCCAGGTTATATAGATTTTGTATAATACATTTTTCAAAACTAATTACAACAAATTATAAAAGATCTACTTATTTTATTAATTTATTTATATTTCTGATTATTGGATATCTATGAAATCAAAATAAATTTTTAGTAGTTGATGATATCTTTGAAAACAAACAAAAGAATTTTAAAAATTTATTTATTTCTTAAATTAATTAAAGTATACTACAATTTATGACCAAACAATCAAAAAAGTTCTATTCAATTCTTAATTCTTAACTTTGCTAACATTAAATTATTAACTTTGCTAACATTAAATTATTAATTAAATTTTTGTTTTATCATTTATTTTTGTAAAAATAAGATATAAAAATTATAAAGATTCCAAAAAAATATGATAAAAAATTTGTTGGGGTTGGGGTTGGGGTTGGGGTTGGGGT